GCCAGGTTCGCCTGCACTTGTCAGCTTGTGTCAGTGTCTTTGCTGTTGGAGAAGCTTACCGCCATTGTACGTTCCACCCACAATGATGGGGAATTCCCGCAGATCGGTGCCATCGGGAATGTTGCTGAATACCTTTTGGTTGTTGCTCTTGTTGCCGAATTTGGACGGGTACTTGCCGATGGAGCTATCGTCGAGTCTGCGGCACTGGTGCAGGGCCTCACGGATGTCATGTTCAGCCAGGGTGGTACCGTCGGGACACTGGAAGTCGCTGAGTTTGGCGCGCTTGCTGAGCTCGGGAAGGGGAGAGGCATGGGCCAGGGCCATCAGTCCGTAGAGGACAATGGATTTCATGTCGAAGAACATCTTGAGATGCGGGTGCTTTGGACAATGATTTAAAAGAAGAGAGAGGCTGGTGTGCGGGAATAGTTTGCTTCGATACTGCTGATGAAGAAGGGAGATCTGGTGATATTCTCATGGCTTTATATCTTCAGATTCATTTAGATCATCTCAATTCTAACTTGTTTCTAAACTCGGAACACTGATAGAGCGTCTCATGATCGTCAGGCTGAGTGAGATGTGCTCAATGTTCAAGGCTGAGCTTCACTCCATGATTTGGCCCCAGGCTTGGTAGTGATACTAAAAATGCTTGATACCTCAGACCCTTGGGGACCAGAGTGGGGGCCATGGGGCCAAGACTTGGGGGCCGGGAGTAAGCACTACAAGCACTACGAGCTAGTCTGGCCCCCGCAGCCAAGACGGGCTGTGGCGTCCATGTCACACCATTCAGCACAGCCCACCAGCCCACCAATCTCCTTACAGCCTTATCCGCTTCCGCAGATCTCAAATATGCCTCGTCTTTCTTTTATTAGTCAGTCAAAGTTTCTACCTTCCACATTCTCCATCTCAAAATTATTTTCAATTTACCCAAGAACACCTACTTTCTCTGATTACCTACACGCCCTCACTATGGGAAAAGAGAACTTCATCCGACAAATCGAAAACTCCGTTGAGTTCAAATTCCTCGACAAAGTAGTCAAGGAAGAGGTCACAGCGCAAGATGCAGTCCAAGACCTCATCAACATGACCATGAGTGCATTGTCCATTCATGGTCCAAACAAACAAGGCGGGATCGGTCTCCCAGACTACAACGTCTCTCTTGCGGTCATGGAGCTCGCTCAACGCCTGGAACCATCTAAACACACCAAGCTGGTCGAATTTGTATCTCACCTCCAGAAGCAAGTCGCTGTTGATCCATCTACGAACGAACCCCTGAGGGTCCAGGGCGATGCCCTCTGGACAGACATGCCGTCGTTCGGCTACACGGAGCTTGAGACATGGTACGAGTTTGGTGGCGATTACAAAGGTGATCCATCCTCCAATTTACACAGTCACAACGCTAACGCATGTAGACCCATGTGATGCAACGCTAGAGTCTAAGCAACGAGAACGCTGGGCGAATCTCAACGCTTTCCTCGCGCAGGTCACTCAGGCTGCAGACATTCACTACACATCTCCCAAGGAAGAAGTGCGATTCTCTCCCCTGGACAAATCACTACGGGCCATCTGGACCATGGCGATGGCACTTGAGAACGAGCGCCCTCCTGCGTCGTTGGGAGATACGGGGGCGATGGAGGGCGCGTGCCAGTGGTTCATCTACGCTGGGGAGCGGCTATGGGCGAATGTGCTCAATAGTCGCATGTATCCTGAGGCGGCTGGCGCTGGGCCGGGGAAAAGGTATGAAGAGGAGGACTGGACTGGCTATACGCGGGAGCGATGGGGAATCTGGGAGGATGCGCTGAAGGAGGCTAGCGCTAAATGCCAGGATGAGCGGATGCGGAAACTGATTGATGATGCTTTGGCGAACCTGAGAAAGGGAATGGTGAATCAATAGTGGATAGACCCATTAAGTTCTAGTGGATATTCATTCAACTGCTTTGGTGGCTAGTTGCATAGTATAATGATCTATTCCTTTTTGCTTTGTACAAAGTCCAGCAGGATCAGCCTGATCTGATTATGATATTCACTCTCATTCATTGAGAAATGGCTTTGACTCTGGGAAGCTTGATCTTGTCCACTTCAGATCCTACATCTTTCGCTTCTAGTTCATTAATCCTTGCTTTCCCTATATTCATATACTACTACGAATTATCAACTCTCCTTTTCCACTGACTTCTGCAAGCAGTTACTAGTCAGCAAAAAATCTGTCTCTGCTAAATACTATTTCTACGTCCCTATGAGCAGCATGATTGCTCAGGCAAGGAACAGGATATTAAGCGGTAGGCTCCTAAATTATCTCTAAGTGATGTTCAGTGCATATGCATTTCTGGTGATTACTTATCTATTGCCTCTGTTATTTCAGTTCATCTCTCGCATCGGTGACCCTCAAGGTTATCAAAGAGTTACTCAGTAGTACCTTGATAAAAAGAGATTTATCGACATCCCGTACATCCTGAAGGAAAGCCAACATTACTTGCATAGCTGACTATATCCTCTGACTAGCAGTGCTGACTGTGGGCCCATATAATCCTCCCTGAGCTTATTCTCATTTAGGATTTGAGCCTTACGAATTATACTTTCGACAAGGCTGTTTTGCTTGTGTGGGGCGGGGCCGAGCATCCTTTTACCATTTATTTCTGTCTTGTATTTTGGCCCCCACAGAAAAGTTCGCTTCTGCACTACCGAGGGGCCAAAGCCTCGTGTCTGCTGTTATTTTTATCTCTGGCCGATCAGGGGATGGACAAGCTCATGTCAAGCCTCTCCCAAGAATGCTTAATACGAGGGGAACAGTGGACGAGTGGGATTTCGGCCTGGCGCTGATGTCGATCCTACCAACATTTGATCAGCAATATGATTGATTGGTCCGAATGTCGATCTTGTCTGTTGTCGACGTGGCGCAGCGGCTGAAAGATTGACAGGTGATATACCGAACGAGGATGTCCCACATGGATGGCCCCAAGGCCTTTTGATCTTAAGTACTGCTTCTCCTTCTTTGTCTTATGCCTTTTGTTTACTCTCCTCAAGATAGAACGAAAGAGGTGGCATTCCTACGGGACTGACTTGCACAATGACCAACTCCCTCTCTGCCGCTACCTGCGCCATCTACGCAGTCCTCGCCATTCCAGTACTCTACCTGCTCGTCCGACACGGTCGCTACGGCCTTTTAGGATGGCTCTTCCTGTTCTTCTTTTGCACCCTTCGCATCATTGGTGGCGCGCTGGCAGTCAACAGCACCAGCGTCGCCGCTAACATCATCTCCAGCGTCGGTCTTTCTCCTCTTCTCCTCGCGACAGCTAGCATTCTACACGAGGCGTAAGTAGTCCGCCCACAAATACGAGATCCATGCTAAATCCCGCAGTCGGCAATATCGCATCCAACCCCTCGACAAGAAAATGGAATGGGTCTCCGTCCTCGCCTACCACATGCTCGTCGTCGCAGGCGTGGCCCTAACAGCTGCCGGCTCCGCGAAACTCCAGGAACATGAGCAACCCCTTGACAAGGCCGAAAAGATCACCGAGGCAGGTATTTCAATTCTGGCAGTCGCGTGGGTGATTTTAGTTGGCTGGACCGGTTTCTCGTTTATGGCTCCACGGGGACGGAATTCCTCGCTCACGAGGGCAGGGAATGTCGTGAGTACTTAATCCCCCGCATGTATCTGAATGCACGGCTAATGCTTCGCGAACAGCTGCTTATGGCCGTCGCCTTCTCGCTCGTCTTCATCGGCATCCGAGTCTTCTACAGTCTTGCTGCGCTGTGCACGCAGCGGGCTTCGCTTAATCCCATCACGGGGTCGCTGGCTATCCGTGTGGTGCTAGGTTTCATGCCCGAGGTGATTGCCACGCTTGCGTTTATTTTTGCAGGGATCAGGACGCGGGGTGCGGCGCTGTTGGCTCATGTAGAGGAGGAGAAGGTAGTTTCGGTTCCGCCGAAACCGCGTGCTCAACCTTGGGTTTAGCTGGCTCAGGATGCATGCGTTTTTTATGTTTTTCTTTCGCTATACATCTAGATGATGAGAGTCTGCAATGATCGGAGTAATTATAGCAGACCGTGTGGACCTCTTATAGAGGAACGTCTTACTAGCTTCGCACTCAACGCCTTTTACCTATAATTGCTTGTTTAAGATCAGAGCTGGTTACTGCCTTCGCACAGATTCTACGTACAGGCTATGATTCCGAGCCCCCGAAAGCTCTCACCGCTTGCCGTCAAGAGTGCGGATACTGTGGACATTGTGACTGTTGCAGGCGCTTATCACGGAAACTTGAAGACACTTGGGGATGCCCGCAAAGAAATGCCGATAAAGCGATGGAAGATTACAATCTATGCATGGAAAGTTTCGTCAAGCGAAAATCCATATCGATGAATAAAGGCAAATGTCACGCCGTTGCTGGCGGCAAGGTTACTGATATTCTCACTGATTGGGGGTAAGTGTTACTCCACCATTAAGCAAACACAACTGCTGATTAAGAATAAGAGTGAGAGAAAACCTAGCGAAAGGCCCCAAAGCCTGTCATGCGTCCTTCCACTCCAAGGAAGAAGCAGGATATTTTATTGCAAGTTGGAAAGAGCCCTTCACTGACCTTTCGCGAAGGGCAGTCACAGAAGCATTGGAAATTGGCTAGGAGCCTCGTTATATCAAGTTCAATGTTGGTTTTCCTTTGATCGGAGACGATGAGAATGATACTAAAGCGGAAAGCCCCACTCGGCGGACATTATCCTGCATAGCTGCAGAGAGGTTGACTCGACGCCTGTCGGCACCCCAATAAATAGACTACTCAAGATACAACGAGGAAGTTTTCAAAAAAAAAAAAAAAAAAAAAAAGAAAATACATTTCTCATGATGTGCGATGAAGTTAGACAAATACAGGGGGGAAAGGGAAACAATCATTCAACAAGTTTGAGAGCAGATGGGTCGTGAATTGGTCCATCTGCTTTCATTAAATTTAGCTTGAGTAGCTTTCTCGCTCTTTGTACCATGAAGTTCGGTCCAATGGGTGGAGAAAATCTCAGGCATTGAGGGTGTCGACCTGCTCCGGCTGTCGCCACCGGAAGCGCTTGACCAGGTTGCTCGTGTTCAGCGCAACCAGCTTGCTCGTCGGCATCAAGAACAACTCGTCGATCTCCTCTAGCGTTTTGTCTTTGGTCTCCGGCATGAAGAACAGCTGGTAGAAGAAGCCTAGCACGGCCAACCCGCCGAAGAAACCGATTGTCAGGCCGGTGTAGGTCATCGCCTTCTGCATCCCCTCGAAGTTGTATGTCACGATGAATGACCACAGATAAAGGAATGCAGAGCAGATCGCCATACCCTGGCTGCGAGTGTTGAAATCAAAGCTCTCCGCTGGGACTACCCAGGTCAGGCACGAATACGCCCCGAAAAATCCCATGTACAGGATCAGGCCGGAGAAAAACAACCCCAAGGCAGTTGTCTTGTGCTCATTGAAGTAATCGACACCGTTGTTTGTGTACAGGTAGCCGACACCCACTAGCACCAGCCCGACGATGAACATCAGGATGTTTTGTGCCCACACACGTCGTCCGAACTTGTCCATGGTGAACACGGCAGGGACCGTTCCCAAGAACAGCGCGCCACCGCCCACCATCGACATCAGCACTGACTCGCGGTCGCTGAAGTTCATCTTGGCCATCAAGTTTGACATGTTGTACATCACCGCATTGATGCCAGTCATCTGTCCGAAGAAGATCATTGCGGTGGCATAGACAAGCGCACGTCGGTTGCGCGGCTCCCTGCACACTTCCAGATATCTGTTGTACCATGCCTCGTTGGCGGACCTCTCGACATCATTTTTGACTGTAACTTCCATCGCGACGTACTCGTCAAAGCTTTTCGCGTCCGCCATGTCACGCAGCGACTTCCACACCTGCCACGCGCGGCCATACTTGCCCTTGGAAACCAGCCACCGTGGTGATTCGGGCAGGAAACACATTCCGACTAGGAGAATGGTCGAGAACAAGAGAGACGAGCCCAGCATCCAGCGCCAGCTGCCTGACGGAACGTCGAAGAATACACCGCCGGCAGCGTATCCAATGATCTCTCCGAAGGCGATCATCAGCTGGTACACAGACACCAGGTTGCCACGCACCTCTGGCGGCACACACTCTGAGATGTAAATACCGACACAGCCGCCTTCAATTCCGATGCCGATGCCTAGAATGAAACGGCCCGCGAACAGCATTCCAACGCTGCGGGACCCTGCACAGAGTCCTCCTCCCAGGGTGTACCACAAACACGAGATGATGATCGAGTTGCGGCGTCCAAAGTAGAAATTCAGCGGTGTCATGATGAGCGCGCCGGCCATTGCGCCTAGTGGCATCAGTGAAGAAATCAGCGAAATGTCGGTCGCCAGTTTCGGGTCGTCCATGCTCGCCCACGCGCCAGACGCGATGAAGTGCTTGCGAATACCAGGCAGCGCGCCCGAGATCACAGATTGGTCTAAGCCACTCAGCATGCCGCTAAATGCCGCGAAGACACCCAGCGTAATGACTAGCATGCGAGGGCTGTTCATGTGCACTGGTATTTGCGCAAATGCCATCCGGTCATACGCTGATTCATTGTCGAGATACTGGCGGGCCTGTTGGTCGCGCGACTCGATCTCGTGCTCACGCTCCTCGGGCGTGAGTTCATCGCTGAACTCTTTGCCCATGGCGTCAGGCTTTTCCTCATACTTGTCGCTCATTTTGTGCCGATTGAATCAATCACGAATCAACCATTCAAGAAGGCTTGTGTGAGGCCAGTAGAAAAGAGAGAAGAGAGGGAGAACGCAGACGAGACGGGCCCAATGCCCCTCTATATAAAGGCAGTTTCGCCGAAAAGCCTGTCTGCGGGATATTGTGCCTCTCCCCAATTCCCCGACCTTCGTGCCCCGGACCCCACAAGTCCCCAGAGTACCCGCCAATGAATTCCCTGCCTTTGTTTGGGAAAAAGTTTGTTGCATGTGTATTAAAATTGTATTGTTGTGGGGTTGTGTGTATAAATACAGGGAATGCTGCGTGTCAAGTCCAACCTTTCCAAGCGCTGAGCTGCCCCAACATCTAGAAGATGGCAGTCTCACGACTAAAAAGCCCAACTCAGACCATCCAGGAAGGCTGATTTGATCACAGCGAGACTGGAAGACTCGAAGTTCGGGCTTCTCGAAGGGCCACTAGAAGTTGGGTCGGTCAAAAAAAAAATACAGACCCCCTGTCCCCCCCATGCCATTTGTCGGTATGACCGGAACGCCAACAGGAACGCTTAGCTCGATCAAGTAATGGATAAGCGACGCCTCAAAACTCTCGAGTCAAATCAACAAGAAACTTCCCAGGCGCCCCCCCCCCCCCCCCCACTCGGAAGGAACCGGCACGGGTTAAGTTTACTCGTACCCAATTGCCGAGTCCGATGGCTCCGCGAGACCGGGGTGGGCTGGGGCCCCGACTGTTTTCCCCGACTATTTTCTCCGAAAACTACCCGGTCGGAACACAAAAATCTGGGGAAATCGAAGCCGGGCCAAACGAGATACCGAAACAGAATCTGACCCGGTCCGGTTCGAGCCAATTTCGATTTCAACCATGTATTGATCTAATAAAACCCCCACACGCCAAGGGATTCGAGAACCTTGGGTGTCTCAGGGCCAGAATATGATCCTGAGGAAGACCAAATTACTAAAGCACTAAAACAGCTTCTACCTCTAGCCAGTATATACCTCTTTTATGTGAGGATATATGTCCGCTTCGTGGCATAATTCCACAGGCATGTTAGACTCGTTGAATCTAGAGACTTTTTGGCAGCAAATTAACGTGCGCAATATACAAGAAGGCAAAGCATTACAAACACCGAAACATAGTTTCGCCGACAATATTCCGCGTCCCCTCCCCTCCTCACGCTAAAGGGTGCGACATGCGTGGCCTGACATCACCAATGGGGCGGACTTTGCCCGAAATTCGTCACATGGAATGCAACACGAGCGTCAGGCCCTTGCCATCCCCACATAGTAAGGTTTTTCTAAACTCTTCCTGTCTGTCAGCAGCGGAAAAACACAACCCCGTCCGGTCAAGTCGCCTGTCGCGTGGCAGTTCCCCGTTCCCCCGCCACAAGAACTAGACCCGGTGAGTGGTAACACCTCGAATAAGTGTTGCGCTAAGGGAACATGTCAGCTCAGTAAGGATGCACTAACTTACCACCTAACAATCCACGTATGCGAGCACCGACGCATAGAGAACCCAGCCAATAAAAATTCCCAGTTTGTCGTTAGACGTGACCCATGAAAAATACATCGTGATGTACCCCAGAGTGGACGCGACGTAGCTGAATACAGGTAATGCGCCTCATAAATGCGCCTCAGGGACACCGGGAAAGTGAGAAGAGAAAAGACACTGGGGTAGAGCTGATCCTGAATATGCTGTAAGTTATTGAGCTTCTTGAGAAGATACATTCTCGGAAATATAGAAGAATACCAGGCTATTCAGCCATGAGCTCCTTAATCATCCCAAGGGAACAATCCACAACACGAGAGAAATGTCTGTCGGTATCAGTAGCAATTCCGACGCAGAAATTCCGGAGTGCAACAAGTCCTTTGGATAGCGAAACCTCCGCAATGGAGTCTGGTGTGCCCTCTAGGTAGGCGTCTATGCTTCAGTTCGGAGGCCAACTAGCGCCGCCGCTCTGAATTTACAACGTTAACGCGCTAGTCGAGGGTAGCTTTGATAACCCCGAGAAACTCCAATCTCCCTATAAGAATGCAATAGCAGTTTCCCTAAACGTATAACGACGCGGAGCTACTATAGCTACCCATTGCGCGACGATGAGCGGCTCTTTCTATAGAGCCCATTATAGTCTTGTTAATTTCAACTCGCCATATTTCTTTACAACAGTGAAACAAGTACATACGACCACAGGGTGTGGAGAACAGGGCTTCCCGTCCGCTCAGCCGTACTTAAGCCACACGCCGGTAAGTTAGTAGTTAGGTGGGTGACCACTAGCGAATCCTTACTGTTGTATGTTTTTTTTTGCTTTGTTTTTTTGGCTTACTTCAATATAAATTACGTTGGAACATGAAGCAATTGAGATGGAACCCCGAACTAACCACAAGAGAGAGAGAGAGATCCTAGAAACACTGTGGAATGGATCTCAAAATGATAATTAACTGGAGTGGAGTATTTCTGATGCTAAGCATCACTAATGGTCGGGTACTATCTCAAATTTCACCCGGTAACAAACATTAGAAAGCGACCTTCTCAACAGTATCGCGGTGTAAGGTCTTTAGGTCAGCACCCAGCAAAAGTCCAGCACGATTGGGCACAAATAGCCTCAGTGGTCAACTTCCGGTAGTTCGCGACTTTCTTGTAGTTTGGTCCTCAATTTGACCTTGGCAAATGGGAGATCCGAGCCTTCAAAAATAACATTAGTCACTGTTATGACGCCCTTGGAGATCCACTTGTCCATGGCCTCAAGAAAGACGTGTTAAATTACGGAGCGGTAGAAGCTGCTCCACAAGCCAGGTCATATGTGCCAGGGGTCATGTCGGCCATGCCAGCCATGGAATCGTACTTAGCGTTGCGGGCAGACAAGCCCGGGACTTCGTACAAGCGGTACGCGTCGCTATTTGTCCGTTTCACCTGCCATAGAGGGTTTGGTGGCAGTAGAGTTCGTATTCGCCCACTGTTTCAATGATCTTGACCAGCGGGGACCGTGGGTCATCCAGTGCAGGTTCACCGTCGCACTGGAATGGAAAATATCCTTCGAAGGGAACCATTCCATCAGGCATTTGAAGATTCGTGGATGATAAAGCGACGGATAACATCACCTGTCTGGGCAATACCACATAGGATGGCGCGGTTTGCTTTCATAGCCAGATCACCAGATCTCGCGGCATCTGATGCGGCAGCTAGGAACTCGGGAGACTGTAGAGTCGATCCCCACTACTTTTGTTTGAGAATCTTGTAGTTCATCCAGATGCTGGCTCGGGAACATTCAAAGTTTGCGGAATGCAATCGGAGGTTTGCTTGAAGGTTGAGGTTGGGATAAAGCGGATGTCCTTGTAACGCTTGTCCGAGTGCTGGAGCTCCATGGCACCGGGGGCCTGAGAGTCCATTTGAATCCATGCGTGGCCTGTGAAATTGTCAGATGAAAGAAGAAGACAATATTTCCAGCGAGAAATTGACTTAGGACTTCTCATAATCCACCGCTTTACTTTGGGCCATACCTGGAGTCCACCCCATAGATCAAAAGGCTCGACAACAACAAGTCCAGAAAACCTTGTTGGATCCTCAGGGAAATGGAGAATCAGGCGGGTGCGGTGGATTTCACCTTCAGCAAAGCCATCGATCAGGAATTCATGACGAATGTAGCCTTGGGCATGGAGAGGAACCACAATATATAAGGAACGACCGCCTAGAGGAGTCCTGATTACTACGTTAAGGCTCTTCATAATATTAGCTTGGATGGGTTTGAGATTGTTCATTGCAGCGAGTTTTTAGATCAAACTCCAAATGTTTATACCAGTTTAAAAATATTTCAAGGATGCACGGGGCTCGAGAATGCTTATAAAGAGCATATTCCGCCTCTTCACGGTCGCTTTAAACAAGCAACTCAAATAAGTTCAGTCCCCAAGCATACTGTGCAATAGCCATGGCCCCAAGACTCATAGAAGCAGCCATCAGCACGTTGACACCGTTATTATCAAGCCAGTCATGACCGGTTTCAACACGACGGCTTTCATGTACCTCTTCTTGCTGTTCGGGCTTCCCTTGGTTGCCGCGAGACTGAGCCGCGTTAACAGCCCTCCCTGTAGTTTCGGTGTGAGAAGCACCTATGACCGACATTTTCGAGGAAGCTGGGTGAATGAGTACCTAGGAAAGAAATTAACTCCATTTACCATGGACGATTGTTGCCAACATACCTTCCTGCCACCATTTCCCTCTACAACCTTTCCACTCCTCTTATCAACAACGCTAGCTTGCAAAAGACCACCTAGTACACTATCAAGGACGCTTCCCAGCGCACCCCAAATAGTCAAGGCCACAGTCCAAAGCACTCGCTCTTTCATTCCTGCACTGGAACAAAATGGAAGAACAGCAGCAGATGTCAAAGAGACAATGAATGAACCAAGAAGACCAGCTCCAAGCCCAGTTGCAGTGACACCACCATTTGTACCAGGGGGGACTTTGCGAAGATTGAGGGAGGTTATAAGACGAGGTTTGGATTTTGAAAGAATGCCCAGTTCGGAGGAAAATGTGTCTGCAGCGACGGCGGCGTAGTTTCTATGGTAGACTGAGTCAGTATGCAATTAATGATAGACGGTGTTGAAGGAAGAGAAAATATGGAATATCACCACATACGCAACAATCCCAACCATCAAAATATCGGACGCATTCTGACCAAGCGAGAAGCATGATTCCGTGTCTGTTGAGTTGGCGAGGACAATGGCATGGGCGATAGATAAAACCGTTCCGACAATGGAGTTTGCGATTACTTGGATATGGTTACGGGGGCCTTCTCCGCCTTCTGTGCCGGTGGCAGAGAGTGTCAAGCGAGATTTGATCTCGTGTTTTACCTGCCATTACGGAGCATGATCAGTAACGTTGTTAAAATGAATAAACGCTCTCGACATTATAGCCGACGGGTGGTGTATAACTCCAACGTGGGAATGTAACACTTACATTTGTAACCTTTGTTCCACCAAAGTAGAACACCGCCAGCAGTGCGACTGGTGCTGACCATGGGTGGAGGGCGTGTGCGGAGGCTGAACATCCCGCAACAACAAGGCCAAGAGGGGTAAGGGATTTGCGGGACCAGGCTCGATAGACGAGTCCGAACACAAGTGGAATACCAATGTATGGTTTCATCGTGGGCGGCTAATAACCCCACTAATATCGCCTTTGGTGAGTGAGAAAATTGGAGTTGGAGTTGGAGTTGGGAATTGGAGCTGGAAGCTGAAGTGGGGCCAGATAAGCACCGTCACATGATGTCTATCGATACCAAAAAATGAAGTTTGAGATGAAAGTAACGATATAAGTGCAACTAATGTAATCACAGATGAAATGCACTGTTATTCTCATTCACCTCACAGAATCGCCAAATTCCAGCCTTAACAGCGGCATCCCGTACACTGAGAAGCTCCTCGTCCCGCACCGCACGGTTGATCTCCGCATACCGAATTTCCTCTGACGCGCCCTCCGCCTCGCCAATGCGTACTTTACGCGTCACACGTCGTTTTTTGCCAACATGAGCATCGGGATGATACTGCTCCATGATGTGCACATACAGATCTCGAGAGACGTTCTCAGCCAGCCAGCGCATAATCTCCCGGCCCTCGTCCTCTTTACCTGGCATTACCAGGTGACGTAGCAAGACTCCCCTTTTCGCTATGCCATCTGATGTAAATGAGAGGTCGCCCACTTGACGGTGCATCTCTTTGATGCTTTCCATTGCTGTCTCTGTGTAGTTGTCTGCTTTGAGGAGGCGTTTCGATGTGCTGTTGTGCCATACTTTGAAGTCTGGGAGGTAGATGTCAACCAGGCCATCGAGTAGTTGCAAAGATTCAAGAGAATCATATGAAGAGCTGTTGTAGATGATCGGAATGCGAAGTCCCATATCGCGCGCTGTCAAAATGGAGAGGACGACTTGTGGAACAACATGTTCCGGCGTGACGAGGTTTATATTGTGCACGTTGCCAATCTGCTGCAACTTGAGATACCACTCAGCAAGCTCTTCTGGTGAAAGATCGAATCCATTGCGCTGATGTGAAATGTCCTGTGCAAATATTAGCATTCAGATTGCAATTCGACAGATTGATGTATAGGGGAAGCAGCATACATGATTCTGACAAAATACACAGCGCAGATTGCACCCCGAGAAGAATACAGATCCACTCCCATGGAAGCCCTGTATACACGCCTCCTCTCCCCGGTGCGGTGCTATCACATTCACTTTCGCTGTCATAGCCCCGATCAGGCACATACCTGTCGTCTCATACCGGTTCACTCCGCATTTCCGTGGGCACAGGTTGCACTTTCGGAGATGTGCATACGAGGCAGCGCGCTTCTGGGCTGACTCAACTGAAGTCAGGAGCTGGTATCGTGGCACATAGTCATCTAGGAGGAAAGCTGGTGGGATCCCCAGGGAACGCTTGAAGATCAGCGGGCCCTGTGGAGGCTTGCGAAATGTAGATAGCAGTTGGGGTGTTTTCATTAGAGCAGTCATAATTGAAATTATTCAGTCATTTCAAATTTGATGTTACCTTTTTATTCGTTCAATATGCTAGAGATTGTAATTCGAGTCTACATTCATTGATGTAATTGGAATGTGAAGTGCTTGTCAGAGTTATGTCATGTTCTACCATTACTAACCGAGCTTAACTCGATGAGCTTGCATTTGGCACACCTAAGTTTCTCGTCCAAAACACCAAAAAGAAAAAAAAAAGATAAATGGAGGGTATGGTATGTGCCGAGTAAATAGATAGACAAAGTGTGCGCCTTTTCGCTCCTCGGGGTATGTCCAAAAACCAAGAAAACTAGTATACAGGACGCAAATCAGAATCGACAAGAAAGGAAAATATACACTTGATCAACCGATGAAAGTATAAGCAGTAAGTGAGCCAACTACAGTGCAAGCCCACTGCCATCCCCGCTCCAGCGGTAAAGGGCCAGTACTTCACGTCTGCGCTGCTGCTGCTCGCCAAAGTCTTCTGGAACACGGCCGCGGACCTGGGCAAGAGCCGAGCGCATGACTTTTCGGAAAGTTCGCTAGGTTATATTAGTATTTTCTCGGTACTTGGTTTTGCAGACAAGATTGGGGCACTTACCTGATATTCAGTGTTCAAAGTCACGACACAGGCCTCATGTGCTCGCACGATAGTTTCGCATGCTCTGACCACACTTGGGCTAGCATCTCCTTGCAACTTATCCGCAGTCAGGAGTAGGAGGAAGCTACCCTGAAGCAGATATATTCCAAAGAAGAAGGGCATAAAACTCAGATCGGGGTCGTTTTCAAGGATATCCGAAGCGGCTTCAGCAGAGCTGACAGCATGTCCCATGGCCGAAATGAACGATTCGGATGAAATCCAGAGGTCGTTATCATCGAGAAGATTGATCGGATCCCACTTTCCAGCTAGCAGGATGTGGAGAACGTGCATGATGTGGGTGCCGTAAGCAACCACCATCCTTGTATGGACGATGGACTCGCTAATATGTGATCCCACGGTGCTACTCGATCGACCTGACGGGCTGACGTGATTGAGATTGGACCCTTCCATGGCAGTATCAGCCTCCGGACCAAGAGCGAGGGAACTCGTGAATCGAGCCTCAAATTCTTTCAAGCTCTGGGCGTAGACATCGAGCTGTCGACTGATTTCCATTGCCTGGTATTCCCATTCACCGCTGTTGCGGAAATGAAGACCAAATCGCGGATGGTTGCGGGCATGTTGCAGATCCACAATTTCACCGAGGATGGACATCAATGGCAAGAAGTACCCGAACATGCTATGGCCAGTGCACTCGAAGGAAGGACCAGCGCGACGGTAGTTGACTGACGAAAAGTCTCCTGTTTGCCAAATATCGTCGTTCATAGGCTGTAACAGACCCTCGCACTCCTTATCGAGAAGTGTCAAAGGACGGTTGTAACAGAGCGCTAAATGGCGATCAGTAGCATATAACAACCACCATATCCGACGGCGCTCTTCCCGTTCTTCTTCTGTCAGGTTGACAGCCGAATTACCAGGACCATGACCCATGAGCTGGGGCGGTTGCCGCTTGCCGTTCACATCAAGCTCGCCTTCGCCCTCCAGTTCGCCGTCCTGACGAGTTGTCGCATTTGGTGGCAGTTCGCGACCTAGCTTGAGCTCTCGTGCAAGTGACCAAGCGGCTGTCCACCATCGCATACTTGCAGCCTTGTATTCACTAGCCGAAACGACGGTCGCCAAGTGGACATACGTAGCGACGTCATCCACAGCGCCAGTTGCACTGCTTTGGGCGCCTAACTGGTCCATTGATACGCCAAATCCACCTAGAGCGACCCCGTTGATTACCATATTAGCAGGATAATTCGGGGATGCCTCCCCAGTCGCAGGACCATGGATAAGTGGCCGAAGCAGGCCAACGGTTAATTCCAAAAGCTTTTGACAGACTCGTCCACGAGCCGAGGGAGGCGATGTCAAGAATGCAGCCTCGCTCGTTTGTGCGGCTACCCACAACATACTAGCGAGAAGGCCGGGACTGCAAGCCCGCGGTTTTGTGGGGTGTAGGAAGGATTGCTTGCGGAAAACATAACCGACAACATATGGAGACGCCGGAGAGAGATGTGAGGAAGAAGAGCTGGTAAAGTAGACATCGAGAAGATCACAGGCCAGAGATTGAGGGATTATAGACACAATGTGTGGAAGAACTGGTTGCAAGACGGGGTACCTCAACGAACTGGATAAAGGTGGCATGCTGAAGGACGGAAAATTGGCGGGAGAAGGAGAAGGGAGTGGCAGCCAACTAGGCGATTGACCCGGCGGAGAGAACCCCAAGAATGCAGCTCCAGGGTTCTCCGCCGAGTTCCCAAGTCGGAACTGGTTCATAGACGTTGGATTTGCCTCTTGCGAATTCATGAGAGGGTATGTGCCGTCGTTATATCCCGATCCAAAACCCTGAGAATGAAGCATTGAGCCGGGCGACCGAGGATTTGCATTCGCAGTTTGCATCATATGTATAGAGCGCAGATCAGGAACCGAAATTGGCGGTCGCTGCGATTCCTGTAGTGCTTCGTAATGGTTGAATGGCATACCTGCCATGCTGGAGCTAATCTGCTGCTGCGAAGGTTGAACAGGGGCCTGGTTTTGGCGCATCCCAGACATACCAGGTATCTCAGTGTTATGTGGCCGTGATTGTGCGCTTTCGGTTAGAGTGCGCGCAGCATCAAAGGCTGGATCGTAGCTTTCGTTGGGCTCGGGGATAGAATGACCATTCGACGTCTGGCTTTGTGTATGCGTCGCACTATCTTTACCACCAACTTCGCTGTCGGTGGTGACTGTGGTTGCAGCTATATCCTTTTTCGATGCTTTCCCGCGCTTTTTGCGCTCGCGGGCGTATTCGCAACTAAGTCCGAACTCTGAAATTCGTTAATAAGTCTATTTCGCAGACTAAAGAGTACCTGGAAAATGGCCATACCAACACAGTGTGCGCACGGGTTTTGCCCGTCGCACTTGGTTCGCAACTGGTTGCACTGGTCGCACGCCCGACTAATTCTCCGCCGGACCGGGGTGGCAGACGAGTTCTTGCGGATTGCGGACCGAGCCTCGGCAAGGCTGTCGCGCGATGAACCTTTGAGAACGGAGGCGTCTTGTTCGCTATATAGAAGATGTTGGGTGTGCGGCAGCTTGGAATCAGGGAGTGATTGAGCGAGATCGGATGGGGTGTTGGCTGCGCCAGCTTCCCGTGCTAGCTGGAGTTGTTCCAGTGCATACTGTGACCCCTCCGCAAGCGTGTCCAGCCCGGGGGTTTGGGATTGGGGCATTCGTTTGGATTGTGGCTGGGTCGAGAAGGGCGAGTAGGAATTGGGTACGGATTGGAGGGAGGTCGCCGACATGCTTCTCCGGGGAGGCGGAGAGACGATCTATGTCGACATAGAGCGACAAGATGAATCGACGCGACAAAGCGATGGGACCTAGTCTTTCTTGCCCGGGTGAGAGTGATAGGAGAGGCGAGAACACGGGGGCATAAGAGTCAGTGGAACGGCATGAGAGGCCGTGGCGGAACCCCAGATCCCGGAGGCAACTTTTTTTTTCGGCGGAGCCGAGGACCCAAAGCTTGATTCTCGGCAAGAAAAGATAATCACAGTCTTATAGTCTCAGGGTCCAGCAAAAGCAAAATAGAAACTGAAGATGTGAACCTGACGATCTGGGGAAGTTGAGAAAGGCGGGGGAAACGGGCACGTGTTGCACGGGGTACACTCCAAGTCTACGGAGTAGTACACTTCACTTTTACTTCAACTTCTACAATCCCTGTTTACATGGTTTAACACTCTTCTTCCCGAGAGACTTCCTTTGACCCGTTTCAAAGTCTGCATTCCTTGCACCTCTTATTGGCTGGCACTTTATCCAGTGTGATCCCGGTCATCTATACCAAGCAGGCTTGCGTCCCGTATTCAAGAGGGCTCGGAGAAGCACCAGACGGGACTTAGACCCCCTCAAATGTCTGACCACCTCGGTAACATACCCCGGTCTTGGCTAGGGAGAACATAAGTACGAAGGTACAGAAATGGCCTACTGTCGGCAAACTAACCGAATCGTCAAGTGCCGAGCGCAGGTCCGACAGAATACCTTTGAGAATTGTTGAAAATGATTGGTATATGCAGTTCAGGGACTCAGAATCCCACCAAATGAGGACTAGGTAGCGACTGGGCTAGAGCCCGGGTTCCCCCAGATTGCCCTACCGGCTGTTCTATTTTGCCTAAATCCGCTGATGCCCCTGGCCGGCTATTTAGTTTAAGAGTTCTTCATGCTGTGGCTATTTGTCTAGGTTAAATGCATTATGATAGAATGTAGAATTGGCTAGAGTGCAGATTGAAATAAAGTAAAGTCTAATATCATATTCGTACGTCGCTATATGCATGGTTGTTGTTTTTTTGTCCCCAGTGGCCCCCTTCCAACAGTATAAAATGTACAAAAAATGCAAACAATGGAACCCAGGGAAACAAATGGGGAATGAGAAAATGTACAAGAGAATTAAAAAGCACCTGATATGCATCCAGAGGTCGCTCCCCCACGAGACCCCGGAACTGAAATGAGAAAAAGTGAAAATATACAACGCCAGATGGATGAAATGGAGCCCGAGGACCCTAAGATGAGCGCCTCAAGAGAAGAAGTATTTGCTTTCGCGAATGCGAGTCAAATCCCAGTCTCCCTTCTTAGGGACTGGGCGAAACTTCAGCGGAACCCACATCCAAGTGGTCGCTGCGCGCGATGATGATTTCTTAGCAGGAGCAGCCTTGTCGGCAGTTTCCGGCATAGGTTCTGGTTCGTCGTCAAGCAGCTTGCCGTCGGGTAAGTCCATGTTTCCAATCAGGCCCTGAATGGCCGGATCAGAAGTATCGATTCCATCTGCCATCGGCGCACGTTCGGCGGCTTCAAGATTCTCTGGCACGTGGCCCATTGCGGTTGCACCCAATGATTTGGTCATGGACATGTCTTCGTCTGTCCCACCCATTTCTTCGAAAACGCTGGCGGGTGTGACCATAGCACGACCCTCCGCTTGGTCTTCGGGGTCCTCGGACTTGAGAAGAGTCTGTCGTCGTTGCTCTTGAATCAGCTCACCGAGCTTTGAGCTCTTGCCGCCTTTGCGCATAGCGCGGATTGCCTTGCCGTGCTTGCTGGTCAGGGGAACCCTGGCAAGGAACAAGTTGTTGCCGTATCGCACCTTGAACTCAGATGCGAGACGCCCGATAATATCGTCACTGTGCATGCGAACGAAAGCATCTCGAAGCATTTCATTCATCTGGTCGATATCACCAGCGTGGGTCCAGAAGGAATCATGGACGGCGGAGAAGGTCAGGCCTGCCTCGTGGCATGCGTTGGCGGACAAAATCATGTGCGTAGCGTCGAGGGAGTGGATGAAGTTAGGCGGGAAAGCTTGAAGCTGCTTGCGCTTGGAAACAACGTCATCGGCACTTGGATCCATGATGCTGATTTCTTGCAAAGTAGTTTGCACACGACGAGCCTTCCGAGTGCGGTATGGCTGAACGACTGGAAGACCCAGCGGAGTGGTCCAGATGACAGTCGACTGGAATGATTTCTCGGGGTCGAGGGCTCTCGGGGCAAGAGAGCGGTTCTTGGCCTGATGTGTCAACACTTGCTCGGTGAGTTGCTCGATTTGCTCCGGTGTCAAGGACTGTGTGATGCGGAGCGCAGAGTCACCAAGCCAATATTGAATGTCGTGGGCTCCGTTAAACATGCTACCGAGAGCGCCAAAAATTTTCTGGGCGATGTAGATAGACGCTCGCACCCTGTCTGGGGTAGATAGGTCCGGTAGGTAGTCGATAAGCTGCTTTTTCACTTGTCTTGTCGCTCCCATGAAGGTCACGCCGTATACGTTGGTCATAACTGTCTGCTTCACAATCTTTCTTGTCACTCTGCCATCGAGAATCTTGGCTAGGCTGTTGCCATTGACCGCGTCCTGCGTAATGCTCTCGTTGACAAAATCACACACACCGGAATAGACATCTGATGGGCGATCAGAGGGCTCAAGGTTAACTTGTTGGGCACCGGCCTTGTCACCGCCCAGGGCTGCGTAATGTTGAAGACCATTGCATGAGCCATCCTGGTGGATGGGAAGATGAGACACATATGTAGTGGGATCAGATAGTTCTAAGGCGTTGCGCAATTCCACACAAGCAGCCAGACACTGCCATGGATCCTCGGCCTTAAGCCACCACTTGCGTCCATTCAGACCGTTGTTGGCAGAGTCGAGAACATCATCCAAGTTGTCCATGGTGTATTGCTCCCGCTCAGACATACTGGCCTTGTCAAAGCCACTCAAGTTTGCAATCTGAATCTTCAACCAGCGCAAGCCACTTACACCAAGTTCCTTTCCTGTGTCGAAAAGCAGCAACCCTCTACAGTTGTCGGCTCCCATCTGGTTCAAATAGGGAGGAAGAGGGTACGCTCTGCCGCGGAAATCCATGTTGTGGGGCAGGTAGAAGACCTCGTTGCGGTAAGCTCTCGCGATCTCAAGCTGGAAGTTCTGGAAGCAGCGGATGGAGTGGTATCCAGAGCGAAGGTTCTCAATTTCTCGCACCCGTCGACTCCATTGTTGCTGTTCCGCGGGGGAGGCATCTGGACCTGGCTGTGAAGGCATCGGTAGCTCTGGGTCCAGAGGCGCAATTTTTCCCACGGCCTCTCCAGTGTTCCAAGCTTGAACCATTACGTCGAAGACAGACCGATTGATCCTCCAGGCAGTACTTCCAAGAACATCAAGGCCAGCTCGAATCTCTTTCATGCCATCGTCCTTCATGGCAGCTTTGATGTAAGCCGGTTGTAGAAGTTCGCCGGCAGTACTGCGCACCAGGCTGCTTTCATAAACTTTGTATCCACCATTCCGTGGTCCAGTCCACGGCTTCGGTTTAGTGATCATCGGGAGGTGTCGGGCCAACAATTCTGAAGCAGGCTCTTTTGTGACAATTTTGACAATTTCAGGGTGCATATGGATGAGACCCGAGCGTTTTCCGTAGTGGATTTGATAAGCGTGTTGGAAGGCCGGTGGCGTCGTGCGGACCTTATTCTTGGTGACGGCGTCCTCAGTCCAAACGGTGATTTTGGCGGCATCGAAAAGCATGCTCATAAGGCTTGCACCGACTCTGACTTGTACACGGGAGCCCCAATGAACATGTGACTCTTCTTCATTGGCTTTCTCGACGAGGTTCTTCCATCGCATGCGGCCATCCTTACTCTTGCGATTTGCAAGAGTCTCCTTCAGGGCCTTGAGGCGAGTTGGGTTTACACCCTTGTTTTTCGCCATGACGCTTTTGGCGATCAATTCATCTTGCAGTTCCTTTCCGAGACTTGCAGCGATAGCAGAAAGCTTAATTCCTTTGTCCATTCCCGTGCGGCTGAACACGGCCATGACCGTAATGATAGTAAGCGCAGCTAATCGATCAGCGTCGAGAGATTGGAGATATACACCATAATCACAACGATCCCGTTGCTCAACACTCGTAATGGGATTCGCAAGGGCGTCTTCCACCAGCTCCAACTCTTTCTTGATTCTTGCCACAAGATCCGTGTGCCATTGGCTCAAGACAAAGTTGAGTCGTTTTTCTTCCGAAGAGGCATTCAGACCTGCTTTTTGTCTCTGGGCGTTCTCTGTGCGCCAACGAGCGAGTGCCGATTCAATGCCATCTGCTTCCAGCTTTTCTTGTCTTATGTTGTTGCGTAGTATCTGTGCTTCTTCTTCGGTGCCTTTAAAATTCGAGGGCAACTGAATTTCAGCAACGTCTGTGAAGAGGGATAGAGACTCTTTGAGACTTGACAACCCTAATCCTTTTTGATCGACCGATTGAATCACGGGGGCGTCGTCCATGGCAGCGGGCACGCGCTCAAGCTGGGCTTCGTCCAGGGACCCATCCATCCTCATATATTGAGACACTAAGTCCAACATGTCGGAAGAGCAAATCTGGTTGTGGAGTATTAGTATAGCTTCAACAATCGTACTCGAAAAATCAACTTACCCTCGATAGCTCCCCAACATCGGAATCCTCCAGTATCTCCAAGCCAACAATTTCCTCCTCAAGCCCGGCGTTTTGGGCAAGCTCCCAATAACGACGTACTGTTCTCTCCCGCTTCGTTCCGTGAAGCATGCGGATGGCCATGTGGAGCATAATTGCGAATGTCTCTTCGTCGGGGGTCACGCCACCGGCGGGCATATCCACCTCAAACCATTTCTGCAGAGGGAGGACCATTTCCTGTGCCCGATTGAGAACCATGTACGAGACCATTTCTTTCAAATAGCGGTTGTGTAGTTTCAGGTACTCCTGTGAGCCAATCGGATGGTAGTAGCCGAGGCGGTTGATTAATTGGGCAGCTCGCTCAAACTGGCCAACTTTCAACGAGACATCAAGGTTTGCCCGCATTTCTGTCTCATCGCCACCCACGCCATGCCTCCTGCGAAAAACTTTGGATTGTGTCTGAGGTTTCGAGTCAAGAATGACTAGGGAGGAGGTGTCGAAAGAGTCGTAGGGCATGTGCATGAAAGAGTCGGACGGGCCCGATGAATGCGTATCGAAGCCAGGGTGGTCGGCAGCCGTCGCAAGGTGACGTTTTGATTGAAAAGTCGACGTGCGGGAATTACTGAATGGCGGGTTCACGATCGAGGCCCGGTTGTTTGTATAGGAATGGAGACGGGTGGTCGGCAAGGTGACCGATGCTCGAAGGGCATGGACCTTTCGCGAGTGGAAGAGAGCATTTTTCTGACGAGCCACGCGTGACAACATCGTGCATGGATATGACGATTTCGCGGTTTCGTCGAGTGCAGGTTAAGTCGCGAAATGATGAAAATATTAAAGATAAAATTATATGGATAAGAGATGCAAACTTTCAAAGTGCAGATCAAGAAAACAGACAACGCAATGATGGCAGGGGCGAAATCAAATGGATTTCCCACCGCAATTATACGCTGGCCTGCAACCCTCGACTAAAGCCAAAAAGAAACGAGGGGAAGGAATGTAATGGAAAAAGGGGAGATTCTCGATCTGTCCCAGCGGAGACTCGGGAGAAAAACCGGCTTTCACGTGACTGGCTATCTTATCGCATCTGATTGGCGGAGAGCTCCATCCTGGTGGCAAGGGCTGCAGAGAGTCGCGTGTTAACTTACTATATGCATGGTTTTGGCTGTTTACATGGCGAATTGGCGCATCTGGATGGGATCTAGAATTATACTCATGTAGTTGGAGCTCGGCGATTCATGGAAGAGTACCAGTCCGTCATCAGATAAGATATCCAGGAAGAGACGAAGCTCGAATAGAAATAGATGCGAAAAAAACGCTAATAATAGATTCTCTGATCCCACAAAGGAGGTCATCACTACTCGTTCTCATTTTGAGAGTCCCCTTCTCGTTGTCTCCGGCGGTTTTCCTTCATAGCCCACCCGGTGAGATCAGGTCGTGCTGGATCGATCCTTGGAGCACTCATTTTATCGAGGTAATCTTCCGAGTTTATATTCGTTTCCATGGATGGTAGTGTCTCAGGTTCTTGGTGCATCATGTAGCTTTCATATGTGTACCAGGAATCTTCGGTCTGGAATCGGGGGAGTTAGCAGGCACCACGATGTATATATATATGTGAAAACTTACCTCGGCATCAATCCATCCATATGATTTCCACTTTTCTTCCTGCATTTTTTTCAACAGATCCAGATTCCCGCCGACATTGTTCGCTTCTCCATCTTCGGCACCTTTAACCTTGATATCAATTGCGCGCGCCTCGCTCTCGGCGGGTCGATCCTCGTCATCTCTTTTTCGACCCTTTGCTTTGGGCAACTCATCCAAAGCATCGAGGTGGTGAAGTTGTGGTTGAAATTGAACAACTGACGAGACCGGCGAAAGGTGCAGATTTTCTAGAACAATTAGTACCAAGCACTTTCAAGCAATATTCTGGTGCATGTTTTAGCAGCCAACGTACTGTCTTTGAATGTAGCCAGCATGTAGATCGGGTCACCTTCTTCGGCAGGCTTTACCCGGCCTGCAAGTGATTGTGTTCGCATCAATGAAGCTGAATCCACTGCCCGCTTGTTGTCCACAATCTCCACATCGCCGTTGCCCTCCAACTTAACCCTGCCGCCAGAATTGGCAGCGGCACCTCCGGCAGTAAAGCCACCAGACATTCCATAAGCGCCTCCATCACGAGATGAGCGGCTCTTCTTGATTGCCTCGCCGTACCGCAGTCCCTTGTTGACATCGTAATTCCCGCGGGTGTTGATAGGTACATCGACCTCAACAACTCCTGTGCGCGCCTTCATTCGGAGTTGAGTGGGTCGTGAGTTATGTCTGTCGCTGTATGGAAAGTGTTCATCTCGGTCGAGGTATTGGAAGACAAAGCGAGAGATATCGGAGTCAGTGAGGAAAACGTCGTATGAGGCAACGACGGGGTCATCATCGGAGGAGCCCATATTGGTATGAGAAAAGACAGAGGCACAAATAGAATTGCCTAAAGCTCAAGCAGGACTAGTGTTCACGGAACTTTTTTTTGCTTATCGAATTTCGTCGGCGGGGAGAGGGCAGAAAAAGAGCTGCCGATTCACCGCCCCCACACACCGTATATTTACGCTTCATTCCCCTTTCCCCCTTTCCCTTCATTTGAGGACCCCGGAGTCGTGACGAGAGAGCTACCATGCTGTCCTCCCTCTCACAAACCACGCTCCCTTAGTCGTTGAGTTTCTTCTCCGTCATCATCGAGCCTGCCAATCTACCCTCGATGCCTTCCTAGCGTGTGAGACGCAACCCCCTGTTCAAACCCATCCATCACTACCACATTGTGATCAACCCAGTCGTTCATCGCCACATCACCCGTCTATCATGGCTTGAGGGGATTTGAATCCATTGTTCCACAAGAACCTTTGTAACGGGTTAAGTTGCAAACATTGAGTCGATAGAGCTGCACAACCAGGAAGACCGGGCAGGATAGACATGCTATGGCCAGAGCCGACAACGGAGTCCGGACCGCGCTAAGGAATGCATGTTGCCCAGGAGACAAATGGACGCTCGCGATATCGACCTCGGAACCGTCGGGACCTTATGATAAGGTGCCCAATCATTGAACCAGTCGACAATACAGCAGTCAAAGGGGCTGGCTGTGTCGCAATTTTCGGCCATCGTGGCCATCGGTTCCTTCACATGAAGGACCACAGGAAGCCGACAGGAGGCTGCCCTAGCTCAGAGGAGCTATGGGCTAGCTAAGTCGCAATTTTCGGCCGTCAGGGTCTACGTCCACCGGTGTGGGTAGACTCATTCGTGCCATTACAGAACCATCCCGTCATTTTGATGATGCACGGTACACGTTCTTGCTTTGCTTTGCCAGCATTGCTTGAATCTAGAATCGTGAACAATGGATTGATGCTCTCAAGTTGTCATGGAGGCGGGTCTTTGGTGTTGGGGCGGACAATTGGTGCGGTTTCAACTGTTGGTGATGATGGTTGGATGCGAACAGGGTTTTAAATTGCTAGACTTCTCTCAGGTCTTTCTGGGATCTGCACGTCAATATAAGAGTAGTTTGGCTAAATACCTTCATGTCGACTTTGTCGACTCATACGTAACCGTTGTAGAGATAATTAAGACCGTCGATGATTGTAGGTACCTTTGGGGTTCGGCACGTCTTTTACGGCTACTCGAATTAAATTGAAATTGTCAAACTGATTGAGATCACCCGCAAAGAATCGACATCACCTTAAGGGTGTAAAAAGCACGAACACAAAGACTACGAGCAACCACCCCCAAAGCTCAATCTGATAACTTCATTTTCACATCCCAGACCGCTAAATAACCCTACCCAAAACTAAAATAGCAAACAATCCCAAGATATAGCAACCCAAGCCCCCCCCCCCCCCAATCAAGCTTCATCAAACGGCAAAACCGGAACCTCACTCTCATCAGACATAGCCTGAAGCTTCGTCAAAAAGCAACCAGCATGCTCAGCACACTGCGCAGCCTCTTTCCGAAAATTCAGAATCCAAGCCACCATCAAAACATCATGTGGCACAGTATCCTGCACAAAATACTCCACACGGCCCTCATTCTGTGGCAATTTCTGCAAATGCCTAGCCAACCGCTCATGCTCCTGACACATAACCTCACGACCACCACTAGCAATAAAGACAGGCGAAGGCAGCGCAAAGGGGTGCCAAATCGGCGCCAGATAAGGCTCAACAGCCCTATTCAGCTCCTGGTTGCCAATTACATGCTTGGCTCCCCACGCCGGGAATGAGGCTGGGATATAATCCACCGCTGCGTTCGGCAAGTTATTCCATAGTCCTGTGTTTTTCGCGCCGGGAATATCGCACCATGGTGAGAAGAGCCAGCTACATGTTGGGACTGGGAGGATCTTCTCATCGTCGTAGTCTGCTATGTAGCGGAGGAGGGCTAGGACTAGATGTCCGCCTGCGGAATCGCCGCTGAGAACGATCCGTGAGGCTGGGATGTGTAGGCTGTGCGTTAGGTAGCAGTATGCTGTTATGGCGTCTTGGAGTTGGGCTGGGAAGCGGCTGTTTGGGTTGCAGGCTAGCCGGTATTGGAGGCTGAAGACGTGGCTAGAGGGGGTGTGGGTTAGGAGATTGTTTGCGAGGAACTTGCAGGATGCTGTACGGCCATCGCCGAGGATGTAGGAGCCGCCATGGAAGTGGAGGATAATGTGTTTGTCTGAGGAGGTTGTTGTGTTGTAGGAGTAGGCCGTTGGGAACCATGTTCCGCCAGTGGTTTCTGGGTGGATTTCATCGTCAACTGTTATTCCTGTATACAGTTCTTCTGGGGCTGGTTCGATTGAGACGAAGCGGTCGCCTTCTAAGCCTGGCTTTAGGGATAGGGGTGGTTTTGTGCGGAAGGCTACGAAGACTCGGAGGAAGAGTTTCACGAATGTGTTTGATAGGGCTTGTCGGTAGGTCCAGTCTTGATCTTGACGGAATCGGCGGCCGAGGTAGAGCAGAGGAATGAATGGTGCTTTTATCATTGAAACCATTGTGCCGATTTGGAATACGTTTTGTTTTGTGATTTTGCCAAATGCTTCAGTCTTCACAGTCGAGCATAGGGTCAAGGTAAATCAAGATGAGGTAGCCTGCTGTAGCTGTGATGTCAGTAATGCATCAGCTTTGCCTGCGCTTCTTTTTCCAAACCCATGGTAGAGGATTGTTATTGCCACGAGGGTTTTAACCTTAAAGATGGAGTGCGATATTGCCTGATTGGGTAGCCACCTGAGTCCCGGGCTTGGTTACACCAGAGGCAGCAGACACATATGGCAAGCCTTGGGTCAAAGTTAAATAAGTAAACGGTAAATAATAATTGAAGTCAGGTGGGAAATTCAAAACTGAAGTGGATATCAATTGAGGGTAATGCTTCGGTATGTACGCACAAGCAGAAGACTTGGGTCGTCATGAGATACACATACAGGAAAAATGAGGAGAGGGGCATATAAAAAACAAATCTAGGAACAATTTTTTCAAAACGAAATCATAATCGCGAAGGCATTAATGCATTGCGACGTGAGATATCAAACAAATCAAAAAAGAAAAGCGAGGATTGGTTGCCCGTGGTCATAATAAGTCGGATATAGTAAGAATGCGTGCGTTGTATAGTAATTACTCGTCTTCTTCCTCATCCTCGGCAATACCAGCGTGGAAGTTCTGTCCATCAGTGGTGGCCTTGATGACACCAGCGCGGATGCACCAGTCACCGAAGCGCTCAGGAGTCTCGCCGTCGGTGTTACGCTCGAGAGAGTAGCGCTTGAGAAGGTCTCTCATGATCTCGAGGATCTCGTCCTCCTTGATGGAAGAGCGGAAGCGTTTGTTCAGACGCTGGCCGTGGTAGCCACCGCCCAGGTACATGTTGTAAGCACCGTAGGCCTTTCCGACAAAGGCCACTTCGGCGAGCCAAGGACGAGCACAACCGTTGGGGCAACCAGTCATACGCATCACAATGCTGTCACGGGCTAGACCAACCTCCTCGAGGGTAGACTCGAGCTTGGAGATCAGGACGGGGAGGTAACGCTCGGACTCGGCCATGGCGAGACCGCAAGTGGGGAAGGCAACACAAGCAGAGGAAGACAGACGCAGACCGGAGAAAGCGGTGTTATCAAGCTTGTACTTGGCCAGGGTCTCCTTGATGAGAGGAAGGTCCTCGTCGGTTACACGAGAGATCATCAAGTGCTGGTTACCAGTGAGACGGAACTCTCCCTTACCAAGGCCAGCAAGCTCGCGCAGACCCGTGCGCATCTTGAAGTCGGAAGTATCCTCAATACGACCGTTCTCAATGAACATGGTGAAGTGGTTGAGGCCTGTGTCGTCCTTGATCCAGCCGAAGGTGTCGACGTTGGACTTGAACTCGAAGGCACGGGGCTCGGCGAACTTGAGACCCTCCGGGAGAAGCTCCTCGACCTTACCGCGGAAGACAGGGACGGTCATGTCGTCAATGGTATACTTCATACGGGCGTGCTTGCGGTTCTTGCGGTCACCGTTGTCGCGCTGCACGAGCATGATCTTCTCACAGACGATGTGGATCTTGTCGGCGGGGATGTATCCAAACATGCGACCAGTCTGGGGATAGGTCTTGGTGTTGTTGTGGGTAGAGCCCATACCACCGCCAGCCAAGACGTTGAAGCCCTCGAGATGGCCGTCAGCACCCTTGATGGCAATGAGACCAATGTCGTGAGCGTAGACATCAGTGTCATTGTGAGGAGGAATGGCAATAGTGATCTTGAACTTGCGGGGAAGGTAGGTTTCACCATAGAGGGGCTCGTGGTCAACGATGGCATCACCGGCAACCTGAACCTTCTTCTTATCGTCATCCTCGAGCCAGATCTCGTGGTAGGCGGTGGTAGAGGGAAGGAGGTGGTTACTGATCTTCTTGGACCACTCCCAGGTCTCGCGGTGGAAGTCAGAAAGCTCGGGAAGAGAACTGCACATAACGTTACGGTTCACGTCCCCACAGGCAGCAAGAGTATCCATCATGGAGTTGTTGATTGCGCGCATGGCACCCTTGAGGTTGCGCTTGATGACACCGTGGAACTGGAAGGTCTGACGGGTAGTGAGCTTCATGGTCTCGTTGCCGTGCGAGCTGGCAATGGCATCCATCTGCAGCCATTGCTTGGGAGTGGCAACACCACCGGCGAGACGGCAGCGAATCATGAAGCTGTAGGCAGGCTCAAGACCTTGGGCCTTGCGCTCATCGCGAAGATCACGGTCATCCTGCATGTAGGTACCGTGGAACTTGGTCAATTGCTGATCACTGGCGGGGATAGCGCCAGTGCTCTCATCCAGAAGAGCTTCGGCGATGGTACCGCGAAGGAAGTTGGAGCCGATTTTGATGTCTTCGTTGGTGATAGGAGCAGGCTCCTCGGGCAGACCCTCAACGTTGTCGACACCCAGGGCCTTCCACAGACGAGGCTCCCACTCGGAGTATCCAGTCTGGTAGGCATCAGGGTCCTGGTCATCACCGAGACCGATCTCAGTCAGCTTACGACCACCGAGGAAGGCAATACGGGCATCAAGGTCCTTTCCGGGCTTGTTGTAGTAAGCCTTGTCCTCCTTACGGGGCCAGTAGTGGCTGTCGCCAAGACCGAAAACGGAGTAGTTGATGGAAGACAAGTCGAGGTCACCGGCGTTCTTGACGTGCTCCCAAAGACCACGTCCGTTGACAGGGAACTCACCCTGACCAGCGGTACTGCTGATGAACACAACATTCTCCTCAGTGGCAAGGTCCTCAACGGGGAAGTCATCCATGGCCATGACCATGGTCTTCAGACCTCTGGCGCGACCACGGTTTCCAAGACGCTTGGAAAGGCTCTCGGCGTTACCGTTGTCAGAGGCGAAGAGAATAGTAAGAGGAGCGCCGAAGAGGCCGTCCAAGAGCTTCTCGTAGGAGTCCTTAGCATTTCTCTTCTGGAGAGCACGGACCTCAGTGCCGTAGGACTCGGAGAGCACAGGGGCGTACTTGGGGTGGCGGTTCATCAACTGGGTAAGCTGGTTGTCACGGCGCAGGAACTCCTCAAGCTCACGCTTGATGCGCTCAGAGTCGAGAGCGAACTTAGGCTCGCCCTTGTCTTCGTTGTCGGGGTTCCAGCGGTACAGAGGCCAGTAGCCGAGATCAATGGCCTTCTTGGTCTCCTGCAGCACAGTGAGAGCTGAGTCGTTCTCCTGGTTGTACGGAAGGTAGGCAACAACGACGGAGGGACCCTTGAACTGCTGGGCCTCAGACATGGCCTGGAGGACCTGGGTATAGGAGCTGTACACAGCAACGGAGGCGACGTAAGCGTTGCCTCGGTTCATGGCGTAAAGACCAATGTCCTTCTTGCGACGGGTGAAGTCGGCGGCAGAACGCTCGGAGTAGGGCTGAGAGTCGATGATCAGCATGTTCACGTTGGCACCGGAGGCCAGAACGTGGTGGACACCAGAGTTGCCGAAGTCATAAGCCCAGGCGTCGGAACCAATGAGCCAGTCAGACTCCTCGTAGAAGAGCTTCTTGGACTGCAAGAGTTGGCGGGAAAGAGCAGAGCCATCGTTGGAAAGACGAGCAATGACCTCCGGGGCGATCTTGTTAGCCTTAGCGGCCTCCTTGACGTTCAGAGCCCAGCGAGACAGCCAGGTCTTGGGGACGTCGGTAGCAAAGGTGGTGGACTTAGAAGCCTCCTCCACCTCACGAACGAAGCGCTGGCGGTGCTCCTGGCGAGCCAGCAAAGACCCGAAACCATACTCGGGGCTTGCAGCAATGGTGCTCGAAACACCAGCGTTCTGTGATCCAAGCTCGTTAGCAATGTGAAGACGCTCACCGAAGAGCTGGTTGAGAATCTTCAAGTAAGCGTTCTCAATGCGAGGCTGCTCAAGGGCATTCTGGATCGTGGGAACCTGAGAGCTTCCAATCTCGAGGTTCTGGATAGGAGATTCAGAGGTCAGGTTCTGCAGGACACCACGGAGAGCCTGGACAGCGGTAGAGGGCTCAATGTAGCCAAGTCGGTACCCAACAATCTGAGGGGCCTGGCCGCGCACACCGGAGGGGGTGAGGCTGGAGAGGAGATCCATGAAAGAAGGACCCCACTTGGTGGTCTTGCGAACCTGCTCGAGAACAGCGATCTTCTCAACGGAGCTAGGGATCGACGCAGAGATCTGGCCGCCAACCCAAGGGCGGTAGAGACGAGCAGTGATCAAGCCAATGTTCTCAAGCTCGGACTGAGCACTAGCGTTGGCCAGAGCATCAACGAAGACACCAGTAGAGCCAAAGACAAAGATGGCAGACTTGGCACTGGCGGTTCCGGTGTATTCAATGGCATTGTATCTGCGGCCCACCTCCTCGAACAAAGCGTTCCAGATCTGAGCTGTCCAGTCGAAGATGTCGGCGGCGTTGACACGCCGGGTACTGTTGGCATTGTCAACGGTGGTGGCGGTCGAGCTAGGGGCTTCGCTGCCAGCACTGCTGTCCCTCCGGGAGGAACCCACTGAGGAGTTTTCAACGCTAGCGTTGAAGGGTGTCTGAGGTTGAGAGGGAGGAGCCAAGGTTGTGGATTCTTGGCCAGTGGGGGCGTCCAGAGTCTCGGCATTGACAGTGGCCACACGGCCGGAGTCAGCGTAGAGGTTCTCAGCTCCAGCGGGAGTCGCAACGTTGGTGCTGATGTTGAGAACCTTCTTAACAACCTCGATATCCTCGGTGGCAATGGACGGATCTTTGGCTGAGTTGGAGGGGTCGAAGAAGTGGATCACACCCTTTCCAGACTTCTGAGCAAGGGCGTGGGCAGTGATAGCAATATCCTGAGCCTCCTGCACGGTCTCGGAGTGCAGAAATGTGAAGCCAGATTGCCGGATGGAGCTGATCACGGAGTAATCGGGAAAGGGAGAGGGCTCCAGAGCAACGTGGATGACGACGGGGTTGTTGGCGAGACGGTAGAGGTGAGGAACGGCGGTGATCAGGACGGAGGAGCTGGTGACCACGGAGGTGAGATCACCCTTTTGCACAGGGGTGAAGGCGGACAGGAGAGGGTCCTCGTTATAGCGCACAGCTTGGACCTGGCCATATTGTTAACTCGGGTCCGATGTCACAGGCGATGCCATGTTGACTCACATGTGTGTTTTTGGATGAGACGTTCCTTGTCTTGTTGGCCTTCAAGGTCTTGAGAGACTTGGAGAACAATGAGTCGTTCTGCAGAGAGGGCTGCACAGAGATAACGACATCACTGGTGAGGTAGGCGATTCTCGCCACTATTAATCAATGGCACTATTAGCAATTGCGCCTCTATTTGCAAGTATCCAAGGATCAGAATATCACTTACCGGCCTCAGCGGCACTTGAGACAAATGCCATTATAATGGCTGTTCGAGTCACAGCGCAGGTGGGATGTTTAAAACGGCGATATGGCTTATCAGTTGCAGCGATCTCCCAACTCGCAGCAAAGCGCCAAATGGATTAAAGGAGACAAATTGAAATGTCTCTGATATTAGTGATCTCTCGTCAAGAAGAAAAAAGATGTTCCACGGGTTTTCTCTCCCACGATCATTGATTTCTCCGTCGTCGGGGTTAGATCAGCAGCCCGCTGATTGGTGTACGATCACGACATCAGTGCAAACAGGTGGCCGCAAAAATGCAAACAATCCCGATTAGGCTCACATGCGGGGGATCCCGTGACTTGCTCGAGCACGTCAGCGTCGGGGTTTGCGCTTGCGGTGTTTGCCCTCTCAATATCTACGCTCTACAGTATACTTCTGGGGTATAAATGTACACAAATCCCGATGTTCTAAGAGATTTGCTTCTTGTGATGGCACTCTATGTAAATTGCCGACCTAGGGTGTTTGGTAAGAATTACACCATCTGCACTATCGTGCAGATAATATTTTTTTCTTTACTTTGGACTAGTGCGGCACCAATAGCACTACGACAATTACCGATGCCAACATTTTCACTTCGGAGTTACCCCGGCATTCCGGTCAATACTATTCTTACACCACGTAAGGCCTGGAGGCAATCTCCAGAACTAAAATTACCTGTCAGATGCCGAAGTGAGATGAGGAGAACAGTTCCCCGACTTCGCTTGAGTACGCCTCCAATATTTATATCCACTATCACTATGATTCGGCCGAGTGGTGCACATGAATCTTCTGTTTCAAGTAGTGACTATAAAGGCTCATGTCATGCCACCAAGAAATATGATCTTCTCTTCATTCTATATACCTACTTTCTACCATTCCAAAGTGTTTGAATCGAAACGAATAATATGCATGTGGTGTTTATCCAAAAGCTAGTGTGTACAATAAAACATAAAATCCTTGTCAAATATGCAGCCGTAAGATAGTCATCTCCCGACTGAACCAAAATCCATATCCAATAAGCAATGTACACATATCCCGACGCCAAATCCATAGGTGTTATGTTAGATGCACATGAGCGTGGCAGTCAAGACCCCAATAAAGCGCCCCAAATCCCACCTGAGCATGATGAGCCCAAGATGACAAATTTAAAACGCCTTTACCAGATATCGAATGATGGAAGGGTAATCAATCAACACCATAGATTCCTGGACCCGTTCAAAACTTATATATGCAGAATGTGTCGTTATTATTGAGTAGAAGCACTCGGGCTTTGTCGTGATCGCGGGAGTTTCGAGTAAGCGGAGCTATCGGCAGTCGAATCCAGCCGTCTCGCAAAACGATGGGACGGACACAAGAGCCGGGGCGGATTGTGTCCTCTGGCTGAAGGCAGCCAGACGAAGAATTGGGGGGAGTTGAAGACACTGAAGAGCGAGTTCAAAAGAGGCGATATACAAGAAGAAGGTCTTTTGATTCAAAGACGCTGGCATGCCCAAAATAATCACTTATCGAGGCGCATTCCAGTCTTGCATTTTGACATTCATCCCTGGCACATGCTCGGGGATTGGCTGTTGGGCGGTAGCAGACTGAACGACAGACCGCGATGGCTGTGGCGGGCCAGTTCCGGAACGGCGTCTTCGCTCTCTCTCCAAAGCACCAGGCAGCTCGGTAGGGCTTGAACGGTTGCGGAATTTGTGGTTAATTCCACTGAGCCAGTTGCCATCCTCTTCTTCGCCAAGCCAGTAGTTGTGACCAATGCCAATCATAGTGCGACCCAGCTTTCCCTTCCACCCTTGACCATCCGGGCTGTAGGCAGAGAAGGGCTCGCGGTCGATATCAGCCACGCTGGCAACTGACACATTGCGACTGTGGGTCGGAAGCTGGGTGTGACGGGGAATAGCAACCCAGAGACGAAGAGACTGACGCGCAAATGCGAGCATAACCAGGACGAAGTATACACGCATAGCCCATAGAAGGGAGATGAAAATGATACTCTGGAGAGACTCGGACTGGAGAACGACATTGCTCAGGTCTTCGGCACTGCGAGGTGGGTGGGCGATAAAGTTGTTGCCCTCCTTGGTGTTTTGGATCTCGACGTAAGCGGCATCGTACTTCGGGTTGGTGAAGCCAGCGGTCTGGGCGATAGTATCGCCGCCTGGGCCGGCTCCCTTGCCACTGTCGTAATGCTGCGACACTACCAAGAACCAAGTCACACCAAAGGCGGCGGTATAGGCGGCGTTAATCAGACTGTCGAACAGGTAAAGATATGCGAGGGAGAGACATTGTAGAGGCGATTGTTTCCGAATGTGAGGGAATAGGAGCGCGGCGAGTCCGAGGGCGACCAGGGAATACAGGTACATGGACAGTTGGACGGGCGACAGGTGGTACCCGGTCAAAAGGGCCAGCAGACCATAGAGGCCACTAATCTTGTTTAATAGCAGTGATAGGGTGATCAGGGAAGCACCAGTCTCTAAGCTCATGACATAGAGAAAGGTCTGAGGTCACGGGACAGGTTAGCTCATTCGGGGCGCACAGATCGAAGAGGCTTACCTCTGGCCGCGGAATGCGGAGAAATCGGGACGTGAACCCCATGAAGACGAGGCACAAGAATGTGCGTTATCTGAGATGAGGTAGGTTGTTGGGTATATATACGGACAAAGCAAGGAGATGAAAAAGGCTGGGAAAGTATGGGACCGCAGATGGCCCAGGGGCGCTGTTCCGGCTGATCCGTTGCAGATCAATTTCCCGTTCCGCCGGGTTCAAGGCCGCTTGCATGAAATCATCGCTTTTAGGCACTCCACAGTACATGTAGGAGTCGAAGGTACGAAGGTACTAAAGTTATAGCAAGAGTGGATGGGTTAGATAGGATTGGTGATATCAATTAAAACACGTTTAAAACGCATTCATCCCTTGCCTTCCCTGCTCAGGAATTTGTAGGAAAAAAGTGTGCCCGAGCCGAGCCAATAGTTATGCCTTTTTATGCAGGCCGTAAGGCAACAAGGCCGACAATCACATGCTGTTCCAGTATAAGTTAAATGGCTGGAAGGGAAGCTTGCTATATCTTGAGCAGAAATATGTCAGACCATTGTGATTGGAAGCAGAGTGGAAATTCATTATGTATAGAATTCGAATCGGCTATATACTTCGGATAAACCTCCTCGGAAGAGGAGAGTAAATACCGAAGTGCCCGCCATTTCCCCGCATATATTTAGACGAAGACGAGCATCTATACAAAGTAATTTCATCAAAAAAGATCACTGGATGTACTTCACTCATACCTACAATGGCATCTTCAATCCAAGGAACCCGTACCGATCGTTTGGTCAATTGGGCCGTTGACCTGAAGTATGCCGACATCCCTGATGAAGTGGTTCAACGCACCAAAGATTTTTTCTTGGATACACTGGGCTGTGCTATAGCCGGTCGAAGCCATCCTGCAATTACTGCAATGGTGCGCTTTGCGGCTCAAATGGGACCTTCTAGTGGAAAGAGCGAGCTGATCGATGGCTCCCAAAATCTTACTACTAGCCCGGCATTTGCTAGTTTGATCAATGCTGCGGCATCACATGTGGTTGAGCAGGATGACCTTCACAATCGAAGTATCATGCACCCAGTAAGTCTTGTGTGTCTGTGGTCTTTTTAAGACCATAGTGCTAATCTGGCTTTAGGCGACTGTGATCTTCCCTGCAGCCCTGGCTGTATCCCAAGATATTGGAGCCAGTGGAGAAGACTTTATTACTGCCTGCGTAGTTGGGTATGAGGTCGGTTGCCGTGTCGGGGAGTATTTGGGGAAGAGCCATTATGAGGTTTGTTGCCCGACATATATGTTGGGAAACCCGATCCATAGATCTCTCAAAACTAACAAACATGACAGAGGTTCCATAGCACAGCTACCGGTGGAGTTATCGGAGTCGCAGCAGCTGTAGCTCATCTTCTAAAGCTCGATGTGAGCCAGACACTATCTGCAGTTGGAACAGCTGGAACGCAAGCAGCAGGATTGTGGCAATTCTTGTTAGATGCCACACACTCGAAACAAGTACACACTGCCAAGGCCTGCTTTGATGGTATATTTGCTGCCTACTCTGCTCGTGAAGGCCTTTTAGGCCCGCGAGATATTCTTGAAGGACCCCGGGCAATGGGGATTGCGTTAGTTCCCGGTGAAACAAACCCGGAAGCTATCGACCAGAATCTAGGCAAAGACTTTGCGGTTCTTCGGTCAAGCTTTAAATGGCACGCATCATGTCGACACACTCACCCCAGCGTGGATGCACTGTTGAATTTAATGAAAAAAAATCAGGTTGCCTTTGGTGATATTGAGTCCGTGCTCGTTCCCACATACCAAGCGGCGATTAATGTACTAAGTCTCAGCGGTAATGGTGAGACGGTCCACCAGAGCAAATTCTCTATGGGCTTTGTACTTGCTATTGCGGCGAAGAAGGGTCAGGCTATGATCACCGATTTCACTGACGATGACTTGAAAGACTCATCTCTGCGAGAATTCCAAAAACGTGTGACGATGAAATATGACGCGGATATTGATGCTCAGTTCCCCGAGAGGTGGCAGGGGACAGTTATTGTTAAGTGCAACTCTGGTAATACCTTCACAGAATCAACGAAGTTCGCGAAGGGAGACCCGGAACTTCCCTTGACAAGGTAGGCTTGCTTTAATATGCCCAGAAACCCAGTGTGTTGATATTCTAACGTCTTGCTTTTAGAGCTGAAATCGAGACAAAAGCTCATGCTCTTGCTAGATATGGGGGAATCAAAGATTCAAAAAAGGTTGATTCTTTGATCAAAAGAGCCTGGAATTTGGAGCACGAGACAAATGTTAGAGGCTTTATATTCTAGGCTGTAAGCAGTCAGAATGCTGAGTTGAACTACCTTGGCTGTAAATTTGCGTGGTTTACCAAAGTTCACTTGAATAAAGATTATTCTAGAGTACTTTCTGATTCTACACGCAGTGATTTGGATATACTGCATCCAAAAATCCCTTTATAGAAAGTGATGGAGATGAGACGGACCGTGTACGGACCGTGTCTTGAGGCAGTTCACGGTCCGTCTTTCCCCTCAAGGCTCATAATAATTCAACTACCCAAAATGGGAATCCAGCTTTCAGATGATTGGCCTGGTATACATACTTGAGGGTCTCATGTCTAATCGCAATCAAATTCTAGAGGTTTCACGATACAGTATCTCCTCACGGTCCGGGTCGCGGCCTCCGCCTCACAAGTATATAACAAGCCCGTGGCTTTCGTCTTCGCAACATAGAATAGCATCATCACATAATTTCAAGAAAAATGGACAAATACCAACGTGTCGTCATCATCGGAGCCGGTGCCTTTGGTCTCGGCACTGCACTGAGACTCAAGGAAGAAGACTACAAGTCAGTCACAATCCTGGACCGATCCGTACCCCCAGTCCCAGATGGATCAAGCAACGACATATCCCGTGTCATTCGCTTTGATTATGGAGATCCCATTTATGCAGAGATTGCAAAGGAAGCATTCGACCTATGGAAGACCCCCAATTATAAGGAAGCGTTCCACCAAACACCCTGCTTGTGGGTATGTCAAGATGGAACTCCAGAGCAGCCAGTGCAACCTCGTGCCCAAGAATACAGCCGCAAGACAAAGCGCGTCTTGACTGAGATGGGCCAGGAATGGGTCCCCGTCGGAAGCGTGGAAGAGGCCAAGCAACACTTTCCCAAACTGACCGGGCGACTTGCTACACCTGGCTTCGATGGCTTCTATAACACCTCCGCTGGCTGGGCAGATGCAGGTCTTGCTTGCACTCGTCTCATGTCTCGCTGTGCTTCAGCCGGTGTCAACTTCATCACCGGGCCTAATGGTCAGGTTGAGGAGTTTGAGAAGAACCCGGATGGAACTATCAAATCCGTTCGGACCAAGAATGGGCGAGTTGAAGGTGATCATTTCATTGTTGCCACTGGTGCTTGGACTTCAAGTCTGATTCCTGCTTGGAACTCAATGCTTGCTGCAGGTCAGGTTGTTGGATACGTGCGCTTGACGCCAGAGGAAGTCGCTGAACTGAGAGATCTTCCCATTTATTTCAATTTCTCTACTGGATTCTTTGCTTTTCCCCCTCACGAGCCGACCGGCTACCTCAAAGTTGCCTGTCATGGCTTTGGCTATACTCGATCTGAGCCTTCGGTCGTGTCGGCACCGCCTAGTTCAGCAGTGGCTTCGCGAGCGAACTATATTCCTGCTGATGGTCTCGAGCGTCTTACGGCTGGAATGAAGGATCTTTTCCCCCAAATTGCATCACGAGGGTTTGAAAAAGTTGGGATCTGTTGGTATAATGATACCCCAACCGGCGACTTCATCTTCGACTATCATCCGGAGCACAAGAATTTGTTCATTGCTACTGGCGGTAGCGGACAGTGAGTGAGCTATTAATCCTGCAAAGTGGAATAAAACTGACAAAATCTTCATTTCTAGCGCTTTCAAGTTCTTACCGGTGATTGGAAAGTATATTGTAGGAAGCTGGCAACGAAAGCTGTCAGATGAGTTGCTTGAGAAGTGGAAGTTCCCTACCCAGTTTCGTGAGCGCTTCCAGGGCGAGGTATTCACAGGAGATGGAAGCCGTGGTGGACCTGAGCGAAGGGAATTGACAGCTGAAGAACTCGACACTTTCGACACGGCTTTGAAAGCTTCTGGATCTCGACAGAGCAAGATTTGAGGACCGGAGTACGATTCGACCAATGCATATATAGCAGATACAGAAGCTTTGTAATTTTTGGTCCTAATATTTTGATTATTTGTCACATAAATGATTGACGTCGGTTTGCTCTCCACTACATTACAGATGTTCTGCCATGTAATCTCCCAAAATCATCCACTCGGGAATGTCTGGGATCCCTGCCCCCATAAAATCATTGCCACTCCCCGGAAAAGGCCAGTCTGGCAAGGGACCTTCATTAATGGAACCCGATATTTGATCAGTAAGCGGGATATCTTGACCTGGAAGATTACTGGCCACTGAATCAAGTTGGTCATTCCCACTTCGTTGGGACGCACCCGCAGGACCAGAATTGCTTTCAACCCTACGCCCTGTTTCAAAGTCATTGTTATGACCCTGTAAAATAGCTAGATCGCCAAATTGAGCCTCAGGAGCCCCTCCAGATGATGCGCCGACATCGAGAATTTCCCACATTAGAGCCTCGTCGCTCGTAGCCATTCTCGGCATATTGGAAGGGGTTGGCATTTTGGATAATGCGCCCGAGAATCCTTCTTGATTGTAATAAAGGGACCCGTAATTGTGATGACGAGCAGCCAGCTTATTCACTTTGCGAACCTAAATAAGTCAGATTAGCAAGTTGATGAAGGACACAAAAGCGCCAATTCACTTACCAGGATACTCATATTTCCCCAATAGTCAGACAATTCCGTCATAAAATCGACAAGAACCCGAAACTCCTTGTTGAGTAACAAAGCGATTTGCGGATTCTTACTACCAGTATGCTCAAGTTGAATGGTAGCAGCGATTCCTGCCAGGTATCCCAGGAACGGATCACAAACCTCGAAATTGACCTCACCCATCTCCCTGATAAACCGAACAATCCACCTAGAGTGCAGAAGCGACGTCTCAAAGGACTTTTGTAAGAATGTTGTGGATATGTTCCCATTGAAGTCGCTAAGCTTCGTCATGATAACGAAGGGATGGTGCAGCAGACACTGAATCGAATGAAAGAGAAACTGGACGCAAATCCAAGTAGAAAGATATGTGCGTGACTGTGGATCTTCTCGGGCGCGTCTTTTGAAGTCGACATTTATGTATCGATGAGCGTCTGCAAAATGAGTTTCGAATTGCAGCCATTCCGACTCAAGGATTGCAAGAGCAGACCCTGTTTGCCAAGGTGGAAGTGAATTCTCTGCGAATGGTTCGAAGACATATTCCGTGGCTTTACCCCAGAGTGCGTATAATCGAAGGAGGCAAGCTAGAATACCGTGGTCGACATTTTGTCCTTGTTTACCGGGCCCATCATGTAATGTACCACGGAAAACTGAGATAGGCTCATCGAAAGGAGGACAGGTCTCCCGAGAGGGAAACGGAAGAGTAAAGTGCTTATCAGTTAGAGCGAGTGAATAGTTTCGCGAGGCACTGTATGTGCGATCGAGCATGAAGAAGGCCCACGTTATGCGCTTTCTCATTTCGTTCTCTTGCAGATTTGACGAGTTCGAATATCGATTTTTGTTCAGGCCAACAGACTGAACAGTCCGCAAGCCAAATGCAACAGAGGCATACCCTCTGTGCGCACGTCCAGCAGCAAAGTCTGCTTGTGCCATGAGGAAGGTGCCCTGGAGGGCCGATAGATTCATATGTCCCTCTTTATATTTGTTTGATACAATATTCCAGGCTTTCTCTGAGAAAGACATTGCGTCCAATGGACCCCCAAACATGGTCTCCCTTAAACGGCGAGGAAGATGAAATGTGAGAGCCACTAATGGAAGTGAAATCTCTAGTGGTAAGGACTTTGCGTTTTCCAATAGCCATATTTTCGAGAATACGCAGTATGGCTGGTCGTGGAAGTACGACAGATAAATCTCTACCTCCCGTTCTATGAAACCACCGGGGAACGAAGTTTCACTTTGACCTTATTAGAATATTTGGGATTGCAAGCAAGTAAATAGTGAGGGCATACTCGTGGTTTGGACTCAAGGAGTCATTCAGACGGCTGAGCTCTTGGGTTTCATCAACACCGTCCCGTGCGTCATAGTCCTGGTCTACATGCCGATTGTTGGCCGTAGTTTCATGCAAAAACGCAACTCTGGGCAAGCCCTCTCTGAAACAGAGAAAAATTTCACTAGTCAGAAGAAATCGCAAATTTCAGGGGAGCTAACGTACTGAAGCAAACGTGCCATCGTTTCTAATCTGTCTTCGATACGCTGGAGCCTATCAGCGTTCGGGGCATCTTGGATCTACTAAACTTAGCATTATCTCTACAAGACATTGGAGGCATCTGAGCATGTAGTCCTCAATAAGAACATACCTCATTAGGCTCATTTCGTTGGTCCTGGGCCTGAGCCGGAGCCGAAGCCGGTTCCGGCTTGCTCCTACTCCTTGCATGGCTGGCCGTCTGCGCTTCGTATGAACAACGCTGTCCTAGCCGGTGACAGAGCGAGCATGTTGGCTTTTCGCCCGGACAGCGCGCCTTTTTCCGACTATTCAATTTGGTCAGATATCCAGACTTGTGATAGTTTGGGGCGATATTGCGGGTAATTTTCTGAAGATTGCCACCTACCGACAGGGACAACATGCTTGGCGAGTGCGCTTTGTTGATACCTTGTGTATGGTATAGTTATCCCCTATTGAACTCATGGTCATTGGGCAAGTGCATTGACAGGATAGACGTTACGGGATGTGGTTGGTTGGAGCTGACCCTCGCCTGTGCGGGGTCCCCGAGGAGACTTTCCGCCAATCACACGAGCCCGATATTCACGTTCGCTCAACTGACGTTCTCTTTCTTCAAATTTGGGATCGGCATGCTTACGGCTTCTACCCAAACTCTACGGGCTGTATAGCTTGGCATATCTGCTGCGACTGTGGACAGCCCTGTCTGGAATGCAATTCCCGATAGAGAAATCTGCTCCATCTTCGCATAACACATAATCCACTCACTGACTTTTGCCTATTTTATGTGCTGTCGTTTTCCGTCCATCTACGGCGCCATCATGCGAGCTGACCGGCCGTGATTGAAGAATGGCTTTATGGGGCCTGCACCGGACCTGCACCGGGACTGCAACGGGCCTGTACCGGACCTGCCTCGGCATAAAGACTTCGAGAAACATGACGCTGTTAGGTGAATCTCTTAGTTTGAATTGGAAAAAAAGCAAACAATGGCGCCTTACGGGAGACAGGCGTTTGGGGTTTTAGAGCTAATTCGCCAGATCGTATGTAGCACGCATGCTACGGTTGCTGTAAATGAGATATCAAAATACCTATGTGTTGTCTGACTTGGCTTTCATGCAGTGAAAATGTTAGTCTAGATCAAAACTTAATTTTACCAAAAGACTCATTTCCTTGACGTTCAGTTTGTAACTGTTATCAGATCGTTTGCCATTCACCAATCAGACACAAGTAGGAAATGACACGTTTGACAACAAACTTTCGCGGATAGATGTCGACCTTACAAGGTTACTACAAACATCACATGAAAGCATCGCCACTCATTTCAAGTCAAAGTGATCCTGGTCCCTTGCTAGATAAGGATCGGGTGGCTGGGATCTCCAAGTTTCGTATCCCCATATTCCTTGGATACTTCGAGCCGGTCATGTGATCGGCTCAGAGCTCGTTAGAGGTTTCACTGCGAAAATAGAATCATTATTAGAGAACCTACTAAGAGAAGAGCAGCTTCTGAAATATTGACTACCTTTCCAACTATAATAGGAAAATGAACGGCAGAGACATCAGATCATGGGGTTGATATGAACGAGATGGGTGTGCCAGAAGAATTGGATTATAGATAATATTGTTACTCCAATGACAACATATGCAGTGCATCCGAGTGGTTCTTTGAATCAAGATACCCCAAAACCCCCATCAAGAAGTTGCATATCTGGTTAAAGTATACAATGTTTGATGAATGATGAGGTTGTACCACGGGCTTAAGCAGCACCCCCATTTTGATAATGCATCTGTCTCTGCTAGTTGGTCCTGCATGTCCGTAAACCCAAAGGTAATATTTGCATAGACCGTCCAAATAGTTGAAAATTTCATATGACCTTAGCCAACGCATTGCAGCATGTAGGTTCTATTATCAAAGCATCAGCACACGGTAGAAAGCCGGCCACCCGAGTGGCGTTTTACAAGCGCGGTAGTTCGATCCGTCTACCGTAGGTGCCCCTCTCTGATCGACAGATACTAGCTGGAAGACTAATCTTCACAACCTTCCGGCGATGAACGGCTAAACCTCCGTCCCGGTCCTGTGATCGGCGAATACGTGCATCTTGGGCACCCCCATGGGCAACCATGAACTCATGCTCATGATAGCCGTCATTACGGTCTAGATAAGGTAGGTTATATTAGAGGTCTCACCTGCCATTCTGTACGGGAATCCAAGACAACAAACCTTGGGTTTCATTCTTCATTTGACCAAAGCGCCTACGTCAACGACTCGAATCAATTCTCATTTCACAATGTCTACCTTGCCTGCGTCATGGTACTTCTCATCGGAGATGTATGAGCTTGAGCGCCGCGCCATCTTCTGTCGCAAATGGCTTCTCACTACACACACCATGCGTTTCGCCAAGACTGGCGACTGGATCAAATATAATATTGCTGGATACGCCTTCATCCTTGTTAAGGATCGCGAAGGAACTGTCAATGCATTCCATAACATTTGCCGACACCGTGCATTCCCAGTAGTGACTGGTGATGGTGGTACTTCCCGGATCTTCTCTTGTCAATACCACGGGTGGTCCTACGGTCTCAATGGCAAGCTCGCCAAGGCACCAGGATACCAAGAGCTGGAGGGCTTCGACAAGAGCAAGAATGGTCTCCTACCAATCCACACCCACATTGATGACAATGGTTTCATCTGGTTGAACTTGGATGCCGAGGAGACTCCCGAGTTTTCCTTCGCGGATGACGCCAAATATATTGATCTGCAGGCCCGTCTCAAGGATTTTAAATACGAAGATTACGAATTCGATAACGCATGGGAGACAAACGAGGATTTCAACTGGAAGACTCTTGCACACATCTACAACGAGCGCTACCAGGGCCAAACTTCTTCCCCCGATAGCAAGTCCGAGCAGACTGCTGAGAGTCTGAGGGCTGCTAGTACTTACTACTTTCCCAATGCTACCATGACCGTTTCGTAAGCGCATACGCCCGTTTGAGTTAATGTCCGTTGCTGACCGTGCATACAGATCCCATTCCTTCTTCATGCAACGCTTGGTGCCCACAGGCCCCACTTCCTGCGCGGTGCGATACGAGGTTTTCAGAAACAAGAGCTCCAGCGAGGAAGACTTCGAGAAGATCAACGAAGTATACAAGAGAATCATGTCCGAAGACAGTGGCATCTGCACTGAAGCACAAAAGAGCCTTAACGATGGTCAGCTCTCTTCCCAGCTGGAGAATAGTCCCCTCGACTTCCAGACCGCTGTTTATGGCTTGATTACGGAGCACCAACAACGGGAAGAGGAGGCGCAGAAGCAGATCTGGCCTGCCCAGCAAAAACTCCCCATTGAGGCAGAGACCAGTAAGGAGGATATGGACTTTTGCTCAAAACTCTCCAGTCCCCCTAGTGGGTGCTGTGGAGGAAAAGCTTGCGGAGCGGGCCCTGCACCAGGGCCAGCGACTGCCACGGAGACAGCGGTCTACTAATCATATGCATAGATCCTCGTGATCTACTCCTGCGCATCGTTTATTTTTATGATAATGACACATTGCATATAATGATACTTTTCAGAGTGTCCACGTCACACGACCAAGTAATAGTTCACGGTCAGATGACTATATCGAGAGATTTGGACTAATCAGAGACTAGCAAATGCAAGCAACCTTATTATAGCCTGAACTCTTGCTATCTCTTTCAAATCCGACTAGGTAGAGATATAGCAATTCATTTGGTTCTTTGTTAACCTTTAAGCCCGCATGTGATTTTAGGAAAATAGCATTCCATTGCCACTGGACATTTTATCCAATTCTAGTATAGGTTACATAGGTCTAGATCGGAGGGGTTCCCGGAGAAACAGACACCATCCCCTCATTACTTATACCTCCGACCTCGGGAGATTACGATCTTCTTGTTCTTTTCTTATCTACTAAACCTGAAAAGCAACGTTACCCTTTCCCCGCCTGTATTTTTCCCGCCCGTAACGCGCGATGGCTATCATCAGTCTGCGGTCATAACCCCGCTTAACTCATCCCTTCTTATTAGTCTGATTGCTGATTGCTTCTCCTCCACATATATCATATATCATATTTCGATTATGGTGATGCCACGAGACAGTGCTCGTGGCAGATTACGTTCCCATGAGGCCTGCCTCAACTGCAGGTGAGAGCGAAACAGCTTGTCTATTGGAGTAGGCCTGATGTCATACAGGAGAAAGAAAACCCGATGTCCGGCCGAGAAACCCTCTTGTTCAAGCTGTGTGCGCCTGAACCAACCCTGTCTTTATACATCGATATCGAGGAGCTCAAGGGGCGGTCCATCGGTATGTAAGAAGGTGTTAGTAATGGATTGGGGGCTAATTCCATTTGCAGGACGATCGGCTCGCGTTCCTGGAGGAGAAAGTAAACCTCATTCTCAGCGGCTCTAGGCCAACACAAGACATTCAGTCGGAAAAAGGACGCGATGGAGCGAATGGAACGAATGGAATTTCAGACACGTCTTATCCAACACGTGCGCCTTCTAATGAACCTATTAACCCTGTGGCCGACCCTTTCTTCCTCGGCTTTGGCTATGAGGACTCGAATAATCAACCATCATCCCCTGCGATTGCTAAAGCGATTGACCTCTACTTTGAATATTGCCACCGTCAGCCAATTTGGTGTTTTAATCGGGAAGAGGTCTCCGATCCAAGTTGTCTTTCGGAAGAGCTTGTTTGTTGCCTTCTGGCACTGACTTCGAGGTTCTCGAGAGACAGAGATCATTTAGAACATTATGGCGACAGTGCGAGAAGCTTGGTTATGCTTCGCATGGCCAATGGTACGGTCGAGCTCGAGACAATTGAGAGTCTTTGTCTGCTCGCCTATTCTTCGTTCTTAGGTATGGATAGGAACCACTTTTATGTATAGTGCAGGCATTGACTTTATTGCAGATGGGAATATTCATCTCGGTCGCTTCCATCTTGGTCTCGCGTTACATCTCTGCCGGTCAGCAACGCTAGATCTTGAATCGACTTATGTTGGGGAAGGTCCTACCACCGAGCGCAAGAAGCGTTTGTTCTGGAGTCTCCAATGCCTCGAACAGTCATATGGGCAGCAAAATGGCTTCCTCTGCGTACCATCTGAGATTTTGCGCGCATTCTATGTTTCATCTAGCAGCGACCGGATGATGCAGAGTGAGAGCGAAGCAAAGCCTCCCCCACTACCGACCGATGATCTCGGTTGCTCGACCTCCTCCGATATAGGAATTTGGAGTCTGGCAGCTCACTTTGGTTGGGTCTGGAGCAGAGTGCGAACATACGTGTCAGATTGTGCTCGGAACAGACTAAAAGAACCCTGGAGACATGACTCGATGTATTCCATGGTGCTCTCAGACCTAACAGAAATCGAGAACAAACTTTCCCAGTGTCACCGATATGACTCGGTCAAGTTCTACGAGCGCACGGGAGAGGAGCTTGCAATGAATCGTGACTACTGGACTCCTTGGCTCAAATTGCAATTCACATATCATTGCATTCTGACCGTTCTCAACCACCCGTTTCTTTACATTATCGCATCACAGTACAACGACAACCTTGCAATTCCTAACGCCTTTTGGAGGCGATCCTCAGAGCTGGTTCTCTTACATGCCACTTGGCTTGTCCGCATGATAGACATGGTTTTGGAGAAGAAGCTGCGATTAATTGATCCATTCTTTGGACACGCCGCTGCAATTGCGGCTACAGTGCATCTATACTATTGCTGCGCTGCGGACCCTCGACTAAAATACAAATCCAAGGTGGACTTTACCAAATGCAGAAAGTTCCTCAAAACATTCGTGGGCTTTTCATCTGCTTGTGCAGTCTTGGTAGGTTTTCAGAGGCAAATTTCAAACAAGCGCTAACATCTGCAGGATCAAACTTTGGATAAGATGACACGGATTGCTTCTGGATCAGAAGATGTCGATTATGACTGGGAGCCTGAGAAAATTCATCTCAGCATTCCTCTAATGTGGGATGTTCTTCAGGTCAACTGTAAACCCAAGCCACATGAAGTATCTACGGGGGGCTTGCTACATCCATCATTGACTCCGACCGTTTCGACAGAAGAGGCGGATGACGGTCCTACCTCTACTGTAGAGGTCATCGTCGCCATGTCTCCTAATATCACCGTGAATACTGCGGATGGCGGCCAAGCCGCCCACATGCCTCCGACTCTGCCACGCGTTCCAACTACAAAGTACTCACCCGACTTGGGCATGGGAGAAAAGCTACTTGCACCCGCCGACAGTCTAATGACCAATACTCCCTGGCTATGGGCTGATGCCTCACAATTTGTTGACCTGGAAAACAGTGTGGGATATGCCGATTCAGAATCAGCCCTCGGCAACATTGAAGGATTTTCCACATGGTGGGACTTTGGAAACTTATAGAACTAATAGGTTCATTGATATCTACTACGGCTTCACTCTGACCTCAAGCCGTAACTCACATCCGACACTTTTACCCAAAGCCCCTTGCGAGATGCCCCTTGCGAAAACAAAAAAAAAAATTGCCCTAACGAACGCCAGATGAAAACTTGATGCCCATGCGCTCTTCCCCCAAAAGATCAAGTTTAAGCCGCCGCGACCGTCTTCAACTTCTCCTGCAAAGCAGCAAAATTCCTTTTCATCGCACTCTCGGTAAACTGAGCCCCGGTGACAATCGGATACTTCTTCAACGGCCCCTGGATCAAAGCATCCTTACAAGGCTGATTGAAGTACGCAATGCTGTACCGATCACCAAAATAGTCGCCAGGTTCACACGGCGCCTTAACCCGGTGGAAAGTCGACTTGAACCTATCGTCCGACCACGACATGAGTAAGTCCCCAATATTACAGACAATCGCCTCGGTGCTCGCCTCGACTTTGGTCCATTCGTCCCCTATCCCGAACTCAGTGACCACCTCCCGCCCAGGACAGATTTCCAGCCCACTCTGCCCTTCCTTTTGAAAGAGTAAAGTCAAAAAGTCCCAATCGGCATGTGCCCCTGCGCGATGATATTCTTGCCCGTCCGACACCTCCGGCTGCGCAAAGTAATGAAGTAGACGCATGGTTGTCTGGGAATTTGGCCGTCTAATGCCATGGCATTCAATGAAGAATGTTTCGGGGAAGCCTAGTCCGCGTGCGAAGCAGCGCATTAGGCGTTCGGATATTTCTTGCACCCGGTGCATGAAGGTGAGACTGGTTGTTTGGAAACCGGGTAGGTCGGTGTCTTTGATCCACAGGTCTTTCATGTTTTCGCCGAATTGAAGCTGGTAGGATTCCTTGCTGTCGGGTTTGCCGGTTGACGGGCGGATTTGTGAGTTCTTCTCCCAGCCCACGTTGTTCGCGTTCCAGGGTACCGTTGCTTTCACGTTCTCTGGTAGATCGAACATGCTCTTTGATGTTGCAAACATTGTTTCGATGTCTTCTTTAGAGATGCCGTGGTTGATGACGGTGAAGAAGCCCACATTTTCGGCGGCATCGATTAGTTGGTTTGTTATTTCTCCAATTCGATTCTCAAAGTCGTGCATGGAGATGCGTGGGATAGCGCGGTCGACATAGCGAGTTTGGGATGCCATGTTGTTTGCTGATAGTCACAGGACCAAATTTGCGAGTAATGATGTGCTTGTGTTTGAGCTGCATCGAGGAGCATGCGAGGGTCTTTATAGGCAAATCATTGTGATACAAGCTCGCCCGAGGAGGCCATGGTTGGTCTGATCAGCTCGGCCGCCCTCGGCCGAGCTGATAAGGATGGGGGGAATTGGGGAATACTATAGATGAAGGGGCTTTTATTCTGAGAGGTGCTATCCATAGGATATTTTCTAGCATTCCTTAATTAACAACCTACTTAACACTCTTTGTTCTATCATGATTAGGTTGAATATGGGCTATTGCCATAGCTGACGGACAGTCAGCTCGCCAAAAATGTCGGCGGGTTGAGCGATATGCCAAAGCATTAAGCCAATAGTAGCAGCCCATTTGACTAGACCCTACCTAATGAAATGATGCGCTTTCCGATAGGCAAATCTAATCAATTTATCCGATAAACCCCAGAATGTCTCAATCCCCCAAATTGTGTGTCCTTTGACAATCATGCGCTCAGGGGTGCATCGAAAGCGCCTAGCTTGTGTTGAATGTACACGCCGCAAGGTCAAATGTGACAAGATTTTGCCATGTCGAAACTGCTCCAGAAAGGGTACTGCGTGTACTCGACCGCGAGACCGGAGTTCTCCGGTTTCAAGTATCGCGGTTATTGGCAGACATGAGGAGACCTTCACCAGTCCCACTGCTGGCGCACTTGATATTATTCAAAGGCTCGAATCTCAAGTGAACCAGCTCGAAGCAGCGCTGGAAGATTCCAGGGCTAGAGAAACTCAGCAGCCAACGCCAACAGTCAGGTCAACTTCTACACCCAGATTACCAACGACATCTTCACCTACAGCAGTGAAAACATCTACACTTGATCCGGAAAATTCAATAGGAGAGGTGGAAGATGCAGCCACTATCCTCGAGTTCCTAGCATGGGGGCGTCGCAAAGACCCAACTTACCATGATGCGATCATCCAAAACAGCAAGCCGGATCACTCACCAGGAGATGTTACCGTTGAAGATGAAGTCGACTACGCACATTCACCTGGATACATGCCTTCATCGATATGCCAGATGCTTCTGCCGACCCAGCCAAAAGTCCTCCAACTGATTAAATATCATATGGACTGTCTACTTTGGTACCATGGCGCATTGCACGCCACCACGTTCATGAAAGAACTAGTCAAGTTCTACGACCAGTATGACGGTCAGATTGATTCGCGTGGTGTAGACTTACAATGGATAGCTTTACTATTTGCCATCCTCACAGGATCAATGACCTGTGCGCCCCGTAGTGTCGCCCAATCCTGGGGATTCCACGGCGAGGAACAGGAGACGCTATCAAAGCGCTGGCTGAAAGCCACAACAACATGCCTCCAGCGAGCAGAATATATGGCGTATCATTCCATTTACTCTGTGCAGGCGATTGCAACACTCACAATCTCCGCCCATATGCTCGGATACTCGAATGGACTATCAGTCCTACTTGCCTCGGCTGTCCGCATCGCCCAAGGTCTCGGCCTCCACGAAATGAAAGAAGACCAAGAAGCAACCCAAACAGCAGAAAATATTCTAAGTCGTGAGATCGGCCGACGGGTTTGGTGCCAGCTCTGCATCCAGGACTGGTTTTCAATCCCCTTCACAGAAAGCTATCTCCTCCACCAAGGCTTCACAACATCCAAGCCCCAAAACAGTGACGACGACATGAACCCCCTCCCAGAGCACACCCCAACAGTAACCAGTTACTCCCGTCTTTTCTACGACATCGCCGCCCTAATGCCAAATCTCCAAGACGCCATCACGACTTCTAATACCCCCTACACGAAATACGAACAAGTCCTCAAATACGATCGCAAAATGCGTACTCTCGCGACGAAGCATCTACCTTATTATCTCCAGAATGTTCCTCTGGACCCGGGCTGGCCATGCTATGTCCCGTGGGCACGACGCAGTCTGGCGATTAGTTCTGCACATAAGGTTATCATGATCCATCGCAAATTCCTCAGCGCTAGCTTTTCGAATCCTATGTTTGAGTTGACGCGGAAAACATGCGTTGCGGCTTCAAGGACTATTATCAAGGAGCAGATGGAGGCTGTTCGGGACGGGGGACCTGTGCTTTGGATTCATCAGGCTTTTAGCGTTACGGCTAGTGTAAGTACATGGTTTCGATTTTTCGAAAGGTGGTTTTGGGAGATCGAGAGTCTGGTCTGTTAATAAACACCTACAGATTATCTTATGCCTGGATCTTTTCCATCAGTCTGGACCGGAGCGCGAGTCTTCAGAACATAGACGACTTATCAATGGCGGCATTGAGATCTTGTCTCAGTGCCAGTCAGATATGATTGCCAAACGGGGTGTTTCGTTGTTAAAGGCGATGCTTGCAGATGATCAGTGCAAGACGTCTGAGCGAAGGTTAACCGTGGAAATGCATGGACGAAGAGATATCCACAATGACATGCCTGGCGCCCAGCGGTCCAATTTTTTGAGTATTCCGGCTATCATACGCAATTTCTATCAGCAAGATCATGCTCCTCTGGTTGGGAAACCACGACGTACTTCGGAGACATCTGAAGTTGGACGTTGGCCCGAGTTGATGAGAGATGACCCTGTTGCTACGCCTGGCGTTGATTTCTTGGCATCTCTTGGATTGGACTGTGTCGGGGGATTGGATGAGATATTGAATATGGCAACGGACTATATGAATTAAATTTGCCAGAATTCATTCGTTGTCATACGATACGAACCTCAAGTTCAGTTGAAATTGTGGTCCGTTATTCCGACGGACATGGTGGTAAAGCATTGTCTCATGGCTCTAAATTATGTTCATTCCAAATAGGTATATCCAAATGCCAATTAAATATCATAAATGCGCAGAATACGAAGGGCCTGCCCAAGGAGACGATATATATGCGCAATTGGCGCGGTCCCAAGCTTGGAATATATGCAAGCAGGCCAAAAAGAAAAATCCACCTAGAAAGTCCATCCAAAAAAAGGATCCAAAATAAATGTCAAAATAAAATTAAAATGGCGAGTGTTGCTTTAGTCAACCTTCCGAACCTGAGTCACAGGTGCCCTGTAAACACGGCGACCATGAAGAATGTATAGAATAATAGCGAAAATGACCACAGCACCAAAGACCAGGATAGACCAATTCATATCCACAGGTGTTGGGTTGTTAGCAGTGGGGAAGAAGGTGAAGATAATGGCAAAGCAAAGCCATGCAAGGGAGAAGACATTGATAGCCAACCCGAATGAGCCGAGCGAGAAGCGTGCTGGTGGGATACCGCCCGGTTGGAAACGAACCCGGATGACCGCGGCGATTGGCAGAATATATGTCGTGAAGAGAGCAGCAATCATGACGGATGCGACGGCGTTGAACGCGGCCGTAGATCCGATGTTGATCAAGCTCAGTAGCACGGTGATGATGGTCGAGACCAGCACCGAGCAAACGGGGATCTGGGTTCGTCGGTTCACGTGTGCAAGCTGCTTGGAGAATGGCAGGGCGTCGTCACGGGCGAAAGCAAAGGTCTGACGGGAGACGGTTGCAAGAATTCCGATTGCACTGCAGACTTCGAGGACGAGGATGATGGCGGCCACACCGTTGGTGGCAGGAATAGAACCGGTAGCGCGTTGGACTGCGGGCAGGAAAGAAAATCCGCTGGCGGGTTCGAGGATGGCGTCTGTCAAGGGACCCATGTTGTATAGAAGAGTGACCAACATGATGAAACCGAGGGCACCGTTGATCAGAGCGGTTGAAACCATGCACCACGGCACAATCAAGGCGGCGTTCTGGATCTCCTCAGCTGTTCACAATTAGTGATTGTTCTCACATCCGCAGAGACATGGTCGACTTACACATATGGGTAGCGGCATCCGGGCCTGTCCAGGAGAAAATGGGAGTAAGCTGGCCAACCAAACATGCCAGTCCTATACTCGACCATCCACCAGAGTTGGTGAATTCCTTCCAGACCGATTCACCAGAGGCCTGCCCGGGGGACATCGCCCACATCAAAACGAGAACAGCGACAAATCCACCGAGATGAATAGCGAGGATGAGACCCTCCATGGGAGGGAGAATCTTGTAGCCCCAAGTATTGACAATAGTTCCGACAGCGGCGATGGCGATGGTCAGCAGAGTACCGTGCCAGCGCTCATATCCATACACCCAGCCGGAGGGATCTGAGTAGTTGAAGACCAGTAATCCCTGGATCAAGGTACCGCATAGGTAGCAGATACTCGCAAAAGCGGCCTGCCATCCCAGAACCGACAGCCATCCTAGTGCGACATTAGCACGATTCAGTTTTATAGATCGAAAGTGTGGTCGTACCGGTGAGATAACTCAAGAATCGCTGGTACCTGGGCCAAGCAAATTCACTGACCCAGTGGTACTGTCCACCGGATGTTGGCGAGCTGAAGATGTTAACTTCCATGCGCGCCAAGTCTGTCCTTGTACTTACATCGACGCGATTTCAGCCATGGACACGACCGCGGCGAAAAAGCCCACAAACGAAGCAATGTATACATAGATCATGCCCGCTTTTCCACCATCGATAAGACCATAGGTACTCGTTCTGTTGCGGACTCCATTATTATTGCTGTTCCGGGTCGCAAACCAGCCGCAATGCCAGTCGCAGTCGCGTGGGCCCAACTCACAATAGAATAGACTCCCATGTGGCCATCAACGTCGTCGTGAATCCCAAAATCGAATAAAATCGGAAATTTCTCTGCCGCTGATCAGCCCTCGTTCCGCACTTCCTATTCCGACTGATCGCACCTTGAACTGCTGTGTCTTGCCCAGACGCTGCATGTCCCAGTCATCTTGGGCGGTCGCATCGAGGCCGACCTCCTGCGATATCATCTCCTTGTCTCTCATGGCGTAGTTTGGAGGGGAAAGAAAGAAGGCGAAGATCCCAAGTCAGAGGGAAGGGGGAAAATTACCAATCATCAGGGGGAACCACATCTGAGTGGAGCTTGAAGTTTATCTTGATTTTGCGCTATGCATCCTCGCGTCTGGGCATACATGTGCATGGACGTGTACCTTTTTGATTTTCAATATTCAGGGATCTGCCATGTACAGATATGTCCTCTATAGGCACTATGAGTGTCACAAAGGAAGCAACTGATTTCCCGTGGTTGGCCTCCAAATCGCACATTCCATCGGGTTCGGGAAGGCAAAAAATGACTCCACCGCCACACTCTTCACAAAGTTCAGACTGCATAGCTCGAACTGAATTAGATTGCCGTGGGGTCAGGAGTCAACTTCTCCGCAAATGATAAATGTCTCATCCTGTAGCCAACACACGGTCCCACTCGCACAAACCGCTCGGGGTTAAAGACTGCTGAATAGGGCCAATCAAGTCGACGTTTCAGGTTCATGATTCGGGATGACCCGTCACAGATGGAGTTGTGGCAGAAACAAGCTCGCAGAAAAGGTACACGTAACCACTGGTAGGAATCTGAATCAGTACGGACTCTTCAGTTTGACGAGACCGTCGTGCAGATGCTGTAATGCGACGAGCCGTGCGGTGTCTAATCAATAGTCGGGGTGCGCCGGAGACAATGGCGGCCAAGTGACTTGGCAGCTGCATATACCCCTGTCTGTTGTGTGGTGTCTAGGCCACGAGCCACCTATTATATCACCAGCCACTTATCGCATTGCGGTACTTACCCCTGTTCCCTCGTGGCATAAGTCCTGTCAGTGGATTGGATTCCGATGTCCGGATTTTAAACAGGTCTGACGTACCTGCTAGGGCAGACGACATTCCTGCGGCGACAAGTCATTCTTTAGTTGTCCCCTTGGTTCAGCAATTTAGCGCTATCACTCCGTACTGCGTGCGTACTTGACCAAACTCTACAGTACAGTACATCCAACAGTTGGCCCGCATACGCTTTAGCGCTCAAGAGAAATACATGGATACATTTACCAAATAGAACACGTCTGCTTGCATATCGATGGAAGATAATCCCTGTTTTCCGTACGAATATCCGGACCGACATCCGGCTCGCAGCGGAATTGGTCGCAGAAGAATGGACAAACTCACAGTCAGAGCGCACGATGTCAAAAGCCGACCGTAGTAGATAGCCGCGCCTATGTATTTGTACACGTAGTCAACTGATTAGACTCTCTACGTTCGGCATCATCGGTCAGAGCTGCCGGGAGCTGCCGGGAGATGCCGATGTCTCACAGTCCGACTAGCCAAGAGATATTTTTTGCAATTGAGACACCATCCACAATGCGGATACACTTTTCAATAATTTGTCCAAGATATATAGCGTTATATCCCGATTTATATCCCGATTGAACGAGGATTCACGGATATAAGAAAAGACAAAAGATGACCTTTGCGCATAAATTGAAGAATTGATAGGCTGCGCCATATATAACCGCGTGCGAAAAGCCACCTTCCCATGCATAGCCTAAAAATAATGCTATTAGGGAAGAAGAATGATGCATTGCGTGGCACCCACTTAGCTCGATCAATTATTGGATACTCGACCTTTTTTTTTCATTCGTTGTCTTGCCTTCGAGACGTCAAACCGACCGGAGATATGAAGTCCGATTGCCGAGCGGAACGTCGTGTTCGTATTCTTACCAGTTCGGCAGGACTTGAACTACCGGCGGGACTTCGGCAGAACATACTTGTAGCATATCTGAAGTCAGTCTAGTTCTAGGTCTTGGACGGACACGAAACGATTACCCTTTTAAGGCCTCCAATAATTCCTTATCTGATTGGGAATCCTAAATGGCACATCCGCGCCACATCCCGCCTCAATGACGAGGACGCGTGGTCTAGTGGCGTTGCCGTTCGGCCTTGGGGGGGGGCCTCGAGATGATCCTCGAGGGCTTCAGCTCACTGGTCGGCCTAGGGAGTTTGACTTGGCCACGAGTAATTTAGCGGACCATCCAACCGGCAGAGACTCTAGTGTCTGGTTCTAGTCTCTGGTTGGCGCTGCTGCGCAATTCTCGAAAGAACATCGATCCACTAGAAGCTTGGCGGACCAATATTCCACTATGGGAATGCCGTCACCTACCGAATCAACATACGCGTCCACTCCCGGTTTCCACTGTCCGTGCAGCCAAGAGTCTCCAGCAAGGAGTTTCTGGGCAGAGATTGAACGTTGACCCGTTCACGCGTGATAATGATGTCCCTTAAATTCCCCTTACCCGTTTCTTTCCTCGAATCCCTCGTTTCGTCCGCGATGCGCCAATGTTCTTGCGGACTTCTTCTGGCCTGCGTCGCATGAGCTCCTGGCTCCGCGGTAATTGCCTGAATCGTCTCCGATGGATCGCCCTGCTTGTTGTTGCCCTCGGAGGCGCAATTGTCTTCTATCTATTCGCCGTCCCACAACTTCTCAGACTGCGCTTCCGCGCCGGGTTGAGTTGGTATGATCTAGGTGCCCAAGGGCTAGGGCCGGACCGGAACTATGTTTCATTCGACCAGGAATCGCCAATTGTTGAAATTACCCCGCCTGGTGCGCAATGCGATCCGAGATATACCTTCCTTGCGCCTCGCGGTGATTCCGTCGCCCATCCCGGCCCTATGATTCTGGATTCTGCCGGTGAACTTGTGTGGACAAAATGGAATTGGGGGACGACACAGGACTTCAAATTGCAGCGGTACAAGGGCGAGGATTTTCTTACCTACTGGCAAGGTGACACGGATGACAACTATGGCCGGGGTTTGTGGTATATGGTACGATACATGCTGGACTTGGCTAGCTACAAGCTCAATATACTAACCGTTCTTTTTACGTATAGCTGGATTCTAGCTATAACCAAAGATATGTTGTATCGCCCGTTGGCTTGTACGACGGCGATCTGCACGACTTTCACATCACCGCCAACGATACCGCACTTCTGATGATTTACGACCCCATCGTGGTAGACTTGACCTCTGTTGGTGGACCCGAGGCGGGATGGTTATACGATGGAGTCTTCCAGGAAGTCGATCTTGAAACAGGAGAACTTTTGTTCCAATGGCGTGCATCCGACCATTACTCTCTGAGCGATAGTTATGACCCAATTGGAAACACCGGTACTGGACGCACCTCAGGATATGACTACTGCCACATCAACAGCGTGGACAAGGACGACCAGGGCCGGTACCTGGTTTCGATGCGACACCTCCATACCATCGCCTGCATAGATGGAACAACCGGCGAGGTTTCCTGGTCCCTAGGAGGAAAGAGAAATGACTTCACGGATGCGTCCGACGGTGCCGCCACCGATTTCGCTTGGCAACATGATGCCCGCTGGCGAGGCCCTAACCGCCTCAGTCTTTTCGACAATGCTGCCTATACCAATGATCATCCCGATGCAGTAAGCCGCGGAATGATTGTCGATCTGGACATGAACGCGCAGCAGGCAACACTCGCACAATCTTACAATCACCCACAGGGCATGATGGCCGTTTCGCAGGGAAACCTGCAAGTACTGGATACCGGTAATGTCCTCGTGGGTTGGGGCCACTCGGCTGCCTACACTGAGTTCTCCCCCGAGGGCGAAGTAGTATGCAATGTACACTTCGGCGCCTCCGCGTTCTTCACCTTCGGCCGGGTTGTCTCCTACCGTGCCTTCAAATTTGACTGGGTCGGTCATCCTACATCAACGCCTGACACAGCACTCACTCCCGAGAGTGTCTTTGTTAGTTGGAACGGCGCGACGGAGGTAGCTGCGTGGCGCGTGGAGGCTTGGGATGGCGAAAGCGTATCCAATATGACCTTCAGCGCCGTCGACCAGGTTACTCGATCCGGGTTTGAGACAGAGATTTATTTAGTTCCCGAAGTGACTTCTTTCTTCCAGTTGCGTGCCATTCATGCGAATGGTGATAGTCTTGGTGTGACGGAGTTGCTTCAGAGGTTGCCTGCTTCCGCAGCGGGAGGTTCGTCGAGGACTGGTCATTCGTGGGCCATGTGGACTATTGTGATCATTGCGCTTGGATGCCTTGTTTGTGGTGTTTATTTCGCTGTTTATCGTCGTCGTCGTCGGAGATCTCGCTCTGTTGGTCCTTATCAGTTGGTTGCACACAAGGACGAGGATGAGGATGAACATCATCGTCTGCCATTATAGGATGCCGGCGTCCTGGATACCCCAATACCCAACTTGCATATTGTATATAGTTTGCTTTGTACATGCGGTACATATCATTGGATTGAGATATGTTTATATTGTCGAAGTTCCGCGAGGAAACCGGAACATATAACAGGAGCCATATATCTGTGCACAGTGCCATAAGTATCAGACACGTTCTATACGACAGCATCAAAGTACCCTTTGATGCACTGCTCTCACTCATTTTAGCATCAAGTTATTCATTTAGATCGCATAAAGGTGTGGGCGCTCAAAGACTTCACTCTTGTTGCAGTCTCTGTTTCTAAGAACATATAGCCGACTTGCTTTCGATGATTCCACCCTGAATGTTATCAAGTGTTCGCCTTTCAACTTCTTTGATTGCCACAGCAGCGTCATCAGCAAACGGACACTGACTAAGTTCCGTGAAAGTCATGTCCATCCAATAACTAGGCATATTCCCCGCATAAGTGAAGTCGATATCCGGCAACCGAGGCAGACGACTTTATCACAAGTACGGGCGATCCCCCACATCAGAAGAGGCTAGTATCCCCAACAATCTCTTAACGAGATTTTCAAGCCTGATCAGGCTTTGTTGATTTGTCTACATCAATAGAGTTCTAACTTTTCGTCTGCCTAGGCGTTGGTGCGCTGGCGATCATGACTTCACATGTAAGAGTCGGGTATAGAGAAACTTTGCTAGCATATGGTATATAAGAACACACAGGTCTGCACGTAGATTGTCCTAGCGCTCCATAACACTCAGATGAACCTTGACTTATAATCAAGATGTCGACTCAGACAATGACTACCAAGCGGAATCCCGCAGACTCCATGGTGTCTACCTGGCGCCACGACCGATCCCAATGGAGCTTCTGGCACTGGATGATCGAACTCTTGGGACTACATCTCGTCGACCTAGACAACAAAGTCCCTATCTTCTCCAAGAAAGATAAAATCCCAGCCATACGTGAATGGACGGTCCATCTGTGGATTCTGATTCACGCGATGATCCCACTCGTCCTTCATCATGTCTACACGACCTACACCGGCCAGAATTTGGGTCTCATCGGCGCTTTCGCTCTATATTCCAGTTTCTTCAAGCTCAACGGTATCCATGAAATGCACATCATGCGTCGCCTTGGTCAGGTCTACGGGTTTTTGGATGGCGACAAACATCCACGAGATGAAATACCTGATGTTGGCGTTGGCAAGGTTATACGGGAACTCATTTCAACGTCATCACTGCGCATGGTCATGGCCATCTTCCTCACCTATCGACAGGGTGAGGCACCAGCAACTCTACAATGGAAATGGCTTCCTTTGGAGATAGGCCTGTACAGTATCACCGTCGACTTCTGGTTTTACTGGTATCACCGTATGATGCACTCCGTGGGACCCCTGTGGCAGTTCCACCGTCGACACCATTTGACAAAACACCCTAACCCCCTTCTTTCTGCCTATGCCGACCACGAGCAAGAGTTTATGGATATAACCGGTATCCCTCTTATGGCGTATAGTACGCTGAAGGTTTTCGGCTTGCCGATGGGATTCTACGAATGGTGGATCTGCTTCCAGTATATTGCCTTCTCGGAATTCATTGGGCACAGCGGTCTCCGGTTGCATGGCGGAGCACCCTCTACTGTGAATTGGCTGTTGGAATTATTTGATGCAGAACTGGTTATTGAAGATCATGACCTTCATCATCGATATGGCTGGAGGAAGAGTCATAATTATGGCAAGCAGACTCGTCTTTGGGACCGGATTTTTAGGACTTGTCATGAGCGCATTGAAAGTGTTAAAGATAATGTCGATTACGAGAATCGTGTCACGATGCCACTTCTTTGATTTTGGGAAATGGTCTGAAAGAATGGAAGAGAAGGAAATTTGGCTTTGAGATAGAACAATTCAATGAATCATACAGTCAGTCTCCAACAAAGCCGAAAGAACATGTACACTGAATTCCAGACCGCGCTTGATCTTTCCTTCTCCGTATTAGTGCTGACCGCTTGCTAAGTATTTATCACTGGGTCACCTCAGTAGCGTAGCTCATTCACTCACGCACGGCCGAAATTCTGTTTCCAATCAGTCGCACATGGTGATACTTCGCGACTCTCTTTTGGGATCTTATTTTACGGAGTTTGGGTCATCGACTATTTTGTCTATATCGACAGACAGGACGAGAAAATACTACACCCTTCGAAATCATCATCCAGCATCAATCTTAAGAATGAATAGTTTACTAGGAGCCGAACCAGAAATTATATCTGTTTCACTAGTATTATCTATCAGGCTGAGATAGAAACTATATCAACACTACTTGCGTAGCGAAGCGGTTGCCTCGACTTTACCCCCCAACCCAAACAGACGAAACTGTTTACAGGTTACCCTGGCCAGCACTGCCAGCAGGGTTGGTGCTGGCACCGTCAGCAGTAGCGAGGGTCTCACCCTTCAGGTTCGACAGAACGTCGGTGGAGGAGCCAGTCAAGGTGCCTCCGTTGACGTTGGCGACACAAGAGCGACCGATGTAGTCGGAGCAGGTGCTGGAAGCGCTGTCGGCGGCGAAGAGGGCACCCGCGAAAGAGGAGGACTCGAGGACCTCGTCGACGTTGGAGAAGTAGTTACCCTCAGCAAGGACGTAACCACCGGAACCAATCTCGAAGGCGTGGCCAGAGTTCTCGTCCCAGTAGTTGTTGACAGCGTGAAGGTAGGTGTTGTCCTGGACCTTGGGAGCACGGCCGCTAGTCTTGTAGAGGTAGTTGCCCTTGAAGGTCACCTTGTCGCTGGAGCCATCAAGGTACACATTCCAGTAGTGGTGACCGTCGCAGGTGGCAGAGTAGTCAGATTCACCGTTGATGTAGTTGTTAGTGATAGAGACACGGTTGTCAGCTTCAGTGCCCAGCACATAGTGCTGACGGCCGATGCGAGCAGTCTGTATTATGAGTAAGTCTATGATAATCGTGAATGTCTGCGAGGAAAACATACGGTAACGTGGTCAATCCAGACGTTGTCAGCCTCGTTGAGGGTGATAGCATCACCACCCCAGACGTACTTAGGGTTGATGTCGGTGACAGCGATGTTCCTGTAATAAAAACGTTAGCGTGTTTTTCAACCAAGCTTTCGCTTGTAGAATCGAGGCAGGATTAAACGTACTGGATGATGATGTTCTCAACACCGCTGACCATGCGCAGACCACGGCCCTTGATAACACCGCTGGTACCCTCACCAATCAAGGACTTGTTGGAGCCAACGGTGATACCGAGCACACCAGCAGTGTTGCTGGATGGCGTGTCAGCATGGACGAGCGGTCGATCATAGCTTGAGTAATGTAGTACTTACTAGGTGACACTGGTGGTAGCGGCATCAGGCTGGTAGTTGGTACACCAGTCATCCTGGTTAATGGCAACCTGGCAACCAGAGCCAGTGCCCCAAGGAAGACAGCCGGTACCACTGGTAGTGCCCTCGGTATCAGTGAAGTCAAAACTAGTATTGCATCGTCAGCTGTTGCTCTTGCGCGGCAAGATCTCCTCTACTCACGTCTTGCTCAGGACAATGACACGGGCCTCATCATCACCGAGGTAAGAGACCAGCTCATCGGTGGTGGAAGGGTAGACGGGGGTGGCACTACCACCACCAGTAGCGGCAGAAGCAAAGCCCTCGGGGGTGCCAGAGACACCGACAGCGGCGACCTTGGAGGCGAGAGCGGCCATAGCCGTGAGAACAAATGCGTACTTCATCCTAGAAGTTGATGTAGGTAATGTATAAAGAATGACTGTAAACAAAAGCAAACGAAAATAGGAAAGAAAAGAAAGGACTGAGTTAGAGAATAAGGCATGAGAGAGGACAGAACAATTGCTTATATACTTGCGACTTTTAGTTCATCAGACGTGTTTCGGCCGCTGTATCCGTCTCCCTTAGCTGTTTAGAGTGAGGCTACATTAGCTCCTCTGCTAGAGCAGAACCCGAAATGAGGGTGTGAGAGTGGATGTGGTTTCAAAGGCCAGCTTGGATCAGAGAATAAACACCTGGGCCCAGTGGATATGTCCACGATGATCACTCTAAGGCTATTGTTGCTTTGGGAAGGCGATCGTCAGTAAGCCCATCTCCGAAACACCCCCACTGGCATGGGCCAATCAATCGTGAGGTCGACTTGAAAAGAAACACAAGAGAAGCAATAGAGCCGTGGGTGCTTAATTAAGAGCGTTTCATCTTGATAGTAAAGTCGTGGCTGTCCACGTCTTTTCCTGTTGTCTTTAATTAATTATTGGGGCTTTTTAATTTAGCTTCATGATCAAGTACATCTACACCGTTTTTCATGAAAGAAGTAAAATGCCATAGATTGGAGCGTATTGTATTTGATTAATAGTTGGGCTTGATAATTTGTTTTCACGACTTAACTACACCATTCTTCGTCAAATAACTCAAATGCCAAAGAGTGTCACCTAGGTCTTATCGGCTGGGAAGATAGCATGACGTGGCTAATATATATGATGTTTATGGACGGTCAAAGGTGTCTTGGTTTCCCTGGCTATGCTGAAGCAGTGTGCGTTTTATTGGATAAGGCAACTGAGAACACCGGGCCCCTTTCCGACATACACCAAGCTTAATTCACCAAAGTAGAGTAAATTACACATTCAGACCTTATCACAGGGACATATAACATTTTAGGGCCGTAACATAATATTTAAACAAAAGGACAGATGAATATCAAAAGGAGTATCATGACAACGCGTTCATAAAGGCAGACGTAGGGCTGTCATTACGGTGCCAAAAGCTAAACTGCCATTGAGCTCTATCGAGGGGGTGCTGCGAGGAGTTTTACCTATACTGCAGCATATATTGAGAGGGAATATCATTATGGCTCTGAACGTTTGCAGTCAGTTAGCAGTCAGTAAGCAATGAAGTCAAAGACCTGGCCCGGCCCGCAGTTGACCCATTCAAACTTGTGAAGGCTCGAGCACGCCGATCCAAGAACCTGTATCTGGCCGGGTCTGTGGTGAGAGAGATGTTACGCACAATAGCAGGACCGCGATCCTCCTTGTAAAGTGACAGCAACCCGATCGGACAGAGTGCGACCGCGGCCTAAAATCTGGTACATAGGGACATAGTACATCCAGCTTAAAGCTAGGGAAAGTGGTAATGTAAGGAGACTACTGCAATGGTATTCCGTATAAAACCGGGAGTTCGTGAGAAGACCTGATACTGTTAGTCTGTCTGCGAACAAGTCGGCCACTAGGACTATAGGAGAGGAGAACACGTAAGGGTGGTTCAGAGAAGAGAAGAAAAGTTCAAGTTTCTATCTTGAGAGGGAAAGTCTTATCTGAGTTTTTCCTTGACTTCCTCTATTCCGTTCTTTTGCACAAAAAGGCGCACTAATATTTGCAAGACCTTCTTTTATCGCCCTTCATCGTCTCCATTAGATTCTTCGAAGCCCACTCTTTAGTATACTCCCGTCTAAATTCTATTATCCAGGAATCGTTGTGTTGATTAATCAGAAGATTTGTAGATTTAGCATCACCTCAGATAATGCCGATGTCATGCAATTTTCAAAGAGTAGTCATGATTTGCGTGTCTCACTTCTGTCTGGAGGACAATGGGGTTTCTGGATCCAAAAAGCACTCCAGATTTGCATTGCCATGGTCAATCCAAGACACCAAAAGCCAAGCGAGATGGAGATCTCGTTCATCACGATCAACCCCGTACAAAAAAGGGACATTCAAGCTCTTCTTACCGCGAAGACTCTCCATCTTTTCGTAGATTTCCATTTCACACAGCGAACTCTTTCTATCCCCCGAAAGCACTGGCTTAAAATGATAATGACCACAAGAAAGCCTCTAAACGAGCATGCCGCTTTATGCATTTATTTTGCTTCTTTTTGGTCTTTTATTCCCTTTCTGCAGTGCGTCAGGTGAATAATACAGTTTAGACTCGGGGATGCCCCCGTTAAGTGTGCTCAGATATGTCCTTAGATACGAGTCAAGTGTGAACAACTAGTCCACCCTTATGCTATCTACTTGAGGTCAGTCTCATGTACCTATGAATGGATTGATTTGAAGTGTGTGCGTGTACTAATGAGACTTGGTATCTATAAATGGAACTTCACAGGGGCTTGCATAACCCTGGCAAATTATAAACCATATGCCAAATCCTGACTTGCATGTTAAATAGCGAGAGAAGAAGGGCTCACATCCGCGAAATGCCAGGTAAGTGTGCCATTGCTCAAGCAAACCCGCTGCTAATCACAAAGCTCGCGTCAGCATTGAATGACGTGGCAGAGTCGAAGGTGTGGACACCGCCGTTGCTCGCGGGATAGAGAACGTTGTTATAGTGACGGAAATAGCGGGTTGGATAGTTCCAAACTCGGATCGAGCTACCCTGGCCGCTAAGGCCAGATTGCGGGCAGAAGGTAGCGTCTTCGTGGAACTGCTTTGTGCCGTCATTGGCGTTGAGGTAGAAGACAAAGTCCGAGTGCCGGATGAAGCTGCCGGGAGTGTCGACCGACTCGAACGAGAAGCAACCGCTGTTGCCGAGGCCGGTATGAACTGTCCAGCTGGCTTGCTGTTTGAGAGCGGTAGTGCTAGAGGATGAAACAACTTGGGTGTTGACCGTAGTGCCGGTGTGTGCGATATAGCGGGTCGTGTAACCAGAGGTTGTTACGCGCAGCGAGATGGAAGAGCCAACGGTCAGCGCTGTACCACTGGTCAATGAGGCAACAGCGTATTTGGCTGCGACGACGTTGGCCTGCACCGCGTTCTCGGTGGCATCAGATGGATAGCCAGAGGTCATCACTCCCTCATAGAATGTGCCCTGGGCACTAACACTGTTGTCGCCGCCAATGCCAAGAATGATAGCACCCTCTTTGCTCATCGGGTTGTAGCCAGATGCAGTCGGGCGCACGCCACTGTAGTAAGTTGATAGCGAGCCGGACGCAGCATTGCCGCCCTTGATTGCCCACTTGTTTGCTCCGCCCTTCAGGAAGGCATTGACGAACCGGTAGGAAAGCGATGGGTCCCCAGCATTGTTGCCGGAGCTGACACCGGAGAATAGCCCGTTCTCAAGATCAGCCATGATCCAAGGACCGCTACCAGCACCAGAGCCCCAAGTAGTACTGTCGCCATAGTAGATGGCCTCCATATGGCCATTGCCAGTATCTGTACTGCTGGTCTCGGCGTTGCCGTAATCAAAGCAGCAGCCACCGTTATAGTGGGTTCCGTCAAGAACTGCGTACATGCCCTCGGCTGCGTCAGCTGTGGCTGAGCCACTGACGGCATTATTGCGGTAGCCGGTACCGGGGGAGACAAAGACACCATAGGCCTTCTGACCATTCAAAGTGACTGGTGCACCAATTGCACTGGCCAGATTGTCGTAGCCATTGGCCTCCGGGCCACTGAAGCCACCAGGTGGTGCCTGAGTAAGGTGATTGCCCCGGCCGGACTGGTCATAAATGATCGTGATGAGGCAGGTCGTCCCGGAGCAGAAGGAGTCTTGTGCGGCGGCATTCGCAACACCGCCAGCGGATAGAGGTGCTATATCAGCAGTGACACCATCAGAGCCACGCTTCACTTGGTAAAGTGGTCCTGTGAAGGAACTGTATAGCGCACGGGTAGTACTATGCGCGGCGATACAGGGGCGTACCGCCGGAGGAGTATATATCGCAAGGCCCAGCGGCAAGTGAGCCTCGGGCAACTAGTCCTAAAACAAGTACCCAGGCACGCTCGAACTTCAGTTGGGAGAACATCTTTGATCACTTTTTGTCGTAGAGCAGTGGGATTGGCCCTCCAGTGAGCATTCGAAAGCGGCGACGAGATGCGCGATTAGCCAGGAAGTAGCAGTGATGGTCGCTGGGATTCAGTCTCTGCAGGTTTTAGCCTCCCTATTTATAATGCTTCTTTGATCTGTAAAGACATCCGTAAATTGGGAACGGCACCACGCTAATAGAGTGGTCCAAATTCTCCTCCAATTACTATGAAAAACCATAAATTATCACGAGACCATATGAGCGCATCAAAGTCTATACAGTCTCGGTTAATACCACATATTAGATATTACAAATATTGAATCACGAAGCTAGTCCTGCATATCACGATGCGGGGTGCATTCGAAGCGACCCGATTCCCCTGTCGAAATAGTGATTTTATTCTGCAGAATTATAAAAAAAAAGGGCATGTGACAGGAGTAAGGATGTTTCTCGCTAGGATTATAGGTGAACAAACAGTTTCTTTAGCTAGATCAGGATCAGCCAAATAGGGTGAGGGTCAATTCTCCGGCTGCTAGAATTGATCTACAGTGTATGCAAATTAACCGATCACTGTACCTAGCACTGTAACCCTTTTAGATTGGGTTTAAGGACCAAGCCCAAGCTCAGATCGACCCGCTCTCTACTTCACATACTTGGGACGATGAAGTTTGATCAACCTTTGTCAAACCGTCCAAACTATTCCTCTGTCATTCTTGGCTCTACTTCACGCCGTCATCTGCTCACTTTTTCTAAGCTGCTTTGTTTTTTTTTTTTCCTTCGTAGGGCATTCACTCAAAGTTTCTGCAAGCCTTTTCAGCAGAAATATATCCGTTGAAGCTAAGCGCACATATTGTGCCACCGGCCTTTTTCCCATTTCGCACAGGGAACAATTAACCGAAGCAAGGAACAAGTCCGAAAATCTAAAACTCGTGACTGGACAAACAAACAAGCCTAGCCAGCGTAGGAAGTGGCGCCGGAGTAGGACGCTTGTGAAGTTTATTTGCAGGGATTCGGACGCCCACGAGGGGTCAATGTGAGAGGGGGATGCGGGGCCCCGGACGCAAGCTCTTCACCAGACAATTAAATGACGCACTGAAAAATGCCTTCGTGCCGAGGAAAAAGCCTCTCTTTTCGGTCTTGAACGACTTTAAACTTAAGAGTTGTCGATAAATCCGATCATCCGATCTGCATTCGTCTCTTTTCAAGGTCCGATTCGATCGCTGATCTAATACTCCAGTGCTCCCAAGGTCTTCCGCGAAAATATTTTCAATCTGCAAAACGGCCACTTAGAGTAATTGTGCCTTGGTGTCCTGAACTATGAATTCTGATCATAGCAGATCGGAACGGGCCGGTCCCGACAGAACCAGAACGCTAACAGGAACGAGACACAGTTAAGCGATAGCATAAAAATGTCCTTCGCTGGGTTTTGGAATAAAGCCAACAAAATTTGATGAAGCGCAAAGAGCTGAAGTTCAATTCAATCAGGGAAAGCTGCAGGATTTTCTTTGTGTTGAACTTAACGCACCAGTTGCGGGGGAGTCTGCCGGTGTTCGCGAAGATCTCAACACTAAAAAAGACGAGACTTCGTCTGACATCTCCCAGGAGGGCGAGCCGAATGCGCAAGCTCTGTCCAGGGTCGCATTCCATCGCTCTTTGGATGATTCCTCCAAGGGCTTAGTTCATGAATACCTCAAGCGGACACCCCAGGTCCCATACGCCACAGTCATTCCATGGAGGGTTACGGAATTTGACCCCTTCAAACGTTTGGCTCGTAAGGGCAATGGCACGTGGAAAATGACTCGATGGCCCACTGCACTTGGAAGAATGCGAGGGGTCCCGATTGACGCTGAGATTCATGTTTCTATGATACGACGAATGCAAGCCGACGAGACCTATCAATCAGCGAATGCAACCCTTAGGGGTGGTCGTGATGGTCTCACGAAAGCTTCGCCAGGGCATGGAATTGGACAGTGGAAAGTCTGCAAGTATCCAGATAACCCTGTTCGTGAAACTTACATCTTAGCAGCCAATTCGAATAGATAGCATTTTTTGGTTGCTCATATAAGCATGTATTTCCCGTATATCTAAGGCGGATGGACAATATGGCATGCGTAATCGATTACCTGGGCAGTGGGAGAAAGCCCTTGATGGATGATGAGGCCCCGGCTAGGGGGTGACCCAAACGTTTATAAAATTACTTCGATTGCATCACAACCCTCATATGTCTGGAATTGACGCGACCAGCGCTTCCAAGTCCTGGAAGATCATTTTAGTGGCTTACTGCACATTCGAGAAAATGTGGGGATTTTCCAAGTTGCGTGTTATGTGGAGGAATGTAATCAGAAGAACTTCTATTTTCTGATGATAGTGTCAAAGACGGTCTGGTTTTATATCAAATGGTTTCCTGGTCTAGCGGTTATGATTTTCCGTTAACAATTGCAGTGTGCAAGTGTTCCGGAAAGGTTCTGGGTTCGATTCCCAGGGAAACCATTTTTTGTGTTTTTGAGAACATTATCTCAACCTCTTTTTACCGTTCAAATTATTCTTTTATCTGTTTCTAAACTAGTTTAAGTTTTTTTCATAGGCGTAAATAGCGTGTCTTCTGTCGATTCTTCTAGAAAAGCATAATTTAGTTGTGCGGGAAATATATATACTTGTACCGCCCGACCTTCGTGATAGCTCCTCAAACTACTATCTTAGTTGGGTTGTCAAAGTTTTATTCCTTCCCTTTAAGATATACGTGTATATTCACTCCAACTAAACTACTCTCTATACAGGCCGTTACTTTAAGCACCTCTGTGGGTTGTGCTACTACCGTGGAGGCCCCTTTCAGCCTTGGCGGTAGGATTCTCAAGGGCGCACATTATTCTCCATAAGCTACGAAACAAATATAGCCGCATGAAAATGAATTTGGCTCAGAAGCTTGGGGTGCAGTGCATTATGCAACGTAGATTGGGATCTGCGTAACAGCCATGTTGCAGCATAGCGCCACTATGCCATACTTGATTTGGCGACACATCGCAAATCTAATAAAAAATTAGCGCAGAGAGAAAAGGGCGCTGGAGAAACACAATGCAAGGTTCCCAAGGAAGCAGAACAATAGGGCGAGCCTTCACATTGTATTGTCGTCCTTTTTTACTGGATAGGGCTGGTTTTGACTGATTTTCATGAACCTTGGTGGAATTTGCAGATTCAGTTATGACAGTTGAATTAGCCGAGTGGATACGTATCGGCAATCTCCAAAACCAAGATAGGAGAAAGACAGCCTGCTGTACTATGCCCCAAAAGGGTGAAAGTACATTTAAACAAGGAAAGAACTGGCATTGACCAAGACATGGCTCTAGGCACTGATCGATCCATTCGGAATAGGGGGTCTCTGTTCCACCGAGCGACATAACAATCCACATTCTCAATTGTGTCATGATCAGATGGAGAGTGGATCTTATTATGGTACCCATAAATCATGCCACCTGTTGTTAAGAGCTCACTTTCATATTATACTATATTGTTCATGAAAATCATCAAGGTCAACCCTCTCCGTGGAAACCCGAGCCCAGGTACATGTAGCTCAAACCCGACTATCGCCTGTCAACCATCTAGTAGTTTTTTCTGATCCATATTATTTTCCCTGATCAGCGGACTTTATCATGACAGGAGGTTTCATCTCTATGTTTTAGATGTTCGTGGTCATGGGCAAACCAATCGCTGTACACCGTGATCTTTGATTACATAGGCTCTGGCAAACTCAAAATTGCGTGCGACCCGAATTTCCAATTTTATCCACACAGATAATACGCTCAGCAGAGACTTCTCATCTCTAGATGAATGTCTTATAGATATGACATGAAGTGCAGAAATAGAGTTTAGCGCAACGGCAGCCAGTGCATGACTGAGACCGTCACATATAAAAAAGACCAATCGCAGATCACTATTGCACAATTGCAGAGTAGAAATTCGGGAAAGTTGCAGTTTGAAACATCAAGCTCAATCCAATTCCAAATCGAGACACCGTTTAAACCGAGGTAGCCCCGACTGAAAAGTCGCCGACAAGCACTGACTCGGAGTATCAATTGTACCGTTGCTTACCGCTTGGTTCGGTGGAGACGTATGCAACGGAGATATTCCCAATGTGGTTAGTTCGACATAAAATGCTCGGAAGTATCGGCTGCAACGGATCAAGCTCGATGATGATCTTGGGCCGATCCTCCCGTCGTGGTGGCAGAATTCTCTAGAACAACTTTAATGATTTTTTTGACAATTTGATCCACCCCCTACTCCTGACAAACTTTTTCATTGGCAATCCTGTTTTTGACACTGCAGAGAGACGGGATGGCTCAGAGACCTGATGATGATAAATCGTTGAAAAAAATAGTCCAAGCTGCCAGCAGCTGGTGGATTGAAAAGGGAGCTTCGCCGTTGTTTTCTGGTCCATAATCTACTCTATTCCAATCTTTCCTCCTATAAAAAAACAGTTTTTTTAAAGCACATCCACACTTTTCCTTTATCACAATGAGCGTCACATTCGATGTCTTCCGCGGCTCCAAGGAGGGCAAGATCGTGGCCGACAAGACCACGCGCACCTTGCAGCACAACGAAGTCTACATTGAAACCACACACTCTGGTCTTTGCGGCACAGATGAGCACTACCTCACCTCCGGCCAGGTTCTTGGCCACGAGGGTGTTGGTATTGTCCGCCAGATCGGCCCCGGCGTTTCAAACGTCAAGGTTGGAGCTCGTGTTGGATTTGGATACACCCACTACGTGTGTGGCACCTGTCAAAAGTGTTTGACCGGTATGAACCCTCATTCAACAAATAGAGAAGTGCAGGACTGACTCAAATTTCCAGGCTGGGACCAATACTGTGAGAACAAGAAGGAGTACGGCACACACGACCACGACCTGGGCTCTTTCAGCCACGGTGTCGTCTGGGATGCCGGCTGTGTCGTGCCCATCCCCGATAATTATGAGCTCTCCGATGCCGCGCCTTTGATGTGCGCTGGTGCGACTGTCTGGACTGTCCTGACTGAGTACGGCATCAAGCCCACTGACCGCGTTGCTGTCATGGGTATTGGCGGTCTCGGACATCTCGCTATCAAGCTCGCATCCGCCATGGGATGCCAGGTTGTCGTGCTCTCTTCCTCTGAGGCTAAGCGTGAAGAGGCTTTCGGCTTCGGAGCCTCGGAGTACCATGTTTTCCGTGCCGGTCAGGAAATGAAGGATTTCAAGCCTGTCAACCACCTCCTGCTTTGCGGAAGTGCCTGTGTTGACTATCCTTCGTATGTTATCAAAACCACATAAAAAGAAATGAAGCTAACCCTAACACAGTCTCATTCCTCTCATGGACATCCACGGATCCATCTACCCTCTCACTGTCGACTTCACTCACTCACCCGTTCCCATGCTGTTCTTGAACATCAAGGGTGTCCGCATTCAGGGTTCACTGGTTGCCTCTCGCAACAGCCTCCGCAGTCTGGTCCAGTTTGCTGCTGACCACGACATCAAGCCTACCACCATGACCTTCCCCATGACCAAGGATGGTGTCGAGGAGGCCATGCAGACTCTCCGTGACGGCAAGATGAGATACCGTGGTGTTCTTGTTTGCCAGTAGATCACTCACTGAGCGCTTTGATCTTGATTGATAGATTTTCATGTGGCGGTTAGCATACAGCGGAGTTTAATAGATGTATAGATGTATAGATATCAGAATCAAACGGCCCAGAGGCCGTGCATTTTACGAAATATACAGAAGACAACATAGATGGCTGTTTATAACTCGTGATATCCAAATGAGTCAAAGACTGACCTCTCCAGTGAGAACCAGCCCATATTTCAACCCGAGTGATCTATATAAAAGATTCAAATGTTGCACTCAAGATATGTCAGTTTTCCCCCTCGTTTTATTCTTTTGCACCATCGCCCATAGAATAATGAACTTATTCTATGATTTGACCACATGAAAGCTGCTCTCCGCATCTTGGTTCATTCAGCTCAGATAACTCTGCTAAGCCACTGCCACATACCTAAAAAAACAGTTTGAAACTGAGGCGGGACATATATGAAGCTAGTAATGGCAACGCCCGACCATGCTTCCATCCTATTGACTATGCTTGTGGGGAGCACTAGCTGTAATCGCACTATTGTCGCTTGGATTGATGTACACGATAACAATGAATGCATTGTGAAGAAGCAACAATTGAAGATAGGTGTGAAAACAGCCTGTTGAACCAAGGATCTTGTGGCAAGCGACGTGATCATCGAGGCAAAGTTGAACTGGCGATGGAGAATGAAGAAACATGAACCTGCCGTTTCTAGTAAGTCACATCCCAGTCTTCTCAAATAACACTCATATATTGGAATACTGCCCAATGTACCCACAGGAGTGCTTTGAGTGGTATTTGCCCGAAAGCGATCCGAGATAATATCCATTCACAATGGGTCGCGAGAAAATGCTTTGCCTGGCCGGTGAATGCCGTATACGACATCTCACCATTCGCAATAACCTCATACTGAGCATAGCATAAAGATCCAGACGAAAGCGAACTAATTGAAAACCCCCGCTTATCTGCAGATCATGTTGTATTCTAAATATATGCGACTCGGCCTTTCGTATTGTCGGCTTCGCACAAGCTTATCCGTCTCGTATTGCAAAAACAGTGCAAAATTACGCGCAATCGTCATCGTGTTCACTTTCCACCTACTCTTTATGCTTTAACCTCTAAAGCACTACAATGGACTCAACTGTACAGCACTTGCCGCCCGATATTCACCTATCCCCAAAAGCAGGTAAAAGCATCGTGCCAAGATCAAACCCCCCGAGGCCCCATCCGCATATCCGCAGTTGTGCCTTTTGTCGATCGCGTAAAGTGAAATGCGATCGGCAGAAGCCATGCGCGAACTGCCTGCGCTCTGGATCACAATGTGTATATCCCGCAGGACCTGGAAGGGCCCCAAAGCGACCACGGCAGGATCTTGATAAGCGTGTGCTCGACCGTTTGGCGCACCTCGAGGTGCTTGTCAAACGTCTAGACACTGAGGAGGCTGGCCGGTTGCCCATTTCTCCATCAGAGGAGCCCGCTCCCAGCACAGTACCCGAACCTGAGGGCGGACCGATGCAGGTAGAGCAGCAGTTTGGTCGGCTCGTCATTGACGAGACGCGGAGTTGCTATGTGAGCAATAGACTGTGGGCAAGCTTAGGTGACGAAGTATGTGCGCCTTGTTTATGCTCTAGGCATATGGCTCATTTCTTACTGACTGATTTCAGATTGAAGAGCTGCGCGATTTGCTTTATGAGCCGGTATCGGAAGATGAAGACTGCGATGCTGCCATGGATCCCTCTGTGGCGGATACAACCTCATCGCTGGGCTGCAATGCTGCAATAATGGGATTCCAGGCGCTAGCACGATCTTTATGCCCATATTACCCACCATTGTCTCAGTCAGTGGCCTTGTTTGAGATATTCAAGCATAATGTCGTACCACTCGTACACATTTTTCACACTCCGACATTGAACAGTTCGTACTGGGACGCTGTTGCGTCTCCAGAATCCTTGGATCGGAATACCGAGGCATTCCTGTTCGCGATATATTACTCTGCTGTTATCAGCATGGAATCCCAGCAATGTGAGGATTTATTGGGTTTGTCACGAGCGACAGCAGTCAAACATTATCAATTTGCAGTGCAACAAGCCATGGCCCGAGCGGACCTTCTCAACACCCAAAGTATGGTTTTGCTACAAGCAGTAGTTGTGTTTTTATCGGCTCTTCGAAATGAGGATGCCTCGCGTACCGCCTGGTCAATGACTGCGTTGATATTCCATATCGCCCAAGCCATGGGTCTGCACAGAGATGGGGACGCATTTGGCCTCCAGCCACTGGAGGTCGAAATACGGCGTCGTCTTTGGTGGCATATCTGTTTGCTGGATATCCGGTCCTCTGAATATCATGGGTGTCAGCCCATCGTGCACGAGTCCATGTTCGATACTCGGATGCCGCTGAACATCAATGACAGTGACCTTACGGCTGACATGACCGTGCCACCTAATGAACGCGAAGGAGCCACTGAAATGACGTTCTGCCTCATTCGCTGCGAGGTTATGCGTGTTGTGTGGAAAACGGGTTACGTGCCACCCAGCATGCGACGACCCAGTCAACCATTTGAAGCGTTATCACTCCCAGATCGCATCGCCTTGGTCAAAGACCTTCAGCAGCGGTTAGAAGAGCGTTATCTCAAGCACTGCGATACCGCTACCCCATTTTTTCAAGTCTGTGTGACTATCGCACGCTTGATCATCGCTCGTACCTGGCTAGTTGTGTACTATCCTCTTAGTCAGAACAATGATGGCGCAAACCTACCCAGTACTATTCGAGAAAGGCTATTTCTTACCTCCATCAAAGTCCTCGAGCTATCTAACTTTCTCCTTACTGATCCAGACCTCACAAAATGGACATGGCACTCCAAGGCGCACGTCCAGTGGCACGCAGTTGCATTCGTTTTGTTCGAGATCTGTTGTCGCCCACCGTCACAGGAATGTGATCGTGGCTGGGAGTATGCGCAAACAGTCTACAGTCGATGGAAGATGAAAGAGAACAAGGGTAATCTCTGGCGGCCCATCAAGCGTCTAATGGCCAAGGCACAATATGTACGCGAAATGCAAAAGCAAAAAAGGTCATCTCCAAGAATGCATTGGCGAGTGGCTGGAATGACCACGGCGCGACCTGGTACCGTTTCAACGGAACCCTCTACCGATATTCGTTTCTTCGAAACCTCTGCAGTCGAGTTTGGGGCTATCAATAGCACCCCACCGGGTTTACCGGATCAGTCAGGTGTTCTTCCCACTGAATCCTTGGACCCGTTCTTTGGAACTTTCGCCAATACAGAGCTTCCCGACCTATATTCGGCCGATTTCAACTTTGTCATGCCAACCTGGGTCGAATCGCCTGATAATATCAACCTTGGAAGCTATGCGTAGGGTCCATAGAATCTAGTCCTTTAATGGCGTTATGCGATTGATAAGTAGCCTCTGAATGCAATTACAATAGTAGTCATAAATATGTACAAAGTGCTATTTGGTGTTGGTCAGTACCTGTACGAAACCAACGAAGCGCGTGATTCATTCCAAATGTCGCATCATTCTGCTTTGGCCTCTGTTTCTTCCACCATTTTCGAGCTCGTCCCCAAAACGAAGTACGTGTATTGAAAATTACGCGCTCTCGGACTTTCGATCACAACCCGGGATTGGTCGGGACCGCATAAGCTTGACCGAAGAGAGGGGCCCACTCCGCCCTGATGCCACAAGCGATCCCTAGTTGACCACCCTTTGTTTCTGTACGCTGATCCGGTCTCGTGTAGAGTGGATAGACGGCCGCATAGGTAGAGCGCCGATGTAGCCACCCCTCTCATGTTCAGTATTTAAGCCTCTTAAACAGTCAACTCATCCATTCACATTGTAGACCTGCCAGCCCTTTCTCCAAACGTCGCAGTAATGACCACTTCCCAGACGGACAACCAGATATCAGTTGACGACCGGAAGGATCCTGAGAGTCAAACAAAGCCCTTGGAGCACCCTCTTCTCTATGACGCAACACCGTCCACTGTTCTCGTTGAATTCGTCGGAAAGGATGATCCATACCATCCTATGAACTGGCCATTTCGGAAGAAAGTCTTTACAACTCTTCTTTACGGCCTTACAACATGTTGGATTACATTTGCATCAGCCGTCTTTGCACCAGGCTCAAGCCAAGTGTCAGAAGACTTTCACGTCAACTCAGAGGTGGCAGCATCTGGTATTAGTCTAATGGTCTTTGGCTTCGGGCTAGGTCCCCTCCTCTGGGCACCCTTAAGTGAAGTATATGGGCGGAAATGGGTAGTGATACTGGTATGGATACGCAGCTTGACATATCATTTAATGCTAACTGATGTGGTTCCTAGCCTTACTTTGTTGCGGCTATATTTTCCTTTGGAACTGCAACAGCGAAGGACATACAGACTGTTCTAATTACCCGATTCTTTGCGGGGTTGTTTGGAAGCGCGCCTGTGACGAATACAGGTGGTGTAATGGCTGATATATGGCCACCTGAGCAACGTGGTCTTGCTATTGTTGGGTATGCTATCACCATCGTTGGCGGACCAACACTTGCACCAATCATTGGGGGTGCTCTCGTGTCGTCCAGTCAGCTTCGTTGGAGGTGGACTGAGTACCTTACCGGTATTCTTATGATGGTGCAGGTGGTTTTGGATATCGTGGGCTTAGACGAAAGCTACCCCCCGGTATTACTGGCATACAAGGCTCATCGACTACGTTTCGAGGGCAAGAACTTTGCATTGCATGCCAAGGTCAGTTCACGTCCAGATCTACTGAAAGCTTTGGTCATTTCTAATTCTGCATAGCAAGATGAATGGAGCTTCTCGCTGAAAGAGATTTCACAGAAATATCTCATTCGCCCATTTCAAATGTTAGGAACGCCCATCTGTCTATTGATGAGCATATATGCGTCCTTCGTTTATGGTAGGTAGCTCTGGACATGAAGTTCTATCGTATACAAGCTTACCGAGTTCTTCTATCAGGAATATTGTACGCAAACCTCGAGGCATTTTCTTATGAGTTTCAAAAACTCCGCAGATGGGGCCCAGTTGTCGGCAACCTTCCATTTATCGCTCTCCTCGTTGGAATTTTCTTTGCCGCAGCGATCAACATATACAACAACCGATATTACTTCGAGAAGTTCAAAGCAAATGACAATAAAGCAGTTCCCGAGGCTCGCTTACCGCCGATGATGGTTGGAGGATTTGCATTCACTGCAGGTCTCTTCGTATTTGGATGTAAGTGAAATTCGAAGAATTTCGTATACATCAGAGGATGACTAACAGCCTCCAGGGACCTCGTCACCGACAATCAATTATTGGCCTTCTATCATTGGGATCGCCTTGATAGGCTTTGGCTTTACAACCATATTTCAAGCAGCACTCAACTACTTGGTGGACACCTTTACACGATTCAGTGCTAGTGCCGTCGCTGCTACGACCTTTCTGCGCTCAATGATGGCGGGTGCATTCCCGCTATTTGTAAGCCCCATGTATCGTAAGATCGGGGTTGACTGGGGTACCACTGTCTTTGGTTGTATCGCAGCGGTATTGATTCCTGTACCATTCTTATTCTTTTTCTGGGGAAAGCAGATCCGAGCTCGTGGAGAGTGGAGCAAACATACAATTTAAACGTAGATAGAGGTAGATAGAGGTAGATAGAGAAAGCATGATTTATAACGTTTTATAGTAATTATAGAGTAATGCAATGGTGTGATATTGAAGGAGGCAAATAATAGTGGAATATTTTACGTTATAAGTGGAGAATGCCCAGGAAAATCAAGAACGCGCTAAACCGTATTTGGAAGGCACTACGATTTTCCAGAAGGCTTCAGGTACCAAACGAGTCGGCAATTGTGCGGCACACCGAGAGATTCGGAAACATTGTTACCGAGCCCCATATTTCGTGAAATCTTAGCTATTTTCGGGCCGTGTCCGAGTTCTTCTTGGGGTTTTTTTTGTCATCTTAAGCAACTTTCCTTCTTCTCGCCCGAACCTCTTTGTCACATTCTCAAGTTACCCCAAGACTAGCAGGTCGACATTCACTAAGATCCAATGTCGATCAAGAATGAGAAGAAGATGATTCCGGGCGATGGTCAGCCCGACATGACCGACCAGGAGCAGCAGATCTACGAAGCAGGTGTCCAAAAGTTCAACAAGCTAGGATGGAAGCGCTTGACAATCGTCCTGATTGTGGAGGCTGTGGCCCTCGGATCTCTTTCTATCCCATCTACGTTTGCAACCCTAGGCATGGTGGCAGGTGTCATCTGCTGCGTGGGTCTCGGCCTCGTCGCTGTCTACACTAGCTACATCATCGGCCAGGTTAAAGTCAAGTACCCTCACATCACAGACTACCCCGAAGCCGGGAGAATGATGTTCGGCCGATGGGGATATGAAATCGTCTTCGTGATGCTGTGTTTGGAGCTGCTGCTGTCGGCTGGATCTCACTGTCTCACTGGATCGATCGCATTCGTCAACATCACAGGAAGCAACATCTGTACTGTGATTTTCGGCTTCGTGTCCGCTGTCATTTTGCTGCTGTTTGCTATCCCACCGAGTTTCTCCGACATGGCTATTCTAGGCTATATCGACTTTGCCTCTATTATCATTGCCATCGGAATTACCATTATCGGAACTGGCGTGGAGGCTAGCCAGTCCACTGGCGTCGCAGCGGTCAATTGGTCAGCTTGGCCAAAGGACAACCTGACCTTCTCAGAGGCGTTCATCGCTCTTTCCAACATTATTTTCGCCTACAGTTTCGCCCTCTGCCAATTTTCTTTCATGGATGAAATGCACACTCCTACTGACTTCCCCAAGTCCGTGTGGGCGCTGGGTCTGACTGAAATCTTCATCTACACTGTGACTGGCGCACTGGTGTATGCTTTCGTCGGTCAGGATGTCCAGAGCCCTGCCCTGCTGTCTGCCGGTAGTCTACTCAGCCGAATTGCGTTCGGAATCGCCCTGCCAGTGATCTTCATCAGTGGTTCTATCAACACGGTAGTGTTGGGTCGACTTGTCCACGGCCGAATGTTCAAGAACTCCAATATCCGCTTCATCAACACCAAGATGGGCTGGATCACCTGGCTGGCCTTGATCACATGTCTTACGGTCCTTGAATTTGTTGTTGCTGAGGTCATTCCATTCTTCGACGATCTCCTCTCGCTCATCTCATCGCTCTTCATCTCCGGTTTCACCTTCTATTTCCCGGCCATCATGTGGTTCATGTTCATCCGCCAGGACAGCTCGTCGACCGGTAAGACCATCCTTCTCGGTGTGGTCAACGCCATAATCTTGATCATTGGTCTGATTGTTCTCGGTGCTGGAACGTACTCGAGTATCTTCGATATTGTAAGTTTGATCAACCCTCCCGATATTACTGTTCTATTTGAGCATATACTGACCCGTTATAGATCAAGTCATATGATGAGGGCACCGTCGGCGGAGTGTTCTCGTGCAGCTCCTAAGCGTTCATGCGCATGATTTATGTAAACGTATAGACAAGATAGACATGTTTTAAGTGTATTAACTTATAGAATAAGATGTATTTATAGACAGTCGAGCGATTCATTCAGATTGTACGAGACTGCGGTCATGAACCCCCTATGCCAAAGTAACCCAACTATCTTGATGAAAGCTCTTTTATCATTTGCTATTTGCTGCTAGATGTTGGCATCTAATAAGCGCTAAATGGTAGCACGGTATGATACGTACCCGAAATTGTAGTATAGAATTTTCGGGGCACTGAACTCGGGGGCTAGTTCCCAGCTTACGATCATCGATGTTGGCAGAGCCGGATTGGTCCGGTTGATTAAAGACACCGCCAACATGAGCCCAAGAGTATTGATTAAGCGCCTGTCTATCTTGCAGAGAGTTGTTTTTCTTTCAGAAGGCAGTAAATCATCTGCCGTTGGCTCATGCGGATGTTGATTCATCGTCTGGAGAGGTTCCGTCATGATCTTTTCAGAGGTTTCAAAAGCTGACTCATTGTCGACGTAAGATAATTCTGCATGAACTCGCAAATCTTTTATTAATGAATGGCAGCTATTTAGATCTGAATTTCGGCAAATTCGGGAGATGATTTGCGTCTGACCTGTTTGGAATATGCCGATTCGCCGAGACCACTTCACTACTACCGAGAGTAACACAGCATTCGTCCGAGAATAAATAATGGAGGTGCTATAGCCCGTACGAGCACCTAGGGTCAAACGATCACATTCGATACGGTGAGCTGAGCAAGCAACATTCAACGACACAGACACGATGAAATGGCAAACAAAATCCATCTTGGTGACACTTCACCATCGCTTGACGACACCGCAGACTATAAAAGCGCCGAGCGCGGTTTCTTGAAATCGCGAAAGCAATGTTTGATCAAAAACGACAAGGGAAAGATAGTCTGGGACAGTGACGAGTACAAGTTCGTCAACGAACAGCCCTGCCCAGCTACTGTCAACCCCAAACTGTGGCGCCAGGCTCAACTGCTATCAAAGCAAGGGCTATATCGCATTAGCCCTTCCATGTACCAAGTTCGCGGCTTTGACATCTCCCACATCACCTTTGTCGAGGGCAAAACAGGTATCATTGTCATCGATCCCCTAGTTTCGTGCGAATGTGCCAAGGCAGCTTTGGAGCTCTATCAGTCCGAGCGAGGAGTTCGCCCAGTCAAAGCCATCATATACTCTCACTCGCATATTGATCACTATGGCGGAGCGGCGGGGGTATTGCCTGATTCAGTGATAGGCTCTGCGATCGACAACATCCTCATTATTGCTCCTGAGGGGTTCATGAAGGAAGCAACCTCAGAGAACATTGTTGCAGGACCTATCATGCGCCACCGTGCAGTATACATGTATGGATCCACTCTCCCCAGATCTCCCGTCGGACAGATTGGTGTCGGATTAGGGATGGGAACTTCACAAGGCAAAACCAGTCTCATCCCGCCTACCATCGACATTCGTTACACTGGACAGGTTTTGACCATTGAAGACGTTCGCATTGTCTTTCAAATGGTGCCAGATACTGAGGCACCAGTTGAAGTGAACATGTACTTCCCCGATGAGCAGGCTCTTTTGGTCCCCGAATGTGCAGTCCACTGCATGCACAATATCACTACTCTTCGGGGTGCTTTGATCAGAGATGCGAGAGCATGGAGCAAGTATCTCGACGAAACTATAATCTTGTACTGTGAGAATGACCGAACGGATGTTTTGTTCGGGAGTCACAGTTGGCCGACATGGGGAGAGGAGAATGTGAAGAGCTTGCTGGAAGATCAAAGAGACCTATATGCCTACCTGCATGACCAAACAGTGAGGCGAATGAATGAAGGCTGGAATGGCACTGAAATTGCAGAGGCAATGATTTTACCTGCCCGACTGAGACGAGCATGGCATACACAAGGATTTTATGGGAGTGTGAGCCATAACGTGAAGGGCATGTATCAACGTTATATGACATGGTTTGATGGATATGCTGAGAACCTCTGGAAGTGGCCACCACACCAGGAGGCTTGCAGGTACATCAAATGCATGGGAGGCGTGAACAAAATTCTGACCAAGGCTAAGCTCTTCATTGAGGAAAATGACTTGCGATTCGCCGCTACTTTGCTAGGCCACCTTGTCGCGGCAGGCGACCAAGCTGGGGGCACTCCGGCTTTGCGAGCTGAAGGAAAAGCAAAGCTGGCAGACGTATTTGAGCGCCTTGGATTTGGGAGTGAAAATGCAACATGGAGAAACTTCTACTTGGGCCAAGCATTGGATCTAAAAAGAGGGAATCGTCCTCGAAACAGATATCAGTCCGGGCTGGCCAACCTTCCAGTGAGTTTGTCAGTGGAACAATGGCTCGGTAATCTGGCCCTTAGAATCGATGGAGAAGAAGCTGGAAAAGACGAAACGCGCATATGCATTGATATTCTCGTCACAGACGCGCAGGAAAAATGGAAATTGATTCTTAGCAATGGCGCTTTGACTTACAGACGACAAAATGAAAACACCAGTGGAATGAACTCCCAGGTGGATCTGTCTGTGTCTCTTAAAAAGCACGAGATACAACGGATCCTGACTGGCAGGGATGTGGGAGAAATCCAAATCCTCGGCGGCCATGTTCAGGCACTCAATAAGTTGCTTTCATTTGCGGGAATTTCCGAAGCCAAGCTTAGGTCAAACAGTCATCTATAAGATATATAATTATACTAGATGCTACAAGTGATCATTACGGTAATATCGTACGTAGCCTATGCAAGGTATGTTAAAGCTATGCGGTCCTCTGTGAGCATATTTACATTCAGTCTATGCACTGGTCACTTTTCTTTCCACTCTCACCTCTGAGACAAGCCAAATACTCATCAGTGCCTGTGGCGAATGATCTTAGGTTTCGGTAGATATTGCTCGGTCGGCTGTATCGTGCGGACCCCCAGACACTTCGGCAGTAGACTATGCAGCTCGGTGAACTTTAACGCAGAAACAGCCGAGGATTTTAATTATATGTTCCCTTCAATAATATAAATGGGTGATTCTGTAGCCGTTCCCTAGATACCAACAACGTTGCTCGTTAGGGACAGAAAGATGAATTACCCGCCATCTGACAATCCGAAAGAAAGACAGCATGCGCTTAATTTTGCATACATGGTGAGATCAAGATAGAAAGAACTTGTGACCAAGACTGACATGCTGCTGCATAGTACGGATATCCTCTCCTGGAGTATGGCAAATTTGTAGCACAATTTCCCAATGCCTGCACCAACACTCTTTACCATGACCGACGACTTTCAACTTCAAATGACCTCAAAATCATTCGACCAAACTCTGACACGCTGTATTCCACTATCTTCATGGATCTGTCTTCGAATGATCTGCAAATTATTATTCCCGAACTTCCAGACCGTTACTGGGTTTATCCCTTCTACGATTTGTACGCTGCCTTCAAATTCCCTCTAGGACTCAACCAGCTTACTTCTTGCTTGCCATTAGATATGGGAATGACATAGGCAACATCAGTAGTCTTCAGGGTCATCGGGCAGGAAAGTACCTTATCCGACATGCCAGTGAAAACTTTGGTTTATTTCTCGGTCCTCCGCCAGAATGCGAGAACGATGCCGATATTTCGGGCTATGTCAACTTGCCTACCCCCTACGGCATATGCTTTGCGCGATTCGCCACGACACAAGCCATCCAGGACCAAGAGGCTGTTTGTAAGTATCAGGATCAGATTCAACTGTTTTCTGTTCCTCGGCTCGCTGGATGTTCGGCTCCTCAGTTGCGGCTTTCTATTTTTACGGTTCCTGAGCATCAGCCATCACAGAAGCTGTCTCCCGAAAAAGTCATCTTAAGCTTGACTGCAATATTAGCTCCCTTAAACCCTTCTCCTGTCTTGGAGGACAGACAGTGTATTTCTGACACCCTCACGCGAAGCGGGATGAAAGATGGTGTTTTCACTTGTCCCGAAAGAGTTGATATATCACAAGCCCCCCAGTTTGCCGAAATCCAAGCCAGAGATGGCTTGCAAGCTCCTGGTGGCAGGATGGACTTTGGTAATGGGTGGGACTCTGCATTTCCAGAATGTATGGGAAATTTTGGATCGAACTATGCTGCAAGATATTACATAGCCAAGTTCGGCTACCTGGGTGTCACGAGCGATCAGGCAATCTACCCATCTCGGCCTCAAGCTCTCAGGTTTGAGCACGACGAAGCTGTCTTGGTACGCTTCTCTCGCCGGCCTGTTCTGCTCATGACTGGATTCTGGAGTCTGACCGCCTATGATGCAGACCAGTATCTCGTCAAGAATAACTTAAATAGGTATGTTCTTGGAGATCGAGATGATATGACCTTTCCTGATGGGGCACGACTCGATGATGAAAACAAGGATGGCGAGTTCTTTATCCTGTTGCAGCCTGCGGACGTTCCACCACCAGCTCAGTGGAAAAATCACTGGCTACCCTCACCAGCAGGTGGTGGAAAGATGTCAATAACATTGAGACTCTACGGTATCAAGCAGGAGATGATATCCAAATCCTACGAGTACCCGAGACTCGAGTATATCAAAGCAATCACTGATTCCGCCAAGTCATTGCTATAAGAAGTGTGCTTCTCCGTTGGTCTTATTGGATCTTGCTTTTGTATATTAAACAAATAACATTTATTGAATTGCGAGTGCAAGAGCACCGAGTGTCCGTAGTCTTTGAGTGATTAGAATGTGTGTTAAATAGGAGGTGTGACGGAGATTATACTAAATTCCATGGATATGTTTTATGAATCTGCTCGTTTGACTGGCTACTTTTGAGATGGGATTTCCTGACTAAGATCGAATAGATGCACAATTCATTGTTATTCTGACGAGGGACATGCCCTAGAAAATTGAGTCGAAATCATTGAGACTGAGGAGATTATCTATCGACCAGTCTGTGAGACCTTCAAAAATCCCGTTGGTACCGCTGTCCGTTTCCAGCGTGGATAGTAGTGCTATTCTTGGGCTCAATTGCCGCTCAAATGGAAATAATTCCTGTACTTTCGGCATGACAATGTGTCCTTTCCAGATTGGGTCCCAGGAAGCTCTGTCTATGTCTTCAAGTCCCGGCAATGGATTGAGTGATTCACCCTGTGATAATATCTCGGCTTTGCAGCGCATAATTTGCTCAACTATTGCCCTCGCGCCGGGGAACTTCAATGTTCTTTGATTCAAGACTTTCAGGAGAATATCAAGCTCCTCCATTGCTAGTGGATCAGGAATCCGGTTTTTGTCTCCGAGCTTAACGGTGAGTTTCTCATTGCGGATGCTACTGAGTTGTGGAAGCGCAGCAACCATCATGGACCAATTGCTAATTGACATGAGATAGTTAATATCGTCTCGGTAATCCATCTCTTGATAGAGGCGGATCATGCATGAAGACGCCACCAAGTTTATCGTAAGTGTGGCTGAAGGGTGGAAAAGTCGTCCATGAACTTGGAAAAAAGTGATGATACAAGTAAAATACCAAGTAAGGATTTCATAGAAACCACGCTCGTATGTTCTGTTGCCTTGTTCATCAAATAAATGAATATCTGGCGGGATAATTGCTACCCAATTCTTCAAGTCTGACAAAACAGATAAAGCTTCATCTGGACCGTTAGAGACTCCCCGGTGGCGAAGGGGCAGCATCTTCTCTAAATGGTCATCAACTTTACGTAGAGAACGAACAAGCGGGCTTGGTCCGTTCTGGGGTCTTCAAAGTCTGTGACACACGGTGGATGTAAATCAAAGTCTTGCGACTTGATCATTTGGGGCCGGCCAAAGCATGCCGCGTGTAACTTGTCATGTGCGTAGAGAAACCACGCTATTCTGCGAGCACAACCAGGGTTGGATATTTGCGCATACGTCGATTCCTGATGAAGACCAATTTGAAACGCAAAGCGGATAGCAAGACCGAGCCAATTCCAGCTGTTGTCTACCGTTATCACAGCGGGAGGAGTGACATTCCACAGAGCGAGTAAACACAAAGCCTTGAGGATGGTAATGGGATCTCGCTCGTGGTTCGTATAGAATAAAGCTTTTGCTCTTGAGTAGTATTTTTCGCTTTCCAATAAGCATCTTGTTGACTTTGGATGGCGGAGAATAGACCCCGCTAGACATAGAGACTGTAACAGAAGCGTGGACTGGCAGGTGGGGACGACGTCTTGGCGATCCACAACTGGCATTCTATGGTAGAGATATTGGAAGTATGCCGCAGTGAGGGCGTCGATCATCGACTGCGGTGGTAAATGGTCTGCTTCTGTGGTAACCACCGTTTGCTCCTCGATGGACCTACAGAAGGAGCCAACAACCTTCGAGGCATCTGAAGGTAGCGGTCTATGATTTGGCAATACCGCAAGCCCTCCGACGTATGCCAAATTGCCCGATGCACATGTATCCTGGGGCAGATTTCGGCTAGCACTTCCAGGCGCGACTGATTCCTCGATGGACGAAGGACCTTGCGGTGTCGTGCCGAGACTACCGAGCGGCGACAGATCCAAGTGAGCAGCTGATTGGGATGGCGGAATACATCCACTGTGTGACTTTTTATGTTCCCTCGTTTGACAGGACTCGGCACGTTTTTCGCAGTTCGTGCAAGTGCCCTTGTGGAGTCGCAAGATCAAGTCGCACTTGACCTTCCGGAAGTGACACCGCTGACACACAAGTCTTGAACGATTTCGGAGCACTCCGCCAATGCGGGATGCTTGATTCGCAACCATCATGTAGCTGGGAATCGGAAAATTGGGGGAAGGACCGAAGAGATCGATGACACCAAAATGTTCGCCAAGTAAGAGCTCAATTACCACGCCATTTGTGGAACCGAGGCTATACCCCGCGTCTAGCTTCCTCAAACTAGATACTCGAATCAAATTTGCTCACAAGCTATGAGGCTCAATAAGAGGCCTTTTGGGAATTGACTTGCCTTGAAGGGTGAACTGGGGGATGGGGGCCCGATTTACTGAATCTCTATAAGTCTTGAGTTATATCTGACTATTTATTTCCTAGTTGAATGTAACTAATTCGGGGATTGCTCGACTAATGCTAGAATTGACACTGGAAAGTATGTGGAAGTCCTTTGAACACTGCTGATTGCTCATCTAACATCGGCATTCATTAATTTCTAATTGATCGTGGCGTCTATCGACTCAATTATTGATCATGTCATACGGCCAGTACCTGAGGTTGCATACTGGTTGATTGCTGGTAGAAAATTGAAGATCCCTCGGTAGTGCTCGGTAGTCTCGGTGCGGGGTGGAGGTGAGATGAAGGGGCAATGTGTGTTTTTCGGATTGTGTCGATGCAGTTGACAATGTATTGGGGCATTTTCTGGAAGTTGGCAATGGAGGATGAGTGCTGTTGCGTCATGACTTACTCGTTTTCATATTTTTGCTTCCTGTACTCAAACTGGGTTCTCCTAATGTATGAGACCGAGAAACAATTTGTGTGAAAGGAACAGATATATTCAACACCGAGTTTACAGATCGGCTTCCTCGTCAGAAAATTATGGCTATCAGTCTTATGTCCAGAGACAGGCCCTGCCGTTCAATGCATTAACTGAAAAGGTCCTTTATATATGAATGTATTTCTATTTATATAAACCCCAAATCAAACAGCCCTTACCTTCATACAAGGAGCCAGAGCCCCCGTCTCAGCACCAACAGTATTAACAATTTTCTGGCGATGAAACCTCTTCAAAACATCGGGAACACCATCTCCATTCCCTGCAATTCCAATGCCTAACTGCACCAAAACCTCCAGGACAGCGGAATAAAGAACCCCAACATTCCCATCCTCAATCTTAACAGAAATTCCCAGCGCCCCCTCAACCCCCAACTTCCTCGTCGCCTCACACTCCCTTACTCCAATCCCATAACACCCATCAGCTCCAAGCTTCCCAATAAGCAAACCCCCATACGCTTCCATGAGCAGTGTACAGAAACGACCTTCACCACCGACCAGCCCAGGATGGCGCCACATAGCATGGAAAACCCGACTCATGGCTTCTGTCCTTGTACCCGTGTATGCAGAGGGATTGGGATTGGAGGCCATTGAATCAGCGGCAGCGGCGAATCTAGCATTCATACGCGCTAGATAGTGGAGCTCGAAAGCTGGAGCTGGGAGGTTGCAGCCATCAAGACCCCAGACTGATTCATCACCAGTACCACCACCAAGACCGCAGACATCATCGACTACCCGACGAACATGAATCTGGATAGGATGCGTCGGTAAATGATATCCCTCCACCCCATCCTCAGCAGAACAAGCCAAAACCTTCGCACCGGCAATCATACCAACATGCTTCCCAGAACAATTACTACAAACAGCCCCAGGGACAAAATCCCGCTTAATCCAGTCCCGATGAACGGAATCAGAAAGAGGAACATGACCTCCACATTGAAGATGGCTCTCATCTGCACCGACTTTGTCAAGCATACTGCGTGCGCGAGCGATATGTCGTTCTTCGCTGTTATTCGATGCACACATGAAGGCTAGATCGCCTTCATCTAGATTGAATTTGTCGACTGCGCCTGTCTCCACGATTGCCAGTGCTTGCGCTGGTTTGGCCGCTGAGCGCGCTAGGGTTATGCGATGAGCATCGCCGACGCTGAAGAGTAGGACGCCTTTTGTGTTTGTCACTGCTGCGTGGACACTGTGGCGGTTTTCGATTACGCCGCCGCGTGTTGAGTGTATTGTGTCTGTTTGGATTGGGCGGCGCATTTTGATTTGATTGTTCAATTGCAATGATGGTTCAATGTCGGTATGTTGTTTAGTTGTCTCCGGTTTTATTAGACTTTTTCGCGCATTGGCGATGGATGTGTCATGGTCGGCACGTTCCGACAGGAGGCGGGAGGCGGCTGTGTGGCGGCTTACAGTTGAAGATAGGGGCATGTAGGAAATATGACTGGGTATGACCGAATATGACTGTGACTCTGAAACATTCATGTATGTGGGTATGTGTCTGTGTATGTGTCTGTGTAATCTGACATGTAGAAGCATGATAAAACGTGTATATGTGAATCGCTCAATGACTCCCCCCTCTAAATTTTGTGAAATGCACCAAATCCCAACCGCTTGAAAACGCTGAAAACCCGAAATGTAGTAAAAATGTAAACAAGAAATCCAAGATGTACAGCAAAAATATGTGTAAAGTGCTGATAGATGATTAGAAGCTGAAAAGGCCGGTGCGCTTCTTGCCGAATGGATAGACGACCAAAGCGGCAATGAAGAGTCCGACTGTAATACCGATGGCGACTTGAATCATGCCGAATCCAAGACTGGCCACGGATGTTTCAGAAAGAACACTGGCCGATGAGCTTGTGCCGTTGTTTTTTAGATTCTGTCGGACCTCGTCGGCATATCTGATACCGGCGATCAAAGATCCACTAGATGCAAGACCAGATGGCACTAGCACGAAGATACCAGGGAGAATGGCAGTGGCTGCGTGGCCGTGCCAGAGTCGACTGTACAGATTGCCCAGGACACCAATTGTGAAAGCACCAACAGTGTTGGCAACTTCGGATTGGGAACCGAGCTTGGTGGTGCTGAAATAGTTGGCGATATATCCGGAGACGGCGATGAAGACCATGACTGGCATTTGTTTCCACTTGCCGTGATTGACGATGGCGAGGAAGATTGCGTAGATGGCCACGAAGGGGAATTGTCGTAGATACGTAGACCCGTAGACGTCGAGGCCCGAACATGTTGACGAAGAGGTAGCGTTTCCATCCATCAAACCGTATATCGTAGTTCCGACCGTAATACCGTAACCCAAGAAGAGAGAGTAGATAATGGCATACACCATACGAATCGATCCAGCGATCATCTGGTGGGATTGCAGTTCCAGACTGCTGCACAGAACCATGAAACCAGGCAAAATCAGAGCAATAGAGGACTGGGCCATAGCCGAGAAGCAGAAAAGCTCCTCGGATTGTCCGTTTCGAGTGACCTTGATACTGCCAAACGCACGCGCCAGGAACGAGGTCAGGACCGCAGCCGTAACCTCAAAGACGTTCGAATACAGTGTAGATTTAGGTGCAAGGACGTGCTGCATCATCCCGACCAAGCAGCCTAGACAGAAAATGAGAGGCATGTCGATGGGTCGTGCGCTGAACGCGAACGGCCCAACAGAAGAACTAGCCAGGCCGTACATCACAACCAAGATCCACTTGTTGAACCGGGGCTTGCGCTGCATGATCTCATCAAGTTCATGGGTGGCCTCTTCGACGCCGATGAGATCGTGGACAACATTCTTGTAAACATTGTGAGTATCAGCCAGGCGTCCGAGATCGACACCCTGCACCATACGCACGAGTTTGACTTCAGCTGTGCGCGTGGTTGGGTCATCAAAAGACATGATCATACACCCGGGAAGATACAAGAACTGGCCTGATACCTCCAGGACGCGGGCGGTCATCTGCATGTACTCTTCGAGACGATGAGTCGGTGCGCCGTATCTCATAAGCGCACGGCACAGCTGCATGATGTAGCGCTGTCGCGCAATGATCTCCGCGATGTGTACCGTAACACGGATCTCATCTTCAAGACGAGTCTTGCGCTTGGCCTTTCTGCGTTTTGCGCCGGGGGTGACATCAGCCACAGCGGGCAAGCTGGCAGTGCTGAGGTTCATCGAGGCATTGACTAAGGATGAGGTAGACCGGTGGGCGGGTTTCTTGTACCACTTCAGCTTCTCCTTGCGCGGTGTAGCGGCGCCAGATGTGGGCATGGACGGGGTGATGGTCGGAGAGCGGGAGCCCTTCTTGGGCGTGGTCATGCCCGAGGACACCTGAGTATCGCTATCGGAGTCATCAGTAATCACACTCTCAGGGCGAGAGGAGCCTCCGGTGGTGCTAGCTTGGAGCTTTAGCAGCTGCGACAGAATGCCGCTACCGCCGCCGAATCCACTGGACCGACGGCGCTGCGCAAAGTCTTTGATCAGTCCCTCCGGAGTGGTCTGACCCGACCGCTGGTACGCGCTCTGAGGTTTGCGCTTGCGCAATTGATCTTGGACCATGGTCATGCTGCGGACGAGGCGATGAGCCTCGGCACTGGCGGGTGGCTCATGCAGCTCCTCGCCGTTCTCCAACGCGCGCGCTCTATCCGCATCATGCCGAGCGCGGCGGGCTTGAAGTTCCTCGAGCGGGATGCCGCTGTCGAAATCGTCAGGAATGTATGACGCGTTAAGCGCCTCGCCCTCATCCGGCGGCCGACCGAGGCGTTCAGTCAAGCGCGCAGTCTTCTGGCGGAGGAGCTGACCAGCAGCTCTGAATCGGTCCTTGGCGGAAGTCGTGCGATGGATGTCGGTCGCAAAATCATGTTTCTCAGATTGATTCTCATCTGACGTGCGCACGTTGGCGAGGCCCGATCCGTGCCTGGAATGTGTGGGAGCGGGCGGGGTGATGGTTCCGGAAAGCGGCACTTCGCTGAGGTCTGCGGGCGGCAACAACGGGCGCGACAGATCAGAAGGTTCTGTGACATCGCGCGACTCATTTCGCCTCAAACTCATTGAGCGGAAGCGTACTCGGGGCGATCGGATTCCCCTTTCGGGTGGCTCGAGCGTGTCATAATGGTGCGCATCGGCGGTGGCCTCTCGTTCGAGGCTCTGGCGATCCCCAGGATTGGAGAGTTCAATGATTGGGAGGGGATATTCGGCATATTCTTCATTCGGACTCGGATGCGGGTTGGTGATGCCCGACATGAAGGTGGGCTGCAAGCCTCTATGCAAGGCACTAGCGAGTGACAGAAGTGATCAGAAGGCAACAAGATGAAGGGAAGAGAAGAAGAGAAAGAGGCAAGAATAGCGAAAATAGTTTAGAATAGAAAGAAGAAAGTACGGTCTAGAGCAAAGTAAAAACAAATGAACCACGGAACCAGCGATCTCGAAGCGGCGATAGAAGTATAAGAATTTCAGTACTTGGCACACACTACACTAACATAGCACTAACAGCAGAACAAATGCCTCCTTTTAAGTCTAGACGTAGATCGACTGAGCTTTGATCACCGATCGAACAAGCATGTCAATGATAAGAGAAATGCATGACACCATTCTGCCTTTCTATTTGTTCCTTTTTTTTTTTTTTCGCTAACTTTGCAAACCCTAAGTTTCCACACTATAAACCCACTCTAAACACCTTGATAGCTCCCTCCTAGCCGCTGAACTGTCGTTGAAACGCTGTATCACCCCCTTCTCTGACGGAGAATAAATCTAGACTTGACTACGTACCTTCAGTACATCAGCGAGGAGATGTGGGTCATGGTGGCGATCTTGTTGTCACCGAACTATCCGCAGTGGTTCATAGTTCCTTGGATAAGAACCAGGATGAGATCAAAAGGAACCATTCAACGCTAAAAGTTACCGGCCTTGTTTTCTCTCTCACACACGTTCTCTTTCATCATCTTGCCTTATCTTGTACAACCCCCTTAGGCAGCGGGCTGCCCAAGTTGTCGATCCCGGCCCACCATACAACTCCGTTCTGACAGCCACCTCCTGAGCTATAGTGGAGTGCAATTGTAAAATCCCAGGAAAATCCCAGGCAAATCCCTCGGATTGGCATACCCACCCTATGATGTGATGATGTGATATTGGATTTCATATTTCTGCTTCAGACTTATACATAGAAGCAGACCCACCAAGGCGAGAACATTACGAATCGCCGAGAGCTCACGGCGCCACCGGAGTGGAGCAAACTCATCTTCACAGGCTAAAAGGGGAGCTAGAATTTGAAAAACTGTGTCGACCACATGATACAATTTCATTGTACTGTACACTTGAAACCCGAGATCCCTACATGCTCCATAAACAAACATATGACGATCTCTGATCTAAGATTCAAGATCCCAAGTCTATCTACTCCGACCGCTCTTTCTGAGGCAAAGTCCAGCCATTCAGCATGCCACATCCAGTGTTGAGATATGCAGCGTATCCCAGCCAGGCAGCATAGGGGACCAAGCACCAGAACGCCGTGCGATCGGCCGACCACCAATTCACCATCAACGCACCCACGTTACCCGCCAGCAGGGCCAGATCGCCCAGAGCCACAGCTGGCCGCCCCAATCGGAAGAAGAGGGGCATCCAGAGGAAGTTCAGGGCCAGCTGGGTAGTGTAAAGTGTCTGTGCGGATGAATTGGCATCGCGCACCGCGAGCGATAGTGATTGTGACGCGGTGGTCGTGGCGTGGTGTGAGGCGTACCCCATTAGTCCGTACAGGAGTGTCCAGGCCGGCGCGAAGAGCCAGCCTGGTGGGCTGTAGGGTGGTTGCTTGAGTTGATTGTAGGTCGCGCGGTTTTGTTTGCCTGTAGACGTCAGTGAAGGGGTCTTCTGGTGATTGTCATTGGTTGTCACACGATTGGTCAGGAGGGCTACTGCTGTTCCTCCGACGATTGGAGTTGTTACCGCCAACAGGGGTGAGGCGAAGATCGCCTGTGGGAGTGCAATAGACCAAGGCATTGTGCTAGGATGTGATGCTTGATAATTGACGATATTGGCAAGTTAGGGGAAGTTGAAGCGATCTGGCGATTTCTGATTCCCCTACGTCATCGACCCTGCCTTGGCACCGCCATCAGCCACTTTTTTGCGTGGCAGAAATAATGACCGGCCATATTTTGGAATATGATGCTGAAGTGTACTCTATGTATGATGGGATTGAATTGATGTGAGGTAGAAGTGGAAACCGTCATGATCGACATGTCTGTGCGACTGTTGGCCGAGTTCAGGCCGAATATATACAAATGCACGGAGTAGTCCGGCGGGTTTCAAGGGTCTATACAGTGGAAAATACCACCAGTACACTCATCTTATGAATGTATAGAATTCTACTCCAGAGCAATATAAAATGCCATCAACAGACAAGCCAGCCAGAATAACAATCGCAGTCAGTTTTGCTTCAATTCTGGTAACGGCGAATTCTATCCCGGCTTCTTTCTTTGCCTCTGCCTAGCACTACCTCAAATCATGCCCCTGCGATTACTGTGTCTCCATGGCTGGGGAACGAATCAAAAGGCAGGTCACCACCAATCCAACAAGGATCTTCAACTACTAACTTCCAACAGATTCTACAGTCGCAACTGAGTATGCCAAACATCCACCCTCGTGAAACACAAACGCTCAAAGGAACCAGGTGGGCTCATGAAAGAGCTCCAAAAAGACAACACGGCGACATTCTCCTTCCTAGAGGGTGACATTGACTCAGATCCTGGCCCGGGGATCGCCGGCTACTATGAGGGCCCGTACTACAGCTATTACCGGTTCCCGCGCACATTCTCCCTCGAAGACAGCGACGAGACCGACATTCTGGAGGCGTACAAGCTGTTAAATGAAACAGTCGCCTTGGAAGGTCCCTTCGACGGCATCCTGGGCTTCTCGCATGGCGGCACATTGGCTGCGGGCTTCATGATCCACCGCGCCAAGATGTATCCGAAGGAGCAGCCCTTGTTTCGCTGTGCTATCTTCATCAATTCGCTGCCGCCATTTCGGAAGGATCCTGGCCCTGGATCACGGCCGGTTGTTGATGATGGGTTGCAGGGTTTCATTTCTGTTCCCTGTTTGCATATTGCCGGTGCTAAGGATCCGCTTTTTGAGTACTCCCTGGCGCTACATCGTATTTGCAATGCGCGGACTTCTACTTTCGCTGTTCATGGCAAGGGCCATGATGTTCCTGGTGATCGAAAGAATGTTGCTATTATGGCTACTGGTGTTCGGAAACTGTGTAGTCAGACCCTGATCTAGTGAAACGAGATTGCAGGTGAGAATTTCCGGGTGTGTGATGGTGTTTGAGAATGAACCTCTTCGAAGCCTCGTGGATGAAGGGGTAGTATCTTTGCAGTTGTGGAACAGATTTGATTATGATGATTCGTTATATATGAGCTTCCCGAATGCACGAATCGTTTCAGAAAGAGACACCATGCTCTTTGAGGTTTATTTTGCCGTCGATGGTGACACCCGGCTACTGAGTTGGTGCAAGTGACACATACTTTCTCATTCCGAGGTGTTGTATCGTCAAACCAGGAATCGTATGATAGGGCTGAAAGTAAGTTCAATTGACATTTCACCGACTTTACCGACTGGCATGCCAAATACGAAACAGCAAAAGAGATAATCTGAGCAACGCCTTTTCGTTCTTCTGATATGACTGATATTGCCGCGGTATATCGTTCAGCAACCCAAAACCAAAATGTCGAACCAATTTGCAAAGACCAATGAAGGCCAAGATGACTTGGAAGTATTGAACGCAGAATCTTGTATGCCGATCGCCATCGTGGGAATCGGGTTTCGAGGACCAGGAGATGCTCAAGATGTCGAGAAGCTGGAGGACATGATACGTACTGGCAGAGAAGCCTGGAGTCTGATCCCAGCAAAAAGGTGGAACAACACTGCTTTCTATCACCCGGATCATTCTAGATCTGGAACGGTTGGTTCTCAAGGCTCGTGAACATGACCAACAATAACTGTCCTGTAGATCAACGTGGAGGGGGGTCATTTTCTAGCAGAAGATGTATCCGTTTTTGATGCACCCTTTTTCAATATGACGAGTGACGAAGCGTCGGTGAGTATCTCTGAAGATGTCAGAATTTATCCAACAGCTAAATTGCTAGGCGATGGACCCTCAGCAGAGACTCCTGCTAGAAGTCACATATGAGGGACTGGAGAATGGTAAAAAGACCGAACCCCATGAATAGACCTTATCAGAGATCTAATGAAAACCAGCTGGAATTCCCCTAACCAAAATTATGGGCACAAAAACATCCTGCTTCGTCGGGTCTTTTTCAGCTGACTACACAGATCTTCTCCTGCGAGATCCAGAATGCGTACCGATGTACCAGTGCACGAATGCCGGACAGTCCAGGGCAATGACAGCCAACAGACTATCCTATTTCTTCGATCTGAAAGGGCCAAGTGTCACAGTAGACACAGCATGCTCGGGCAGTCTGGTAGCACTCCACCTGGCATGCCAGAGTCTGCAGACCGGGGATGCCTCTACGGCCGTTGCGGCGGGTGTGAACTTGATATTGAGTCACGAGTTTATGTCTACTATGAGTATGATGAAGTAAGGGGGATGCAATATTGGCAATTAAGAATGGCGCTGATTATATTCCAGATTTCTATCGCCCGATGGGAAATGCTTTACATTTGATGAAAGGGCCAATGGATATGCTCGTGGCGAGGCTGTTGGCTGTCTTATCCTCAAGCCTCTGGCTAGCGCCTTACGCGACAAAAATACTGTAAGAGCTGTGATCAGAGGGACTGGATCCAACCAAGACGGACGTACCCCTGGTATAACACTCCCCAGTGGCGCTGCTCAGGAGACATTGATTCGAAGTGTGTATGCTCGAGCTGGTCTCAATCCATCCGAGACAGAATTTGTTGAGGCACATGGTACTGGCACGCAAGCCGGTGATCCCATTGAGACAGGTGCCATTGGCCGGGTTTTTGGGCCTGGTCGTTCTTGCGACGATCCGTTACGAATAGGCTCGATCAAAACGAACGTCGGGCATCTGGAGGGCGCAAGTGGTATTGCAGGTATGATCAAAGGGATTCTGATGCTGGAGAACCGTATATTCTTGCCGAATCGCAACTTCGAGATTGTCAATTCGCGTATTCCTTTGTCAGATTGGAAGCTGAAGGTTTGTTTGAGTCGCTCATTTGAAGAATCATTGCTGACTCGTTAGGTTCAATTACTCCTTGAGCCGTGGGAGAGCACTGGCCCACATCGTGTTTCGGTCAATAGCTTTGGGTATGGAGGTAGTAATGCCCATGTCATTTTAGAAGACGCCGTGGGATATCTATCCAGTCAAAGCCTCAACAAAAGCATCATGCAGTTATCAAAAACACCAAATGGTGTACAGGGAAATGATAATCGCGGTGTTCTGCCCAGCCCATCGCGTATATTCATGCTCTCTGGCTTCGATGAATGGTCTTGCACACAACAAATGCAAACTCTCAGAAGTTACATCCTTGACAGAGGTACTAGGCTCGACAACGAAAAGTTACTGGATAACCTTGCTTTCACAATTAACGAGCGGCGTTCAAGTTTCACCTGGAAGATTGCTGTTGTTGCCAGTACCATTGAAGACCTGGCTACAGCTCTCGCTCAGAACATCAAAGCCAGAAGTACTGTCCGAAAACCAAAAGTTGGTTTCGTCTTCACAGGCCAAGGCGCACATTGGGCTGGGATGGGAAAGGAGTTACTCCAGGCATATCCGGTCTTTCGCAACTCAGTCTTGGGGATCGACACTTGGTTGGAAGTTATTGGAGCCCCATTCCTCGTGAAAGGTATGTATCATTTTGTTTCCAGATATTCCCATACTGATTTGGATTGGTATAAAGGAGAGATCACAAAATGTCCCCAAGACTCAGATTTGAATGACCCGCGTCTCAGCCAGACAGTGTGTACAGCACTCCAAATAGCACTTGTTGACCTACTGCATTCATGGGGTATCTATCCAGACTCTGTGACCGGCCATTCCAGTGGTGAAATCGCTGCAGCGTATGCTGTCGGGGCACTCAGTATGGAAGATGCGATGTCGGTCGCATATTATCGCGGTGTCGTGGCGAGCCATGTGTTGGACGTTCACAAGACTCGGGGAGCCATGATGGCAGTGGGTACGTCCGTCGAAGATGTCCAGAAATACATTGACAGGCTTCCGTGTGGACACCTCGTTGTGGCGTGTGTCAACAGTCCATCTAGCGTTACTGTCTCCGGTGATATCCTCGCCATTGCTGCTCTTGCACAGCTACTGAAAAATCACCAATTATTCACCCGGCGTCTTGCTGTGGATGTCGCGTATCACTCCCCACATATGGCCCTTGTTGCAGATGAGTATCACCGTTTGATTGAGTACATCGAGCCCCAGAACCAAAGCCAGGTGGATGACAAGAATAAACATAAACCAGCCCCGTTTTTTTCATCGGTTTCCGGAACAATCTATCCACTGAAGGAGTTGCACGCTGGATATTGGGTCTCAAACCTACTCGGACAAGTGAAATTCGCAGATTCCTTGAGAAACTTGTGCTTCGAGACAGACACACAACGGTCTGGTAGTGTCGAAGCTGTAAAAACCAGGAGAGTTGGAGCGGCACGGAAAGCAAGCATCGACTGTCTCATTGAAATCGGTCCCCATGCTGCACTTTCTGGGCCAGTCAAACAAATACTACGAGCAGACCCAAAGCTCAACTCTGCCGACATAGTGTACACGAGTATCTTGAAGCGAAAGGAGAACGCCGTTATGACTGCACTTGGCATGGCTGCCACCGTGGCATCGCTCAATTACCCGGTGGACTTCAGTGCAATCAATAACCCGCAGGGACTCGATGGATTCTCCAACCCACAGTTGCTCGTCGATCTTCCGCCATACCCATGGAATCATACCAGATCATACTGGGCTGAGCCACGGCTCAGCAAAATGTACAGGAACAGAAGGTTCTCGCGAAATGATCTTCTCGGTGCTTCAGATAACATGTCTTGCCCTTGTGAGCCTCGTTGGAGGAATTTTCTTCGGACTTCGGAGCTTCCATGGCTTCTTGACCATAAGATTCAAGGAAATATCGTGTTTCCTGCTGCAGGATATCTGGCAATTGCAATCGAAGCTTCAATGCAGCTCGTGAAAAGCGAAGAAAAAATTGCCAGATATGTGTTGCAAGATGTGTCGATCAAATCCGCCCTAGTTCTCAACGAGTCTTCAGCCGTCGAGCTTATGGTGTCTGTCCGAGACTCAGCACATAAGCCGCATGAGCTATACGACTTCCATATATATTCAATATCAGAGGACAACCGATGGACCGAGCATTGCACTGGGCTGGTCGGCTCACAAAGACAGATCGGTGTTTCAGCCAAAGGGCTCGAGGAAACGGACAACTATTCTATGGTACCATTAGGCACAGAGGTCCGTGTAATATCTGCGATCGACGTTCAAGATTTCTATGAAGAGCTCCATGAGGTTGGACTGGAATACGGACCATGCTTTGCTAATTTGACAACAGCACACGTCACTCAAGAAGGGGCCTGTTTTGCAGAAGTTACTGTACCAGATACTAGATCAGTAATGCCACGCGCATTTCAATATGATCTTTTGATCCACCCATGCACGCTAGACAGTATTTTCCATACTGTATTTGCTGCTTTACCGCCTGGCATTGATATTCAGGATGGACCTGCAATTCCTATCTCCATCGAGGAAATGATCGTGTCATCTGGGATCAGTTCTTCGGCGGGCGATATCATGAGCATTTGCACTCATGTGCGACAGAGTCTGAAGAAAGATGTTATAGCATCTATTGTTGTGGTTGACTGCAACGATAAACAGTCCGAAATGGAGCCTAGCATCTCGATCCGTGGCCTGCGGTGTGCACGACTTGAGCGCGATAGAGACGCTTCCCTTGTCAAAGAAAATCAAAGCACTTATCGCATCGAGTGGAAGGCCGATCCGTACTTTCTCTCTAACGAGGATGTGTCTTTCTTATTTGCGCATGAGAGTGAGTTAACCCGGGGACCTGAATATCCAGCGGAATTTGAGGAATGCGCAGTGGGTTTCATTAGGACTGCGTTGGAAGAAGTCAGTGCAATGGAAGTAAGGAAACTTGACACTTCGCACCGTAGATTCACATGTCATTTGCAAGATATCTTGAATAGATACGATGAAGGACACAACGGCTCCAAGTCTAGCTTGAAGGAAATCAGGTCCAACTCAACAGGAGATCTGCTGCGTGCCATCGGTGAAAACCTTGTTGCTATCATCAGAGCCCAGGTGAATTTCACTGACGTGATGATGGATCATCACCTATTGGACACATTTTGGGATATCTTCTCTGCAGATTCCTCATACAAATTAACAGGCCAATACCTGGATTTGGTTGGCCACAAAAAGCCAGAGTGTTTGATTCTCGAGCTTGGAGTCGGCACAGGACAAGTGTCTAAACTGTTCCTCGAACAGCTTGCACGTTCCGGCCAGCCACCTTGTTGTGGAAAATATACTTTTGCCCATGAGAATCCCCTGGTGCTAAAGCATACAGCAAAGCGGCTGGAGCAATGGTCGGAACTGGTTGATTGCAAACCGTTAGATCCTGAAAAAGACCTTTCCACACAGGGATTTGAAAAAGGATCTTTCGATATAGTCATATTACCTCATGACTTGTGCACTGCACGATGGGAGCAAAAGGCCCTTTGCAAGATTCATGATCTTCTCAAGCCATCTGGGTCATTGATAGCCATCAACCCTTTCAATCCAAAGCAGAATATTGTGAAGAATTTATTGTTCAGTGCCTTGCACTGTTTATCTACCGAAGACTTCTGTTTAGGTCAGGGTGGTTGGTCAGAGTATCAATGGGATGACATACTACGCGAGGCACATTTTACCGCAGTAAATGTTTTTACAGATCCAGATTGCGAGAGAAATCATCACTTTATCGTTGCACGCAAGGAGAAAATTGAAACATCTACAGCGAAAATTTCCATCATCTGCGAACGTGAAGCTGGGATAGCTGTTGGAGTTCTAGTCACCCAGTTGAAATGCCTTGGTTGTGAGGTCAACGTGCGAAGTATAGACGATGCGGAAACAGACGATCGAATCTGCTTGGTGCTGGACACCCAGCAAGGATCATTACTGGTCACCCCAGATAATATCACCTTGGACAGAATCAAAGCAACATTCATGCACAGCGCAGGTGTTCTATGGATTACCAAAGGTGGCACGGTCGAGTCAACCAACCCCAATGCCAGCCTTGCTGCAGGTTTTGCACGAACGGCGCGGGCCGAATCCGGGGTAAATCCAATTGTTACCCTTGATCTCGATGCACAAAAGCCTCTCTCCGAGTCTCATGCTGCAGAGCTAATTGCAACCTTCCTGGCCGCCCGCTTCCTCCGTAGAGGCGCGAATGAGGACACAGAGTTTGCAGAAAGACATGGAACAATCTTGATTCCACGGGTATTGGAAGATTCAGCTACAAGCACAGCCATGCTCAGTCTGCGTGCCACTGAAACTGTTTCTGAGCAGTATTTTCACCGGGCAGAGCAGCCACTACGTTTATCGAGAGGATTTGGAGAGCCTCATTTTGTTAGGGACTGCGCGTTGTCGGAACTTCCAGTCGGGTACGTTGGAATCAGAGTACATGCCTTTGGCCTCAACGAACAAGACCTGCGGAGAGAAACCCATGATTGGATCTCGGATGACACGCTCGGTATCGAGTGTAGTGGAGTTGTATACAATGTCGGTGTCGGGGTTCGGGGGATCTCCATTGGAGACCGAGTGTCGTGTCTTGGGACTGGCACAGCCAGGAGTTTCTATCATGATCGAGCAGCAGCGTTCCAGAAGATCGGCGACAAAATGTCGTTCGAGCTCGCTTCAGCATTGCCGGTCGCATACTCGACTGCATATTACATCGGAAACTACCATTTGTCGCGTCTTCAATCAAATGAGGTCGTCCTCGTGCACCTGGCTGGCTGCTGTTGTGGACAGGCAATTGTGGAATTGTACAGAATGAGAGGCACCCACATATTTGTGACAGTCCAGGATTCCACAGAAAAACTTCTGTTCTCACACCGATTTGGGATACCCGCTAATAATATATTCATAGTTGGTCAAGATGATATCGTGAAGAGCTTGACGCGGTTAGCTGATGGCAAGAAGGCAAACCTAGTGGTTAGCTTTGGTACAGATGACGAGCAAATCCAAAATTGCACTGCACCATTTGGCCATTTCATCCGACTTTTTTCTGACAAGTCCAGAACTCAAGGAGTCTTACGGTCGCAGAACATGTCGTTGTCAGCATTCAACATGTTTGATCTTCGGAAGGAAAAGAGGGATCTTGCAGACCACGTCTGGTCTAAGGTCTTTCAACTATTCCGGGAAGGACGACTAAAAGGCCCATCAGGGACTGCGGTATATAACATTTCACACATCCAACAGGCCATAGAAGAAACACCTCACAAGCGACATGTTGTCATTTCTGCCGCGCCAGATGATCTTGTCATAGTAAATCCTCTCTTGGATCCAACACGGAGCATCTAGCTGATCTAAAATAGGCCACACTTCCCAAACAATCCCAATCTTTGTTCCACGCATCTGCATCCTACCTGCTAGTCGGGGGACTTGGTGGAATAGGACGTGAGGTGGCTTTATGGATGGCTCAAAACGGTGCAAAGAGTCTGGTATTACTCAATCGAAGTGGTCTATCGAAAGAGAAGTCGCAGACAACAGTAAGGGAACTGGAGGAGAAAGGTGTCCAGGTGATGGTTCAGGTTTGTAATATATCCAACGAGATTGAAGTTCGACAAATGATCGTGGACGTTTCTCACTGTGCGCCTCCCATTCGAGGAATCATCCAGGGGGCTATGGTTGTGAAGGTCAGCCAGAGCTTACTATCCACTTCACCTGCTTCTGTACTGATGGAAAGTTGCTAGGATGTTCACATTGAGAACATGAGCCTGGATAATTATCGAGAGGTCATGGGCCCTAAGTATGCAGGGACTTGGAATCTTCACCGACATTTGCCCAAAGACCTCGACTTCTTCCTCATGCTTTCTTCCATCAGCGGCATGATTGGAAATGCAACTCAAGCGGCATATGCTGCTGGTTGTTCTTTCCAGGACGCATTTGCCGCATATCGGAGCAGCTTAGATCTTCCAGCAATATCACTGGATCTCGGTACGATCACAGATGTTGGTTATCTGGCAAAAAACAAGGAGCTAGCAGCAAAGATGGAAAAACAAGGGTTCCAAGGCACCGACACACCAACTCTTCTCTCGCTGATTCAAGTCGCAATATCTCAACCCTCAGGGACAGGAACACAGATAATAGCCGGACTTGGCCAATGGAAAGCAGAAGAATCCCTGGGCAATTTCAGTACACCTCTGTTCTCTCATTTTCGTCGGAAATATCAGAATCATGGAAAAGCTACCATACTCAGTGATTCGGTTGAAGGTTTCAGGGTGGAACTTAAAGAAGCAAAAACCCCAGAACAAGCCACATCCGTCATTACTCAAATGCTGAGGCGGAAGATCGCTTTGCATCTGTCTGTGCCAGTAGAGAACATCGATCCGTCCAATCTAGTCTCCGAGTACGGGGTTGATTCTCATGTGGCTGTTGAGCTCCGCAACTGGGTGTCCAGGGTCATGGACTGTACTGTTCCCATCCTCCAGATAATCGCAAGCTCAATACTGGATCTGTCCAGCAATATTGCTAGTCAGAAGCTAGGGGACAACAAAGGATGATGTTCGGCTGTGCCCCCCTGCACTTTCGGATATACACGGATATATCATCGCTTTCCGGTTATTATGCAAGCCACAAATATTTACGAATCTGGCTTTAACCGCGGATGCATTCTACTCTGTCAATGAATTTGGATTCTGCAGAATCAATGCAATTCAATTTGAGCGAAATCTTGTTGATGGGTATGAAGTGATACGTGTCACATGTGCTAGCTTACTAGTTGGAAGGAATATACATATGCGCTAGCACCTGAAGTACAGCACCGTTCATGTAGCCGAGCCTATATAGTAACCAGACCCCGAAACAAAAATAGAGCTGCAAGGAAGCCACTAAAGCGAGATTGAATAACCTGAAACACAACCGGCCTTAATAAGGTCCAACTAGCTTTGACGATATGGTGCAAATAAGACTCCACAGCACATTAATTCTCCCGGGTGCAGTTCATGTAAGACATAACTGGTCGCTTAGAATAATATCTGATAGGGTAATCATATATGCATTACATCGGTGATTCGAATCTGCCCGACTTCCACGCGATTGTTCGGGCGTTGCATTACTCCGAGGGCCATTCCGCTTAGATCAGCGGAACGCCCGTGCAAATACAGATCCCAATTGGTCAGTCGGGATCTAAAGTGGAGTATCTGATAACCCAATCCGCCCTTTTCTTGTCTTGGCAGTCTGCTTAAGTCCTATGTCCTGAGCTCCGTATGGAACATGGAAAGAATATGTATCTCATGCCCGATTGTAAGGCACCGATCTGATAACAATGATTTACATATATCACCTTGGCTGTATGAACCACGTGAAAAAGTCCCGCTGACTCAGCGGATACATGCACGAAGGAACCCCCGAGGTCCACTTTCTAGGCTCACTGCGAAGTGGATTTTCAATATTTGCAGCGAATAGATTGCTGTGAAAGTGTTCTAGAGCAATGTGACTTGTATCCTCCATGTTCCGGTTCCATAGCTGATCCCGACGATTGCCTAAAATGTATTTGTCCTTCGGCCTCGGACTTCGGCCTCAGATTTGCTTTGTTACTGCAGACCCACACACATTGACGCGATACATGTCTATTAAAATGTACATCCCCCCCTTCCCTTTTCTGATTGTTTTGTGACTTCTTCATCCAGTCTAGGTCTGCTTTCACTATGGCGGATTCAGAGAAACCCTCCCGTGCAGGGTCGGATATCCAATATGACACAGAAAGCGCCATGACGATCGCCGGCTCGGACACCCCAACAAAAGAGGCCTCTGATACTAAAGGCCACAGCTGGGGCATGCTCTCTCAACTTCAGGAAGAAAATGCCCGGAACCTGGCTTCTGGGTTCAAGCAACAGACACTTGGTGTCACATGGAAAGATCTCTCTGTGCAGGTTGCCAGTGCCGAAGCTGCGGTCAATGAGACGGTCCTATCGCAGTTCAATATCCCTCAGAAGATCAAGGATAGCCGCAGAAAACCTCCTCTGCGCACCATTCTTCGAGAGAGCCATGGCAATGTCCGACCCGGAGAAATGCTCCTCGTTCTTGGTCGCCCAGGATCTGGCTGTTCGACCCTATTGAAAATGCTCACCAACAAGCGCGCCGGATACAAGAATGTGGAAGGAGACGTCCGTTTTGGCTCTATGGATTCCAAAGAGGCCGAACACTATCGCGGTCAGATTGTTCTCAATAGCGAGGAGGAGATCTTCTTCCCCACACTGACCGTCGGTCAAACCATGGACTTTGCAACCCGCCTCAAGGTCCCCTTCCACTTACCCGATGGTATGACTGCCTCCGAGTATCAGCAGGCATCGAAGAAGTTCCTTCTGGAATCAGTCGGAATCTCTCACACCGAGGACACCAAGGTTGGAAACGAATACGTGCGCGGCGTGTCAGGAGGAGAGCGCAAGCGTGTTTCAATCATTGAATGCATGGCCACACGAGGATCCGTGTTCTGCTGGGACCAGTCGACTCGTGGTCTCGATGCTTCTACTGCCCTCGAATGGGCCAAGGCTATCCGAGCTATGACCGACGTTCTCGGCCTCACAACAATCGTCACTCTTTATCAGGCCGGTAACGGTATTTTTGAGTTGTTCGACAAAGTGCTGGTTCTCGATGAAGGCGAGCAAATTTACTACGGTCCCAGAGAACAGGCCCGCCCATTCATGGAGGACACCGGATTCATCTGCCGTGAGGGCTCCAACGTCGCCGACTACCTAACCGGTGTGACAGTCCCGACGGAACGACGGATTCGCGACGGCTATGAGAACCGCTTCCCTCGCAACGCAGAAGCTCTCCGTATCGAGTATGAAAAGTCACCTCTTTATGCTCAGATGACAGCCGAGTACTCCTATCCCGACTCTGATCTCGCCCGTGAACGCACCAAGGAATTCAAGGAGGGTGTCGCTTTCGAGACATCGAAGAAGCTTCCTAAGAACAGCCCCTTCACTGTCGGCTTCGTTGATCAGGTCAAAATTTGTGTTCAGCGTCAATACCAAATCATTTGGGGTGACAAGGCAACTTTCATCATCAAGCAGGTGGCGACTTTGGCTCAGGCATTGATTGCGGGATCCTTGTTCTACAATGCGCCTGATAACTCTGGCGGTCTCTTCGTCAAATCCGGTGCACTCTTCTTTTCCCTTTTGTACAACAGTCTGCTCGCAATGAGTGAGGTCACTGAGTCATTCTCTGGAAGACCAGTCCTTATCAAGCACAAAAGTTTCGCCTATTTCCACCCCGCCGCATTTTGCATAGCCCAGATTGCTGCCGATATCCCTGTTCTACTCTTCCAGATCTCCATGTTTGGTTTGGTTGTCTACTTTATGGTTGGACTTACTATGTCAGCCGGTGCCTTCTTCACTTACTGGATTATCGTTTTTACCACGACAATGGTAAGCCCCTCTTCTTTGATGATGTGGAATCAAACTAACCAGATATATAGGCTATGACTGCACTCTTCCGTGCTGTCGGTGCTGTCTTTAAAACCTTTGATGGTGCTTCCAAGGTCTCTGGTCTGTTGATCATGTGTACAGTTCTTTACACTGGATACATGATCCAAAAGCCGAAAATGCACCCATGGCTTGGTTGGATCTTCTGGATCGACCCCCTGGCTTATGGATTTGAGGCTTTGCTAGCCACCGAGTTCCATGGAAAAACCATTCCATGCGTGGGTACCAACCTCATTCCCACCGGCCCCGGATATGAAAATGCCCAAGACCACCAATCTTGTGCCGGAGTTGGCGGTGCCATTCAGGGTCAGAACTTTGTGCTTGGTGACAACTACCTCTCGTCTCTCTCGTATAGTCACTCCCACGTCTGGCGCAACTTTGGTATTAACTGGGCCTGGTGGGCACTGTTTGTTTTCCTTACTATCCTTGCGACCTCGAGGTGGAAGTCTGCATCCGAGTCCGGCAACACACTGGTCATTCCCCGCGAATACCTTCACAAGCATCTCCAAAATCAGAAGAAGGACGAAGAGAGCCAGGCTCCTACCAAGGCTCTCTCTGAGGGCAGTGACGAGCCCGCCAACATTGACAACCAACTCGTGAGAAACACCTCGGTCTTCACCTGGAAAAACCTTTCCTACACTGTCAAGACACCATCCGGCGACCGACTCCTTCTCGATAACATCCACGGATGGGTGAAGCCTGGTATGCTCGGTGCTCTTATGGGATCCTCCGGTGCGGGTAAGACGACTCTCCTAGATGTTCTTGCTCAGCGTAAGACTGAAGGTACTATCCACGGTTCTATCATGGTCGACGGTCGCCCACTGCCTGTCTCCTTCCAACGATCCGCCGGTTATGTTGAGCAACTCGACATTCACGAGCGTATGGCCACTGTCCGGGAGGCACTGGAATTCTCCGCCCTACTTCGTCAACCCGCCGACGTTCCACGTGCCGAGAAGTTGGCCTACGTGGATGTTATCATCAACCTGCTCGAACTTCATGATTTGGCCGATACCATGATTGGTAGCGTCGGAGCTGGTCTATCGGTTGAACAGAGAAAGCGCGTCACTATTGGTGTCGAACTTGTCTCCAAGCCTAGCATTCTGATCTTCTTGGATGAGCCTACTAGTGGTCTTGACGGCCAGAGTGCTTACAATACCGTCCGCTTCTTGAGAAAATTGGCGGATGTCGGACAAGCTGTTTTGGTCACTGTGCACCAGCCTTCTGCTCAACTCTTTGCTGAATTCGATCAACTTCTCCTTCTCGCTAAGGGAGGTAAGACCGTTTACTTCGGTGAGATTGGAGAAGATGCCAAGACTTTGAAAGGCTACTTTTCACGCTATGGCGCACCATGCCCTCCTGAAACTAACCCTGCCGAGCATATGATCGATGTTGTTTCTGGTCAGTTGAGCCAAGGCCGAGACTGGAACAACGTCTGGCTCGAATCACCGGAGCACACTGCAATGCTCAAGGAGCTTGACTCGATCATTGAGATTGCTGCGTCTAGCCCTGCTGGAACTAATGATGACGGTCGCGAATTTGCCACTTCTCTCTGGGAGCAAATGGGTCTCGTCCTCAAGCGTACCTCCACCGCCCTTTTCAGAAACAGTGACTATATCAATAACAAGTTCGCACTTCACATTTCTTCCGGCTTGTTTGTCGGTTTCAGTTTCTGGATGATTGGTGACTCTGTCGGTGACATGCAACTCACATTGTTCTTCATTTTCAATGCCATCTTCGTCGCCCCTGGTGTGATCAACCAGTTGCAACCAACCTTCCTCGAACGCCGAGACTTATTCGAAGCACGCGAAAAGAAGGCTAAAATGTACTCATGGAAGGCTTTCGTATTCGCTTTGGTTGTCTCTGAGATCCCATATTTGATTATCTGTGGTGTCCTCTTCTTTGTCTGCTGGTACTGGACCGGTGGTCTGGTCACAGAGGCCAGTAAGAGTGGATCCATGTTCATGGTCTTCCTCCTGTATGAGTTCTTGTACACAGGAATCGGTAAGAAATTTGGTCCCTCTTTTGATTGTCATCCACTAACCTAGTGTCTAGGTCAATTTGTTGCTGCGTACGCCCCTAACGCCAACCTGGCTGCCATGATCAATCCTCTCGTCCTGGGTGTAAGTTCCTTCCTCTATCTACCATCATATGAGATGTTAGCTAATCGTCATCACCTATGCAGACTCTGATTTCCTTCTGCGGTGTCCTCGTTCCTTACGCCCAAATCCAAGCATTCTGGAGATACTGGATGTATTACCTGAACCCTTTCAACTACCTGATGGGAAGTATGCTGGTCTTCGGCCTCTTCGACAAAAAGGTGCAGTGCAAAGAAGAAGAATACGCACTCTTTACTGCACCAAACGGAACAACCTGTGGTGAATATCTCGCCGATTACATGCAAACCATTGGAGCTCGCATGAACCTCTTGGACCCTGACGCCACTGAATGCCGGGTGTGTCAATACACCCGGGGATCCGATTACCTCCAAACAGTAAACCTGCTTGATTATTACTATGGCTGGCGGGATACTGCTCTCGTCGGTCTCTTCGTGATCAGCTCTTATGCTCTTGTCTTCGGTCTGATGAAACTCAGAACCAAGGCCTCGAAGAAGGCTGATTGATTGGACGAGATCTGGGACTGTACAGTGTCCATATAATGTGGGGGTTTGAATTTCCCCTCTTTGGCATCCCGGCATATTGTAGCCGTGAATATTTTAATCGTGTTTCTTCTTTAGACATAGACTGTTAATTTTTGGTACCTTTAGAGTTAGAAATCTATCGCGATATTTAATTCGCAAGGAGTCCAGAATATAAGATAGCGAAATACTATGCTTCTCGATAAGTTGTACGAATGCCTGCTTAATAGCCAAGAGAGTACTAAAGCATTCAACAGTGAGTATCATATTGAACCTGTGAACATAGCCGGTGAACGTCACGATTGTGGCCAACCCGTCCAATCGTCTTTTCGCCCCGACATCAGTGTTGGAGTTAATAGGAGGAGATAAAGAGAAAACAGTCCACCTTGTTGAGTTACCGAAAGGTAGGTACCTTGCCGAAAGTACTTGGGGATCAACAGCAGATGTTGGGCACACTCGAGACCTGTATCTTCACGTCAAGTAGTGTAAGTCTTTACAACAAAGTATAAAATAGAGCATATGTTAGCTAATATCAATACGAGCATACAGTACTACCATTCTACATATCTCACTTGTGCCCTTTTTATTTTTGAAAGTCAAATATCCGAAAGAAAGATGTCTATTGACCAAGTAGATCATTACCTTCACAGCACACGCACACCCCTCCTTGATGTCATGTATGCATACCAAACCCCTCTTTAAAACTCCACAAATCCCGATGCCTCTAGCGCGCAGTTCGAAGCTCGTTAGGCACGAAGGCTGTAGTGAAATGCTAAGATAGCACAGTGAAAGAGCGGCTAAACCCCAGAAGATGAGACTAAAGTTGAATTCCGTTGATTGTTATATTTCGTGTGCCACAAACTGTCAAACGATAGGAAGTTTGAAATCGATGTATCAAAGTTGCATCCCAAACTCTCCTTTCGAACTCCCTGGATATGCAAACAAATCAGATAAAGAGTCATCAAAAACAAAACAAGAACGCTTCACAAAATGCTGTGCAATGCCATATTTACATCTCTCCAATCAACTGCCAACAAACAGTCTTGGCAACCTCCCCCTTCCGACTAGCAAGCTCCATCTCACACAAAGCCTGATCAAGAGACTCCATATCCCAAGCACTAGGATTATGCTTCGCATCAGAAGCAACCTCTTCATGTTCCCACGGCTCATCACAGCCAGGCATGATGGGGAACCGCCGGGGGTGTTTCTCTTCTAGCATATCAACTTTATGAAGAAGATCATCATGAACTGCCCCGGCAACGACTTTTTGCATGGAAATACCGGCAATGACATGGCGGAGATCTGGCTCGGCGGCATGTGCTTCTTTTCTGATCTTCTTGAGTGATAGCTCGTATAGTCGGTATGGTAATCGCTCCGAGTCAATGGTTGGGTTGTGACTGGGAACAGGGCTGGCGACGAGGGTCATGCGTGGGTTTTGGATTTGGCGTTGTTTTCGGACTTGGGGAATGTTCCTCGTGATGATTCTTGTGCATTGCATTTTGGGTGGATCTCAATTAGATTGAGAGGTGTAGATGTGGCTGTGGATGTGTATAGATGTGTGTATAGATGTGGATGTGGATCTTTTGAAGGAGATTCTGATCTTGGTATTTGTTTTTGCGGGGAGAAGGATTTGGGTTGATATATGGCTGGGAATGTAGTCAGTGGCTGTTTTAGGACTGGGTGAAGGAAATTATGGCGCGTCAGCTGCATATTGATATCATGCCACTTGGATTTGCAGTCTGCATGGGTGAAATCGGGATGCGATCGGTGAAGAGCGGGTGAGGTTGGGCGTGTCGGCCGGGTGGCGCGCCAAATCAGGCCACGCACAGAGGGATTTCTAGTCCCACTCGCTGTGATGGTTTCTTTTAGTTATAGCTTAAGGGAATTGTTCAATCTTGATGTCAGGACTTCTTTACTTCTGGCATTGATTTGCAAGTGTTCATTCAGTGGCGGGATCGTTCCCAGATGAGGTTGGGACCAGCCCCCGACATGCGATAGCTGCATGTCCTGCAGTGTCACATCAATACATTGCCAGTGCAACTGTTCATTTCATGTCGAAGTTTGGTGAATCTTTTCCTTGGTCTAGGAGTTCATTGGATCAAACATTTGCACTGCCAGGCACTGCCAGGTGATCTCGGGATGTGAGCCGACGGACTTTCGGCCGTGAAAAGCCTGCGCTCCTCGTTTTGCGAACTAAAGACAATGATCTGTTCGAAAATGGCCGAGAAATCTGGAAAATACTCGTTCTCTCTACTGCCATTACAGGTCCAATGACTGCTTCATTGTACTCATGATCCTCCACAAGAGTCCTGGTTCAAAGGTCGGATAGCCATCCCGACATCTATAACCCCACCATGAATCATCATGGAGAGCTAATGCAAGCCCTTATCAACATGACTCACTCCACAAAGGGTCTTTAAGATTGAATCTCCATTTCTGAGACTGTCATTCCCATCTTTCAAGTGAACAGTGGAGGCCTGACAACGCCTACAACACAATGGCAGAGCAAAAGTCAGTCACATTCTCAGTCCAACAACGCTACCCATCAGCCCAAACAAGCGTAGAAAGCTTCCCGGCAGGACCAAGCACAAACAGAATAAACGACGAGGAAGCGCCCCGATCGGTCTTCTCGATAATCGAGCCCCCAGCCGAGCTAGCAACAGTGACAACCCACTTCACAGACCATTTCCCAGAGCACAACCCGGATGACATCTTCCCGGATGGCGGGCTACGCTCCTGGAGCGTTGTCCTCGGCTCGTTCCTACTCTTAATGAGTAGTTTCGGAGTTATGAATACAACAGGTATCCTGCAAAACTATTTCTCGTCGCACCAGTTATCGAAGTATTCGCCCAGTGCGGTCGGTTGGATTCCTGGTTTATTCACTTTCTTCGGACTGAGCGTTTCTGTCCAGGTTGGTCCCATGTTCGATCGGTATGGTCCGACTGGTATCCTCATTGCCGGCACGGCGATCTATGTGACTGGCCTGATGCTCCTTGCTGAGAGTTATGAGTATTGGCATTTTGTTTTGACGCTGGGTGTCATGTCTGGCATTGGTGCTGCGCTTTTGAGTACGGTTGCGCTGGCTAGTGTGCCGCAATGGTTTGACCGGAAGGCTGGTCTTGCGATTGGAATTTCGATGGCAGGGGCGGGCCTTGGTGGTGTGCTTTTTCCGTTGATGCTCCGGGCTGGGTTCTCTCAATTGGGGTATAAGTGGACGATTAGAATCTTGGCTTTTATTGCTTTGGCTTTGTGTATTGCTGGGACGGTCTTGGTTAAAGCGAGGTTGCCCAAGGGGAGGAGTAAGTCGACTGTTAATTTGCGCTCCTTGAAAGATGCCAGGTTTACCTGGTTGACGCTGGGGATTTTCAGTAAGTGGTCACCAGTCATGAATGGTAGAAAGAATCATGTCTCTGACCTGTTCAGGCCTTGAGCTTGTCGTTTTTGCTAGCCTGGGTCTATACCCGACCTATGTCGTTCTACAGGGTTTCTCGACGAACACTAGTGTTCTTCTACTCTCCGTGCTGAACATGTGAGTAATACCCCAGCCTCAAGCTTCTGGTCATATCTGACATGGCACAGAGCATCCACAGTCGGCCGCTTGATGGCCGGAGGCATAGCCGATCGCTACGGCAGGATAAACACTCAAGCCGCACTTATTGCACTGGGAGCCTTTGCAGTCTTTGTGATATGGCTACCATTCGGTGATACCCTTCCAGGTCTATATACCTTCTCGTCGGTATTCGGGCTAGCATCAGGATCATTCCTAAGTCTAGCACCGGCCTGTATTGGGCAGATCTCCAAGGCCAGCGAGGTCGGTGGACGGTTTGGATTGACATATTCTATTGTCAGCTTTGCGTAAGTCACCTTCTTCCATAGTATGGAAGTCCTTGGTCTTCCACTCGGTGCGAGGCTGACCGGGACCCTAGTACACTGATCTGTATCCCCATCGGAGGAGAAATGCTAGACAAAGTTGGCAAGAAGGCAATGGTAGCCTATCTGGGCAGTGTATTGATTGTTGCACTGGGGATGTTTGTCATGGCTCGATGGGCATGTCTGAGTTATCGATGGAGATGGCAAGCGAAGATCTGATCTAATTGGGCAAGGGACCTCAAAAAAGGCGAAAAGTGAAAGGTTTCTTTCTTATTTGAAATTTGAATATAGCGCTAGATTGCAAAGTATCGGATACATGATTCTGCAAGATCAGGCCACCATGATAAGTATCAGTTTGACGCTCGTACTGCATGTGTATCTGTGATAGAATCGTATGATCATCGACCAATGGTCTGAAGTTGGACGAGTGGGTTAGTTCTGTTCGCCGCCTTGGTTCTTGGTAAACTCCTCACTATAGCCAGTCAGAACTATCACAGGCAACTAAATGCACAGAAAGAAATGGAAAGTACATACAGATGTTTATCAAGTTCATCCATGTGCTGACGTTGTTCCTTGATCTTCAGTCGAAGACGCTTGACCCTGCCCTGTCATCAGTATACATATATTCATCAACAGCAAAACTGGCATACTTTTCCATCTCCTGCTCCCGAATATACATAAGTTCATGCGCAGCCTCACGTCGCGAGAATGAGTCCTTCCTGCTGAAGTTAGAGATTGGTGACGTCATACACTCAATTGTCCATACTCAGCCATGAAGCCTCGCGGCTTAGGAGAGCCTAGATCGCCCGCGCCCATGATAGCTGGAGTGATGGAGAATGATCGGAGAATTGATGGATTGGACACTCGGAGAATGGGTCGTGAGAGTGCTGATTGCATGGTGGGGATGGAGAGGAGATGGGTATGTGAGTGGAAGGGTGGGTTCTTGTCGATCTGTTTGGCTTGTGGGAATGTTCACCCCGAGAATGATGTATCTACGGAGTGGATTGCGTGTATTTGTACTTTCTTTAGGGGCGCAGATCAATGGAGATGAACTGGAGGTGTGGCCGGTCAATGCTATTTATGAGGTACTTGGATGACTTCATGGGAGTGTCAGGTGATGCGCTGCGCTATAGAGTTGATCCGGCGTATGACTGGGACGGGACTGGAGGACTAATCAGAGAGTGGGAGTGGCACCACTTACGCTTCATTCCATACCGCCACGCCCGGATCGGCATGCGGAGTCCCCGCACTTTTGGCCCTTGCTTGAGAGTTGGTTTGCGGAGGACATTCCTCCGTGCCAAAGAAATCGGTCTATTGACACTAACTGTTTGTTGACTCAGGGAGAGCTGTGGAGCCGTTTACTAAAATGATATATACTGTGACTACGCAGAGATGCTTCAAATGGACCACTTAGTTGAATCATGATATACATTCCATCGACAAATTCCCTACAATACATAACGGAATCCCTTCTGCAAACGTCTCGCAGCAGCAATATCAATCCCCTCAACATCAGCAGTAACCTGCAACCGACGAAGATCCTTGGGACCAAGCTCTACCTCCTCATTCTCAAGTCTCAGCTGGCGCTTGTTGAGCATGTTCAGGTTAAAGTATAGGAAGAGAGCACACAGTCCACCGATAGCTTGTAGAGCGATGCAGACACCCATAGCAGTTTCATAGTGAGGTTTCTCTTTGGCCATGTATGTATACGGCGTCCAGATCGAAGCGCTGTTTCCGAGGGAATTGAAGAATGCAAAGGCTGTTTAGGTCAGTGCCGTGCATTATGTAGTGAGGGAGTATGGATAACTTACCAGCAGCACGCTTGGCAGGTGGGCGAGGGATAGAACTGGCGAGCCAGGAATATAGAGTACCATTTTGGGCGAAGACGAAGACCATGAGGAAGAAGGAGAAGTATCGAGGTCCGAAGGTGTTGGTCTTCATATAAACCACAAAGCCAATAATCGTGATCGGGATTGGGTATACAAAAAACCAGAATCTCTTCTCCAGTTTATCAGACGCCCAAGAGTGACCGAGAGAATACGCGACCATGAAAAGGTAAGGAGGCGCCACGAGAACGAGGGAGATGGTATCATTGTAGTCGACAGATTCCTTGATCAGAGTTGGGAAGAAGTTCTGGAAACCAGCTGCTCCAGTGATACACATATAGGCAATAGAAAAGGCGTAGGTCTTGATATCGGTCATAGCCAACTTCAAGCCCTTCATTTGATTCGCACCACCCTTCTCATCCACGTCAGCCTCGCCGGCCTCAATGGCAAGACGGCGTTGGGCAACCTTGCGCATCTCTGGAGAAAGGAGTTTCCATGTTTCTGGAAAATCGGGCAGGATGAAGCAAATGGCTAGTCCGATGGCACAGGTAATGGAGCCTTCGATAACATAGAGCCATTGCCACGCTGACAGACCTCGCTTTCCTTTGAGACCGTTGAGAATACCGGCGGCGATGAGGTTACCGAAGGCGCCACTGAGCAATGAACCGGAGTAGAAGATACTCATACGGAATGCCAATTCTTTCTTGGTATACCATTTTGAAAGGTAGAAAAGGACTCCACTGAAGAAAGGAGCCTCTAACCTGGGCTTAGCGCATGTCAGAAGAATGGAAACTTGATAAGGAACTGACCGACGAATCCCAGAATAAAGCGGCATGCAACAATGCCTCCATAGCTAGACACTTGACTCGTCAACGCAGACACCAGGCCCCAAGCGCAGACGAAAAATCCAATGTATAGTGAAGGGCGACCCATGTAGTTGAGGAGCAAGTTCGAGGGCACCTGCATCAAAATGTATCCGACAAATAGAATAGACAGGCCGGTTTGGTATTTAGTGTCATCGAGTCCGAGATCCTCCTCGAGACCTTGGAGCTTTGCTGCAGCATAGTTGTTACTGTAACCATTAGCACAGGTCACTTTAGGAGAACTCTTTCTCAAGGCATCGCGTACCGATCGATATAGTTCATCAGGTAAACCAAAATAACCAAAGGCATGATCAAAGTATCGATGCGCCGGCGCAATTTCTTCTCCACGACCTTCTCCTCCTCAGTCAGCTCAGCCATATGGACAACCTCCTCATGGCTCAAGTCGACCTTTGCACCCAACTCCGCATCGGTAATAGTGTTATCATTTCCGGCCATATTGACGAGCCGAGCAAACAAACTGGAGGATACACTACAAAAAGCCCGGGGTAGGCGATCATTTATGTCGAGCAACAGGTCATGTTACAGTACAACAAGCTCTCGCATTTCCCCCGTGAATTCTGGGGAAACGTGGGGGACAACCAGGACCAATCATGTTTGCGGGGAAGTGGCCCAATGCAGAGAGATACGAAGGCGAACGCATGTCATGACGGCATTGATGATCTCTCATAGGTGAATTTTTCCCACATCCCCCACGTTGGAGGCCAATTTCAGGCTAATGTGCCCACTGAGTTTAAGCCGTGGGCCGTACTGGGAAGGTCACTTGGGTCGGGCTGCTCAAGCCTTCGGCTGCCAAGTCTCGGGCTTCAGGGAGCTTCGCTAAACGTCCGTGCGAGGATTGTAAGCCGAGTTATGCTCGGACAAAGTCCGGGGGCTATCAGCCGTGGAACCCCGGCAATCCTTGCTTTGGTTTTGGCTTTGACTTGCTGTGTTGGTTGGTGCCCCAAGATGACAGGGATGTGAACGATCCGTGGTGGACTCGAGGAAACCATATCCCGAAGTCAGGTATTTTAACAAAAGATTGGATGATTTGATTGAGTGGACGCATGGTGGAGAGGAACAACGCACTGTAGACAATGATGAGAAAGGAACGTACCCCGGACCGGACCCCAGACCCCGGACTCAACCACGTTGATCTCCTCCAGCCAAGACTTTCCCGTCTCTAACTCTACATGTAACTTCTCGCACTTCCTCCGCGTGGACCGATATACTCAAAGCTTGGCCGGTGTAACTCCTAGCGTCGACCCTAAATTGGCATCTCGGTTTTGCCATCTTCGTCTTAGTAGCATTCCTCGGTAGATTCCAGTGTGGCTTTTAGCGAATCAAACCATTCGCCCCCTGAGCGCCCCTAGGATCCAAGTGAAGAAATCAACTCACGCTATCTGAATATGCTGCATATGGCTGACGATATTCACCTCGGTATTTCTCTCGGGCGAGAGCTTCCTGTCCGATTGCAGGATCTGTGAGATGTTGCTGCAGCCCTCGGCATGTACATGATATGTTTTCCCAGGTTAGAGAGTGAAGACGTAATCCACTTTTGAACTTCTGACTTTGTATGAGAATCTTGATTATACACATTGTACGTGAGAGTGCATGTACAGTGGTTACATACGTAGTTGACAGAGCTATCTTTGGAGGCACTTTTAAACCCATCAGTTGGCTTATTGAGGCTCTATTATCAGTTCCTCATGCGACTGAGTCAGATCTATTGATGAACCCTTAGACTAATATTCAGTGACTGATTCATCCATGTGTGGTATGAACTGTCTATACAAAAGACAAAGCTCTTCCACCAAAATGTTTGCTCGGTTTGTTTGCTCAATAGCCTCGGTAAGGCATTACTGTATGCCTTAGACGACAGCTAACGTATTTCCCGATCGAGTGGCCACCTCAAAACACCGTACTAAATCGGATAGATTAAAAAACTTGATACCTTGACAACGGTGGTCTAGAAAGACTTTGCCTTATAGCACGATACTCTTTAGGTGATATTTAGACAATCTCACGAGTTGAACGGGATTTTATATCCTATTGGTTAAGATATCAAGGTTTCTAGTTTTTAGCAATGTAATTTTCGGCAATTTCGAAATAACGATAATTAAGCATTCTGCTCTCTTTGTATTTGATATATAGTGTAAATACGTCTGATGTATGACAATTTATGGACAAGGAGCCGAAATTAAAACGTGGTTGTTGAGATACTACGTTGTAATTTTTCCGATTTAGTATGGTGTTTCGAGGTGGCTAGGGATGGCCACTCGAACGAGAACCACGTTACAGTTAACAATAATTTATCAGATCAGAGTTAAAATCCATAGCACCTTGAGTTTTGTATCAATCTATTTCATCATTTGCGGAGAGATATGAGAGACCGAATAGAAGAACTAGAGACATCAGTTCCGAAATACACGCCTCGGTGGATTACTTTGCAACGTGCAAACATCAGACTTTGGTACTTTCGCAATTACAAACACCAAGCCAAAATACTGGTAAATTCTTCATATTAAACACTACATGGTACATCATAAGATTGGATGACGAAACTGTCTGGGAGCAGCCAACACTGTACATGTAAAATCACGGGATGAACGGAATGAAGAATGAACGGGACAAGGGTTGGAAGGGGCCAACTCCTCTTCCATTTCAGTCGACTCACAGCTCCATAGCCAATTCTTCAACGAATAGCGCAGCCACATCCACAACGCCCAATAAAAATGACACAACTCAGACTCGGTCGCAATGGCGGGCCCACCCGCCACCTATCAGCAGCGGCGAGACACCAACTATCGCCAAACTAGCAGCGCCAAACGCCCGAGCGGACGAGTCGGCCCACCACCCAAGCAAGCAGATCTCGGACGACCAGCTCGGAAATCTGGCTCGCCTAAATCCCGCCGCGCCGTTGGCCCGCAAGCTGAGACCCTTCCCAAACTCCCACCCTCAAGCTCCCCATGCGCGCCCCTATGGTCGGCGACACGCGACATTTTGCCTCCGACCTACGAGTCAGGAGGGCTGCCAACCGCCAGTCACGGTCGTGCAAAGTCTGCCGGCTCCGCAAAGTCAAGGTCGGTTCTCCATGCCCGTTTGTGCTCAGATCGCTAGCCCTGGGCCGGGACGCTCCCGTACCCATCGCATGCGTCCCACTGGTCGCCAACGCCAATGCTAGTACCTACGTGCGAACATGCTAACGTCGATCGTTGCTAGTGTGATCGTGTCAAGCCCTGCCATGCCTGCTGCGCACATGGATACCCCTCGAAATGCGTGTATGAGGACGTCTCGGACGAGGACGCCCGGCCAATCAGCCAAGCAGAGGAGATTAAGAACTTGCGGGCGGAGATCCGGGAGCTAAGATCGAGGATTGATGCCAGGCAGGATGGTATGTGCTTCTCAAGCCACTGCCCACTTCTTGTGGGGTTCGATGCAGGACTTATTGCTGATTCCTGCTTGTAGGTACAGGTTCGAGATCTCGGGATCTGCAGCAGCTTGAACAGCTTGAAGGGTTGTTTGACTCTATTCGATCTGCCCCGCTCAGCCTTGTGGAGGAGCTTGTTCGTGAGCTTCGATCTGCTCATGGCGGTCTCAAGAAGGACTTGGTTCCCGTGGGGCCATGGGAAGGCCGAGAAGGTTTGTCCCTTGCATCGTGGTTGTGACTTAGTATCTTTATTAACATGTTTAGCTTATGAATCTTTTGAACAACCATCGCGGCCATCTTCGACTCTGCCGGTTCGGAAACGCCTCTTGTTAAATTCTGCCAGCGACGACTTCAATAACTTCGATAATGACGATGAAAGGGAATTTGAGCGTGAGATGTCTTTCGGCAGTGGCTCAGACTCATCTGGAGGGACTTCAGTAATTAACATGCAGAGACCAGCGGTGGATGTGTTTGTCGAGAGATTCGTTGATGCGTTTAGCCCCGAGGTGGATATGAAGTCGGGACGGGCAGGTGCATTGCGAGCTGCTGCCGGCATTCGAATGTTTTCCCCTCTGATCAGCGATGCTTTCGAGGCTGTCTCGGTGGCCTTCTTTGGGCGGTCTGTTCAGAACAAACAGATCGAGGCATCTGGGTTCCGACTTTACCCACGTGTGCTGCGCGGTCTACAGGATGCATTGGTTGATCCTGAGAAGTCTAAAGCCGAATCCACGCTGGTCACTGTGATTCTGCTACTAGCTTTCGAGGTTTGTCGATCCAATCAACTGACTTGTTAATCACTGCTGATTTTGACAGAGCGTTGAACGCACTACTGACAGCGGTGTCTCGGCCCACGTTCGAGGTGCGGTGCGCTTGATTGAGCATCGTGGACCGGAAAATCATATGTACGGGGTGGAGCATCTTTTATTCACTGAACTTCGTCCTTACTGGGTATGTCTCCAAATTCTCAACATTTGGTTCATCCGCTAACGACTCTCAGATCGGGGGTGCTCTGGCTGCTCGACAAGAGTCATTCCTAGCACAAGAGGAGTGGAAGACTATCCCATGGGCCGCAGGAACAACCACAAAGGACATTTTACACCACCTGCTTGATCTTGCCGCCCATATTCCGGGATTACTAGCGCAGTCTGATTCCTTCAAAGCAGCACAGGCACGCTCCGTACTAGGTGCCCATGAGATCGCCGTCAAGCAGACCACTTTGTGGAACGGCATCGGCGACCTCACAATGAAGTTCTACCAATGGTACGAAGACTGGGTCAAGGTCTACCCTGACGGACCACCCAAAGAAGTCGAGCAAACAGGCGCAGATGATTTCCCTATTTTCCAGCGGCGCGACCTGCGCACTGGGGCTACTTATACCCCAACCAGATTCACATACCCAAACCTTCTTCTGGCACAAACCATGTGCCTCTACTACAGCTTCCGACTCATCCTCTCGTCAGTCGATACCCGTCCCCAAGACCGTGTCACCCCCATGGAACAATACGACTTGGGTTGCGGGATTGCCCGTACGCTGGAGTTCTATATCACCACAGCGCCCGGCAACATGATTAACCGCCTTGCATTCCCCACTCGGGTAGCGTGGGAAGCATTCCCCGAAGGAGGACCGGAGCGTGAATGGATGGTGGAGTTATTGCATTTGGTGGCACGGCGACACTCGCTCGGACTTTGGGGCAGTGCCATGCCTGAGCTATCTACTCAGCAAGATTCGCCCTTGAATACAGGTAGCCCATAGTGCGTACTGCACATGCATATAGTGATGTGAACTGTAGCGATGACTTGCAATTCTTTATTCCGAAAATCCGTTATATCCGTCTTGCCAAAGTTTGGAACCGCCGTTGCTGTCACAGCTCCACTAATGGATCCTGTTGTGCACATAAAAATGTGTTGCGGACCATGAAATCAAATCATGGAGGCTTAGCGAGCTCTCGGCTCCAATTGAACCCCATTTGTGCATTCGGACGATACCCCTTTTGGCCCGTTCCCGATCGAAAATCCCCAGGATCCACCGGCGAAATTAAACAGCTGAAATGATGCATCCAAGATTTGGTTGTCAGATTCCTCTTGATTGGTTGTCATATTGAGATCGGCGATGAAGCTCTCGCTAATTCGACAAGTACCTGACACGACTCCACTACATCGACCAGTTACAATTAAGGCTCAGAGATCAACAATCGATAGTTCACAGAATGGAGAACCCATGAAAAAAAAAAGGAGATGACGACGTCTGACTTCTGCAGAATAAGAAGAAAGCTATCTGTCTTGTGTCAGGTCGTTCTTCAGAAAAATCATAATAATACTATCCACCATGCCTTCAATCACTAAGCTAGCCCTCTCAGCTCTAGCAGCAACAACAACCTTCGCAACCGGAATCAACGATTTCAACTGCAAATCCGACTCCAACCCCGTCGTCTTCCTACATGGACTGGGCGCAACCTACTATGAAGACATCAACTTCCTCCAATACTGGCTCCAGGCCAAAGGCCACTGCACCTACGCCCGCACCTACGGAGCCTACGACGGCTTCCCGTTCCTGGGCGGACTGAAGAGTATCAGCGAAAGCGCGCCCGAGATTGCCGCCTACATCAAGGAAATTGTCGCCAAGACCGGCAAGGAGAAGGTCGATCTTGTCGGCCACTCTGAAGGTGCTTTCCAGTCCCTTTATGTTCCCAAGTTCGAGGGTGTCTCGCACCTTGTTGATAAAATTGCTGCTATTGCGCCGCCAACGCATGCTACATCTTTTGCCCACTTGTATGATCTTGCTTACGTGCTCGGGAACACTACCCGTGAGGTCGTGAAGGATGTTCTTGATCTTGTTGGTTGCCCGGCTTGTGATGAGCTTGGCCCTGGTGGTGCTGCTATCCTGCGCTTGAATGATGGTGAGCCTATTGTTCAGCCAGGGAATAAGGTTACTATTATCGCTTCCAAGTATGATGAGCTTGTTACTCCTCCTTCTACTTCCTTTGTGCACGAGGATGGTGTTACCAATCGCTGGATTCAGGATACTTGTCCCCTGGATCCTGTTGGTCACATCGGTGAAGCTTATGACTTGAATGTTTGGAACTTGGTTAAGAATGTTCTTGATGATACTCCTGATCGGAAGTTTGTTTGTTTACTTGGTTCGCCTGGTAAATAGACGCAATTGGGGGGATGGGGTTTCAGATTTCGATTCGGTATTTAATATTTAATGTAATCAATTCTTAATTCACTGTATCTGGAAATATTGTTTCGGACTTTTGAAGGTCTGCTTTATATTTGAACTTGAGTCGGGTTGTACGTGTCACATCTCAAACTCTGTTTCAAGTGATTTCGAGAGCTTGTGAAGACAATTTCCGGGGCTATACGTGTCAATTAGAAGCAAAGCTAAATTGATGGTCTCAGAGACATGTCATAAAACATTAGACACTTTCTATATAAACACCTCGAAGCGAATGTCCTATTTGTTGCTTTGTTTGTACCTTGACTTGGCCTTTCTTTTCCCATATCTTTTTGGTCACTTTCGAGTGCCTTATATTGATCATCTACATTGTTTCCACTGGAGGTGTGTGTTGCGAAAGGACTTGTTGTAGGGCTGCACATAAGGGTCGTTTAGACTTTTAACTTGACGAAGTAAGCGATGACACATTTCATTCTATAAGTTGTCCATCAGCTCTATTGTTCACATTTCTTTCCAGTCACGTCCATTCACGTTAGTCTCATCTTCTTCAAGGTCTAGCGTTTGTTTGCTCAAATTTCCGTGATAGAAAGTATCACCGATCATCCGATCCTTCATTTCGCGTCCAATTGCGATTGAAGCTCAACAACACCATTGTTTACATCTCAGTCAAGGAGATATTTTTTCCTTGATCTCCTTCTTCAAATTCTCCCGCTGACCTTTGATGCCCAATTGATCTCGGACGTGGCCTGACACGTGCGTTTCTTCACGGAACTTACTTTTTCCGCTCTATCTTATCGGCAGGGATCAAAAAGTTATGGATTCTTCCAAGGGGTGGGAACACCTCGCTAGGATGATGGAGCAACCCCCTCAGTCTCAGCCGGTGGTTGAGCATGATCTGCCTGATGATCTGGAGGCTCAGATTCGCCAGGCTCAAGACCAGTTAGTCAGGTTGAAGAGACAGCGTCAACTCATTGAGATCCAGCAGCAAGTGGCCGATGAAGAGAGAGCTCTTGAAGATGCTCGTCTTCGTCTGGTAGCTACCATGAGCAAGGAGCCTACGCCTCCTACCCCTACCAAACCAGCCCCGAGAGCTATCGAGAACAATGATTCTCCACCAACCTCAGCTCTTCCAGCCCACACTCCCAAGAGGCCCGCCGCCGCCGACCGCCGCGTGTCTGACACCAAAGCCCAGAAAGACGGTACTCCTACCAGACCAATCACGGGAACACTGTCAGCTTTGGCACTGGATCAATTGCGGGCTCTCGCCGCAGCAAGCAGATCCCCTACCTCAGCAGCCATCAAAACCGAGCCCACTACTCTCGCGCCCACTGCCCCAGTCTATCAAGCCTCCTACATACATCCTTCGGACGATGACCACAATCATGGCCCACCCGTTCCAAACGTGCCAGTTTACAATGGACGCGCTCTAGGGGAATACAAAAACTACACAATGGGCCTCGACCGTCACTTCGCCAAATATGCCGAATACTATGACACCGACCAACGCAAGCTCACCCGAGCTCTTAAGCACATTACCCTCAACCTGGAAGACGAATGGAAGCGTCACACGCGTAACCTACCCAGTGACCAAGTCACCTATTCCGCATTCTGCACCTTCCTCATCCACCAACTCCAAAACGGAGTCTACCCAGAGATCGCAAGGGCTCGCTACAAGGATAGCTACCAGCGCCCCGCGCAGTCCGTGACTGATTTCTCCAACTGGATGCAGCAGTGGGAACCCCACTTCAACGAGAGAATGACCGAGCGAGATCGTATGCGCCACCTCTTCGAGCATCTACTGCATAAGGTCCGCAACGAGGCCGAAAAGACTTATCTGGACTTCACCAACTACAATGACTTTGTCGCTTATCTGCAGCAGGTCGAGGACAACATCAGTGTCCGCAACGACGCCCTTGGTCGCCGTGGAAACCCCAGAAAGCGTCACCGCAGCCACAGCTGAGCTTAGCTAAAGCCAGCTGCACATGTACTCGCGCGCCAGCCTGTCTTCTATCCGAAACGAACATTAACGCATCTCTTACATCTGTACATTGGATTAGATCGAGGCGGGGTTTTCTTCTTTTTTTCTGTTCTTGCAATATGTCCGTGTAAATACCCCGGCATTGCGAATCCAATCAAAACCAAAAGGATTTTCGTGAATTTCCTCTTTTCTGGTTTATATCCTGTGTAGAAACCGGCTAGTTTTGATGGTCTCATGGATTCATTATTACCACTCACAGCTAACACGGCTCATATTCCCACACCCCGAGGTCCACAGATCCAAAGCATACTCAAACCTCACCACCAGATCACCTCTCCAAGCCTCCTCAACCTGCGTGATACTCGCCAGTAGCCGTAGTTCCAGCGGTGCATTTTGCTCGAAGCAGCTCTGGGCGCTTTTTAGCCGTAGTCGGCCTTGGTCGTTGAGGTCTGTGATGCCGGTGTAGGAGCTGTGTGTGACGAAGTAGCCGAACTTTGGAGGTCTGGGACTAGGTTAGTATTACTTTTATTGCGTCGCTGAGAGGAAGGGTGTGGAGGGTTGTTATGTGGTCTTGGAAGGGTTGAGATGTGAAGTAGTGAATATTATGGATGGAAGGAAGGTTTTTTGAGGGAAGTGAGAGAGGGGCAGGCTCTATTGCTCCACAAGTTGAGGCTCTTCTGATCCCTGTCAGATTTGCCAACGATTGTGTTTGCTAGTGTCTTGGCCCCAAATAGAATTCCGCTGTTGTTTCCATAGGCGCTTTGATGTTTGCTTCTGCTGTTCGTTCGCAATCTACAATTTTTAGTACTTTCTGGTGACCAATGTTACCAATATGGCCGTCTCAGATATTACTCCAATGTTACAGCATCTGGAAATAGTCATTGTGAAATCCAGCCTTTATGACTTTCCTTATCATTCCAGAGACTGCTTTTACACATAACGAAGTTCCTGCGATCCGAGTTGTGGTTATTGTAGTGGTGGGACGGGGGACAGTGATAGATCAGCAACTTGCGGTACCAAACTGCGTAGGGAAAACACTGTTCACACTTCAATTTTACCGATCCTTTCCGGTGTCATCCTTATCATTTCGCCCTATCCACGCAGTAACACAGCTTACAGGGTTTGCGTCTGAATGATACGGGAGTTTCAAGCCCCCCGATGCATTGGAGAGTGATGAAATCATACAAGATACCCAAGACCAAGCATGGTTTGAAAGTCCTGTGGACTTCACTGTTTTGCGAGAGCTGCGTTTCCCTTTGTATAACTTGCTGTTTCCCAGAGATGGCGAAAGGGCCTCCTGGTCTTGGCCCAAAATTCTCCCCCCAAAACTTGAATTTGTCTGGCCAAAATTGAAATGGTCGAACACACCATGACTGCTTTGCAGCTTCGTCGCTTGATGGAGGTCCGTGACCGAGAGTTACCTGATCTGCGGAAGATCGTGCTGCGGATAAATCAACTGTAATGGGTCCTTGGCGAAGACAGCTCCTTTGAGGGGGAGCCCCCAAGGTTGCGAGGGATGCCTTGGGCGGAGTGAAGACTATATGCGAGATGGTGGAAGTTGAATTTGGCTTTGCAGATTACAGCGATTATGAAGCGGAGTCACGAAAGCTTTGACCTGCGAGCTTTGCACATGAAGCGCACTTACACCATGTTCTTGCAAATACACACCACAGGACCGCTGATCCTTTCAACAAGGTTCTATAGGAGAAAATGGGGTTTGAGCCTAAGACTGCGTTAGACTGCCGTGGCTACCAATGGTAGGGATAATAAGAAACGTGAAGATGTACATTAAAGTGTACAGCCCTCTTTTCTGCAAGCCCAGGTCAGATGTTTGTTAAGAAAGAGAAGCGGTGAACTCATAGTTCGCATGCGACCCTTCTCCCCTAAATGCAACCGACCAGGATCTGCCGATGTCTCAGCTTTGGCTCTTCTTATCAAGACGAATCAGAAGACAGACAACACAAAGCAAGCACCAATAAAAGCACACGCGATCCATGCGCATGCATCTCAGCCCCTTAAGAAGAAGAAAATAGTCAATCAATAAACCCCACTTGAGAGTGGGACCCGATCGTCGAGCCATGGATCGACTCATGTTTATCTAAGAGGGGAATCTGGCGGCTTCTTCCTCTACGTCTGTGAGTCTTCCACGATGGAGAAATCACGGCTACCCCCTCGCCCTCGATATACGCGATGGGGCTTACCGCTAGCAGCCGTGTTGACCTTCCTATTGTGGCCAGTCCCTTGGCCTTCACCGTCACGGACCTGGATCTCGCCGGATGTCCCCGTCCCGCTTACCTGGGACGAGATCATGCCTGCGCAGTCGCTGGAATATCACAACTGTGGGGGTGATTTCCAGTGTGCGAGGCTGGAAGTACCTATGGATTATAATCGGACTGATGGGAAAGGGCGGACTTTCGCTTTGGCTGTGGTTCGATTACCGGCCAAGGTGCCTGTCACTGATCCCCAGTATGGAGGCGCGATCTTGATTAATCCCGGTTAGTTGGTTTATTCCTGTCGACACTGACTTAAGCTTATACTTTATTTCTCAGGTGGTCCTGGTGGCTCTGGGACAATGCAGGCATTCGTGTCAGGTCCCGATCTCCAGCTGATTGTCGATGCAGAAGGTGATCCCGGTGAAGCCAGAGATAATACAACCGATAAGTATTTCGATATCGTCGGTTTTGACCCTCGGGGAGCGGGATCCACCACACCCCCAGTGATGTGTTTCCCCGATCCGGTATCGCAGCGGAATTGGGAACTGCAAATTGCTACCGAAGGCATGCTCGGTAGTGGTTGGGATGCACTACAGAGAAACTGGCAGCGAACTGAGGCGCTGAACTCGGGTTGCTCGGTGTATGATATGTCCAGCTTGGGGACAGACGAACCAATGATGTCATATGTCAACACGCGACTGGTCGCGGAGGATATGCTGACTATCATGGAGAGACATGGCGAGTGGCGCGAGAAACAAGGCCAAGAAGCTTCAAAAGCCTTCAGGTGCCACACGTCGGACGAAGCCCTGGCGGTTTTGGAACGTACTCGACGGCGCCGTGGTGAAGAGCCACTGCTTTACTGGGGCAGGTCATATGGCACCCTCCTCGGTAGCACATTTGCCTCTTTATTCCCCGATCGAGTCAACCGAGCCGTTCTCGACGGCGTAGTTGACATGTTCAAGTACTACCAGGGCGCAGGGAAAAATGCCATCACTGACGCAGATGCGATCTTCGAGCGCTTTGGCCAATACTGCAACGAAGCCGGTCTGGCTGGCTGTCCCTTCTACATTGATGGTGGTGCAGACGCCATTAAAGAAGCATTCTTGCAGCTTGAAAAACAGATTCTTAATGCGTCAATACCTGTGATGGCCTCTGCGACACGGGGCCCCGAGGTCGTTACCTGGACGGACATCAAAGCGATGCAGCGAGTCGCCGTGTACCAGCCACTGCTTGCATTCCCACTTCTAGCAAGGAGGATGAGGGAACTATCCAAAGGCAACGCGGTTCCAGCAGCTGATTTCAAACATGAAAATCACTTTGGCGCGTGTCCTTCTAATGCCTGTAGTCGTGCTGGGCCTTGGTCTGCCGAGTGCGCTCGTGCGCAAGATAATGGACTATATGCCATGTCTGCTATCCTGTGCTCGGATGCGGAGTTTTTGACTACGATGGGCATGGAAGAGTTCACGGGTATGTGGAATGAGCTTGCTGCTGATAGTTCCTCTCTTGGGGATTACTGGGCGCAGATGCAGTTGAGCTGTGTTGGTTGGAAGGCTAAGCCTAAGTATCCATTCGAAGGTATGTTCCGTGTTGTCATTCTATATTTTCTCTGCTAAATGGTCTTAGGGCCTTGGGGTGCGAATACAGCTCATCCCTTGCTCTTTGTGTCGAATACTCTGGATCCAGTGACACCGCTACACAGGTATACCTGTCCTGCCCCTGGGTAGAAATAACTAAAGCTAATACATCCAGCGCCCAACACATGAATCGGATGTTCCCGGGATCTGGGTTAATCCAACAGGAGTCAGAAGGAGTAAGTTACTTCATGCAATCTTTCTATCTGTTTATATGACTGACCTCATGTAGCACACCACAATCGCAGCTCCGTCAATCTGCATTGCCAAAGCCATTCGCAACTACTTTCAAACTGGCGCCTTACCCGCGGCCGGAACCCTGTGTCAAGCAGATTTAAAACCATTGGTTGGTTCTCCGAATCAAGTCGCCACTCTCAGCGAACGTCTTAGCCCAGCGGACCGCAAGCTGTTCAAGGCTTTGATGGCGGAGGTTGAGCGAGGACCCATGTTCCCGGTATAGAATACCTACTTTTGACCCTGGCTACGCTGGGCTGGCTCCTTGGATTGTGCCTCTCTACCCAACATTATGATATATGACCTCTTGGATTAATAGGCTAGAGCGTTGGTTTTGTGTATTGCATTGAGCAGTTGTTTCAGCGACCAGAGTTCGGGTGTTCCATTAGCTTCAATTCAATTGTTTTCTTCTTTTCCATACAAGTGTACACTTCAGTATACCTCTCCAAATCCGGATATCCGCTGCGGAGTACCTCGGTTCGGCCAATCTGACTTCACCGATAATCAGCAACCCCGCTCAAAGGTTGGGGGTGTTTCCAATTGCTCGAACTTCATCTGCACCTTCACCGTTCTCTCTTCAACAATCATCATGGCGCCCCCTACCGCAACAGACACCATCACCAACACTGTCACCATGCAAGCCCCGCCATCATCCCAAGCGGAGGGCGCGGAGAAAGCCAAGATCAAAATGCAAATGCCCAGCATGCCCGTTTTCGAAGATAAGATGAACGAGCGCGAATATCTCAAGGGCCGTCTAGCGGCTGCATTCCGCATCTTCGGTGATAAGGGATACGACGAGGGTAAGACGTTCAGCTCCTGCGATGCTTTATAATTATCAACTCACATATATCCAATAGGTGTCGCTGGACACATCACCGTCCGTGACCCGGTTGACCCAAATACCTTCTGGGTGAATCCCTTCGGCACGGCATTCAAGTTGATGAAAGCTTCGGATTTGATCCAGGTTGACCATGATGGCAACGTCATCGCCGGTGGACCGAATCGGATGTTGAACGCTGCGGCGTTTATGATCCACTCGGCTATCCATGCCGCCAGACCAGATGTGCACTGCGCAGCGCATAGTCATAGTCTTCATGGGCGGGCGTTTTGTTCTCTAGGCCGACCGTTGGATATCATTTCGCAGGATGCTTGCGCTTTCCATAATGTAAGTGCTCATTCAATTGCCGTTGCTGCCATATTCAGGCTAACAAAGCACAGGATCTGGCACTGTATAACTCCTTCAAGGGTGTTGTGCTGGCCGAAGAAGAAGGACAGAACATCGCCAAAGCACTTGGAAACAAGAAAGCGGCACTTCTCCAAAACCACGGTCTTTTGACTGTCGGAAACACCATTGAGGAAACAGTCTTCTGGTTCGTCAGCCTGGAGAAATGCTGCTACGCCCAGCTCCTAGCAGACGCAGCAGCGACCGGCCGAGGCGGACAGACGGTCAAAATTGACGAAGCAGACGCCGCTTTCACGTACAAGACAGTCGGAACCCCCAAGGCTGGCTGGTTCAGCGCGAAGCCCCTATTCGATGTGATCCACGCCGAGACCAAGGGCGAATACTTGGAATAAGACATTGATCCATGAATAGGGCTGGACAATTAACATTAGTCTAAACGGCCCTACGCACAAGCCTGTTTATTAATTTGCACGAATGAACGCAATCCGAAGCATCCCTGCGGGTTTCTATCCGCAGTGTTTCTCTCTATTAATTCATGTCGCTTTCCGTAGTAGTGGAGATGCAGGGCGTGGACGGGGTAGTGGTATGAGCGAACGTGATGCTGGCAGTTGAATAAATAGTCCACCCGCGGAGAATAACTTGCGTGTTGACTGTTTGGCACAAATTAATGCGTCTATGGGATGTGCCAATTCGATGGGGCTGGCGGGTTTCACTAGTTAGCCTTGATGCTAGTGTTGTTTTAAGGTGAAACATCCTGGGCTTTCGGGCCACGCTCCGGTTTTAGTCAATCCCACCACTACACATCTGCAGAATGGATAACTCCTCAGATTCCAGGGGTGGGTATATAAATATGGAGGATCTTCATGTTCTTGTGGCATCAAAGTAATCATTTCCTCCTTTTGCTTTTGACATCTACAGCGCAGGAACGCTACCGACTCTTCTTTTCGACAATTATAATCTTGTTCACTATATTCAATATGCGTTTCGGGATCCCCGCCCTTGTCAGCATTGGCCTTGTCAGCGCTGGTGTCGCCGAGCACGTCAAGAGAGAGGATAGCTGGGGTGGCAGTGTTTCTCTTGGTCCCTCCAAGTCGACGATTGTCAACGCCGTCACTACTATTATCCCTGGTGCTGCTCCTTCCACTCAAAACGGCGAGCTGTTCTTGTGGCCTGGCGTGAGTTTGAATAACTTTGTATCCTTTCATTCCACTGTTCTAATCGTCATAGATGTCCAATGGAACCGGCGACCTCGTCCAGACCACCCTCGAGAGCTGGCCCAGCAACTCCTGGTGTGGAGCCACTACCGGCCAGTGGTGTGTGCGCGCCAGTGTCTTCGGAAGCTTTGGCCAGCTTGATGGTGCTGGAGCCGCTGTCAGTGGCGACGACCACGTCCGTATCGAGTACAACCTGGAGTCTGACGGACAGACCTGGAAGCAGTATGTCTTACCCTATGTGATTGAAAGCTACAGTGAAACTAACATACATAGGACCGTCACTAACGCTGTGACCGGCGCTCTTCTCTCCACTTACTCTCGTGCCTCCGGACCCTATATGACTGGGTGAGTTCCCTCAAGACGGACATGTAATTCTTCGAATATACTGACTAGGAATAGATACGGTACTGGTACTGAGTGCGATGGCGGATGCTCTGGTACTATTGCTGCTCAGAAGTACCTGAACACTACTATTACCCTTGCTGGGGCTGATGCCACATTCGGTAACACCATTGCTAAGGCTGGTGGCGCTACTTACACTGGACTCGGCTCCAGCCAGGGTGGTAAGGTCTGGACTATTACTCAAATTGATATCCCTGCCATGGAGTAAATCATTTGATTTTGAGAAAAAGTCATTATGAGAGTGCAAAAACGGATTGGTTGAAAGCCTTACGACAATGTTCTCAGTCCCCTCCGCGTTCCAGTACTTATCAATGGAAAGGTCCAAACATGTACGATAGTTTGAAGAGGAAACCAAAGTATTAGTGAACTAGCCACGCTACTCGGCGCTAATACAGATACAATCCAACATTTATATACAAATCAAAATTTACCCCCGATAATCAAGCAAAACATCCAACCGTACCGGCCCCGGAGCAGCAGCACCTCCAATGCCATTCCGAGCCTTCTTCGCCTCAACATAAGCATCAACAACTCTCTCAGCATTGGGAGTAATAACAGAACACCCCTGTCCATCAGCCTGACAAATCGACATACCCTGCACAAACTGCTTAGCAATCTGCGCCTGAATAGCCGAAACATCCCAACCAGACCACCCATTATTCTCCCCATCCCCAAATGTAAATTCACCCCAGGTACACGAATACCCACCCCACTGATCCTTTGGCAGAGAATGACCCGGCGCAGCACCCCATGCACCCTCTGAATCCTCATCGAAGGCAACATAGCGCGTTTCTCGAGGTGCAATGGAGAACGTCAGGGCAGAGTGTCCGTACCATCCTGTCATCTTGCCGTCGGGTCCCATTTTGTTCCATACCACTACCGTCCAGGGTTTGTCTTGTGCGCCGTGGAACTGCGCGACGTATTTGTAGTTGTGGGCTTCTTCTGGACTGACGGTGATAATGTTGCTGCCCCATGGTTTACCAACATTGCCTTTGTAGTGGATTTCTGTTCCGTGGGGTGCTGTACGCCCGCCAAATCGGTCGAATGAAAATTGTCCATTTGGTGGCTTTTCTGTCCAGGCTATCGGGGCGGGGTTGTGCACTTTGGGTCCTGGGAGGATTTGGTCCACGACTGGTAGGTCTGGGAGTACTTCGCTTGGAATATCGAGGACTGCGTTTACGGCGCCCTTTTCCCCGTTTTTGCCCTTGTCTTTCTTTGGTGGACCTTTTCGAGGGACAGCTTTTTGTTCTTCTGTTGGATTTTCGCGCAGTGTGTCTGCCAATGATGGTGTACCTGTCTCCGGCGTATCTGATTCTGGTGTCCCTGGCTCTGGCGTGACGGTAACCTTCACGGTATTTGTTGCAGTTCGGGTAATGGTTTTGGTCTTTGTGATCGTGACATCTTCAGACTCTGTTTGTTTAGGACGAGAGATCTCAGGCTGACTCATTTGAGACATCGTGGGCCTGGGCTGGATTGCCGCTTGATATATAGGCTCAGGATGGGGCTGCACCTGATTCCAATGGGCTTGGAAAGGCTCCGGGACCATAGGCCCAGGCACGAAGCTGTGCGCCGGGTACTCCGACGCACATGATGTAGGCTCAGTGTCCTCTCTCACGAGTGTCAAAGTACTAAAAATGGTATGTGTAGGCGCACAGTTGCCAACGACTGTAGTGGTAGTCGTGAGAGTAACAAATTCCAGCTCCATATCGCCCTGGATATTCTCCACATTGTCCCAAGCCAGATCCCTCGGCTCCAGCTGCTCAGCATGACGCATCAAATGACGGTGTCGATGGCTATGAGCATGATAGTGATGCAGGCCAGCACATGCATAGTCAATGATGCCGGCGAGAAGGAACGGTATAGATACGTTCCAACGCATTTCAAAAAGGTATAGTCGACGATAGCTCGATAGCAAATCAAGTTTCGAGGATTGAGGCGATATTCCAAGGCGTCAATGGGTTTTGGTTCAAAAATTAATAGTTACACGCTTAGTTGGTCGCATACATGTCGATGGCGTGGTGTCGGTGGTCGTTGTCGTGGTTGTCGCTTGCAGACACGCGATCCGGGGACGCGACATGTTTTATAAAATGCTTTGGGTAGAATGGTCTGGATTTCCACCTGGAATGTACTCCCACGCTTGGCCTTGGAAGGGCTTCGCGAGAGGGACAGTAGCAGCCCTGAATTCCGGGCCTCCTTGGCTAACGATTTGGATCTTGACATACATTTTCGCGTTTGGGGGGTGCTCGTGGCTTTTTAGAAATTGATCACAGCAACTGAATTCCATTAACAAAATATAACTAAACTATCAAAATATTCATTAACAGATGAGAATACTGCTCAATGAAAATCAAGGTCCGAGATCGACCCTGGCAGCCCCTCGCGTCGCATTCCCGCCCTGAATTACATTCGCCCCTCATTTCGCGCGAGAACCCTGTGAACAGCCTGTCAATTAAGTTCAGATTGGATTCAAAATGGCGCGATCGGGATTAGGCTATCTCGTCAAATTCAAAACACAGTATTCAAGGTTGAGCGTTAAAGAGTGTGTTGTATATCAAAGTAAAATGACTGCACTTAACCTGAGTGACACCGTAGACAGATAAAGCAGAAACATATAATTCAATTACCAGGTTAAAAATATTCTCCATATATTTCAAGACTCAAGATTCAGTCTACGTGTCAGACCTCGGTACATCTCACATCCAGCAGGAACCAGAGATCTGCGTCTGAGGGGGTCCAACATCAACCAGTTGTGTACCACTAATGGTAGTAACACTGTGGTCAATGCCATTGAAAGTACAGGTAATGCCATCTTGATCGGAGACAATGTGGGAGATACTCAGAGGATCAGCTGCACTGGTTAGTAAATCGTATCCGAGATAGGAATAAGTGAATAAACATACTGATTTGAACCCATCCACCGTTGATAGGGAAGTCCTGAGTAAATTTACCGTCGGCAGCGCCGATAAAGGAGACATGGACATTGTCATTGCGACGCTTCATGCCCACCGGGTGGCAAGATCCAGAGAGCTGGGTCTGAGGAGGGCCGACATCGACCAGCTCGGCTCCGGTGACGGTTGTCACACTGTGATCAATACCGTTGAAGGTGCATTGGATTCCAGCTGTGTTGGATGAGATGTGCGAGATGCTCAGTGGGTCACCTAATGATGTTACAATGAGTTCTCAAAGTAGGCCCTCCTTTAGAGACACTCACCAATGGAGACGACACTGCCGTCACTTGGGAAGCTTCGGGTGAATTGGGCATCGGCTGCACCAATGAATGTGATATCGACTTGATCGTTCCTCGCTCTTAGTGGACCTGCACTAGCAGTGGCGGCGGCAGTCAGGAGACCGATGAATACAGAAGTCTTCATATTGAACAGATGAATGAATATATCGATGGGTGTTGGTGTGTATTGTAGTGGATTAGATATGATTCTGTCCGCCTTTGGCATGGAACATGACCGTTCTTATACTTTTGGCAATGACTTTTGCCCGCGTCGTCCCAAATTTAGTTTTCATACGGATCTTGCCAACAGCAAGGCGTCCATTGTTCTGCTCCGTCCGAGTAGTGGATCTATGATGTCTACCATTTTGAAAGGACTATATGTGTTGCTGAACAGGTATTGCACAATGAATGATCAGCTGAACTAGGCGTCCCAAGTTCTCTAATTGTATCCATCTATAAAAGGTGGATATCGTCTCTCGGATCCCAAGGCTCTTCGGTTTACTCGGGTGTTCCGACCAATTGAAAATGTTTGTTTTGGTCCCTTTTACAGGTATCAAGTGTTCATTCGTCCGAGATCTTTTGATGTTACCAGAGCCTCGTATTGGTATAGTCCGTCAAGGTTTATAGTTCCATGGGAAGAGCCGCACGAGGCACTAAATATAGGGATTTGATCACGGGAGACGTGTGGGGGTTCTCCATTGGGTATATGTATTATGAATGACGTAAAGTACTATTGGGATATGACTCGCATAGCCTAGTTGTGCCTGTATTAGGCCTGACTGCCCGAAGGTCCTCGGGTCAAATACGAGTGCACCCATACTCAGCCGGGCAGTGAAATGAACCGATTGAATCCAACCCAAGGTTTGCATGACAACACTGAGACGCCTAAAAAGATCTTATAATAGCGTACAACAGTTAGGTTGTATCGAAGTGTGGTATTTTCATATCGTAAGATGACTTCCGGCATGGTCTTTCCCGGATCGTGGGATGAGTTGGTCATTGATTTGGGAGGTGCGGAGGTGGCAAAACGACGTGGGGCCCCAAACAATGAAATTATCCTTGATATGAACGACTGTAGACTTCACTGTTTATCGAGTAATTGAGAAGTTGCTACGCCTAAGATGACATATTACCGAGGCGTCCTTGAATTAGTGACTATAGCCTAGAAATTAATTTGAGTCTCGGCACATTATAAAAAGGTAATATAGATTTAAAGTCTTCTATTGCGATCGCATGTACATCATGCCCACTATTAAGGTATGGCGGATGAATACTGAATGCTTTCGCTCACTGAACTATTTTCATTTTGTTTTGTGCTTTCTTGTTCATGCTTGGGCAGTGCTTTAGGAAGGCAGCATTACCAGGTCAAATCATTGATCTTTAAGAACAAATATGTTAACTTGTTTTATTCACATATTAAAGTGTGATTAAAACAGTGCAGTTAAAACTAGCTGCCCGGTTGTAAGAAATATCACTTCGTATCATACGTCGGTGCTCCAAAAGCCGAAAGTGTATGAGGTCACCCACTTAGCCAATAACGCTAACGACTTCGATTTGGTGCTCCCACTCTTTTGATCTTCTCTTTGTAACTCAGTTTTAGAAATAATGACCCGAGAAGGTGTTAAACTTGGGATCAAATTTCCCCCTATTTTGACAACCTGACGAAGAGCACGTCTGGAAAAGGTTGTCGGAAGAGTCGCACTTCGCAGAATTGGACACGGTGCACATAAAATTTTTGACCTTCCACAATTTAGGAGTCCAAGCCTCGCCACGGTCACACGTAATCCAGTGGCTATCTTCTTTGCGTCAAAATTTGCAAGGTTCGCCCGTGTTTGTTTCATCGGCCCCAAGACCCTTGTGACAGTGCAAGCATCCCTTTGAAGGATCCGCGCGGTGTCGTTTTATCGCGATGTAAGGGCCTCTGCAGTCTTCCTTGGTGAGAAGAATGAATTCCCATGTGTCACTTGACTTGTCGGTGTTAGCGCTTGGTTTTTTTCTTTTTGTGGGTCGTAGTGGCTGACATTGTTGTAGAGGTAGACTGAGATGTAGAAGTAGAGGTAGATGATGACTTAATTGTGGCATTCAACGTAGTACTCAATGTAGGTTCGCTAAGGGACGAGTTTTTCCAGGCAACCAAGGACCGCAAACAGCATGCGGACGAGCAACTGGCATTGGGTGCTCTCCAGGACCAACGCAGATAAGTGATCCCTAAGATAGGTTTCGCATCCGAGCCAGTCCTATGTTCTAGGTTTGTACATCGGCCTCTGTGATTCCGTGTGCTTGAGCGATCGCGGAACAAGAATCCCCAGCCTGGATGGTATAGGCGAACTGGAGTGCATCTTTAAGTATTTAAAGGAAAGATACCCTTTGTCCTTCCAAGGCAACATGCATGATTGAGTGTGACATTGCTGAGAGGAATGTGAAAGAAAATGATACTATCCCAGGGTTCTTAAGGTGATACTGAACGCCGGTACATTTTCTTTAAGCATTATGAACACTTTCCTCAAAGTTAGTTTAAGCGGGTAAAACGGGCGACGAGGCAGGCGATGAGGCAGGCGATGAGGCAGGTCTGTTAGATAGTGGTGCTCTAGCTTTAAGGTCGTATTAGACTGCCGTACCTAGAAGATATAAGAAAGCTCGCAATTGCCTCTCACTTTAAAGCGGGCACCACATACAAATTGTAAGTGGGATGTAAGAATAATGTGAATGTATTGAACTCAAAGTTGTAGGGTTGCTCGTGACCTCGATCTTCTTTTAAAGAAAGGCACTCAAGATATCTTTTCTTTCATACATATCTTTGACCAATGTCGTTCCTTTCGATTGCCTCCCTGTTCTTCTTGATCGCTTTTGTGCTCTACTTTGCCATAGTGTCACCGTTCCGTTACTACATGTGAGCCAAACCTCCACCCATCAGCCTGTTTAACGCACAAGTCCGACGACACTTCTTGTCTCTTTTACCGTCCTCACACCCGCGCACTGAATTTTCATACATCTTGGCTACTGATTTCACCGCACTAACTCATTAACTTCAGCAAAATGGAGGTACGCGAAAAAATACGAAGATGTGGAAGTTGCAGACGGGAGAAATCGCTTGCCCACTTCATCCAACTCGGAAAGTCACTGAGCAGCGAGGGCCAATGCAAGACATGTGACATTTGCAGAGCAAGAAAGAGAAAAGTAAGTGCGACCAGCTCCAAAGAGATTGATCAGACTAATGCCGGGGTAAGCGCACCAAGACCTTCAATGACAACCGCAAAGGTAAAAGACATGAGATTATTCCCGGATGCCAGCCATAAGGCTGAGACTCATGTGGAGATTACAGCCAACAGCTCAGCGACTGGAGAGCCATCTGCCGATGCAGCCACCATAGTCACGATTGCCCGCCAGGGATCCCATTCAATTTCATCTGATTTTGACAACAATGATCAATTCTCTGTTGCCGTCACACCCACACTGGTAGAAAGCTCTACTCGTGAGACTACCAGCACGACCATCGTCACAGTCACAACTTCTGTCAAGCATATTGACTATCTAGGCAAGAATCCTTCCACGAACATCAATGTCGAGGACGAGCTGTCCTACCAAAAGGCCGAGAGCTGTGGACTTGCCTCCGTGTTGAACGCTTCATCTTCCGAAAGCAAAGCCTCTAGTGAAGATACCTCTGACGACGAGAGATCTTTCCCGGGCTCGGGATTGTTCTGGTGTATTCACTGTGAAAGATGTCAGCCTACTCCATTGCAGGCTATCTCAGTTTGCTTGCTTTGTATCTGGAGCTGGAAGTGGTGTGAGCAATGTTCAAATGACCGACCCAGGGCAATTTTCATGTGGGAAGGAGAGGAACATGATGAATGTGTCCATTGCAAGATCAATGCAAATCTGCTCCGAGTGTCGCATGGCTTATCTTCTGGAACTGAAAGCTCCGTTGAAGTTGGCTCGTTCAACGAACTGGTTTTCCCAACTTCAAAGTCTTTCTGTTGTGTTTGCTGCGAGGGACATCGGCCAGTCTCGTCACAGGCCATGTCGGTGTGCTCTATTTGCATTCGGAACTTGAAGTGGTGCAAGAACTGCTCAAATAAGTGGCCCGACACATATTTTTTGTGGGACGGAAAGGATCATGATGCATGCATTCATTGCGTAATGGGTGCTAAATTGTGGTAGGGAAATGTTATCGACCAGGGAGGATCAGATTGATGATTTCGGGGACTTTTCTCTTGCTCGTTTGGGAGGAATTCACGGGAAATATATTCTCATGCTACTCTGACTCTTACAAAAGGGCTGTTCTAAATTCGAATTCTGCTCAACCTTGCAGACAGTTGTCTCTTTCGGTCTTCGGTGGAAAAAAAATAGTTGGAAAATGAAGACTAAGTAAAAGTAGGTCGATGACCCAACATGAGCTTCTAGATCAGATAAGACAGAGCGATACCAGGGGGCGGTTATAACGGTGAATGGCAGTGTCCAAACAGATTGGTCATTTCACAAGCTGTAAGCTCTCGCCCAAGAGCTTTCATATATTTTCATTCATGGGGCCATGGCGCATTATTGAACCTTGTGATTATACTGCGTTAAGTGTTCGTCTTCGTAAACCTGGCAATCAGCCAGATACAAATGATCAGGAGAAGTAGTTAGGTATTTGGCATCCGTGGTGGAGCGTGCACGATCGAAGAGCACTTGGGGTCATGCGCGGAATATCTATTCTCCGATCTACAGCCTGAATTCTGGCCTGATTTTGAACGGTGCATCTTGATTGGGCAGAGTATGTTTGAGGGTTCACATGAATCCTTGGGAACGGCGTTGAAGGAAATATAGATATAATTAGTCTGGCGGCTTATGAGTTCCCCGTAGCTGGTGTGCCATAGTCTTTGATGATGATGAATCCAGTCCAATCCGTATAGGACAGACGGAACATATCGGTTTCTCGGGCCCCTTGATTCATCGGGTAGAAATATGCCACTTGTCGCAGAGTACGCTTCTCAGTTGGCAGTGTCCAAGTGCATGTATGTACCTTGTACCTTCTCCAACCCCCACCTCCGCACGCCAATAGTACTTTGGCCGTTCTTATCGTGAGTGAATTACACTAACCTTGTTTCAGTAAAAGTCACGCCCGGTGGGTTGGCATTGACCAATCAAATCCCCAACCGCGCGCAAGATTTACCCCAAGTGACAACCCCGATAGCTGTCTGTGGGATATAAGACTCTTGCCAGATCCGACCTTGAGACAAAGCATCTCTCTCTACTCACAATGGCAAGCCTTCACCCATTCGACCCCATCACCCCTGGGGAAATCCAATTGGCCGTTTCCGTCTTGGAGCCCGCCTTCCCCGGTGTCAAGCTGCGCTACAAGCGCATTGATCTCCAGGAACCAGCCAAACATGAAGTCGTCCCATACCTCGAGGCTGAGCGGCTGGGTCAAGTGCGCCCTCGCAAGCCGGCTCGCTTGTTGGTGGTCCTCTTCCACCGTCTCGACAACGGTTCTTTCTTCAAGGCCTTGATCAACGCCGACACCAAGTCTATCGCGTCGGCGAAGGAGCTGCCCAAGGATGTCCAGGGCCCAGTGGATATCGACGAGATGATCGAGATTGAACAGCTCTGTCTCAGTCATCCGGCCGTCAAAACGGAGATTGAGAAGTTGAAGCTTCCGGCTGGTCACACCGTGTGCTTGGATCCTTGGATCTACGGCACTGAAGATGCCAAAGAGACCCGCCGCCTGTTCCAGTGCTATATGTACATTGTGGCCACCGATCATCCCCAGAACAACCAGTATTCCTTGCCTTGCCAATTCTCTCCAGTCTTTGATGGCATCACCCGCGAGCTTGTTCGCATGGACTATCTGCCTGGTGGCGCGAACGCCGAGACGAATGAGACTCAGCCGTGGAAGCCAGTGCCTGCTGTTCAGTATGCTCATGACTTGCTTGATGAACCCTTGCGTACGGACCTTAAGCCCTACATTGTTCAGCAACCAGAGGGTGCGTCGTTTAACGTCATTGGCAATGCTGTGTCATGGCAGAAATGGCGCTTCAGAGTGGGCTTTAACAATCGGGAGGGTCTGGTCCTTCACAATGTGACCTACGATGGTCGCAACACCTTTTACCGACTCTCCTTCTCTGAGATGACGGTGCCTTACGGCGGTAGGTTCATCCCACTCCCTCTTAATGACCATATCTAACATTCTAGACCCTCGTCCTCCATACCACCGCAAACAAGCCTTTGATGTCGGTGATGTCGGCTTTGGTATCACAGCTAACCAGCTCACCCTCGGCTGCGATTGTCTCGGACACATCAAGTACTTCGATGGCTACCGCACCGACGCACAAGGAGAACCCATCCAACTCAAGAATGTCATCTGCATGCACGAGCAAGACAATGGCCTCCAACATAAGCACACAAACTACCGCAGCGGTGCAGCCACAGTCGTCCGCAACCGTCAACTGGTGGTCCAGATGATCTGCACAGTCGCCAACTACGAATACATCTTCGCATTCATTCTCGACCAAGCAGCCAACATCGAGCTCGAAGTGCGAGCAACCGGAATTCTCTCCACGGTTCCCTTCGACAACCAAAATGGAGAGACAGTCCCATGGGGTACGAACGTTGGACCGGGCGTCATGGCTCCCTTCCATCAGCATATGTTCTCCCTCCGTATCGACCCGGCGCTCGACGGCTTCAAAAACACAGTCTATTACGAAGATAGCGTGCCGATGCCCGAAAATGACACCAACCCTTACTTGGTCGGCTACACCGCTGAGAAGAATGTCATGAAGACTAGCGGCAGCGCCTCGACCAGCGTTGAGCGTCACCGCGTGTTCAAGATCCGTAATGACCACATAATCAACCCTATCACACACCACCCTATCGCCTATAAGCTGCAAACCTCGCCAAGCCAGATGCTCCTCGCACACCCAGATTCATTCGGTTCGAAGCGCGCGCGCTTTGCTACCCGCCCTATCTGGGTGACCAAATATCAAGATGATGAGCTCTTCGCTGCTGGCGAGTTCACGAACCAGAGCAAGAAGTCTGAAGGGGTTGAAGTATGGGCTGGACGAAATGATACCATTGAGGATGAAGACCTTGTTCTGTGGCATAGTATGTTACTCTCTTACCCCCTTTTTTATTACATGAGCTGTAGCTAACCCCTTGACAGCTTTCGGTCTCACTCATAACCCGCGTATCGAGGACTTCCCGGTCATGCCCATGGAGCGTGTGAGCGTCATGCTCAAGCCAGATGGATTCTTCACCAAGAACCCTGCGCTGGATGTGCCGGCTTCCAGTCAGTCATTCAACAAGTCGACCTTGCATCCTGAGCCGTCTTGCTGTGCTACTCCTACAAAGCCCAAGATGTAGATGTCTTTGCAGATATAGTTGATTCAAATGAATAAGAAGTCAGAATAACAGAGGACGTTCTTATGATCATAAAAATATATACCAACCATTTTGGTCTCAACGTATGCCCATATATGTACCTCCAAATGGAATCTCACTCCCACTGTATACACACCTTGGAGAAATGCTTCTGACTTTCCAAATATCGAAAAGCGTCCTTAGCATCCCCAAATCCAAAGACCTTCTCATCAACAATAGGCTTGACCCCGTTCTCCGCAACAAATCGATTCATCTCTACAAACTGATCCCGCGTCCCCAGCAAAAGCCCCCTAGCAATACAGACATTCAACATACAATCAATCAAAGAAGGAACGGCAGCTTGATCCTCAGACTGACCAAGCATTCCAGTCAGTGCAATGACTCCATTCGATTTAACAGCCTTGAACGACTGAGGAAGCGTGGACAGACCGCCAACATCAACGACGATATCAACGCCCCTTCCATTCGGCGTGAGCCTCTTCGCTGTTTCGCCCCATGCCAAATCGGTGCGGTAATTGATAACATGGTGAGTACCGAGAGATTTGAGACGACCTGCCTTGGCATCTGAGCTTGTCGTTGCAATTACTGTTGCGCCGACGGCCACGGCGAACTACATTTGAAGTAAGCGACCATCAATCACAGGTGAGACTTGTTCATCATACCTGCAATGCAGCAATCGACACCCCCCTGACCCCTGCACAAGAACAGAGCTGCCCTCTTTAGGGGCATGTCCAGCGATCCCGAAGAGGGCATTCCACGCTGTCAACCCAGAACAGGACAAAGTACTTGCCTCGGTGAAACTGAGGGCAGGTGGCATAGACACCAAAGCAGATTCATGGAATACGCCACGTGAACGCAATGTTCCATCGATATGCTGTCCCAATCCCGAGTTGATATCGGAGAAGCTTGGGACTTCGGATGCCGGGAGCCGTGAGACGAGATGTGTGCAGACTTTGTCGCCTGCTTTGAAACTTCTCACTCTCGAGCCGACTGCTTCGATTATTCCTGCGCCGTCTGAGCAGGGGACTACACCAGGTGTGAAGCCCGGGAGGGGAATGGATCCCTGATTATGTTAGTATGGAATTTGGAGGGGGGAAAGGCGTTCGCTATTTTTCTGCAGGACTTTCTACACATGCACTTACTTTGGCGATGACCAGATCCCGGTAATTCAGAGATGCTGCGTAAAGCTTAACGAGGACGTCAAAATCTCCTAGGTCAGGGACTGGACGGTCCTTCACTAGCTTTAGGCTACTAAACCCCTTTTGGCCTTCCAAGACCCATGAATCTGATGTTAGAGCAGACATATTGAGCATAGGAGAGTGAAAAAGGGAGAAACTGGAATGAACATTGATAAGATGTTTGATTTGTTACTTTGCCGAAACTTGAATCAGCGGGGACTACCGGCGGGGTCGGCAACGAGTCAGTCACTCCACGGGTGGAACCCTAGGTACATCATGAAGAACACAGGTCCACCAGAATGCATTGCATTGCATGCTTAGCTTCATGTCGCAGTCCTAGTGTTCGATCTTTGAAACCCACTCCTTGGCAGAAACAATGTCGGTCTTGCGCGCAAAGACCTTGTCCATAAGAACGCGGTGAACCTCTTCATCACGATCCATGCACAAATCCTCAAGGACAGTAACGCGATAATCCAGATCCATAGCCTGACGTACGGTCGAGAGCACAGCGCCACTAGTTATCAAGCCAGCAACAGCAATTGCCTCAGCCTGGAAACAGCGCAGGATCATATCGAGTTCAGTCGCGAAGAAGGCAGAGATGCGGCGCTTCATGATGACCACTTCGCTGACGGTAGGTGCCACAGCTGGGTGCACTTCCACAGACTCCATCCCTTGTTGGTATTCGCCTCGGGCAGCGACGGCTGGTACGGAGGTGTTATTGGCGTTGTTCTCTGGATAGCCCGGGCGGAAGCCGGTCACCACGTGGATCACTTTGATGTTGGCTTTGCGGGCTGCTTCAAGGGTTCTAGAAAGACGGGCTAGGTAGCTCTCGGTGTTTTCCAGACGGTCGATCACGCCGCGCTGGACATCCAGGATGAGGAGGATCGTTTTGTCCATTGTTGTGGTACGAGTTTAGACCATAGGATTGGGTGTGGTCAGTGCTAATGAATGAAAGAGGAGCATTCAAAAGAGGAGCATTCAAAAGAGGAGAAGATTGACTTTATCCCACAAATCAACCACAGGTCAAGTGTTGTCGTCGGTGTTGAGGTTCGACGCTCAATTGCGGTTCCGGGATCGCGGATCCCGGTGCCGGGATCGAGATGTTAGGAAACCATGCCGAGGGCATCATTTGGGATATGGTGATGTACATCTTCAAAAAGTGAGGACCGTATTCTGTGTACAAAAAATGGGTGCTCTTGCGTGGGGTGCTATGTATTACAGAATGTAGTTCTCGAGGAAAACCTCCAAAGGAAATATGGAGAGAGAGACAAGGGTAATCCTGTCAATCCTCTACTTCTTCATAGATACAAACAGGCTGAGCATATCGACCTTCGCTTTCAGTTCAGTATTCTCCTCTTGTATACGTGCCCGATCAGTCATCAGATGCCGGAATTTTTGCCTCTTTCGAGGTGTCTCGGCAAGACAGTCATCTAAATATTCGATGTATTTGTCGTAAGACATTACTGAACCAGACTGTTCTGCGTTGTTAGGCATTGATGTGGCAGATTTCGGTGTCTTGGGCGTGGCTTTCGGGCGCCTTGGTGTTCGTGACGGTGTTGCCGGTTGAGATACATAAGTGACACTGGCAGTATCGCTCTCACTCTCACCCTCCCTGTCCGATGACCCGTCGCCTTCGGGATATTCGGTGCGCGAAGGGTCAATGTCTTCTTGCAGGCTGTCTTGAAGCTGCAAAGATGATTCCTCAACACTATCATCTCGCTTCCCCATCTCTATCACCTCAATGGTGGGAAGAGGCACACTCGTCCGCGGTGTAGATGCTGCTATTGGAGTACATGATGTCCTAGGTGTCTGGGTCATGGAAACTTGAGCGCGTGCGCTATTCACTCTGGGGCCAGTACTCGTAGTTGAGTCGGTTTCATCTGGCACAGCCGTGGGTCGATTCCCTTGCAAACAGTTGCGAAGACGATTTATATCTGGTGGAACAAGGCAGCTTTGTTCCCAGTAATTCGTCGCTTCCTCTGCTCGTTTGGAAGAATTGATTTCGTCTTGTATCCATTTAACGAACTCGTTTTCTTCCATTGAGACGTTCTGCTTGTCCACAAACTTCTGCATCATGAAGTCTGTGTAACTCGGTCCCATGGCTCTGACAGCGATGTTTCCCATTGGGTTGATGAATTTCTGGTCGATTTGAGGAAATGGAAGACAAAGAATGCTCTTTTGCCAGCAATATTGCTCAAATTCCGGGTTTACACTAAACCCACGAGATACCAGAAGGATTCTCCACCGAAGAGAGTGATCAGATCGTGGCGGAGGTCGAGTTTTGGGCTCGAAAACATTCCTTAGCCAATCCAATGCATGTGCAGGCTCGGCCCAGCCGGACTCGTTGGACGAAATTGTAATGCTGCGAAACACCCGGGTCTGAGGAGGATTTTTACTCCTACGGACAATGTAAGGAAGCAGGTGTCTACCTCGAGACGAGCAACAGTGGATGACAGAACAGAATTGGCGTTCTTCGATTCGCCCGCGGCTTCTTCTCGGCCGAGCAAACACCAAGTTATGCTTCTTGTATACGCTGGTTTGATATGCAGCCTCTGCTAAGGCGTGGACATCATCGCTCGTGACCCGGTGCCGGCGCTTGAAATCACTGTATATCGAGAAGAACCTTTCTGCGCTATCATTCCGGTGCCCTCTTTGTATCTTTTCCGCGTCTCGTTCGGATTTTGGTTCTTTGAAAAGCTCAGACAATTCTTTGTTGTTCTTCACGAAACTGGTCTGCCAGCCCATGCCAAGATTCTGCCGCCGACGCTCGGTATCCCCAAGAAGAAGATCGAAATATGCATTGGCAATGTCCTTGACCAATGCGACATTCGAATCAAATCCGTGCTCAATCCAGCGTTTGACATGCTCAACGATCTTTTTTCCCTTTTCTTCATCGACGGCTGGTGGACCTCCCATGACACCCGATCTCCTTCGCAGAGCAGCTCCAGCAATATTCACGGCGACTTCGATTGCAATTTCGCGAGATGGAGGTATACCTTCAACAATCAACATGAGCAGTCCGACGAAGAATGCTGCATGCGAACAGCCAAGAAACAACGAGGTGATAGCCAAATAAAAGGTGTTAGATGTAGGGGTATCGGGAAGAAGCCATGCCTTTTTCAAAACGCGAGAAGAAATTTTTGATTTGAATGTGCGTTCTGGGGCTGGGGAAATTAATCGAGCGTCCACTGCATTAGCTTGAAAAGTAGACCAGCTCACATCACATTATTGCATTTGATGTGGCTGTTTGAGCTCTGTTTGCGAAGCTATCAACTCGGGTGGATGCAGTCCTACTCCACTGCGAAGGAATCCCTGTCAACCTCAAGATAGACCTGACTTATCAAGGGCCGACGGATAACGGCTAATCTGAGAATTGTTCAGTCAATCAGATAGATTGTTTCGTAATGCTCAGCAGCCTTCCCATTGACAGTTGGGCACGGTATCATCGGTACAATTTTCAAGGGTGACTTGGCATCTAGAAATGCTGCACCATTCCCAGCCCTAAGACCTGTCAATTGGGTCTTTTGGCTTCTTTGCTGTCTGCGAAAATCGCCATTTTTGATCATTTGACCAATTCTGAGATCACCCATTATCGCAATCATCACGAGGTGTTTCCCATCCTCTTCGGCATCTGGTCTCTCTCAACAAATGTTGCGGTAAGTTAATGTGGCTGCTGCTCATTCTGCAAATAGGCCGAGCCATCTGCCCCATCGTCCACTGTGACCACCCCAATGAGTAAGAATTTGCCATTGTTGGGTCGCACAAATCACTCTATAACAATCATATCACAAGTGCCGAAGTCAGACAGTCGCCGGCAGGGTCGGTTCGGGCAGCTCAGATCAAAGCTTGTGCAGAGAGGACTCCACGCGTATCCACCGAGTCGCGAGTCAGGATGAACCATCTTCAATTGATAAAGCTAGACAATTGATTTCAGCTGAGAGGAACAAGAAAACCAAATAAAGACTCAAATAGTTCCCAAGATCCGAGAAATGAACTACCACCGGTCTCCTGGGACCTGTGACCAGCTTACATAACAACCATTACGTTGATGCCAAACATAAAGAACCACACTTCCTCAGTTCACATCTCCTGCTTATAATGGCTGCGATACCCTCACAGAGAGGCCAACACATCATCGCTCACATGTGTCGCGAAATCCCAGCCTGACCTACAACAACCATGGCGCGGCCAGTCCCAATAACGCACGGCGGCCAGAGTGAATCAATCACCAACCTGGATAGATGGAAGAATGCTAATGATAATCTATCACAGAGCTGCTGAGCTCAGTAGCAGCCCTGAATGGCCGTGTCTTCGACACCGATCCCGTCGTTGCCTACATGCTCCTAAGCCTCTCTCGGAAAGAAAGACTAGCTTACCTACCGATATACTGGGCAACGCTAATTCAGTCCGCTTTGCTGAATCACGCTCTTATCACTGAAGCGGATGGCTTTAAAGCTGCTTCAGTCCTTCTTCCGCCGGGTCGATGCCTTGACAATGCTTGGAATATGCTTTGCGCCGGTTTCTTGGGCGTGTTGTGGAGGATTGGATTTCCTGGTTTTAAGGTATGATTTGCAGGAATATTTTGGATGCTGTTCAACGGTGAATTAATTGCCATGCTGATTTGAGTATCATATAGCGCCTTTGGAATGAATTCTCCGGCATGACCGACAACGCAAAGAGAAAAGGTCTGCACGGACAAAAGCGGTACTACTACCTCTTCAGTATTGGGACCGAACATGAACACCGCGGCAAAGGTATCACACTTGATACCTCCTTACTCTGAGTTCCAATGCATGCTAATATTTTCCAGGACTGGCAAAAGCCATCATGCGTGATCATCAACGGACAGCCCAAGCAGACAATCTCCCAATTTGGCTCGAGGCAACAACTCCAGGCTCCCGTGGTCTCTACCTCTCAATGGGCTTCGAAGAAGTCGAGGAGATTGTACTGGGAAAGGGCAAGGTTGCCGCCGATGCGAGTCTTCAGCCGGGTGGGCCGGGGATTCCCTTGTGGGCGATGGTATGGTGGCCCCAGTCTACTCCTACTCCTACACCTAGCTTATAGGCCCTAAAACCCGAGCCCTACTCCTGGCAGCATACTTCTGTCCATAGTGTACATTCAATCAATGACTTTCAATGGAGTTGGATACGCATTGCTTTGCACAATATGTGACATAAGTCGCTTTACACCTTGCCTTTATATGATCTGATTCATTCACCCAAAGCACTCGAAAATGGGTGAAACAATGGTGTTTTGCCGTTACGCCTCGGACTGTCGATCATTTTGAAAACTTCATTGTGGTTTGTTGAATGGCAACGTGGAGCCGGATGATCAACAGTTGCTGGTTTTGGTGGTTCAGGGGAAGTCTCCATCGCCAGGAAGTCTTTGCGAAGTTCTGAGCACACTAGACCGTTAGACTAAGTGGGAAATCACAGTTAATCTCCCCTGTACGGTACTTTGATTATAATCTCAACTACCAAGAAAAGAGATAGTATAATGAACCATATCAATTATCATTAAACCGCATTATCATAATTGCTTCCGTAAGGATATAAGAAAATCATAAACAACAAACCTCTCACAGCGCCTTGAGCAACTCCTGAACGAGCGGCAAGTAGCCGGTAACATCATCGATCAGGAGAGTAGTCTCATTGACGAACTTAGGCGTGAGCAGGTCACTAGCGTTTTCCAACAGCGAGCCGATATCGGAAATAGTAGCCGGCTTGAGCAGCTTCTTCACCTCGGGCATGACATCCGGTAGGTATCCAAGCAGATCCTTGAGAGAGCTGATCAGCGACGGGGTGAGGAGGCCATCGGCGTGCTCGACCAGGTCCGAGGTATCCTCGACGAAGGCGGGTGTGAGCAGGGTGGTTGCGTTTGTCACGATGTAGCCTAGGTCGGTGATGATGGTCGAGTTGAGGAGGGAGCGCCTCAGGTCTGGGACCAAGGGGACGACGTCGCCAAGAAGTTCCTTGAGGCCGGATACCAGGGATGGCGAGAGGAGGTCGTCGGCGCTGTCGATGAGGCCGGTGGTCTCGTTGACGAACTTGGGGGTCAAGAGGTCGTTGGCGTTTGTCAGGAGCGAGCCGATGGCCGAGATGGTGTTCTTGGTCAGGAGAGACTTGATCTCGGGGATGAGAGGGGTGACATCGGCGAGGAGAGACTTCAGGCTGCTGGTGAGGTCGGGAGTCAAGAGACTGTCGGCCTCGCTGACCAGGCTCATGGTCTCGTTGACGAACTTGGGGGTCAAGAGATCTTCGGCGTTGGTCAGGAGTCCGGTGATGGACTTGATCATGCCCTTTGTCAAGAGTGACTTCAGCTCGGGAATCAGGGGGGTGATGTCGCCGAGCAAAGACTTCAGGCTGTTGACCAGGTCGGGGGTCAGGAGGCTGTCGGCGTTGTCGATCAGGCTGGAGGTCTCCTTGACGAACTTGTCGGTGAGAAGCTCGTTGGCGTTGCTCAGCAGGTTCTCGATCTCCTTGATAGTGTCGGCCTTGAGCAGACCCTTGAGCTCGGGCAGTAGAGGAGAAATCTGGGTCAGTAGATCCTTGAGACCGCTGACGACAGCCGGTGTTAAGAGGTCGCTGGCCTCCTCAATCAAGCTAGAGGTCTGGTTCACGAAGTTCTCAGTCAAGAGACCATTGGCATTGCCGATCAGAGTCTCGATATCCTTGACATTGCCCTCAGTAAGAAGACCGCTAGCCTGGTTAATGAGAGGACCGGCCTGCTTGATGAGCTTGCTGGTCGTCGAGATGAAGTCGGGAGTGAGCAGCTTGTTAGCACCCGACAGGAGGTTCTCGATCGCCTTGGTGTTGCCCTCGGTAAGGAGACCGCTGGCCTGAGTGATGAGAGGACCGGCCTGCTTGATGAGCTTGCTGGTCGTCGAGATGAAGTCAGGAGTGAGCAGCTTGTTGGCACCGGACAGGAGGTTCTCAATGGCCTTGGTGTTGCCCTCGGTAAGGAGACCGCTGGCCTGAGTGATGAGAGGACCGGCCTGCTTGATGAGCTTGCTAGTAGTCGAGATGAAGTCAGGAGTGAGCAGCTTGTTGGCACCGGACAGGAGGTTCTCAATCGCCTTGACATTGCCCTCAGTGAGAAGACCGCTAGCCTGGTTAATGAGAGGACCGGCCTGCTTGATGAGCTTGCTGGTCGTCGAGATGAAGTCGGGAGTGAGCAGCTTGTTAGCACCCGACAGGAGGTTCTCAATCGCCTTCACGTTCTCATCGGTAAGGAGGCCGCTGGCATTGTCGATGAGAGGGCTGGCCTTGCCGATGAGGTTGGTGGTCTCGTCGACGAACTTGGCTGTGAGGAGCTTGTTGGCGTTGTCGATCAATGTATCGGTCTTCTTGACGAATCCAGACGTGAGGAGGCTGTTGGCGTTGTTGATCAAGGTCATAATCTCCTTGGTGTTCTGCGTGGTCAAGAGATCGTTGGCATTGTCGATAAGGCCACCGACCTTCTTCGAGAAGTCAGCCGTCAATAGATTGTTGGCATTGGCAACCAGGCTGCGGATATCGGTGTCGACAGGAGGGGCGAGTGAAGTAGACAAGTACTTGAAGGTGTTGGTAACCTCGCTGAGGAAGCCAGGGTCAAGCAGGTTTCCTAGACCTTCGGTGAGTTCCGAAATGTCTTTGCCGATATCTCCAAGCCCACTGCCACCGAGCAGGTTCTTGAGAGCGCCAGAAAGGGCGTCAGGGGAAACTCCGCTGGATGAATCAGAGGAAGTGGTAGACTTGGTGCTGCCGGTGCCCTCGGAGGAGGCAGCAGCAGAGGTAGCGCTAGCCTGGGCGGTCTCTGCAGCGGAGTTACCAGAGCCAGTTGAAGCACCACCCCCGAGGAGCGTGTTGACGCCATCCGCAACACCATTGACAGCAGACTCAATGGGGTTAGACTGTTCCGCCGACACGGTAGGCGCGTTTTTAGCAGAAGCAGTATCATCCTCCTGACTAGCAGCAACAGTGTTGGCGGCGGCAGCGGCAGTAGTAGGGTCCGCAGCAGGGGTGTTAGCCGCCTGCTGGTTGGCCTGGTTGGCCTGGTTTACCGCCTGCTGAGTGGCTGTGGCAGCAGTCTCAGCCTCATTGTTGGCATTCGCGTTTGCATTGGCATTGGCATTAGAATTGGCTGAATTGGCAACAGGTGCAACAGTACCAGCAGCAGCGGAAGCTGCAGATGGGGTCTGTCCTGTCACGTTGACCGCGAACAGGAGCGCGGTGGTCAAAACTGGCAAGAAACGCATGTTGTATTCTCCAAGCTACTTCTCCTTCTGATTGATATATTGTCGGCCCGGTCCAATGGCGTCGATTCCGCAAACCTGTCGTTCAAAGGTTTGTTGAGCAACGGAAGAGCCTTCAGGAGATCAAAGAGCCATTGCTGGAGCGGGCGAGCTCTTTATTTGGGCTGTGGGTGCCGATCCTACACCCAGACACGGTCCATCACCACAATGGCACTAACATAGTTTTTCGCTAGCTCCCTCTCCCGAGGAGATGGGGATCGACACCGAGGCAGATGGCTACCATGTGATGAGCAGTTCTGATCACAACTCCACAGTCTAGTGTAGAGGACGTGCCTGGGTCGTGATCGTCACTACTAGCTGCAGGGCCAAACGCAAAGACATATTGCTCCCGAGGTACGGAGTCAGGCACATGTGCGCCTTTTGGTTTGAACAAGGATGCAGGACCTGTCTCCAGCGTATAGCGTATCACTCATTATGCGGGACTTCGGAGGCTAAAGCGTGCGGAAGCGGGGGTCTCCACAAAGACTTGGCCGTGAGGTGATTCGTGAATGGTTGAGTCAAAGAGCGAAGTTGACAAGGAACAAAAATGAGGGGGCTCGGGGTTAGCCTCAAAGCGGTAAGGAGCGGCACAGATCCCTTCAGCTACCCCAGTATTTCCTCCAACTCTCACCAACAATTTCCCGATGCAGGTGCTAGACCGTCGCCGACGTCAGGAGAGACTTGTAAACGAATCAATGCCTTGGAATTGGCTGCCACATCGTGAACCGGTTCCCTACAGTTCCCCGACTCCCAAATTGACGCTTATTCAGGGGTCCAGCTCTCTCTTTTAAGACCTCGTTTGATTCTCATAAATCACGCATCCTCATTTTGGTCAGGATTGAACAATTTACAATGTATGAACAATTTACAATGTATGTCTACATGATTGATGTATTCGAAAGTGAGACAAAAGAAATGAGGATAGACGAGGCGATCCGGCTGTATCTAGTTGACCGAGTCACCACGGACTATGAACTAATATAGATAGGATCGTCTCCTCGCTAAACCTCGAGTGGAAAGCTTAAGTGTTCATCTTTGCTTGCTTCTTTTTTCGGGTTGATCTTGTTCAGATTGAAGGATTGGAGGTTAAGTTTGTACATGTAAACATTAAGAGATCTCAATTCCATCTGTAGACGCTGTATCTATACTACAGATCTATACCACACTCCCTCCAAAGCCTGTTTTTCCTCCCCGGAACCCAACTACAATCCGTGCAAGCCTTGAAATCAAGCCACCAGTTCAGCGCTTCTTCGTGATTGGCCAAATTTCCGCGAAGCAGATCCTTCCACTCTTTGTCCTCTTGGCTCAGTCCAAGCACCGCAAAGGCAAACTCCCACCAGACAGGGAAATACCCGGACCGTTCCCAATCAATAATTCCCGTCATTTCATAGGTCATAGGATCCACCATGATATTGCAAATCGCCAAATCGCCATGAGTAAACGTCCAAGGCGCAGGGTCAGGCATACGATCGCGGAGCCGCACCTTCACAGCCTGCGGAACATCCAGCCCATGCACATCCAGAGACTTTTCCAATTCCGCCCAGAGTTGCTCAGCCGTCGTCAGTGGCCCATGGGGAACCTGTGACGCCTCATTTCCCTTCCCCGGAAATAGAAACCCACAGTAAAGCGGCAACCCATCCACACTTCCCATCGTCTCCGACTGGAGCGAGCGGAGCTGCCCCAGATACTCCGCAGTGCAGTGAGCCAATTCCTTCCGAGCGGACTGCGGCACGGCATAGATGACCATATTGTCTCCAGCGGAACCCCAGGCACCCGCTCAACCATGGTGAAGTGCCGGGAATTCTCGGTCCAGTCCTGCGCCACGGTCGGGACGGGGATGGTGGTATTCGCTTGAAGGAAGTGGGTGTTTATGACCTCATAATTGGGATCGGCCCCGCGATCTTTCAGGATGTATTTTGTGCCGAGGGCCCAGTGGCCTCGATTGCTGGTGCCGCTGAAGAGGTGCACGTTACTCGTGTAGTTGCAACGGCTTTGCTGCTTAGGCGTCCAATGGCAGGCGGGGCAGGGAGCATCGGATTCCGTCATTGTTTAATTTATTTGTTAGCGAGGGACTGTTAGCGAGGTGATTTTAGACTATTGTCTCAGATTGAGGAGTGTAGATCTGGGGGACTGGGGTTTGGGGATATCACAAGATAGACTGCTCGGTGTTTTTGGCGGTGTGGGGGGGGGGGGGGGGGACTTGCGGTATACGAGATGCGAGATGCAGTTGGGCTCTGATGTCTCACATCTATATTAACTGGATCTGCTGATGGCTTAGGGTTATACTGTCGGATTTTATTATAGGGCCGCTGGTGGCATCATCGTGGCATCGTGGGCATCATCACGAATGTCGGGTTCAATCTCCTCGGTCGCCTCTTTTTGGCTCTCCTCTTTTGTGGAAATATGATGCTGTATTATAAGGAGGTGACATTGCGAGTAGCTTAAAATAATGCAGGGTACCGACAAAGCAAACTGTCCATGGAAGCGACCATGTCCAATAAGCTTATCAGCCCCAGGGACGCATATTGCTTCTGCTAAAGTAAACATGGGCACGTATCTTGCAGCATTCAAGAACAGTGCTGCTGACATAGCTGTTGAGAAGCGCAAGACAAAAAGTAGTCTCATCCCTGACGAGCTGTTCATCTCACCAATCAAGAAGGGGGGGGTTCTTCCGTCAAGAGCAGTGGTAATAACAATACTGTTCTTTGATTATAAAGCAGGGGACATAGTTATGTCCTTTTACATCCCTGCTTTTATATTTTACAGATGATTTCACTTGAAGCACTTGAAAATGGGCAAAAATGATGTTAACAAAGAGAGACCAAAAATATGGAACAAGTAATGCATGAAATGGTACGCTCCTCTCGACGATTTCTATTACTTCATAGCACTATGAGCAAATTCATGGCCCTATTGTATATGGTCTGATCTTCAAAGATCAACTAACCTTACTTCATCTAGTGTAATAAATGAGCATGCCATTACACAAACATCCAGTGGATTACTGAAATGCGCTTCACGACTATTTTGGCTTATTCGGTGAGACAGTTGAAGCCAATGACATTATCGTTTGGTCATATCTCCATATTCTTATCCATGTTAAATCCAAAAGTGTAAGTTGAGAGGGGTTCGAAGACAATCATATTCAATATGATCTATGCAGTCAGGAGCAATGTATGCGCACCAGTTACCAGCATGGCTCCTTATCTTGACTTACTCTTACTCTGTGTGATGGTCTGGGCGAGATGCAACTTCTCTTGTAGCATGCAGAGCAAGGCCCTATAATATGCACCCCTGTCGTTCGTCCGGAATTATCATATACCCCAGGAGGGCGAAAAAGCAATTTGGCAAGACTTTTTTGTGACAAACTATCTGATATAATTTAATATTCAATACATTTTCCGGGAGATACTCATTGTGGTACTAGCGCATAAGACATGCTTTTTGCTGCAACATGAGTCAAACTACTCCTGAAATATATAATGAGCCCATACCATGGTCTCATACGACCAAGTACTTTTTACACAACCTAAAATTCCCCAAGTTGTCTTACTGAACATCGTGCATTGGCAATCCTTTAATTTTCCATAAGCAACAATCCCCAAAGCCAGTCCCGGCCGAAGAGCATCTCACATTCCTGGTCAGACGTCCAAAGAAACAACATTCGTAAGATTCCTCAAAGTCTCGGAGCCGAGGAATGAAACACCCATCCTAGAAGTATGGAAGATTAGCAGAATGAGGTACAGGATATAGCCGACGACAACGACCGGCCGAAACACTCGGATACCAACCCCCCAATCCAAAAGCAGATGACAGACTACGGAAGACAGATGGCCCAATAAACCAACATCATACGAGCATACGTAAACCAATCGAAGCCAGATCGATAGGACCAAAGGAAAGTACGCAAACAGGGGTCTGGCATGGAGGCAGAATCGGATGATGTACAAAGACATAAGGGCCAAACACAACGCGGATACCCGAGACATGGTAGCCTGCAAAGCACTATCAAATATACGAGAAGTTCGATCGCATGCGCGATTTGCCTATCGAAATTACCTAAAGCAGAGATATCAGATATCAGAGATAGAATAAGCAGTAAACACGTACCGTAGAGAAATGTGTCTGGGACATTCTCCACGCCAAATCAGCCCGAAGCCGTTGGAAAAGTGGACCCCGACCAGAAGCACAGTCGATCAGAGGTGGTAATTTATAATATCTAATACATGCAAGGGAGGATACTAGCCCTGATGTTGCAGTATAAGTCATAGCTTAGTATATCCAGTACTATAATATAATGACCAGGATCTGAGTGCATGCATGAGTGCTATGCACGTCAGGTAGAGTGACAAGCAAGTCCGCGAAGGATCCGGGGATATCTCGGCCGGCCGAAGCTGAGACTCCACCAGAGCCGTGAAGAGAGAATAAGGGAACGGGCAATAATAGGCCCAGAGAGTTTGATTTGGGAGGTTAAGGCCGAGATGGTCCGGGTAGATCGGATGCCCAAGCCCTCCTTCAGCCCTTGGCTTGTTGATTTGTGGTTGGGGTTCTGCGATCCGAGATTCCATCGGCCGAAGTACTATTGAATTTTTTTTTTTTTTTGAAACTTAGATTTCTCGGTGATGGTACATTTAGGGATATGCCGAGAACCTGCGCGACGGTCCTTTTCTACTTTTCTACTTTTTCACTTTCTTTAGTTCTTCGCTACTTTGCGCCTTTTCATTTGTGTGACCTTCCAATAGTGATTTTCGATTCTTTGAAGTCGACTCTTGAAGTATATACATGCGTATAGCGCATTATGCGCTGACTTCACAGGAAATGCGCAGGTATTGTATATGCCCGATGTTATATCTACCCAAACGCCTGCGCAGAAATGAACGGAATATGTGAGAGAAGATAAAAAAAAGCGACTGGTGGATATATGAAGCAAGTGTATGAACAATCAGACAATAGTGTTCCCACCGATCATACTGGGGAATAACATTACGTCCGACACACGGCCTAGGATATTCCGCATGTTCAGACCTTCGACCGGTTGCATGCTTGGCCCGGCCGATACGACAGGCACAAGACTGGGCGTGGGTTCGAAGGAAGGGGGCGATGGTAAGATTAGGGGCGAGTATGTTTGACTTGAGGCCGAGGATGACGTCGCAGTCTTACGAGCGCGGAAGGCATCGCGGATTTCGCGCAGCGCGCGGAGCGAAGAGGAGAGATGTTTGGCCGAGTCGGTGCGGCTGTTATGGTCCTCGTCGCCATCAGCATAAACGTGGTCCGCGAGAACCATTTCCAACCTGTCGATTAACTGCCAGGTCCGGTTGCTGTCGTCATTTGCGACAAGCAGAAAGGCCGATGCGATGCTGCGCTGCAGACTGATCCATGATCGTGAGCAGTGGGAGTTGATCTCGTGCAGCTCCACAAAAGCACCAACGGTGTTGACCAGGCTGTTGATACAGTCTTCATGGATGATAGCACGACGATGATCGTCTAGATGCGCATGCGGATCAAGAGACACACGACACAAGACAGAAAGAAGATACGATGAGTGCAGGCGCAGTTCGGTGCGCTCAATGTGGTTGGCCAGAGTGTGGCAATTATCTCGATGTCTCAAATGAGGAGTCGCTTCCGCGAGCATGCGTTGAATTTGATGCTTATACTCCCGAATTTCATGGTATCGTGTCTGCGAAGAACCAGGCAACATGCGAGAGCGCAAAACCTCCAACGAAACTGATACAACACGACAAAGAGTTTCGAAATATGACCGATGACCCGGCATCGACTTGGGGTCAAATGGGATTTCGGGTTGACTGACCATGGTGATGGATGGTCGGTCATAGGCAAGCGAAAAATGACTGTTCTGGAAGGCCATTGCCCACCTGGAGAATGTGAGCTGATAATAACTTGGCAGAGAAATGAGAGGCATACCAGACACGCCTTCGCACTGCTTGCTCGGCAAGTGAGAACCCTGTGGATTCGACATGAAGTCCAAGAACAAGACACATTCGTTCCGTCATACCTGAGATTGGTTAGCTGACCAATGCGTTGACACGGCCTCGAGAGCACTGGACACATACCAAGCAAGGTGTATGATGCACCTGCATTCATGTTGTATGAAAGTACATTGCTTATGATGAGCAGAATCTGAATTACTTCTACAGTGGGCTGCGATACATAATTCAACATCCGAAGACACTGATATGCGCAAGATACTTCACAAACTTAGCATGAAGCCCGCAGTCTCTCGGAAGAACGACGTACCGTATACCCATGAGGTCAACTCACGGTCACTCTCTGGAATGTCCGACAATTGGCACCCTGATGCAAGAACCGCAAAAAGCAGACTGAGAAAAGCCAAATCCATACCAAACGGCTTCACCAAACCGTTGGCGTCGGGTTTATAAACACCCCCGGCTCGTCGTCGACCCTCGAGAAGCCGAGACGTATGCCGTTCTAACTGTGCAATATCTGAAAGCACTGGATACAACACTGCGCCTATGTCTCGATAAAACGCCAGGAATCTGGAATTCAAAATCAGCATGCGTTACAGAATTTCCATCAACAAAACTCACTGAAAACACTGCTCATCGTCCGGAAGAACCGCGCACACCCCAGCAATATTGAAGGTATAAGGATCAGAAGACCATAAATCGACAAAAGGATATGCAGCCGACTCATTCCCCAATGCAAGCTCCGCAAGAAGGTCATCCTGAGGTAGCGCCTGCGCCATGTCCTCCGACCTTTTCGATTTATCCAAGATATCAACCAAAGCCGACCGCGACCCGATATGAACCGCACCTGTCTTCAACACATTCGCCCCATAAACACCTTCCGACCGGATTGATGCCCTTCGATCTATCGGTTCAAGATCTGTTGGCTTGCGAGTAGAGTGTGCCTGGAAAAGCGAATGAAGACTGCCCATAATCTGTTCCATTGCGATCATTTTGGAGTTGATTTCATCCCATTCCGCCTGCGAGATGTCGATTATGTCCGGTAAATCCGGATCGGCGCTGGCCCTCGTGGCCGCTTCGGGTGGTCCGTATGATGCATCGCGGGTGGGCGCTGAATGCGCATATGGCGAGATCGTGGGGGAGACAAAAGTCGCAGGTTGTGAAGGTGTAGAGGAGGTAGTGACGGCGACAGGAGGAATGGGTAGTTTCGCAGAGGGAGGACGACCGTAGGAGCAGGTGAAGTTACGTTTGGTGCAATTGCTGCATGGAGAACCGCGATCGCAGCGAACTTTACTCGCTCGGCATGGTAGACAAGTCTTGCACTCGCGCGGTCGGCGACGGATAGGATAGGTCGGCATGATGTGGAATTTTCACTTCACCAGCCGGAGCCCCGCGATCGACAAGAAAAGGATGGAACAGGCTGCCTGCGGCGAGCGGACAATAAGAGGGAGCGGCATAAGACGTAGATCGTAGAGAGAGGGTTCTGAAAATGGACAGCTCTTACTGGGCCGGACACTAATGGCGAATCGGTACGAAAGACTATCGGGGCTAACGGCGCCTATCACCAGCTTAGAGGTCCGTGTGCTGCCCCGGATTGTCCACGATGGGGGCTGTTTCCAGAACCGAGGAGAGGGAAATTGGAGGAAAGGGATGTGATGAGTCTCAAAGGTGAGTGCCGAGGGTCCGGGATGGCGTGGGACAGGGATGAAAGATGTAGATGAAGAGAGTAAGTGTGGTGTTGAGTGGATGATTTCATAACTAGCTCGTTCCTTGGTTCGACCTTACCAAAGCGGAAATGACAGTGGTCCTGGCCTGATCCTGTAAGTTGAAGAATAAGAACATGATCTTCATTGCAGATATTGCAGTGCAGAATTGATGGGTTGACAGGTTGGCCTCGAATTGATTACTGCAATTAATGCCGACAACTCTGATTGGGTGATGCTGTCTCCAGAACCCCATACGGAACATCCCATGAAAAGATGTATCAAGTCATAATTTTCTATAATAAAAGGTATCACTGGTACACTGCGAACTACTAGAGGTTTTTTCAATGCTATAGGCTTGAACACAGCATCGAAATGAGTTGCGCCAACTACCCACAGCCGCCTTTACGCCTGCGACTTCTTCTCTGAAACCTGGGGTACCACCCACCAATCATGCCATCGAGTCTTCGAGCCGACTTCAGGAACAACGACCTCCAAGTTGAGAGATTTGTTCTCACTCGAAGAGGCTGCGAGTGCCTTTCTAACCGCTTCGATGGCCAGGCTGGTGCCAATGCAGGCACGCATGGTATCCTTGACATCACGCTTCCAGTCCTCCTCAATGGCTACAGGAGCCGGCTTATTGGGGGCGGAGGGATCATCGATAAATGCGCCGTTAGCGAGGGTGGCCTCCCATGCCTTTCTCGCTTCGGTGATTGCCTTGGAGGCGCGCTCCAGGATAATTACGTCAGAATCACCCTCGAGGGCTGCCTCGCGCTTGTATTCATCGTAAGGGACAAGCTCTGGCAGAGTAATGGGAATGAATGGCTTCATGCGAATTTCGTAGCGGAGGCGGTCGCTGGAATATGCTTGGGAGGAAGAGGCGGACGGGAGCACGTTGTGCCGAGCCAGCACCACGTACAATGCATGCAAGGCAATTGCAAAGGCATCGACCGCAACTATGTGGGTGGTCAGCCTCTCCAGAGCATGGAATGATTTGTGGAAGGCGGACGCCTTTTGGAGAGAGCCTCCAGTGCGCGTGCCAGCAGACATGAGATCTCGTTTCCGTGCAGCCACTGTGAAAGTGCGAATGCGATCAATGTGCCCAAGGTGGGTTGAGCAGATATGTGAGAGATACCAATACATGCCCGGTAACTCTTCTGGGGAGTAGATCGAGAGCTCAAAGCCCATCTGTAGAATGAGTCGGAAATGGACAAGCTTTTGGTTGTATGCCCAACTGCTCAGTGGGAAAGACCAGGTCGGCTCTCCGCCTTGGAATTGCAACGGTGGCTCTGCGCTCAATGTACGGAGCTCTAGATCAAGTTCTTCAGCCTGGTCTGATATCAGTATGGTAGCAATTGATCGAAACATAGGGGAGACTAACCTCCATTTGTAGATTATCCCAATCGACGATGGTATGGCAAATTGTCCGCCTGATGCGACAACGATTCATGCAGGCGCATCGCACGGTATCCACGAAAGGCTGAGCGAATCGTTTTAGGAAGCCATCCATCTTCTGTGCAATCTGGAAGCGAGGATCGGATGGCATTTCGACGTCATCGGTGTTGGCCTCGAGTAAAATGCTCGCAGGCAAGACAAGTTCTGCCAAGTCGTCATATAGGAAGTCCTTGACAGGCACGGCGCCAAGAATGGTCATATTGCTGACGATCAATGCTTGAAGGAGACAGCGAATGTAGATTGAGGGTTGTGGCTTTCGAGAAAGCAAGGTCCAGACAGCAGTCTGACACAATAGTTAGAATTAATCCATTTTCACCATTGTAAACACGTACCTTAAAGTTGCTGGGACCGCAGTAATCAAGCATCTGCTGCATATCTATCGCATCCTGGCACAACCGTTTCATATGAGCCAGAGCATCATCATGGCTGATGTTAACCATTGGACGAGGTGGCACAGTGCTAGCCAATTTGCGCTGGATTTTCAAACTGAAAGCCTCTGGCACTGGCTTTCCTAGCGAGACAGACTCAAGCAAAGGTTCTAGTTGGGCTATACATGACGCAAAGTTTTCCGTCGATCTGGTTTCAAGAACCTCAAGGTCTTGATGCAATGCGGACAGGAACTCGTGTCGGAACAATAGCCTGGATTGGATGGCTTGTTTGAGCGTCTCGTCGATATCGGTCTGGTCTCCAACCCAGGCAACTGCCTGATCCAGCAGACGGTGGAATTGGGAAATGTCGAAGGCAGATAGCAGATTTCGGTTGTATAGTTGACTGACAAAATCCTCTTCCTAATGGCAAATGACATTAGCGACAGTCGTGCATTTTAATCAGCCGACCCACCTCATAATAATATTCAGTGGCCACTCGAGCGTGGACCAGATCGCATGATTTAACCAGTGCAAGACAATAAGCTCGCAGCACAAGGCCGACCAAAGGAGAATCACTTGGTACACGGTCAAATCGAGCGCCCTCCATCGTTCTAGGTACTGGCCACAATAATCTGTCGAGATAGATGGACGTGAAGAGCGTCTGCGAGAGGGGATGTCCCTTATGCCATGCCACCTGCAATTATATCAGCAAATGCGTCGTCTCCGTAAAAATGAATATATTCCCACCTCGTGACACAACAACTGGTCCATCAGACCCACAACCTCCTCTGGTGTCAACGGCTGTCGTACGTCGTAGTCGTCTTCTAGCGCCTGCGCAAGATTTTCTCCGGGTGCAATATAGCCGCTATCCATTTTGGAGTCCATAATCTGTGTCAAATCGACCGTTGTCAGTGGCAATCCTCGTATGTTTCACAGCCGGTGAGAAAGCTGACACACCTCCAATGCGCCCACGGCCTCGAACAGCGTGAACATCTCATCTTTCACGAGCTGGCCACCATGTAGCTCTAGAGATAGAAGCAATTAGCGACTGAATATCGGGTTCCGGAGCACAAGACTCACTTGAGGCAGCGTCTGTGAATTCAGCGGTGATGTCGCGCGGGACTGCGGACTGAACGACCCGCGGACGGGGAACGCGAACTTCATTGTTCGGCAGCATCACAGGGAAAATTGTGAGGATCTGCAGTCCACTTGCGAAAGTATCCTCGCGAGGATAACTAATCTCAAGTTTCGCAGGACGTGTTCGAGGTAATTAGGCGAATCGAGGGGAGGGCGGGGGACTGTGAGCGGAGGAAAAAGCGACTCGGGCAGTCGATAACCGGGCCCCTATGGTGACGTGCGATATCTAACACATCACACTTCGGGCAGTAAATAAATATCTTACAGCAACTATGTGACGAAATATATGTCGGATAAAAACAAAGACGAGTGCGATTTCTAGGCTCTGCCCAATCAGACAGACCGGTATTGCTACACATGTACAGTTCAATGCTTCTCCGGGCCCAAAATTGGCCCAAGTCCGTCACACTCGAGCCATCCATTTCTCAAAAGCTCCATTCTCTCAGTTCACGGGCAAAGATAGCTTATTTCTCAGCGGCCTGGGCGAGGGCAGCGTCGTTGGCCTGGGCGAGGGAGCGAACCTCACCCTGCTTGCCGTTCTGTTCATAACATCAACTGATTAGCTGTAGTTCGGGGCGAAATGAAGGTAGAGGTTCACTAACCTCCCACTTGGCGAAACGGAGGTCCATCTGGCCGCGGCGCTCAGATGCGAGGCGGGCCTCCTCCTTGAGAGAGCGGCGCACGGTGCGGGCGGCGATGGCCAGGTAGCGGTTGTAGCTAAAGTCGGAGTTAGCATTGAATGAATTCGGGTGTCGTGGATCCATACGTCAAACCGGCGGCTTTCCAGGCAGCAGTCATTTTGAGGTGGATGGGAGGTGAGTGGGTTGATTGAAGGGGGTAAAAACGGTCGGGTGAGTTTGGAAACGTTCGACTCGGAGGATCGGGATGAGATCGATAGTGCCGGTTTCTACCGCCTTGTTAGTCACGTGCTTTATCATCACGGAGTAGCATTATTCCGATATCTGATCTCTGCCGAACGTTATCTCCTCGCCGAGCCCTAACGACAACCCGTACTTTGGGCGCCGCCAAGGTCCAAAGCCGCACCTGGCAGTGCAACAATGCTCAGATTTGCTTTGTTTTTGGTGCATCGTAAACAAAATCGTCTTCCTCTACGACACAGGAAAGATTGAGAATCCTCACTAATCTAGGCGGCGATGCGGGCCCAAGATCAAAATGCAGGTAGTTCCCGCGAGAAACGCCTCGAAGTATAGCGGAATTCTCTATGGGGATAATCAAAGCTGAGCGCCATCAAAGGCCTTTTATTTGCAATTTTTGACTCAAGTAACCATCCTGAAGGAAGGCAAAGCAAAATCACTCGCCAACAATTTAATCCCAGAAAGCAATCACAATGTTCCGCTAATGTGTTGTATTTGGCGGTGGACACTGAGCATTGCAATCGAAGTATACGCCTGTAGCAGACATATCAAGTCTCGAGGTCGCGCATCCCTTAACCAAGCTTCCTCCAAGCAAACATTGCAGAGCTTGTCCTCAGATCTGGTCAATTTTTGAAAGTTCTCGACCTGGCCTTCGACATAAATTCCCTCGATCGAAATTCCTTTACTTTTCTCTCTCTTCCTCTTAGCCCACAGCATCATCCCCACGCGTCCTGGTTCTTCCATTTCGCGTCTTCATTCACACGACGTACACATCGTCGTACTCAAGAGGTAAGTTGCAACCATCTTGTTCTTCTGAGAGATCCAAAACGCCCGTGTTCTTGATGAATATGCTTTCATTCCCATCATTCACGCTTCATCATAATCATCATCTTCATCTTCTTCATCTTCATCTTCTTCATCTTCATCTTCTTCATCTTCTTCTTCTTCTTCTTCTTCTTCTTCTTCGCCGTTCCCCTGCTATTTGGCATCTTCACACCTTGCACATCGGCATCACGGTGATCTGTTGATCACAATGCCTTGCTCAAGTATATTGGCTTGCTCGTGAGCCTTGCTGTTGCTGTCCACTCACCCTTCTCCCTTACTCGCACGTTCAAGCTTTTACCATCACAATTTGCATGTGATCCCCTTTCCGCAGCTGTCCACCCCAAGATCCAGCGAGGAGTCTTTGCAAGCTTGTGGCCAACTACCCGGTCGTGGTACTCGTTCATGAGCAACCATTTCGTTATGCAAACTCATTGTGGTGTACTCTGATGGCTGTTCCCAGAGTTTCAAGCCCACATTGTCCAAGACCCCCAAAAGAATCATCTCAATATTCATGTTGAGCCTCAGAAGCTTGTGTATGGCTCATTGAAGCTGTCTTGAGACGGTGGGAAAACCAAGCTCGAGACCCTGAATTTTGTGCACTTCTCTGTCAGCGGCTGGAAGGTTTCATGGTATACCCCAGCGGACCAGCGGGCCCTTTCAGGGCATCTGTGCTTTGAGATCTCGCTGTCCTTGCTGTCGTATTCCCTGGGCTTGCAAATAGACGGCCTGAGCTTGTATAAGCTCTGCATCCCTGAAGTGTCACACGTTAGGGCTCACTCTGTGCCTTGTGGTATCGCTGCCGTTGCTTTGAAATGATTGCACATTTTGTTGTCTATCTCATCGCAATTGCGATGATTACCATGCCCTTTGACTTCACAATTCACCGTGCATTGACCACAATTTGTTTGATTCGTTCATGTACAATTGCTGACCATGGTTGTTGACATTAGATCGACAATCGCGGACCATCCATCATGGCTGGTGGAAAGAAGAAGGGCGCCGACAAGAAGAAAGCCGATGCCGGCACCAAGGCAGGCACCAAGGCAGGCACCAAGGAAAGCAACAAAGCAGACAAGAAAGCCGACGCTGATCAAATTCGTCTCCAGTATCAGAATGCGACGGCGGCTGTCATGAGACAGACCCAGCCTCTGCTTCCCCGGCCCGCCCAGTTCACCCCCTCTTTCATGAATCAGGATCGGCCGTTCCAGCAGGGTTACTACCCTATCAAGCAAGAGGAGGTTGAAGAGCCCGGAGAGACTGGGGAGACAACCCCCACTGGTGATCTGGTTAGCACTCGTGACGATAGTGACTGGGATGAGAAACAGGAGGACAACGACAATGATCGCAAGGCTCGCCCAAACCGCAAGAACCGTGGTCTGGTCAGATGGTCTGGTATGTATCTCTGTCTCTTGTGTCGTTGTTCGGCTGGGATTCTCTTTTGCATTAGTGCCGGCGTTGTCAATCCGCATTTATGCATGAGAGGGAGTCTGCATAAAGTCAAAATCTGAGTCTAGTGTTTAGGGGGAAAGACATTGTGAACTTGGGCTGACTCTCTGGTCTGAACAGACGACGTCGATATCCACCTTCTCCTTGTCATCACTTACGTCTGCCAGAGGTACAAGGTCAAGATTCCCTGGGACAAGATCGCCACCAAGATGTGTGAGCAAGTTCCTCACACCACTGAAGGAGCTATCAGCCAGCACCTGTCCAAGATTCGCACTTTGCGTCGTGGAGGAACTCTGGAGCCTCCTAGCCCCATCCGCAAGTCTAAGACCTGTGGTGCCAGCACTGAGATATCCGAGGCCATGACTCACAAGCAGCGTACGAGCCAGAAAGCCAAGAAGCATATCCGCGAGGCTTCTACTGAGCCTTCCAAGAAGCGCAAGCATGCCAAGATGGCTACCGCCGCGGTCAAGGCTTCTGCTCCTACTTCTCGTCGTGCTGCAGGCAATATCAACGGACGCAATGCAAACACTAGGTTAGTTAACTCCTCCGATAATTATGGGAACAACTTCAAAGAGACTAGCTCTGCAGCTGGAGAGCGGCTGGTTTATGTTGATGCCGCCAAGCTACACAGTTCCAGCTGTGACACAGACAATCAGAACCCAAAAGATGATATTGTGAACAATGCTAACGATTATACCAATAATAGTAATGTGATCAATCCCACCCTTCAGTCCAACATCGTTCGTCTTCGCGTGCCCTCTCTCTCCGCAGGTAGCGCTAATGCCCATTTCACCAATGAAAATGCTGCCCGTATTCCTGCCAGTCAGTACTATGGCTCCGGATATGCCGCTTCTCCCGCTATGCACGGTACTGGAATCCCTGTTCCTGTTACTTTTGCGGATTACTATCCTGGATATGACAACTTGGGCAACGACAGCGTCTTGAACCGCGGCACTCCTTTCACTGAGAGCGCCAGGCACCTTGACTATTCTCCCGCAGCTTGGTCTCCTGCTCTCGTTACTTCCGTCGCTGTTGAGAACCCCTTCGTAGTCGAAAATCGCTATGCTTCTACCGTCGGATACGCCCCTGGTGCCAACACCTTCACGGGTTACGAAATGTACGCTCCCATTGGCAACGATTCGATGGCCTGGCATTACGCTCCCAGCACCCAGTACGCCAGTACCGAGGCTTGGGCTCCCTTTGTTCCCCAGCGCGATAGACACCAGCTGGCCGCTGACCAGCAGGTCGAAACCCTATCTCCCCGCGTCCCTGTTGTACGTGCCGCCGATGAGATTACCAAGCATGAGGAGGACGAGGATGACTATATGGTTCGCTCTCCCCTCTAGAGCAATGGGTTCGTTCCCGATGGCGACAGGAGGAATCGCGTGGGCGTCTGGCGTTTTGTGGAGTTCGGTCCAAGTACGGTTTCAAGAGGACCTCGGTCTTAATTTTCCTTTTTGTCACTTTTCTTTTTTATCTAATTCTTATCTGTGGCCTAGTTTGGCTGCCACCTGGTGAGGGGTGGCGCCCTCGCTAGGTCAGCTTTCTATCATAAATCCTGTACCTACCATTTTGTCCCTGAGGGGCTTGTTCCTATGGGTCTGGACAGCAGGTCCAGCGGAGCCTCATGCCCGTACCCAATGGGATTTACCAAAAAACTGGTTCTCTTTCTCATATCGTAGTAACAATTTAGCATGATTACACCTAAGCGAGAAGTAACGCAATTGCAAGAACTCTAGTCATTGATTTGTATTGACTTACTTGTTAAGTGAGAACAAATCGTAATGTTTTGCAGGTCTTTGTGTATAGCCCTATTTGGAGGAATTTGCGGCTCATATAGTGGAGTAGTATGTGTTTTGTGGATCAGGAAGTATAGCCTTGCAGTACTGCATGAAAATCGGTAGTGGCTCCGCTCTGATCTCGAGGTGATGCGTGGCTGAGCCTAGTTTCAGCCGAATTCAAAGCCAAGGTCTGTATTTATGTAGTATGAAGTTAAGGCGCAATATGGTCGGTGGGAGCATAGCTATGTGGATGAAATTGCGGGTGGACTCCCGACACAAATACATACATGTATGTCTGTATACTAATGTTAAGTAATCCAAACCTTTCATTCAGCATCTACATAGTTATAAATTTTAAACAGGCTGATTGCCTAGTTTGACTTGTGAGTTATGACAACCAATATACACGTCACTTTCAATGCATGCACTATGGCATTGGATAGTGCTGGTCATAGACAGTCAAACGGGGTTTTCGGGTTTTTCTTAACACAAAGAAAGTTATAGTAGAAGTTGAATAAAAATTTAACATGAAGTAACCCTGAAAGCATTGAGTATTCAAACAATATTTGGTATATACATGTCGCTATATATTGCCACACAGGATTGTTTTCTTGGTCCGAAAGCCGGAGTAAGTTCCCGAGGTATATAGTTGCAAACATTAAAGATGTGCAAACATTAAAAATGTAAGTAGGCTGGTTAACATGGTGCGATGTATATGATTCAAATTGGTTTCAGAGAGCATTCCGACCTCCCTCAATCTCCATATATCATCCGCATATCATATAATCAGCTATATACCCTACTCCATCACTTCTCCACTGCCGTTCTCCCGAGATACCCTCGGGACATCACGTGACGTTCTAGCTGTTTCTTCCGCCAAGCTCTGGGGATCCGGGAAAATTTTCGAGACTTTGGCTTCATCTCTCCCCAGCTTTCTTCTCTTCTTCCACTTCCTCCCAACCCCATCTTTTTCCTGGGTTGTTTTCTTGTCTCTCTTCCTTAATTCGTTTTAATTTGTTTCCACAGCAATGCAGCGCGCTCTCTCTGCCCGGACTTCTGTCCTCTCGGCCGCTTCCAAGCGCGCCCCTTTCGCCCGCTCGACTGTCAACCTCCAGCAGCAGCGTTTTGCCCACAAGGTACGTTCAATTGGGGATGACATACTCATCAATTCCGATGATCGGCTTCATCTTCCATCAATCCCGGAGTCTTCCACCGTTCATTGCTTACAATAACCAGGAGCTCAAGTTCGGCGTTGAGGCTCGTGCCAACCTTCTCAAGGGTGTCGACACTCTTGCTAAGGCTGTTACCTCCACACTCGGTCCCAAGGGTCGCAATGTTCTCATTGACTCCCCCTACGGCTCCCCCAAGATCACCAAGGGTAAGGTTTCCGGCTCCTCCGATGACAATCAACGACTAACAAACTTTAGACGGTGTGACCGTCGCCAAGGCCATTGTCCTCCAGGACAAGTTCGAGAACCTCGGTGCCCGCCTCCTCCAGGATGTCGCCTCCAAGACCAACGAGCTTGCTGGTGACGGTACCACCACCGCCACCGTCCTTGCCCGTGCCATCTTCTCCGAGACCGTCAAGAACGTTGCTGCCGGCTGCAACCCCATGGATCTCCGCCGCGGTATCCAGGCTGCCGTTGAGGCCGTTGTCGACTACCTCCAGGCCAACAAGCGCCCCATCACCACTGGTGAGGAGATTGCCCAGGTTGCTACCATCTCCGCCAACGGTGACACCCACGTCGGTAAGCTCATCTCCACCGCCATGGAGAAGGTCGGCAAGGAGGGTGTCATCACCGTCAAGGAGGGCAAGACCCTTGAGGACGAGCTCGAAGTCACTGAGGGTATGCGTTTCGACCGTGGATACACCTCCCCCTACTTCATTACCGACCCCAAGTCCCAGAAGGTCGAGTTCGAGAAGCCCCTGATCCTCCTCTCCGAGAAGAAGATCTCCGCTGTTCAGGACATTCTCCCCGCCCTTGAGGCCTCTACCACTCTCCGCCGCCCTCTGGTCATTATCGCTGAGGACATTGAGGGTGAGGCCCTCGCCGTCTGCATCCTGAACAAGCTCCGTGGTCAGCTCCAGGTCGCCGCCGTCAAGGCCCCCGGCTTCGGTGACAACCGCAAGAGCATCCTTGGTGATCTCGCTGTTCTCACCAACGGTACTGTCTTCACCGACGAGCTTGACATTAAGCTTGAGAAGCTCACCCCCGACATGCTCGGCTCCACTGGTGCTATCACCATCACCAAGGAGGACACCATCGTTCTCAACGGTGAGGGCAGCAAGGACAACATCACCCAGCGCTGCGAGCAGATCCGTGGTGTCATGGCTGACCCCACCACCTCCGAGTACGAGAAGGAGAAGCTTCAGGAGCGTCTCGCCAAGCTCTCCGGCGGTGTTGCCGTCATCAAGGTCGGCGGTGCCTCCGAGGTTGAGGTCGGTGAGAAGAAGGACCGCGTCGTTGACGCCCTGAACGCCACCCGCGCTGCCGTTGAGGAAGGTATCCTCCCCGGTGGTGGTACCGCTCTCCTTAAGGCCTCCGCCAACGGCCTCGACAACGTCAAGCCCGCCAACTTTGACCAGCAGCTCGGTGTCAGCATCATCAAGAGCGCCATCACCCGCCCCGCTCGCACCATTGTTGAGAACGCCGGCCTCGAGGGCTCCGTCATTGTCGGCAAGCTGACCGACGAGTTTGCCAAGGACTTCAACCGCGGCTACGACAGCTCCAAGAGCGAGTACGTTGACATGATCGCCGCCGGTATTGTTGATCCCCTGAAGGTTGTCCGCACCGCTCTGGTTGATGCCAGCGGTGTCGCCTCCCTCCTCGGTACCACCGAGGTCGCCATTGTTGAGGCCCCTGAGGAGAAGGGCCCCGCTCCCGGCGGTGGCATGGGTGGCATGGGTGGTATGGGTGGTATGGGTGGCATGGGCGGCGGTATGTTCTAAAGCCCCTGACCCTTCCCTCAGTCCCCCTTTGAAGAATTACCCTCGAGCGTCTTTGCATCGTAGCCTGTTCTGATACTACTTGGATCTGTGTAATGTCTTTTCTTGTGTCTCTACTTGGTGTTTTTTTTTTTGCCTTTTTTTCTATACCTGTATTCTCCTGGACTGTTCTCCCTCTCCCATCTCCCCTCTTGGAGCTTGACAAAAGAGTTCCACATCTGTACTATATCATGTATACCATCAATGAACTCCATTTGATGCACTTCAATCTGGAGTTCCTTGCAGTTTGCAGTCTAGCCGAGTCCTATCTCAATTAGCCGAAAGTAGTATTCGTCCACCACCAACGTAGCAGCAATAAATCGTCTTGGCTTCCAGACTCGATCGACATGATCGGCATGTGTTCCAAAGTTGGGTTTCAGACCCTTTAAGGTTATAGATGTATATTGTTTATGTTCACATTCAAATTCCACCCATTCCCAAGACCATGAAGCCTACGAAGCCCCAGGCCGCGTCATCACATTGGCCTGTCAGGTCGGCTATTTGGACCAAATGATCCCGTGCAGCAAGCCATTGCGCCCAGTTGAGTCTAGACTGAAAATGCTGGCATGAGGGGGATTTGAGCTATGTTCTGCCCTTGGCATCTCTCTTCTGACAGGAGAAATAAGGCCCAGACTAGTGAAGCCTACCTGACACGGGTGGGTACGGGGAAATCTTATCTTTTCCATCTCCGTGTCACTCCATCCTCCAATCTCTCCCTCAGTGAATCGCAACTGGGAATGCATACAGTGCCCGGGACTCTATCTTGCTGGCCAAGCAACATCACCCGTGTGGCCCATACAATCCCGTACAAGCGCCACCCCCTCCCCAGTCCGAGCCCGAGTCCAGTCCCATCGCTAACCCTCCCCAGCCGCATTACATGAAACACACCAGACAGACATCAGACCAAAACCAAACCTCCAACCCAGCATCGATCGCCTCGCCACGATGGCAACCATGGTGGACATGGCGCGGCCCGCGCTGGTCAGCGATGCGGACCTGATGCAAGCCCGAGCAGCCCTACAACACCAACAGAGCGCCGAGATCTCCGTGCCACGCGAATTCATCTCCCTTATTGTCGACGAACTCATCTACCGTCGCGAATCCCATTCCTCCATCGCAGCCATCGAGCACGAATGCTCACATCTCCGCAAGGAACTCCGCAAACACACCCACATCAATGAAGCCTTTCAAAAGGAGCTGCGGGAGATCGGCGAGATCATCACGCAGGTTGCGCATGGTGATTTGTCCCAGCGCGCCCGTATGCATCCGCTCGAGATGTCGCCTGACATTGCTACCTTCAAGCAGACTATTAATACCATGATGGATCAGTTGCAGGTGTTTAGTCAGGAGGTGTCGAAGGTTGCTAGGGAGGTCGGCACTGAGGGTGTGCTTGGTGGTCAGGCGAAAATCGAGGGCATTCAGGGTATTTGGCATGAGCTTACTGTTAATGTTAATGCCATGGCCAACAATCTTACTACTCAGGTGCGCGATATCACTACTGTCACGACGGCTGTTGCCAAAGGTGATCTGCAGCGCAAGGTGCAGGCGGACTGCAAGGGTGAGATCTTATTGTTGAAGAATATTATCAATTCGATGGTGGATCAATTGAGGGAGTTTGCGTTTGAGGTTAGTCGTGTTGCGAGGGAGGTGGGGTCTGATGGTGTGCTTGGTGGTCAGGCTGTTGTGCACGGTGTTGAGGGCACTTGGAAGAACCTCACTGAAAATGTGAATCGCATGGCTATGAACCTCACGCAGCAGGTTCGTGAGATTGCTGATGTAACTACGGCTGTTGCTCGTGGTGATCTTACAAAGAAGGTTACTGCCGATGCCAAGGGCGAGATTTTGGACCTGAAGCTTACGATCAATGCGATGGTTGACCGACTGAATCAGTTCGCATTCGAGGTTAGCCGTGTTGCACGCGAAGTTGGTACGGACGGCACACTTGGTGGCCAGGCACAGGTCGAGAATGTTGAAGGTCGCTGGCGAGATTTGACTGATAACGTCAACACAATGGCTCAGAATCTCACGTTGCAAGTGCGACAGATTTCAAATGTCACCCAGGCAATTGCTCGTGGAGACCTGAGTACCAAGATTGAGGTCCACGCTCAGGGTGAAATATTGACACTGAAAGAAACCATTAACAGCATGGTGGATGGCTTAGGGGAATTTGCACGGGAGCTCAAAGGCGTCGCGAGGGACGTGGGTGTCCGTGGCAAACTCGGTGGACAGGCCAATGTGGCTGGATCCCATGGAATCTGGAGGTCGATCAGTGAAGATGTCAATACGATGGCCGATAACCTGACCTCGCAGGTTCGTGCCTTTGGAGAGATCACTGAAGCGGCGATGAGTGGTGATTTCACCAAGTTGATAACTGTCTCTGCCTCCGGAGAGATGGATGACTTGAAACAGAAGATCAACAAGATGATCTCGAGTTTGCGGGATAGTATCCAGCGCAATACTGCGGCACGTGAAGCAGCCGAGTTGGCGAATCGAAGCAAGTCTGAGTTCCTGGCAAATATGAGGTATGTTAGCCCTTGTCTAGATTGAGATGTGTTTCATGGTGCTAACCGCCATATAGTCATGAGATCAGGACTCCCATGAACGGCATTATCGGACTTTCAAGCTTGGCACTCGACACCGACGAACTTCAAGCTTCCGTGAGAGAAACACTCAAGATGGTTCATAATCTCGCCATCAGCTTGTTGACTATCATTGATGATATCCTCGATATTTCCAAAATCGAGGCCAATCATATGATGATCGAAAAGATGCCTTTCAGTCTGGGGTCCACCGTCCTCAGCGTATTGAAAGCTCTAACAGTGGAAACAAATGAGAAAGCCTTGGGTTTGGTTTACACTGTCGACGGAGAGGTGCCCGACTTCCTTATTGGCGATGCTTATCGATTGCGTCAGGTCATGCTCAACCTAGTCAACAATGCCATCAAATTCACCGACAACGGTGACATCAAAGTGAACATCAAGCGAGTTGATGACAGTCTGTGCGAACCCGGTGAGACAGCATTCCAATTTTCAGTCTGTGACCCCGGAATTGGCATTGAAGAGAGCAAACTCGGTCTCATCTTCGATAAGTTTCAACAAGCAGACGGGTCAATGACTCGGCGGTTCGGCGGAACTGGCCTTGGTCTCGCCATCTCGAAACGCTTGGTCTCCCTTATGGGTGGAGATATCTGGGTGACATCAACCGTAGACAGAGGCAGTACATTTGCCTTTACCTGCCGAGTGAAAGTCGCACCACCTCCACCAAGCTTTACAGATCAACTTCTTCCCCACCGCGGCCGACGTGTTCTCTTCCTCGACCACGGTCTCGCCCGCAGCTTCCCAATCGCCCAGCTTCTCATGGAACTCGGTCTGGACCCGCTCATCGTCACGGAAGAGCAGCTAGAAAACGGCCAGTTCCAAAGCGAATGGGGTGGTACCTTCGACGCTATCCTCATCGAGAACCTGGAAATAGCAGCAAGGCTTCGTGCCGACTCAACATTTCAACCAATCCCACTAGTCATCACAGCCCAAAACGTCAACCTCACCCTCCGCACAGCGGGCGAACTAGGCATAGCCTCATACATAACAGTGCCCTGCCGACCAATCGACCTCTGGAACGGAATTCTCCCCGCCCTAGGAAACCGCTCAACCCGTACACCATCAGGATACACACGCTCGCTCGCAATCCTCCTAGCAGAGGACAACGACGTCAATCAGAAAGTTGCAGTGCGCATCCTGGAAAAGTTCAACCACAACGTTACAGTTGTCGAAAACGGTCTACAGGCCGTCAAGGAGGTCAAGCAACATCGCTACGATGTTATCCTCATGGATGTCCAGATGCCCGTCATGGGCGGGTTCGAGGCTACCGGTAATATCCGACAGTATGAGAAGATGAATGCCTTGCCGCGTACACCTATCGTTGCGTTGACTGCGCATGCTATGCTTGGGGATCGGGATAAGTGTATCCAGGCTGGGATGGATGATTACCTTTCCAAGCCGTTGGATTCGAGTCGTATGATGCAGACTATTCTTAAGTGTTCTGCCATGAATCATTCCTCTTTGCCTACGATTGAGGGTTGATGATTTGTCTGTTCCAATGTTACTGCTCTTGACACTCATTTCTCTCATCTCTTACATCCCTGGATCCGTATTCTCCTTCACTCTTCTTTGTTTTCAAATACCCTACCGTCATTATATAGTTGATTATCAGGCCTCACATGTTTATGAATGCCTGTTTTTTTTTCTTTTTTTTTGTTTTTTTAAGTATTCTGTTATCTTTTCTCTTTTTCCTTTTTTTTTTCCCTCCTTTTTTGCCTCTCTTGATTTGGCCTCTTCCTTTTTCTGAGGCGATGTTACTGTAAACAAGTTGGCGTTCTGTGGTGTACTCCCAAATTCGAAGGAATATTGCCAACACACATGAAGATATCCTTATTTGCTCTATAAATTGTTCCTAAAAATCTTCTCTTTAATCCTTTATTTCATGTATTTCAAGGTTGTTTTCAAGTGACCTCGAAATCAGCGCTAACAAAAACCGCGCACGCGCCTTTCCAACGACAACCCGCCCTGACGATTACACCGTTGCATCGCACCAGCGTACACAATCACATATAAAGCACCATTCCTTGTTCAGATAAATCGAAATCTATAGAAAAAAAAAGATTGACCATTTTCAAATATTCAAGCCACCCTCAACAACTGAACCCCACCAAAATGCAACTCCGATTCTGCACAGCAACAGGGGAAGACGTCCTCCAACTCAAAACCCTAATCGAATCCGCCTTTCGCGCCCAAGACACCCGCCCAGGCTGGATAGACAACCTAGGTCTATCAAATATATTCACCATCTCGGCGGAAGAAATAAACACTGTCCTCAGCAAGCCCGACAGCGAGATGCTGCTTGTATTCACAACAGAGAATACTACTACCAACATCAACACCAACACCATCAACGAAGAAATCCTAGTTGGAACAATCGGCGTCTCAAAACGCGCAGGAAACGTCGGCCGCCTTTCCCTGCTAGCTGTGAGCCCGACATACGCCGGCGGTGGCCTCGGGCGCCAGGTCCTGGAGTATGGGGAGGAGTATTGTATTCGTGTTTGGGGTGTTGAAAAGCTTAGTTTGAATACACTTTCGGTTCGTCTGCAGCTTAGGGCTTGGTATGCCAGACGTGGGTATGTCGAGACTGGGGAGGTGGAGCCTTTCCCCGTCGATAGGGTCCCTGGGTTGGAGTTGCCTGATGGGCTTTGTCTTGTTGAGTTTGAGAAGGGGGTTTGATGGGGCGTTTGTAAAGTAGTGGTGTGGTTCGAGGAGGCTGTAAATTTCTCCTTTTGTTCAAGGGTTCGAATGTTTTGATTGTGAGAGTGTTGTCATGTCATCTCACACCATTCTTTTACTACTTGGGTTTGCTTGTCATTGCTTTTGTAGTTCGGTTGCCAAATCGCAAACATGTCAGGAGATTTTGAATGCAACATGGGTCTTAATTTTATAATGTATCATGATTGGTCCACCACCACGGAAGGTGCCAATCGAAAAATGATGATAAAAGAGGTCAAAAAAGAGGGGCCAAAGTAAGCCGAAAACAATGCGTGAGGCGCTATGAGCACGGGTTCTTTTGTACATTGAATCTGCAGACTCATCCTTGTTCATGTGGCTTCCTCGACATTCATTGTCACGAGGCACCGCAAAGGCCGATCAAGGGCACCCGGCTGTAAACTTCTGCCTTGTCAAGGAAACAGCCTTATAGATATAGTCTAGGGGTTTTTTAAATATTGACCATTTTGCGCATGATCGCTGCGTAATGAAGGTCGTTTGGCAATTTTAGCGGTTCCGGAAGTGTGGTCCCTTTCCATCGAGCATCTCAACTTGCATTCCCGTTGCTTGAGGGATGATGAGGATATCTAAGAAAATCATTGCAGCATCAATCAGGCCCTCCTACCGATTCGTTGGCTGGATTTCGAGCATGGAAGCGACTTCCGGACTTTGGCAGCATTTAAAAGTTGAGGCGTCCTTTTGCTTCATGGTATTCTATAGATACGGGTCAGCTAGACTTCTGTTAGTTACAAAAGGTCTCGTTAAGTAGTCTGAGTGAAGCTGCTGCATCTCGCCACAATATGAAACAAGGAATGATACCACGCACCTTGAGGCAGTCCCCGTATCGGGGGATGGGGTGCTTCCTCCCCTGAATCCAAGTTAGTTTGTCAAATTGCTTCAGTGTTCTATTGTTTGGCTACGTACCTCGTGCTACTCATAATAGGAGATCATTCTTCAAGCTTGGACATTAGATCTACATTGTCACTAATCAAGGAAAACCTCCGAGGGTACAAGTTGGAATTCGGGAGAAGTGATTGACAGGAGCACAGGGGCAAAATTCTTGATATAAAAAATGGAAACGAAAAGAAAGTACCGGAGTACATGTAAGCAGGTTGAGATAGGTACGTCGGATTCAGAGTAAACAAGTGCATTTTCGTACTAAAGTAGAGCTGCCTAATGCATGCAGGTCCCAGGTAGAAGATCAACACGTTGGGTAAGTGGAGAGCGATCCCTGGTGGAGGCATTTCCGCTACTATTTGAGACCAAAGGAGTGGCTTCGAGCGATTGATGTATCTTGTAACAACATTGACGGAAGAAGTCATAGTATCACGCGTTCAAGTAAGCGAATAGTCAGTCTTATATTGGAATACATGGGATTTTAATTTACATAGTGAGCACCAAAGCGTACGTGGTCACAAAATCTCAGATCTTGGTTCATGTTGTCGAACCTAAACCCCGAATCGGAACTCTCTGACCTTTTTCTGGTAGTAGTAGGACGCCAACATGCCAGTGGCGCCGAGTGCCAAAGGTACAGGGGCTTTAGCTCCAGTTTTAATAATCCTGGGAATTGCCGATCCCAGCAAGAGTACACTGTTTCCCAAGGCAAGTTCAGTGCCGTAGTCACGGTTCTCTTTAATCAAATAGCCTGGCGATTTGGTCAGCTCGGGTTATGAACTAGTACCTGGAATGCCGCGAGTCCTGATTCACACTTACCGGAGTATGCATATGAGATTCCAAGACCAACACCTGCGATCAAAGATGGCGCTGAGCGGGTCTTCAGGTATCCAGCGATGCCCCCTGCAGGCACTATTTTTGAGTCATGATTAGTTGCCAACTCGCCCTTCCATGCATAGGGACTACTTACGAAGGGCAGCAAGAGTGAAGGAAGGATGTTCAGCCATGACAGATATTCGAGAAAGTGAGTGACGTGAACGTTAACAATCTTTGGCTTCGTCGAAGATCGTTTAACCATGCAACCGCCCGGAGCGCTCCGGGGCCCCTGAGTGAGCTAGTCCCAATGGGGCTGAGGCTCCATTCTCGTCAGATGAAAGGAATATGATTGGTCTATCGGTGATCACGGCCCCACATCACCCATTTGGTCTATCTAACTATACCACGGCATTCTGTGCATAGGTAGAACCATTACGGCCCCTTGCTGCTTTGTAATAAGTTGTTCCGTTTGAATCAGCATGTCAAATACCAACTTGAACAAATTGTATCCCCGAACCTTCCACTGCATGAACAATGGCAACACCGACTGTTGTGGTCAGCGCTGCATGCTCCGTTGAATCCGCGGTTCTGTCACAAAGCAGCGCTTCCTCGAAAGTGAAAGAAGTCGTTACCTCGTTAGTCGCAACTGTCGTTCTCCACTAAGCCTCATCCGTCTGAACAACCTCGGGTTGCCTCCATTTCTTCTTTGCTGCCTCATCCCCCTTCCCATTCCCCATCCAAGGCCCCTCTCCAAGTGCCCCAGACCCAATCCCATACCGATCCTCCTGCCATCTCTGCCAAATGTCTTCATCAAGTTGCATATTTCTCCGCCCATAACCTAGATAATCATCAAATCGCTTACGCAAGTTGGAGTTCTTGGGAACAACCATATCAGGCATTTTATGTGTAATGGTTTCCCAATGCAAGACTGTTTTCACAGGATGCAGAATGAACTCTTTAATCAGACCTATGCTTATCTTGTGAGATTTGGAGACTGTTTCGCGGAGAGTTTCACTGAAAGCCAGGAGAAGCGAGAGGAAGATTATTGCAAACGAGGATGGGGCTATATATTTATGTTATTCCCGGTACGTAGTGGGGAACATCGGGAATGCATACCTGCTATCTCAAGCATCTGGCCCAGAGTCAGATTTGTAGCCTCGCCGCTCCATTCTCGAGCGTTTATGCCGAAGAGGGAAGTGAAGAATGAAAGTGGGAGAAACCTTGTTCTTGTTAGTGTTTTTGAGATGCTTCAGAAGATAGAGGACACCTACACGACCGAGAAAATTGTAAAGACCATTACTGCGCGCGACTGGGTCTGCGTGACTTCGGCCTGCCATCGGGCCATTTTGGCTTCGTCGACATTTGCTTGCTTCTGTTTCAGATCGAGGAGAGTTTCAACCTGATTCATTAGTACCTAGTTTGTGCAAGCATATATAGAAAACGATACTTACTGCTTTTTGAGCTAGATGACTGTTCTCCTTCATCTCGAGGATCTGGGAACGATATTCGTCGATTCGGACCTGTGCTGTATCGAGGAAGACTTTGCCATATCCCCGGCTATCAAAGTACTTGACCATACTTTTGATAACAGTGTCTTGTTGATCAAGCAACTTGAGTATGGTGGATAGTTCGTCCTCGATATCCCGTAGCTCAAGTAGAACAGACAGATCTTCTCGATTCCGTTTCGCAACTTGGCGTTCACGGTAGTCTCGCTCAGCAGCAGTCATAATCTTGCCATCTTTTGTGCGATCATGGTCCGCCGGACGATTAGTGAAGCCTCTATTTCGGAAGCGCTTGAATGATTTCGTGACGGACTCAGTCTGTTCACATTAGCAAATCTCGACCACCAAAAGAACACCATTGATAGACTCACCAAAATACTAATGGACTCCTCAAAGATCCTCAAAACCTGCAAATTACGATGCAAAGTCTTATCCAAAAGAACAGTAACAGCATGCAACATAATGAGCGCCGCCAAATCACCAGCAGTCTCAAACCTCCTCGCCAAATCCCCATTCAACTCATTGTAGATACTACTATGCAGGTTCGACTGCTCAAACAACTTTCCTTCAGAAGTAGTCGCTTCCTGGTTCGGAAAGAAGGTAATAACAGTCTTCGAATCAACAATCCAAAGCCAGAGCTGATCAACCATCAATACATTCCCGTCCATGAACTCGCCATACTCCGACTCATCGCCTTCATCCTGTGTTGACTGAAGATACTGTCTGAGCTGCTCGTCAATGCGTGCCGGTCGGCGCGTCCGCTTCCATAGCATCTGGTCATCGTCGCGGGCGATCGTTGAGCGGAGATTGGGATATCCAAACTGGTCGAGGGTGCGTCGGAAGTGGACTGGTGGTTCGCAACCAAGGTAAGACCATATTAATTGGGCTTCTAAGCTCGCTTTGGAGATTCGGCCGGGGACAGGTCGTGACCGACCCTGTTGCAGTCGGTCTGCTACTACCTTTCGTCGTTGGATTAGGTTGCGGTATGTGTCCCAGTGGAGCTGGCGGGTCAGTATAGTCTGTTTGATTTGGTGGAGTGGTACTCACATATGGAACCTGCGGGGTATCTGTTAGTATCGTTTTCGTGGGAAAATAAGAAGTCGTGAACAAACATATAAAGCGAGCTGGGGGTCGTCTGCAGCACCTGGTGTCCCCTGTGAGATATCCATTTGTCTTGAATGAATACATGCGGGCCGGACGAAGCGAGCATGAGGTTCAAGATGGCGGGCTCTGTTAAGTCGAAGGTACCAATTCTTGTCATTGATGAATTTTCGAAGACTGCATAGAAGAGTCAGTGTCATGAAATCCAGGAGAATGAAATGGCCGGTTCTACAAATTAGGGTCCTGACTATCTTGGCACGCTCGTCGGATAACCTGTGACACCCAGCCGGTATGGGTATAAGGAACATGAATCCAGACCAACTTCTCAGTGTCAGGCTCCGGCCGATCAAAGCGTGGCACCGAGCGAGGAATATCCGGAGTCTCTGCGTTTTGATTTATCCTGTCTCGGGTGGACTTTGGGATCGTTAGGAATACGGACTGCCTTGGTGGTGATGTCGAGCTTCTATAAAATGTGAGTTTAGGGTCCATCATACAAGCCATAGTGTCCTGCCTTCAAAAAATGAAAAGAAAAAACGAGGGGGCAAAAGACGTGAAACGAGGCGTGAAAAAAAGCCGCCTAGCAGTCTACTTACGAGGCAGGTCGAGAACTACTCCCCTGAGAACTACTATCCGAAGCACTCCGCCGATGTGAATGCGAACGTGAACGCGAACGCGCTCTTAACGGAATAAGCCCTAGAGCCTTCGTTATTGGATTCTTCTGTTTGCGATCCGGCGGCGGACTTTCAGCAGGCGGACTCTCAAAATAGCCATCCATAGCCGCTTCTGTGATATGAATCCTGGGCGAGGGATGGACAGCATCTTCAAAGCTTTGACTATACGGCAGAGGAGGACGTAGCGGACGAATTTCTTCTGAGCGCTCATTATGCTCGGCTGTGTCTGATGCTGGAGCAATATACGAGGAGCGCGGACTGTCGAAGCTGCTGATAGACGAATCATCCAATCCGCTGGGCTGGACACGACCTAATCTTTCCCTGAGACATGCTGATGGCCCTCGTGCGAGGTAGTCTTCTAAGGAGACTTTGGTCGACCATAGTTTCAGTGGACTTTCGTCACTGACGCCTAGCGCGGTATCTTCGAAGAAACCGTTGATTTGGACCATTACTTTCTTTTCAATGCCCAGGGGTGTATCTTCATGTCTTGATATCTCCACTGCAATAGTGACAGCTTCATTCAGCTCATTCAAGAATGTGTCCCGAGTTGATTCTTGGGCATGAAAGGTTGCCGTCCCTGCATGGTCTGTTGCAATGGGTACTTCTTTCTCATGTTCGATATCCAGTAATCCCGACCTAATAGAGGTAATCGGAACATGAAACTCCAGAACATTATTCGTCTCTGCGTCAACGACATGCATGGTTGAGTCCATAGTCTCGAGGAAAGACCAGACCTTCATATCAGCGGAGAGCGTCTTAAATTGGTTAGAAAGATGCCACAATCGTTCCTGGCGGGGTCGGAACTGTTCCCTGAGGGCATGGGGGCTTTCATGTTCCAGATGCAAGATATGGCGAATACTGGCTGCATACTCGTCAGCGGAGAGATAGGTCGAACCTTGGTGAGGCGTTGCAAAGAATGCGATGCCGTGGCAGCTGGTAAGGAGGGTGCTCGGCTCGGCCCGGGATGCCAGGGCCAGAGCTGCTTTCACGACGAGGCCGCCGGTGCTGTGGCAGATGAGAAATATTGGGCGTCGGGGGCTCTATTTTTGTGTTAGGATATAGATCAGATGGGATCGAAGGGGGCATACATCATGTTTCCTCTCATTGAGGAGTTGGTTCAGTAAACGTTGACCTAGAGAGTCGATCTTATCGTGTTCATTCAGTTCGCCATAGTTGTATAGAAGAACTCGGGCGCGAGGAAGATGTTGTAGCAACTCTGTATCCAACCAGGAAGATTTGGCACCATGAACTGTCCATGTCTTTCTATGATGTGCGCCGATAGGTGGAACAGCAACGATGCTATAAACAGTTAAGACTTGTAGTCCCCGATCAGACTGTATACTTACTCTACGTTGGTTTCTCCAGCAACCGCGATATGCTCGAACCACGAGCGCCTGTTCTCCATCGGTGGTCTTGAAGTCATGTTTGTTTGAGAACATATTCATGAGAACTGCGGGGAATAAAAAGTCAGGGGATTCTCAGCCTCATGGGGCCATGGCGGATGATCATCTGCGCCCCGATAACCCAGTAGGCTGTGTCTGCAGGGGGAAGTGAGTCAATAGAGATAGAGATGTCTATTAAGTATATGTACAATAATGCGTCAAAATTTCCAATAAAAACAAAAGCCCCAGTGCTACTCTATGAGCTGTATCAAAAACGCCAAAGCGACCTTAAGATCACATGCAGTATAGTACACGGCGTATACGCGCATATTTTATGCGTCAGTGTGTCGGCGTTCGTTGACCTCGCGAGCCATGCGCTTTCCGAGCTCATATGTCGAGATCATAATGGCGCAGGCCGGGGCAACTTTGAGGCATCGTGCTGTCCAGCCACGGAACAGACCGGCAGTGCCTTCTTCGCGAAAAATGTGCATCAGAAATTTGGGAAGGGAGAGCTGCTCTGGCGCTACTTTGCCCGGGGGAAGCGCCGGTCGCGAGGCACCAGTAGGAGCCGCGTCATCCATGTGTCGGAAGACTTGCTGTCGTGTCTTTCCGACGTCGAAGGGTGTAGTTACAAGTGCTGCCAGGGAGCCTGAAACGGCTCCAGAAATGAAGCTATCGAGGAAGGCTTGACTTGTGGTCTCTTGTGGTCTGTCATCGGACTCCGCGAGATGTGGGTAGCGCGCCGAGATCAGATTTTTCTTCACCTCCTCGTATCCCCACCAATACAAGCCCGAGAAGGGTACATCGCGCCACATAGTAAGCGTGAAGCCGCGCCAGAGGGAGCTGTATCCCTTGGCTTGCGTCATGTGGTACAGGTCCTGAATCGTCGTCTTGAAATGGTTCGCACCCGTCCCCGGGGTCGCTTGCAGTCTCGTGCGGAACATTTCCAATGGGCTGGTCGCTGCCGCTGCCGCAACTCGAGCGATAGAGCCTGCCACCAATGGCGCGCCGCTTTCTCCAAGGCGCTGCTTGATCGGACTGCGATCATCCATTCGCAACCAGTCGTATCCAGCAAAATAGATGACATTCGCTGGAATCCCCATCATCAAAGTCGGGCTCAGTCCTCGCCATAGTGTCAATGTGCCTTCGTTCCGTGCGATCTTCCGCAGCCCGTCCAAGGTCGATGTGAATTTTCGTCGCTGCGTTTCCTCGATCGCACAATCGATCGTTGGATGTGGCGTATTGCCTACTGCAGTCGCATGTGGTCCGAGCATGCACATCTGGGCATCGTTTCCGACCCAGAATACTTCACGACAGCAAGAAGTGATGCCGAGGTTACGAGGAAGGTTTTTCAGGGTTTGCGTAGTGTGGGAGGTGTATGGAGAGGTGTTGTGTATTTGAGATTGTGACTGTAGACGCACTCGGACGACATCGAGAGGCGTTACTGATGCTGTCAGCCTTGAACTGCCACGGGTTTGAAGCTCTCTTACCTAGTAACCCGGTCAAAATGTTTCCCGCCGTCGCAGAGAACATCCGCTGGCCCACCGTGATATCGTCATTCGGAGACGGTGTCTTAGGGGCCAGGGGAGTCCCCGTCCCTGATGTAGCGGCCATTGTCGTAGATTCGTCAAACTGAGAGTTCCATGACGCCCCTAGAGAGGCGTTGATCTCGGTCTCAAACTCAGTAAGAGAACCTTGGGATGGAACGTAATCCAATCCGGTCGGCATTCGATCAACCTGTAAGGAGAGAAAGGGAGAATCGAAGTGAAACAGAAACAAGAACGAGAAACAAGAACGGCGATGCGTCACCGGGAAAGGGAAGTTTTTCGGGGTTTGACGGGTGGCGGCGGTCGGAGATAAGCCGTGGACAACTTCACTTCTGCAACTTTCGACAAAGAGTTCAATGGCGATCTAATTAATCTTGATGGGTTAGGTGTTTGCTCTACTCTCTCTTTCTCTCTCTTGAACATCAAGTTGGCCTAAGTGGGCTTATCAATCTGATCTCCGAGGTCGGACCACCTCCCCGCCATGGAAGACAACGCCGAGCTCGAGTCGTTCCGCCGACAGTGGCGCGAGGAGGTCTCGCGTCGATCGAAGCCCAAGGCCCCTCCTGCTGCGACTCCGGCCCCAACTGCCCCGCCTCCGACTCGTCTTCCGCCAACACGCCATGAGGCCTCTCACCGCAATGAGGTCGAGGAAGAGGGTCCACCGCTAGCTTCATTCGACCCAGAGGAGCTGGCCCAGCAGGTTGGACAGCTGAGTGTGGAATCTCCAGAGGATGATGACTTCGCTCGTCGTCGTGTCACGGAGCCGACGTCCGCGCTGGAGCACTTCGAGCGAGCTGTCGAGAAGGAGGCCGAGGGCAACCTGGGAGACAGTCTGTCACACTATCGCAAGGCATACAGAGTGAGTTCTGGACATGGCGGCGGTACATAATTTTCAAAAGCTCACTGCCTATAGTTGGATTCTACTGTCGATAAAACATACCGGAACAAACACTATGCGCATGTCTGGAAGAAGACGAATCAGCCGGCTCCCACTACTACCCCCGTGGCAACTCACCAACCCACGGAGATAGAGACCTTGCCAACGCCTCAGCTGATCGCATCCTTCGCACACTATCCAATTCCCCAGAGAGAACCTCTCATCGAAGGCACACCACCTCCTCCCTGCCCAATCTCTACGGTTCCATCAGAGGTGATAGTAGAGATTCTCCGGCATGTGGCTTTGAATGACCCTTCAGTATTTGGACGTATGGCACTGGTCTGCAAGCGGTTGGCGTATCATTTCGCACATGAACAGCACATTTGGAAACGGATTTGTCAAGGAAAGAAGTTCGGGTTTCAGGGAATGCATTACGACTTTGCATGCGATCTACAAGGAAATCCCATCTACACACTCGGGGAACGATACACACCATTTCCCAGGGATGAGCCAATGGAAATTCCCAAGCCGTTATCATCATGGAGTCAGGTTTTCCAGACACTTCCTCGGATTCGGTATACTGGTGTTTACATCAGCACGGTCAACTACACTCGGCCTGGTGCTGCCGATGCCTACCAAAACACCTCGTGGAATAGCCCCATTCACATCGTCACCTACTACCGCTACCTTCGGTTCTATCCCGATGGCTCGGTGGTGTCTCTGCTTACTTCAACGGAACCCGTCGACGTGGTCCCTTACTTTAGCAAGGAGAATGTGATGGCAGCACGCACCCCGGCACAGAAAAAGCATCAACGCCGTCTATCAGATCATGGCCAGTCGCTATCAGGAGCAGCCGATTCAGTGCCCCCGGCTGCAATGAACACATTAAAGCACGGCCTTCCAGGACGTTGGCATCTGGCCCCTCCCATTCCTGAATCAGACACACCCGCCGAAGCCTGGAAGCCACATTCCTCAACGGACCGAAAGCCACTTCTCAGCGACGAACGCGATCTCATCGTCGAATCTGAAGGTGTTGAATCTAAGTACATGTACACGATGCATCTTTCTTTACGTTCCCCTACGGTTCCTAAGGCTGCTCTGGCTGGACCTGCTCCACCCAACCCATCGAAGAATACTAAACTGTCTTGGAAGGGATTTTGGAGTTACAATAGATTGACGGACGATTGGGGCGAGTTCACTCTTCGCAATGACCGTGCCTATGTCTTCCGTCGGGTTCGTGGTTGGGGTTTAGACTGAAAACACATGATTGATGACTTGACATGATTTGCATACATCGGAGAAATTTACATAGGGCATCATCAATTCAGACTAACTTCCAAATATGAGTTTGATATTGAGGCTGTTGAAACATCCCAACATTCCCTTCAACGAAGATTACCCAAAAACTGCCGAACTCTCCTAGGAAGAGAAGGTCTCGGCCCAAGAGACTCAGTCTTCCTTGCAACAAAGTGATAAGCTTGCAAAGACCCCGTCTTGAACGAATGCATTCCGCCCCACAGGTACAACCGATGAATACGATAGCACTCCTCTCCCCAACCAGCAACGACGAAATCCTTAGCTTCATCCATCCTCTTCGCCCACTCCAACATAGTAAGCTCATAATCCTTGCTCTCGTTAACAACCTCCAAAGCCTCAAACCCATGATACAAAAACTCAGCAAGAACATCCTGAACCGTCATAAATGTATGCGTTCCCTGCCAGATATACTCCCGCGTAAAAGCACTCACAGCAAACTTCTCCACAGCAGCCGAGCCATCAAGATACATCTTGCCACCAGGCTTCAGCACATCCCACACACCACGCGCAAATCGACGGTAGTTGGGCATATGCTCAATAACACCAAACGTGACAACATGGTCATACCGCTCAGCAGGCTTATGCTCAAAGAAATCCTCAAGAAAGACTTGACCAGGCAGACCCCCATCCTCAAGTATCTTCTGCACATACCGAGCCTGATCGGCACCAAGTGTCAACGTCGTAACGTGTACACCGCGTGCACCACAGAACTCCGTAACACCTCCCCATCCACCGCCGATATCAAGGATCTTCATGCCAGCCTTGAGATCGAGCGCTTTCCACACGAAATCAATTTTGTTCTCGGCTGCTTGCTCGAGTGTATTATCGGGGGATTGGAATAGAGCGTGTGTGTACCAGCGGTATTTCGTATCGAGGAATTTGAGGTAGAAGTCGTCGCCGAGGCTGTAGTGCGCCTTTATGGCTTTGGCGTTCATGCTTGTCACGGTTCGGACGAAGTCATATATGAATTGGATCTTTTGGCGGAGGGGGACTTTTTCTTCGAGGCTCGCACGTGCGTTGAAGAGGGCGCCTAGGTCGCCTTCTACTTGGATTTCACCGGCTAGGTAGGCTTTTCCCACTGCCATTTCTGTCATTGGGGTATTGAGAGCTTGTTCTGAGGTGAAGATTACTCGGTAGGTTGGTGTGCCTGTACGGGTTGGCACTACTTCGCCATTTGGCAGTTGGATTTCTCCTGGGATGGTGAGCTGGCATAAGAGGGGTGCAAGTCCACTGTTTGGCAAGCTGTTGGAGGTGGTTATTGTCATCTTTGATGGCACTGAAGGAATGTATTGTTTCTGGGGTTGGAAAGATAAAATCGATGGTGAGAAGAAGAGAATCTCACGAGGTTTTTGTAGAGTCTAGACTTGACATGTCTCTTTTAATAGCTTCGCTGTACCTCTGGAGGCTCACCAGAGTGGCTTGTCTCCCCAGTCTTGGTGTGATGGACTATGCATATTCATGAGCCCAGAGTTGCAGGAGTCCCACTAAAAATGCATCTCCAACAAATGAGAAAATACCGTGAAGATCAACTTCTGTAGGCATTCTGTGGGTGATCGGTCAATGATGATTATTTGTGATACAGTATATTAAGTGTATATGGTGCTTTAGTTATTAGTGGAAACAATGTATCTCACATGATGAAGAAAATGATGTATAAAAGAATCAAAAAGCCAGATATCTCGAATCTATTCACAAAAAAATGAGTTATATACAATACAATCAGCAAATGTGCAAAATTCAAATGGCTAAGCTCGCCAATTGACAACGGCCTCGTCATCATCATCGACAACAACAACCATCCACACACCCACCTGTCCATTACTGGCATAAAGCGGCGTACAATGAACCCAACGATTCCGACCCTCTGGGTTCGACCGAGTAACCCACTTGATTCTAGCTGTCACACTACGACCAACCATCATTGCCTGAAGCAGGTCATCTTTCACAGCTGAAGAACTACCGATCCGCGAGAGGAAGGGCGATTGTAGCATGCCCGGGATTTGGAGAGAGGGCGATGTGAATAGAATTCGGAGAGAAGGGTATGGGCGGACGAGAAGGTACTATTCATAGCCATCAATTAGCATGTCGTCATCATCAATTGCCGTGGCGGTTTGAAAGTTGAATCTCACATTCTCATAAACACCAGCCAGAGACATCCGGAAGAAAGGCAATTTCATATCGCGCAATCGAATAGCCTCAATCTCACTATCCAGCGATCCACCTCGCTGCAACCATGATCTCGGATGCTTGGGGGATAGTAAACTTTTCTGAGGCTGGAACAGATGACCACCATGCTCTTGCACAGCGGACAATTCCCGGGGACTTAACAGTTCGCTCAATTCCTGGAACTCGTCTTTCTCGTCTTTTGGTGGAACTTCTGGGACACTGTCATCGTCGACATCTGGATCGCGGTATTTGGCTTTGAGTTCAATTAGAGACTCCATGGAGGCACCTTCCATTGCCAGACCCGAAACGTCGATCTGTGCACCAATAAAATATTTGACGCGTCCGTGGCTGTCGCATAGGGGTGCGCATTGGAGAAGATTCATGAATGGAGAGCCATCGCGGCGACTAATCATGTTAGTAACTGGGTTATGAGTAGGTTAGAGGAACATACTAATTAAGGAACATTTCGGAGTGGTGTCGACCCGCTTGGATGGCTTCGCGAAGACGGCGAACACTGTTCTTATTCGTCTTCGGTCCTTGTAAAAAGCGACAATTACGACCTAGTACATAGTCCATGCCATACTGTGTTGTATTGTGGAACTCTGTTGTTGTCAGCGCAATTTCTTAACCCTAACTCAGTAGGTGCGCATACCCTCAGATGCGAAAATAATAGGATTGTCAGGCCGCGAAGGATCCGTCAGACAGAAGACTTCAGCCAACGCATTTGACGTACTACGGAACTTCATTGGTAAAGTCCCACGGACTCGCTCTTCAACGATTTTACTCGTGATTGTGATTCCTCTTGACGTGACGAACGCAGGCAGCTCCTCGGCCGTAAGTGCAAGCAGTCCATCATGAACGCGCCGCTCCAAAACCTGATTGGCTGTGACACCGACTGCTTCTTCGTCGGTACGCACTTCTGGTGGAGGCACATCGACCGATAGACGGACAAGCGCATTGGCATATTGAATTGCTTTGAGCGCCTTGGCTGCATTGAGGTAGTATGTAAGTGTTGAGATAGAGCGTGGACGTTCTTCAATCAAAAACTCGCGGAAGCGCGCAAGATAGCGCGGGTTGTTCAGAATTGTGAGCATATGCTCTGCAGAAAACATCACGTCTGCGAGTCGCTCGAGTTTGTGGAGAGGCGCATCGCCGCCCTCGTATGGTGCGATGAGATCGTAGGAACCGGTGTCTTCGTTGACGGGGTTGAATTCCTCGGTGCCGTCGTAAGGGTTCATTTGTTGAAGTAGAGGAAGGTCGTTCGTTGTCGCATGTCGGCGCATATTCTTAATTGACGGTTTGGGTGTTGGATATACTTCTTCCTCGTGAATCGAGTCTAAATTCTTCAGCCGATTTGGCGGCTGAGGAAAATCGTCCAGCAATTGATCATTTCTTTTCTGTTAGCCTTGCGCAAATGCATTCAAGCGAGCGCCTTACTTACCGTGAGGATCTTCCAGACTCACTGACCCATTCGTGGTACTCATCTGGCAATGTCTCTGTGAATGAGCGCAGCGACTCGGCGTCAGGGCTGGTAAGCTCATCATGAAGATCTATGGGCGCCATCGCCATTGTTTGAATAAAAGAAACCAAAATCCATGTCGCACACCAGGAAATGTACAAACTTTTAAATGTAAGACTTTTCCGGGGTTGATGCATCAATTGATCTCCCCAGGGCGCTGACCCCCATAGGAGGGGAGTCCGAGAGACACAGTCGCACGGAATGCCAGACGAAAGACACAATGTTAATGTGGCAGGTCACAATATCCAATACAGTCTACATACTACTGCAGATCGATCGATCGATGGTTTGCGGCTCAACCACGAGATCGGAGGCGATCCTTTGCCAGTGATGCAATCGTGCAGGAAATTATCCTGAGAAGGTTCACTTGACGTTCGGGGATCGACAGCCTATTGACCTTTGGGTTACTCAGCCGGAATATGATACATCTATCTGTTCCATTGTGCGCAATTAGGCTACGGTTCGCGAAGCTCGTCTGCAGGCCTGAGCGCGGGAGTACCAACAAGATCCGAACTTGACATTTTTGGCTTGCGATCTGTCAACTTCGACGCAAATTTACGTCCCGATTTATCGGATCGTGTATCCACCATCGACTGCAAGGCACTGGTCGGTGATCCAACTAGCATCTTCACTGGCGAGGAAAAGGGCTGCGCGGGGCTATGTCTTCTGGTTCGCCAATTCCCCTGAGCGGATGAAACGCCTCCATCATTCCCATGAATTCAGGGGGGATCAGTCGAGAGGCGGCGTTTAACATGGTGAGTTCCAGTCCCTCGTGCACACTCCTTACATCCAGGCGCGATCGCATCGCGGTGAATGCGATGTTTTGCATAATCAAGCGCGACGTTTCGTGTCAGTCCAAGCACGCCAGCCTTGGATGCACAGTATGCAGCTATTTGGAGTAAGCACGGGGCTATTTGGAATAGGAGTAGGCCAACAACGGCAATTATCAAGACCGACCAGGCCCAAGATAGATGAGATATTGACAATTCAGCCCAGGTCGCCACTGGGGTGGGGGCTATCCTTCATCATTTGAGCTGTCGCATATTTCATACCCAGGAAGACACCTTTGGTGTTGATAGCAAAGGTCTGATCAAACAGTTCCTCGGAAGATTCATAGATCGTGACTGGTTGTATGGCCTCCACATTGACGCCGGCGTTGTTAACCATGCTTTTTAGACTATTAGCCACTTTTGTTAGCTGGAAATAATCTCCGCCACTCACATGCCTAGTTGCTCGTATTGCTTGAACAGCTTCGTTGGCCAAGGCCTCGACCTCTGCCGCCTTGGTCACGTTGCATCGAAGGAATACGGCTTGTCCGCCACGCTCATTAATGAGTGCATGTGTGGGTGTCTCAGGCGGCTGACCCGAACGTTCGGTATCAATATCAGAGCGCAGGTCGGCGCAAATGAGCTTGGCTCCGTGAAGTGCATACAGGAGAGCAATAGCGCGCCCGACCCCTGAAGATGCGCCAGTCACAACAGCGAGTTTGTTAGCGAGCCGCTGGGCTGATATGTTGGTTGAACCTGCCGTGGTGGTATGTAGAGCAAGACATTGAGAAAAGAGAAATGAGGAAATGAGGGAGTAACAATAAAACCAGGTCATAGCCAAATGAATTACGAAGGGAGAAGTCAAGCACGTAATAACATCTCTTGTGTAGTATATTATCAGATTAACAGGATTAACATCTCTCTCCCTTCCTTTGTATGTGGCACACTGCAGCTGTATATCTTTGGTCTAGTCGAAGATCGCGATGATCTACAATAAAGGACATATACTGTATCATCCCGTAGCCAAGTACCTAATCTCTTGTCTCAGCCGACATGAGCATATCAATCGAGTCCACATTTCTCCGCGGTACAACGTTGTGACAGGTCTGACAATTTTTTGTCCCGGAAAATAAGAAATAGCCCTATTTGTCAATAGTTTCTCTAGTTTGCTTGTCCCAACGTGCGTCTACACGCAGCTTGGCTTGGCTGTGTTACATGATAGGTCCGTCTGGTTTGCAACTGATATCTTTTTTTATCACTTCCGCAATATTGCACATTTGTATTAGGAATTTAGCGTCTGACTCTGGAACAAAATTCTTCAGAGACCATATGATGAGAATGTGATGGCTGTGACTATTGTATCGTACCGCCTCTGTGCTCCAAGTATTATTGGGACTCTAGGTGCTGGTCTTTCTGTGATAAAGCATTGTGCAGAAAGAACACGCCAGAATCTTAATATCCTTGTCCATTGTTCATGACGTTTACCTGTATCAGCATGATCCTCGGGCGGTTCAAGCAATTTTTTTCTTCTTCAAATGTCATTTCATATACACAATCGTATTGGATCTCTATGTGCTGTTTTGTGTTTCAACTTCGTCTTTACATGCCTTTGATGTGGAGAGGAATAAGACTCCCGCCATGAGATGTGCTACATGAACTCCGTGTTTTCCGTTGGTTTTGGAACAAGGTACTATTGCTGGAATAGCTGTTTAAAGAGAAATACGTACAGGTTATTTGCTTCAACAACGTGCTACTCTGCTGAAGGACGAATTTTGTACTCGAGTTTTAGTGCACGGCATCAATATTTATATTCATGCTGATGAACAATTGTTGCTTCTAGCGATAGCACGCAAAGGAAAGACCATCAGCTTATATATAAAGTCATCAGAGATATAGCGAGTTATGTAGAATCATTTTACGACCAAAAGAACGAGCAATGAAAATAACTTCGATCGAGTACAGTCTTGGCTATGTTGACACTGATAAGCGCTTATCGGCTTATCGATAAGGCAAAATTTTCGGGGAAGATGAGCGTCGCCCTTGACATTCCTTCGCGCCACACCTCAAAATGCCCGAGAAAGTCCGTATTGTCTTCGCTGATTCTGACGACGAAAAAGGCGTGCCCAAAACGGCCACACCAGCACCTATCGAAGAACCGGTGCGAAAGAAGAATCGAAACAAGAAGAGGAAGCGCGACGAGCCCGAGACCAATGGCGCTGCTCAAGAGAAATCAAGTGAAGCCCCTGAGCCCGTGCAGGTAGAAAAGGTTGATCCTGCACCAGAAAAGCCAGAAGAGACACCCCGAGCAAACGGTGCACCGTCGAAACCAAAACCGAAACACAAGTCCAAATCTCTTACCGACACAAAAACCAACTTCACATCTTTACGAGACAAAGCCAAGGCTCTCCTCGAGACCCGGCGCAAGCTACCCATCTTCGGAAATGTCGATGAGATCCGGAACTACCTCCGCGAACAAGATGTGATGCTGCTGGTTGGTGAAACCGGTAGCGGAAAGAGTACCCAGATCCCGCAGTTCCTGGTGGACGAATTTTGGTGCCGGCCTGTGCCAACAAAAATCACACGCAATGGCAAGACAGAGAAGAAGCAGATTGGAGGCTGCATTGCTATCACACAGCCTCGTCGAGTTGCTGCAATCTCGCTGGCCCGGCGTGTAGCTGAAGAAATGGGCACACCACTTGGAAATCACTCGCCTGCTAGTAAGGTCGGCTACTCTGTGCGATTCGATACGTCGACATCGCCTAGTACCCGGGTAAAGTTTCTGACAGAAGGAATGTTGCTCCAGGAGATGCTTCATGATCCATTCTTGACCAAATACAGCGCTATTGTTGTGGATGAGGTTCACGAACGAGGTATCAATGTGGATTTGGTACTTGGATTCTTGCGCAATCTTGTCGCTAGCAAGTTTGAAGGTCGTGGTGGTGTTCCACTCAAGGTGGTGGTTATGAGTGCTACAGCGGATATGGAGAGTCTAACTGGCTTCTTCCAGGATGGATATAAATCCCTGGAGCCAGCACCGAAGTCCATCGAGAACGGTGTCGATGCCGACAGAATGGATAAATCGGACTCGAAGGAAATTGCTGCCTGCCATATCAAGGGTCGACAATTCCCTGTCAAGACGATTTATTCGCCCCAGCCAGTGCATGATTTTGTAGATGCGGCTCTCAAGGTCATCTTCCAGATTCATTGCAAGGAGCCGATGCCTGGTGATATCTTGGTTTTCTTGACTGGCCAGGAGACTGTTGAGGCCTTGGAACACTTGGTTAATGAGTATGCTATGGGTATGGACCCGTCACTCCCCAAGATTCAGGTTCTTCCCCTGTTCGCTGCATTGCCACAAGCTGCTCAGCAACGAGTGTTTATGCCAGCTCCACCACGTACACGTAAGGTTGTGTTGTCTACCAACATTGCTGAAACTTCAGTTACTGTTTCTGGTGTGCGGTACGTTGTTGACTGTGGCAAGGCCAAAGTCAAGCAGTTCCGTACTCGACTTGGTTTGGATTCGCTCCTTGTCAAGCCTATCTCAAAGTCAGCCGCCATCCAGCGGAAGGGTCGTGCCGGTCGTGAAGCCCCTGGACAATGCTTCCGGCTATACACAGAGAAGGACTATCTCGCCTTGGACGAGACGAATACCCCCGAGATCCTCCGCTGCGATCTGAGCCAAGCGCTACTGAACATGAAGGCGCGTGGTGTTGATGACATCGTTGGATTCCCATTCCTCACCCGGCCACCCCGTGAAGCTCTCGAGAAGGCCCTTCTCCAGCTTCTCAATATCGAGGCCTTGGGTGAGACGGGTCAGATCAGTGATGTTGGTCAACAAATTGCCAAGCTGCCCTTGACACCAACACTGGGTCGTGTCCTATTAGCAGCAGCTGAGAATGGACCAGAATGCTTGATTGATGTCATTGATATCATTTCTTGTCTCAGCGTAGAGAACATCTTCCTCAACACCACCTCCGAGGAAAAGAAAGAAGCCGCAGAAGCCGCACGCCGTGATCTATACCGCCGCGAGGGTGATCACCTAACGATGCTGGCAACTGTGCGCGTCTACGCCGTCGAACACTCTGACCGCAAAGCCTGGGCAGAGCGACACCTGGTGTCCCACCGAGCAATGCAATCCGTCATGGTAAGCAGAAGACACTAACAACCCCAATCACACAATCTAACAGAAACCAGGACGTCCGCAAGCAACTCCGAATGCAATGTCGGCAAGCAAAGCTCATCTCTGGCGAACTCTCAAACTCCGTCTCTTCACACGACCCCTCCCCCTTTCTTATCCTCCAAAGTTTCCTCGCAGGCTTTGCAACCAACACCGCTCGCCTTGTCCCCGATGGTAGCTACCGCACTATCGTTGGAAACCAGACTGTCGCTATTCACCCTTCAAGTGTGCTATTCGGCAAGAAGGTCGAGGCGATCATGTACAATGAGTTCGTGTTCACCAATCGCAGTTATGCTCGTGGTGTCAGTGCTGTGCAGATGGATTGGGTTGGTGAGGCTCTGGCTGGGAAGGAGTGATTATTGGTTGATAGATGTTGGATATATCATAGATTCATATATACCCCAATGCGATGATACTGTCTCTACACTACAGGACTTTCCTATGCAGATTTGGTTGTTTGATCTCGAAGTTGAGGTCAGCTGACCGCTACGTGATATCAAACGCCGACGACACCCACCTCACCGCAGACTCTGTAGAGGTGTGGGGTGCCTTGAACTCACCAGAGTTGCCACTTGTTCTTTTCTCTGCAGTAAAATACCGTTGACTAGTATAGTATGTGTGACATGTCTGCGGAAAGCCCATTGAAACAAGATATGTGAATGCTACCGCAGGAGTCTACGGACACTGACATATCCAGATGGGACTTCACGAAAGCAGCGCTAATCCGACGGAGCAAACCGGCGAATCAAATCGACTAAAGGAATACTATAATACTATCTCCCTTCACCAGGCGTATCAAGAGGGGCATTGCGTGCTTTTTCGTTAGCCCAAGCGACGTGGTCATTGGTCTTGGCGTCAGACAGTCAACATGCGACATCGACAGGCGATGGGATGATAGGGATTCGAGATGGGACAACTCGGCATCTACAGTGGGCAGTTAATATGAGAACACAGTTGATATTAACCAGATTGCCCATAAACAAGTAAATGTGACAGACGCAAAATCTACACGTCACATCGTCGATCCCGCTGACCCTGGTCGACCTAGTCAGCTGATAAGTGCTTCACCCGATGCTATTCGACTCCCATAATATACGACAAATAAAAGAGCAGTAGCCGGGTAATATAATAGAGAGAAAACGGATAGTCACGTCCGAGTGGTCTCATCCGAAACTTGCATCATCGGGCGATCACCGCCTTATCAGTTATCTACGCATCACCACTCCCTTGATCCTTGGTCCTTGGTCCTTTGTTTCACTTCTCTTTCCCCTGTCTCGTGTTTACTTATGATACTATTTACCTGATCCTGTATTCCCTTTTTAACGGCCTTGATATCCTCTAAGGCTGACGGTGATCTCTGCGGAGAGGATCCACCGTATACGCTTATCACGTTATGGCTTTCCAGGTCCCAACACACGTCCCTCGACGTAGGACCTCGTACTCTGCTCCCCAGCCTCCTCCTGTTCTTGATATCCCTCCTACCTCCCCAGACCAACGCGATGATGACACTGCACAATGGGTGCTGTTCTCCCCAACTGCACGCACGCACACGACCTCGACCGATCGCACCCGCACTGCTGGCCCATCCAGATTGAGTGACTTTGGTTCCTTTGCCGCAGCCCCTTCAGCCAACGGTGTCGACGATGATTACGCGCTCGATGATCAATTAGACGAAGATGGTACCGAACTAGACAGCCTCGACGACGGGCTGCACGCCTTTCGAGCTCCCTCTCTGGCACCAGCTTCCCCCACAAGGATGGAACAAGGGCCACCGGCGATGCTGCCCGCTCACGATGGGCTAGGTAGCTTCCAAGCCTCCAGTCAGTTGGTTCAAGATCAGCTCTGGCAGCACGAGCAATACAACCCACAGCGACAGTCCTCTGCCCAACTCCAACACCGAGGTCACTCGAGCGTGCAAAGGCATTTGGATACTGTCGAAGAGGGCGAGGCAGATGTTGAGCGACAAAGATGGCAGAGGATCGAGGAATGGCGTATGGATCAGAGCAGGGCTTTGCTCCAGGAGATTGAACGGGAAACCCGTCAGCGACGGAGCAGTCGTGTCAGCCGATCGAGTGTTCAGCGGTCTGATGAGCACACACCGCAAGCGAGTGTCCTCGACGAGTCATCTATATCGAGGGAATTATCTCTACCGGAAGCTATCTCCGAAGACGAGGAGTCTTTCTGGCGCCGTATTACTCGAAAGGTAATCCGAGACTTGATCGGAATCGATGACTCCTTGCTGTCTGTGATCTTTGGTGAGTCGTTGCCGCTGGACACGCAACCTCATAGTGAGGAAGAGCCACTTGACATGGAGACTGTGCTAGCCCGCGAGCCGGAGCCAGAGCATGGCGATACACCGATGTGGCAGAGCAACGTGCTCCAGAGGATTGCCCATGAGCTGGGTGTTCTTGTACATCAACTTTGCGAACACCCAGGTGCATTTACTACATACTATCAGATGACGAAAGATATCTCCGCTGAATACGCGGGTATGTCCATCAACCGTCTAGCGGAGAGTGGCGTATCTCAGAAGCCAGCCGAGTCAACTGCACGAAGTACTGGCGAGACTACTGGTGATTCGATGCCCTCGCCCCATTTCATGCCTACACTTCGCGATAACAACCGCGAACACGAAGCCCAATGGGGCATTGAAGAAGACGACCCTATGGGATCCCATTTGATGCCCGATGCAGCACGAGCCCAAGACGAACAGGAGTACTGGGAACGTGGACTTGATGTCATGATGGTATTCCGCTACTTGCGCAATCGCTTCAGTCGTCGTGGCTATATGCCCAATGAAACACAACCCCCTTCCCCATCTCGCCGAACCCAAGATGCATCCCGCCGAGCGGCCATCATCCGGCAACACCACCCACTAGTTGCGCGTGCTCATACTCGCTCCCAAACTCTGACCCGCCGCGCCTCACAGTTCTCTGGTGTATCGGGTCCTACTGGCGTTGCTTCACCGCTCCTACGTCCTCATCTCCGTCGCCCCAGTTCTAGCTGCGCTAGCCAAAGCGCTAAACTTTCTGCCATCTCAAGCCGGCGGACTATGACTGGTTCCAGCCGGAATTACTGGGATATTGGCACAAGCGAAAGCAATAGTGCTATTGGTGTCGGTGTCGGGGCCGGTCTAGGTACCTGGGGCGAAGTGTGAAGACATTGACATGAATGCATCAATCGGCGTCGATAGATGACCTTATGATACTCTTTTCGGGCAGGCCTTTGATTACGAACCTATGTCGGCGCCTTCTTCCACAATTATTTGGACGCGCTATGTCTGCTTTTACGACCTTTTCTTTATACCTTTTTTTTGTCATTACGGTGTTTCCGGCTCTTGTCATTTTACTCTCGGCTCCGTCTTCTGTCCATATCCTGAATGTCCATTTATGCATACAATCTTGTCATTTCAAACCTGCATCGCATATTGATGTTGTGAAAGGTATCGTTATAAATGTACTATAACAATCGCCAGCGAGGGTTAGACTTGAACCATCCTCTACGTATCCGTTGCCTTCATGGCGGTCTACATTTCTGACTACGTTCCTGCAACAGGCCGCACTTGTGCATGTTACATATCTCATGATGATAAACATATGAAATATCAGGTAACAAGGTGCATTCTGCAAGGAAGTCTCGTCCAACCCCAGAACTAGCACACCATCCAACCAAAATATCTCACATACGCATGATGAAATCACATATGAACATCTGTCCCCCAAGGCAAATCCCCAGCAAAAGAAGTAACTCCCTTACTCTCAGGCCTTTCAACGTCGAAATCCCACCTATCAGGTACATTAAGTCCACCCCCAAGATGATGCCTAATAAAAAGCAAAGAAACGCCATCCCGATACAACCACGCATCCTCCGTCCTGCGCTGCCACTTCTCCACAGTAGCCCTCATCTCCTCAAGAACAGATTGATACCGAGCTTCACCGGCAAGGTTCCGCACCTCATCCGGGTCAGCCTGGATATCATATAATTCCTCCACAGGCCGGAAGAAATAATCCTTCAACTGTCTCGACCCGATCATTTTCGGGTTGTTCTCTGCATTGCGGATTTCCTCCCATGTCAGTGATCCGTAGATATCAGCTGCGAAGGGGAAATCAAGACGCCAGGCGATGTTGCGGTGGTATTTATACCGTCCGTTACGCATCATACGTGTTGGCCAGTAGTTTGTTACTTCGTGGAAAGTGTGCGAGCCGAAAATCTGACTCCAGTTCTCGAGTTCGGTTGTTTCGCTCAAAACTGGTAAGATCGAACGGCCTGTTCTGGCTGGGTGGGATGGGCTGGGGTGCTTAGCCCAATCGAGGAGTGTAGGCAGAATATCGATGTAGGAGACCATATTCGGGTTGACAGTGCCAGCAGTTAACCCGGGACATTTCATGATCAACGGCAAGCTAACGCCGGCGTCGTAAAGAGTCGTCTTGGAATTGATGAATGGTGGACCGTTATCACTCATAAAGAGAACAAGTGTATCATCTGCCAGCCCGGACGCCTTCAATCCATCCAACACCATACCAACACCCTGATCAAGTCTAGAGATAGACTGATAATACTCTGCAAACTCATATCTAACACCTGGCAAATCATTCACAAAAGAAGGAATATCCACATCCTCTGGTTTATACTCAACTCTCTCAACACGCGAATCATAAGTCTCCTGATTCCCAAAGCCCGACCTCGTCAAATCACGATGCGGATCAATAAATCCAATAGTCAAAAAGAAGGGCTGCTTCTCATCAGCACTCTTCTTGAAAAACGCCGAAGCCTGATCTGCAACTAGTGCCACATCCCGACTATCACTCTCAGCACGCATATCCCACGGATAAACGCCCGAAGGACCAACATGCACTTTGCCAATTAGCCCGGTTGCATAGTCCTGCTCTGAGAAGAGTGCTGGGGCGGTTTCGACGTGGTCGAAGGTCGTGAAATGGTGGCGTCCATTGTGTAGGCCGTATTGGCCGTTCTGGTGTGTGTGTAGACCTGTGTAGATTACTGAGCGGCTAGCGCTGCAGGAGGCTGTTGAGGTGAAGGCTTGGGTGAATTTTGTCCCTTCGCTTGCTAGTTGGTCTAGATTTGGAGTTTGAATTGCCGTATTTCCGTAGCAGCCTAGTTGTTTGCCTAGGTCGTCGGCTATCATGAGGAGGATGTTGCGTTTTGTCATTTTGCTTTTGTGAGAGAATGGGCTTTGTCTTTTTGATTTTGGCGGGCTTTGGGGGTAGATGATTTATGCTTTCATATGGGATCTGCGAGATGTTTCTTATCTAGTTTGGCTTGTTCTGTCGGATGTCGGCTTCGGTGCTTCCCAGTTGTTGCGGATATCGCTTGGATATCGCGTAGCATCTGGACGGCTGATCTAATGAGGTGTGTTGCGCCATACTATGAGTTATTTTCATAATCAAAGTATCTCGCTGGGTATGGGGGTAGCCCTGGTAGTCCTGTAAAGATCTAAATACGGTATTTGGAAGATGCTCTTTCTACTAGCTTATAATATCTGGACCAATCATACAACAATGAGTAATAGTAACTTTCGAACGAATTGCTCAGTAGAATAATTAACTATGCTTTAGCCTCGAAACGAGCTGTGTTCACTTTCCCAGCACTCAAATACTCCTTGGCCTGTTCAATATCAGCAGCAAAGCGACTCGGCTCAGACCGTGTTCTAAAGGCCCAAATACTTTCGTTGTTAAACACTTCGTCAATTTCTTCCAGAGACTTTCCGCATGTCTCGGGGAAGAGAAGAAATGCGTGTATGGCGGCAACAAGGCAGAAGGTTCCAAAGACACAATAGATCTAGATAGAGTTAGTAATAAGAAACACGTTTCATGGTATATGATGTTTGCAAGTTACCCTCCACTGTATATTCTTAAATCCTGGTGGTGTGAAAAATGTTAAAGCAAAATTGCAGGCCCAGTTGAAGACTGTTGCTAGGGATACTGATTTGCTGCGGATATAGAGGGGGATAATCTCGGGTGGGTATGCCCTGCAAGAAAGGAAAGTTAGCATTGATGGAACAGCTGTTTGTCAATTGAAGCATACCATCCTAAGGGTCTGCAAATAATGTTAATTTTTATGTTCTTCAGATCGTTCAAGATAAGAGACTTACCCCCAAGTGGGCGCAAAGGTAGCAATGAACAAGTATGAACAGGCAATAATGGCCTTGGATGCTTTGCCATTAGTAACCCTCCAAGTGACTGTAGGCGATCCCTTGAGTCCTCCTGGAACATGATACCCATATGAAGACATAAGGCCTGCCTGAGTGAACTGCAAAACGGCCATGATAAAGGCACCGCCAATGAAAAGACGACGACGGGGGAGGCGGTCGATGAAGATCAATGCTGGGAGTGTCATGACAACATTGATGATATATTGAATTGATGCAGACAACAGGGCGTTGTTGCCTTCGAGACCAGCCATCTGTATGCTTATTAGTCTTTGCTCCACGATTGGCAGTGCTAGATACTGTCGTTCTTACCTGGAAGATATAAACAATGTAATACATCATGGCGTTTGTTCCGCTTAATTGGGACCAAATGTGTGTGAAAATACCGCAGTGTACGCGGACAATATTTCGTGCGTTAAATAGCTCCATCCAGGATGAACTTTGGTATTGGAGCTCAAGACTTATTATGGATCAGCATGCAGCAGAGCCACAGAATGGATTAGACTTACTCAACCTTCTCACGAATTTCAGTTGTTTGAGCCAGAACAACAGGGTCAAGAGTATCTCCCCTGGCATGTAATCTTGCAAGGACCGCCACTGCCTCTTCCCATCTATCTTGTGTAGCAAGCCAGCGAGGTGACCGAGGCATCATTGGGAGACATGACATGAGAACAATTGCTGGTATCATTTGAATCCCCCAGGGGATGCGAAACACTGCATTATTGCTCATGTGGGATGTTCCGAAGGAGATGAAGTACATGATCAGAATCTGGAGTAGTGTCAGCCTAGCAAAATAAAGGACGTGAACAAAACACACCCCCCATGTTATCATCCACTGTTGTAAGGAGAGAAGCCTGCCACGTTGATGAGGAAGACTGATTTCAGCAATGAGTATCGGACTATGAGATAATGTCAGTGAAGTGGTAACATCAAAGCCAGTCCAACAAGCTTACCCTTGGGACGTGAGCATTCCAACACTAAGTCCGTTGATGATTCGAGACACGATAAGCATAGAAACATCCTGCACCGCGCACATCAGAGTTGAACCAATCAACCAAAATATGCATGCAATGAATAGTGAGTCACGACGACCACATCGATCACTCGTCCAAGCTGAAAAGAGCGCTCCAAGTAGCGATCCACCAGCCATACTAGCAGTGATTCCACCCTGGGCAACAGCATCAGGTTCATGGAAGTACTCCTTGTACTGATCAGTGCCAATGATGGCAGACATGCTTGACACATCGAAGCCTTGGATGAGGCCCCCAATGGTCGTCAGTACGCTGATCAGATAGACATTGTTCAGTTGAAATGCTTTGCCCATCCTAGCGACCTTGAATAGCAGGTTGACAAGAACAAAGGCCACACAGCGCAGCTTGCCTTGCTACATGCCTGGGACCCCGGATTTTTATGTAGCTCCACTCGTCGCGATCAGATATTCCTCGTCCAATGAACATGCCTCTGGGGCCGATACCCGCTGTTAACGAGACCCGGTCAGGGTCAAGTTCAAACGTCAGTCGGGGATGATATGATGAGATCGCGAGGCGTAAGCTAAGCCCTGGTGCATTTGAGCAATTGGTCAAATCACTTCATGTGTAATGATTAGTCTAATTTCTCGGACTGTACGGAATGTTGTATAGTTCCAGCAGTCTTGGCAAAATGTGGCAATAGAAAAGTAACCAATGCTTATCAATTGACTTGTAGAATAATTAGATTAAACAAGGGCAAAGAGCCCCAATATTACCCCGGATCCATGCAAACCCCAGCTTGTCAGTTCTCAATTAAGCTTAATCTCGTCTTGAAGTAGTATTGCCGCGGCCCTCCGCTCTTAGCGAGATCCGCACGAGATCCGATACTCCTCGCTTCTTTTCTTCTCACATGTATCTAGCATTCTAGATGCATATGCGGAAGTCGGCACATAATGTTATCTTGGAGTGGAGATGGAGAATCTCCGAATGATCTGACAGCTCGTCCTGCGTCAGGCACTCGCAGGTCTCGATCAGGTTAGCTCCACCTGTCAATTCATGCCAAGAGATATATGCAAGGGACTGACCAAACTAGGCTGTTTTTTGTGTCGGGCGCGCAAAGTGAAATGTGACGAGCGCTGGCCCTCGTGTTTGAACTGTGAGCGTCTCAAGTTGGAATGTCCTGGTCACCCAGGCCAAAATTCAGGATTGGCTGCCAGAGCTCTTAGGAGTGTGAGACGGGATGCGACCCTGACACAGGCCGGTACAGCTCGGCATCGAGTGTCAAGATCATGCCAAGCTTGTCGCTTGGCTAAAGCTCGGTGCTCAGGGGGTGATATATGCGCCCGATGTTCCCGCAGAGAAATTGAATGCTCTTATAGTCCGGGCCGCATGCAACAGTTACGAAGCAGCACAACCTCTCATGTCCCGGCCCAAGAAAAACCCCTAGGCTCTAGTTTGGCACCAGCTTTGCTTCAGACAAACCAATATTCATCTCAGCAATCTCCAGATGGCATCACCGATCCTATATCTTGGTATGAACTCAAGTCTGTATTGTGATCTACCCGGAAACTGACCAGTGCAGGCTTCACACTCCGCAATTACCGGACAAAGATAGAATTCTAATCTTGATTGAAGAATATTTCGCACATGTTCATCCCTTACGATGCTATGGTTTCGTGCATAAACCTTCCTTCATGCAACGATTAGATGAAGATTTTGATGCCTGTTGCAATGATGAATCACTCCTTCATATTGTTTGCGCATTGGGAGCAAAGTCAGTACTAATACCACTATTATCATGGTGCAAAATACTAAAGCCTAACAGGTTCTTGGCTCTCGATTACCATTCTCAGTTTTCGCCCGAGTCAATCCTCACAGCTGGGAATCAGTGGGCCAAAATCGCGAAGGCCCGCATGTTTGTCGACTTGGACGACCTCTCCCTAGAAAAACTAATGGTCAGAGTATCCTCATATTCCCAACGAACATTTATACTAATTTGAAATAGACCGCAATTCTTCTCTATGATCACGATCTTAGGATCGGAAGCTATGCGTCTGCTTTTATGCTTTCTGGGGTTACTGCAAGGATGTCACAAGCATTGCAGCTGAATCTTGAGAGCTCCTCCGACATACTTTGTAATGAGCCAGACTCTTCTTGTCCAGTAACTAATGAATCCAAGCGACGTCTGATGTGGAGTTGCTATGTTATGGATAGTTGGGTTGGTAGCGGTGTCAACCAGCTCACTCTCCTAGAAGACAAAGATCTCAAGATCCAGCTTCCTTGTCACAGCCATAACTTCTCCTTGGGAACAGCCTGTATCACCGAGACATTGGATGAAGAAAAGGTTCTGGGGTTCATTCCTAGGGAGCAAACTCCTTCAAGGCCTGCCCAGAATATGGGGATTGAGGCCTATTTCATCCGCCTCGTTAGCAGCCGGAAGAAAGTTCTCCGGTACGACTTTTTCTATCGGAAATTTCATGTTCAATCAGGCTAACTCAATTGGTATAGTTATGTGAAGCACTTGGATACTTCCAAGCCACCTTGGGAAGCTGATTCCGAATTTATGCAATTGGCAACCGAATTTGCAAACTGGCGGCGATATCTACCCCAGAGCTTAAAGTGGAATTCGGGAGCAATTTACGCACGCAAAGAGTCATCGCAGTTAGGGGCCTTGACACTACTTTGGTGTACCTATCATCAAACCCTGTGTGACCTCTACCGGATTGGCATGCCCAATCTTTTTCGCATTCGACGACATCATGAGTTTCCACCCGTTCAACAAGATTTTCTGGATAATTGTCGCAGAGCTTGCTTTGACAACTCTCGTGAACTCTCAAAGATTCTTGCCGAAGCTTCACGGCATGGTATGAAAGCTCTGTCGGATACTTGGCTATGTATCATTGCACATGACAGCACGAAGGTCATGTTATATTTCCTGAAGCAGAAATCACAATCTCCCAATGCTCTAAGTGTATTCGAAGTCGAGGAAACTGCGGCCCTTATTAAAAAGAACATGGAAGCGCTCATGCAAATGAGATCTCTTGTTGCAACAGCAGAGCACTGCGTATGTGACTATACCTATTTTCGAACATATTTACTAACATTTGGCTTCTAGTATCTCTCAGTTGTCAAAATGATGATTGCAGCAGGCCTCCACCCTCAAATTCCACATGCACCCATGCCTGAGCGGGAGCCGGATGGAAATGACGAACGGTATGTTTTCCAGTACATTGTTGCCACTGGATCACTGAACTCTCTTAGATCTTCTCCTGAATCGCCAATTCAAGAATCACCCGAAGCCGTCTTGAACCCTCTTGCAATTTACCGCATGGCACGCACAGCCTTGCATGGCAAAGACTCACGAGGATCAACCTCAAATTCTCCCTCAACCACGAAAACAAACTCGCCTAGACATTTCCAATCTAGAAAACGCCAGCAATCTCAGCAAACCTCCAGACAGGAACAAACACAAGGTCTACAGAGGTCTCAGATCGAAGACAGAACAGACATGCTACCACCCTTTGATATTGGTTCCGCTCCAATAAGACCCGATGATACGCCATTCAATTTTAGTGCCTTCCCAAACTTCCCACCCCTTGGTACTGTTGGGTCATGGGATCCCTCTGAAGTGGCCATTATGAATATGATTGATGATCGGACCGCTCCTTGGTCTGCGGAATATTTGACTGATGGTCAGTCAGGGGTAGATCCGTTTTTGTTTCCATTTTAGACCAATTATACGATACTTCAAACAACACAACTCCTTTTATCTACTCTGCGCCGTAAGCAGTATGAACGGAAAGACCAAAGGCATTATGCGCACATTCCTTTTCTTTCAAGGTTGCATTTAGGGAGAGTGTCACAGAAACAAAAACTTGGAATCGACCTTGAACTACACCAACTAAATAGGAATCTGAGCCTTGCAAATAGGAGCATAGTTTTACATCGAGCAACCTATCTCCGATCACGTAAGGCTCTAGCCCTTGACTTCTTGTTGTTCACTATGGCCCTCATGCCACGCAGTCTGCTTAATCTTGAAGAAGAAAATAGCCCTGGTATATTCTCTCTCTTTTTCCTTTAGTAATGAAACCCTTAATTCGAGACTCGTATGCTAAATACTCAATCAAACGATTTGTCGCGAGTTATGGAGAATAAACTTGCTCGGTTCAAGAGATACCGGTCAGTGTGTCTATATATCTCACCGTAGTAAAGCCATATTTTCGGGGTTCGTATCCCGTGGTTCATGGGCCTTTGGCTTGCCGTGGCTTGTCAACGTCCAAAGTCTATGGCCGGGGGAAAAGGTGATGTTGGATAAGTCCTCAAACGCCACCACTGATTGTGAGCCTCCTGTCTCTTAGACTTGGCCCCAGTAAAAGACCTTATCATAGACAGTCGTGTCAAAGGCTGTTCGGTGACATTCCGAAGTGCAGCGTGGCCAAAATATCAAAAAGGAAAGTGTCTTCGACACGTGATATAGAATGCGGAGAAGATAAGTACAATGTTGATTCGCGGGTCTCGACTTCCTTAAATTTGAAATAAACATCGCAGACTGTGATAATGGCTGATGTCTCAGCGTGCAACAGGAAGGCTACGCCGATGACTTCTAAATGCTACTGGGGTGTTCGGAACGATGTCCAATGTTCTTCCAGTTCCCCTCGCACACAAGTCCCCGCGAACTCAGGTCTATAAAGATCCACGCAAGATTGGAAGAACACTCCAGCAAGAACAGGACATAGCATTCACTCTATATACCATTCAATCCACAATGGAACCCTCCAAAACTAAAGAGGACCAGTACGACATCCTCATCATCGGTGCTGGCCTCTCCGGCATCTGTGCACTGCACAATCTTCGAGAACGCTTCCCGTCTTGGCGAGTGGGAGTCATTGAAGCATCTGATAATGTTGGAGGCACGTGGTACTGCAACCGCTACCCTGGCGCACGCGTTGATTCCGAGTCGCTCTCCTACGCCTACTCGTGGGATAAGGAGGTGTTGAACGAGTGGCATTGGAAAGAATCCTTCGCTCCTCAATCAGAGATCCATCGTTATATTGAGTACGTCTGTGACAAACACGACCTGCGCAAAGATATTCAGTTCAACACTCGAATCAAGACTGCCCAATGGCAAGATAAAAGCAACACCTGGCTATTTTGCGATGAAGCCGGCAACCTTTATCGCGCCCGCTTCTTCATCAGCTGCATGGGATTCCTGTCTACCCCGACACTTCCAGCTATCCCCGACATCGAGAAATTCAAAGGCGAGGCCTTCCACACTTCCCGCTGGCCACAAGACTTCGACCTGAAGCGCGACCTGGCCAACAAGCGGATCGGCGTGATCGGTACTGGTGCTACTGGAATCCAGACCATCACTGCAGTATCGAAAGAGCCTAGTATCAAATCCTTGAGCGTTTTCCAGCGGACCGCCAACTGGTCAGCACCCCTTCGCAATGAGTCCATCAGTATCGAGCAGATGGAACAACACCGCAAGGACTACGACGCCCTTTTCCAACTATGCGCTGAGACTCCGGGCTGCTTCATGCACCAAGCCGACCCCCGCAAGTCCCTAGAAGTGTCTGAGGCAGAGCGCGTCAAGCTCTGGGAAGAGATATACGCAAAGCCCGGCTTCGCCAAATGGCTCGGCACATTCAGCGACACATACACCAATCGCGAGGCGAATAGGCTCTACTCTGACTTCATGGCAAGCAAGATTCGAGCCAGAGTTCGCGATCCGAAGGTGGCGGACAGTTTGATTCCGAAGAACCACGGCTTCGGCACACGGCGTGTCCCTCTCGAGAGTGGATACTTTGAAGTTTATAACCAGCCTAACGTCAACCTTGTCGATCTACAGAAAACTCCTATTGAGAGAGTAACAGAGAAAGGCATTATCACATCCGATGGTAAGCACCATGACCTGGATGTCTTGATCTATGCCACTGGTTTTGATGCCATCACTGGTGCATTTAGCTCGATTGACTGGGCGGGCAAAGATGGCCGACCCCTCCTCGGCTCTAGCGACACCAAGGAAGGCCAACAAGCAATTTGGGTTGACCATCGCCCACGCACATACCTGGGTATGACAGCCAACTCCATGCCTAATATGTTTATGGTTCTTGGTCCTCATCAGCCATTCGGCAATGCCCCTCGGACCATTGAGCATGCTGTTGATGTTATCTCCGACTTGCTCCAGTATTGCAAGGATAACAACTACTCCTATGTGGAGCCTGCGCCAGAAGCAGTTGATGCTTGGACTGAGCATGTTGTGGAGTGCAGCAAGGGTGCTTTGTCGAATGAAGTTGATAGTTGGATGACTGGTGTTAACAAAAATGTGAAGGGCAAGACTGTTCGCAGTGTCGCTCGGTACTCTGGTAGCGCTGTCGAGTATCGTCGGAGATGCGCTCAGTCTAAGGCGGAAGGGTGGAAGGGGTTGGTCTTTGACACTCTTCCCAGTGCTACGGTTTCGAATGCTCAGCTTGCCACAGCCAGGCTTTGAACTCTGGTTCGTGCATATCTATGATTTTAATTACATGAATTTTACCATGATTTTGACTTTGGCCTCTTGTTTCTTATCCATCAACTACGAGCATCCAGTATATGACATTTGAGAATGACTGTATCTGACCAAATGAATCCCTGGAAAGCACTTCTAATACACGATGGAAAAAAACTACGACCTTGACACACTTTGCACATCTCTCAATCTGACCCAAGCCCAGCCAACAAACTCGCCGGAGGTGCAAAGAAAGTCGTACCAGTAAGCGGCTTGGAAAAGTCAAGGATGCGATCATGCAGACCAGGCGGATCCCCAACAAACATCTTCTCCAACATCTTCTCGATAACCCACAGACGACGCGTATATCCAATGAAGTAAGTTCCAAACTCCTTCGAGCCTGGCGATCCAAACGGCATATTGTCACGAAGGATATCATGCTCATTCCCGTTCTCATCCTCAATCGTATTAAGCGTCTTATGCGAGCGCTGTCCAGACTCCGCATCATCAAGCTCAACATTATCAATCTTCGTGCGACCAATGATCTTCTCCTGCTGCTCCGTCGAAAGATCTTTCCATCCGGGTAGATCGTGTGTGTATTTCTGCACCACAATGTAACTGCCACCTGAAGCAGGGCCATCTTCCTCCGCCACAAGAACCGAAGACGGAACAGCCGGTCCGACGGGGTTGGCCGTCCCATCCACGAAACCAAGCAAGTCGCGCACATCGAAGTAGCGGAAGCCCACTGTTTCGTCGATTACAGTAACCGCATTACCGAGTCTATCCATCAACTGGCGCTCAAACTCAAAGCATATATCACGGCGCTCCGAGCGGATATGGAAGAGCAAATCACCAGGTGTGGAGATTGCTGTGTGCTTTGCGCCTTGGATCTCACGGAATGGATGTAGCTCAGCGGGTCGGGGGAGACCAGTGAGGTTATCCCAGATTTCACTTCCGATGCCGACAGTGCAGGCGAATTGGGCATTGAGATCTCGGATAGAAACATTCTTTGCTAGGCTGTCAAGGCCTGATAGCGTCGATTGCACTGTTTCCATTGCGTCAGGGTTGGTGGTGACGGATACCACCAGGAATGTGGCGCATTGTGTGAGCGGGGCGTCTACGCGCTGCGGCTCTATTGGGACGCGCTGGCTGCTCATTTTCGCTTGTGAGGATTTGAAGTGCGTGGACAGTGTTGAGATTCGTTGTCGTGGTAAATAGCTAATTTTCTTTGATTGGGTCGGAAGAAGTTGGAGCTCTATGTTGTTTGAGACTTTTGAAACCGATCGGAGGGCGCCTGGAGCTCCCAATTTCGGAATTAAGCTCAGGTTCAAGCTATTGGATAGGAACGAGAAGAGAGGCCTTCCAGCGGTGTTCATAACTCTTGCTAGGAGTGTCGAGTAATGGGGATCGGAGTCTTGTCCCTATGTCAAGAGCTCTGCTGTCGTGAGAGCATCAAGTGCTTATTTCAAGCAGTCAATGATTGGCTGACTTGGCTTTCTAGACTCATGAAATAGTAGAATGATCTCAATTTAAAGACAAACGGTTGAGCCGGATGCATAGAGGTGGTGAGGTCACAACCCGACGGAACCGTCCTATGAAAGTGAACTACTGTAACCAAAGTTATGTCCCAAATGGTCTTCTACAATTCATGCGAGGTGAATAATATTTCAATCTCGAAGACAGTAGACCAGTTTATCGCTGTGTGTATCCACCATCCACAAACAACGCAGTCCCGGTAACAAACGAACTTCTCCCACCAGCCAAGTAAATAACTCCATCGGCAATCTCCTCCGGCTGACCCATACGTTCCATCGGCACAGCATTAGCAACCTTCTCCTTCATGGCCGCCAAAATCTGAGGCGACTTGGTCGTGAGCGGAGTCTCAGTGTATCCCGGACAGATAGCATTAATGCGCAATCCATCCTTAGCATAATCCTCGGAGGCCGTCCTCGTCAATCCGATAATGGCATGCTTGCTCGCAGTGTATGCAGTGGACAGAGCAATGCCAGCGATACCCTGAATGGACGAGAAATTAACAATGGAACCACGCTGCAATGGCCGTCCATCGATAGAAGACCGGATTGGCTCCTGCTTCAGCATGATCTTGGCAGCAGCGCGCAGCACGAAGAATGTTCCTGTCAGGTTGATGTTGAGGATGCGTTCCCAGTCTGATGTTTCACAAAATGCGGCGCCGCCTGCATGCTTCATGGCGATTCCGGCGGCGTTGACAACATAGTCCAGTCGGCCGAAGGTTGTCGCGACTTCTTGTACGACTTCATTCACGCGGTTCTCGTCCGTGATGTTTGTGGGGTATGTCTCGACTCGGCAGGGTTTTGAGCTTGGTTGTCGTTTGAGGAGCTCTTCGATCTCGGCTTTGACGGCGGCCAGGGCTTCGGCGTTCATGTCCAGCAGGGCAATTCCCGAGGCGCCATCTCTGGCGAATGCCTTTGCGCATGCTCGGCCGATGCCTGAAGCTCCGCCGGTGACAAGTGCAATTCCGGGTACGTCCATTTTGAATGTGGTTCGGTGGTGTTTTATAGTGTTTTTATACACAGCGGCCAGGGCGTTTTCGGAAAGAAAGGATCTTGAACAGATAGATTGACATATTGACGGTGAATGTTCTGAATAAATAGTAGCAGCTTGGAGTTACTCCTCATTGCAAGTTTACTTACAAGTGGCATGTGGGGTTGTCGCGGATACTTGCCTAACTCAATGTCTGCTATCTACTCGTACTTCCACCGCGTTTACTTTCCTATTCTACATCCTGTAAAGTTCCGTGCGTAACGCATATGAGGGGTATTGCCACCGTTGAGATTGTTGGTACAATCATCGAAATCGGGAGGTGATTGACGAACGTGAGGGAAACTGACTATCGATGTGATCAACTTATATTGGGTAGTGCGCATCTACAATTCCTTGTTAGGATGTTTGGAGCAATGATGTAGATTTTGTAGGAGATTTTTCACAGTTAGTATGAAAGAAGTTCATCTGAGTCCCCCGATGCTTCATCCATCTTTGTGCCATCCCTACACATCTTCAACTGCCGACAGAGCTACACCTTCGTGTTCGCACATGATCAATACGCATTCCGTCGCCTTGCCGCGTGCTTAGCTCAATCTGAAAATCTCATGCCTCTCACGAATATCGGGAGGTGTCCGGCTTAGTTGGGTCCTCCAGGGCCACTTCCACCACTGCCTCCATTTCCACCAGCACCAGAGCTGCTGGAGCTCGAAACACCTCCATCGGCAGTGAGGAGGGCTGCGTAGCTTGCACTATAGCTGGCAGAGGTGTCGATACCGACAGTGACCCAAGAGAACAACCCATCGTCAACAGTATCACCAAGGAGAACATAATTGAAGATGGGATCCGAGTCGCTGTTCGTAGTCTCATCAGACAAAACGCGATCATTGGCATTGAGAGTGATTGAAACAGTGTTTTCGCTATAAGGAGACAGCGCTTCAACCTGAGTAATGAGATCCTGATCATAGAACATCTGGCCTGTATGGGCAATATTGCCACCAGTCAAGGTGCCATTAGAAAGAACGGTTGCGCCAACATGAGCAATGACATGAACATGAGTGGCGCGACCACTGTAGTGACCAGGGAAGATCGTCTGGAACTGAGCCACGCCATCAGAGTCTGTAGGCTGAAGACCTCGCAGAGCAGTGTTGTCGAGGTTAGTCGCGTCGTTGCCGTTGCCATTGCTGCTGTCTTGGACTCCGGAGTAGACACCAGTCGAGTTACAGTTCCACACATCCCAGTACAGATCAACAATTGGCTCGCAGGTGTTGACATCGATGAATTGGGCATCCATCACCACAGGAACACCGGGTTCAGCATCGACCAGGTCGGACCGAATCAGCTCTCCCTTGACCCAAAAGGGACCAACTTCACCCTCCGGGGAGAGGATGCAAGTCACATCATCGGAGAAGAACACATCGGGTGAAGAGGCCGCCGTGACCCCAGTTACGTTCGACAGATGAGAGGTTGCCAGGACGGTCGAGAGATCTCTAACCTTCAAAAGCCCTGCTAACTGTTAGGACGTGTGTCGTGAATAGACAAGCGCTTCTTCAAGACTTACCAGAATCAACACTTCTCTTTGCATGCTTCTTCGCAATTTCCCTGCGTCGAGAAGCTGCGCGAGCTTGAAGTTCACGATACTCGAGCTTGTCAGCACACGCTGCCAAGCTACGTCGGGAATGATGGAGGAAGCTTCGCTTCAGAGCTGAGCTTGAGTGCTCCTCATGGCCTGGATGAGCTACTGCAATAGTAGCCAGTCCAAGCAAAACGACTTTGGAGAAGAAAACCATAGCTGATCAAGTGATGAGGTTGTCAATTGATTTTTGTTGCTGCTGATGGAGAAATACTTCTGTTCTTGCGGGATGATCCTCCAGCTTATATACGTTTTCCTCGCCCTTCAACTTCTCTTTTGGGACTGCGGAATCTCTGATACATCAATTCATCCTTGGGCACAAACAAGCTATCCTCCTCTCGACCAGATCCTTGAAGCAAAGTTGAATTACTTTGGCTCGCCTCTGGTTGGTGGGATACACCATGCCGCCCATACCCCAGTCATTGTCCGGAGCTTGTAGACGGGATGTTCAGAGATATGCATTAGCGTGCGAAGAAACGTATTTCGTCAGGGGCAAACCCCGAAAATACTGTTCTCGGCTGATCAAGACAAAGGAAGAGTGCCAGTCATAGGTGCATTTTCTCCTAGCTGCGACAGGGCCATCCAAGCTCCGTACTCGTATGTCTAATTCGCCGATACTCAATCACCGAACTGCAGGCTCTTCATGCAAAGAGGCCAGGGTATTGAACCAATGAAGAAGAAGGTAATAGTAAGTGACGCGGCCCCCACAAAAAGCGAGCTTGAGAGCTGTCAGTGCAGCTCTCTCCGTTACCCTTTAAGGAACGGATTCGGGCCGCGTGGAGATTTGAAAGGCGAGGCGAGGCTGGTCGATCGACCTTGCCAAGGATATTCTGCATGTTTTCATATAGAAATGAAATATAGTTGATTGTATGCTAGCGCGCATCTTACGCGGCCTATGCAAGTTGGGTACGGTACACTAGATTCAATTTCTTGGCTCTCAAAGCCACAATTCTTGATGAGGCCCGGTGCCAAGTCTTATACCTTGGTATCTGGGGCTTTAGTCTGTTTGGCTGGTAAGAATTTTACCGGCTTGGCATGGTTGGGATCATGCGGAAATTGCGAGTGGGTAAGGAACACGGGATGTGTTGAATAAATTTGCTTCGATGAGATAAATGCAAGCTGGTAGACGACGCATAGGATTCAAGAAGACTGTCGCACAATGCTCTGTTCATTATCGTATTATGAGGTTGGCAAAGATTTACCGGGTGAGGGCCAATCAGGAGACCCGGTCCTCGGTCCAGTTGATATACAAGAAAAGACACTAGCGTAAAACATTGCTTCGTGAATCATAAGTGTGACTGTAAAGGCACAGTATTCTTCATCAGATCCAACCAAGTAACACTCTTCCCATTGGCACACGACTTTTCCTGCCATATCCTCTGGATATTGTCCAACGTATCTGTAAAACAAGAAAGACCACTCCGACATGCCGAGTTCTCAAACCAATTCGAAAATGACACTTGGACAGATGAATCCTCGGCTTCACAGGCTGCAATGAAGGCAGGCCAGATGAACCCCGCTGAGCCATGTACCACTGTAGAATCTGCCTGTTGGCAGCGTAGTAATCTATCCAAAACACCCACGACTTTTGTCTGTAGGATCGACGCGTCCACATCGTGCACTCGGCGGTAGAAGTATATTGCCAAAGCGTTCTGCATTGCTTCCAGCATATTATCGATTATATCTTGGTCGAGCTGGGAGTTGTTGTTATTCTCAAGTGCAGACGTATTGCGACTGGGTAGATGGAGATTGTTGATCGAATCTTCCAGCGTCTTTGCTCGGCCGATGAATTCTTTTAAACTAAGACATTTTCTCGTGCCATCTCCCTCGGCTGTGTCTTTCTCTTTTCCAAGTCGAATCACCTGCGATAAAAGGAATATCCACTGTTCTGGAATACCGAATATCTCGGGATATAGCGTAGAAGACCAAAAGCCCGGGCGTTCAAGATGTAAATCGTTCTCGCCCTCCTCTTGTCCGCGTACTCTCATCATCTCCTGGTTGAGGTTCTTCCAGCCAGTGAGCCGGAAAGACAGACTGTCAAGACTATACATCCCCAGCCCACTGGATTCAATCGCTGTGCGAATATGATGTCGCTGGGTTGAATTTGCACCACAGATGAAGATACTCTCATGTATAATGCGCTCAAACGCATAGCAGTGATGAAGTAAACGGACTTTGCGAGATTTCTTGCGCTTGAGTCCTCTTAACCGAATGAACTTTTCCGCTTCCAGAAAATAGCACTCAGTCTCGCTTCTATTTCCTGAGAAAATAGAGACTTGCACCATAGTAAGTAAGGCCATCAAAATGGACTTGTATTTTGCCACCTTAGGAACATCATAGGCAGTCGTTAACATCATCCGCGCATGCTTTCGAGCTTCTTGTTTATACATCATGGCTTTCTCAAGCCACGTCTGAGACCGGGAGACCCCTCCCAGACTAAATGCACTGATGGACAATGTTCCATAGAAAGCACATAGACAGGCATGACTCATTTCATCATTCAATGCCAGTGCTGCAAGACAGTTCTTGGCATGAGGGATGAAAAGAACATGCCATGGTGTTTTTGAGTGCCTAAGTGGAGTCATCAAGCTTATTACCGCTGAGGCGTAATGCTTGAGAAGGAAGACAGCGTCATGGGGCACGGATATAGTGGTGCTCGCGGAAGACAAGGAGGTTGGTGATGTTGCGTTATTGTAATGAGGATCAGGCATCAAGTCTAGGGGCATGTATTCGTGGGGTTCTGTGTTTCTCTCCAATTGTGAATCCAACATGGCCTCCAAGAATCCTGGAGAAGGTGGGCTGAGAACGTTTCCTGGTTGGTCAAAAATGAGGTGCATCAGGCCTTGGGACCACGGAGAAAGGGGTGGGGGTGTTGATAGTTCATAGTTATTATTCACAGTGCTGATCTCTTGTGGAGAACTAGAATTCGTGTCTTCTGAGTTGTTCACGTTCACGACTGGCTCGCAGGGCACAGGCAAAGACGCAGTACCTCTTCCTTGTGTGATTCTAAATGCGCCAAACGGGCCTCGATGGATGTCAACATCATCTTTTAATGGCGCTTTCTCGCATGTTTCATCGATATGAGACAATATCTTCAGGGTTTGCTTGGGAGGAGCACTCGAAGTAAGCCATTCGCTCATCCGCTCGCGGTCCTCAAGCGAGAGCAACGGTCGGCGAAAGCGCGCCCCATTATTGCCTGATGAGCTCTCAAAGTCGAAGAAAATGTCTTTCTTGTATCCCTCACAGGCGATGCCAAAATGTTCACACATTGAGCATGTTGGGCGTCTTTCGTCGCACTTGACATGCCGACTTCGACACTGTCCTGGTCAGAGAATAGACATGACTGGGTACCATCAGACTTACTGTGCTGCATCCTGTGAATGATCTCGTATGAGCGCTGTCGTGTACACTTGCTCGAACAGAATCCATTTGGGGAGATGAACGAGGAAAGCTGAGCCCTACTCGATATATTGCGGGGAATAGCTGGGCCGATCTGTGGAGCTCCGATAGCGGAAACCTTCCTGTTTGGTGCGCGAACACCTGCCTCTCTTTTACATCGACTTGGGCATTGTAGTCAACAGTTGAGTCAAGAGTTCAATGATGAGTTGAAATAGCATCAGTACGATGGATTATATGGATTATATGAATTTTATAAGTATCACAATTCCGCCATGGTTTTGGTCACTATCAGTCTCACAATACTGCATAACACCAAACGATGGCACCTTTTGAAGGGAAAGTCGTAAGTTGAACTTTTATCCAAGTTGAAGGGACATGATCAGATTACAATTACCGGCGCAGCCTCCGGTATGGGACTCGCAACAGCGAAGCTCCTCGCGTCTCGTGGCGCACTCATCTCGCTCGCCGATATCAATGAGAAAGCACTACGAGAAGCGATTCAATCCTTGACCAACCCCGAGAAGCACATAATCACTGCTATAGATGTGCGCAACGGTCAATCAGTTGAGACATGGATCAAGTCCACAGTCGAAAAATTGGGCAAGTTAGATGGCGCCGTGAACATGGCTGGAGTGATCACCCCAGCTGCACCAATTACAGAGGAAACTGAAACCAATTGGGACTTTACATTTGCTGTGAATACCAAGGGCATTTTCCTCTGCCTGAAGGAACAGCTAAAAGCAATGAAAGCCGATGGTAGCATTGTACGGTCTTGACAATTTTTGAGCCCAAACATCTCCATGCTGACTATTTCTACACAGGTCTCCGCTGCCAGTGTCTTTGGCCAAATGGGAGCTCCAGGTGTCTCGGCATACTGTGCCAGCAAAGCGGCGGGTATTGGGTTGACGCAAACTGCTGCACAGAAGAACCAGCACATTCGCGTAAACTGTGTTTCCCCCGGTAAGCATCTTGAGTAACAGGGACTACTAGGCTCGTTGACTGACTATCTCAGGCTCTGTCAACACCCCACTCTCTGCTAGTGAAGATCCCGAGGATGTGAAGCGTGGTTTGCAAAAGACTGCGCAGAAGCGCCAGGCTGAGCCAATCGAAATTGCAAATGTCATCGCTTTCCTACTTAGTTCGGAGGCCTCTTTTGTTACTGGAGCTGTATATAATGTTGATGGAGGGTGGATGTGCTGATCTTTCAGACAGAGGGGTTTCTCACAATACTGATACAATGTTATCTGGGCATCTAGTCTGATTATAATAAGTAGATAAACAAACTTATTAAATACTAAGGAATCGGACACAAAGTTACGATTAACTCAACGACTCATAGGAGATGTATGGCTTCTATTTTGACGATTCTCTGTCAATGTCGGTCTAATACCCCACAGGCGGCAAGCAACTCGTATATAGCGAGGGGGGTAGCCAACTGCTCCTTTTAAAGGTCTGAATATACTACCCTTCCCTTCTTTCAGCTCTTATTCTGTTTTCATAGACACACACTAGACCTTACGTTGAATTGCCCCGCCTGGAAGCGCGCTAAGCGGGCTGACAGCATCAGCACAACCCCTGTTCACAAGCCTAACACGCCACGTTCTCTTTGAAATCTATTCAAATCCTGACTTTCTCCTATATCGGTCGGACATGTCAAGGGGGAGATGTCAAAATCGGTGGTCATTGTATCTCACTTGAAACCTGAGGCCCGTCTCGCCCAGGCTGTTTCGCAATTTGAAGCCGAGCTTTCCGATGAACACAAAGCAAGCTTTCGTGTATCGAGATCAAAAGCCATTGGATCTCCTCCTGGTATCCAAGATGTCATGCAACTTACAGCGGAGATCGATCACGCCGCCGAAAAGAGACGGCGTTGTTTAGGACCGCGGCTTACCAACATCCTGCAAGCCACACAGCAATTTGCAGCACTTGGTGATGTTCTAGTCGGTGGATCACAGAATATATTGGTTTGCGGTGTATGGACAACAGTACGATTGTCATTGCAGATTATTGCCGGATTCACCTCTTACCTGGAGAGATTATCAAATGTCTTCATGATCGCCGGCCGTCTCGCTCCACGACATGAAAAGATGGCTCTGTTGTATCCCCGATCAAGCGAACTGCAGACCTCTTTGTGTGAATACTTTATCGTTATTGTACGCTTTTGTCGTGAAATATCTACTTTTGCGCGCAAATCAGCTTTCGGTAAACTGGCTGCTTCACTAAGTGACCCTAATCTCAAATCATACCAGTCAGACTTGGAGTCTTGGGGACAGATGATCAAGGATGAAGTGACATACCTGATGGCAAAGAGACTCGAAGATGAAGGCGACCTCAATTCACGATTCAGAATAATGTCGACCAAACTTCATAAGTCAAGTGCCTACCAGCAATTAGTCCAAATAAAGCAGCGAGTGCTTGATTTCTGTTCTCAGTACTACCATACTGTCGCTTGGAAGCAAATTCGAAAAACAGGAAACACGAGTCTGTTTCGTGAGAGTCATGTGTACCGAAACTGGAAGGCTTCACTGCTTGCTTCCACTGTGTACTGGCAAGCTAGGCTCTGGGAAGTCCGTTCTGATGGCGAACATAGTAGATGATCTCTACATCGAAACTGGAAATGCCCGTGTTGCATATTTTTTCTGCAGGCATGATGTTTCTGAAAGTCTCGAAGCTCGGACAGTGATTGGCTCTTTGGCTCGGCAACTGCTTCAGTCAATGACAGACTTCACTGCTGCTACAGAATTTCTCAACCAGAATATGACAGACCCCATTCCGGAGCGGCTGATCAAGCTGTTGTGCGGGTCTGTCGATTTTCATAAGACCGATTGCTATCTGGTTGTGGATGGACTAGATGAACTTGACGATGATCAGAGGCACGTAGTCATGAATTTCTTGCAGCAACTTCAAAGTGGGAAAGTTACATTCCTGCTCTGTCTCTCCCTCCGTGAATATCCGAAAAAGGCTATTGTACGAAGCGGACTTTCTCAGTTCACTGGATTGGTTGTTGAACCAATGCCCAGCAATGCAGCAGAAATTGAACTTCATTCAGTCGGATTTGGAAAACCGAATTGAATCCGGAAAGCTCACAATCGGGAACCCTACCTTGATTTTGGAAATTCAAGATGCTCTATTGAAGGGATCTGAAGGAATGTTTTTGTGGGTAGCCCTCCAAATAGAGTCAATATGCTCTATGGAGAGTGATGAGGAGATTCGCCATGCTCTTACCGACCTGCCAAAAGATCTTTCGCAGACTTTCGCTCGCGCTTTCAAGTCAAAGTCTGAGAGCACACATCAAAGGGATATTTTCGCCATGCTGGTCGTGGCTAAAAGACCATTGGTCGTACAGGAATTGCGGGAAGCCTTGTCTGTTGTTCCAGGTGATCTGGACTGGAAGCCAGACAGGCTTCTCAACAACATCTGGAGTACATTAATTTCATGTGGGAGTCTAATAATGGTTGACGAGGAGCAACTGACGGTGCATCTCGTTCACTCTAGCGTTAGGCGATTTCTTCTCGAAGAGTTTGAAGAGTTCAAAGAGCCAATCAAACCCCTAGTCAACCTCGATAATGCTCATCGCATGGTGACAGAAATCATCATTACCTATCTCAACTACAGCGTTTTCGAAAGGCAGGTATCAAAACAGGTCAATCCTCATATTCGAACTGGATCCTTGCCATCTGAGGTCATTCGCTCGACTATGAATTCATCAGCTTGCGTTCAAACGCTGGCAATCAGGCTTCTGAGGGTCTCGCAAAAACTCCAATTTTGACATTGGAAAGGTTGTGGCAGAGACGGCTCATCAAGGTCATGACCACGACCAAATTTTCTACTTCTACGATTACGCAACATCATACTTGCCAGCCCATGTCGTCAAAGCTCAGGATCTTGGAGAGGAAATGCAATCTCTATTTGCTCGATTGCTAGGACCAGGGTCAGCCTTAAAACGTGAGATGACCAATGAAGATAATGACATTCTTTTGGATTGGGCTGCAATGAAAGGATATTTGCCCTTGGTCGCAGCGCTGAGTCGTCCTGGGCAGGATAATTCAGCCGTCGGGATGAAGGCATTGAGACAGGCAATAGAAGTCGGAGAAAGTTCCATGGTGCAATGGCTTCTCGATTCAAAAGACGGGTTCATTCCATCATCGTTGCCGAGCATGCCTCATTTTTGGAAGCCAATACATCTCGCTGTGCGCTGTGGTAGCCTTTCCACGATTCAAAGTCTACTCGCATCAGGCAAATTCAATGTGAACGAAAGAGACTCCTCCACTGGCGGACGAACCCCTTTACATGAAGCCGCCGTCAAGGGACTGAATGAAACCGCTGCTCTACTTCGTCACAGTGCTGCTGAACACCTGCGAGATGACGCGGGGCATACGGCTCTTCATCTTGCGGCCATGCATGGACATCAGGACATTGTCAAGTACATGATCACCTATCAGTCTTCCGATCCTAACAAGACGGATAAACAGGGGTTAACTTCTTTGCATTTGGCTGCCGTCCACGGCAATACTGAGGTTGTGAGAGTTCTCTTAGATCACCCGTCAACCGATGCTTCTATACTGGATCACAGAGGTCGCTCTGCTGGTGATTTGGCTTTGGAGAATACCAGCCTAAGCTTTGTCGCTCAACTAGATTCCCGCCTGGTTGCAACGGTGAACGCAGCTGTCCGGTTTCGACGTTGAATTTGATGGGCTTGAAACGTAGAGCAATATCGAGAATCCAATTCATCAGCACTTTCAGGCTTCTCGTCTAAAGTACAAATAAATGACTTCAGGAAGCATTTACTGTATATCAACTTTTCGGGTTAATCAAAGCGAACACGGGGACGGACCAGCCCTACAGTGGCGATACCCATCCGAGGTCGGGAATCGACTACGATTGCTTACGTAGTATATGACTATAGTGGCTTTAATACGAGTACAGGTACGAGCTAAAAGTCAAATGACAGCTGAAACATTTGTATAAGAGCACTCTGCTTCCGAGCAGATCCATAATGCCGTAAGTCCCAATCCCCAACGCCAACATGCCTACCGGATCCTGCCTTTGCCAAAACCTGAAATATGAGATTACCGAAGTGCCAGAGGGAATGGTAAGGCAATGCAAAATTTGTAAAAGAATTCAGTTTTAAGCTTGGAATACAGGCGACCTGCCACTGCCTCTCATGCCGCAAAATCAGCGGCGGCACGAATACGGTTAACTTCATGATGCCAGAGAAGGATTTCAAAATCACCGCCGGTGCACCTAAGCGCTTCACTCATGCCCATGAGAATGGCATGAACATCACTGTTCATTTCTGTGACAACTGTGGTGGTACTATCTACAAGACGGGCGATCGTGAGGGTTTTAGGGGAACTGCTGTTGTTCAAGTTGGGACTTTGGACGACCCCAATGCATTCGCCCTGGCCAAGCCGACAATGGAGATGTGGACAAAGTATCGTGTGCCATGGCTTTCGCATATCGAAGGGACTGCTCAGATGATGGAGTTCTGATGTTGTTGACAGCTGACTTTTTCTGGTGTTTCATTGCATTGAGAACAGCTTCCATTTGCTTGATAATGAGAATGAACTACTCTCAATAATGAAATTCTTGAAAAAAAAAAAAAAAATCAAAGCGTACTGCAATATAGCCATGGGACATCAAGTCCTTCGGCATTCCCACTTGTATTCTCGAGGCATCCAAAAATAAGTGGAAAAGAGGTGACAAAGAGATGCCAAATGAGGGCAAGAACAACGTACGTGTGAAACGGTATACTCTCCCCGTGGCTAAGTTCCTTATAGAGACGTCAGCCCGGGGAATCCTGGTCAAAAAATAGACGTCAGGGTAAAAAGAATTCGAGGCTATTGCTTTTGCTCATTGCACTCATTAAACTCAGGACATGGGATCATGAACTATGCAGATCCTCGGCACAGTATTGTCGATATCATAGGACAATAAACAATCATGCAACCAAGGTAATTTTGTAAAATGCAAATAAAATCAACAGAAACAGGTCTATGTCTTCAGATCCCAGGACAAAAAAACCAAGTTGAGCAAGGAAAAAAAAGGTAGAATAAAGTAGAATAGCCATATGACGCCAGAACCAGCCAGGAAGAAAAAACGGATGGGTAAAACAACAGATCAAGCAATGCTTCAACAGGGCCAAAAACACATCACATGAAAGCCCCAACCGTAGAACGCAAGACAAATATTCGTGTCCCCATTTACATCTGGCGCAGACCCTCTGCAAGGCGGCGCTTACCGAACTCCCAGGCGTTCATGAGACCTTGTTCGGTGAGGTCGATGTTCTTCATGTTAGGCGCATCCGCAGCAGGGGCACGGCTGACCCGCGAGGCGATCATGACGGGGTCTGTCTCGAGGATAATTCCATCGTCGATGATTTCGTCAATGGTCAGGGAGACCAAGTCGTAGTTCTCGACGATAGTGCGCTTGTCGGTTGCGCCCCTGGTTGAAACGAATATGTTAGAAGCTGTTGACAAAACCACCACCAGATATTACAGTAGCATACTTGAATAGAATTCCCAGAGCGTCCCGTAGTGAGAGGACAACATTGTATAGCAGGACCTCGTTCTCGTCGGCGCTGCCAACAACGTAGAGCATGACGTCGCTCTCCATTTTGAAGACGACAATACGGTTGTCGTACAGGATCACATCGCTTGAGGACTTGTTGGTCTTTTCGAGGAGGCCCTTCTCGAAAGCGCGCTGCTCCTTAACGGTAGGGTATGGGTTGGCGCCGGGGTAATCCGTCGAGTTGGGGGCAGCACCGGCGGGGGGATGGGGGGCAGAGTAGTACTTGGTGAAAATGCGGGAGCCGTCGTCAGCGGACATGACGAGGACCGCATTGACGGAGAATAGGGATAGAGGGCCGGGCATGGTGATTTATTGTTTTGTAGAGCAATTGGTGAACTTCCACGATTGTTGATGCTCTCGACCGCCAATCTGGCCGGAGGCGGAGACGCACTAATGTTATTCCGTGTTCTATAAGAGCTTCGACCATGTGAGCGAGATAAGTTGCTTAACATTGCTCATCACTTTCTGGCTTTGAGTTAAGAGAAGACCTCGATCTAAGATGCTTCTTATTTTGTTAATCATCATATTGATTTCACAAAATAGATACATGACCGGCTCTTGTTGGCTGATTGCAACAAGAACATAATAAAGTAAAGCATACATGAGAATGGGGACATGACATAAATTGATCACGAGCATCGTAAATCAGACATGGGGAATAATATGTATCGAAATAAGCCGCGGTGTCCAGACTCCTTACGAAAACCACATTGATAGGGGAGAATTTAGATTGCGTCAAAAGAAACATGAAAACTCAGGGGATACATGAATCGTGCTATGTGCATCATAGAGGGTATGGGTATGTTAAAAATATGGTAAAGACCGATTTTCAGATCACATGAAATCATACTGCCCGAGGAACACGGCCTACTGCGGCGCAGGTTCTTCAGCATTGGCGCGGTTTAACCACGGAATCCAGCTCGCACGGTTCGCCTTCTTGCGGGCCGCTTCTTCTTCTTCCTTAAGCCTGGTGGTTTCGCTGACAAGGCGCAAAGGACGCAGCTTATCCTGCTGCATCACGGCTCCAGTGTAGTTGTTCATTCCACCGCTGGAACGAGGAGGGCTGGATGTGGCCCCTGTAGAGGCAGTATCTCCGTGAGGGTCGCTTGTGATACTAGGGGAGCTGCTGTGGCCGGCCCGGTCTGGCTGGCTGGACATGGATGGAGCACGGCTCATGCTGGAGATATAGCTGGCTGCTCCGGAGAACATGCTTTGGCGCGATCCAGGGCCCATAGCAGTCGGGCTGATGGGTCCACCGGAGTTGCGTCCGCGGTAGATCTGCCCAACCATATTGGCAGCGCCGGGGTCGACCTGTTCAGAGCGGCTGCGGCGGTGGCTAGCTCTAACAGACTGGGTGCGGAAGGGAATGCTTGGTGCGGTGTTGGGGTTCTCATTGGGGTTGTTCTGCGATGGGGTGGGGGGAGGCATCATGCTGGTTGGACGCGACCGGGGTTGAGTTGAAGGGCGAGCAGGTTGAACACCGACCACTGACTTGGCACGTTCCAAGAAAGACGAATGTGCATCATCCTTCTCTGGAGGGGTCGGGGGAAGGTCCTTGTCATTGCCTGACTTTCCGCCAGACTGGTCTTCATTCCGGTCCAAAACATGTTCGAACCCATCGTGCATGAGGACTCGGCTAATAATACGTTCAATGTAGAGCGTAAGGGCTTTGTTCTGGTCTTTGAGGGCCTTGATTTCTCCCTCTGGCTTGGAGGTGGAATCATTTTCAGGCGACTCATCCACTGACTCCAGCTCATCTGCCAAGGATCCCAGGCCACCAGACGATTCCTTAGATGGATGAGCATCCCGCATGAACTCACCCTTGGTGAAATCTCCGGTGAGAGTCTTCTCGCTGAGCAGGAGTTGGTAGCTTTCATTGTCTTCCATCAACCGAGCGTTAGCCATGCGGGCCTCGAGGAGGTCTTTCTCTAGCTCACGCTGGCGGCCACCGCCCGCATTCTCCATTTCAACAAGTTTGATCTGCGATTCGGCCAGTTCGAGGCGTAGTGACTCGATAACCTTATCTTTCTGCAGTAGAAGGGTAGAGTTGTTGCGGGAGGGGCTACGCTCGAGGTGCGAAGAGGGTGCGAATTGGCCATCGACGTCCGGGGAAGATCGGTTGCGGAAGCTGGCTGTATAAAAGTTAGTATCTGGTTGTTCTATACTCAGCGATCGCAAGAGTGGTAAGGTCTTACAGGATCGAGAGACTTGGTGGCGGTCACCTTCTGCGTTCATGCGCATATCCTTTTGCGCCACTGAATCCTTCAATCGTTGAATAGTTGCTTGCATCTCTTCCTCCCGGCTGGTCTGTTGCTCTTTCTCTTGCAACATGGCGTTCCGCTCGGACTCGTGGTTTTGTTCCAAGTCACGGATCTGACGACCCTGGTCACGGATTTCATTGCTAAGTGTCTCGATCCGACTATCTCGCTCATGGGCCTGGTCCTCCAACTTGCTTTGTTCACTGATTGCTTCATCAAGACGCATTTGCAAAACGCCCAGCTGTTTCTGGTATTGTTCGGAAGCCGTTTCGGCTTTTTGAAGCTGAGATCGTAGGTCCTCGATGAGGGCGGCATTCTGGGCCCGCGCCTCTTCTTCAGAGGGGTCATTGGAGACTCGTGGAACGTTCGACATGCTGAGGTTGGAGCGGCCAGGTTTTCTTGCAGCCGCGCGCGCAGAGACGGGAGTAGATCCTCTTAAAGATGGGGAACGGTTGAGTCCGTTGGTTGCGGCACTGGGCGAGCGTGCATGCCCTCGTGTGGTGGACCCGTTGGTTGAGTGCGGATCTGCGGGTGATGATTTGCTGGAATTGCCGGGAGTTCCAGGCTTGCGAGGCGTTGCTGACATGGTGCAGGGTCCCAAGTCCGTAGACTCGAAAGTATATAAAAAGAATGCCAGTTGCCTCCCAGTTTGCGCTTCAATTAGTGGTCAGGAGAAGGGGAAGAAATTCAGGGTGCAGCGCAATCGGCGGTCAAAGCCTAGTGGACACCTTGTGGAGAGCGCTTGTAAGGGCAGATTGAAGGACAGGAATGTAGTGAAAGCTGTCACAGATTGATTGCGTGCCACATGGTTGACAGAACAAGAAGATTCATTGAACACAGACGCCGGAAGAGGATTGGAATGAGAGATAGAAACGAATGCAGACCTTAAATCAAAGGTGAGGAATGCGGATCCCTTACTCTTGTATCTAAAAATACGCGTAACGGGGTCGGGGGCCGAATCAATACGAGAGTAGAACGTCTCGAAACGACTCGAAGCAACGAATGATACGTTGAGGAATTTGTATAACGTTAGATCAGAGGTCCGTGTGAATAATTCATTGTTTGACAATTTTAACAAGGACTGAATGCTGTGCTATCCCTGAAAGCCCGATACATGTCTGCTTCAAGGATGCTGATGCCTCAGGCGACAAGGCTTGGCGGTTCCAGTAAGGTTTGCGGATTAATGTATCTCCGTGTCCACATTGATCAAGATCTTCACTTTGCGACAGTTGCTTTCTCTTTAACAATCCAGGCCGGAGCGCACAATTGACCCCTATTTCGATACCGAACCGAAGTCCTCAGGAACTTCAGCGTAACGATGGCCCCCAACAAGTCCAAGAAGGGTTCCGACAATGTGAGATGCTCTGTCGCGATCTGATCATGTGCATATACTAACCGTCTATTTCAGGTCAACTCCAGGCTCGCTCTGGTTATGAAATCTGGTAAGGTCACGCTGGGCGCAAAGTCTACCATGAATACTCTGCGCTCGGGCAAGGCCAAGCTGGTCATCATTGCTGCGAACACTCCTCCTCTCCGCAAGTCTGAGCTTGAGTACTACGCCATGCTCGCCAAGACCCCTGTCCACCACTTCTCGGGCAACAACGTGAGTCATTTTCTTGAACAAAAGTCCCGCAGGATTGCTAATAGGGGTTGATTACAGATTGAGCTTGGTACCGCCTGCGGTAAGCTGTTCCGTTGCGCCACCATGGCTATCTTGGATGCTGGTGACTCAGACATCCTCACTAGCTCCGTTTAGGTGGCTCGTGAGTGGAAGAGAATGGAGTTGATATGGTTGTGACATATGCGCCGCGAGATCTTGAATGATTCTCGCCGCAAAGAGATTAGTACAAATCTACCCATGGACTCATTACATTGGCGCATGCGTAGTTCGAAGCACAGCGTAGATAGCGAGGATAACGTAGACAAATCAACGCCACGGATGACACCGCATCATCCAGATCTTATTAATTATCTCTTACGGATGAATGATGCTGATGAAACTCGCCGCAGCGTATAGATGTTCTTCCGATAGTCCATTGGCCCAAAGCGGTAAGGCGGGGTAGCCCCTGATTGGCCCGTCTGGCATAGGGTTAGGGCTTTGCCACCGGTTAGCACATTTGCTTGGAAATCAGGTAATCCCGTGACTGGCGGGCTCTTTTCTCTCTCTCTTTTCGAACCCTCGACACCACCGACAACCAACAACCAGTTCGCAGGAAGTGCATTCACCCCACCTCCAGCACTAAAAATGGCCCGTCGTCCCGCGAGATGCTACCGTTACTGCAAGAACAAGGTGCGTTTCGATTTGAAGGAGCGAGAATGATTTGTGTGGGTGATGGATGGACATCTCGGTTATGGGGAGTGAACACCAAAGAGCACCACGCTCGCCACAACAACCTCGCCATGGCTGGGATGTCGTCTGTTGCAGAGGAAAATTGCTGGGCTTTGGGCTGTCGATTTTTTGGGGGATCAACATTTTTTTGAAAGATCGGTTTGACTGACAATAAATCGACCTTTAGCCCTACCCCAAGTCCCGGTTCAACCGTGGTGTTCCCGACCCTAAGATTCGTATCTTCGATCTTGGTCGTAAGAAGGCCAACGTGGACGACTTCCCCACCTGTGTCCACCTGGTCTCCAACGAGTACGAGCAGCTGTCCTCCGAGGCTCTTGAAGCCGCCCGTATTTGCGCCAACAAGTATGTCCCCCGCCCTGGACTATCCATCCGTCTCCCATGAACGCAAACTTATAATTTTTGTCAATAGGTACCTCGTGAAGATCGCCGGTAAGGAAGGTTTCCACCTCCGTGTCCGTGTCCACCCCTTCCACGTCGTCCGTATCAACAAGATGTTGTCTTGCGCTGGTGCCGATCGTCTGCAGACCGGTATGCGTGGTGCCTACGGAAAGCCCCAGGGTCTCGTTGCCCGTGTCAACATCGGCCAGATCATTCTGTCTGTCCGTACCCGTGACGCCCACCGCCCCACCGCTCTGGAGGCTCTCCGCCGCTCCATGTACAAGTTCCCCGGCCGCCAAAAGATCATTGTCTCCAAGAACTGGGGCTTCACCCCTGTTCGCCGCGAGGACTACGTTCAGCTCCGCAACGAGGGCAAGCTCCGCCAGGACGGTGCCTACGTTCAGTTCCTCCGTGGCCACGGCCAGGTTGAGGAGAACATGAAGCGCTTCCCCGGTGCTTTCGAGACTTCCGCTTAGATGTTGATGGGTCATTTCAGAATATGAAATTCAGAACGACAAAAATACTTGAATGTGCTCTCTTTACCTGTCACACCTATTCTTGATATCAATCTCGTGCAATCGCAATGATGGAGTTCTTCCATGGGTCCTTTTTTAATTGATTGCCAGTAGAGCATTATTGCGTAAGAGTAGTCTACAAACTTCCTTTTATACGGAAACAGCACACCGCCGCGTACGTGAGTGCATTTCGACAACTAAGATAAATCTTGGATCTCGCGGGGAAGGCCTCAGAACTGTCAGATTTGACATGCCTGGAGCCTAGGCCCAATGTCCGAGCGGACTCCGGAGAGATGCATGAAAATGGGGCCATCGTCTCGGTCACGTCACTCATGTCCACTTCGCCGACTATAGACAGATGATCTCAAAGTACCTAGTTGCAATAGGTAACGTTATATCTATTTTTTTTAGCAATCTTTCTAATATGAATCTCCATATTTCCACCCTAATTACAGAGTTGACACACAGTGAGTGCCTTTCAAAAACAAGAATGGTGTTAGTGCTCTCCCAATTTTTGGCCAATATATATCTGTGCTGGTGGTCCATCTACTTGGTCATCTCAACAAGCACAACACGAAAATATTCAAAGACTATGATTTCAATAAATATTTCCACCTATTTGAAAGAGATTATCTGGATCTAAAAATATATACAGCCCATTTATTCAGATGGTTCCGTTCCACAACGTTCTTTGTGCAATTCTCCAGCAACTGACGAGAAGAAAAAATAAGTCCAAGTGCTCAACAAAGGAGTTTCAAACCCCTTAGACAAACGAAGCTGAGAGACATACCTGTGATATCATCTGGAGTACAAGCAGCCTTCAAGCAAGCACCGAGTGTATCCTTAAACGCTACACTGGGACAGGTGCAATCGGAATCGACAGAAGAGGCACAGCCAGCGACAGTAGCAGCCTCGGACATACAACGTAGCTTTAGAAAACAAGAAACCAAGTCAGTTTCTGAGTGACACATCATAGATATATCCAAGGTAAAACGGGAAGTCTTACGAGACAAGGACTGGCATCATCAATAGCATCAGTAGTCTCGGCAACAGCCCAAGAAAGGAAAGCGGCCAGAGGGAAGAAGATGGTGAGCTTCATTTTGATGGATATATTGTATATTGTTTTCACGTGGTGAAGTAAGGTACGATTGAATTGATAGATCGGAGAGATGTAGGACACGAGGGTTGGATGCAGGGATTGCAGACTTGAAGAACCCCATGGGCAATTTATCAATCGACGATCTATTTACGTAGGGATGGAAGATGTATGTACATTCTTGGGGTTATCGCTTCCCAGCTGTAAACAAAGTCGGTGTCTAGGGGATCGTCGGAATGAGATCTTATTGGAATGTGAGTTCAACCCGGTTGTTGGGATTCTGGATGTAACATCTCGGGTTGCAATGCTTGAGGTGTTTTAAACTAATGCTTCATTTGGTGCTGATTATCTTGATAAAATGGTGTATTCTACCTGCAGGTGGTAAAGCCGCAGTGGGTGACTATAAATTCAGGGAACAATCGCATGCACGAGGTAGGTATGGTATGATGGATGCTAAGAATCTGTTCACTGTGCCATGACGTAATTAGTGGTTTCTACACGAAGTCTTTGAAGCGAGTGTACCATTTCTTGCATTATTTGCGCTTTCACTTAGCCTCTCTTGTTTAACCTCATTTGGCCATTTCTGAGTGTGTCAAATAGCTAGATCATAGAAGCAGGCTCCTCATGAGCCGATAGAACATCGAAGATTTTCTCCATCATGGCAGTCTGCTCCTTGGCTTCTTTGGATTGACCTCCAAACATTCCATCAAAGTAGGAGAAGGGCTCTGTTCAGATGCCTTTTGGGATATTGTATTCCCACCCCGTGGGCTGAATCTGGATCTTCATGCGAGGATGTGGATGTGAGTTAAGAATTTAACCAGTGTCAAGAAAAAGAAGCTTGTTATGTTCATGCTCACTTACTGTACCAGAAGCTAGGTTTCACCCACTGCCTCAATCGTTTGCCCGTCAGCAAGTGCCACGTTGGTAAGTGAAGATTTGTGGAGAGATGAGATCGTAATGAGAAGCGACGGAGGAGATGAAACGAAAAGAGAATGATCTGATATTGAAGCTCACCACGGTCTCTTGAATGAAACCGATATGTGAAGATTAAAGGTGAGGGGTTTCAGCGTACGGTATGCGCGAGTTAGCCTGATAGCAGGCCCAGATAGCCTGGGACACGCGAAGTTAAAAGCGGATCTCTCAAGCAGCGAGAGAGTAGGCCGAAGATGGGCTGAATATTTGAAGAAGAAATGAAGCTTGACGCCTGCTGAGACTGAATGCATAGCACGGAGGATTAAACAAAAGCAGCCCGAGAGGATCTAGAGGATATAAGAGTTTTGGTAGGCTCTGAGAACATGCGTATGCCATTTGAGATACTTGGTGAGGAGAATGAGAGGACTCGATGAAGGTGGTCGAAGGCCGCATAATTGAAGATGTGTGCGAGTGCGAGCGAGACTGAGAGTGAGTTTCCTGAATAGCAAACAAACCGTCAAGTACGACTGATGTCTCTTACAAAATTGAAGTAGAGTATATAGCGAGTGTCTACGAAGAAATACGTAATAGACAACTTTCAATACAGCGCAATGTATTCAACTCATATTCACTAAAATCGAAGATGGAAGATGGGCTTGGCATTATATTATTCTATTTCTAAATATCAGGGACAACAAATTAGCCCTAAGTCATATTAATGATGAGAACCGCTCTACTCGCCGTATTTATAGGTACGTATGGAGTACAGATGTGAGGCACCTATGTCATCATCCCCCCCTCCCTGGCCCTGAATACGGAGAACAAATTGATTGAACATGTGGGGCAATGTGTTATTTAGCAGGTCAACACTAGTTGAGTTGCACCATCGGTAGCAAAACACCGTGTCTTCATTATGCAGATATCACTACGTGAAGTATGCATATAACCGAGTGCAATGTGTTGCCTATTGCGTGCATTGAGCCATTTTGCCCCGAAAGTAAACGAAAGGCAAAGGATAACACGTGCATTAGCTCCTCGGAGTAACTGGAAACATTCCATGCATGCATCAAAGTTAGCCTGCTTTCTCGAGCGGGGATATCCCGCGTCTGTACGTGTAAGAGGTGGCTCAGGCTTCAGCCCAGACATCTGGGCTCACCCACCGACATCATCGATCAACCAAACGTCACTTTTTCAAGAAGAGTTTATCTACCCCGCATCACGCAATGTTGTGCCTATTTTAGCCGATTTTGTATGTTTGCAACTGCTATAAGAAGGGGTTGGCGGATACCTCTTCCAAGCCCTAAATCCCTAAATCAAAGCTCTCTGATCACAATTGACACACTTCTTCACTACGATTTATTTCCTCACCATGCACGCTCCAATTCCTACGAATGATCTCTACCTGGCTCAGGCCCGGGCCAGTACCGACAGTAAGCATTGTATGGAGCTCTACGACAAATGGGCTGCCACCTACAATGCCGAGGTTGGCGATGAAGCCCAGAACTATGTTGCTCCTGTCCTCGTCGCTCAAGCTGCTATGAAGTTTTCATCAAATGGTGCTTCCAACAGTGTAATTCTTGATGCTGGCTGTGGAACCGGACTGGTGGGAGAAGCTCTTGCAATCGCCAATGCGAAGACAATTGACGGCATTGACTTGTCTCCTGCCATGCTGGAGATTGCCAGACAGACAGGTGTCTACCGTGACCTAACACAAGCTGACATGAACCGACCAATCGACAAGCCAGACGGAACATATGACATCGTGTCATGCGTTGGCACGTTCACTCAAGGACATGTTGGACCGGACCCTGCCTTGAGGGAACTTGTTCGAGTTACCAAGACCAATGGTATTGTCATTGCAACAATTCTTGATGAGATCTGGGTATCTGGAGGGTTCAAGGCGGAGGTCGAGAAGCTGAAAGAAGAAGGTCTGGTGAATGTGGTCACCGATGAGCTCATAGACTATGTAAAGGGACACGGCGACAAAGCAGTGCTGGCTATCCTAGAAAAGAACCCTCGCGCCTGAAAAACACAAAAGCCCCTGCGACATGATCAACCCAAATGCAACTCGAACGAACGGACAGGCTTTCAACATCCTCCCATGCGACACAAACAGGTTTTCAACACCTTCCAATGCGACAAAGAGATACCTTTACAACGCACTTCCCGGTTGCTTGCCCCCGGTTATAATCCCTAGAAAATTTCTAAAAACAAATGAAATTCTATCAAGGTACCCGGACCTTTAGCTGGCTGATGCCCGCTTTATACTTGCTGTCGAAAGGGATAGCCATTCTCTCATTGTGTCAAGGTGGGTGCTATACGTAAATTAAGAGGGAATTTCGAAGATAGCCTTGAACAGTAGATATGGCATTGATCTGGTATTTAGAATATTAGAAGCAGAGATAGGCAAAAATGCAATAGCAACTTCAAGTAGTAATCGTTTCAGCTATACTCGTATGGAATGCTGGAGAAATGTCTCTGGATGGGAGAAATGAATATCAAAATATACAAACCATCTCTAGGGATATAAAAAGGACTATCAGAATGTGAAAAATGACTGCGAAAGATGCCAAAGATAGAAAGAAAAAGAAAATTCCATACTTTGTAGATCAGCATGGAAGGGCACCGACGCTAACACGCTTTCCGACTCCGACTGTTCCTGCCCCGCATACGTCACCTCGAAAATTCCTCCTTCAACAACCACACTCATTATGAAGCAGAGATTCTCGTCTCTGGACGTGAAGGTAGGCTTGATTGCCTCATTACAGAGATACATTACTGACAGCACCAGGTCATCACGCAGGAATTGGCCTCAGAGCTGGTCCACCTCCGTGTGTCCAACATCTACGACCTGTCCTCAGTACGCCCAACCCTTTCCTCCAAGACGGACAGGACTAATTGATTCAGCGCATCTTTTTATTCAAACTCGCCAAACCGGACCATCGCCGCCAGCTCATCGTCGACTCCGGTTTCCGCACTCATGTAACCCAATACTCGCGCACAGCTGCCACAACGCCCTCTCCCTTCGTTACGCGCTTCAGAAAATACCTGAAGTCGCGTCGGATTACCAGCATCACTCAAATCGGAACTGACCGCATTATCGACTTCTGCTTCAGTGATGGCGCATACCACATGTTCCTCGAATTCTTCGCCGGTGGCAACATCATCTTGACGGATCGCGACCACAACATTATTGGATTGTTCCGACAGGTCCCCGCTGGCGAAGGTCAGGAGGAGATCAAGGTTGGACTCAAATATACCGTGTCCAACAAGCAAAACTATGATGGGGTTCCGGATGTCACAACGAATCGCATTAGACAGACACTGGAGAAGGCACAGGAGCTCTTTTCCCAGGAGGGTTTCGCGCCCAAGAAATCCAAGAAGAAGGGTACAGAAGCTTTGCGAAAAGCATTGTCGCAAGGATTCCCCGAATATCCTCCCTTGCTAATGGACCATGTCTTTGCCGTGAAGGAATTCGACACTGCCACGCCGCTGGACCAGGTCTTGGGAAACCCGGATATTTTACAGAAAGTGAAAGAGGTGTTGGAAGAGGCGCAACGAATTTCCAAGAGCTTCGACTCTGGCGACAGCCACCCTGGCTACATTGTCGCCAAGGAGGATTCCCGACCTGCCCCCGAAGGAGAAGAGTCAAAGCTTAGCCTGCTGTACGAAGACTTCCACCCATTCAAGCCTCGCCAATTCGAAAATAAGCCGGGGATCAAGATCCTGGAGTTTGAACGCTTCAATGCTACTGTGGATGAGTATTTCTCGTCTCTGGAATCGCAGCGTCTCGAGTCGCGACTGACCGAACGCGAGGCGGCCGCCAAGAAGAAGCTGGAATCTGTACGACAAGAACACATGAAGCGCATTGACGCATTGAAAGATGCGCAAGAGCTTCATATTCGCAAGGCCGATGCTATTCAGGACAATGTTTACCGAGTTCAAGAAGCAATGGATGCTGTCAATGGATTGGTAGCCCAAGGAATGGACTGGGGAGAAATTGCGCGCCTCATTGAGATGGAGCAGGAACGCGGCAACCCAGTAGCGCAAATAATCAAGCTGCCTCTCAAGCTGTATGAGAACACAGTCACTCTTCTTCTTGGTGAGGCTGGTGACGACGAGGATGAAGACGAAGATGTTTCTAGCAGTGATGAATCAGAATCAGACCCAGAGGATGAAGAAAAGCAGGAGGCCGGCCGTGCTGAAAGAGAGTCTAAGGCATTGACTATCGACATTGACCTTGGTCTCAGCCCTTGGGCCAATGCCTCGCAATACTATGACCAAAAGAAGCAGGCTTCGGAGAAGGCAGAGAGAACTGCCCAATCTTCCACCAAGGCGCTGAAGAGTCACGAGAAAAAGGTCACAACTGATCTCAAGAAGAATTTGAAGCAGGAGAAAGAAGTCCTGCGCCAGACCCGGACGCCATTCTGGTTTGAGAAATTCATCTTTTTCATCTCCTCGGAAGGTTATCTGGTTATTGGGTATGTGAATCCTTCGACTTTGAGTTGTAACATATACTAATACTTTTTAGTGCTCGTGATGCCATGCAAAGCGAACTCCTCTACCGCCGATACCTGAATAAGGGCGATATATTTGTCCACGCTGACCTGGAAGGTGCCACGCCAATGGTGGTCAAGAACCGGGCCGGTAGTGCCGATGCACCAATTTCACCATCTACTCTCTCTCAAGCCGGAAACCTTTGTGTTGCGACTTCATCTGCGTGGGATTCTAAGGCCGTAATGTCCGCCTGGTGGGCACATGCTCATCAGGTGTCGAAGATTGCGGATAATGGAAGTGGTATTCTACCCACTGGATCTTTCCAGATCAAGGGAGAGAAGAATTTCTTAGCTCCATCGCAACTTGTTCTTGGATTTGGTATCATGTTCCAAATCAGCAAGGAGAGCAGCGTAAAGAACCACAAGCAACGCTTTGACGCGTTCGAGATCCCACAGATTGATGCTACACCCGCAGGTCCAGCTGCTGCTTCAGAATCGAAGGAAACTTTCACTGTGACGCAAGAGGTGCCGGAGAAGACAGAGTCTACTCCGGAGCGTACTTTAGACACAGAGAAGGAAGCCGAAGCGTCAGAAGATGAGGAAGACGAAGACAACAAAGCAGCAACTCGTAACCCCCTTCAACGGGGTGACTCGGAGCTTCCAGCTACCAAGCCATCCCAAGAAGAAGAAGCCGAATCTGAGTCCGACTCCGACTCCGACTCCGAGCCAGAGGCAGAACCCACCGAAGAGGTCGCAGAACCAGCTTCAGAGGTTGAAGAAGATGCCGCATCAGCTACCCAAACCACGCCACAGGAACCTGAAGAGCCGAAGCTCACGGCCAAAGAGCGACGTACTTTGCGACAGGGCAAGCCTCTTGAGCGCGACCAGGAACCAGTTGCGCCACGTATCGCCCCCACTCGGGGCAAGCGGGCGAAGGATAAGCGCGCAGCTGCTAAGTATGCCCACCAAGATGAAGAGGAGCGAGAACTAGCTCTTCGCTTGGTAGGTGCAAACAAGGGCAAAGCTGCGAAGGCCGCCAAGGCAGCTGAAGCCAAGGAGCAACGCGAACGGGACGCCGAGGCGCAAAGGCAACGCCGTCGGGCCCAGCACGAGCGCGCCGCCGAAGCTGAGCGCAAACGCCAAGCTGCCTTTACTGAAACTGGAACGGATGATTACAACGAGGAGACTGCAGCAGCAGAGGCAGCAGATCTCGCTTGGATTCCGGCTTTGATTGGCACACCGACTACGGATGACGAGATCCTTGCTGCTGTTCCTGTCTGTGCTCCTTGGGGTGCCCTTGGGCGCTACAAGTACAAGGTCAAGCTGCAGCCAGGTGCCGTGAAGAAGGGCAAGGCTGTCAAGGAGATCATCGGTCGGTGGGTACACGAGACAACAACTGGCAAGGTCAAGAAGGAACATGCCGAGGATGCTGGAATCCCCCGTGTTGATGCGGAGCGTCTCCGCGCACAGGAGGGGGACCTTATCAAAGGCTGGAAGGAGTCCGAGATTATCAACACCATGCCTGTTGGTAAGGTGCGAATCATGACTCCGGGTGCTGGAGGAGGTGGCGGCGGCGGTGATAAGGGTAAAGGTGGAAAGGGTGGAGGAGGTCCCAAAGGAAAGGGAAAGAAGAAATGAGTCAATGTATTGAATCTATAGAGTACATAGATTAGAGCCTCAATCCATGAGGTAGGGCTATCGATTTACAGCCGATCTATATCAATCCTGGTTAAATGCCGTGATCAGCCACAACCCCGCCCTAACGATTTGTGGATGAATTTCTGACTACATGCATTTCTAAATTAGACGTTTGTCTACATGAAAATACTAACAGTTTGCTCCTTACAAGACTGTGTTGCGCTCGCCCATCGTGCCCAACATGATGAGTCATCCGACGTCATGGAATCGAATTTCTCCGTTTGGCCTCTTATCGTCCTTCTGACGGCATCGTGCAGGATGTTGAACCGTATGGTTTAGAGGCGATCTCTACCAGACTCCACGTCTCAGAAATCGTATCTTTGCGATTGGAACTCGGCCCCCTCCTCATTTGGCCCCTCGAATTGCTTGGATTAGTGCGTCATTGACCAAGCCCTCTTCAAATTGCTGTTCACTCGCACTTTCGCCGGCCGCGCTCATCGCAGTTGTGCCAGATTCATAACCATGTCTTCCACGCAGACGCGAGTTCTCCCTGTTCAACGGCTGAGCCAAGGGCCCGGCGATTTGTCCCTTGCTGAATGGTGGGAAAAGGAGCGCAGCCAACAGACACCAGAGTCCAAGGCTATTGAAGAAGCCGCTGAACTCCTCCGGTCGAGTGACCTCCCCGTTGCCTTCCCTACTGAGACAGTGTATGGCCTGGGAGCCGATGCTACACGCAGCGTATCCGTCCAGGGCATCTACCGTGCGAAGCAGCGGCCATCTGACAACCCACTGATCATTCATGTTGACTCATTGGAGATGCTCGATCGTCTCCTCAACCCCACCGTCAAACACAACCCGGGATCACCTCAGACGCCGCGCATCGCCATCCCGCCGATCTACAAGCCTCTGCTCGACCGGTTCTGGCCAGGCGCCCTGACTATCATTCTACACAACCCATCTGGCTCTGAGTTGGCGCCCGAGGTCACCTCCAAATTGACCACATTCGGCGTTCGCATGCCCTCTTCGCCCCTGGCGCGTCTCCTCATCCATGCCACAGACCGCCCCCTCGCTGCGCCCTCCGCCAACGCCTCTACCAAGCCCTCCCCAACCACCGCACAGCATGTTTACCACGATCTGCAAGGCCGCATCGACCTCATTTTAGACGGTGGAGCCTCCGGCGTGGGTGTCGAGAGCACCGTGGTCGACGGGCTAACCAGTCCACCAGCGATCCTGCGCCCAGGCGGCATTGGCATCGACGAGATCCGACAATGTGAAGGATGGGAAAATGTAGAGGTCGCATACAGCGACGGAACACTAGAAATGAAGGATATCCCACGTGCCCCGGGTATGAAGTACCGACACTATTCGCCAAAGGCACGAGTCGTCCTGTTCGAGCCTACATCCACCATGAAAGGAGTAGTGAAGCACGTTCAAAAGGACTTGCAAGATACTGCCATTGGCGCACACAACATCGGTATCATTCGTACCCGAAACTGGAAGCTCGGTCTGGATCTTACTTCCGAGGATGACGCGAAGGTCGTTGACGCTCCCATTGATAACCTCGTCAGCTTCCCGGTGCCAGTGCAGGAGACTGGTAATCCTAGCACCTGTACGAAGATGGCATACGACTACCACCTCGGCTCGGACGCAACTGCCATCGCGCATGGTCTGTTCTCGGCCCTACGTGCACTCGACGATCTTGATGTGGATGTGATCTACGTGGAGGGGGTATCAGATGACGAGGGCCACTTGTCTGCGGCTGTCATGAACCGACTCCGCAAGGCTGCTGGTGCCGAATTGCGGGTTTAAATGATTTATGATTCTGCCAAGTGCGGCGTGCATAGATCTTCAATTTTGCTGTCAATATTAGAATTTTTTGTGCAGAAGTACATGTACGGGGCAATGGAACATCTCTTGGACTTACCACGTTCAGTTCTGCAGTGCCTTTCTACTCCGTTTTAGGCTTTTTCGATCCTGATCTCGGGGACCTCCGATCCACGGACGAGGAAGGCTTATCCACCCGCTCTTCACGATAATCGGAAAAGGAGTCATAAAACGTCTCGGAGCATGATATGACTTGAGTCACCGGTGAGAAGAAGGCTTTTATATATCTTGGCACTGTCCGTAAGATCTATATATTAAAAAAAAAAAGAAGAAAGAAAAATTCAATCTCAAAAACCACTTGCACATAACAACCAACCCGCCATGTGCCAATCCCCGCTCCACGAGTTCATCAAGGGTCTGCCAAAATGCGAGCACCACGTCCACCTTGAGGGCTGCCTAACCCCAGAACTAATCTTTGAACTGGCGGCACGAAATGGCATCTCCCTCCCAACAGACCCAGTCTACACTTCAATCTCAACCCTAAGCAAACGCTATGAACACTTCACCTCACTGGACGACTTCCTGCACTTCTACTTCGAAGGCATGGCAGTCCTCCGCAATGAGCAAGACTTCGCCGATTTAGCCTGGTCCTACTTCCAAAAGGCGCATTCAGACGGCGTCCACCACGCAGAAGTCTTCTTCGACCCGCAAGTCCACAAAGACCGCAGCATCCCCTACGAAACCATCGTGGGCGGATTCTCCAAGGGCTGTCAGCGCGCTGAGAAAGAACTCGGTCTGTCAACCCGTCTGATTCTCTGCTTCGTGCGCCATCTCCCCGTCGACTCGGCCAGGGGTGTTTACAACGAATTGGTTGCCTCTAAGCACTTCGAGGCTGATGTTGTTCACGGCCTTGGATGGTCTTCTTCCGAAGTTGGACCTCCGAAGGACATGTTCCGGGATATCTACGCCGACGCAAAGGAATCGGGTATCCCGCTTACAGCGCATGCCGGCGAAGAAGGTGATCCCACTTATATCAGCACAGCGCTTGAGCTTGGTGCGACCCGCATTGATCATGGCATTCGGCTTGTCGAGGATGAAGAGTTGATGAAGCGGATTGCGCGTCAGGGCACTTTGCTTACTGTTTGTCCTCTGTCGAATGTGCGTCTGCGCTGTGTTCAGTCTGTAAAGGAGGTTCCTATTCGGAAGTTCCTTGAGGCTGGTGTGAAGTTCTCCATCAACAGTGATGACCCTGCTTACTTTGGTGGTTATATTTTGGATAATTATTATGCTGTGCAGGAGGCGTTTGAGCTGAATGTTTTGGAGTGGAGGATTATTGCTGAGAATAGTGTTCAGGAGAGTTGGATTCCTGATGAGAGGAAGGCTGTTTTATTGGAGAAGATTGAGAAGCATGTGAAGGAGTATATGCATACTCTTTCTGCTTAGGTTGTGGTTGGAGGTATATGGTTGGTGTATAGTATGATTGGACTAGGTGGGCGTGCATCTGATACCCTGTGTTTCAACCCTTTTGTATACCGTTTTCAACTGGAGTATATATCAGCAGCTAAATGAGTGAATATAGAATATATGAATGAATACATGAATGGATGTTGATTGAAAGTATTGACGAAGTCCTGACGAAGTACCTTGATAGCTGATATTCTCCCTGAGAAATCAGGCACTAACTCACATCTACTCCTCACTTGGCGACCATACTTGCTGATACCCAGCTGCAGCTCTCCTGCACCACCGCAATTGATGCACCGAGTAACAACCAGCAGTTGCTGTAGCCTGCTGAGGTCTACATTCCAGTCACAGACGCGCCCCCAGACACTACGTCAACTCCACTCAGTATCATCTATCGCATTGATCCCACGAGCCCTTCAACACCAAGCAGGACAACCCTACACCTGTCAAAGAAGCCAAGCATATCAGAACTCTCCCTTCAACCACAGAATGGCGACCTCCACCACCTTAGACCGCTACAAACTGGTCTTTTTTGTCCCGCCCTCTGACCTGGAGCCCTGCAAGGATGCCATCTTTGCGGAAGGCGGAGGATCATTCCCTGGAGGCAAATACACCAAATGTTGTTTCCAAACCACTGGCATGGGCCAGTTCCTACCCAATGAAGGTGCAGACCCAGCGGTCGGGGCGGTCGGTGTTGTGGAACACTGCGAGGAGGTCAAGGTTGAGATTATGTGCCTGGGCCGAGATATTATGCTGAAGGCAGTTGATGCTTTGGTCTCGGCACATCCGTATGAGGAGGTTGCTTATGAGGTTTATCGCATGGAGAATGTGTAGTTTGATGGTGGTACATAGATGTATCGGGGACGGTGTTTGGTGGATGACTGGTCAATAGCGAGTGATGTGATTATTAATTGGCCTGTGCATATTTAGTGATCACAATTCATATCATGTTCGCACCAATTGCATGAATGTCAAATATTGCAGAGTTGCTGGAGAAGTCGAGTTGTTCAATGTTGGATTGGTAAAGCGGGAGTAATCCTCCCACGCTGATTGGCCAGGGTCCGCCCGCAAAACACCTCGTCAACTTGAACTTCATTCTCTCCAACCTCCAATCTCATCGTTCTGCAATTGACCCTCGCATATCCACAGCGATGGCCTCCAAACTCTTCTCAGTCCCGCGGGTCGGCCGCCAGCTGATTCACCAGCTCTCCAAGCCCCAATACAGAGCCTTCTCCGCCGGCTCGCAACGGTTGAGCGACACCCTCGCGGTGGTGCGTATCCGAGCCCCTCCTGGTTTCGCAATTGCGCCTCGAATTGAAGAGAAAATGTTCCATGTACTGATTGTGCCCTTGTCCAACAGCACCGCAACAAGCCTCACAACAACCCGACCCTCCCGTTCAAGTTTTCCGACCAGAACCTCCAACTCGCCGATGAGATCCTCAAGCGTTACCCTCCCCAGTACAAGAAGGCCGCCGTCATGCCCCTGCTCGACCTTGGCCAGCGTCAGCACGGTTTCACCAGCATTAGCGTTATGAACGAGGTCGCTCGCATGCTCGAGATGCCCCCAATGCGTGTTTACGAGGTTGCGACCTTCTACACCATGTACAACCGCGAGCCCGTCGGCAAGTACTTCGTGCAGATCTGCACAACGGTAAGCAACATAGACAAAAATGGGTTCAGACAGCGTCTAATTTCCCCAGACCCCATGCCAGCTTGGTGGCTGCGGTAGCGACTCCATCGTCAAGGCCATCAACGAGCACCTCGGAATCACCCCTGGCCACACCACCGAGGACGGCCTCTTCACATACATCGAGGTCGAGTGTCTCGGCGCCTGTGTCAATGCCCCCATGGTCCAGATCAACGACGACTACTACGAGGATCTGACCCCCGAGTCTATCAAGACCATCCTGACCGCACTTAAGGACTCCGCCGCCGCCACCGGTGCCGGCACCAAGATTCCCGCCCCCGGTCCGCTGAGCGGGCGCGATACCTGCGAGAACAGCGCCGGTCTGACCAACCTGACCGACGTGCCTGTGTGGAATCCGGAGACGATGATGCGGAAGGACAACGCATTGGACGCGCAATAAGAGAATCGGAAAAGGGAGAGAAAAGAATGTATACCCTCTTCACATTGCCGTGGGTCAATGCCGGATGGGAGGATATTATAATGGTTGTTTTTTTTTGGAATTGGACGAGCAAAAGCCGCGCCTGGGTACCGTGGTCAACCGTGGACAATAGAGGCTCCTGCGCCCCCCTGGCGCCCTGAATGATAACCACTCTGAGGCGTCCTTTCTACTTGTTTTTTTTTGTCTGTCTACCTTGTACAGTACGTTTGTTTCTGGTCTTGGTGTGATCGGAGCCTGGATACAGATCTGGCCCTGTCGCTGTGGGATATCGAACCAATCGCATTTTCCTAAGCTTCTCATTTTATTTTTCATCGTACTGGACTGAGTAGTTTCGCGGACGTATGTTCTTGGCATGCTTTATTACAAGACCTGTCCACCACAGCTACTCATGTTTGGATCAGCGTCGTCAACCCCGATTGAGATATGTTGGTCATTAATCTCCTTTCCTGTTTTGACATTTTAGTATCCCTCAATTCTGTCCGATATGCAACTGAGCTAAGCTCGAGGATATGGTCAATGAAAGAATCGAGAACTCTAGGTCTTTTTGCAGTCAGTTGGGGTTCGAGTGAACTGGGCTGGAGTGGAACAAGTGCTTGAGTCCTGTAACCTCTAGGACTATGTTACTAAATAGGAGTAAGGCTTCTACAAGAGATCCCCTTATATCTATTGTTTTGGACTTTGCCTGCTCGCCTCTCATGTTTATGCCAACTTCCAAGCTTTTCAGTCAGAATATTTGTATACTTTATTCTCCTCCCTTGTTTGATATTGCTCATGGCTTTTTATCCCACCACGAACATTTCGATACATCCTCGGAATTTTCGTCATCAAATTGACGAGTGCACAGAATGATTGGACACGTGCGACGTGAGTATGGCACGTATCTGCTTCACAGAAATTCGGACAGGCAAAGAAATACGTAAGGAAGAATGCCACAAATGAAATGACGAGCCTACTAAGTACTGCGTTAGCTGTGTCCAGTATAGCTTTGTGTAGTGGTATCACTATATATAGGCTTATTGGTGTAGAGACCGAGCATTTCTAGCACGCGTTCGGGGCTGCCTGCCAAAGTTAGGGTCCTTAGTTGGAGCCAGTACATTGGAGGAAGAGGGCTTTCTTGTCCATAGTGATGAGCACACTGAATCTAGGGTGTTTTGTAGGGGCAAAAGAACAAATGAATGCAAGAACGAGAGACAGCAGGTCTCCACTCTGTATAGTCCGCTCCAAAACTAAGCCTGGCCGGTGTGTATCTCTTTTTCATTACTGGCTAGTCTATTTAAAGCCGATTCTAGAGTCTAGAAAGGTTGAATCGGGAACATTCTATGGAAATTTACACCAGAATATATGAGCTCCTTCACCCGGTTCAATATCGAGATATTGTCATATCAGTGCTCTCGTTCTTCTTGAAACCCTGTCATGCAAGTATATCAAGTTGGGAAATACTACTCTTACTTTGGCCTCTTTGGGTCATTATCTATACCTTTCTCTATTTCGCAAGTGAATATGATCTATGCGCAATTCCGCTTAGAGAGTAGACACCTTCCTCTACACTTTCTACTTAGTTGAACGCCTACGAAAGTTTACAAAGGAAATGAAATGGCAGATGAAAATCTCAATCGTATTCGCCGAGCACCCTCTCCAGGCCGGGTGCCGCCTGGAGAGAGTGCTCACACAACTTCCCCGTTCTCATCTTCCACCCGCTTCCCCGAGCACTTCACATCATCCGGGAGGAGGGCCGCCTCCTCCACGAGGCAGGTCACCCCATCCCGTTCGACCAGCGTCCCATTGCCATTGGAGGCATTGCGCCGGGCGAAGATGTTCACCTCCACCGTCTCTCTCACCACGAGGTGGTAGACTTGTACGGTACGCTTCTGCCCGTACCGCTGGGCCCTGCCGATAGCTTGGGTCATTCCGGCTGCGTATTCGGGCTGTGAAGCCACGAACAGAGGCGACAGGAAGACCACGTGGTTGGCGCACTGGAGGTTTCTGGGCGCAGAGTAAGATCAAAGTTAGCTCAATTCTCTCAAGTAAGTAAGTAAAATGGGAATGGGGATAAGAAGTAGACTTACAGTCCAGCTGCCATTGCGCTGCCCAGATTCAAAATCAGGGCCTTTGGCCGGGGGAACTGTGCTTTGCCCTTCTTGGCCTTCGGGCCCTCGATGAACTCGTCAATGAACTTCATATCCTTGTTGGTGATGATAGTTCGGTGCTCTATGTCGGCGCTTTTGAGGGCATTCGACGCGATTGGCATCAGGTGGCCAATCTGCACGAAGATCAGAACCAGTTCTTCCTCCGGGATGCTGCGGAAAATTTTGACAAGCTTCCTGAGCTTGGAACTATCGCTTGAACGATCTTCCTCCAGGACCGAGGGGCCAGCGATGACCTTGGACACTGCTGTCACTTTGCCGTCGCATTCCAGGCAGACACACCTTTTGTCCTCGAGGGAAGCTTGGGTACAACTCTTGCAGAGGGCGTGTCCACAGATTCGGAGAATGCCGACTTTGGCAATGTCCTGCTGGTTCTCAGCGCAGCCATTGCAGGTTGGAATGGTGGAGGCGTGGATGGCAAGCAATGCATTGTAGAAGCGGATTTCGCGGTCGGATTCAATGGCCGACTTCAACGAATTTATGATGTCGTTGATCAAGGTCTTGCTCATGGCGAGGGATGCTTGTTTGTGATCCTCGCCAGAGGCTCCTGTAGACGTCTTGACCTTCTTACGAGATGGTTCTTGTGATTCATCGTCGGCGGTGGTTTCTGCTTCTGCTTCTGCGGATTGTCGGTGTCTGGTGCCCTTCGCAACCGTTGCACTAAGAGCCTTTTCGAATCTGTCGTTGACCTTGGTGATTATGTTCTGGTGTTCCATGAGCACAATCCATTCTTGGTACGACTGTTGGTAATTGAACAAGAGCTCGTAAAATTTGTTGCTGACTTGCGCATCTCCAATTTTTGACTTGGAGATGAATTGCGTCAGTACCTGGAAGTTGAATGGGTTGTCGTGGTTGTTGTATCCCACTACAATCACCTGTCGGCATAGGTTGTCGAGCTTCGTCCAGTTGGCCGCAGATTTGGCTACGCTGGTTTCCAACGTCGTGCGACATTTCTCAATGCCCCACTGAGGCTTGCCAATCCTGGTCGTTGTGCAGCACATGATGAGAGCTTCTGGAAGAGACTGGCTCTTTATGAGATGGTTGTTCAGGGGACCGTCGATGCGCTTGCGGTTTTCCGTAACCGCATCATACAAGATGTCGTACGCATGTTTCTCTTCTGGTGTTTGGTCAACGAGAACAATGTTAGTCACGAGTGGGATATCATCGACCTGTGCGATGTTCTGACGTGCGAATTGGTCAAGGAATCTTTGAGCATGCTGTTCACGGTTTCTGTACCATGCGTTACTCCGAGGAGCTCGGTACCTCTGGAAAGCTTCAGCAGCAGTATGATTCTTGCGGATCATTCGCAGCCTCTTGTTCTGAGATATTCTGTCACTATCGCCATCGTCATCAATACCAAGTTCAAGGCCTAGATAGCGAGCAATACTCTTGATGTCGGCAAATTCACTGAGTTCGGGTGTTCCTGAAAGAACCCATTTAGATCGAGCCTGCACTGACAGCAGGGACACCTGTCGTTCCTCCTCAGCGTATGTGTACTCGTCGATAATCAAACGATTCCAGTCGAAGGTGTGGATGAAAGCAGCAACAGTGCGCCAACCCTGCCCGGCACGAATGCCGAACGCTGTTGCATCATCTGGTAACACCTTCGATCGGGCTGAATGTTTGACATCTGAGACTGCTGGGTCAGTAGACTGTGTCTTTTTTCGCTTTCCTCCTAGGAATTTCATTTTCTGTGTGCTGGGTCTTCGCTTGCGCTGGCTTGCGTTCGCATCACGATCGTTGTCGTCGGAATCAGATTGATCAGAGTCTTCGTATCCAGAATCAGCCGGGTTCAAACCTTTGCCAGGACCCAAAGATTCTTCAGTCCCAGTCGTCTGTGCTGTAGCTGCTGTATTGGACTCGTCCTTGGCTGCCTTTTGCTGAGCAGCTGCAAATGATTTGCCTTTGAGGCGTTTGGAAGGCACATATGTGCAATCGGCCTTTTCTGCTTGAACTTTGCGACGTTTTGCTTCAATTGCTTTCAGCAATGCGTCAGGGCCTTCGGATCTCAAAGTACCAACAAGCTCCCGAAGGGAAGCACGGGCGTCGTGGAACCAGCTGTCGAAATTACGACCTGTTCCCCTGCCCGATCTTGTGGGGGCTTGCGGTGTTCCGGTAAATCTTTGAAGTCTGGTGTAGTAGCTGTCGTTTGCCAGGATACTCCATGACAGAATAACGATATCAGCATCTTGGATGTCTCGAATGGTAGTCTTCGTGATCGACTCCAGTGCAAGGACCTTGTATTTCTCTCCAAGGAATTTCTTGGTTTCCGTATGCCATTGCTTGAACACGTTGTTTGGCACAATGATGAGTGTTGCCTTTGTGGGGATCAACTTCTCGCTTTCATCCGAAATTCGACTGCAGTCTTGTTTGTACTGTGCATCAATCAACCCAAGAACAATTGCCGTCTTTCCATATCCAACCTCGTCAGCCAGCACGCCGCCGCGAATAATCTTGGGGACTGTCGCTTTGACTTCGGCACGCCAGGGCATCAAAGGGAGGATGGATTCTTCGACTTCTTCCTCCATGAAGGGTACAATATCATCTGCCTCTTGGGAAATCATCCAGCTGAGCGATTTAAGTTGCTCGTTGCGTAGAGAAAACAGGAAGTTGGGAGGCTGTGATGAAGGAGTGTCGTTTGAATTGTCCAACAGTGTGAACTTGCGATCAGTGTCTTGTTGGCTCAGCTCAGACTTCTGCATATCGTATGCATGGGGAAGAAGTCGCCAGTGAGAGGCGATGTTCTCACGGGATTTGAAGCCAACCAATTTTCCATGTACCTGGTGCATCAGAACTTGAACGTTGAGAGCGAAGCACAATTCTCCATCTCCTTGCTCATTGACTCTTCTGAATACCGTAAAGGGCGAGGGTCGAGACTTGATAGCACGTTCATAGATAGCAGCATCCTGAGGGCTCTCATAGGGCATGATACGCTCCTGGCTGTCCCGTCCCCAGATGATACTGGGTTGATGTGGATTGCAGACGTCGCAGTTCGCAGTCACTTCATGGACATTTCCCAGACTTTCGGAATAGCCTATTTTGTTCCATTCTTTGAAATTGGACCATCCAGCGATCTTTTGGAATAGCCAAGCAAGTTCTTTCAGTTCTCTCATTGATACCACAGGATCCCATGCTTGCCACTCGGGCTTTGCGTCGGGCAAGTTCTGAATCATTGTTGGGACGGACAATGAAGCGAGGGGGATGTAAGCATCGTGACATTTCACGTTTGTGATCAAGATCTGAGTTCCTTGCGGTAAGGCGTAGTGAGTTATCTCTTCATGATGGATATTCAACTTCACGTCGGAAGCCTTCAGCCAATGTCGACAATAGGCAGTGACTTTTCTCGGACCTTGTGGTGTATTCATTGCTCTCCAAGTTGGCGACAACTCGGCGATGGACATTCTTTGTTCATATCCAGGAAGACGGCTGTGACCAAGAGAGAATACACAGGCATCGTCTTTGGGGAGGGTGAGCTTTTGCGTGTCAAGAAAGAGGTAGATAGCAGGCTGCATATCAGTGCCTTTCCTTCGGTACATTGCTCCGAGTGATGTGCCACAGTGAGGAAGAGCCTCATAAAATCCTCGGATGTTGTGGTCAAGGTTTGCGAGATCGGCATCTGATGCATCAACGTAAAGATGAGTCCAAACTTGACTGTTGACGAAATTGGCGCCTTTGAGACCACATTCTGCTTCGAAAGATTTGACTTGTTGCTCTGTTCCAGTGATGTTGACAGTGAAAGCTGTGCTCACAGGGGAACACATTTCCCAGACACCTTCTATAAACGACCCATTGTTTGGTCTCATGCGTGCGATTGGCTTTGCTAACACTTCTCGAATGTAGCTTCTAGTGCTCGCGGACTGGGGTGGTTTTCCGTACAAAAGCCACTGGATTGAGTCCGGTCCAATCTCAAGGTACAAGCTGGAGTGCGGTCCTTGATAGATGACTCGCCAAGACCTTCCGCGCTTGACTTCGAAAAATTGGAAAACATCGGTGCAAAGTGATTTGACGGTGTGCATGAAGCCGTCCCAGAATTTTGAGAGGTCCTTCAGAAGGTAAAAAGATTTGTATGCTTCGAAATTTAGTTCAGAAAATCCCGAAAGCGTAAGCTTCATGGGAACAAGTTCTTTGATAGTTGCGATAAACTCTGACGGTTCAAGTCGACAGTGGGATTTACGTAGATATGAGTGCGTGGGATTTCCATGGCAGGAAATGCAAGCGGAGTGTCCACAAAGGGTACAGGTGAAAATTGGATCCTTGACGCCGGTCTGCCTCTCGCATGAGCAACACATGACAGTGCTTGCTGACAATGCTTTGAGATCATGGTGGTTGACAGGGCGAGTCGAGGTGTCTCCAAGGCTGCTCCTTACAAGTCTATATTCATTGCTGATAAGAAGCGGATTATCCTCGGGGACAGTGGACTCTGTCGATCCATTGTCGATGTCAAGGATTTTGTACGCGGCGATCAGGCCCGCGAGTATCACTGCACAGACGACGGTGCTCGTCATTGCATTTCCAGCCATATCCATCAAATCGGCTTGGGATTCTGTCGTTAACAGCATTCTGTTGAGGGGCAGCCCTTGCAGTGAAAGAGCCTCTGTACCAGACACAGGTCCTCCGCGGGTGGTCAAGAATGGTATGCCTTTGGGGGTCAGACAACCAGCGATTCCAGACGCAGCAAGAATGTCATGCCCTCGATCGACACCTTGAGACAGGTCAATCCAACGCCTGTAGGATATGAGAATTAGTAAACTGTTCATCAAATGAAAGGTAGGGAACGGCAAGGACTTACTCCTTAAAGTTCATGTCGTAACCACTAACAATCTTCTTCAGGAAATTCATATCCACAGTTTCCCACACTCTCTCGGGCTGCGTCTTGATGAAACGATGCCAGAAGAAATCGGGTGCCTTGAGCAAATTGACTCCGGGTTGGGATCGAGTAATCGGGCGCTCATTGCCTAGTTCCAGCTCGTCACGATGGCGCTGATGACGAGACTGGTAGTTCTGCCAGCCGGTTTCGCTTCGAGACTCTAGACACGCCTTCTTCTCGATAGTCTCCAGTCGACGGTCGTCGTCAGACAGCAAAAACATTCCGACAGGCGCACTTGCTTGCCTCTTGAAGAAGCGAACAAGATCACGAACGTGCTGGTCGACTTTTTGAAGATCGACCTGGCATTTGAGGTCTGCAAGCACGCCCGCTGCTTCCAAACGGCGCTTGTCAATGACCACCAAGTACCCACGTTCACGTGTCTGCGGGATGTAGTAGTGCTTTGTGTCGACTTTTAGATCGACGGACATGTAGTCGAGACCCTCCCAAGTATCCTTCATCTGTGCCCATGGGGCAGTCCGAACATTCTCCTGGATGATCAAACGGGGTCGATATTTCTCCGCATACCGCAATAGGCCATCAAACGTGGCCCCAGACTCGCCGTCTTGCTGCAGAGTCTTCTTGCAGTTGTTCAGCGGGGAAAAGTCGACACAGGCAGTTCCTGCAACTAGTACGTCGAGATTACCGGGGATCAATTCCGGCGACCCATACGCCGTTTGTCTGTGGATCGAGGTCAGTTTCAATGCAGCTTTAATGAGAATCAGATGGTATACTTACGCCACATCTCCTCCGAGTTCCTTAATGTCACGAAACAGGAGGGGAGGGCGGAAGTTCCGTTCAATGTATGATTGCTTGAACGGAACAATCTCACAGCTGAAAGCATGCGAGATCCGGAGTTGCAGGTCCATACCTAGACCTGAGAGGATATTAGCAATTGATCCGAAGAAGAGACAAAATCAAGCGTTCAGTGAGTGTTTAGAGAGACGGGCATAAGGGTAAAATGATTAATTGGTGACATTGACTTAGGGCAAGATAGGGAAATACCGAATGCTCGGCGTTGCCAACAGAAGCGCCGGCGACCTTAAATCGCCGACGGCCTCTTCCTTCATCGACACTACAGCCGACCTCAAATTAATCTCCAAGCACAGAGAAAAGTGAGTGCAGCATGACATGAATATAATGATACTAAATTGGTGATAGGAAATAATCAAGGAACTTACCCGTTGAAATCATGTCCAGGGCCAGTAACGGGGCTTCCGTTCCTGAACACATCGTTGCCACACGGAGTGGCCGCTTGCCGAGTTGGCAGAGGACATCCGAAAACCCCCTTTCGAGGGCCTTGGATGCCATGTCAGCAAAGATATCTTCCAGCCTATGCAGAGGAGGTAGATCACTGGCTAGATACCTGGTCGTTACAATCAAGCATCCTCGCCGCAGCTCCGGAACCTCTTCGACCATATGGTCTTGACCATCCATTGCCAGATCAGCCACACCCTGCTGCTGATTTGTACGCTCCTGAGAAATGATGACCGGAATCAGAGGAGGGGGGAAGGGGGGGTTGAGATCAGTCATGATGGTGATCAAACCGGACGAATCCAGACGCCGGTACACAACAAGTAAAGTTTCACAGAGGAGGTGTGCTACAGACAAAGTCCAAACAGAACCGAGACCAGGGGATGATGAGATTATGCAAATGATACATGAATGGCTGAAGGCTCGTCAACTCTGCAGGAAATAGTGGAACTGCAGGTCCTAAAAGAGGTACGAGAAGATGATGAAGAAGAAGAAAGTCTCGTGGGAGGATTGGAGGAGACCAGTTGCCGGCGGCTGGGGCAAACCTCTCGCCTGGTTTGGAAATGTTGACACCAAAGATACGGCGACAGTACGGCGACGACGACAGTACGCAGCACCACACACAATTCCCGCAGCAGCACCAACTTCACCTTGGCTTCAACTTGACTACAGAACTGTCTTCACGCTGCACTAGTGGCCATACGACTATACTCCGCGATTGCTGATGCTGCATTTATTTTCGATCCCAAAGCTGGGGGTTCAATGCTCCAGTGCTATATGCAAATTCCCAGAGAATACATGACAGTAAACAATAAGCAATAAAAGAACTAGCAATTATACTCACGCTGCTGTATAGGGTGAGTATACTTGGTACATGGTTTCATGTTAGTTAGGTAGGGCAAACGGAGCACGTGCCATGATTTCTGCGAGCCCCGACGCTTTGCAGACGTATCAGAACAGCCGGAGTTCAAAACGAAGAACAAACGCCAGCAAAATCAATACCTGCCATTTGATTCATTTACTTGTCCATTTTGAGAATGGGGTACGCCGCGGTGGTAGCCTTGCTTTACTTGTTATGGAACTTGACCTGGTTTTGAAGGGACGAAAGCCGAGGAGTCACGGCCCAAAAATACAATAATAAGGAACGAATGCAATGATCCAAGACTCCAAACGCAGAATAAGCAAGTTGGAGCAAGTTGCCGGGCTCGTTGAAGCTGCAGGGAAAATCTACGGACAAGCCAGGAAATTCGTGGAAAAAGCGGGCAGATTGCAATGTCTCAGGCTACGAAAGGAAGAATGCAGAGTCTCAATTGATTGCCATTTGAGGGTTTATCTTAATTAAGCTTGTATGCAAATCTGTTGACAAAAAATATCAAACTCCCTGCGCCATCCATTCGCCTAATGAAATGAAATTGAAATTTGAAAGATATCATAGCCAGACGCTCTCAGCTACAAATTCAGAGCGAATAGACGATCTATCTCCGTAAAGGAAGAATCTCGGGTCTTCATGCAAAGCCATTACCGCATACCACCTTGCATAAGCTGCTGGCGGAGCAACATGATTTGACTGCGTTCCATGGGACCGAGCGCATCAATCTGCGATTGCGGCATGTTAAGCACCTGCTGGAGAAGCTCTTCCTGGCCTTGCATCTGTGGGACGGGCTGAGCAGGCGGGGGAGCGAACGGTGTTCCCGTAACGGGGGGTGTAGAAATCTGACCCGGAATACCGTATGGCTGGAACTGCTGGGCTTGTTGAGGAGGAGGTGCCTGGGGTTGTGCCGCTTGCTCGACAATTGAACCGAGAAGTTGATATTCGACCAGGTTCATAAGAAGTAGAGCCTGGAAGATGGCGTAGGCGAGCTGAGGTGCTTGGCGCAACAACTCAGTGGCGCGAGCTGGGTCTGCAACAGCGAGAGACTTCATCTGGGTGAGGACATCGAGTAGCTGGTTCGGGGGGAGAGATGCGAGGGTGTGAGAGATGGCGTTCGGACAGTCAATGTGTGGTGGCAGTTCAACGCCTGGGGGGAGAGGTGGTAGCGGGGCTGAGCCAGGAATCTGTTGCTGCTGTGCAGTATCCTGGTTCATCGTCGGCTGTGACTGCTGCGAATAGTCCGGAGGAATGGAGTCCTTCTCGTTGTTGTGAGGCCAGTCGACACGGATCTTGCGGCCCATAACCTCATGGTCGTTGAGGTTGCGCACCGCTGAGGCAGCGGAGTCGGGGTCGGCGAAGTCGGCGAATCCATAGCCCTTGGGTTTGCCAGTTTCGGGGTTCATCATCAATCGGAATTTGGTGACGGTGCCGGCCGTGCTGAGGATGTCTTTGACTTGCTCCTCAGTGAGGTCTAGAGCTGGATTAGCATCGAACTTGAAAAGCACCATTTAAAGAGCACTCACTGTAGGGAATGTTCCCCAGAAACACACTCTTCCCAGTTCGATCAGGCGCCATGATTGCAATACTGATCGAAAATGAATACGAGATTGAAAGTTGATGCGCGACAGAGGAGCTAATTCTGCCACCGCCGCAGCTTAACTTCACATCCACTTGAGCGTCAGACTAAGTCCGCCCTCATCCATCTCCATTATCTCCCCACGCTTTTTCTCACATCATGTCTCAAAATCAACGAGAGGCCTGGGAGCGTCTACAGGTCATGCTGTCCCGCCGCAAGGCTGGCTTCGGCGGCGGCTTCCCCGGTGGTGGCCGTGGCGGTATGGGACTCGTCGGAACTCTTGTTCTGGCCGGTCTTGGTACCTACGTCGCTTCAAATGCTCTGTTCAACGGTATGTTCTGCTACAATTCTTAAGGAACTACGTCTTTAACTTGTTTGTAGTTGACGGTGGTCACCGCGCGATCAAGTACTCTCGTCTAGGTGGTGTCAAGAAGGAGATCTATGCCGAAGGTAAGAAAACTCCCCGGCTGGGAAAACAGAGCTATCTGACCATGTCGAATGATTATAGGTACTCACTTCCAGATCCCCTGGTTCGAAACACCGATCATCTACGATGTCCGCGCCAAGCCTCGCAACATTCCCTCTCTTACCGGCACCAAGGACTTGCAGATGGTGAACATCACCTGCCGTGTCCTGTCCAGACCCCGCGTGGATGCCCTTCCTCAGATTTACCGTACACTTGGTCAAGACTTTGATGAGCGAGTGCTGCCCTCGATCGTCAACGAGGTGCTGAAGAGTGTGGTTGCTCAGTTCAACGCCAGTCAGCTGATTACGCAGCGTGAGAACGTTGCCCGTCTGGTTCGGGAGAACCTCGCTCGCCGCGCTGCCCGGTTCAACATTGCCCTGGACGATGTGTCTCTGACGGTATGTTACTATGCTCCAGTGGGCTGAACAAGTTCTAACAAGCTATCTTGTGCAGCATTTGACCTTCTCCCCCGAGTTCACTGCCGCTGTTGAGGCCAAGCAGGTCGCCCAGCAAGATGCTCAGCGTGCCGCATTCATGGTTGATAAGGCTCGTCAGGAGAAGCAAGCATTCATTGTTCGCGCACAGGGAGAGGCCCGCTCGGCCGAGCTCATTGGTGACGCCATCAAGAAGAGCAAGAGCTATATCGAGCTCCGTAAGATCGAGAACGCTCGCCACATTGCCCAGATCCTCCAGGAGAACGGTGGCAAGAACAAGCTCTACCTTGATTCCCAAGGTCTGGGCTTGAACGTCAACGCCCACTCCGAGGAGCTCAAATAAACTCATTCCACTTCAAACTTAATGGCGCTGCGAGGGATGTGAATTATTGTACAAATAGCTGGATAAACAATCATCCAAATGTGTTCTCTTCTCTAATATTCAAATCTTCTCTATCTTTCGTAAAAATATGTAGCTCGAGTTGAGTGGTTGATATATATTTTCTCCGCGCGGGGACGAAGGCGGCGAGGGCTTTTTTTTAGTTCGGAGGGGCACCACTTTTACGCTGATAGCCCTACACATTCGACTAGCATTGTTGGATATAACGGTGAATCCGTGAGTATTAACTAAAAACTCCCGGATATCATTATCTGTTTCAATTACGAGAAACCGAACTGACAGCGACCAGACAATGCCCGAAATCACCGACGACACCCCAATCCACCTCACAGAGGTTGACATCGACCTCGATGTGCAAGAGATCCTTCTCGCAGCATCACAGCATGACATCCCCAAGCTGCGCCGTCTCCTCCGCACCCAGTCTGCCCTGCCAGACGCAGCAAATGTCAAAGACAACGAGTCAGGCTTCTCACCACTGCACTCTGCGATCGCCGCCTGCGAGCCGGACAGCGACACCGAGGGTGCCCAAAACGGAGCCGATGGCGCCAAAACCTCAGAATTGAATCCCAAGGGCTTGGACAACGAGTCTCTCAAGGCAGCAGTGGAGACAGTCAAGTTCCTCCTGCAAGAGGGCGCTATCTGGAACGATCTCGACAAGAACAACGAAACCCCCGGCTGTCTCGCTCGGCGCATCGGAGCCCTCGAGCTCTACGGCCTAATTGTCGATGCAGGTGTGCGCGCAGAGCTCCTCTTGAACCGTCTCGACGCATACGAAGAGCTATCCGACGACGACAACGAAGAAGAGGAAAAGCAAGAGAACGACGAGAACCAGGCCGAGACCGCCAACACCACCGAAACGGAAACAGAGACAGCACCCGAACTCGTCGACGCCACAACAACCAACCCAGGCGTGAACAACCCCCAATACCTGGAATCGCAACTAAACATCCAAAACGACCGCATCCTAGACTCAGACCAGAACGGCGTAATGATGGCCTGGGAAAGCGACATCATGCGCAAATCCGCCAAGGCACTCCTTCCAACGCCCGGCCTGAAAGTGCTGAACATCGGACACGGCATGGGTATCGTCGATGGATTCTTCCAAGAGCAGCAGCCTGCCTCGCACCATATCATTGAAGCGCACGCCGACGTCGTTGCAGAGATGAAGCGTCGTGGCTGGGATTCTAAGCCTGGTGTTGTGATTCATCAGGGTCGTTGGCAGGATATCCTGCCTGGTCTTGTAGCGGCTGGGGAAATGTTTGATGCTATCTACTATGATACTTTTGCTGAGTCTTATGGTGATTTCCGCGAGTTCTTTTCTGAGCAGGTCATTGGATTGCTTGAGCAGGAAGGTCGGTGGGGATTCTTTAATGGCATGGGTGCTGACCGGCAGATTTCTTATGATGTCTACCAGAAGGTGGCTGAGATGGATTTGTTCGAGGCTGGGTTTGATGTGCATTGGGAGGAAATTGCCGTGCCCAAGTTGGAGGGTGAGTGGGAGGGCGTGCGGAGGGCTTACTGGGTTGTGGATGATTATAGATTGCCGCTGTGCAAGTTTATGGATTAAGGATTAAGGAATTTGGGAATACTGGAAAATAGTGTTGGACTCGAAAGAATCGAGAGAACAGACATTGGATGTCTATAACTGAATGCGACGCTTGGAAATGCTAGGCAATGGCTAAAAGAAACAATGTACAAAATCACATCGCATCAAAGTTGAATCAAATCCACCTCTGAGAAATCTGGAGGACTGCGACTGAATATCGTCCGACACTTGGCGTCCAGCGCCTGGTATTCGTTACTGACCCAGACGTATTTACTGAACCGCTGGGTACGATAGACCTCGTCGTCACTCACACCTAGATCGTCACGCGGAATCCAGATGACTGGCCGCTTCGCGCGAAGTGCTTCATGTTGGAAGGCACGCTGGACCAGCTGATCACGTTCGTCAGGCGTGAGATCTTCCAGTTCATCATGGATACCAGCAAAGAGAGCTTGGCCAAGTGTGTTTGGGGCTGGTCCCTGATTTTCGGTATCGAGAGCCATCTTCTCACGCATAGCTCGAATGGTTGGCGTTGAGTTTGGGGAGTTAAGCCCGAAGTATTTAGATCGTCGCCTTGATGCATTGGTTGCCCATGATGGACGTTTGTGCTCAAGCTTGGGTGTTGACAAAAGGCTGCCAGAATCCTGTCGCTTCTGATTCAGGCCGTTGGTCTCCAAAGGTTTCAGCTCGATATCCCGAGCATCTTGTCCTTGCTGTTGCTCTCGGCGTTCCTCTTCTTTGAGGGCGTGTTCAACATCATCAGCCTCGTCGTCATCAATGGCAAGTCCGAGGCGAGCGTGCTGAGCACGGCGGAACTCATCGTCGCGCTTGATAGCGGCTTCTTCCAATGTGATCGGTAGATAACGAATCAGCGGATTGAAGGCGTTATTGAGAAGGAGTTGATATCCAACGGTCAAGACAAGGATCACGATCATGCAGATAGCCTGGCCTTTGCAAGCAACTTTATCCTTTTCATCCCGAACCAAGAAGAACAAGCCAATCAAACAGACCTCCATCACATACAACCCGGTAAACAATTGATTGATAGCTTTAGGGAAAAGAAGACCGCCAGTGTCGAAGCGGAATTTGGTGACATAGAGTGTGTTATAGCGATAGACAAACCAGAAAAGGCTGAAGGTGATGATGTTGAAAACCAGAATCAAAGGTGCGATCACACAGTAGATCAACCCTATAATATGTCAAACGAGTACTTCATTAAGCCATGGGAGCATGACTTACCAATGGAGGCCAGTGTGGTATAGACCGGGAAGAATGTGCCCCATTGCATCTGATTGAGATTGGTCGTTCGAGCCCACTTCTTCCGGGCAGTTGAATCCAAAATGGGCGCCAGAATGAACCAGCTTACCAGGCCAAAGATTTGCACAAGAGCACCAGCGCTCACAGACATAGCTTGCAGAATCATGTAAGAGAAGAAGTAGTTACTAGACTTGGGGATGTTCGAAGCCAAAAGTTCCGGCCAGCTCGTCACGTCAGTGATATTCTCGATGACTGTTGAGAAACTTGAAGCGATTGTAACAACCAAGAACAGCTGTACAAACAGGAAGGCAAAGTAATAGTTTTGTACAGTGAGTTCGACGGACATGCCTGTGAAGAGACCCTGCGTACGACTCAGGAAGCGGAGAGTGAGAGGGAGAAGCGCCATCAGGATCGCCAAACACAGCGCGGGAAGAATACCCTGGATAGCTGAAATGAACCAGTCCGGTAGTTTGCCAAGCCAAGCCAACCATGAGAATGCACCCTCAAGGTATGACAGTTGTGAGAGTAGACCAGTGAAAGCAACCGGGAAGGCCCATCCAACAACCATTGCACACACCAGTGTGATAATACCAAAAGTACGAAGATAGCGTTCCCACCATTTGATGGACATGTTATCCCAAATGACATCGTCAGGGGAGATCTCGACGACTCGAGGTGCCATCTGCTTCGGAAGGTGATGGCTGACGGCCTGACAGGCCATGTGGGCAGCAACCTGGTGATTGAATTGAACGAAAGCCGAGTTCATTAGAGGAAATCTCTCAGGATGCTGTTGGTCGATTTCGATTTCCAGGTTCAGACGAGCGAGCTCTTTGCGGCAATAATCGATGGTGTCAACCTTTTTGCCAAGGAGCCAGATGGACGGCATCCAACCCCAGCCAAAAATGGGCAGACGCATAGTATCCCGATCCTTGGGTCGAATGTATTCCTTCCACAGTGGTTCTCCGTAATCCTCATTATTGAAGTCTTCGTTGTAGGCGACAGGGTATTCTTCCCCTTCCACTTTGTCCCCTTCTTTCTTGATATCTGATTTATCTTTTTCGTCGTTAGCGGCCTCGGTAGAACCATGGGTATGTGCATCGGTAGCAGGAGTCTCAGGTGCAGTCAGTGGAAATTCATCGGGTTCCGGCGTACCCTGGGATTTCGTATGAGATGACATTCGTCTCCAAAATGGTGGATTTGATGAAGATGCTTTATCACGGGAGTTGGCGTCGCTACGGCCTGGTTCGAGGGTTTCTGGCAGCTGCTGGGATCGAAGAGACTCCCCGGAAGTCTTATTAACAGAGGCAGCACGATCGGTGCCCTGAGGGGATTGCCCACGGGGAGGAATCATGTCGTCTGTGGTGGCAACGAAGCCCCGGGTTTGCGTCAAAGTTCCCTCAAAACCATTCTCGGCTTTTTTGAAACCTCCAAGCATAGATTTGCCCAGTTTCCCCACGCCTTGCCCAACTGCTCCAGCGGCTGCAAACGCAGGGTCAAATGTTCGTCGAGGTCTATCCTCAGATCTTTTAGTGTTTCCGTCTGCTGGTCCGTGGAGCATTTCTTGTAGTGTATGGGCGTCGTAAGGATTTCCGGTGCTGACACCGGGGCCCATGGCGATCTTAGAGGCACGTTTTTCTGCTGCCTTTTTCTCTTGTTTTTCCGCACGTGTTGAACTCTTTCCGGCTTTCTTTGCCTCGGCTTTTACCTTCTTGAGGTGTGCCTCTTTGCATTTCGATATCAGATCTGTTTCGGCACTTTCAAGTTTGAGGGCAAGTTTGTTTCGCTCCTTCACTTTTTCATTCAGGTCATCGAAATTCCGATTAATCCAGATATTTCTGACGCCTCCTGGGAAGACATCGAACAGTCTATCAAGAGCCTCCATATCAAGCCAATCTGGCGGGATAGATGTGACCAGCACGGTGGTCGCAGAAGCACGGAGTCGATGTTGGGGAGAGGTCAGGTAGGCCTGGCGTAGGCGAATAAAGCCCCGAAGCTCATCAAAGAAGACCGCACAAACGTAAATGATGACAATGATAGCCATCACCAAATGAGCCCAATACCGGTTCGTGTGTTGAGGTGTGACATTTCCCCATGCCAATTGGTCCAGGCCAGTAACAGCCCATCGATCACCAGCAGTGCCATTCTTGAAAGATGTACCTTTACCGCCGGCGCGGTTGAGGGGAAGCAGAACTGGAAGAATCAGAAGTCCCATGGGGAGGAAGATCTTTAGCAGCATGCGTAGATAGCGCAGGAAGAAGTATGCATCTAGCCCACATTTCTGGATGAATTCGGAGCTGGAGGTACGGAAAACAGGGCCAATCCAGTGGAATAGGCCTGGCGGAGATGGTTTGGTCCGTTCTCTGTCTGGTACCAAATACGTTCGCGGTTGGCTGAACACAAGTTTCGGTGAGCAAGTTTCCATGCGGTAAGGAAGGGTATACTTACTATATGCGTGTGAGTTTGCCTTTTAATAGGAGGAAGAGCAAAAATTCAACAACAAAAACCACAATGGCCGTCGCCAGCGAGGCCAAAAAAGTGGAAATCGAGACACCTTCTGCTATTCGGCCATGGCCACCACTGTGCTCCAACGCTTCTTCCAAGCCGGAAACCATGACGATCGGCTCGGGTAGTGCCGATCAAACAAAGGTAGAGCAAAAGGAGTTAGGACACTGAAGGATGTTCAGGAGAGACCACAGCCAGCATAACGAGGACGCTGTCGATTTTAAGAGCAATATCCTGTCGCTTAGGAAATTTCCGCGGTAGCTGGTAAGGGAAAAAATAACAAAGGGAATCCACCCCAAGGGGCTAATAAGGCGCTGGGATCAGCAGTGGGGTTTTGAACAACAAGGCAGGAGATCGGATTCGCTGTTCAACAATGACACGAGTGGCGTGAAGATTGAGGTTCGGTTCAAGAATTTGGGATGGCGAACAGGGATTGGAGGGATCGTGAAAGCGCCGATCGGAAATAGAATGACATCAGGCGCTAGGTGAAACAGCCAAACAAGTCACAGCGGCTGCAGGGAGATTGGATGAAAGCGAAGAAGCAAGCCTGCTTTGTGCAACCCAAACGCCACTGATAGAACCGAGAAAGTACTACAGAGTACAAAGTCCCGCCCTGCAAAGAGGTCTCAGCAACATCTACAAAGCTACCAGGGCAAGAGCGGTGATTGGTGTGCGGCTTCGGGGGTGGCGGTGTAGGAACCAGGGAGGAGTGTCCAGCCACATTATGTAATTGCTTATATGATTGTGTGGCTCAACGTTAACTAACTGGTAACTTAAGTTAAGTTAGAGTTAAGTTATCACCCGGCTGCACGTGATATATTATATAAGCGTAGCTGGACAGTACACGTCGTCCCAATCAGGAAACCACTTAACGCGCTCATCGCGTCGGCAGAAAGCGCGTTCCGCCCACAGCTTTTTGCTCTCCCTTTCTTCCCCTGCCCGACCATCACCATCCCCCATCACCTTAATTCATACCCACAATGTCGTCACCAGCACAACGACGGAGGGGTCGTTCCTCCAAAAATGCTTCATCGCCTGCTTCTTCCGCTCGACAGGAGCCCCCTAGCAGTCCGACTTTTCAAGCCACCCCCCGTGCTTCGAGGAGGCTAATGGCCGAAGGTGTCGCTCCGTCTTCATCGCCAATTTTCTTCCAATCATCACCTACCAAGGGAAACAATAATGCTGAGACCCCTGATGAGCGCATGGGCGATGCCAGCTCAACAGTGGATGACGGAGAAAGAACCCCACGAGGAAACGCGGGCGTGAGAGGTATAAATTTTCATGCCACACCAATCCTTCGTTCTTAGTCGCCAAATTGCTAACCCTTATCAGACTCCTCCCCAATTAATTACATCCCCAGTTCTAGCCCGACCCGCGGCTTCGGCCGCTCAGACATTCGCTCCGATGCTGTGAGCACCAGCAGTGGATTGTTTGTCTCTCCGTCAGGCCAGGGCCGACGTGGAGCTCCCCGTCGCAGTGATTTAAACTCGGGTGGCTTTGGCTCTACTCCCGCTCGCCGCAATCGCCTGTTTGTCGATGGCAATGGCATGCCTGCGCCAGGTGAACCTCTCCCCCGCTCCGATGCCACTTTCTCAAACCTCAACCCCGGCACCTCCGAGGCCGACGCCATGGCCGGTAACTCGACCCGTGTGATCTGGGGTACCAATATTTCGATCCAGGATTCCATGTCAGCATTTAAGAACTTCCTGTATAACTTCGCCACGAAGTACCGTCTCTGGGCTGAGGGCGCTTCTGAAGATGAGACCAGAATCATGGGCGATGCAGCTGAGAGACGCGAGTACATTACCATGCTGGACGACTTACGACGACTTGGTGTGACCTCCTTGAATCTCGATATTGCAAACCTAAAGGCATATCCTTTGACTCGCAAGTTATGGCACCAGCTTGCTGCATATCCACAAGAAATCATTCCACTGATGGATCAGGCTGTGAAGGATGTCATGGTCGACTTGGCCCTCAAGGAGATGGATGTTCTGCGAACAGAGGCTCAACGAGGAGCGCAGGGCCGTGACCGACGGGGCCAGGCTATCCTCACCTCGGATGGCGTTGTGCCAAACGCAGATGTACCCGATTTGGTCGGTGAAGTTGAGGCGATAAGCTACAAGGTTCTTCCATTTGGCTTGGATGAGACTGTAAATATGCGAGACCTCGACCCGGCTGATATGGACAAGCTGGTCAGCATCAAGGGTTTGGTCATTCGGGCGACTCCCATTATTCCAGACATGAAAGAAGCCTTTTTCCGCTGCAGCACCTGCAGCTATGGTGTTCAAGTCGATATTGACCGTGGCAAGATTGCCGAGCCCACTGTCTGCCCCCGCGACTCCTGCAAGGAGAAGAACTCAATGCAGCTCCTCCACAACCGTTGTGGATTCTCCGATAAGCAAGTTATTAAGCTTCAAGAGACCCCAGACAACATTCCTGATGGGCAGACTCCTCATTCGGTGTCTCTCTGTGTTTACGATGAGTTGGTTGATGTCTGCAAGGCTGGTGATCGTGTGGAGGTGACTGGTATCTTCCGCTGCAACCCAATGCGCGTCAGTGCTCGCCAGCGATCCCAGAAAGCTCTCTTCAAGACCTATATCGATGTTCTTCATGTTCAAAAGGTTGATCGCAAGAAGATGGGTATTGATATGTCTACCGTTGAACAAGAGATGTCTGAGCAGGCCGCAGATGCCGAGCAGGGTCGCCACATCTCAGCCGAAGAAGAAGCAAAGATCAAGCGAACCGCGTCCCGTCCCGACATTTACGAGCTTCTGTCTCGTTCTCTGGCTCCTAGTGTTTACGAAATGGATGACGTGAAGAAGGGTATCCTACTCCAAATGTTCGGAGGTACCAACAAGACCTTTCAAAAAGGAGGTAACCCGCGCTACCGTGGTGACATTAACGTGCTTCTATGCGGTGATCCTTCAACATCCAAGTCGCAGCTGCTGCGCTACGTTCACAAGATTGCCCCCCGTGGTGTCTATACCAGTGGTAAGGGTTCCTCGGCTGTTGGTCTAACTGCCTATGTTACCCGTGACCCGGAGACCAAGCAAATGGTTTTGGAATCCGGTGCTTTGGTTCTGTCTGATGGTGGTGTATGCTGTATTGATGAGTTTGACAAGATGAACGAGGCCACACGGTCCGTCCTTCACGAAGTTATGGAACAGCAGACCGTGTCTATCGCCAAGGCCGGCATTATCACAACCCTGAACGCACGAACATCCATCCTGGCCTCTGCCAACCCCATCGGCAGTAGGTACAACCCCAAACTTGCTGTTCCCCAGAACATCGATCTGCCCCCTACCCTGCTTTCTCGTTTCGACTTGGTCTACCTGGTCCTTGACCGTGTGGATGAAACGGAGGATCGTCGCCTGGCCAAGCACTTGGTCGGCATGTACCTTGAAGACAACCCCGAGAACGCCAGCTCTGAGGAAATTTTGGTAAGTTGACTTCCTTTTCCCAATTATGATTCCATTCCTAACACTCTATTTAGCCTGTTGAATTCCTCACAGCCTACATCACATACGCCAAGACCAATTGCCACCCTGTCATTACCCCTGCCGCCGGCTCTGCTCTCATCGAGGCCTATGTCGCTATGCGACAGCTGGGTGACGATATCCGTGCACAGGAGCGCCGTATCACGGCCACTACCCGTCAACTAGAGTCCATGATTCGACTGTCCGAGGCCCACGCCCGTATGCGTCTGTCTCCTGAAGTCACCGCTGGTGATGTCGAAGAGGCCGTCCGCCTCATTCGCTCCGCCATCAAGCAAGCGGCCACTGATGCCCGCACTGGTCTCATCGACATGGGTCTCTTGACTGAAGGTACCAGTTCTGCCGACCGTCGTCTCCGCGAGGACCTGAAGAAGGCTGTCTTGTCTCGCCTTGACGAGCGCGGTGGTGTGACTGGAGGCTCCGTCCGCTGGACCGACCTCTTCCGGGACCTCAGCGAGCAGAGCGACAACAAGGTCGACCACAACCAGTTCACTGATGTGGTTCGTGCGCTCGAGACGGAGGGTTCTGTGAATGTGTTTGGTGAAGGTCCTCGCCGCAGTATTCGTCGGGCGGCGATGAGCATGTCCTAGGTGCCCGCGATGATACCATGATACGATGATTAGGCTGCATGTCATCCCTGACCGTTGAGGGTGTCTGGCGTTTTTTTTTTCAGTGCTACAAAGTAGTATGTATAATGCTATGAGATTTCTCACTCAACCTTCCAGCTATAATGATGTAACGGTGACCTTGGCGATATATATGTTTCAGCGTCTAAGTCGTACTCGTCCTAGGGTTCGAGTCAGCCGGTATAGATATAGCAAACCCAAAACTTATATGATATTACCCAATACGCATGTTCATATATTTATAAGTATGAGACCATTTCAGACAATTCATCTTATCTAGGATGGTCTAATTGACCACCTGACCTCAACCTCATGCACGTACCTAGTGTGTGTGCAACTTAGCTACGAATCACCATGCACGTACTGTAGACGCGAACAATTGTGTGGGGCTAGATCGTCTGGCTGCAGGTCTCGATCCTGCAAGGATAGCAGGAGGCATGCTAGCAAGGGAGAGTTTAAGTGGCTGCCTGCTAGGAACTTGTAGTTTAGAGTAACTTAAGTTAACTTAGGGTATATATTAACATGTATAGTGGGATAACAGTAGAGAACAAGGTAATTTATTTTTTTTATATATAAAGAACTGTATGAGTCGAGAAACTAATTGTAACCAACTGATCCTGACTGCGCACGTGCGCCCGTGACTGGCCAGATGTTGAACGTCATGCGCTGAGTCAGCAATGGTGTATTGGGGTTACAGTACAGGGCAGTTGGATATTCTGGCAGAATTGCTGGAATATTGGGCTATTTAGCATGTTCACATGGCTAGAATAGACTATGTATAGAGACCAATGCACCTATCAATTCAAATATGCATGTAAGCACTCTCATATATAGCTTTGGTCAATGAATATCGAATTGTATCACCACTTGGCCCGTCACCCGCTAGTCATCGCGCTAACCGAGTTCGGGTCATGGCTTCGCCTTCGACAGTCGAGCTACAACCCTCCGGCTCATTTGCTCTTTTTTTTGCTGCTTCCTTTTTTCTTTTCTCCGACATGAGCTTGGAATAATCCCTCTTCTTTTCCAATCTTTTCGCCCATCATGAGGTGAGTTTCTGGAGCATGCTTCGTCCCCAATCCACTCCCCGCGTGCCCTACTGACCCAATGGTTCCGCAGATTTGGTGAATATCTCCGCTCTTCCATGATCAAGGAGTACTATCCGTACTACATTGCCTATGATGAGTTGAAGAAAGCCCTGAAGACTGACTTCGTCGACGAACCCACTTCCAATAACGTCAAGCCCGCCCGCAAAGAATGGACCGAAGATGACGAGACACACTTTGTTTCCTTGCTCGAGAGCCAGCTGGAGAAGGTGTTCTTGTTCCAGAAGCGCAAGAGCGAGGAGATCGTTGATCGCATCCAGGAGAGCGAGCTTGAGGTTAATGATGTCGTCTCCCGACTCGAGAGCACGGCCGACGCCCGTCGCTCCAGCAGCGCTCGACCTTCCCGCCCGCCGCCTACGGACAGCGACTTCTTGCTGCTAGAACAGACGCTGAGTGATATCATTGCCGATGTCCACGATCTGGCCAAGTTCACTCAATTGAACTACACGGGCTTCCAGAAGATTATCAAGAAGCATGATGTACGTTCCCTCTGAAATTGGACCGACTCCGCCTGCTAACAACCCCCGCAGAAAGAGACGGAATGGTATCTGAAGCCGGTTTTCGCTGCGCGCCTGAATGCCAAGCCTTTCTTCAAGGATAACTACGATGCTTTCGTGATCAAGTTGTCCAAGCTGTATGACCTGGTCCGAACCAAGGGTAACCCGGTCAAGGGTGATGCGGCCGCTGGTGGCACCCAGCAAAACTTTGTGCGTCAAACCACTAAGTATTGGGTGCATCGGGACAATATTACCGAGTTGAAGCTAGTTATTCTGAAGCACCTACCAGTTCTGGTCTTCAATGCCAGCAAGGAGTTTGAGGAGAAGGATACTGCCATTTCCTCCATCTACTATGATAACACCGACACTTGGGAATTGTACCAGGGCCGTCTCAAGAAGACAGAAGGCGCTGAGGCTATTCGTCTGCGTTGGTATGGTGGTATGGAGAGTGACCAGATCTTCGTGGAGCGCAAGACTCACCGTGAGGATTGGACTGGAGAAAAGTCGGTCAAGGCGCGTTTCGCGCTGAAGGAGAAGCACGTCAATGCCTACCTTGATGGTCGGATGACAGTCGAGCATATCTTTGACAAGATGCGCAAGGAGGGCAAGAAGAGCTCAGCAGAGATTGATGACCTCGAGCAGTTGGCGCGTGAGATCCAATACCGGGTTATCACTCGTCGCTTGGTACCTGTCACCCGGACCTTCTACCACCGTACCGCTTTCCAGCTGCCCGGTGATGCTCGTGTTCGGATCTCCCTCGACACTGAGCTGACTATGATCCGCGAGGACAACATGGACGGCCGCCGACGCGCAGGCAAGAACTGGCGTCGGATGGATATTGGAGTCGACTTCCCATTCTCCCAATTGCCTCCCGAGGACATTGACAGATTCCCATACGCTGTGCTGGAAGTCAAGTTGCAAACCCAGGCAGGCCAGGAGCCTCCTCAGTGGATTCGGGACTTGACTGCCAGTCACTTGGTTGAGGCCGTTCCCAAATTCAGCAAGTTCATTCACGGGACTGCCACGATGTTCCCCACTCGCATCAACCTGCTTCCCTTCTGGTTCCCCCAGATGGACGTTGACATCCGCAAACCTGTCACCCGTCAATACGGTATCCACCGCCCGCTGGCGAGCACCTCCATCTCAGCCAACGACGAAGACTCAGATGATGACGAGAGCCCCGTCACAGAGGAGGGGGACACTCTGAACGGGAATGGACACCAGAATGGCCTCTTCGAGACCAACGGCAACGAATTGGACATCGAAGAGCGCATTGCTGCCCAGCCTTTACCCGGCGACGAAGATTATCCCCTGTACGACTCCGATGACGAATCAGTCTACTCCGACGAGCTAGAAGAGGCTCGCCGCATCGGAGGCGCCTACTACGCCCAGCAATTGGCCAAACACTACCTCTGTCGTACCGGCCACGCCGTGGCACAGGGTCTCATGGCCATCATCCCCCGGCCGCGCCCAACATCCCTGCCACCTCCCGAGCAGCGTGGAATCGCCGTCCTGGGTAACCGCCGCACCCTCCAGCGTTTCCACGCTCCCCCCGGCAAGCGTAAGTCACACTACACAACCCCCATAACCCAACTTCAAAGCCAAACCAACTAACGGAAAATAGGAATCTTCGTCCCCGTCCGTGTCGAACCGAAAGTCTACTTTGCTGCTGAACGAACCTTCCTCTCCTGGCTCGAATTTTCTATCATCCTAGGCGGAATCGCCGCAACCCTCCTCAACTTCGGCACAGACAACGTCACCCTCGGCTCCTCATGGGCCTTCACTATCCTCGCCGCAGGAGCTCTAGTCTACAGTCTCTTCCTGTATATCTGGCGCGTTGACAAGATTCGCAAGCGCCGCGATGTCAAGCGCGTCTACTACGAGCGCTGGGGCCCGACTGTTGTCTCTATCGGTCTTGTTGTTATCATTCTGGTTAACTTCGGACTGCGGGCTCGTATGGGTGGGTTCATTGCGTCGCCTGGGTCTCAGACGCCTGGGGGTGAGAGGCATGGTGGAGAATTGTGATTGATTCACATCCTTCACCTTGAACATTTTGGCTGGATTGATCGATTGGAGTCAGACAAGTCTGGTCAAGTCTACAAGTCATGCCCGTCTTTGTCTCTGTCTATGTGTTCTTATTACCATCCGTGTCCGTGTCCGTGTCCGTGTTCTTGTTTGTGTGCTTGCGCTCATGAGCGACTTTTTTGGCAATTGCTTTTGTATCTAGTGTGTTGGCGTTGGCTGGGGCGTTGGGTATTGTATATCATGTATAAAGTGCATGCATGGATTTGCAAATATCAGATCTTATGAGTTTACAACGGCTTTCGTTTTGTGTGCAAGCAAATATACAATAAGCTATTCCAGAGCCGAATTGTGTCCATGTAAGTTATATCGTAGACCTGGATTATGCAGGCGAAAAGACAAGTGTCTTCATTGCGTATACATTGCTCTCATTGCAGTTATCATCGGACAGGTTCAGACCGGAACAACCATGCGGCTGTACCAGAAGTCCAGTGGATGCTCCTCTGCCAAAGGCGAGAAATCAGTCAAGTCAGCACGGGATAGAATCCGTGCTGATGACAGGTCAAGATATCATCGAGAGTTGTCCGGTATAACAGATCTTCTGCTCTGCAGAAAAGTAGTTGTTCCAGCCATAAGAAGATGGGGTATTTTTGTTAGACAATAGCATCAAACCCCACATATAAAAGGGACAGGGGAGCCGCGGTGCGGGATTCATGCTGGTTGAAGACCGGGACTTGTGTTTGTCATTCCTACAGCTGAGGAGGCTGATCATGGGTTTCCTGTAAGTCTATGGGCACAAGACGAGCGTGGCTTTGATAGGTAAATGCTAGACGTATGATGAGTGCCACCGCTGAAGGCAATTGATGGAGGAGGAGCTGTGTCATATGCATCTCATAAGTAGTGTGTGTATATAGAATTGTAAACATCAGCCCTCATGAGTTCACCCCTCCTGTTTTGTATACAAGTAAAATATTTCAGAGCCATGGTCACAGGTGTACCATTAGGGTAGTTTTCAAACACGGATTTGTAAAAAAAGTACCAAGAGAAAGCAAATGCCAACTGCATTGTTTGTAAATGTGAAAGGAATGAGAACCAAACTAGTTCACGGTGAAAGTAGTAGAGTTACAATCACTCCTGCCTCGAATTCCAAGCACCAATATCAAGGACTCGCAGTTCAAAAAGACCACCATTGTCACCACCTAGTAGATCAGATCACCATCGTCACTGAAACTAGATAGTACATTCCACCGGTGAATCAAGTAACCAAGACACCCCCTTCGCCTAGGGACTAAAAGCCAAGTCATGAGCCCAAGTATCATTCCAGCCCCTGTGTCAAATAAATCAAATAGTGAGAAACTCCCAGAGAGCCCGAGCATCGGAGATGAGTCCGCAATGCTGTACACGTGTGTCGTTATGAGATTCCTGCGAGAGGTTGTCCGAAATTACCGAGGCTGCCTTCGCATCCACATGGCTATACCAGACGTGCAGTGGATGTTCCGTTGACAAAGTGGGAGTATCGGTGAGCACGGGGTAATACCATGCGGGCGGTGGGTATAGGCTATGGCAATTCGCCAAGCTTGATAGCCCCGAATCTCATCGAGGGAATACTCTCTCCATGGCCGCAGAGGAAGAATCTTGATTGGGATGATGGGCTTCACTCCCTCGTGCTCGGTGTAGAGACTGATGGCATTAGCGAGCTGCATCTCTTCTTCGGAAGACAGATGTCCCGGCTCGCGAGCCGAATCCGAGTCTGTACTCGAACCGCGGTCAGAGTCTGGTTCTTATTGTGTGACAATAGCTCTTTGGGATGGGCTTGTAGATGAATGCTGCTTGGGTGCTTGTTGGGACTTACCATCGGAGGTGAAATGATCAACCGGGGGAGGGGTTTCTGGATTGCAGCTAGGTCAGTCTTGCTTGTGGCGTGGAATGTTGAGATGAATAGAATCAGGGGATAAGAGTGAGAAGACATTAGACGTACGATGAGTGCCATTGACGGCCCCAGGTGGATGCGTGCTGAGCAACTTGAAGATGGGTACCTGAGAGAGTTGTGAAGAAGCAAGAGAGGAGAGGAGAGGGGAAGAAGGAAGTATGTAAGGATCAGAACGGCACAGAGAAAAAGAGTCGACCAAAAGCCAGAAGGACAGACCAAGGTCTGATGTGTCTAGTAAGAATGGATTGCTTGCATGAGTCTTGTTATACTTATAATAGGGAGGCTACAATAGACTATTTGTTTACAATTTCTCGATTGGAGTCATGAGCTTCAATAATAAGATTGACCTCATTATCTTGGCTTCATAGCTGCAACATCCCGCAAAAACCGGGAAGAATCGCTCAATGAAAAATTCGTTGGTATTTGCTAATATGGCCATTCTCCTGTACTGCACACCCCAAAGGTAGATAAAGTAGGGGCCAGACTGGACACAAAGAAGGAAACAGAGAAAACGCAAGCAGAGAAATACGCCCATGCCACTGAAAGTAGCGAGAAGAAAACCAACCTCCATCAGTATCAGCATTCATGTCCTATCCCAGGCCATAAGCATCCCGATTATGCAATGGGCAACTAAGGATGACGGAGATCGATTTCACCCATCACCGTGTTGACGTCTTGAAAGTCGCCGCCTTCACCGAAAGAAATGGCAAGGACCCTGAAAAGCTTCTCCGGCATCTTTTGGAAGAAGAGCAACCGGAGCCAGCGGTTTGCCTTGAGCTCCGCAGAGAGGTTATTCCAAATCAAGGCACAGGCGATGTCGAGCATGTGCACATACCACAAGTAAAGCTCGTGGCCAGGCGGCAGGGAGTGGATGCCAGGATCGATGGCACCGTAGACTCCATGCTGGCGGACGAGAAGAACCATAGAAGTCTGCCAGATTTGGAAGTCGGTATTTCCGTTGACAGGGGATCCCAAAGGAGTCATTGGGACATCAATGACCTGTGTACGGTCGGCGCGAATCTGTCGGAACATCTCAACTGCACTGGTGGTGCGGGCTTGCTCTTCAGCACAGTTGTAGGCTGTGCCGGGCTGAGGAGGCTCTGTGTATCGTTTGTTAGTGGTTTCTTAACATCAGGAAAAGATTAGTATCCTGGAAAGCTGGAGCATGTGATGGATGGAGTATCCTTATATAGACATGATGCTAGACGCGAAGGCATGGCGGGTGCTCTGTGTTGGGACTTATGATCAGATATAAGTGGCATTGCCATTTGTACTTACCGTACTCATCATCCTCCAAATAAGCGTCGGTGGAACCCACGTTGGCAGCGTCCGCGTTGGCAGCAGCGGAGCCAGAGCTGGCAAGAGCACCAGCGTTGCCAAAAGTAAGACCTATGTCGACAGCAGCAGCACCAGAGCTGGCAGCAGCAGGGTCAGTGCCAGCAGCCCTGGCACCGGCACCGACCACAGGAGTCCCGGCATTCGCAACGTTGGAGCGAGTATCATTGTTCTCGTCTGCATCGGTAACAGAAGCAGCGAAGGAAGTGGGAGAGGAGACCGGAGTGTCCAAATCGATGTCTGGGATTAGATCGTATATATTAAATCATTTTCAATAAAGAAGAAGGCCTATACAATGAGTGGAGTAAAGGGGGTTGGGAAATAACAAGAATTGAATGGGCGTGATACTCACACTCGGTGGTTTTCAGAGGAGACCCGGGAGTAGCCGCAGAGGAAGTGCCAGAGACAAGAGCGGCTTCCACGTTGACGTCTGAGTCAGTTTGCATGTATTAGAAGAAGTCTTGCTTAATGAGACTTGGGGATGGGATGTGATACTCACCCTCGGCAATGTTGCCCAAAGTGCTGGCAGGAGTGAACGAAGGAGCAACAGGCGAAAGAGGTGTCGACTCGATGCCTAAACCAGGCTCGTGATGTTAGAAAAGCTCGGGTGAAGACTTGGTAGGTCAAAGGCCTGAGATGGATTCGAGTGAGTACTCACGCTGGTCAACAAGCTCGTTGGAAGAAGCCATCTGTGCGGCTAATTGAGAGTTGTCAGTATCCTTGGTTGGGGTTGGCGAGGTGATGTTGAGGTTTTCTGTCTGAGAGAATGAGGACGTACGCTTCTTCTTGTTCTTCTTGTTACGGTGAGGTCTGGGGTTGGAAGACATCATCGAGGGTGATGATGAAGGAAGCTGGGGCGAGGAAGAGAAAAGTGGAAAGCAGACGAAAAGTAAATGAGAGATATTTACACAAGACAAAGTCCCCTAGCGCTCCTTGCACCCAATAGTCCAAGACCACACTTGAGCTACTGAGAGCTAGCAAACATTATATCGATACACATGCCATGTACACTGCATGTATGGCAGACAGTCCCAAACTACAATGCTCTTCCTCGACAAATACATCCAATTTTCTTTAGACTTTTCATCTTGATGATAGAGAGGCCGAATTGATACGACCCAGCTTTAGACTATTTGCTTACAAGCTACGAGATCATGGCTACCATATATTCATTTGAAAGATCCTATGTTGGTAGACCGAAAGCCTGAGCAAGATGACATAGAAGAGAGAAACCAGAAGCGAGCTGAGTAGATGTAACACCTCAGATACCACGAAGTGTTCTAGCACCCGCGCCTCAATCAATGACACCAAAGAATCGCGATGAGTCCGAAGCATCATACCCTTCATCTTCATTTGAATCATTGCCCCCACGAATACTACATGTACAGTAGATCGTCCCCATCTAAAAATTGAACTGCGCCGATTACGGGCCATACAACATGCTGGCATAGTGAGAGTTTGGTGGTGACCCACCGTGAAATGTGATTGCTTGGGCCATCCAGAGGTGTAGGTATGGTTTTGGTGCGTAGAATCTTGGCTAGTTGCATGTCTCGGAACATATCAATAGCTCTTGTGGAGACAGAAAAAGGAAGCATAGAGGCAGATGTACCAATAGGAACCTTGGCATAAAGCCCTTGTGGACCACCCTCTCAGTCTTGCGTGTATTAGAGTCCATATAGACCCAATTTCACTGTATTCCCGTCCTAAGCACTCACTATCTTTATTCTCAATTGAGTGAGTTCCCTCTTCTGACATGGACGACAATAGGGGTCATCAATCTGTTTACAATGCTATAAATTATTAGACAGGTTCTTTACAGGACCCTCGAAGCGGGTCTGCCATTCATGCATCGTTTGTGCACTGACTTAGCCTCTCACTTTCTTTCCCCGTTTTCGAGTGCTATTATGATCATATAAACATGGGGGTGTCAAGAGGACTCCCAACTACTGTTCTCGCGCATCGCAAAGGGCTTTGATAACAATGACTTGATTGTTCATGCATGAATGGTAATAAGACTTGCCAGGGAGCCACATAGCGACTATGTAGGTGAGACATTAACTACTTCCTCCTCGATTCTGAAATCAGGCTCAAGGATCATAGTCCACAACAGGAATGGTGGTATCATTCAGACTGACAGTACCCGGGGCATCAATGCCTGAATACTTGTTCAGCCATCCAAGAACCTGTTGATGCCATACAAGACTGTTCTCCTTGTTGAGGACCCTATCAAACGCGCATGAATTAGCTCTATCGACTATGGAGACAAAATGCTTTCACTTACCAGTGGTTCTCATCCGGGAAGTTGAGCAGTCGACTAGGGACGCCCCGTTCTTGCAAAACATTGAACAAAGCCAGACCTTCTGAGACAGGAAGACGGTAGTCCTTTGAGCTGTGGATGATGAGCTGTGGTGTATCGAATTGCAGGATGTGTTCGGGAGAAGATGGATCCCAGCGGCGGTAGTTGTCTCGGTTAGCCCAAAAGGTGCCATTGAACTTGATAGAGTCAGTAGCGCGAAATAGAAGCAGGAAAGTTGGTACGTACATCATGCTCGATGAACCACAATTCCTCTGTCGAGATCTTGGCGTCGGCGACGAATGTTCCGTCGTGGCTAACCAATGCCTTGAATTCACGACCGAGAGGGTTTCCTTGAATCCAATTGATCATGAACCCACCGTAGCTGGCACCGGCTGCCACTCCGTGGTCTGTATCAATGAAGTCGAAGTTGTCGCGGACATACTCCCAGCACTTGACCAAATCATCGTAGGGGTAGCTACCTGTAGATTGTTAGACCCGAACCCAAAGACGATAGATATAGATGGCATACCCCAGTTGTTTGTGATCATGTCCGTCAGCTTATCACCAAATCCTGTACTACCAGTTGGGTTAGGTGCAACAACCACATATCCTTGGTCAGCAAAGGCTTTGTAGTTCCAGCGACTGCTCCAGGAATCGCCCCAAGCACCCTGAGGACCACCGTGGATATAGAACAAAAGAGGGTATTTCTTCGACTTATCAAATCCGGGAGGATAAATAAGCCAAGATTGAATCTGATCCGTTAGCATGATTCTACATTAAAACATAAAAACACTTACATCAGTCCAGTTGCCTTTGTAGTGGAACTCATCAACATCAGCGGGACTCAGACCCTTCAGACCAGGATCGACTGCATTGGCAGAGAAGAGAATCTTGGTCAGACCCTTGCCTGGCTTTGTGGTGTAAACTGTCCAGCTGGTCCAGATAGCAGTGCCAGATACCAAAACCTCGCCGTTGGGCAGGTTGTAGTAGGCACTCACGGAGCCACCGTTGGTGAAATTCTTGGGTGTGAAATCATCACCAGCATTGGCAGGCAATAAGAACAGGCGTGTACGGGCATGATCCTCGGTGTTTGCAAAGAGATGCTTTCCATCAGCAGACCATTTGACAGCGCTTGGTGAGCGGTCCCAGTCCTTGGCCAAACTTGGGATCGTCTCCTTGGAGTCAATGGTGTAGACATAGAGAGTACGGCGGTCCGATTCATATGCCACGTCCTTCATTTGAAGGTAGGCAATGCGACGGCCATCTGGAGAGAACACAGGACTGCTAGAATCACCCTTGATATCCTCTGGCGTACCAGGACTGTCCGGACCATTGATTGCAACAGGCTTCTTAGACCCGTCATGAGGCACGAGATAAATATAAGAAGCAGTGTTGTTGGCACGCGGCAATTCAGGTGCCTTGCTCTTGAACGCGACCAACTTGCCGTTGGGCGAGATGTCATAATCAGACGCATCGCCAAAGGGAGGGCTAGGGGATTCGAGGTTCTTCACCGCGGCAACGAGGTTCTTGAGAGATCCATTGCACGTGTAGCGAGATGTTGCGCCTTGTCCGGCTCTCTTCTTTCTCAAAGATCCGGAAAAAACAGCATTGAATCTCGTGGTGAGCCAGGTGTCCCAGTGACGGGTGTAGATGCTGTCATAGATACGAGCCGAGCTCAAAGGCGTAGCTGCAAGTTCCTCGTTGTAGGCGGTTCCATTGCCATAGGACTCTCCATACACCAGGAAGTTAATGTCTCCAGACTTGGTAATGGCTGTCTTGAGACCAGACAGCGGGGCCGGCAGTGATGCCGCCTTGTAAGCACTATATAGATATTAATAACAAGTAATGAGAGCAATTAATTAAAGAAACCCACGAATGGACGAAATCAGAGGTATCCGACACCCAAACCTCGGCGCCGCCAGGGATATCGGCATTGGTGCCGTTGATATACAACAGACCCGAGTCAGTCGACCCCAGCCAAATTAACTCAGACACATTGCTATCATTGGTGAGCTGGGTGATCTTGCCAGACTCCAGGTCCAAAAGACTCCACCACGACGACGTTTTGTGGGATTCAAAAGAGTACTGCGATGTAGAAAACAACGCAACTTCCTATATTCCGTTAACAACATTGACCGGTAATGATTGGAATAACCCAACTCACCCCAGATGGGTTAGGAATAGCTTCACTTCGCCTCGGGGCAGTGATGAGCTGTCTACATGAAACCAATTAGCAAGCAGAACCAGGTTTCAGTAAATAATAACTGACTCTGGGGTAAGTGCCACCGCAGATCCCACTATAGACCCGAGGGCCATCCATTCAAACAACCGCATGTCGGCAAAAAGGTATATACGCACACAGCTAAAGATAATTGCGCAGGAAACAAGCCAGGCAACATGTAGGGCGAAGCTGGTATAAAAGCTGGAGCTCGGCACGGCAGTAGCTGGCATGACGAGGCGGCAGTTTCCGTTTAAAGGGGGGCATGTTACATTCCTCCGCTCTGCCAAGAGAAATATGCATGATAGACTTGTTATCGGCCATTTCCAAGACGCTAAAAAAGTAATTTGCGAACAAAGAAAGGGTCGCTGCAGGGTCCGGCGGTGGTCCGCCTGCTTAGCTCGCAGCGCCAAGAGTCCTCGGGGGTTCCGCCGATAAGCGGACGGCAACATCAGCCAGATCAACAGGGGCCTTGTTCGGCAAGTGTTCTAGAAAGGGATGGGCATAGAGTCGAATGAGGAATTGGATCGGTTGTTCATACGTCAGAAGTCTTTGGAATGGTTGATACCTCACATCACGATAAGCCCTAATATGATGCTTACGGTCCGAGCAATGGTGAGATGCTTGGAAGTGCAACTATATATGAGACCCCAAGCATTGTTCGAACCAATGAATGCATTATCGCTATAGTACGTCTGACGAAGTTACTTCAATACTCAAAGTCATCATCCACACCGCCCTTGCTGGAGCTCTCCTTAGTGACCGCTTCTTGCTTGCGATACATCTCCGCCACGGCACGGGTAGTGGTGGCTTCGTCTGGTTTCTTGTCATCGCGGGCTTTGATGTAACGCGGGAAACGAAGAGAGACACCCTTACCACTATCGGCTGTACCCTGGAACTCGTCGGCAGCGGCCTGATAGCGGGGACTCAGTGTCAAATCAGCAGTCTTGACTTCCCATACTAGTCGCGGCTCAAACCAGACATCTGGCTGATCCTTGGGTACAGTCGAGTGGGTGTAGAAGGGCTTTGGGCGGTCGATCACCAATGGGCTTAGTGTGTTGTGGAGCTCTTCGAGCAGCACCTCAGAAAATCCAGTACCGATATTGCAAATGGTTTCGTAGGTGTCCTTGTTGGGGTTGTAGGCTGCGAGGAGGAAAGCACCGAAGACAGAAGTACGCTTACCACGTCCGTGGTAAGCACCAAGCACGACAAGATCAAGAGAGTCACCAACGCCGGCAAGGTAATCTTTCTTGACCTACGTAAAAGTTAGCAGTGATTCGAAAGGTTGATACGCCAAGAGCCATACCTTAAGCCAGTTGCGACTCCGCTTGCTGGGTTCGTAGCCACTCTCATCTGTGTCCAGCATCTTCACCATGAGACCCTCACACGAGGCTTTGACGCTTTCATCGAGCATTTCCTGGATCTCATCGAGTACGTTCGTGTTGCCATACTGGGCAAATTGGAACTCCCCCTCCACTGGCTGGAAGCATTCATACATAAGTCGCCGACGTTCCCGAAGAGACTTCTTAACACATGGCTATAATAGGTGAGCGAGAGCAACATGGCTTGGATAATGGGGACCTTACCTCTCCATTAAAGAAGAGCAAGTCGAATGCAAATACGCAAACCTTGACCGTGACTTCATCGGCCTTGACATCCTTGCGCTTACGGGTCATCAGTTGTTGGAATGGAAGAACCTTTTTGTTGACTGTATCCCAAGCAACGGTCTCACAATCAAGCACGAAGCTCTTCACGTCGTCCTTGACCCAGGTGTCTAGCTTGGCTAGAACATCTGGATACTTCTTAGAAAGATCTTCAGAGTTGCGGGAGAAGATTGAACAAAGTCCCTTGCTGTCCTTTTTTAATGTGTTCTTTGCTCCAGGGTATTGGTGAATTGAGTCTGGGGACACGAAATGAATCTGGGCTCTCTCTCCGTCGTACTTGTACTCGCAGGTGAACTCTTTGCCCTCAAAGCGGTCGAGAACCTCAGTGATAGATTTCGTAGGCTTCGCAAGCATGGGCTTGAGAGGAACACCAGGCGATAGTTTGCAAACTTCAGGTAGCTTGAATAGACCATGTTCAAGGATGGCGGGAATGATCACCTCGTACGCGGGAAGCTCACTGTAGACAGACTTGAAGATGTTTTCTCCTGCAGCCATCTTTTCCGCTGACGGGATATTCTCGCCATTAACTTCAGCTTCATGGGTCTGAACTGCCCGGGCAACAGCGACGAGCACTGTCTTTTCTGCAAGTCCCAGCCTCAGCTTTCCTTCCAGGAAGCGAATGATAAATTTAGCTTCGCTGGCGCCGCCCTTGTCCTTGGTAATGTCCACTACTTTACCTCCCTTGCCAGCAGTTGCGGCATCGGCTGCAGACAACAGTTTTTTGATACCCGAAATCTTCTTATCTTGGGATCCATGGCCCTGGACCTGAGCAATTGCCAGTAGTCCTTCATGGACACCACGGATAGTCAAAGGCTTTGGCTTGAACATGGTAGGTTGATTGCCGCGACTCTTAGCAGCCACCAGTCCCAAATCCCCGATCTCCTTTTGGTCAGCTTTGATGATTGCAAGACTTCGGCCTGTACTTTCACCAATGGCTTTCATGATCAATGACTCTCCGATACCCAGTTCAATGCCAGCATAATCGGCAGCCAATTTATTGATCATTAGTTGAACAGTGGGAAGGAAATCCCCAGGGGTCAGACGAAGTACTTGTCGAAGGAACAGGGAACAATGGTCTGTGATCTCCAATCGCTTTCTGGTCATCTCGACCAGGGAGAAAGTGGTGCATAGAGCGGCGTAAGGAACTGGCTCTCCAGCTTTCCAGTCTGGGTATGGGTCTTTCCCACTACCTTTCAATTTGGCCTGGAACTTCTCGATGGATTTCATTTCGAGCTCAGGCTCGAGGTCCTCTTCCTCTTCACTTTCTAATAACTCTTCTTCCTTGTTAACCTCATCGGTTACTGTCTCTGAGGGTGTCACTTCGGTAGAGTTGTCCTCGTTTGTAGCGGGATTTGGTGATGGCGACTCAACCTTGGGTTTCGTAGCCTCGGGCTTTTTCGGGGATGGGACTTGTTTTTCGGCAGCTGGCAAAGCTGAAGCTTTTCTGCGGCGTTTGGACACAGGCTGGACATCTGATCCATCACTTTGTTCTGCATCCGGACTCTTTTCCCGCTTCACGCCTTTCACCGGGCCATCAGTGGCTGCTGTATCGGTGCCCTCCTCCGTTTTAGGCTCCTCCGTATCCTGTTTCACATCAACATCATCATCAGCAGCTCCGCTGCTGCTTGCACGTTGTCGTTTGTTGCCAAAAGCTAGTGTGGTTTGCTTCTTGGGCGCTTGATTTGTGTTGGCGTTCGAGCCAAAGAACCTCCTGTTATAGACAAAAACATTAACGACTTGGACAGGAATAGTATCCAAAGTAGACCAGTAGGGAATGACGCAAACGCCATTCATATATCTTGACGCACCCAATCGTCTGCTGTGAATTGCGAACGTACCCCAATGTAGCCTGCTTTGCACTCTTGTTGTCGGCCATGATTTGTGGCGAGTATGATTTCGCTGTATCCCAATGGATGCTTCGCTGACTCTGGGTTTCAGAAAATGTCGAACGAAGCACTAAGCACGGTGTTCTTGTGATCGAGAAAGCTGGAGCTGGACCTAGTCCTATGCAGCTAGGTTGGTAGCGCGAGAGCGATGGAGGCGCGATCTTAGAGATTCGCAAAGCCCGCATAGACGTATCCCTCGCAGCCAAGTAGGCACTGAGTCTTCAATAAATAGACCCAGAAATCGCAATTGACCCAGGCAACACTTAGGCAGCCAGAGGTTCCAACGCGTTTCGACGCGCTAGCAGTCAGCTCACGTGCAGGGTCATTTTGCCTGAATGGGCCTAGTGGGACGCTACACCAAACCAGGATTAGTGGCCGCACCACTTCCCGGATACACCGCCTCATAATGCCGGCACCTCAAGGGCGGTATGCGCGCATCCCGCAATTTATCTATCGCCATGGTCCCGATGACATTCTGTTTACATGGTTTTATTGCTGCTTGACTTATGCTACCTGACCAACTCTTTTCAGACTCATACTTTGAGTTTTGAATGATAGCTTCTATAAGCTACAATGACAACATCCGCTCAAGAAGCTTTTCAACTGGTATGGTTCGACGCAGCTCCTCGTGCGTGGCACGCAGCTGATGTTCAAATAGCTTCGTGAGCCTTGCGTTGCGCTCAACGCAGTTGCTCTAGGCTTTCGCAGTAATCAGGGATCCGCCGCCGATGTCACTCGAGCCCTCGAGCCAGTGTACACCTGTTTGAACACACTTGCCGACGATGGTACACTCAACTCCAGAATCGCCAATTACGTCTTCGAACCACTGTCCCATATCTTTAATCAGACTCAAAGGCTTTCTGCAAGATGTCTTGAGCTTGCAATCAACTCGCTGCAGATATTGGTGTCTTGTGGATGGAGTTACGACCTTTCGCCTGTGGTGGGTAAGCAACTCATAATTATGTGCACGTTGATTGTGGCCGGACCACCGGACCAAACCCAACAGCCGCTGGTATCTGAAGAATTGTGTATTGCTGGCTTTGACTGCCTCGCTGCGGTTTTCAAAACTTTGAGAGGCGATGTTTCCCAACGAACAATCTTCCACGAAATCGGTACGGCGACAATCGTTGACCAGACGGTGTACATCCTTCTCGAGGGTATCGTCGATCAAAGGTCAGATGAAGTTTGTACAAAAGCTGCTCAAGCCCTTTATGATCTTTATGGCCGCATTACAGACCGGGTAGTCCTTGCCAGCATCATGCCTCGGACCGTTTCGGCATTGACTAAAGTTCTGAGGCCCACAACCCAAGTCCGACGATCATACTCGCTGCTAGAATTGTGTCTTCAAATTCTTACGCGCCTCTTGAAGGCTGTTCTTAACGACAAAGACGCCGCTGATACCTCCCCGCCCCCGTTGGGAAGCGAGAGAATAGCTCTGGATGAATCCTGGCTGAAGGCCACCACAACACAAATCAAGTTGGCATTGTTCAATGTCATACAGGTCCGTCGTCATGAGCGAAGTGAAGTTCAGGATGCCCTCTTGGAACTTTGCACGATGGTGATTGAACAGTGTCAAAAGACTTTGGCAGACTCCGTGCCTCTTATGGTTGAAACGATCGTCGTTCTGGCATACAAAGAAGATGAACGAAACAATAATGCGTACCAACAGCTAAGCCTCCTTGGTACCACATATCCTTTTGTGCTGGATTCTCTCAAAGAATCATTGCACACATGGCTCACATCATTTGCTCGGGTTATGCAAGGCAATAATGAGACAGCCAAACAGAGGGCACTGCGTCAAATTTCAACCGTTTTTCAGTTGTTGTCCGACGCTCAGTCAGGATCCAATCTGCTAACCATTGGCCTGGCCTCCGGTCTGTGTGAGAGTCTGGCTGCTGTCGTCAAAGAAAGTACCAACTCGCCTCAACCCTTGAACCCGGCTGATGTTATTATGTTGAGACCAAATGACCCGCCTGTGACATCTGGAGTATTCCCCTCAGTTGTTTTGGCACACCAGAGTCAACAACAGACTCTCCAGGACCTTCGCTCATTGATTGATCGATTGAACTTATCCCAATATGGAACTGAAATCGCTGGATCAATTGTGAACCGCATTAGGGTCACTGGTGATCACACCATTGCACCGTTCTGGCTAGCGATGACTTTCCTACGTGATAGAACTACGGTCACTGCAAATTTTGACGATTTCATCTCTTTTGATGCTGTGGAACAAACTTCCCTGTTACCTTCACGTGGTGAACTGATTGAAAAAATGTACCACATTTCGGTGGAAACTCTGAACGAAAACGAAACAGTCAGTGGTGAGGGTGACTGGCGTGTATCAGCTCTTGCATTGGAGGCCGTGGCACTTCAAGCCCAACACATTGGCGAAGCTTTCCGACCTGAACTCATGGATGCACTGTATCCAGTACTGGAACTGATGGCAAGTCGTAACGGAGACCTCGAACAACATGCCATTATCTGCCTCAATATTTTGACCAAAGCTTGCAATTATGAAAACGCAGGATCAATGATCGTTGCAAATGCAGACTACCTGGTGAACGCAGTAGATGCGAAACTGCGCTTCGGCGGTCCGTCACCGCTGCCGGCATCAGTTTTATGGATGATGCTGAAACTTTGCGGTGCACCATTGATCCCATACCTTGATGACGTGATTGATGTGATATTGAAGCTTGTAGATGACTATCACGGTTATCCTGCGTATGCCCGAAATATGTTCCAAGTCCTGAAATCAGTTGTGGATGAGGGGATTCGTCAGCCATCCATACTTACGATCGACGAGGGCAAAGAACATGGTCTCCAAGATAACCAGAAAGCTCGCTATGAGCATCTCTCTATCTCAGCCATTACAGCCGACATCGCCAACCGAAAGGCCAAACGCGATGAGCGCTCCAAGACTGAAGAGATAAATGCCGACGGCAAGATCTCTCACCCCAAGAAGCCATGGGCTGAAACATACGACAAACCTAAGCCCGAGCCCTCGATCGAAGAGCTCCTCGACCAAGCTGAATCCGACGAGCCACTCCCACCACCAAAGGAGCCAGAAGACGCTGAGAAACCGCTTACCAAAACACACTCTCTCCTCCTGCACATCGCCAAACAAATCCCATTACACCTAACCACACCCTCCCTCGAGCTCCGCAAAACCCTCCTCGACATTCTTACCGCCATGATCCCGGTCTTATCCCAGAACGAGAACAGTTTCCTGCCATTGATAAACGACCTCTGGCCCGCAGTCGCAAAGCGCAGATCCCCCGATCCAGTCGGACCCATGACGAAACAAGCGTCGCTTCGACCCAGAAGAAACTTGACTCCCGACACAGAGGAAAACATAGCAAAGGATCTCTATGTCACAGAAGCCAGAGTCAAAGCAATGGGAGCGATGTGCCGAGCCGCCGGCGACTTCATGGCCTCGCGCGTCGAAGCAGACTTCCCATCATGGAATTCCTGGTACGAGTCTAAGTGGACGACAATGACTCTTTGGGCCAAATATGGACAACCCTACGCTGAAGCATATGCTCTGATCCCCGAAAAGATCCGGCTTGAGGGCTCTGCTACCAATGCCGAAAGTGGCGCTCGCATCACTTTGAAGATCCCCTTCAATCCGCACCTCACTATCGATGACTCGTACCATGGCCCTAGTCACTTCACCGAAGGCCATCGTCATTGGCGTGCAATGCTTGACCTCTTTTTGAACATGCTTGAGAATGTTCGCCTGCCTCTAGAAATGGGAGATAAGATCTGTGAGCACCTTGTCGCGTGGATTTCGCTGTTTGTCAGTGCAGATTACTTTTTCCACGAGAAGAGGACCGAGACTATTGATTTCGATCCGGGTGAGGCAATTCGTCCTGTTGAGAGGGCTATTCATGCGATGGAGGCTTACAATGCCGATCTGACCTGGTTCTTGTTTGTGAAGCACCTTGTCGGGAAGGATGGGTACGGGTCGATTGAGGTTAAGGGTGACGAGGATGTTATGGATGTGAAATTGGGTGGTGAGGGTGAGCATCAGATTGTTTGTCGACTGGCTGAACTGGTTTTCTAGTTCTTACTTTGAACGGTTCTATTGAGTACATTGAGGTGATTGTTTCATCCGAAGTGCGAGGGAGTTGAGCCTCAGCTGGCCAAGGTGTTTTGAGGAGTTTCTTGAATTGTTGAGCATCTTGCATAGCGTGAGACATTGTTTGGTTTACATGTACAACTAGACATTTCAAATATTGATAATGAGAATCTGTCAAAAAGCTTTCCATTGGACATAGAGTATCTAGGACTTGACTCAGGCCTGTAGATAGTTTGTGCGGTATGAGGACGAGGTGTGATATCACAACGTTTTACGAGCGTGCAGTATGTGAAAAGCTACATATACGAGCCAGTTTGTAAGGCAAAATGTTGATAATAAGACCAGATTGATAGTAATTGTCGATAAAGGAGTGGCGACTGGTTAAACTAAATGATGAGAACGCAACTGGAAAGTCCAATCGAGTATATCCAAAGAATAAAAATTCCAAAAATTTAATGCAAGTGAATGCAGTGATAGCAGACACGAGACCAAATACGAACTACTCGCTCTCCTCATCACTGTCCTCATCGCTCTCAGCACTCTCGAGCCACTCAATGAAAGGCTTGGCAGCCTTGTGGATCTTCTTGCTAGTGGCGATGTCGACGTACTTCTTGCTGGTCTTGGCGCCCCAGGCCTTGAGGGTCTCCTCAGACACAAGGTCGTTCTGGTAGTAACCCAGCAGGATAGCAGGGATCTGCGCAACGAGAGCAGGGTGGTCCTGACCAACGAAGCGCTCGGTACCGCCGAGGAAGGCCTTCTCGTGACGCTCGGAGCTGATCATCTTCTTGAGGAGACCGGCACGACCCTCGATCTGCTTGGCAATCTTCTCGTCGAAGATGCTTTGAGCAAGGACGGCACAGGTCTTGTGCTTGGTCTCAATGCCAAACTCCTTGGCCTTCAGGTAGATCTCGACGTCGGACACGTTGGTAACACCACCCTTCTCAGCGGCAGTCTCGATGATCCAGCTGCCCAGCTGCTCGTAGGAGGAGGGGCCGTCGGCGCCTTCATCGTCACCGTCCTCGATGACAAGGGCACGCTTGAGGTCCGAGGGGAGATCCTTCGCGCGAGCCTTCACGGCCTCCTCGGAAACGTCAACAGCCCACTCATCATCCTTGATCTCGGTCTCAGCCTCAATGGCCTGGGCCTGGCGGATCACCTCGTCATCGCTACCGGCCTGAGGGGCCTCATCGGCATCATCACCGTTCTCGGAGTTGTTGCTGTCACCAGGGCTGGCGTCCTCGCCGTTGGCAGACTTCTCTCTCTGGCGCTCACGGCGGGTCTTCTTCTTGTCCTTCTTGCCACCCTTGGGGTTGTTGCGAACAATGAAGGTGCTCAGCTTGAGGCGGGGGTCAACGTCGGAACGCTGACCACAAGCCTTGCAGTCCAGTGTGATTTTCTCATCCTTGATGGAGACATCGGTTTCGGGGTTCTTGCACTTCTTGCAGAGAACGAACTTGGAAATGAAACCATCGAGGTAGTCCTGGAGCTTGGGGGCATCGTGGGAACCGTTGATGATCCAGCGTTCGTCGGTGGGCTTGGCGTTGGCCTGGGCACCGAGTTCAAAACCGAAGTACTTGATGAGGTATGCAGGAGGACGGCTCAGAGACTTGGCGACAGAGTCGAGGTTGACGACAACGGTCTTGATACCGTTGCCCTTGCCTTCGACCTTGGCCTGGAGCTTCTCCATCTTGTAGCGATAGAAGGGATCAGTGACATCCCGGCGAATGTTAACAGTGGCCATGATGACGGTTTATTTTGACGATTGTTCACGAGAGAACGATGGGCTTGCGAGAAAGGAGGCGAAGAGATCTTGATTTAAAAGTTTGTTGATAAAACGACATGCGTGTCGATTTTGTTGTCTTGATTGTGAGGTGATTCACAACGTTGGTTCAACCACAAGATCTGAGGTGTATGCTGCAAGGTTTCGACGCGCGAAACGATTGCAGCTTGGGCGGCAGGTAATGTTCGAAATTTTGGACGTAGGACGAATACATAGACAAGTTCGCAGACGACGTCTCAATGTGAGGCTTTCTGAGAACAGCTGAAGTTCTTTGGGGAATCCGAGTCCGAGGCCGGAGACCCGTTGGTGTGTGGCGGAAATTGATGATGGCGAAGCCTGACCAATAATAAGCGTAGAGCGTAGAACTAAAAGTTCACGCGAAGAAAATGCAGGCTTCGTTCTGTAAAGCCTTCAGTGGATGGATGGGTGGAAGAGAGAAGAAGGCGTTGGAGGTGGGAAACAAAAAGGATTTTAAACTGACAAATAAGGGTTATGTCAGCCGGCACGTGCCGGGCAAAACTCGGAGGTGGACGATATATGCCGTAGACTCCGAAGTCATTTGATTGTTTCAGTTCATCTATATCTACAGTATGGAGTCGCAGATAGAATGCATATCAACAATAGCATTGTCATGCAGCTTCGTAGTCGTTGCTTCGACGCAGTCCAAACCTTGTAGTTGTACCCCACCGCGGGCACACAAGCGGCAGTAATCTTCCTCCTACAATGAAGAGGGCCTGAAGTGTTGTACAAATATAGCCTGTCTCAAGTTGTCTCTTAGTTCTACTCAAGTCCTACATTTCTTCGCGTTCGTCTAGACATCATGGTCGACCTCTCGCTATACCTGGTCACAGACTCCACCCCGGCCATCCTGAAGGGCCGGGACCTCTGTACGGTTGTTGACCAGGCCCTCCAGGGAGGTAAGTGTGCCCAGGACTTTTGACCAATCACTCCACTGACCCTCTGCAGGCGTAACGGTGGTGCAATACCGGGACAAATCCAACGATACCGGAGTCTTGGTCGAGACTGCCCGGAAACTTCACCAGATCACCCAAAAGTACAATGTACCGCTCTTGATTAATGACCGAGTCGATGTTGCTCTCGCCATTGGGGCTGAGGGTGTGCATCTCGGTCAAGATGACATGAGTGAGTCGCCGCGGCTTCAATTTAGATATATATACTGATGATGTAACCGCAGAGTATGAGGAAGCAAAGAGACTTCTCCCCAGTAATGCCATCATTGGGATCAGTACTTCTTCCATTGAGGAAGCCAGGAAGGCCATCGCAGATGGTGCCGACTACCTTGGAATTGGTACTATGTTTGCCACCCCTACGTATGTCCTCAACCCGAAGTCAAGCTGGATGGTCGCTGACAACTCGCAGTAAAACCAACACCAAGTCAGTCATTGGAACTGCGGGCACTCAGATTATTCTGGATGCTATCAACGATTCTTCCGTGGGGACTGTCTCGATTGGCGGCATCAACCACTCCAATGTGCAGAGAGTCATCTACCAGTCTCAGTCTCCCAAGAAGGCACTGGATGGAGTAGCCATCGTCAGTGCCATCATGGCAGCCGATGACCCAACGGCATCCGCTAAGCTGTTCGCCGAACTCATTAAGAACCCTCCCCGGTTTGCCGTGGCCCCCGCTGCCCCTCGTTCTAACGAAGTCGAGGCCCTGTTGACCGAGGTGCCTCAAGTAGTCCGCAAGATGGTTGAGGTACACCCTCTAGTGCACAGCATGATCAACATTGTCGTGGCAAACTTCGTTGCTAACGTTGTTCTCTCCATGTAAGCTTCCCTATCAACTTGAAACTGTGCTTTCTCGTGCTAATAATATTTAGTGGCGCATCCCCAATCATGTCCCCATATGGCGACGAAGCCACAGACTTGTGTAACCTTGACGGTGCACTCCTGATCAACATGGGAACTCTTACTAGCGACAGTGTCTCCAACTACCTCAAAGCCATCAAGGCATACAATGAGCGTGGCAACCCTGTAATCTATGATCCCGTCGGTGCCGCTGCTACCCACATCCGCCGCAATGCGGTTTCCCAGCTTATGGCTGGTGGTTACTTTGATTTGATCAAGGGTAACGAGGGCGAGATTCGTCAGGCTTGGGGTAGCAGTGCTGTCCAGCAGCGTGGTGTCGATAGCGGACCGAGCACTCTAGATAGCAAGCAAAAGGCAACCCTAGCCCGAGACCTTGCTCGGAGAGAGCGTAAGTTAATACAGCCATATTCCATGTGTACATTTCTAATATTTCACAGGCAACATCGTCCTCATGACTGGAGCAACAGATTACCTCAGCGACGGCGAGCGAGTGATTGCCGTCGAGAACGGCCATCCATACCTCGGCCAAGTGACTGGAGTATGTAGCCAATCCCTTCATTATTCAATGCAAACTAACATTCATCCCTAGACTGGTTGCGCCATCGGCACAATCGCCGGCTGCTTCCTGAGTGCCCATCGCTCGGACAGACTTCTCGCCGTGCTATCCGGTTTACTCATGTACGAGATCGCCGCTGAGAACGCAGCAGCCAGCGAGCATGTTCGTGGCCCTGGTAGCTTCGTGCCCGCCTTCCTTGATGAGCTGTACGCCATCCGCACTGCTGTGGCGAAGGGCGATGATAGCTGGTTTGTTGGGCGGGCCAAGGTGCAGGAGATTGAGCTGTAGATACAGATTGCTAGTCTAGATGTACCAAAAGTTATTCATATTTCGAAGTGCAGATGATATATGTAATTTACTGTCGAGTATACGTTTCCCTCGGCTCCCCGCATCTCCGACTCCGATTCCCCGCGGCGGCGGCCGACGTCCCCTCTGATTTCATTCTTCTACTCTACCTCTCCTTGCGCTTTCTAGTTCATACTATACCATTGAACCGACAAAATGACCACCAACTCGCGCGCATCGCGCATCCGTGAGTATCCTTACTTTCCCTCTTCAATACACAACTAACACCAATCGCAGGCAACCCCGCGCTCTTGTACGCTTATCCAAACCACCCAAAAAGTCCCCAAGACGAGCACTAACAAGCAAAGCATCTGCGACATCCAAGAGAAATTCCGCGGAATCTACGAATTCCCCAAACTGTACGAACAAACCCACCCCAATCCACCATATCCAAAAAATACAAAGCCAATCTAATATATATACCCAAAAGCATCTCAACAACCCAAAAAATGCTCAAAGCAGCCACAACCCTCCAAACTCCAGTCTTCATAACAACCCAAAACAGATCCAAACTGGGCAACACAGTAGCAGAACTACAACCACACCTATCCGGCCCAAACATCCGCGCAGACGTGGACAAAACGCTCTTCTCAATGATAACGCCTGAAATCTCGAACCTTCTTCCACAAACCGGGCCCGGCTCTAGCTCCAGCTCCGGAACTACGAACTTGCCGTTGGATGTGATCATCGTCGGTATCGAGACGCACATCTGCGTGACGCAAACCACGCTTGATTTGTTAGAGCGCGGACATCGGGTTTATATTCTTGTTGATGGGGTTAGCAGTATGAATTCTGAGGAACGGGGGATTGCATTGGCTAGGTTGAGGGATGCGGGTGCCATTATCACTAGTAGTGAGAGTGTTCTTTTTGAGATTATTGGGGATGCTGGGCATGAGGGGTTTAGGGCTGTTAGTGGGTTGGTCAAGGAGAGTAAGGAGGAGACGAAGGGGGCTTTGGGGGCCTTTTCGAAGATTTAAAGTATCATTTTTCGGTGGTTAGTGTTAGTTGGGGTTTGGTACGGTACGTTTGAAAAGAGAATGTTTTGGCATGGACCATGTAGATTGATTCGATCAAGTTTTTTTTTTTTTTTTTTTTTTTTTTTTTTTGGATCCTGCATCCCATGCCTTGTTAACTTGCAGCGATGAGACTGCCACTATGAAGACAATGTATTTCCATCCATTGTAAAAGCCCTAGCACCTGCTCCTGTCCTGTCCGGTCATATTCTGTCACTTTTCTTGTTTGCTGTTCCCAAGCATGCGTCTTGGGAAATATGCTCGTTACTTTTCGTAAACTCAAGTCGTAAACCCGGAATCATTCAAGATCCAGATGTGATCCCAGCAACGAGTCCTAGTTTATTTCATCTAGGTTGGGCCTCGCTGGGCGGGGTTGAGCCATCCAAACGCCGAAGCACCGCCAACTGGGTTAAGTGCATCCATGTCAGAGGGGCTAGACTGGTTAGCGCCGTGGGACTGTGGCTTTTCGGCAAATTCGCCTGCAGTGCTTCCAGGCGTGTGAGGGTTTGTGCGAATGTTGGATTTGACAGTTCGGAAGACTTTCATCTCGCGCTTATCGGGCATCTTAGTGGCCTTCTTTGTCTCACGTCTCCAGGAAGCCCAGGGGGGCATGTTCTCGGTCCTGGGGGCTGCGGTGGGCTGGGCGTTGGCTGCAGTTCCGCGTACTCCAGTTTGAGTGGACTCGTCGCTATGAACGCGTGGCTTCTGAGCATCGCCGTTCCCAGTCTCTGGAAGGCTGGAGGAGAAAGGGACAGAGGCTGGGATTTGGGAAAGGCCTGGAGGGGGGCGAATGACACCGGGAGAGGCGCGTCCATTAGTGTGGCTCCCTAACTGATCCTGGTTGCAGGAACCGGGAGAAGTGCATAGGCTTTTGAATACGGTGTCCTTCTCGGGACGCACAAGAGGAACAGAAACACGGTTGCGGTCATCATCCACCATGATCAGCTTGTCAAGGGAGAACCAGATGTCAGCATTGTGAGCGCGCAACACGTCACTTCCAATGATTATCTGAATGGTGTCGTCGGTGGATTCAGTCTGGCGAACAACGAAACGTACAGTCACAGCAGGGACTTGGTGGATGGGAGTACCGGAGGAAGCTTGATGGATGAGGGCCTCAGGAAGATAAACCGGGAGCTTGATGTACGAGACATCATCATCATGTGTAATCATATCCTCCAACCCAAGGTTGCGAACCAACGCAAGGCTCAAGTATGAGACGTAAGAGCCAGAGCAAACGGCGGCGTAAAGCAAAGAGGCATTAGTGAAGTCGTCACTTATCCAGCAGCGAATGATAGAAGGCACAGGGCCAAGCAAGAAAAGTCCAGGCGGGGGTATCATTGGGGAATCGAGCGAAGTGAGCCCGGACAGTCGGCCAGTGTTTAGACGCAGGCTGTTGGTGCGCGCGGAATGGTGCGAATGGCCACCGTCGGACTGGTGAGAGGATGTCCGCTCAAGGAGTGGATGGCTGCTCAGACCGCTGCCAGTTCGGAGAGGCAGTTCAGTGCTGTTGCGATTAGCCTGGCCATATCCGTGAATGGCGCTCTCGTCGAAGCGAACGCTGTTAGCACGCGAGGTTCCCCGCCGAGGCTCCTCGTCCACGTCGAACGCAACCGCCGAGGTAGACATGGCGGAGTGGTGACCTTGGTCAAAACCCTTGAAAGCGTCCGGGGGAGAATGAAAGGAAGGGTCTAGAGGAGGACATGGTAAGTGGTGTAGTGAAGTGAGAGTTGGGTGGGTTGTTACCTGGAGCTGATGTGCCCACCGAGCTCGGAAAAGGCGACGTCGGTCCCCAAGGGCTTCTCAGACGCGCATCCTCGTCTCGACGGCGCTCTAGCTGAGCGATTCGTTCACCTTGCGCAATATTGGATATCTGAAGGTCCTTCAGCTCTTCAAAGACGCGCCAGATATCGTCCCGGGAGGCGAAAGGATACTGTGCATCCATCGCCTGTGAAGTGGGTGATGAGAAGAGGTTCAGAGGGGGAGGGTGTCGGAGTCGTATCTGAGAATATCAGGGCACGTGTCTTCAATCCAAGTCTGGCAGTTGATTCAACTCCTCTATCCTCTCTCCTCCCTCCAACTATCTGTGAGACGGCCCACCGGCCGTCCACCCTGTCTCTAAGGAACAAGTGTTGAACTCGATCAATAGGCGCGACCTTATGAGTGTCGATGAAATAGTCCGGAGAGCTTAGCGATGCGATGGAGACAGTGTCGGGGAGGTTCAATAATGGAGACTTGGAAACGTGTGACGTAGGGAAGGAACGCGTGCAGTGTCACGGGATCGGGTAATGGCGGAGACAATGAGGTCAGCGTAGAGCCTCAGGTGTGTATCGAGAAATAAGGCAAGATCGAAGTTGAAGCGGAAGTTGCAGTGTAAATGGGGATGTGACGGCCAAAGTTGGAGAGGAACGTGGACTGCGGAGAGGGGCTAGACCGCTTACTCCACTAACGGTTGTATGCTTATACTTCATACTCTTACTTCTACTTCTACTTCACTGAAATCCGACAAATTTTGTATAAACATCATGCTCGATCTCTAAAACTAACAATTTCAAAGTCTGCTTCTCCAATTGCTTCATTTCGGGGCATCAACCCATGAAGGGAACACCATCGGAAGGTTATCCGGCATCTGATCAGGCCAATTAGTCTCAATAACCTTCATGACTTCATCATAAACAATGCGATAACCAGCAGGAGCCAAATGTAATCCTGTTCAAGTTAGCACAAGCCCAAAATACCCAGAATAGATCTCCACGCACCATCAGTCAGAAGACCCGAGAGTGTCTCAGAATTCGGAGCATCACGAGAGCCAACCAAAGCCTGTCCCTCTTTCCATCCCGCAGCTTTCATAAAAGCAGACCAAAGATCCGCCACAGGGACATTGAGCTCAGCACCAACTTCCCGTGCAGCATCAGCATACTGTCTAGCCCCACTGGCTGTCCTGCTTGGGTGCGGAGACTCCTTTGCAGCATCAAAGCTCTCCAGCTGATACTCATTGATGGGCGGGGGGCTCATCAAGATGATACGCGGATTCTGTGCGCGCGTGGCTGGATGCTGGATGATGGTTTTCAGGTTCTGCTTGTATATCTCCACAGGCACATGCTGGCTGTGGCCTGGGACACATGCATCATTTGCGCCGAAGAAGATTGTCTATTTCGTTGTCCAATTGGTAAGTCTGTGTTGGGATTTTGAAAGGGACTGGTTTTGGGTTGCTCACCATGAAGCGCACGGTGGCTGTTTCTGGGCTAGGGAAGAATTTGTCAAAGACTTTGATGGCATGTGCTGTGGTATATCCGCTGGGCTTGTTAGTATTCAGTCCAGGCTGGTGATGGGTGTTAGAGTATCTTACGCAAGACCTCGGTTTACCACATCTAGTCTTCGGCTGTAGGCTGATTGTTTATAAGCGTTTTGCTGTGCGATATGGGTAGATGGGATACTCACATTCTTGGAGTGCGGCATGGAAAGCGAAGCCTAGTTCTTGGTTGCAAGCCATCTGCGTGATGGAGTCTCCGAAGAGAATGAACTGGTCATATGGCTTGAACATGTCGTCTTGAGTTTGTGAACCCATATTCAAATAATTATGTGATTCGAGCTCAAACGGTAGAAGTCGTGGAGAGAGTAGAAGTGAGGAGAATAGACTTGAAAGCGACGAGATAGGAAGTGGGGGTTTGTTCCGTGGACGAAAGGGAAATCGGTGGAGCTTCGCTTGCAACACAACATTGGATCAGGTACATGTTTATATATCCTATCTTCTATACGTAGTGTAGTTCATCTGGAATTTATCCACCAATTGTTCATTCCGGTAGTTTGTCTGTATAAGTTCGGCCTAATTCCCCCCGCACCACGCCCAACATTTCACCAGAGCCAATATGGCTAGGTAGAGGATGATATAGTTATCTCCTAGGAGACTCAATTAGCTGATTATTCTAGTTAGAATCCATTGTTGAGACCCGACTGACAATAGTTATATATGTACTTACGGCCATAGAAACAGCTGTAGCTAACTAGCCACAAGCCGCTCGTCGATGACAGCACGCAGAAGCGATCCCTGTCGGAATATGCCGATGCACTAATGTTACTTAAAGAGCAAAGCTTAACCAAGGAGGCTCTCCTGGGCCAGATCTGATATTCAATAGATCTCGGGGTATACAAAAACCTGACCCAGCACCAACACTGGGCATAAATGAATTCCGGGTTCATACTGTAAAGACGCTGGTCCCTCACACAGTGGCGTCAGCTATATAAAGCGTGCCAAGAGATCAGCATTAAATGGCGATCGGATTGGATGCATGGAGGATCCCTTTCGGCCGGGCATTCCCCAAGGTAGAAGGATTCCCGAGATCTCGAGATCATGAGCATACTCCAGTGACCATTAGTTCTGTATTAGTCAAGGCCAAGCAAGAATCGAGTTCAGATGACAGTGACTGAGACAGTCGCTAAGCCATGGGGGTATACAACCCGAATCCACTTGGGCATGCTAGATGTTAGATTGGCTGCCTCTGCATGGACCCTGAGCTCCGAGCACAGGGTGAACAAGGTGGCCGGACAATGGCATCTGCATCTCATCGAATCATGGCAAAACATTCCTTACCGTTGACTCAGAGCTCTTTATTCGCCTATCAGGGCGCTTTGTTTCGGGGGAGGATCAGCGGTAAACGCGGGGAGGGGCGGAATGGCATTAATACCTCTCCAATCGAGGGATCAAATCATGGGTGGACGATGGCCGATGAATGTAGAATAAATTAGAGATGTGCAGTGACATGTACATGTACAGTAGACAGTGGATGCGGGTCAGACTGCACTTGCACCTGACGCGTCCACTACGGCGTCGATCACCTGTGTTCAAAGGGTTCCGCTTTTCCTCACCTCCTCTGATCTACTTTCTTATCTTTCTTTTCCTTTTTCCTCACCGGGCTCACATAGAAAGTGAGAGAGATATGCGTCTCGGTCAGTTCAGCCCCTATCTTTGCTCGGGTGGCTTTGTTTTGCCGCGTACACACCTTACATGTGGAACGGAACCGACATATTCCAACTGCATCTGGAACTGACAAGTCCCAGCCCCACTGCCCATAACTGAAGCATAAAGGCTTCACGACATGCCTCGGTCTCTTCCCAAAGTCAGCTCTGCCTCGCGCGAGCAAGAGGATGTCGAGAACCCACATACCACTCGCACAGCACCGCCCTCCCCGACGGCCTACAGACGATCCCAAAGTTACCTCGCCGAACCACACACGGGCTACCAATCCCTCGATGCCCCACTAGAGGTTACAGAAAATACAAGCCTCTTGGGTTCTGCCCAGGGGTCGGGCAGACGAGCTCCGCGGCGATCATACACCAGCACGTCCGGTGCATCGATCCTGGGGACGGAATCATTGCGGCACCTTCTGGCAGCCGGGAGTCTGCGTCGAACACGGAACCACAGCCGAGCCAACTCTGTCGGCAAGCGGATGAGCCGTCGGGGAAGTATTGACGACGAGAGTAGACCGGCTAGTCTTCCTGCGTCCACCAAGGATAATCTGACTGCTTCATCATTCCTGGATGAGCGTACCTGGTATGATCAATTCACTTCTACCGACTGGGTGCACGACAGTATCGCCGATGGAGCTCGCCTTCGCCTACTCCGTCAACGTAAAGACATTCGCGGCCGACTTCTGGCTGCTTTCGATGGTGCGCAAGGATGGATATTGGTTGCTCTGATTGGCTGTATTACAGCTGCCATCGCTTACTTTGTCGACACCACTGAGGGTGCGCTATTCGATTTGAAGGAAGGCTTCTGCACGACCCGCTTGTTTAGAGGTCGACGGAGCTGCTGCGAGGGTTTGGCCATTTGTGATGGATGGCGGACCTGGTCGAGTATCTTCCGGCCATCCAACACTGACAACATATGGATCGACTTCTTTATGTTTGTAGTATGGGTTGTGGCTTTGGCTCTCATTTCATGCGCGTTGACTTTGCTTACAAAGACCGTTGTTCCTTCGTCTATTTCTCTCGCTACGCTTGATGAGAACCTGGGCGCCGACTCCCGAGGTACGAAATCTGGAAATGGACTTGAAGCTTTGGCGTCACCTCTCTCCGAGCCAGAATCTAGTCCGCCGCCACATGGAAGCTTTCCGAATCACCCACCGCGTCCGGCTATGATCTATTATTCTGCTGCTGGCAGTGGAGTTGCCGAAGTCAAGGTCATCAACAGTGGCTTTGTTCTTCATGGATATATGGGATTGAAGACACTAGTCGTTAAGACCATTGGTCTTATATTTAGTGTTTCCTCTGGTCTGAGTCTAGGCAAGGAAGGTCCATACGTTCACATTGCCACGTGTGTTGGCAACATTTGCTGTCGTTTGTTCGCCAAATACAATCAGAATGATGGTAAGCGACGTGAGGTCTTGAGTGCCAGTGCTGCTAGTGGTGTTGCTGTCGCTTTCGGTGCTCCCATTGGCGGTGTTCTGTTCAGTCTCGAAGAAGTCAGTTACTACTTCCCACCGAAGACCCTCTTCCGAACTTTCTTTTGCTGTATTGCGGCAACTCTATCTCTCAAGTTCCTCAACCCCTATGGAACTGGCAAAGTCGTCCTCTTCGAGGTCCGATACTTGTCCGACTGGGAGATATTTGAGATCTTCGTCTTTATCCTCCTCGGTGTAATGGGAGGTGCAGCTGGTGCTCTTTTTATCAAAGCCTCGAGCTTGTGGGCTCGGTCATTCCGACGTATCCCAGCCATTAAGCGGTATCCAATGCTGGAAGTTTTCCTGGTTGCGCTGATCACAGGTCTCGTCAGCTTCTGGAACCGATACACCAAGCTTCCTGTCACTGAGCTACTATTCGAGCTGGCGAGTCCATGTGAATCGGACGTGGAGAGCACTGGGCTTTGTCCCCGCGAAGAAGGCATTCTCGATATCGTCCAGTACCTCATGGTGGCATTTGTTATCAAAAGTGTTCTGACTATCATCACATTCGGCATCAAGGTCCCTGCAGGCATTTATGTCCCGTCCATGGTGGTCGGTGGTCTGATGGGACGGATCGTCGGACATTTGATTCAATACTGGGCTCTTATGCATCCAACATTCTTCTTGTTCGACTCTTGCCCTGCTATTGCTGGAATCGAGTCCTGCGTGACCCCTGGCGTCTACGCTTTGATTGCCGCAGGTGCAACTATGTGCGGTGTGACACGGTTGTCAGTTACGCTAGCTGTCATCCTCTTTGAATTGACAGGAAGTCTCAACCATGTTCTTCCGTTCTCTCTGGCAGTTCTTTGTGCCAAGTGGACAGCAGATGCCATTGAACCTCGCAGCATTTATGTAAGTTACTTTCCAGCCTCCCTCGTCTTTCCGTACTGACCAAACAGGACCTTTTGACCGATATGAACTCCTACCCATTCCTCGACAGCAAGCTCCAACCAACAACCGACGCAGAGCTGGGTGATATCGTCCGACCGGTGCGGAAGAACCGAGTAATCGATATCTCCGAATCGCCATTCCTGTCCGCACCACAGCTTCGTTCAAAGCTGGAGCATCTACTCATGGCCGGTGAACTGGACAGTGGACTCCCAATTCTGCGTGATGGTGTCTTGACAGGACTGATTCCGGCACCTGATCTCGAATACGCATTAGATACCCTCGGAGACGAAGAAGAAAATACAATCTGTCTGATGGCCATGGATGCATCTATCGCTATCTACGATAGTGAGAATGAGGATGCTGAGCAGGTTGACTTTACTCGATATATTGACCCGGTAAGTTTGGAAATCCCCCTGGCTGTGACATCGATCTAACAAGCTCTAATTTAGGCTCCAATTGCTCTTGATGTTCATTCTCCCATTGACCTGGTTTACCAATGCTTTGCCAAACTTGGTCTTCGATATCTCTGCGTTACCCAGGGCGGCAAATATGCTGGCCTTGTGCACAAGAAGGCATTTGTCAAATTCATGAAGGATAATAGCGACTAGGTCTTGTTGTTCATCTTATTTACTACCGGTGGATTCTTATCTTCGCATTTCCGGGCGTTTTCTTTCCGAGACATTCTGATTTCACTCATTTCGCATAGCCTTGCATATCCTCTCACTTCATGTCTATATTCTGCGTTTGATCTGCATTGTCTCTCATTTTCATGTGCATAGTACTGCCATATGCAAATATGGTTACAGACCGAGTTATCGACGGACATATCTTGTTGAACATCAAATCTATTCTATGATCACAAAGCCCAGCCAGAACAGACTAAACCTTCTCAAACCCAACCATTTGAACCTCAACATCCCCCTCACTCTTCCACAACCCATCCACCTCTTCCCCAACCCACTCAGAAACCTCCGCAGAACTAGCAGCCCGCCACCCACTCCCCTCATCAAGCCGATCAACCGGGAAGAAAGTATCACACTCGAAAGACCCGTCGCCCCCATCAACCCCCTTCCTGACAACATTCGTCATAACAACTCTCAATGCCCGTCCCCCTAACCCACCACCCCCCTGCAACCGAATAGCGGCATTATAAATCTCTGCACCGCCAATTACAAAAACCTTCCCCAAAATCCCCTTCTCCCCATACTCAACATCAAGTCGTTCCAGCGCCTGCTCCAAGCTAGGAACAACAATCGCATCCGTCACCGGCTCAACCTTCTTCTCTACGTTCTCATCCCCATCTTTCTTAGCAGCAGCAGCTTCAGCAGACTTCTTCGCCATCCTCTGTCGCCGCCCAACCAACTCCCCAAGAACCCCCTTCTTAACAGACCCCGTCATATCACGTGTAACAACAACAGATATCCGCTTCGCAAGCGGGCGCAAATTGACAGGCACCGAATCGTATGTCTTGCGACCCATGATTATGGCATTTGTTTGGCCGGAGGTTGGTGGGCGTGATGTGACGCGCGCGAAAAATGTCATGTCTGTTTTTATCCGGGGCCAAGGCAATGTGCCCTTCAGACCGATTCCGAGGCGTGTTGTTGTTTCTTCTGTTGCGTGTCGAAGGGGGGGAGGTGTTGTTGCCACTATTAGGGTTAGAGGATTTGGGTGTGGCATTTTGAATAAGTTGGTTGGAGTCTTCGGTTTGGGCTGAGTTGTCTGGGTTAAATTCGTATGGGAGAGGGAGTGAGTGTGGTTGATGTGGTGTCGCGTGTTGAGGTGATTTGATGGGGAGTTGAGTCGCGTCGGGAGAAATAGTTTATCGGGCTTATCGCCCCGCATGTAGACTTGGTTATATTATATGGCCTTTGTGAATAGGACTAGGATTACTGGTGGACTTCATTACTGTAGTTTATCATATCTGATTGTCAGAATTCAAAATGTACAAATCTAATCGTCTACCCAATTCAAAGAAAGCACATTGATAGAATGGCATCAATATCAAATCCCCACACCATCGAAACGCCAGACGGGGCATACCCTGTCAGATATCCCGTAGAACCCAAACTCCAGCCAGACTCAAGTAGCCCATGCAGATATGTACAGACATAAGCTGGTCACTTCTCGACAGAAGGCATCAACAATCCACCCTCAATAGCCTTCTGCACAGCCTGCGCATCCTGATCCAGCTTCTCTCTCCGCTCGACATCGCGCGCACTCTCGCCAAGTGTATCTAATTTTCCGAAGAGCCATGTTTCTTTCATTGTTCGGGTTAGGCCGAGGAGATCTTCTGCGGCGCGGATCTGGTGGTTGGATGTTAGCTTTGTTTTTGTTGAGGCTGTGTTGTGGTGGAAGCAACTGCCCCGGGAGCTGCGGTTAAAGGCCCAGTAGGGTGTTGAGGATATTGCATTGACTCACCAGCGCAGTCGATTCCACATCTAGCTGGTATGTTTCCACGGCCGTGGAGGTGTAGCTTGGATTGTCGACCTGGTGTGGGTTGTCAGTATATTTCCACTGGGGCATGATAGAAGAGTGAGAAAAAATGCGCAAGTACTCACAGTAGCTGTTGCCATGATATTCTCGAACCGCTGTAGCAGTTGCGAGATATCGGTGTTGATGCGATCTGCCGGATATCTGGTGTAAGCGAGTGTCGAGCAAAGCATCGGGGATTTCTAGGTCGAAAGGCTCAGAGGTCAGAAGGCGTGGGACTCACTGTGCAGCGCCTTGGCTGTAGGCTGGGACTCCATTATTGAATTGTTGGATTGGACTCCGTCGAGAATTGATATCAGTTGGTCTTGTCGATACGGTATAAGGCGGTGAGGGTGGAAGTACATCGGCCAGAGGTTCGAATATGCAATTGATTTTGGTAAAAGAAATTTCTGTCGGATGAGATCTATGAGACCGCTGGAAAAGCTTTTAAGTTCCAAGAATCATCAAAACAAGAAGCAGTACCAGCTGTTGGCGCCCAGATTTAAGAAGATAAGATGAATCTGCCTCCCGTAGTGTGGGGGAGAACGTTCACGCGCATTTGGCCAGACTCCACCAGGACCTACTCCAGTATCCTTCGTTGACATCAATATTTTCAAGTTGTTCACAAGGCACTGGCTGAAATTAAAGAAAGCATTCATTCGCTAAACTGGTATCCTAAGTTATCCCCCGATGTCATCTAACGCACGTATTTGCCCTATAGCATTGTTAGCAGCAGATATATAAGGAAGCTTCAGGTCCAATACGTACCATGAAGCGCTTGTGGAAGTCGGAACGAAGTAGATCCTAAAATGAACATTAGCTTCACTTGTCAATATCCGAGCAAGACCAGGAAATGCATACGTTGACGAATTCCTTTCCATCGCGGTTCTCCGTTCCTCGGGCCTGGTTTTTGAACACAACGTCGTCGTCCCAGCGACGCTTCATATTGAAGTCTTGAGCGTTGAGCAAAGGGTTGCCGCGTGCGATATCAACCTCACGCTGCTCCTCTTCCTCTGCAGCCCGTTCGCGCTCCTACTATGTATTAGCCAGAGCCATGGAGACAAGTTCAATGATCGTACCTCTTTCTCTTTTTGCTCAAGACGCTCTTTTTTGATCTTCTCCAGCTCGCGCATTAATTCTGCTGCTTCGTCCTCGTCGTCACTATAATTGATCAGTATATGTTTGGAAAGTAGAGTATCTCGGTCCAACCCACCTATCCTCGTCACTGCTGTCTTCTTCTGACCCATCGGAATCGGCGTCTATATCACGCGACTCTTCCAATATCCGTCTGCGCTTGGCTTCTGGGTCTTCTTCTTGTAATTCGTCACTAGCATCTTCGGGTGCGGCCTCGAGCTGGCGCTTGGGGGCTGATTCGATGATAGCGGGTGTGTCGACGGGAACGCCGTTCTTCTTGGCGAAATGAGCGGCCTCAGCCTGGAGAAGCTCGGCGCGCAAGTCGCGAGGGGCTGCGTCTGCGTCGCCACCTTGTCCGGGTTGGCTGCGTTATGTTAGTGAAGACTCCGGATCTCTGCCAGATGGACTCCATACCGGGTCTTCAAGTGTGTATGAGCGGGAAGGAGACGCTGGTGGTAGGCCGGGCCACGAAGGGCCTCTTTTCCTTGTGCCTGTTCAATCAGTCAGTAGCTATCTAGGGCGAAGAGATGCTTTTTTTTTAAAAAAAAGGCTGCCGTACCGGATCGAACGTTGGTCTGTGAGCTAGAAATTGTTAGACTGAGCTCCGTATCGAGGTTTTAATCAGAAACTTTAGCGTACCTGTAGTCATTTTGGAGGAACAGTCAAAGTTGAACTTCTGCGCTTCAACTCCGCGTTCAAGATGAAAGGCCAACCTCTCCCCGAGGCGACAGCCTCTCTATTCACCGCCAACCCACCACGTACTCCTATTGGTCCCGGCACCGGGCCAACTCCTCTTCCAATGCGTTCTATCCGACCGCCTTCGGCAGAACCGCCCAAAAAAGTAGCCAAGTTTGCTGCTCCCCGCGGTGAGGGCACCGCAAAGATGTCGAAGGAAGCTCAACTCTCCATTGCGGAGCGTGACTTCATTCTTGAGGCCCTTCGTGAGAACGTCCGGGTTGATGGCCGCCAACCTAATGAGTTCCGTCCTGTGGACATATCGTTCGGTGAAGAGTATGGCCATGTGAAGCTGCAGCTTGGCAAGACAAGGTGCGCACAACTCATTGATTCTATGCATATCGCTCTTACTAACCATCTCTCTAGCCTGGTTGTTCGCATTTCCGCTGAAGTTACCAAGCCCCGCGACGAGCGTCCCTTTGATGGACTGTTCAACATCAACCTGGAACTGACTTCCATGGGCTCCCCCGCCTGGGAGAATGGACGGTAGGATCATTCTGGTTGCTTTGTTTCATGTTCTCTCTAACCTGTTCCCCTGCAGCTCCAATGACCTTGAGGCATCTGCCACCAACACCCTCGACCGCGTCATTCGTCACTCTAACGCTCTCGACACCGAGTCTCTCTGCATCATCAAAGGCGTCAGCTGCTGGAGCATCCGTGCCGATGTGCATGTGCTTGACTACGATGGAAACCTTACCGATGCAGCCTGCATTGCCATCATGACTGGACTGCAACACTTCCGCCGGCCGGATGCTGTGGTCAAGGATGGCCGGGTCATCGTCTACGGAGTTGAGGAGCGTGTGCCTGTCGCGCTCAACATCACCCACAAGCCTCTTTCCATCACTTTCCACACCTTCAACGAAAGCAAGAATGTCATCATGGACGCTAGCCTCAAGGAGGAGCAAGCGTCTGAGGGAGACCTCATTATTGGCCTCAATAGTGCTGGTGAACTTTGCTACGTGTCCAAGATGGAAGGTGGCCCGGTTGACCCTATGCTTATTGTCAATCAGGTCAGTAAGGCTTGGGAGAAGGCTAAGGAGCTCAATATCGTGATCGAGAGCGTTCTTCGCGCTGATCTGACCAAGCGGGCTAAAGCTGGCATGGCTGATGAGTCGCGCGCTGAGAACGACCGGTTGATGGCAACCGAATGAACATGTAATACCACTTTGATGATCATGGGACCGGAGTCTAGTTTCAAGCCGATGCACTGATATTCATACAAAGCAACGGCGTTTTAGCAATAAGAAACCATATGCAAATTCTGATTGATCCCCCATAAGCTCCGCAGTATAGCACAGATTTCCTAGGAGACGTCTCACCATGCTTTAACAGAGGAAAAGATGTGAATAATGCCACTGATCAAGTATGGAATATTTTGTATACGAAACCCCCGAAGCGAGCGAGAGTACTATTTCATCTACTGTTCGACCTTTTTTGGTCTCTCTTTTTTTCATGTCTTTTTAGCTCATCCGGTGCGTCGGACTTAAGTTGTTTGAAAACGGTGGTTTGATTATATAGGGGTCTGAAAGGACTTATGACCTCCACGGTGGCATGTGCCCCGTAAAGAGAACTGTAATTGTAATATCATTGCATTCCCCGCCTAGTTATTTAGAGTCTGGGATATCAAAGTACACAATATATGGTCTGTAGGCCGTGAAGTATCAAATGGAGTATTTACATCTACGTGTGTCGTAGTTGGCGCTTACTAAATTGACGCCAAGAGGACCCCTATTCTTAGATCTATTGCAGAATGGACACAGCCAAGTAATGTGACGACATGTCTGGAGAGACAAAGATCAAAGAAACACTTCTTACTAGCTATACAATAATCGAGACCAATAAAAATACTGTATCCCCCGTAGTCGGATTGGTGTCAAGCGCTTTACCGCCTAGCGGGCCAAACATAGCTTAATTGTTGCCTTCACCCGCAAAGCCACCTCATTCCCGTCTCTCCTTTCACTTCCCTCGACTTCATTCCAGGCTATTTTGTTTCCCTCTTTTCCGACAGATCTGGCAAATTGCTTTCTGTCGACTACACTTTCCGATCAATGCCTCAGGGGCATCACCAGCGCGCAACTTCAGTGAAGGTGTCAGCTTCCCCGCGGCGTCATGGCCAGCGGTAGGCCTCCAGGGTCGCATTCAGCCGCTGGTCGCGATGAAGACCTGCTGTTAGATTCCGGCCCCATATACAACAGTGGCCAAGGCCCGCCTGTGAATGACGAACACCTCCTAGAACGCTATAACATTGACGATTCCGACGAACCCTACTCGCAAGCGCGCCCTTCGGTATCCTACGATAACTTTGTCGGATCGCGCGTGCCACAGGGTGCTACACTTCACAATGTTGGTCCTGGACCGGCGCATCCGCCTGCCAACGCGGGCTTGCATTCAAATGACCCCTACTCGAGTGGATCCCGGGACCGAACCTACTCCCAGACCTCCGGACTGGACAACTACCAGCGATATTCGGTAGACGACGATCTCGACGATGCGCATTCCGGATACTACGATCTCGACGCCGATGACGACCGTATCGCCCAGTCGCATAGTGTTCGGAGGGCAAATGAGCGCAATAGTATTCTCGGACTTGGAGGTGGCTTGATGGGCAAGGCAAAGTACATGTTTGGCATGGGGAATTCAAACCAATACTCAGAAATGGACCTCCCATTGACAGAGGCCGGTGCAAGAAGGGCGACGGTTGACAGTGCTTCCACCCAGGCAGCACCCCCGAAACCGCGAAAGAAGTTCAGCGCGTCAGACCTCAACATCTTCAAGCGGAGCAAAGCTGACCCCTCGACAATGGGCCCGCGGATGATCCAGCTCAATAACCCACCCGCCAATGCCGTCCACAAGTTCGTCAGCAATCACGTCTCGACTGCCAAATACAACATCTTCACTTTCATCCCCAAGTTCCTATTCGAACAATTCTCGAAATACGCCAACCTTTTCTTCTTGTTTACCGCTGTCCTACAACAAATTCCCAATGTGTCGCCGACAAATAAATATACCACGATTGTTCCACTCGCGATTGTCTTGGCCGTGTCAGCCATCAAAGAATTGGTGGAGGATTATAAGCGGAGGATGTCCGATAGGGGTCTCAATTACTCGAAAACCCAGGTTCTCAAGGGCTCTTCATTCCATGAGACAACGTGGGTGGATGTTGTGGTTGGTGACGTGGTTCGCGTTGAGTCCGAGCAGCCTTTCCCAGCCGACTTGGTGTTGCTGGCATCGTCTGAGCCGGAGGGTCTGTGCTATATCGAGACAGCAAACCTGGATGGTGAGACCAATCTCAAAATCAAGCAGGCTATTCCCGAGACTGCCCATCTGGTCAGTCCCAGTGACTTGAGTCGCTTGAGCGGACGAGTTCGCTCTGAACAACCGAACAGCAGTTTGTATACCTACGAGGCTACTCTGACTATGAATGCGGGAGGCGGCGAGAAAGAGCTGCCCCTGGCTCCTGATCAGCTCTTGCTTCGAGGTGCTACCCTTCGAAACACTCCCTGGATCCATGGTATCGTTGTTTTCAGTGGTCATGAGACGAAGCTGATGCGTAACGCTACTGCAACTCCGATCAAACGAACTGCTGTAGAGCGAACTGTCAACATCCAGATTCTGATGCTCGTGAGCATTCTCATCGCTCTGAGTGTTATTAGTTCCGTTGGTGATCTTGTTATTCGACAAACCCGATCTGATAAGCTTGCCTACCTCGACTACGGCTCGGTTCAGCCAGTGAAACAGTTTTTCATGGATATCTTCACTTATTGGGTCCTTTACTCCAACTTGGTTCCAATCTCTCTCTTTGTCACCATTGAAATTGTCAAATATTTCCAAGCTTTCCTCATCAATTCCGACCTCGATATTTACTACGACAAGACTGATACACCGGCTACTTGCCGCACGTCTTCCCTTGTCGAAGAGCTTGGTCAGATTGAGTACATCTTCTCGGATAAAACAGGTACGCTTACTTGTAACATGATGGAGTTCAAGCAAGTCACGATTGCCGGTATTCAATACGGCGACGACGTTGCTGAAGACCGGCGAGCCACTATGGAAGATGATTCCGAGGTTGGTATCCACGATTTCAACAAACTCAAAGAGAACATGCAATCGCATCCTAGTCAGAATGCCATTCGTGAGTTGCTTACTCTCCTTGCTACTTGTCACACGGTTATTCCCGAGCGCAACGGCAAGGACCCAAATGTGATCAAGTATCAAGCAGCCTCGCCCGATGAGGGAGCTTTGGTCGACGGAGCCGCCTCACTTGGATATCGATTCACCAACCGAAGACCCAGATCCGTTCTTTTCGAGGCAGGAGGACAGGAGCTTGAATACGAACTGCTGGCAGTGTGCGAGTTCAACTCTACCCGAAAGCGAATGTCAACTATCTTCCGTTGTCCAGATGGAAAGGTCCGCATCTACACCAAGGGTGCTGATACAGTCATTCTCGAGCGCTTGCACCCTGATAACCCTACCGTCGAAGCAACTCTCCAACACCTGGAAGAGTACGCCTCGGAAGGTCTGCGAACATTGTGTTTGGCTATGCGGGAGATCCCCGAAGATGAGTTCCAGCAATGGTACCAAATCTTTGACAAGGCTTCCACAACTGTCGGAGGTAACCGCGCGGATGAACTGGACAAGGCCGCTGAGTTGATCGAAAAAGGTCTCTACCTTCTTGGTGCTACGGCTATCGAGGATCGTTTGCAAGATGGCGTCCCGGATACTATCCACACGCTGCAGACGGCAGGAATTAAGATCTGGGTTTTGACCGGTGACCGACAAGAGACTGCCATCAACATTGGTATGTCTTGCAAGCTTATCTCAGAGGACATGACGCTTTTGATTATCAACGAGGAATCGGCAGAAGCTACTCGCGACAACCTACAGAAGAAACTGGATGCTGTGAAGAGTCAAATAGCTTCTGGTGACGCTGAACCGTTGGCTTTAGTTATTGATGGACGGTCTTTGACATTTGCTTTGGAGAAGGATATGGAGAAGCTGTTCTTGGATCTTGCGGTCATTTGCAAAGCTGTTGTCTGCTGTCGTGTTTCTCCCCTTCAAAAAGCTTTGGTCGTCAAGCTTGTCAAGCGCCACTTGAAGTCTCTCCTCCTGGCTATTGGTGACGGTGCCAATGATGTGTCCATGATTCAGGCCGCTCACGTCGGCGTTGGTATCAGCGGTATGGAAGGCCTGCAAGCAGCGCGATCTGCTGATGTGGCGATTGCCCAGTTCCGATTCCTTCGAAAGCTGCTTTTGGTTCACGGTGCGTGGAGTTATTCTCGAATCAGTCGAGTCATTCTCTACTCGTATTACAAGAACATCACTCTGTACATGACTCAATTCTGGGTAAGTTTATCCTCAGCAAGCATACGATGGCAATGTCTAACTTTGAACAGTATTCCTTCCAAAACGCCTTTTCTGGTGAGGTTATCTACGAATCGTGGACACTTTCCTTCTACAACGTGCTCTTCACCGTCTTGCCTCCATTCGCCATGGGAATTTTCGACCAGTACATCTCCGCTCGCTTGCTGGACCGCTATCCTCAATTGTACCGCCTAGGACAAGAAGGACAATTCTTCCGCAAACACAGTTTCTGGGCCTGGATTCTGAACGGATTCTTCCATTCTCTCATCCTGTACATCGTATCTCAGCTGATGTTCTTCTGGGACCTCCCGATGGCTGACGGCAAGGTTGCTGGCCACTGGGTCTGGGGCGAGGCACTGTACACTGCTGTTCTTGCTACTGTCCTCGGAAAGGCTGCCCTGATCACAAACGTGTGGACTAAATACACCTTCATCGCCATCCCTGGATCAATGCTTCTCTGGCTGATCTTCCTTCCGGCCTATGGTTACGCTGCGCCCGCTATTGGGTTCTCTCAAGAATATTACGGCACAATCCCAGTCCTCTTCAAGACACCCATCTTCTACTTGATGGCCGTTGTCCTGCCTGCCATCTGTCTTATGCGTGATTATGCATGGAAGTACGCCAAGCGTATGTACTACCCACAGCAATACCATCACGTCCAGGAGATCCAGAAATACAACGTTCAGGACTACCGCCCGCGTATGGAGCAATTCCAAAAAGCCATTCGGAAGGTCCGTCAAGTACAACGTATGCGCAAACAGCGCGGCTACGCCTTCTCCCAGGCCGACGATGGCGGCCAAATGCGTGTTCTCAATGCCTACGACACAACTCGCAGTCGTGGTAGGTATGGTGAGATGGCCAGCTCCAGGCCTTTGGCGTGATGATTGATTCGCCATGGTTTGAGCATTCTGCATTCGCATTGGCTGTCATTTTTTTCTTGATTTCCACCGCGTCTTTATCTTCTGCATCATTGCCAAGTAATTGGTGGATCTGTATCTATGTGTACCCTTTATGTTCTCCTATTTCTCTTTTTTTTTCTTTCTCTACTTTCCTCTGGGTCTGTTCTTATAGCCATGTTTTGGTGTGGAGGCTGTGACATTTTTTATCTTCCTGTTACTTGATGTGTCTCTAGGCGAGGTCTGAATTGGACATGATCAATGCCTATTTTCTTACCAGTGTAGATATCGAGTACATGTCGCGAAGAGTTGAATATTGTGTCACGATGGCTTTATGTGTCGACGGTCTAGCCCATAAATATAGGTAGTTGACGAAAATTGTGTTTCGACATGTCTCTCAAGCTTATCCCCGCATCACTTCTATATCTTATGCCACAAGGCTGTGTGGTATATACTCCGGGCTCTTCTATATATTGGCCCCGTACCCTGTCAGGCGCGATGGCGATCCCTGACCATCGATTATATCGAAACATGTCGCAACTTGACCTACAAGCTGTAATCAACCAGCTCCAGGCGGCCTTTGACGATCCAGTCTATTCAATAGTAACAAGCAGCAAATAACTAGATTGGCCCGTCGAGCAATAACAGTATTTGAAAGCCCATTTGAAACCTTCCAGCGAATGGCATATTCCATAAGTGTATTTCAACCCTCTAACAAAAGGTTGAAATTAAACATGACAGTGTGAACCATGAACAACGGTTCGAATCGGCCAGCAACACAAGATTTTCGGAACTCTAGTTGAAGACGCTGGACAAAACCAGTCACCAGCAAGTACATTTTCACTAGGCAAGAGGACAAGCATGGATTAACGGGTTTTCAAAACAATACTGCAATACATGGCGACGCAAGATTTCATAGTGCGTGTGTCCGCATAGAAATATAATCCTTCGAAGATGACCTCTTTGTTTCTGACGCCCTACTTCATGGATGAAATATTGCATTTGTAAACAGAACTATTCAGATCTTATTTCCATGATGGTATTAACAAATATACTTATCTCAAAGCCACGACACGTGTGTGCCGCCAATCGTCGCTCTAAACGAATTCCTCTCAAACTCCGGAAAAGCAAGCACTGCATTTGATATCAGACATCGATTTAGTCTCGAGGCATTTAATGAGTAGGTGAAGACACACCGAGAGCAACAAAGTGATTTTTACCGAGTCTTGCAGGTTCAATTCGATACATTGCCGACCTGGCTTGATGAAGTTGATTTTGAGGCTGAGTGAGCTCAGCATATCCCACCTGATACTGCTATATTTATCGATATTGGCGAGGGATATGGCCAGCAGTGTGTTGTTCTTTTGAAAAGATTCCTGATATGATTGGTCGGATTATTCTTCAGGGTTTGGGATCTACTGTTGCCCAAGCTGATATTGGTGAGAGGGCTGAGAGGATGGTGGCTGATTTCTCTAAAGTGCAGCCGGTGAAAGGTGAGTACTGGTTGAAATGTTTATGGTAAGGGGGTGCAGAAGTATAAATCTGATCAATTGTTTCTAGATGCTCGTGTTTACTATCTTCGATTGGTATTGCATAGCCACGATGACCAGGCATACATCTAAATTCTGGAATGTCATTGTGAAGTGATGGTTCCTGAGTCTGTATTGATCATTGATGAGAAGATACTTTCAGATGGGTAGTCGCCGAATTCAGAGTATATTGCTGCGCTTGGAGTTAAAATGTTGGCTTTGTTCGATGTCCTCAAACGACGGGAGAGTCAGTGGCGTGCGCTTATTGCTGAGATTGGGCTTGAAATCAAGGCGATTAAGCCATTCACACCATTTGGTGATGGTGTGATGGGTGTTGCAAAGCCTTGATCATATTAAGCTTGTACTAGTACCAAATGTGACGTGCTACATATTCTACGCTATCGAGATATATTTATCCAGGGTTGGATGAGCGCTTCCAGCTTTGTAACTAAGGGATATACCTCAAGTGAAGAGACTATGACTATAGCCTAATTCAAGTACGCTAGATAGGCAACAGACTCCCCTTGTATAAAAGAAAGAAAAAATGAAAGGAAAATTACATTCATGAACTGTATAGTAGTCAGCCGCTTGTTATTCCGGCAACGAATATTCACCAATTGACCTCCCCATTGCAGCTTTAGACATCACAACTTGATATTTGTATTCGATCTCCGTTAGTGAAGCTATTGCACGCCTATGCCAAGAGAAGAACTCACCATATTGGCAAAATGCACGACGACACATACGATTATCCGACGACATGATTGTCAAATTTGGATGTTGGGGGAGGGGTGAACCAAAGACGAAGTGTCGAACCAACTGTATGCTTATGCTGTCTTAGGAGATAGTGGTTTAAATGTACCAAAGGTCGACCCTTGTTTTCATTGTCAGGTGTGTAGTACATCGCCATGGAGTTTGTTCGTGGGGACTGTCTGGACGGTATCTCGCTTGAGAATCATCCAAATCTCATCCCACCCCTAGAAAAAGGGATATCCGCAATATACTCAGGCGCCCGACTTTCCTAGACCACGAAATGGAGGCATATGGAATGCAATCCGGGATGAACTATATATGTGGTAGTTGCGTCCTTTTAAACGGTGGTGATGTCGTCTTTGAGACTTTTATACCTTCTTGGTAATCTTTGCTTGCTTTATCGGCTTATCTGCTTCAATAGGGTAAAAAGGTGTTAAATTAGGATGAATGGTCATAGAACTGAAGTGATTCAACAGGGGTCATGAATGCACCGAAAGTCCCTTGAAGCACTGCTTAGTCCAATTTATGCGGTAACCTCAACGTGAGAATACAACTTTACGTATCGTTTGTGCTCTAACTTTGCGTTTCATTTTTTTTTCAACTTATTATTGGGAGTTTTAGGTGAGAAAATTAGATCATATAAACTGGTGGATTAAAATGACTTGTGGTCCCTGTTGTGGTAAATGTGAAAGTGCAGAAGACGTATTCGATCATCAATCTCAAATTCGCCGAAGTAATACAACGGTGTCCCGCGGCTATTCAATAATCCAATAAAGCAAATTAAGCTCAATTAACATGGCCGCAAGGCGAACATGGATCCTGGTAAAGGACGCGGAGGACAATGGCCCCCAACCAACAGCGCATTCACAGTCCAATAAGACATCAACGGGGACCACAATAAAGAGAGAAGGAGCCTCATGAGGGATTTAGCAGGGGTTCCATTTAATAAAACCATCCGAAATAACAAGCCAGCCAAGCAGGTGAATACTTGATTTGCGCACGGTTGAAAGCCCCGACTGCACTTCGTGAACCCCAGCGCTTGGATATAACACCAGCAACGTGGCACCGGTATAGTGGAAGGGGATTATGGGACTGCCCTGTACTGGTCAAGAGGTGTGGGCTTGAAGGGTCAAAGGGTCTGCTCGGACGCCCTGCCATGTAATGTAGAGTTGGCCCTCCTGTTCAGCCTCACATGCACACCCCTGGTGGTACTGGGCAATTAGTAGCGTTTGGGTGAAACCATGGGCCTGTGTTCGTGTAGTTAGGCTGACTGAATATTCATGAGTGGGTGCCACCAACAGTGGGAAACCACGCTGAGTGGAGGGGTCAGTAAGGCATATCGGTCATTTTTATGCCTAGACAAGGTATGTGCAGTATGTCCAGCTGGTGTGTCAATTGAGCCAGTAAATAGTTCATTGTATCCGCTGATAGCTCGGGCTAGTACCTTCTATGCAAGGTCCTGGATATACGTCCGGAGCTGGACAACTGAGAAACAATCTCAGCCTGTCAATAAGAGTCAAAGGTACCGGAATCCTGGATAATGGAACCAGGTTCTTGAAATAAGTGGGGGCCGTATGAAGGACCAATACGCGTGCTGTGATGCTGGATTGTTGGATGTGCTTTGGCATGCATTGGTGCATTAGGGCAGCGATCCCTCACGAGATCTCATTGGCCGGCCAGCGCCGCAGCGGTTACAGGTATTAATATCGCGCTGATCGCTGTGAGTTGATTGGATAATTTGCTGTGGATTTTGCTAACATTAGCAACACTTACAATGTGCTAATTTGTGTTTTTGTGTTAAGAGGGAACCGATGCGGGGGAGTGCTGTTGTTGGTGACTCCTGAGCTGGCCCTATATCACGGCCGGAGGGCCTGCAACCGCTTTTCATAATTCGAGTTTTCCACAAGGGGTCCCTCTTCTGGACTACCTATTTCCTGGTCATACACAGCATTCATCATGGGTGTCATTCGTCTACCTCGCCCAACGGGCATCTATGTCCCCAATTCCCCCAGAACCCTCACCAACGACATGATCTCTCCGCCGCTTTCCCCTGAATTTAGCTTCGATTCTGAGACCATAATTCCTTCTATTCTCCCCGCCATGGAATATGTCTCCTGCAAACTCCAACAACGAATGATGCATGTTACACTCCTCGTGGGCCGCGGCAAGCCCTATCCGACCGGCCAACCCTCCGACCTAATGGTAATTCCCGTCACACCACTGGAGCCCCAATCGTCACGACTTCTGGAGAGGTCCCTGGCCAAGGCATCGAGGAAGTTCTCCTTGGGCACCAGTTGGACCGACGCCCTCGGTCGCAGCCAGTACGAGCGTCAAGCAAATGAGTGTCTGGTCAAACAATCCATCCTCCAAAACGAGGTTGTTTTCAGTCAAGAAGGCCTAACCCTCCTCAATATGGATCGCATTTACACTTTTAAACGCCGCATGTGCATCCTTTCAAACCGACCATTTTCGCGCTCGGATGAACCATCCATAACTTCCTGCATCCAGTTACTTCACCGCATCGTCGGTGACTACCAAGGCCGCCCATTCAGCAAGGCCTTCTTTCACCGCGTCTATGAGCAACTAGATATCCCCGATGAGCAGCTTACAGCTATTGCAACTGCTTATAAGAACATGTACAAGAAAGATGCCATTATCATTCCACCAGTTCCAGAGCCTGAGCGTACTCCGGAACGTCTGCCAGTTCGCAGCAAAGTTGAACAAGTCCAGGCTGTCAAGATCGAGAAAGCTCCCACAGTCAATGTTATTGAGGTCAAGCAGCCTCCTAAGGTGAAGGCCATCAAAGCCGACCGACCCCGTGAGCACGTGAAAAGTCCTCGCGAATATGCCAAGAAGTCGCCTGTTATTCACACTGTTCGTGGTCGGAGACAGCCTCCACCTTCAAAGATGAGATATCAGACGAGACGTGGGCCCAAGACCCCCCTGTCAGCTTCCGATGTCACTCCCATCACGAGGAATGAGTGGAACATTCTCAGCAAAGATGTGCGGCAGCAGCCCAAAGTGACCAAGTGGGTTCCGTCTCCGACCGTGTTCGCTGTCGCTTGAACTTTTTCATGCTTTAATCAATGTTCAAACAATTTTCTGCGGTCAACTCTTGACACGCCCACAACTGATGGCTTCACTACCACTGACCAGCTTGGCTGGGATTGACGAACTAGCCATTGGAGCTCAGATGAGGATTGAATCTAGCCTGTGTCGCTAGATCACCTCTTCTCTTCTCGTTCGTCTCATTTCATACGTGCTGAACCTTCCGGGCCATCCGATAAAGAGCATATGGTTCGACACTCATCGAAGGCACCGAAAGGGCCTCGGTGACCTGGTTCAAAAGACCCCCTTGGGTACTGTGAAGGATACCCAATGATGATGATATGATAATGAAGGTCTTCAAAATTGTACTCTGTGCCGACAGTCACATTGTCGGAGAATTTGCAAAGTGCCAGAATTCTATTCGCTGTCTATAGTTCAAAATCAATACATTTTAATCACATCAACCAATCGGAGCCTTTGACCCCATCTTAATGCACAGATCCAGTTGAGACTCCGCCCGGATAAAGTCAAAAGACTTGTATACCCACAGCCCTATACAACCCAAGACGAACTGGACTTCCAAGGTAGTTTGCCGAGCGGCCATCCACAGACCCGCTCCAACGCGGCCGGCAAATAACAGCCCAATCACAGGCACAGCCGAAGCAATAGAGTGGGTGTCAATTATCGGTATCGGAGAGCAGATATTAGCACACTGCAACGCAGTCCATGAATAATGAAGAATCTACTATCAGTCGGGGCTCTCCGCTCCTCCGCTGCCCCGCCATATCACGTGCGCCGGGGTTTTCGACGACGCTGGACTTGATGATTTTGTACTGTTAGTGAATCGCCAGTGTTTTGTTTAGTGCAGTTGAGTCTGTATCATCGGGGATTCCCTAACTTTCAAAGTGCTTGTCCGCGGAATCCTGCTTGGGCCTGGTCACTCACACACCATATCTTGCTGAAGCCTTTAGCAAGTAGACCGGCGCACTTGGCAACGACCAATCGGCCTTGGCGGGGAAAGACGGCCGATAAAGGGAAAGTTTTGTCCATCCTGCAGGTTGAAAAGAAGGATATACCTGCCCCTCCTTCGCAGGTTTCACGTCGTGAACTGCGTGCGTCTCTATATATAAGTTATCAGAGCTCGCCAAGAAACATCCAATACGGTCAGAAACCTCCGGAAATATTGTTTCAATAATGTCTTCTTTTGAAGCGCCTGCAGACTCACGGAGTCTGGATAGCGATCGCAAATGGAGTCTGCAGCCTCTCATTCGCCATGCAGAGCGATCACACAGCAAAATGCCTGGCATTAGAAAGATCCCTCTTCGGGCTATTGGAATCATCGCGTTCATCGCACTGTTGAACATCATTGTCTGGGTTGCGGCGGCCATTGTGTTGAGCTACCATCCATCGCTCGTGTCCACAGCTGCTTTGGCCTATTCTCTCGGTTTGAGACATGCCTTCGACGCAGACCATATCTCTGCTATCGATCTCATGACTAGACGGCTATTGGCAACAGGCCAGAAGCCTGTTACTGTGGGAACTTTCTTCTCGCTTGGACATTCGACCATTGTGATCATCACCTCTATTGTTGTCGCTGCGACGGCTGCTGCTGTCTCCTCGCGGTTTGACAAATTCAGTACTATTGGTGGCATTATTGGTAGCTCTGTCAGCGCTGCTTTCTTGATTCTGCTTGGTATCATGAATGCTTATATCTTGTACAAGTTGATCAAGCAGATGCAGAAGGTTTTCAATCTGCCTGAAGATCAACAGGACGAGGCTTGGAAGATTGAGGGCGGTGGAATTCTCTTCTCTATCTTGAAAAAGATGTTTAAATTGATTGACAGGTATTGTTTTCAGCAGTATAAATCTCATTTCGAATACTGATCGTTTGCTAGACCCTGGAAGATGTACCCTCTTGGGATCCTGTTCGGTCTCGGTTTCGATACCTCGTCCGAGATCGCGCTCCTTGGAATTTCTTCCATTGAAGCAGCAAAGGGAACCTCCTTCTGGGTTATTCTTATCCTCCCCGCCCTTTTCACTGGTCGGTCAAACCATGCTATCATTTCATGACTATCGTTGCTAATTAAATGTCTAGCTGGAATGTGTCTCTTAGATACAATTGATGGAGCTCTCATGTTCTCCCTCTATATCCAACCCGCAGCAAATTTCCTCTCAGCAAAGCCGTCAACCACTTCAGATACAGCATCCGCAACAAGCGATGGCGACGAGCTCCCCCAGTCGCACAACAACCACCGCGACCCAGTTGCCTTCCTCTACTACTCAATCGTGCTCACTACGCTTACCGTCGTCGTCGCAATCGTGATCGGTGTCATCCAGCTTCTCACTCTGATTTTGAATGTGACCGATGCCACAGGCAAGTTCTGGGACGGAGTCCAAGTTGCTGGTGACTACTACGACGCTATCGGTGGTGGAATTTGTGGTTGCTTCATCATATTTGGTGGTTTAAGTGTTCTTGTTTATAAGCCCTGGCGCAGATGGATGAATCAGCGCCACGGAAAAAATACCGTTACTGATGAGGAGAGATATCGGGATGAGGATCTTGGTAACTGTGGTGCTATTGTTACTGAAACGACGGGTAATGTTCCAGGCGAGAGGACTGAAGCTGTTGGGAAGGGAGCTTCAGTTCAGGTTGATGTGAGAGAAACCGACGAGCCAAGGCTTGAGGCACATATCGTTTGATATGGCTGCATCCTCATAATGTGCTTTATTTGCTAGTTAAAGACCATTCTTAAAACCCTTCGCAGGCTCTTCTGGTACACTAGGGGCTGGGGGGTGGGGGGAGGAATTAATCCGATCTTTGATCAATTTGACTAAACTCGCATCTCAGTTTTATTCTCACATGCTTCAGTATTACTGTTGCAGCGCCATCACTGAATGAATGATTTGATACAATAAACATTTGATTCCTCAGGCAGAAAGCATGTGACGTCAATCCATTTCTCGGGCGATCAACTTTATCTCAGACTAACACCTCTTGGTATCTTCAGCCTTCAAGATGTTCGAACTGCAATGAAATGATATTTGATTCTCTGCTTAATATGATCTCATATGTGAAAATTATCTCCGCGCTGAAAGAGGAACAGCCTGGAAATAACGACACCTGAACCCACCAAACGCCCGCAAACATGAGGATTCGAATGATCATTTACTAGCATATCTGAAACTATCACCATGATTCAAGATCCAAAAATGTCCATGGATGCTAAGGCAAGTCATGGAGCCATCTTCTCATCCTTGCCCTTGGTTTTCATTCTTTCGACTCACTTGTCTCTGGAAGCGTTGGATGAGGCAGAAAGTCGATTAATGGAACATGGCGGTAAGCTCACGTATGAGATCTCCGAAGCCAAAATCATTCTTGGACAAGTTGGCCGCCCGAAACGCGCTGCGCTCGAACTACGCTGTCGCGGGTTCTGGACTGAGGAGGTTGTTCCAGTTTCCAACTCTACCCCGATATCTATCAGTACAAGCTCCGAACCCCCTACAAAGCGTAGGAGAAAAGAAGGGCCCCAGGGAGGGAATGATGCACCAATCGAAATTATAGATCTTAGTACTGAGTCCGAGAGTGAAGAAGCTGGACCTCGAAATCATGAATCGACACCCCACCTAGCAACAAAGACAGAGGTTGACGAAAACGAAGTCATAGTTCTCAAGCTAGAATGGTTGGACGCATCGATACAGGCAGGGGTGTGTCTACCCCAAGAGTCTTTTATGGTATACCGAGGGCGGAAGATACCTACTCCAACTACACCAGGAATCGAAGAGAAATACTTGGAAGAAAAGTCCAGTCAAATTATTGAACGCGCAAAGATGGATGCCGGTCTCCCACCTCCTTCTGTCCAAATATCTGACCACCGCCATGCAAGACGCTCTAAGGAACCCTCGGCCGGCTCCTCCAGCCAGCACCATCCACCAACACTTTACCGACAGACAACCTCTGAGAACGACGAGAAGGAGCCTTCACCATCTAAGCCAGATTGGGTCCGAGACCACATTCTCTTCGCGTGTCTGCGCTCCGCCCCCTTGCATCCGCCAAATGAGGAATTCATCTCACAGCTGGTCAAAATTCGCCGCATTCGAGAACTCACACTGGATCAGATTGGCGTTCGAGCTTACAGCACTTCCATCGCGTCTCTAGCAGCATACCCGCATGTGATACGTCGGCCAAGTGAGATCCTGGCTTTGCCTGGATGCGATATAAAGATTGCGAATCTTTTTACCCAATGGCAACAGCATGGTGGGTGCGAACATACCGATGATGATGGAAATGTCGCAGCAGCAGATGCTCTAGACTCCGACCCTGTGTTGCGAGTTTTGAACTCATTCTATCAGATCTGGGGCGTGGGTGCGAAGACCGCACGAGAGTTTTATTACCACCGAGGCTGGCGCGATCTGGATGATATCGTTGAGCATGGATGGAGCTCACTGTCTCGGGTGCAGCAGATTGGACTGAAGTACTACGACGAGTTCCAGGAAGGCGTTTCGCGTGCCGAGTCCGAATCCATCGCTGATATCATTCGAGAGCATGCCAATCGTGTTCGGCCCGAAGGGGATGACAAAGTTGAATGCGTTATCGTTGGCGGATACCGCCGCGGAAAGGAATATAGCGGCGATGTGGATGTTATACTGACTCATCGCGATGATATTGTGACCAAGAATCTGATTATTGATGTTGTCGCTAGTCTTGAGAGCGATCAGTACATTACGCATACCCTCGCATTGCATGTCACTTCTTCACATCGGGAGCAACAGACTTTACCCTTCCATGGTGAAGACTCCAGAGGCTTCGATACGTTGGACAAAGCGCTTGTCGTTTGGCAAAACCCGCACTGCAGCCCAGAGCAAGCAGATTCTGAAGAGGGCCCGCCAAAAAGAAATCCGAATCTTCACCGTCGTGTTGATATCATAATCTCGCCATGGCGCACTGTCGGCTGTGCAGTGCTAGGTTGGTCTGGCGATACAACCTTTCAGCGAGATCTGCGACGGCATGCGAAGAAAGCACACTCTTGGAAATTTGATTCGAGTGGTGTACGAGCTCGCGATTCGAATGGTCAAGTGGTGGATCTCGAGCATGGAGGAGAGACCTGGGAACAGCGGGAGAGGCTTGTTATGGAGCGCATTGGCATAGGCTGGAGAGCACCGCAGGAACGATGCTCAAGATAAAATAGTCGACGCAATTGAATGTACGAATATGTACGTACCGGAATGGGGATTGCCCAATGACAGTCTCTCTAAGCAGACCGGTCGTAGCGTCAAGGGAAACACCCAATACACCACCTTCCTGTCGTACAACAGGGTTATAAGTCTGTTCACGGTGCTATGAAGTATTCATCAAGTTCTTCACGAAATTCTCAAAATAATTGTGGCATTTGATGCATGATTTGTGTCCTAACATTGCCTTTCATTATCACCTCTTTCTTGTCCGTTTTTGAGTGCTTCGCGTGAGCCATTCAGATCATGTAACCGAAGGGGATGTGACAGGACACGACCACTATTGCATGCAGGCTGTAGAGAGGATGATATTTAATTTCGAGGATTGCAATGAACTTGCTGCTATATCGTAAATATCATGAAAATGCGAATCAAGACGGAAAACTGATTATATTAAGGTGATGATGATAATGCTAGGAATTCCGTACCTAGTAAGCTACGGTTTCACCGATATTGCGTACAAAGTTTCCACCGACTTAGCAAAGTAGGTTTGATCCAAGAGGGGCAGGCCAATATCATGACTTTTTCTCGTATGTGAAGTACTATAACAATCTTGTAATTAAACAAATAATTTTCAAGCAAAGGTTGACTTCGACAGTTCTAGGAGTCTCTTCCCAGTGAAGTATCATACGAAAGACAAAGAATTTCCCAATACGATATACCCAAGCTTGCCTCGGCGGATACGTGATACCAGTCGTAAGCGGGTTCGTCTTATGACAACGTTTTCTAGGAATCTACACGTAGTAGCCCCACCTTTTTGTGACTTGATTCCCTGAAACTAATTTAGACAAGTACAATCCATCTTATTTCACCGCTTTGTAATGTCGGCAAGGCTTCTATGCTGTCATTTGTCATCGTAATAGTTGTTGAAATGGGTTCAATATTGTTGGGGCCACCCTGTGCTTAGTCATAACTTAATATGAAGCCCTGGAGGGAATGAAGTCAGCTGCTTATGTGTCTTTAACTCAGCTTCGTAAATAATTTCCACGGCACATATTACTCTACAAAGATGGCTGTTGGCGGCTGTTCATGCGGCAAGATCCGAATTACATATAGTGGCCAGCCTATAGCGACGGTATGTATATCCTAGAGACGTCAATCTTTCTTAACCTGACCTAAGCCGACTTTCCATTAGGGACTATGCCACTGCCTCGATTGTCGCAAACTTACTGGAGGTCCCTTTTCCTACAACTTTATCATAAAAGCCGCCGACCTGAAGGTCACTGGAAGCCCTAAAGAATTGGCGAAAACGTCGGATAGTGGAAATGATATCAAAAATTATTTCTGTCCCGACTGTGGTCTGTACTCCCATATTGAAGTTGCCAAGGATTCACCTAACACAGGTAATAGGCACGCCGCTTTTTGGGAGGAAAACAAACGGTGGTCAAGCTGATGACGTTACGGTCCTCCGAGCGGGAATATTCGATGACATTGGAATTCTGGATGAACGCAAGCCCGACGTGGAGATATACACTATCAGCCGACTAAAATGGCTAGCTCCCGTAGAGGGGGCTCATCAGTTTAGCGGCATGTTTTCACTATGATCAGAAGATGCGAAGGTGTGATAACTGAAGCGATTTAGTTACTGCTATGACTTTTCGGCCAGGGAAACTGGTGTATCGTCTGAAAAATGACTAAATTCAAATTCGAAATCACCAGGCTGTAGCTGTGTAGCCAAGCTATCTTTCAATTTGAGATCAGGGCAGTGGCATGATGATAAGCAGTAGCGGAAATCCCGAGCGTTGCTTGCTAGAGGAGTCATATGAATCTTTGTGCCCCCACGTGTAAATGATCTGGATGATTGATCAGAGGCACTTGTAATAAAAGTTGAAGAGATGAGAAAAGAACGCTCAAATTCAACGGTATGAATTGCATGAAACAGTACAACAGGTTTCATAAATCTGTTTAAAATGCTATGGCTTAATTAGACAATCTTTAGACGAGATCCTCGACGCAAGAGTGCCCTTTCATGCACTATTTGTGCTCTTACTTGGGGACTCTTTTTTTCATCTTTTTTTTTTTTTTTTTTGCCGATTTTTGCGTGCTTCGGGTGGGTTAATTAGATTATGTAGAGATAGGGATGTCAAAGGTCTTGTGACCATACATCTCCGCGTTGCGGCTTTCAAGTAGAGACTGCCTAATACTCCATGGCCCTATGAACAAATTTATGACCTCTTTTGTATCAATTTGCTCATTTCTAGTCGCCCGAGAGATCGCAGGTCATATAATCGATATAGATGAAGTAGGGATATGCACATGTGCTATACCGTGACGTTCCTATATATATCTTATATTATAGGCTGAAGAAATTGGGGCCCATAGTAGATTTGGATATCAATTATTCCTTAGTCACCAAGATCAATTGAGATAGTTTTTCTTTCTCAGGTTCTCTTGGAAATCAGAGCAGTCTTATTGGTCATTGAAGCCAGTCTTCGTAGGGAATTTTTAGTTGCCAGATTATCGCCACCAAACAGGAATTTACCAATTGTCGTGTGAATTAGGGTCAACAGAGTCACGTTACTCAGTAATAATAAACAAAGAACTAAGACCCTAGCCTACATGCAATGTTTCACGTGTTCTACACTCCGTCCCTGCACACCAATGAGTATACCTGGAGCCTCGAAGCCCTTGGTGCGACAGAAGGCGCTGAAGCGGGTAACACAGGAGCTGCAGAAGCAGTCAATCCTAAAAAGATTGAATCAATTGACCGCTTGGCTGAGACAAACCCGATTTACCCCAGAATTGGTCTTCCCCAGCTGTTATGTTTCCGTTAGTAATACCCCGCGTGCATCTCAAACCCTTGCAGTAGCTTTGGGGTCACTTCGGCGTTTGGAATCACTACTCCTTGATTCCTTCCAGAAAATTCTTAACAACCCCTGTCAAGAGTCTTTCCACAGAAGTGAACCAGACACGCGCAGACCACAGGGCCAGAAGAGATAAGTAATGATACGCGGGCACTTTCATCCCGTTTCTCGACGGGGATTGGCTCAAACAGCGGTAGGTCAGTCTTGGTGCAGGTGCCCAGACCCCAGCGGGGCTTAGCGTGTGCCTGCCAAGCCTGATCCCGCCTTGGCGATGGCCTCGGTCTACTGGCAAGCGCTTCGAACGGTCCCCGTTTTGGACGGAAAAAGTATGGACTGGGCTGCAGGACATCAGCTGGTTGACCGGGTGGCTGAGTCAAGGATGGTGGCGGTCGATTTTTTCCCTCATGGCTTGGTGGGACCACGGTTGAGAGGGCGAAGATCAATGTTAGTCTGGTGTTTTTAACCTAGTGTTGACATAAGAAAAATGTTGACTGGTTACACTTGAGTACACATAGAAAATGGCAAGTCGGACGCACCTACCAGTAGATAAGTTATGGATACCTCCGATGCAAAGCGCATTTCTCCCCGCAGACTCTAAGCCTCCGGGGGCTTGGCGCCAATGTCTCCGCTTGATGTAGTATTCCTCTTATCAAGAAGCTTTGACAGAGGGAAATTAGACATATTTACCGTTCCCTCCTTACTGTATACAGTAGTAAGCTCTCTATACAGTAAATAGCTGTCCCTGCTGTGCGTCTAGTCCGGCGTGAAAGATGTAGAGCCTCAAGAAAGGCTATGTTTGACTTCACGTGGAAGCACAGCCCTAGTCTGCCCTGTCGCCCGAACACGAACCTCTAAGGTGCCTCGGCGATTGAAACCTTACAGATAGCATAGACTAGAGACCGCCAAGCTACACATTTTGCGACCCTGCACGGCATGGCCGACTCCGCACGGTGTTTACGGAATGGTAACATTGTACCCCATAACATGAGAAATAGAAAGGCTTGGCTATTTTTTTTCTTATCTTATTTAATTGTGTTGCCCCATGCCCAGATGTAGAGAAAGGTTTTGGTCCTGTTTCTTATCTGTGTGCCCAGGTGCATTTCTTGGCCTTCGTGTACATAAGGAAGGACTGAGCCCCTAGGTCAGCTTGCATTCATATTGTTTGCTTGATCTTACGCTTTGCCACCGAGCTCTTACATTACCTCTCCAACTGAGGTTCCTCACTTTTGCCAGCGACTCCTTTCCTGCAATACTCCCCAGCCCATAGGCGTCGCAAGCAATATGGAGCCCCTTAAGTCCGAGGGTTTTACAGAGACTGGCATCACAAAGCAGATCAGTGGCGAGGATGTCGAGGTTCAGCGTGGAGGACTGGGTGACCCCAATCACGTCGAGTTGCAGCGTGCGCTCAAGGCGAGACATATTACTATGATTGGTATGTGTAATTTTGACTTGAAAGGAGAGTAAGTGCTGACAGCAACAGCCATCGGAGGTGCCATTGGTACTGGATTGATTATCGGAACTGGAGAAGCTCTCGCAAAGTAAGTTGTCGCGTGCTTTTTCATGTCTTTTTGAGATGTGGAACTAACAAAATACTCTCTAGGGCTGGCGTAAGTCCCAATCTCAGAAATCGACTCGAGAATGCCCTCGCTAACTTAAGTCTCAATAGCCTGGCTCAATTCTGATCGCCTACGCCTGGGTTGGGTTCATTGTCTATTTGGTTATGTGTGCTCTGGGAGAAATGGCTGCTTGGCTTCCCTTACCCTCTGGTTTCACTGGTTACGCTATTCGATTCGTGGATCCTGCGCTCGGCTTTACTTTGGGTTGGACGTATGTATACCCTGACATGCCGGGGATAATATACTAACAATATGCAGGTATTGGTTCAAATACATCATTCTCTCACCAAATCAAATGACAGCCGGAGCATTGGTCATATCATACTGGATACCGGCAGAAAAGGTCAACCCGGGAGTATGGATTACAATATTCCTCATTTTGGTCGTGGCCATCAATTACTTCGGTGTGAAATTCTTCGGAGAATTCGAGTTCTGGCTTTCCTCTTTCAAGGTCATCGTCATTCTCGGAATCATTCTTATGTCGTTCATTCTCATGCTGGGTGGTGGACCTACTCATGACCGAACTGGTTTCCGCTACTGGAAGAATCCGGGTGCGTTCAACCACTATATCATGGAAGGACCTACAGGTCAATTCCTAGCCTTTTGGTCGACTATGGTCTCAGCAACATTTGCCTACCTCGGTACTGAGTTGGTCGGAGTAACTGTTGGCGAGGCTCAGAACCCTCGCAAGACAATCCCTCGCGCTATCAAGTTGACCTTCTACCGAATCCTGGTCTTCTACGTCGTGAGTGTACTCCTCGTCGGTACCCTCGTCCCCTACAACTCCGAACTCCTCGCCTTTGCAACCTCTGGCAAGGTCAGTGGCCAAGCAGCAGCCTCGCCCTTCGTCGTCGCCATCAAGCTGGCCAAGGTCCCAGTCCTGGACCATATCCTGAACGCCTGCATCCTGCTCTTCGTCTTCTCAGCAGCAAACTCCGATCTTTACATCGCCACCCGTACAATCTACGGTCTCGCCCGTGAAGACAAAGCCCCCAAGATCTTCGCTCGTACTGATCGTCGCGGCGTTCCAGTGCCCGCCCTGGCAATCTCCTCGTTCATCGCCCTGCTCGCGTACATGAACGTCTCCAGTGACTCCAAGACAGTCTTCAAGTACTTTGTCAACCTAGTCACCATCTTCGGTCTCCTGACCTGGATCTCGATTCTGGTCACTCATATCTACTTTGTGCGTGCCCGCAAGGCACAAGGTATCCCCGAGGAAAGCCTCGCATACAAGGCACCCTTCGGTGCCGCAGGCTCATACTTCGCGCTTGCATTCTGTATTCTCATCGCCTTCACGAAGAACTATGACGTTTTCGTGCACAACCCTAAGAAATACGGCAACTTCGACTACAAGAACTTCATCACGGCCTACCTCGGCATTCCTCTCTACCTGATCCTTATCTTCGGATACAAGCTCGTGACCAAGTGCAAGGGCGTCACCCCCGAGACAGCCGATCTCTTCACTGGAAAGGATGAGATTGATCGCGAGGAGGCGGCTTATCTTGCTGCGAAGGAGGCTGAGGCTGAGAAGCACGCTGATGCTGGGTGGTTCTACCAGAAGTTCGTTTCATGGCTTTTCTAATGCGGTCTGAAGACGTTCTTTCGTTGCGAAAATGGCCTTGTTGGGCCTGCACATGGGTTATGTCTCCTTGGCTTGAACATACTTGTAATGCTTACATAGAATATGATGAACCGGGACTGATGATAATGACGTTTTATGCCACTCATTTATGTAGAGATCAAGACTTTAAGATACAAAGGTGCCGCTGTTATATCACCTTTCACTTCATGGGGAATCACCAGTTCCTCACTCAACATGAATTGAGAACTCCATATCAATCGATGTCTTGCTCATTCTCAAGTTTCTCGGATTGAAGTTGTTTAAACATGCGAAACTACGCCAAGGGACTTAGGTTATAGCCCCTTTTACACTAGACATCTGGAAGGTTATAACGATGTTGACTAGTGGGTAATTCTACATTGAACACAAAGAAATCCAATCATAGTCAATCATAAGTCGCTTTTGTCTAAAAGTATTGACGCTCTCAGAAGCAGAAAGTGGTAAAGCTAACCTAGGCGATGACCGTATCAGGCAGTAGCCAACCTATCCTTTGACAAATGCAGTCCGATAACCATAACCCAATGGCAATGCAGAGATTTCAGAAACGCAGAGACAGACACAAACATAGACACAGACGCAGAGAGATGCTCGCCAAAAGTCCTAAACCCAGACCGAACAGGAAACCCAGCACAAAAACCGAAATGCCAAAAGTCAACGTTAATGCAAGTGCGAGAACATGTTAAGCGGAGGAAGAAAAAGGGCAAAAAGAGCAGAAATGAGAGGTAGGAAGGGGGTATAATAATCGTCAAGCAGAAGATCAAGTCAAATGGTTAGGATGTACAAGAGAAGGAAAGATGAGGTTGACGGGAGGGTGAGTTTAGGCGCCTACGGTTTGTTCACGTAGGTTTTCTGACGAGGGGGTGTCCATGATTCGCTCGTTCAGAGAGGTTGAGGATGGGGAGTGGGAGCTCCCGGTTCGTGGTGCGGAAAGGTAGTCCATGTTGGGAGTGGTTGTGGGTGACACAGGGCTGTTGTCGGACTCTGCGTCGGGAATCGGGAAAGAGGTGATCACTTGAGAAGCTGGACGGCCGATATCTTCTTCGGGTTGCTCTTCACGTGCGTCTTTGAACTCAGCTTCATCGTTGGTACGCAAACTGACACCGGTGGTGGTGCTCATGCTACGCAATGAGTGAGGGCGTTCTGGGCTGCGCTCCGACATCAGCGACTCGCCGCTGCCAAGGATGGGCTCCGAGGCCCGTGGCTCCTCATGAGGAGTGGGCTTTCGTAGCTTGAGACGCTCTTCGGGAGGTATGTTTTGCCACTCAGACCCGAAGGTGATAATAGACGCCTTCTTTCCGTGGACGGTGAAGCTTGGAGCCTTGCGCGAGAGGACTTCACCATCACCAGACGTTTGACCTTCATCCTCCTGACCAATGCTGGACACTGATCCCTGGTTCTTCTTTGAATGGGAGTGATGTCTGTGAGCCTGAGAGTCACGTAACGTGCGGTGAAGGCTGCGACGGACGCGGCTCGGTCTATCGCCCGGAGGTGTATCTGGAGGTCCCTCTGGCAGTTTTTCGGGGGTTGCCGTGGGCGCAATGTCTTCCTCTTTGCGCGCAGTTGGTGAGCTATTCACCTCCAATAGACCAGCTTCCCTGAGAAGGCGTTCTTCATTGTCCTCGAAACTGACGGGAGATGTGAGCTTGGAAGCCCGCGAAGCGAGACTGGCACCATCCCACTTGCTTGCACGACTTAGACCAGAAACTTCCCGCTCAAGCTGAATGGTGGTTGGATCAGGAGAGTATGACTTGGCGCGTTCCGGAAGAGTGATGATGGACCGACGACGACCAATTCGAGAAATGTCACCCGAAGTAGTCGACCCGGGGATACTGGGACGACGCATCTCTTCATTGGAGGGCTTAGTGAGTAATCCTGTTTCTGGAGTCTGGTCTGTAGGGTTCACAGGATGCTCGGATGGGTCGCGACTTGATGCAGTATGCACAATGCTACCGGGTCTTTCCACACTTTGCTCCGATTTCACAGAAGGTCCGGACAGTGAAGCCATGCGTGCAGCATCAGACTGTGCTGTCTCGGCAATCGATCCCACTACACTCGCTGCCTCGTCGTCTTCCCCTAGATCTCGAAGGAGGACTTGGCGATAACATTTGTTTCGCCAGATATCCTGACGCACCCATTTTAGCTTGGCAGACAACCGGCCTGCAGCCATGATAACACCTTCTCTTGCCCGAGCGTGAACCGGAGTGAGAATCTGCAAATGCCGTGCGTTTTGCAAAAGATCTTCCAGTTGCTTCTGCGAAATAAACAGCTTTTCATTTGCTTCGCGAATCTTGTGGCTCATCAGCTCCCGTCGTGCCGCAACAAAACCAGCAACAATGTCGGTATCAATGCTAGGAGAATCAGGCTCCAGGTCGCCGGTCTGTTGGGATATTTGCGATGACATGGAGTCCAACCGTTGACTCTTGCGATACCTCTGGCCTTCGTAATTAGTCGCAATCATCCCCTTGGTGCGCACACCAGTTGTCCTGAATGCCGCGGCGTAGTTGAGATGCGCAAGCCAATCATTCATTTCGGGCTCGCTCTGGGCAAGGAATGTCTCTTCCAACGCGTTGTATCGAACGAACATGAATGCATGTTTGTGCTTTTTGTAGCTTGTATCCAGGAGAGCCACAGCATCGTTAGTCGACATGATAGCATCCGGCTTGAAGTCAGAAAGAGGCGGTCTGAACACAAGGGTTCCGCGACGTCCATTCTTCACATAAGCCTCGTGCTGCGCCATAAGAGAGCGAACCCACTGGACGTTGCGGAAGAAGTAAAGTTGTGAGAATGTGAGAATCGCACCCCATTCCTGCCATGGTGACCTGGCCCGCTTCTTTTTAGGATCCTTTCTCCAGAGGATTCCAACTTTAGCGACCTTGATATCAACCAAACCTGGGTTGGAGTCGAGGGGATTGTCTAAGCTGGATGGCATGAATGCATCAGGCCGAGAACGCAGGGAGATAATCTGCAAGATCCCAGACTTGGTAAAAGCCTGGTGAAGGTTTTCCATATCTGGGGGACCAGCAGTACCGAAATGGTCGTATGTATCGTCGAGATCCATGACATCCTTCAAGCTTGGCCGAAGGGTTTCAAGTTTTCCATCCAAGATAAGGGTATAAGGGTCGACGGGCTCCCGGCTAATTCGGCCGAGGTTCTCGGAGCTGGCGGTCTTGAACAGAGCGCGACGTGGCTTCACAAGATGGCGGTCTCGAAGATTAGCATCCTCAACATGAATGAATGGAGTGTAGGAGATATTCTCATAGAAACACTCCAAGATGTCTTCTGAGATTCCCTCGCCACGACAATTCTTGACGTAGTCAGGCTTTTGCATCTTGCGTTTGTTGTTTTTGTTGAACACATCGGTGTGTAGAATCAAAATAGAAAATGCAATAAAATATGCCTTATCGGGAGATGCGAAGATACCAGGGTTGCATTCATGATAGCGGTCAGCAAATGCCTGCAGGAACCGGTCAATCTGTTGAGTCTCTTTGGGAAGCTCAACTTCCATCAGAAGTTTTCGAATTGCCATGTCAATGGGATCACCGAAATACGAAAATCCTCTCATATACTTCCGTAGGCCGACTTTGAAGAATTCCTCATCTGACTGAGCAAGAACGCCTGCAATCATGCCGCGTGGGAGACACATTTCCAAGCGACTGAGATATGTTGCTGGGGTATCCGTCTCTTCTCGCTTCGGGACTGGTGGGGGTTCTGGTTTCGATATAGGCGTAGATGAGCCACCGGGAGAACCTCTTGGTGCTGGGGGCGATGAATTCTGTCTCAATCGTTGCGTTATATTGAACATGTCCCCAAAGCTTTTGCGACCAGTAGTAGATGTCGAAGTGCGGCCTGAAGACGCCAGATATGTGGGTGGAGTCAAATCGTCCTGGTTCTCGGCCAGCGATCCCATGGTGGACGATCGTCCTCGGTTCTTAAATGACGGATTTGATCGGACGGAGCGGGCTGAATTAGTCGAATCATTCCGGAACAAGGGTGGCACGCTCGAGGCAGGAGCCAATTGTACCGTAGATCGAGATGGTGAAGGTAGTGGTGAGATTTGATCTTGGTTATCCGAGTGTTCAGACTTTGGTGTATCTACCGGGGGGAACTTCGGACCATTGTCCGTCACTTGAGTCGACTGCGGGAATTTTGGAGGAAGGGGGAATAGAGGGCTTCGCGTTCGTTTCAATCGTGGCATGCGGAATCGTTTCGTTGCTGTTGCACCTGGAGCATCGCGCGGGGAATTCGTTCGCGTAACTGTCTGGTCTCCATAGCTCTGATCTGACCGAGACGACTCGGAGAACCGGGAATCAACCACTGATGAGCGCTGAGAGTCGTTGTTCTGATCCCGGTTCCCTCGAGAGGTTGTTGACAGCCGCCCGGGCTCTTCCGGAATACTCTGGGACGTAGCGAGAACTGAATCACCCATCTGAGAGTCGGTGGATCCCTGACCCCTCCTACGAGACTTGCCACTGGGTTGTTCCGTTGATGACCGGGGCAATTCCTCCATGGATTGTTTGCGTGACGAGGGGAGGAAGTTGAGCTTGGATCTTTGTTTCACAGGCTGGTCGAGTTCGTGACTTGTAGGGGCGGTAGTGATGATCTTGGGAGCTGTGCCAAGACGAGACGGTCAGTTCTTTCGCATCAGTATGATTGTTGATGGGTTCTCTTACGCGGTAGGGAGGGCACTGGAGGAGTATCCTGGCCCGCCTTGGCGTATGACTTGGAGATTTGGGGATCGGAGGCATGGCGTAGTCTCATGAAGCTGAATCGATTGCGGCGCAAGCTAGGAGTGTCCCCCGAGGATGGACCTGCGAAGTCCGACTGAGCTACCCCATCCCCCTCTGGTACCTGAAGACCCCGCGATGGAGGTCCTGGAGTGTCAAGGGCGGGAGATCGAGGGCTGGACTCGGATAATCTCGGTTCGGTGGCTGGAGGGATTGGACGAGGTAGGTGTTCACTGCGACGTGACTGGCTTTCGATGGTACTCTGTCGCTTGGAGCTGCCATCAGCCACCAACCTGAGTCCTTTCCAATGCATGGTAGAGTGTGTCAATGACAGACTCGAGAACACATGCATGTAACTCTAGAAGGAGTTGGACATGACGAGAAGTCCAGAACGTGAGGATCTGAGGATCTGGTGGAGAGGGTCGTCAGCTCGCAAAAAGGGGAACGCGGGTAGGGAGGACCAACGTTCTAGATCGTTGCTACTTCAGAACGCCACTTTTTCCAATGTGCAGCGAAAATCAGGGAAAAATCAAGAAAACGATATAAGTTAGCTATGAGGGGCAAGGCAGACGGGTTTTAGGCAAATGTCCAAGACTCCAAGACTCCAAGACTCCAAGAAACATCCCTGACGCGGCTTGAGCGTCGGGGCGCCGGAATAGAGATAGGATATGGAGATAGAACGAAAGGAGAAGGAGAGAATAGAGAATGATGATCGCATAGATCACTATGCATCTCATTAATATAAGTTGCAGTAGAAATCTATACTTGTTAAATTAAGTGAATACCGGATCTGGTCACTGACGTCGAGCATGTCATCTCTCCCCGGATCTTTGCTTAGCAACCCCTCGAGTCACTTTGACCCTCAACCTCTCGAGTCGGATACAAAGTACATTGTCAACCTTCGATAATTGATCCCTGAACATTGAACATCCAACTTCCAGTCTCGACATGACTCTTTAAATATATCCCCGCGTGTCGCCTATCTCCCCCTCCCTTCTCCGCACTCGAGCCCCCAGCCTGTTTCCTCTCGACACACCCTCAGCATGCGTCTTTTACCTTCACTTGTAGTCGCTGCGACTTTATGCCCTCTCATATCTGCTGTGCCCGCAGGTTCAAGCATCACCCCACCACCGCCCCTCCAACCTGTCCACCTCATTACTCATTCCGACCCACGCCGCCCATGGACGCGAGTGCGCGATTGGGTAATCGGTTCGATCTGGGGTATTGATCCCAAGCATTGCTCAAAGGATTCATCTCCGCCGTCGAACATCTACGCACGATATGGCAGCGATGTGGTTCTTCGATTTCACTTACGTCAACCGGACGAGGCAGGCGCATTGTCATCCGCATCGCAATTGCTATTCTTGGATATCTGGGCCATCACATCGGACTTCGTGGATATCAGACTGGCAGAGGACATGGTGAGCTTCACTCCGATTGCTGAATGATTCGCAAATTAATCGATTGGTAGATACCTTCATTGCTCGACCTCCTCCCTCCCACTCTCCGCACCTCCTACCAGCCCCTCATGGATAACCTCGCCGACAAGATCTATGCATCATATCCCGATAACAACCGTAATAATTTGGATTTTGGTTCAGGAACTATATCGTCTGGGCCCAAGATATCGACTATCGGCGACCTCTTCTTCCAAGAATATCAGCCACTGTCGGTTATTACGCAATGGATGCGCTTGATGGCACAAATGTTCTCATCGCACGCGCAGATGACTAGTATTGGAATTTCCTACGAGGGCCGCGAGATTCCAGCTCTGCGATTGGGGACGTCCGAAACAGACTCCGAGTCCGGGCCCCGCAAGATGATCGTCATCATGGGTGGCACCCACGCCAGAGAATGGATCAGCACATCCACAGTGACATACGTGGCCTACAGCCTCATCACTCATTACGGGTACTCCCCTGCTGTAACACGTTTGTTGCACGAGTACGACTGGGTCCTGATTCCCACCCTCAATCCAGACGGATACGTCTACTCATGGGAATCAGATCGTCTATGGCGTAAGAACCGCCAGCCAACGGGCCTCCCATTGTGTCCCGGTTTTGACCTGGATCGCACTTGGGACTTTGAGTGGGATGGCGAGTCAACTCACTCGAACCCCTGCTCCGAGAACTACGCCGGCGCAGAGCCGTTTGAAGCACTTGAATCGCATCGTTTGGCTCAATGGGCTCAGAATGAGACAGCTCACGGCCGCGCTGACATCGTCGGCTTCATTGACCTGCATTCTTACTCTCAGCAGATCCTTTACCCATACTCATACAGCTGTTCATCCGTACCTCCCACCCTTGAGAGTCTAGAGGAACTTGCCTTGGGTCTCGCCAAGTCCATCCGCCAGACCTCGCACGAGTTATATGACGTTACCTCAGCATGCGAGGGAATCTTGGCCAATGGCGCAGCTACTGGTGCCACTTCTGGTGGGAGTGCTTTGGACTGGTTCTACCATAAATTGCATGCCAAGTACTCTTATCAGATTAAACTTCGGGATCGGGGTAGCTATGGGTTCCTTTTGCCCTCGGAGCATATCATTCCCACCGGAAAGGAGATCTTCAACTCATTATTGATATTTGGAAAGTTCTTGTGGGGTGAAGAAGCCTCGGATATTTCTGTTGAAGACCATCTGATGGGTGCTCAAGTGCCCTTGGCGGATAGGGTATAATTTGAGTATGAGCTGGAAGCGTCCCTTTTCAGTGACTGCATGTGGGATTACGAGCGAATTCATCTTTCTTTTTGTTTCAAATTGGCATGCCTTTCTTTTCAACGACCTTGTATATTTTGATAGTTAGTGCCCAAAATAGTATGGAATCTATATACAATGTTCTCGCCTTCAATGTGATGTGAATGCAAATTCTAGTAACAGTCTGTTGTGATGTACTATGTACGATCTTTCTCGTCCCTTTACAGCGCCTACTTGGACGATCCTCAGACCACAAGTCTCGTTTCCGGGAGTACGTCTCAGTTCAATCGAGACTCTAACCCACAGTACGGAGATAACATGCATATTTATTCCAATGATAAAAAGGGGGTCACATTTATAAATATAAGTCAAAATAACATTGCCAAGAAATGCATTCATCATTACTAATGTGCGCGCGTTAGCTACATAGGTAGGTATACTATGCCTTACCTACAATGGCTAGGTGGGCAGGGGGAATAGCTTCCCATGCTCCTTCTAATGTGGCCCTACAGCAAAAACTGTATCATTCTTGCATTGGAGTCAATGGACTCTGTAGGTTATCTCTGACAGGTGGTAAAATCCAGAGCACGTTAGTATCCTTGCTCAAGGAAAGATAGCATAATTCTCCCGCCAGCCGATGAGCCTAATATGAGAACCAAGCTACTTGGTCAATGTCGCAGTGATGACTTGATTTATTTCTATATGAGACTCCCATCCCCCGCCCCCCTTTCCCCTTTCCAGAGGTTCAGGGATTTTCCAAATTTATGAACATCCAAATGCCTGCTTCAATATACGAAAAGTTGATTACATTATCCATGTCCGCCTGAGTTCTGGTATCGGGTAGAGAATGGACTGGCAAACTGATCTGGTCAACTATGGGCGATTCCTAGACCAAGCGATGAAATCTTACAGCTTTGGAAACAAGGCACACCCCAGGGCTAGCAAAGGAACCCCCATGGTTTCCCCTCCAACCCCCCTTGACACAGACAGAATACATGCTACATCCCAAACAAAGAAGAAGAAAAGCTCATCCTCCATGGGAGAAAACTCTCCACCGTAGTGGGAATTGCGAAAGCAGTATTGGCGCATGGAAAGAATTTATCTTTACAGGGCAATCGAACAGTGAAGAGGGACCTGTGAAAGATGCATACCTTGCCGTACCACGACCAGGGTGGCATATTTCTAGTGACTTCCTCCGAAAGAATTGCGCGGATCGAGGTTGTTGTTGTGGTAGGAAATGTAGATGGTTTGGATTCCCTGAGGCTCATCGGATTAAAGGTTGGGGACATTGTACTGCTCAATTTGGTTGCTGTATTTGATATGGCGTCCTAGCCATATTCAATACCTCTACTGATATTATTAATGCCAATTTTATCAGTAAACTGCCAAGAAACTTTAGAAAATGCAGTGCCGTATAGGGCTGACAAAAGGCGGTAAATTCTGCGGTAACCTAACCAGCCAATGATATTCCCTCGACCAACCCAAGAATAGGCAAAAAAAACCCACCTTAAACCAATTACCTCATCCCATCCCAAAAAGCTATAACCCAAGCTCCTCCAAACGCCAACCTCAATCCCTCTACTCCGCAAACAAACCCCCCAGAAATATAAAATGGCACACTCGAAACGCAACACGTCCCTTCCACACTTCACATCCTACGAACGAAGCCTCCTAAAAAACACCTGGGGCACAAAACAAAGCAACATAGGCCGCGATAGCTTCCTCCCCTTCGCCTCATGCCGCCTCTGCCTCCAACCAGCGCGCACACCAGTAGTAGGCTGCGCCAAGAATGGCGACCTCTTTTGCCGCGAATGCGCAATCAACGACCTCCTCGCCCAACGGCAGGAAATCAAACGACTGGAGCGTGAGCGGGATGATGCGCGGAAGCGCATTGCCGAGGATGATGAACGCACACTGCGTGAAGTCAAGGAAAGGGATTTAAGGGATTTTGAGAGGGTGTCTATGGGGCTTGAAGCTAGGGCTGATGTTTTTGGGGCTAATGGGAAGCCTCCTGGGAATGAGGCTGTTGGTGGTGGTGCTGGGCTTGGGACTAAGAGGAAGGCTGAGGAGGAGAGTGAGGCTATGAAGAAGTTTAAGGCTCGGGAGGTTGTTGTTGATGGGAAGAGGAAGAAGGTTTTTGAGTTGGATGAGAAGGAGATGGCTAGGGTTGCTGGGGAGGAGAGGGAACGGTTGAGGAAGGAGCTGAAGATGGAGAAGGTATGCTGAAGACTTTGCTGGTATGGAAATTTGCTAATCTTGTTGTGTGTTCAGTCTGAATCTAGCAAATCAGCTCTGCCTTCTTTCTGGGTTCCATCGCTCACGCCCGGCACGGATGCGAATGAGATTGCAGCGAACAAGACCGTCAAGTTAACGCCTATTTGTCCCGGGTCCACGGATGAAAGTCGGCATAGCTATTCCCTTAAATCACTTGTTGAGGTTCACTTCACCGAGGAGAAGGCATCTGATGGCACTGTTTCGAGGGTTTGTCCTAGCTGCAAGAAGAACTTGAGCAATGGACTTAAGGCGATGCGTACGTGTGATTCAATTGATACAGGGTGGTTACATCGAGCTAATACTTGCTTTCGGACAGTCACGAAACCCTGTGGTCACGTCATCTGCTCTCCGTGTGTAACGAAGTTCATGACGCCTCATGAGCACCATAAACCCGACCCCCACGCTTCCAAGGAGGAGCAGGAGGCCGCTGCTGCTCTACATGGTCAGGTTCTATGTTATGTCTGTGAGACGGATCTTACAGCACGTCCTTCGAAGAAAGATGATGGCAGTAAGAAGTCGTCCAAGAAGAAGGACAAGGAAAAGGATGCCATCCAGCCTGGTCTGGTGGAGGTTAGTTCCGAGGGGACTGGCTTTGCCGGTAAGGGAGGGAACATGGGGAAGAAAAGCGGAATTGCCTTCCAGTGTTGAGCACGGAAAAGAAAAACCACGAAGAGAAGACACGCGATTTTCAATTGCGCGTAGATAAAATATCCTGGTATTGCCGCCCGGAGCGGTTATTAACGCCCGAACCATGCAATTACAATGTTCTAGATATACAGTTTGAAGCCACGCGAGTAGATATTGGAAACCCCCTTAGTTGCGCTTCTTGGCGTTGTTGAACTCGCGCACAGTAACCTGGCAAGCCACCTCCTGGCACAGACGACGACGACGGCTGAGGTCCAGGTTGGCTGCAAACTCTAAACCAGAGGCACGCTCAACGGCCTCGATGGGGACCTCGAAGTCAGTCAGGCGCTTGTCGTTGGAAATGCGGGCATTGGGCAGCACGAAGGCACCCAAGGCAACCTTGCTGGTGGGTAAGTTGGTGCCGTCCTCGGCGTAGATAACCTTGTAGAAGTGGGTGGGCACAGCAACGTTAGGTGGGTTGCCAATCACCTCATAGTTGACACGCCACTTTCCATCGGGATCCTTGTGGGGGAGGTACAGAGGGCCAGTAACGATGCGAACAGACGGGTACTTCTTCGCGAGGTCACGGCAGAAGGTCTCGAAGTGCGCCCAGTAATCACGGTTGAAACCCTCGCCAACCTGAGGGCACATGTTGCTCAGGGAGAAAGTGTCATCCATAGCCGGCTGGGACCATTTGGCGTCCGCAGCGGGAACCTGGTGGCCGCGGTCATAGCCGGAGCGGAAGTAGTCTGCTAGCTTGGCGCGGAACATGGCCGGGATGTGTGCGTCCTCGGTGAAGGTGCTGTGCTTGCGGTCGGCATTGTTCAAAGCAAGGGACTCGGGCGTGATGTGTTCGGCGACCCAGGAGGGGTTACGCGTGCGACGGTCCAAAGCACCGTGCAGGACAAGGTTGGAGAGCTCGTCGGCGACTGGGCCTGGGAACCCATATTGCATGATCCCGGCGGGGTTGACGGGACCAAGAGCAGCCTTGGCAGCCAGTGCCGGTGCTGGGATCGCTGAGGGAGCTGCGATGCCGGCTGTGTTCGGGGTGGGAGGAATTTGTGGTTGCTGCTGTTGCGCTCTGGGTTTGCCGTAGAGCAGCGCGGTGACACCAGCACCAGTGGCGGCACTGGCGGCGGCGATGACGGCCAAGGTTGCTTTGGACATGAGTGAACGTCCCCGAAGAGTGTCGGGAGTTGGCCTGGTTGAGTCGAACGTAAGTCAACAATCGGAAGAAGAAACAAAACTGGCGAAGTCACGGGCCAATCACAGAGTCACATGTGAACTCGAGTATAACTTCTGTTGACGTCCATTTTCTTTAGGGCCCAGCGTCTTTTATATCTTTCATAGCGTTGACTTATATCCTCTTTAATCAGCTGAACCTAGTCAGTCGCATTCACTAGAATCTCTGTGTCCTCTCAAGGTCGATCATATGCAGGTCGGACAGTATCATGCCGTGTGGTATCACCTAGTCATGAGCCTCACTATAAAGAGACACTGTTGACCTGGCTACTCATGCTCCATTGCCGACAGTGTCACAGGCATCAACAGTTTCAGGGCCTTCTTAAGAGAGACTCGCGATGTCTCCCGGCTGTTGTTTCCGGCTGCCCCCCCCCCCCCCCCCCCCGTCATGAGGGGGCAAAGTGAGAACCTTGGGGGCAAAGGAATGCACTGGCCTGCAACTGATAGAGAAAACCCCCAATCCCATCTCACCATGGCTGTTCTCCTTCTGTTTTCCGAGAGAGGCGAAGTGAAGCTTGACCGCCAACCGCCAACCAACGGCCGTTGAATGCAAATTACATCACCGTTTTCGTTTTCTCCAACTCACAAACGCCATGGCTGCCAACGACCTCCGGGGGTGGGTGATGAGCGCCGTTTCAGGCGTCGGTGAGTGTCGCGATTTACAATTATCCAACCTAGCACTAATCATTTTTAGCCTGCGTCCTCGGTTCAGCCATCATCTGTGTCGATGTGGTGGTGCAGGTGCTTTCCCGCCGCAAGAGCTTCCAAATCGCCAACAGCAGTAACTTCCTGTCAGCGTCATTATGTCTCAGCGCTGGTGTTATGGTGAGTTGAGACAATGAAACTGAGATTATCCGAAACTAATGTGTCGCAGCTCTTCACCTCCCTCTATAGCATGCTGCCCAACTCGAAAGAGTACCTGACCCGCGCCGGCTTCTCTCCTTCTGTATCTGCATACATATTGACGAGTCTTTTTGTTACTGGAGTCGTGGTTATCCGCATCGTCTCCACTTTCCTTCATCGTTTTATTCCTTCTCATGTCGTGGACTGCGCACATACTCACGGCGACCCGGAGAACGATCCCGAGCGCGGGGAGAGTCGAATTGAGGATGAATACTCACATAAACATAAGAATGGAGATACGGAGCGAACACCGCTTTTGCGCCCCGCCGAGCATTTAACTTTCAAGTCAACCCCGGCCGTGGTGCAACGGAGCCAAAACGTTGAGCCCACTCCAGTACGGCGTGAATCCGTGCGGGCAATGCTATCACGCCGAATCACCTCTATCATAGGTGGCGTCAAGCCTCTATGCGATGAAGACGGACCATGCTTTGGAGTTTCGCAAACATGCGGCCGCGAGTGCACTAAGGTTCTTCCTTCAGCCACTGTAGCTGCCACCGAGATCCCTCGGCCGGGTCTGCCGCACCGACAGAGCATCTCTGCACCTTTGGAGTCCGAGATACCTCATGCAGAGACTGATGTTGACGTCAATACTACCACCGGTGAACCTGAAGCAGGCTACTTTGACACCGTGGCTGCGCACCGTGATTTGCACCCATGCGTTGCATCCTCCTCTTCATCTCAAACCCATGATCATCACTCTGAGCATATGCATCACTCACATTCCGGGCATCACTGTCATGATGAGCCACACAACCATGAGGAAGATGCTGATTCCGGACGTCCCAAGTCCGCCGGTGGCAATCCCCACCACCACCATGTACCTCAAAATGCATTCCTCTCCATTGGACTGCAGACCTCTCTCGCGATTGCTCTACACAAGCTTCCTGAGGGATTCATCACGTATGCTACCAATCATGCCAGTCCAACACTAGGTTTGACCGTGTTCCTGGCCCTTTTCATCCACAACATCGTGGAAGGTTTCGCCATGGCACTCCCCCTTTATCTAGCCCTGAACTCCCGCTGGAAAGCAATGTTCTGGTCCAGTCTTCTTGGGGGTATTAGTCAACCCGCCGGGGCTGGACTAGCCGCCCTTTGGATTTGGAGCACCGGCCAGCGCGGCAGTGGTGATGCCACCGGCCCTTCATGGGGTATCTACGGCGGAATGTTTGCAGCCACTGCCGGAGTAATGACCTTCGTTGCCCTACAACTCTTCAGCGAAGGACTGGGTCTCACCCACCACCGCGGTATGGGCATTGGCTTTGCCGTTGCAGGCATGGCGTTAATGGGACTGAGCTTTGCATTGACTGCTTGACCACCTCGGTTCCAATGTTCATTCTCTGGTCTATACTTTTTGGCTGGCATATGGATATAGACAGTGCGTTTTGGCGTTTTATGATGTTTGTGACTTTCATTCTATGGCCGCGGTATGGCCTTGCACGACCTTCACGTTATATCTTTACAGGGTCATTGCATATTATCCTTCTTCTTCTTATTGTTATTATAAAAAAGCCTGCATGAGTGGAAGAATATCAATGGGTGCATTGGGTATTGATGGCACTGCTTTCTGTGGATAAAACATAGAGTTAGAGTATTTTACTGAATGGTCCTTACTTCTTACTCAATAGGCCCTCGTCCCAGTTGATCATCGGGCAAGGGAAAGCAATCAGATAACAAAGTTCTAGTGAATAATGCTCTATTCATATAAGTTCGTGGGCTAATATATGCATCGCGAAAACAACAAACCTAGCATATATCAATACTCAAGCCCAGACAGGCTCATTGCTCGGATCCAACCCAGCCTCAATCCTTTCAAGAGCAACATCCAATTCCCAAGCAGTCTGAATCCCACCCTCTTCGATTGGCATCCAGCAGCGCTCAATAACACCCCCAAAAAAGACCCCCACAGTAGGAGGTAAATGCCACCGGTGGGGCCAGCGAGGAAAACTATGTATATAACGTCTCTTATTCCGCAGGAACAAGTCGACATCGCATCGATTCCCAGTAGCAATCTCATAGAAAATAGCCCCCAGCAACGCAACATCGATCTTAACCGTATAGCCGCAGTCGCACACATTATCCATATTCAGGTTTGTCGGAAGCAATGACGACCCCCCGAAGTCACAGTACTGAACCATCAAATCGTCTGTCAGGAGAACGTTCCATGACTTAACATCGACGACCAAGACATTTCGAGAATGGATGTACATCATGCCGCGGGCTAGCTGGCGCATCCAGGCTTTCATTTTGTATGCGGGTGGTTCGATTAGGGCTTTGTCGAGGAGGTTGCGTAGTGTGCCAGCTCGCATTAGCTCAAGCTCGGTGCTGAAGAAGGTGAATTCGATCCATTTCAGGACTTCTGGGCAAGCTGCTTGGTTGGCCAAGGGCTGGAGACGGATATAGACCATCTGCTCGAGGCGTATCGTGTCTAAATTTTCGACCACTTCGCTTGCTCTGGAGTCTGGACGACGGAGGGGTGTCTTGACTGCTTTGCCGCTAGATTGAAGGACGACTGATGAACTGCCGTAGCCGACGATTTCTGGGTAGGGGATTGTGGCGCCGGTCATATCTATGAATAGAGGGGGCTCACTCAGATCCATGAAGATATTTGCTTCAGGCATTTTGGGCGGCTTGTATGAAGTTGGAGATTTGGGTATGCGACATGATGGAATGATGGAATGGCTTGGGAAAGGAGATTCTACGGTGGTACTTGGGGCAGGTAGGGCTTTTGCATAGTTTAATGTCCGGTAGCTTCGGCCGGATGTTACAACCTAATTCGTAATTCAATCCATGCATTCTACTATATTTTGGGTGTGCGGAGGGTATATTCCATGTCTGCAAATATCAAACCCCAACTCATACCACGGAATGGGTACATGACTGTGATTAGGTACTTATTTGCACATCAATGAAAGGAAGATAAAATAGAATATATTTTACATATCTTATATACATTTATTGTTTAAGTCCTTATCAGATTGGTCATTTGCGTGGCTGCGTTCCTTTTAAAAGGAGCTTAACCCCTTATATAGATCTCCTTTGGATAAATATGTTAGTTAATATTTGTCTACTTGATCAGATGCAAAGATATCGGGACTTATGGAAACTTAGCAACTAGCTAAGAGGGGCTTTCGAATCATTAAATCCCAGGCTAGGGACAAAATCATAGAGTAAAATTCATTCAATGCAACAACTTTATGGACATACAATTTAGGTCCTCATGATTAGAAGCCAATATAAGATACCAAAAAAGAACCAATCACACGACTATACAACCCAATGTATATATTTAAAGCGCCTGGACCGAGATACGTCTCGGAGCACCACTGCCATACAAACCAGCACCACTAGACTCACGAAGATGATTGTGGTGAGCTTTGCCCTCCTCTTCCAGATCGTCGACATCCAGACTGAAGCGGCGAGGCTTAGACCACATTCCAAATTGCTCGCCGCCATTGGCTTCACCAACGCTCTGAATTGTCTCAGACTCGATACCAAAGCGGGATCCCAGCTGCTGGAACAGATCTGCGTGAGCTGAGGCTCTGCGCGAGGTCTGATCAGCACCCATGCGACCTTGAGCACGGCGGAGTAGCTCCATGTGCTGCAAAGCAGTATCGGCAGCACGGGCATGACCCTTAGCTTCGTTGTCGCCGAGCAAATCGTACAAAACTCCTTCGTGGAGAGTAGCGGCCGACTGGTGGTTATCCGACGCAGTGAACAGACCAGAAAGCAGCTTGGTCATGTCCAATGTGACGGGGTCGCAGCTTCCCCAAAACCTGGCGCAAGTTGTAGCAGATGTCGCGGCAAAGCTGGATAGCTGAGTCGACATGGCCGCGGCAGAAGCGGGTTTCTACCAGACGGCGACCAATCCAGACAACTACATCCGGTGTCCAGGTACGCTGGACGATACGTGATGTCCAGAGTTGGGTGAGAATTCCCTCGAGCTCGTCGAACATATCGTATTCGCCTAGAAGGGTGATGATTTCGTTCAGGTCGTTGAATGGCAGGTCCACCATGTCGATTCCGATGGACTTGGATGCTGCCATAATCTCCTGAAGAAGCATCTTGGACTTGACTGACATGCCGTGATAGGTCTTGTTGTCTGTGCATTTGGCCGCCTTGTGGCCGCTCAAGTACAGACAGATCTGTGTGGCTGTCTTGATACTGTTGTAGTTGTTCAAACTTTCGGTGAGGTGAATGAACGAGTGCAGCACGCCTGTCAGGATAGTTGCATCCTCAAAGCAGGATGAGTTGCACAACAGACGGACGGTGTCCGCTGTCTTGGTGAGAATGTTCATTCTGTAGTTCTCGTTGTGCACCTCATGCAGGCAGATCTGGTAGAATTGCTGTACGATTTCCTTGTCGGCGACATTGGTGGCCGAGAGGTTGGAGCAGAAGTAGTCGTACAGCTTGTCCTTGGTATCTGCGGCAGCGCGGACGCGCTTCTGTTCGGACTGTAGATTATACAGAATGTGGCCCGTGATCAGAGTAGGGATGAAATCGTGGCCAGTGAGACTGGTGGAGAAAGCCTGGTAAGTGGACGTCTCACGGGTCATTTCGGTCATAATCTGGCTGTAAGTAGCGCGTCGGCCAAAGACTTCCTCGAACCCAGCGACAAAGACGGCGTCGCGACGGTCGTGAAGAGCCATAGCAGAAGCCTCAGAACTGTACACAACGCGGTGGCGCAGTTCATCAAGCATACTGTTACCGCCTTCAATGAATCCGCACTCAAGGTAGATAGAAGCAATCTTGCGAGCCCAGTCACCCATCTGATCAGGATCACCACCAGCGTGCAATACATCTGTGACGAAAGTGTGGAGAATTGCATTGCCCTGCTGAACAGAAGTCGAAGTTCCCTGTCTCGAGTGGGCCATTGCGAGCTCGCGCAGCCAGGACAGGGTCGTGGAGGAGAAGTAGCCCTGGGTCTTTTTGGCCAGCTGGAACTCCTCTGTGTAGAGATAGCGAGCTTCACTAGTCGAATCGTGTTTCCGAACATAGAGCTGTGCAAGCTTATGCTTGAGCGTAATTGGCAGAGGCTGCGTCATCTGATCGAGACTCCTGGATGACTGAGAGGGATCCACCCATTCACTGATTTGTAGAGGCTGCTTGTACAAGGCGATAGCCTGATCAATGTGGGAGTCGCTGCTCTCGCATAGCTCAGCAAACAGCAAAGTGGCATTGAGCGTCTTCTGGCTGGTAGGACCGTGCACGTGGCGACAGGTCATGACATAGTCTGAAGCAACCTGATATCGCTCGGCGAAATCAGAGCTCTCTGTCTTACGGGTTGTCAGAATAGACATGTAGCCAAGATAGGTCTTCTCCAACATGCGATCCACCAGGATCTGGTCGAACGTATGCTTCTTGTTATCTTCGACAACAAGAGTAGGCCAGAGCGAGCGATAGACACCCAGGGCAGATTCCCACTGCATTTCTCCTTCATAGAGAGCAATAAGAGCAATGGCAGCATCGATACCCTCCGGGGCGATCTTTCCATCCTGAGAGGTGACATTGTAGATACGCTCGTACGTGCTCTTGGCCTCGCCAGTCATCTCTAGGCGAGTTGCCAGAGCAGCCTCGAGATACATGTTGTCGATGGTATGCTTGTGACTCTCTCCGAGGCGATATGTCAGGAAGTTGCTGACAGTGTGGAGTAGAGTCAACGCCTTGGTGAACTGGTAGGAAGTCTCGTAGAATTCGACCACAGCCTTGGCAACGGCGAGGACAGACGGAACTGGAACCTTGTCCGATGCAACCAAAGACCCAAATGCATTGTCGTAAACATTTGTTGCCTGTTCCAAATGCAGTCTGCGGAAGTGGCAGTAAGCCAGGACCAGGGCAAGATCTGCAACAGGAGGTGCCAGCTGAGTAGAGAACTTCTTGTGGGATTTTGGCTGCTCGACAGTTGGCCAGATGTGCTGCAGGACAGCCATCGAGCATTCGCTAGCTTGAGACCAATCTTCCTCCTGAATGTAGATGCTGGAGAGGTTGTGGCACATGATCAAGGTGGTGACAGTCATGTTACTCGAGCTTGCCGAAATGACATCCAGCAGCTCAACCAACAACTTGCGGTCTTTGACAGAGAGCGAAGATGCTCGCTCCATCGAGACAGAGTTGGACATGCTTTGGGCAATTGACAGGGCCAAAGCAGTGGAATCCTCAGAATACTCCTGGTTAGTCTCCTTGTAGTATCGCCACATGAGCACCGACAAAGTGCGATCGAGGCCCCACAAATGCATCTCTTGTGTTTCGGTCCTCAGAAGGTGCACACGGTGCATCATATCCGAGGAGTGGACACCAGTAACCTCAAGATCAGCGACTAGTTCACGGATGATGACTTCGGCTTCGTCGTTTCGGCCGTGGCGGCGAAGGAACTGATAGTACAAGAGAGCCACATTGGCCTTCTTATCCATCATGTCGACAGAGTCTATGTCACGCGAGTTCAGACCTGCCCAAAGGCTAGAAAGCACGGCTTGGGAGTGAGCAAAGTCCCCTTGCTGTTCGTACATCTGAGCCATGTAAAGAGTATAGTTGATTCGACGCTCGTCGGTGACTTCCATGGTACGGACAACATTGTCGTACTTGGTTCTGGCAATGTCTCGACTCATTTCATCGCTTCCAGTGGTGGAGAATTGTGCAGTCAAGAAGTCGGCAGTCTCGGAAGACTGATGAGAGTTCGTGCCGTACTTCTGAAGAACTTGCTGGTAGAATTGCTTCGAGATAAGCAACGCGGAGTTCTGGTCACTTCGCGACTTGTACATGCTGACAATGATGCCGAGATACTTCAGGCGCTGGTTGAACTCAACACCAGTGATCTCGGTGTCGGTCAGGATCAAGTATCTCATGATATCCTCCTGCTGGGTAGTCAGGGTTCCTTTCTCAGAGAAGGACTGGGTCATCATCTCGGAGCATGTCAGGGTAGTGGTTTGTGACTGTCCAAGGAGCTCCTGGCTCAGCTTCCACGCTTCATAGCAGTGCTCATCGGCATGGCTAGCGTGAGCCAGCTTGGCAACGCGTGAACTGAGAAGCAGACTTTGTAGCAAGGCCATGTTCTTGTCTCCAAGAACAACTCGGCGAATATCACTTGCAAGTCGGTAAAGTTCGACAACACTGGAGCGAGTGAACTGGGACTCGCGGCAAGTCAATTCCAGACGAGCGAAGAGAACAGTGGCCGGCAGGAGTTTCTTGAAGCCAGTGTCGAATTGGAACTCCCCGTCATCGGTCACCAACGGTGAGGACAGCAGATGCGACAGCCAATAGCGTGCGGTGTATTCCAAGACGGCGTACTTGTCAAATAGGTGGTTTCGCTCCTCCATGCTAAGCTTGTCCATAGAGATATCAACTTCCTCTTGCACGCTGAGCTGCACACACGAAAGGCATCGAATGAGCAAGTCGTAGTGGGCCTCTCTGAGATTGATAGACCTGGATCCAGAAGACTTCGCCTGGCTGATGACGTGGTCACGAATGCAGGTGTGGGCAAAGGACACCACACCATCGCGTGTCATGACTAAGGGACTCAGCGCATTCAAAGTGTCATGGCTATCAATGAGTTTACTAGACACGTAGCTAGGGCCCTTGGGGTCCACATTCAAGAGGTGCTCAATTTCCTCGACAAGCAAGGGTCTCTCTGCAGCTGCAAGCCAGGAAACGATATTGAGAGTTCCGTGTTGGCTGAAGTCGACGTTCGTGGAGTGGAAGTCAAGAAGATCCGGCATTGACTGCGGCAAGCTTTGCACGGACAGAACAGCCTGGCTCATTGTCTTTTGCTGCTTGGCATATGCAACCGCCATCTCTGCCCAGGTGAAAGAGCCCTGTGATCGTTTTACGATGGAACCCACCGCTGAGTCAAGCTGATTGCCCTTGAGAGTGTCGAAATTAGCGCCGGACGCGAGCATCTTGTTCACGTAGGCTGTAAGATCTGTTTTCGTCTGAGAAGTCTGCAGATTGAACTGCTGGACGTTCTTGGAGCCCATCTTCGAGCTGAGCGGCCGGGTGAAGGCGATCATCTTAGATCCAGCATTTTGTTTGGCAAGAATATCACAGAAGTGATCCAGACAAGCCACAGCCTCAGTATCTCCGCCCTTTATCTGGTCGATGCCATCAATCACAAACATGTACTGGATGTTGGAAGATAAACCAGTTCGAATTCCCTTCCACAAAGACTCTTCGACTTCGTCGTCGCCAGCTCCATCAATGGCACCTTGGGCTGCCTTGGCAACATCGACAAGAATTGCCTCCTGCGTTGGGATATCACTAACACAGTGATCTAACATCTGGTGCAGGACACCCTTCAGGATGCGCAGAGGCAGAGTAGCGACGGGGATATCAGCCCCTGGATTTGGTCAGTAGGTGGAAAGCAAATATGATATCTACAAACTTACGAATTGTGTACGGAATGACATTCCAGCTATCATGCTCAGCTGACTCCTGCAGTCTCTCAACAGTCCATTGAGCCATGGCACTCTTGCCAGAGCCAGCTCCACCTGTGATGAGCATCACAGGGTTGGTAGCAACGGTGAATTCATAGAGAGTGTTGTTGAACCATTCGAATGATCCTTCCACGAGATTATGGGCGCGAGAATCTAGAATGAACTGGAGAGGGCGGTCCTGTACCCCCAGGAATTGTCGCAAGCTACCCAGCTCTGGGGAGGAATAGATCTGCGAGCTATTCTTCACAAGCTTGAAGGTATGAGAGTCGACAACGCAGTTCCAATGAGTAGAGTAGCGCTTGGCATAGGTCACAAATGCTGCGTCCACGTTGCGTCCAATGACCTGGTCAGACTCCTTGCTCTTGAATCCCTCGACACAGCTTGCGGTTGTGCTACAAACCATTTCAAGCAGGTCGGAGAAGACTGCGGCAACCTCTGGCTGAAGCTCAGGAGATGACTTGTACGCGGTCTCATACTGGAGCAGCAAGTAGATACCCACAGCAACACGACCGTATCGGCCAAAGACGCTTTCAAAGACATCAGTGTTGTCAATGTCAGATTCCAAGAGCAGGATGCAAAATCCCCAGATGAGCATTGCAGCTTCGTTGGCAGCAGGTGCAAAGACTCCGACAGACTCTCTGAGGGCGTCAACAGCATATGCCAGTCTGGAAGCCCATCTGAGGCAACAGTCAAGCTTGCTGCCGTCGCTAGGCATCCAACGGAGACGCTCAGTAGCAACAGCGTCGAAGAAAGAGTCAACCGTAGGGCTGCGGCGAGTGATCTCATCGGAAGACAGACCCAGCTGGGTCTTGCACTTCTGGGACACAGCCTGGACCTTCTCTTGAAGAACAGTAACCTTGAAACCACCGCTACTGAGCTGTCTGACAGTGCGCTTCGTAGCTGCTCCGTTCATACCACCCGTGCCGGTACTGCTGGTTCCAGTTCCGCTGCCAAGTGCATTGCTGGCTTCACTCTTGCTGGTACTACCGTATACGCCACTCTTCTGCAGTCTTCCTCCTCCAACCATGGCCGCTTGGGTAGTTTGGCCGTTGCCGGAGAACGCATTGCTGGATGTGGACTGGTTTTGCTGGCTAGCAGTAGCAGAGCGCAAGCCACTGACCTGGCTAATACCACTGATTGGGGCCATGCTGCTGCTTTGGCTCATGCCACTAGTTTGGCCCAGATTACTAGTCTGGCCCATGTCGCTAGCCTTGCTCATGCCACCGATGCTAGAATAAGCACTTGTTGGTGGAATAGCAGAGTCGAAGCCTTGGCCAATGCTTTGGTCCAGATTTGCTCCGGAGGTGCTCTTCGTTGCTTGGCTGTCGGTGGCCGAATTTTTGATGCTTGCAGGATCGACTGCACTGGCAGTGGGTTGAAGCTGACTCTTTGGGCTTGTGGAGGCAAGATCACTTGTATTAGCAAGTTCCTTGCGACCCGCCTGGCTGATTCCAGAGGTTGAATAACTTTTGCTTGACTGATCCTTGGTGGTAGTGGTCTGGCTGCTAGTCGCTTTGCTCATTCCACCGCCGCCGATGACAGCTGCAGCCGCAGCCGCAGGGTCCTGTTCGGCTCCTGGCATTTGCGAAGTCTTGGAACCTTGTTGTTGAAGGTTCTTTTGGTTGGCACGAGACTTCGACATGTCGTGTTCACCAGGTTCTTTGGAAAGACCTTTGTCGCCGGTTCTGTCGTCGAAAACGTCTCCGCCGATGGTTTCCTGGTCGTGAAGTTCGTTCTGGATGAAGTCATCGCTGAAATCATTGCCAGCGTTGGCTCCTCCGTTCTTCAATTGAGCTGAGCTGTCTTTCGCATTGCTTGGTGCTACGGCAGAGGGAAACTGGGAAGAGTTACGCTTGGCGGTGCTTGATTTGCTCTTGTCGTTGCTCAACCCTGCAGTGTCTGCAGTGTCGGCAGTGCCAGCTTGGGAAAGACCTTGCCGGTCGATGCTTGATCCAGTGGCATTTCCCTTGCTGGCTTGAGAGTTGGCGTCTGCCTCGGTGAGACTCTTGCTGGTGACGCCGCCGTCTCTCTTCATGATAGTCTCTCGGCCAGTTTTGTTGTGGAAGTTCTTCTCTTGAAATGTTCCTTCCTTGGTGATAGGGCCCTTGCGAATATCGTAGTTAGGTTCGAGTATTCCGGCGGCGACGCTGCCTCGACGGTCCATCTGGTCATTGCTTTGCTCCTTCTTGTCGGATGCGCCAGTCGACTCTTTTTCGGAATTGTCTTTACTGGCACTGTCTTTGGCACTGTCTTTCCTGAGTTGAATGACAGGTGGACTACCAACGTTCCGCTGTTCCTTGCTTGTTTCATCAGGAGAAGCCGTTGCGGAATTGTCCTGGCTAATTCCTTTGTTGATTTGCTGTCCAGTCTCCTTGGCATTTTCCTTGCTCATGTCTGGTTTATTGACTCCGGTGCTGCCCGAGGCTCCGCTGGCACCACCTTGGCTCGTGGATTCCTTGGTGTTTTGGCCGCCGGTAATGATGTCCTTGGCGCCGTTGAAGTTTCCGTGGCTCATTTCATCTCTGATAGAAGCACTTCTGTCGAGTATCGTGTCCTGGCCGCTTGCATGACTGGAGCCCTCTTTGCTTCCACTACTCATAGACAATCGCTTGCTCAGTCTTTTGGCAACTCGGGTTCCAATATTGTCGGTATGTTCAGCCTCGGGTTTAATTTTGATTTGATTGTCGGTCATTTTGAATGAATTTGATTGATTGGCGCGTAAAGATATTAACAATAAATAGGTCGTAATAATAAAAGTTCAATAATAGTATCATAAAAGTCGTCTCGGTTGGGTTGTCATGTGTAGTCAATGGTCATAAGGGAAAAAACCGGTACTATGGAGAAAACGCCGGAACTAAATAATATCAGTACGTTCTCTAGCCAACATTGCATCATGAATCGGATATTTCCGAGATATGCATTTCATTTGTGGGTGCACAGGCCAGAATGAACGTATGAGAGATCGAATCTTCTTCTGCATTCTGGAACCAATACTCAATTCTGTCTGGATTCCAAGGCCCCCGAGGTGATCCTAGTAAGGAGCGACGACTTCGATGTCATGCACGGTACAGTATCAGAAGTCTATGATGCCGAACCGCATGGGAAACAAGATGAGTGGGCCTCCCGACATCTCATGTCTCCACATGAGCTTGGGGGCATCATCATGCGATTCGCGGTCAAGGTTTCCCTGAGAGAACGCAATTAGCCCTTCTATTGCACCTTTTAATTAATACAGAAGATTAATGAGGTTGAGGAAGATTTGTGCCTTTGTTGCTATTCCCTTCTCTTTTTGAATGGCAGGAGACTTAAACATCCATATTGAAATGACGGGGATCGACTTCGCTCGATGCCATCGCATTTGTGGAGTAAAGGCACCGAGTTTGGAAACAAAGAATCTAAACTGAATGATAGAAACGATGTTTCCCCTCAAGTGACGTCTAGACATTTTCGCGGAGCCTTCTGGGTCGTCAACTGGTTTCGCGAAGAATGCAGGTTAAGGAGTCCCGACGTTGCGACTGGCCAATTCGCCCTTAGTCATCCGTTCCGCCCCCGGATAACCTTAATCCAACGCGTCGATCCGTGGGTATATCAGCTGTGGACTATTAATTAGGTTGAGGATCGAATGGCAGTTGAGGAAAGATTCCGGATGATCCGGTGGTGATATCATCTTGGGTTGCGTGGGTGACGGCATGTCGGAGGACCACGACAGCGGGAATATCCGCTGGTTATGTCATGACATTTCACTCTGGACAAGTTCCTTTTGAGAAATAATAATGATGAGTCAGTTGAAGATTGATTGCCAGGGTAATTTACTTTATAGATCGAATTCGTCTTGCTCAACTACCTTGGAACTGCGTTTTGATCCCTGTCCTAACCAATGGTCAATCTCCACAGTTCGCAGCTCATAGGATAGTCATGCGAGATAACACAAGCTCTTCAGACGAAATAGCTCTCCTATATCTCGGAATTGCCGATGCGAGTCTGTGTTGAGTTCCATGATATAAAATATAGACCCAAAAGAGCGACTTTCGGGTAAATCAACTCATCGCTACCGAGATGATACAGCGCTATTCTGTCTTTGCGCTTCGGTGTCAGCCAAATATTCCTATCACTGAGAGTTAACATGTCACTACAGCAGAGTTTATAAGTGTGCATGCAATACCATAGATGAAGTATCAGACTGTCTCTATGCGAAGCCCAGCCACGAGGAGATTATACGTTGCCTTCACCAAAGACCATCTAGCGGCCAATAAATCTTTATTTTCCTCAGAGTGTTATTAGAAAATATGTGCGCATATCTAAAGCGAATAAAACGTTTTCTAATAGGGTATCAGTGGCAAGCCTGATCTGTGCCTATCTCTCATCCACCCGATTATGATGGATTTACTAAAAGTCATGAACGCAACGGTCCCTGGCCCCGCGAGTGTTGTTTCCTTGATGTATTACCCAGAATCATTATTCACTTTGATTATTTCTATGGTATATATTCGTTTAGATTTAGGTGATAGAAGCTGTGAAAGAGACGTGCCACTTGGTGTGCGAAATTGGGTATCAGACCTGACTTTCCTTTCTGTCTCACTGAATCAACACGACTGATATCTAACTGGTGCTCCCATCTACCAAGAATTGTTCATTTAGGTCGAGCAAGGTAGTGAAATCGAAAAGATCCACAGGTGGTTGAGACCCCAAAGCAAATACATCTCGTGCAGCAGCTTTAATCTTTTGCATGGTCAACTTCGAAATGGCCCAAGTTCGTCCCATGGACCTCAACACTCCAATATTCAAGCCGATGCGGTCACGGTTTGCATCAGACATCTTTCCAGCCTTTATAACTGCAAGCTGAACAATGCAGCTGAGCGCAAGGCCACAGGTGAGTAGCGGTGTATGTTTTTCAACTGGTGAACTAATTGCAGCTAGTGAAGATAACTCATTGGCTGCTCTGAGTGCTTTTGCAGCATGACAATTGTGGGAGAAAGCGGAGTCCCGAGGTGATACCTGCTGACTGCATATGACATCCGCGCTGACGGCAGAAGATGACATGAGGCCAGAACGAGAAAAATTCAGATGGATCGAGGCAATGTTGACAATCATGCAAGCCTGGAACATTATCTCATTGACTGAGCCATCCTGCCGTAGGAGTTCGGCCTTAGAGCTGGGTAAATTGAGGAACCAACTAGCTATGCGAGCGTCGATGGCCTCTATGAGGTTTTCATTACTTCCGCTCATATCACGTATCTTCAGTGCCCAGTTGAGGATGCGCACGGCGTCGATTCTATAGGTATGTGATGAAAATTCAGGCTCTTCGTCGGCAAAAACGTGTGTATCGAATTGGGCGATCGTTTGTGGATTTGACGAAGTCAGACCTTCGCGAAAGGTAGACTCTTCGCATGGAAGTGGCACTTCGAGAGGCTTGACGGCTGTGCGGCAGGTATGCTGCACCCCAAAGGATATTAAGAGGCCTTCAATGACGAAAATCTCCCACCATGTGCGTCGTAAACATTCCGCCCGAGTTGGATCGTTAGGGCTTTCAGTCTCAGCATAAGTAGCTCGGTCCAGGCCAAGCTCAAAGGCCAAATCGACAGCTGCATTCAAGCATTTCTTAGATTCCACATGCTCAGTACGCGAATGCAGCGCAACGGACAATAGCAAAAGTGCCTGAACCTTGTTGGCTGATGGTCCTGCCCTCAGAACCGTTTCGACAATTGCGTGGCCATAAGTTTCACTAGATACGGATGAAGTGAAATGAGATGCAACAAACTTCACAGCCTGCCTCAAATATGAAGGCAAGTGAGCCTCTTGGAAATGTTCCCGTGGTGGAAGAATCGGATGGGCTGGGTGAAAATAGGTATAGTAGATAGCAAACAAGTAACTATCACTTCTGGTTGACACAGGAGATTCCGGTGTCACATTTTGGGGTGCTTGTCGAGTGTCGGATGCCATAATTGCCAGTGTATCTGCATGACAAGGACTAGATGCCCTGGGCTTTCGTGGGTGGGATGTCGCTTGTTTAAATTGAAGACTGCATAGTAGAAGCGGACCTCCACGAAGATCCGTGATTTTCACAGCAAGACTTCTGCACTGTTCGAAGGGGGGGTTGGATAGGGCGCGGCGTTTCGTCGAAGGCAAATCTATCATGAGCGCGGGATGAAGCGCATGAATCGTGATGGATGATCAAGTGTGGGAGGGAGAATAAGTTTTGTTGGACCCCTTTTTTCACTCTGCCTAAGCGCGGCTCTCATTAATATCGAGAACACTGTCCACTTTGACGAGAGGAATTTAGTGAGCTGCGTCGGACTTAAGGATGAGGCTTTGTGGTGACCATAGTCTGATGCCAAGAGTAGACACGAATCGTTTGCCAACTCATCAGAGCTAGAGAATTGATTGCTGCTTGGAAACAATGCAGGTTGGTTTAATTTGCCCATTTCGTGCATGGATTAATTCCCTGGGGTCGAAGGATGCAACCGAGAAGTTGGGATTGGTGGCCGGACATCGGGGACCATATTGGAGCCCGGTCCCGCTGATGGAGGTGGCCAGTTGATATATCCTGAAACATGCAATTACATATCCACCAACTGGGTTTGAGCTTTTAGTTTGAATTAACTGATGGGGATAGACATCGACTTTGTTCTAGATTGTCATATCAAAGATAGAGTAGCGTTGTGTAGCTAGAACAACTTTCTCGCGCTTACTCTCATACATCGTCTAGACCCTGATTTTCAAAATTCTGTTTAAAAGACTGAATCAATGCAATATATCCATCAGGCATACATAAGCTTGTAAATGAATTTTTTATGGAAAGAAAGACGGCGGTTTCGCCAAAATTTAAATTTGATAGTTGGCTGCGTTGCCCTTGGGCTCTTGCTCCTTGGAAATGCGAAGACTCCATGGCACTAGTAAATACACTTGTGGCTTTCTATCTACTATGGGACTTGGATTCCCTTTTTAGATACCACTTGGTGATGGGAAGTCTGATATCTAATGGTTACGACCCGAATTTGGTAGTGAGTATAATTATACCCTTCGGGTTAGGAGATAAGCCAATGACAGCAAGCTGACTAATGCCGCAGCATATGAAATCGAACATTAGAATAGGGGCAGTCTTTCCCATTGGAATGCACACATAGAAGGTCTGACAACTCCATAGAACCCTTCTTTGATTTAATATCGCCAACCATTAAGTTCTGATATCTAAATTATGGACGACGTCATAACAACTAGGCCGGCTGGCCCAATGGCAAGGCGCTTGACTACGAATCAAGAGATTGCAGGTTCGACCCCTGCGTCGGTCAATATCTTTTTGTTTTGTCCATTCTTCATCGTTACGAAGCACCAATGACCGCTTTCTAGTCATTTGTTATCTTTGGACCAGACTAAATCCGGCGATAAATTTTTTCTCGGACCTCGCACGTGGCCAGTAGGAACATTGCTCCTTTGGAATACGTTACAATCAGGGTGAGTATTGTGAATGGTGGATAGAACATCGATGCTGCGATACAAAATGTTATTGGACTGATTTGATCCTCCTTAATTAGCAAAGCCGGTATTACTTCAGGGTAGTAGCATGATATGGACAAGTATATCGTTAGCACAAATGGAGAGAAATGATGAACGGCGACCAGCTGTGGGTCCGTTGATCCCCTACTACACATAGCCCCACATGTCTAAAGAGGTTGACAATGTAGACCCCGGCGGTTGGTACACATACAGTCACTAAATGTCGCTGTAACTTCTGCATTCTCACCTTGAAGAAAACACTCCGCGTATAGAAGAGATCATAGCTCATAAGAGCTTCGAATCAATCTCCCGAGAGAAAGCTTAGTTCGGTCATGTACCGCAAATTCTTTTTAATTCCTACATTTATATGATACCGTTTCAGACAATCATCACCCGAGGCACTCGGGAATTGGACGAAAGGGGGTAAAAAGGAGTTGACAGATTCGGCGAAAACAAAGAAATGAAATACACGCTTCGAGGAATTTGTGCGGGGACTTTGTAATAATTCATCAGTGACATTATATATATATATATATATATATATCTATTGTTATCGATCTAAGAGCCAAATATACTGTAGTATACATGTATGCGATACACATAATGTAGGACTCATGCGTGTACTTTACATGGTTAAACCCTCAAGCAGTAATTCTTTCGTCCATCATCTTACTCTAGCTTCAGAGTAATGCCAAAAACACCGAGAGAACCACATGTAATGAACAAAGGCCCCCAGATTGCAGGGACAAAGCGTCCTTTCAACAGGTTTTGTCGAGTGGTCACGTATCGAACAAATGAATATCCAAATGACCACATACTGATAGCCTGGCAAACTCGGCTAGCCACACGATCGCTCGTATTGCCAATTAGGACCAGTGGTCCCTTTTCTGTCGCTGTACAATGGGCCTCATTTGAAGGCTTTGCTGGGGAAACAGCTTGTGTCAATGACTTAGGTACATTGATTGCCTCCTCGCGGGAGTTGCGATTGAAGATGTTGTCAATGATATCAAGTCGAGCGAGCGCAAGTGACATTGCTGCGAAAGCTAGTCCCATCCGGTTCCAAGAAAGGAAAGTGCGCTCGTTGGCCTGATGATCGCGTAGTTGAGATCCATCGTTAGCCACTGACTTGGGCATCAAGCGACGGAAGATATGACGATTCATGTCGGGTAATTTGTGGTTATGTTATGACCAAGGAGAGAGGAGTAATTATTGTTTATGGAGAGGTCATCTCTTAAAAAGCCAATGAGGAGCACAATTGAAGGGGGTCACAGTATGGTAAATAGTAAAAAGGGATTAGGGTTAGCTCGGCTGCGCGAGGATCTAATCGCCGTCCAAAGTCACCCGAGAGCGGTGAACGGCGATCGCATACCCATAACGAGAGTCCCGGAGGAGCCGGGTGAGACTTATATGATTCACTTGAAGTGTAATGATCTCCAACAGATATTATAATAGTCATTATGGTTTCAGACACCTATATAGTCTCATTCAAAGTCTCCGGAGCAAGTATATTATTTTATGCATTCTTTGTACCTTTAGGCTAGCCTCTCTTTCTCAACCTCTTTTTACCCCATTCCTGAGTGCCTCTGGTGAACCAATTAGATCAGATAAAGGCTTAAGTGTGAAAGGATCTATGACCATTTTCGTACTCTCTTCTACATTGGAGACTCAAATATACTTTTAGGATCTCTTTCTTCAGGGGATTGTGTCTGGCGCCAAATATCATCTGGTCTCATCATTGGATCCACATTTCACTGTGCCGAATTAGGAGACGAAGCAGAAGAACAACTTGAAGCATTGCAGCTATGACACGAGTCAATACAAGAGAATCGGGTTGAAGACCTGATATTTCCTATCACCGCTTTGCCTGTGTCATCAAGACACAAGGGGCGAAGCTGACAAGCTGCATAGTAAGTCCTCCGGATACTGTATTTCAAGCGAAAAAAAACATGGCTCTATCCTACCTTTAAAGCCCGACTTTTGAAACCCCATACTTCTATCTCTCTGTTTTACTGAACTCCAGCCGGAGTAGGTTGGACTTAAAAATCTCTAGACCAATATCGAGATCTTGAGGGATATAAATCGACCCTATGTCCACCCACACAAACCTTCTACAATTCCATCACATTTCACCATGACTACTCGCTACGCAGAGGCCCACAAGAACCCCCAGGGCCCCGGAGATGCCCGCCCAGTGGCACAGCAAATCATCAGTGACGAAGGTCTGGAAGGACAACTGACCGGCCACACCATCCTGATCACTGGCGCGGCTCATCACTGGCGCAACTCTCTACCTCACGGCCCGAAACCTAGAGAAAGCCAAAAACGCTTTGGGCGAGATGGTTGCATTCTTCGTGCGTGCACCTACTAGATCTAGACCTGGAATCCCTAGCCAGCGTGCGCGCCTTCAGTCTTCAGCCTGGCGGGAGTCAGACTGGACTTTTGAAACACATGTCTGATAAAGAGAAGGAGGCGCAACTGTGGCAGATGTCATTAAAGATGGTCGGCGGAAAGGAATAGGACACTTGACTATTTCATAGATGAACATGGCTTCTGAAATCTGTTTAGCAAGCTAAATCAAGGGTTGCTCTCCATATATATTATCGCGAAAGGACCATTTTCAGAATAGAAAATGCGAAAATTGACTCATGCTCCCAATATAAGCCTGTTAATAGCAATGTGTTTGCATCGCACAGTTCTATAGACCGATCGATATAAGCATATCCGATGTCTTCGGGGCCCTTGGACTTCTATATGCTCTCATTACCTACCTGGTAGCATTGTTCAGCCCAATTGCCAACAAAAAGATGACTTCCATGTCGTCCAAGGTTTGGCTGTCACTGGCTGTTCGGCCGGATTTGGTATTTCCATTGCCCGTAATTCTATCCCATGGCCATTCTGTGATCGCATCTTCTCGCATCCCTTCCAAAACCCCAAACCTTGTTGACAAAATCATCCAAAATGGCAGAAAGATCACGCTCGATTTCACGAACCCGGAGAATGAAGTGAAGAAGAATATTGAAGAAGCCAGCGCGGTCTGTGGCCGGTTAGTTGTGGTAGTTAACCACGCTGGCTATGCTACAGCCGGCAACTCCGAGTATAAATCATGCCAGGCTATACACTCAATGCATGGAAGATTCTGACCTCTTACTTTGAGTACAGTGCAAGCACAATTCGACACTAACGTCTTTGGTGCCCTGAAAGTCATCAAATCCGCCTTACCCGCAATGCGCATCGCCCAGTCAAGGACCATAGTATTGCGTATCATAGAGACAAGCGCCTGAGCGTTCATAGTCAACGCATACCCGCAGAGAAGTGGGGGATCTGGTAGGTCGTAATCTACTCTATATTGGCTACGATTGGCGTCAACCCTTTAGCGATTGATCCCAAGATATTGGCAACTGTGTATCGTCTTTTGCCTCTCTCAACCAACCCAACCATGAGGCTGTATGCGAGCGTCATTAGGATGCAGTCATCCCAAAAGTCTGTGATTGAAGTGAGTCAGACTACCAGGATGATCAGAGCCAGAATGACGGGGAAAGGGCCTAGACCTGAGTGGTCAGAGGGAATCATGGAGGGGAACCGCGGAGAGCCTTAGACCCCTGGAATTTTAAATTATATAGGCTGTGGAAGTGCAGGGCCCAAACTCCCAGTGTAATATCGTAGATAGGTACCTGGCAGAGCAAGTCTACTCCAACATCCGAGACAAACGAGTGGCACTGAAAGCCAGCCCCGTTTCTCAGACTCTATATTTCAGGCCAGAAGTCGAAACAAGGTAGAAGAAGTTTCCATTCCTGGATTGGAAATGCATTCATGGAACAGCCTATGTAGAGAGTCGAAAGTGACTCTGAAGTCTGACATGCGAAAACAGCCCGTAGACAGCCTCACACCCAACCACAGCCTTCCATCCTCAGACCGCCATGTTGTTCAACAATTTCCGTGATTCAACCTCCATAACCCGTGCGTTACCAGCAAAAAAAGAAATTCAAGCGAAAACGAAGCATGATATCATCCGTCCAAGTACCAGCCGTAATCTGGTTGCTCTCGTTCGTTTGGGCCGTGGTCGTGTCGCGGTTATGCGAATATTTGTCTCAACATCGTGTAACTCGACTAGCCGATCGCGGCGCGGTTGGTTTTTTCAACGACTTGAATAGTTTATTGGCCGGGGTTGGGGTTCATCTGTAGTTGAATGTGTCAGCCTTGCGAGTCCTTCTTTTTCGATATTCGTGTGTATGTGTGGTGTAGTTCGTTTGAATTTTGTGTGTTCGGTTGTGTGTGTGGATGGGTGAGTCATTCGATATGTACCTTGCGCTTGCCACCGGTCATGGTAACGTTGACGAAACGGCGAGTGTAGAGCACACGCTTGTAGGCGCGACCCTTAGGGTTCTTCTTCTTCTCCTGGGGCTCGACCTGGATGCAAAATTGTCGTTAAAAGGACTGGTCGGATTGTGAGGCCACGGGCGATCGTCGAGTGGCGTTTTGAGGGTGTCGAAGAGAACTCACCTTAGGAGTGGCAGCCTTGACCTTACCGGCACGGGCGAGAGAGCCGTGAACCTTACCCATGTTGGATGATTTTGATGAACGAGAGGTAGAAGTGGTTTGGTGATGGAGCGATTCTTGTGTCTCGATAGGGTTGCAAAATTGGGAGTGCGACCTGTGGGGCGGCTTAGCGAGCAGTGTCGGTCCGGATTAACTGAGCCCGTATGGGGTCATGTGATGTTGGGTCAAGTGCTGAGGTAAGCCGGGGTTAAGCCGGGTTATCGGCTTTGGTTTCTCCGAAGTAAATGATTGACAGGCAAGAAAAGCAATGTATCCGCATACTAAATAGTGTCAAATCACAGTTGATTGGCTCTAAAATTGGCTCATACATACATGAGTCAGTGTTGTCTTGCATGTACGTGGCAAATAGTATTCATTATTCAACCATGGGTTTTGACTGCTATTTCTGATATTATGTCTAGTGTACAAGCCTCCACTGCTATGCAATATAATTCGAAATTTCCAAAAGGTGACGTATCCAACGTGCTTTGCTTACATTGAGGCCCCCTTTGACTTTTCCTTGGCGGCAGCTTCTTCCCGCTCCCTCTTTCTTGCCAAGTACCGCTCCTTGGCACTGGAGACTTCTCCCTCGGTCTTGCGGCTGCGGCTCTTCTCGGCCATTTCTCTTTGCTTTGCAGCTTCGGCCTCCTCTTCTTGTCGCGCACGCTCCTCCAGTTGGCTTGCGACCATGTCGGTCTGTCGAGCACGTTGAGCAGCACGGCCAGACTGGTGGCCTGCTGCAGCACCTGGTCGTGCAGACGGACGTGGGGCTGCTTTGGGGGCAGATGGCTGGGCCTTGGGTTTCGGTGCCACATTCAATCCAGCAGAAAGAAGCTGGCGCTTGTCGACAACTTGACCCTCGTCGTTGACCACGACGTTGGCACCGCGAGAATTGAGATCTTCAGCCTTTTGAGTATCGGTCTTTTCGTCTGGCTGATCTTCTGCTTCCTCTTCCACCTCGCCTGTCTTGACACGGCGGGCGGCTTCTTCTGAGGCCTTGACGACTTCCTCGTGCCGTTCCTCTCCTCGCGATAGCACATCTCGGTAGAAGCCGATCATACCAGAGTTACCATTCTTCTTCCGGCGTTCTTCCTCTTCCTTCTCGCGGCGCGCTTCTTCCTCCTCGACCTTGCGCAGCTCTTCTTGCTGGGCCTTGTAGGCGGATGTGACGAACTTCTCCTTGTCTGCAAATTCGTCACCTTCGGCCTCACGCTCCTTGGCAAGTTGACGGTCGCGAGCCCGTAGTTGATCCCGCTTCCGAACTTCTGCGCTTTCCAATAAATTCTTCATGTATTTCGGTACATCGCTTTTCGTTTCTGTTGAGGCCTTGGAAGGTTTGGAATGAAGACTCTCATAAACGGCATCGTAGGAGTAGATTGATGGGTCAAGTTCTTCGGCTTCCTTTGCATGCTTCTTGCTGCTATGCAAAGCCGAGAGATTAGTATATTCTTCGCCAGCACCTGGCGCCTGCTTTGGCTTTGCCTGGTTCAAGCCAAGATTCATCTGCCCTTGCTGTTTCTCTTTTTCTTCGTCTTCATCTTCGTCGTCGGCAAATAATGAGTTCTTGCTGAGCGGTTTGATAGGGGGCTTAGGACCACTGCCTAGTTGCATTTTCCGTTTCGGTGGCGGTCCTGTGCTTGAAAGTGCCTTTGGTTTCGGGGCTGGCTGCTCTAAACCTCCAATTGTGGAAACTTCAGTGGTACCGTTATCATTCTGCTGATCCTCGTCCCCGGACACATCGTCGAATATGCCCTTCTTGCGCTTCTGTCCCAGCGCGTTTCCTGGTTTCGGCGCCGCTTTCTTGTTCGCAAGATTCAATCCGATCGGCATGTTGGGCGGCGCGATGAAAGTGTCGCAATCCAAGCAGCTCCACAGTTATTTACACCTGGCGTAAGGATGCGACGTGAATGTTATGGGCAGAGGTGATGCTTGTCGAGGTCAAAAAGTTACGACAGCGATAGGCGATAAAGCAGTAGCAGGTTATCGATCGGTCACGTGAGTCTATTTTGCGGGGAGGTTCGAAGTATACCTTAGCAAGAATGTGAATGATAATAGCATTGTCTCGATTATACTTCATGTTACTTTTGAGGAATTTGCTGAGCTTCTGTTGATTTATCTTGTAAAGGTTTGCAAATTCGAAGTTGTCGCAATTGGCTCGTTCCTCCGTGGAGGGCGATATATATAATTCTGGGAGCCGCATGTATGCTGCTTATGAACAATCAAACTTTCCCCAAACGCTTTACTCGGAGTCACATACAAGTCCAAAGATGCTCTTCTCGTTCAAATCTTCCATCGTATCTCTCATCTAGCGCCTCATGTACTCTGTACACCAACAACTGTATTGTTCAGCCGATAACCTTATCACAAACCACGTGATGACGAGCCGCCAAGTAAACAGCCCCCGGGATCTTCAATCCATCTCAACCTTTGAACTACCTTGAACGGCCCAAGATGTCCTACTATTTTACCATTCTGTCGCCGACCGACACCCCTCTATTCAACATCGCATTCGGTACATCCAAGGGAGGTGGCGATGGCATTGCCCGGTTCCGCTTCCCGGAGACCGCGCAGTACATGAACCAGTTCATAATCCACTCGAGTCTGGACATCTTGGAGGAAGCGCAATGGACGAACGGTGCAATGTGAGTACAGAAATCTCTCTATATTTCTTGAACCCCACAAAAAGCAAAAGAGCCCCTGAGAATCACCCACGAGCTGCACGACTCATGGCCCCGGCTTTGCGATGTCAAATACCTCGATCAATGTGTACCCCACACAAAGCTTCAGACAGCAAAGCTAATACTCTTCAAAAGGTATCTCAAGCACATCGACACATACCCACCTGCCGCAGCCTACATCTCCGCATTCCTCACCCCAAGCGGCGCACGTTTTCTCCTCCTCCACCAACCCCCGCACCTCCCCTCTTCAACCAGCACAGGCAGCGGCCTCGGGTCTTCATCATTGCTAGGCTCAGCCGGATCCACAACCCGTGCTTCGTCAAGCTCCGTCGCCGCAAACCCTACATCCCCGCAGACCGAGGAGGCAGTGCGCCAATTCATGAACGAGGTGTATGAGAACTACGTCAAGACGGCAATGAGTCCATTCTACAAACAGGGTATGGAGATCAAGAGCCCTGTTTTCCGAACGAGAGTTACGGCTGCCGGGAAAAAGTGGCTGTAATTGCGTTTTGTGTCTTCTATTTTTTTTTCGCTTTACTACATGAGCGTGGCGTTTATGGGTCTAACTTCCTCGCGGAGTCAATTGCATCGCATTTGTTGCAACCTGCTTTGCCAATACCAAAAGAGAGATGGGCAAGCTGAACATTTGAACCGAGCATCGACTATACTGAATAGTGTTTAATGCATTGAAATGACTGGATTCTCGTGATAACCAAAAAGGCTGTAGATCAAGTAGCTAAATGCAACACGATTTTTGTTTTCCAAGCCAAGCCGTTGAAAAAGGCTGGAAAGAGAACGAACAATTCATCCTTCGAACCGAAATTCCTGTCCCGCTAAAAACTTTCCAAAAGATAAAAATGACCCGAAGAGGTTAATCTGCACGCTTCGCTTTCTTGCAATCGCAAAGAGTTGAATCCAATCCATTCCCAATTCCGAACGCCGAAGATATTTCCTGCCGGTACCAGCACCAAAGCATTCACAAAAAGATTTTACCCGCTAAAATGACTAGAGCAAAAATGCTCAGCCAACCATTTGAGGAGCCAGCTTCTTCATGGTGACGGCTTTGAAATTGTCCACTGCGTGAATCACGTCTTCCAATTTGGCAACGGTACCAAAAATACCACCTTCCATCTTGACGGAGTTGATAGTTCCAAGATGCAGCGATGGCTCGCTGGCAGCAGTGGCATCGTCTAAAACAACGCAGTCGAATCCACGGTCGTTGGCTTCGCGCATCGTGGTCGAGACGCATACGTCGGTCGTCACACCTGCAATGACGAGGTTTTTGATGCCCTTGTTGCGAAGGAGGAGCTCAAAGTCAGTGTGTGCAAAGGCGCCCCGGCCGGGCTTGTCAATTACCGGCTCGCCGGGGAGAGGATACAATTCGTCAATGGTGTCGTGGCCCATTTCACCGCGAATGAGAAGGCGACCCATGGGTCCGGGGGAACCAATTCCCAGGCCGGAAGCATTGTTGCGGGAGCGAAAGGCTTCGCGGCTTGATAGAGTTGATAGATCGGGTCGGTGGCCTAATATTTGTTAGGTATATGGAGGATAGATGGGGATATAGCACCAGTGTACTGCGACTTACCCTCGCGAGTGTGATATACAGGGAAGCCACCGGAGCGGAAGGAAAGAAGTAGCCGCTGCAGGCGAGGAATCAAAGCCTGCGTTGCGGAAATGTCATAGCCCTGATATCCCATGTATCCATCAGGCAAACAAACTATAAAGATTAGTAAAACATCCAATTGATCGAATGAGAGCAATGTTCAGACATACAGTCTTTTTGCATATCAATAATCACAAGCGCCGTGGTATATGGAGTAAATGATGAATCATGTGGCCAGTCGTATGGAATAGCGGGCACTTGGCCCTTGCGAGCTTTATGCTGAGGCGCTTGCCGGGGTTTATCAACAATAGGGCCATGGTTATGTGTCGCATTCATCACAGTCAATGTCCAAATACCGGGAGACCCGGCTGCAACAAGCATAAACGGACAATCCATCAACCTTGACGTTCTGCGCCGTTTCCGCGTCTCCTCGGTGAGACCGTTCCGGGGCCGATAGTGACCGCCACGATCACAGCGCAGCCAGACCTTAGCGGTGCGGCCGGGTTTCTTCTCGGTCGGCATGCTGGATGATTTGACGACCACATTGTAGCCATGTTCCTTGCCGTGGTTCTGGACAGCGGCGAGGAGAGTAGCTCTGGGTGAAGGATCAGCTATACGATTTCAACACGCAAGGGGCGAATGGCGGAGACACCCACTTGTCAGGGTATGTGCCTTCAGGAGGGGGCACCAATTGCATTGCCAGTTCTGGAATGTCTTGAAGGTCGCTCGGCGCATCGTCGAGGTTCAGATCGGTGGAGTCGGCCATGGTGACTGATCAAGGTAGGCCCTGGCCTCAGTTGATCTAGCTAGAAGGTGGAATGAATGAGTATGTGTCATATCATCATCGCAAGTCCGATGCTAGCTGGGGACAGACGAAGCTCGCGACAAGTAGATGGGGATAAACAAGTGCGTGGAAGCAATCAGATGAGATCAGCGATCTTAAGAACGCTGTGCGTGGGCATAGCACCGGGGGTGGGTTTGCAGGCAAAACAGATGCTCTGACAGGGTTGTGAGAGCTGAAAGGGATTGAAATGACAAGGGAATTGAAAAGCAAACAGTGCTACTTACCTCTTCTATGCGAGACCCAGAACTGGAGACTGGGGATTGAATCCAGATCACGGGCTGAGGTCGATCAAGATCACTATTGCGGCCTAGCTCGAAGTGGCCCTCCGGCAGTACATTTGGTATACGGTGTAAATGACATCTCCATATGAGGACATGATTGGGTTGGCTGGCTCACCGCATTGGTCACCGCCACTATACCACGGGAGGATTACATGTACTGTACGCCCTGGGTTCGTACATATACTTTCTGCTGAAAACGCGATCTATCTTATTGCCTTTTGATGAATTTATAAATAGATTTGCGTAGCATAGAGTGTTCAATCAAGCCATAATATAAAGGTAATACATGGAACATGAATAGAAGTTCATGTACTCAAGGTAACATTCCACAAGCTTATTTGACTATTGGATCTAGTAAGTAATATCATATTGACTCAAGCCTTGACGGTTGTCTACTAGTTTATTTAATACTTCATCTCAATAAAATTTTCCTATTCTTTTGTATAGTATACCGAATGATCTGTTCAGTCGTTGATACCTAATGACGAGTAGTGACAAGGGATCCAGAGGAATAAGCTTGGATCTCATCCTTGGCATATGCCAGATATATCGATCTATGTACTAAGGAAGCTATCACATAACATGCTTTGTATTGATACATTCGTCAATACAAACTCCATCCTCTAGTACGGAGCACTCCATAGATGTAGATACTTCATCCTTATAATCAAGTATTGTTTCATACTTCCCCCGTAACTGTAGATCTCGGGCAGTTATTGGAACTTACGATCTGGACTGTTCTGCCGAACAACTTCACCAATCAACGTCCAATCGCGAGGGTCAGGTCGAGTAAACACAAAAGGCGGTGGACGTTGGGCAGCCAGATGGAGACTAGCGTTCTCCGGCCCCCTGACGACCGATGTTATGTTTCTCTCTCCGATCTAATCTATCCCGCTCTGCCTGCTTTGCCTTTGCGAGAGAGGCGGGAAGGTCATTGCACTCTTTCACTTCGACAACTCTGTCCTTTCTGTCTCGCGGAGGAACTACTATACCGATCCCTTGCGTCACCGCCTCGGCGAGGGGCTCTTATCAACGCACGGTTGTTGACATCGGCACGCTACGCAGCATTACGCAACACATGAGTCTTTGAGAGGGGCTGGTGCGATCTGCAGGGCAAGACAGCCTGCTGAACAGCCTTCAACGATCTCGGCCTTTTTTGGACGACGCTTGTCGTCCAGACACTTCCCTTGTGACCGGTCGTGTCGCTGCCCAACGCGAGAAGATGCCGGCCGTCGATGAGTCACCTTCCGAACGGAAGCATACTAGCAGCTCTTACAGAGATGAGTTAGCGCATTACAAGGCTCAGTATGAGCAGCTTGAGGCGGAGCTTGCGGACTTTCAGTCCTCCAGCCGGGAGCTGGAGACTGAGATGGAGAAGGACATTGAGGCCTCGGAAAAGCGCGAGCGGCAGCTGAAGGAGAAGGTTGATACACTGCGGTATGAAGTCGATGAGTGGAAGGTATGTATTCACGCGTCTATTGCCTACTTTGTCGCTTAGAGTCGGACACTAACAGTGCGGCAGACCAAGTACAAGCAGTCCAAAACCGAGGGTAATACTGCCCAGAACAACCTGCAGAAAGAGATCACCTCTCTGCGAGACGCAAACCGTACTTTGCAACTGAAGCTGCGTGATATTGAAGTTGCCAACGATGACTACGAGCGACAAGCCCGGAACACCACCTCGTCCCTGGAGGACCTGGAGTCCAAGTACAACATTGGTATTGAACGCGGAGTACTGCTCGAGGAAGAAATTAGAAACGGGGAACAGGAGCGCGAGCAACTGCGTATTGACAATCAGCGTCTCCGGGATGAGCTGTCCGATCTTAAGATTGAAGCAGAGATTGTCCAAGAGAGGCTCCGGAACACCGAGGGACATGGCTTCCGCCGCCGCAAGCCTACTCCTCTGTACCGCAGCCCGTCGACTCCTCAGACATTAGAGATTTTTGACCGCTCCCCTGGTACCGCTACTTCTTCCCCAGTCTTTGCCACACCCCCCGCTAAGTCATCCCTTGCGTCGGCCACTGCTACCCCGCCTTCACCTCCAATCTCCGAGTCGTCTGTAAACCTTCGCAAGTCGATCAATGCGACACCATCTTTCCCTAGACAGAGAGCTGCTGGACCTGAACCGGTCAACTCTCGAACACTTCATGCTCGGCCCCAGCCGCGCCCCACTCATTCTCGAACCCCGTCCCTCGCTTATAGCAACGGCGCATACAGCAATGGCCGTTCTACTCCATCCATGTCCATCTCATCTCGCAACAGTCTCACGAGGATGAACACCTCGCGGCCACCAGGACTTCCAAAGTCTGGGTCGCTGTTCCAGATCCGTGGTCTGATTGGCAAGATGCAGAAGCTCGAAGAGCGCGTCCAGTCCGCCAAATCGAGACTGCCTGCGCCGTCTGACACGTCTTCCCGTGGTTCCCCTCGCTCGGGATCTGTGGTTAGTGAAAGCCCAGTTGCCTCGTCGATTACGGTTCGACGGAACTCCCGGAAGCGGCTGAGTGGCAGCAGCTTAGGTTCCTCTGTGCGTGATAGCGAAGGCACACCGTCCTACGTTCCACCAAGTCGCCAATCTTTCGGACGAACCGGTGAAAGTCGCCCAAGCAGTCGAACGAGTTACTCTAGCCGCAGTTCCTTTAGTCAAAGCGTGCATTCTGGGGTTCCCCCTAACGGCCGACCCGAAAGTCGATCCAGTCGTACCGGTGCCAAAACACCGTTAGGCCATTACTCGACAAATCCAACCACGGAAAGTAGACGGCCTCGTTCCTCTCTCAGCAATCATGCCGGCCAGCTCCCCAATATTGCTGGCATGTGCCTGATTGACGAGGACCGTGACATCTCCACCCCAACAACATCCCGAACCTCCCAGGACATCCGTCGACCCTCTGTCTCGGCCACTCCCACGCCTGGAGTGAAGAAACGTACCGTCAGCGGTATACCAGCACCCCGAAGCTTCAAGACCAGCATCGGGCCTGGAACTATGCCACCTCCTCACCGGAAGACCCAAATCAGTGACCTGGGGGAGACCTTTTGATCTGCCATTCTTAATTAAGGAGCTTACATGGGGATATGGGATTTGATGGTTCTGTGGGCTTCTGATGTTTTACATACTCGATTTTGATTGCGATGCTTCCCGGCCCCCGCAGTCCGGCACATCCCCTGTACAGTTTTGCATGCTGGTGTGCCTCGACCAGCCAGGCCTGGTCCATTTTTTAGTGGCCCCCCCGGTGGATTCCTGGGGCCGTCCTAAGCTGTGTCTCAGCACTCGACTTTTCGTTCAATAATACCCATGATTGTTACGCTCAATTACTTTCCCGTAGCCTGGCCCAATGACATGGATGGCCTTACTGTGTAGCGGGGACCCATGTGGCTGCATGAACGCCATACTGGCCGGATGAATCTGCCGGTATAGAGGTAGCATTGAGCACTCGACACTTAGGTCATCACCCCCTGCATAGATCCACGGGTCTGTCACGATCTTACTGGGAACCTGATATGATTCTGGCCTTGATTTCCCAATACATTCTAAAGTAACCCTATCAACAGGGAAGTGTGAAAAGGGATATGCCGTTGAATAATGCGCAGGATCGGAATAGGCTTAGCGTCTGCGCCATTGAGGTGACGTGAATCTAGATTTAATTAATTCCTCTAAGCATACAGTATTGGCATTGGATCTATTCTATGTATCTAGGTATACCAGATCTACAGATCACAACCCCTCGAATTGTTGATTCCCCGAAAGTCCCTCGGGCTTCGGTCACCGAAACCCGGGGTATATTTAGGTGGTATACAATGGAATCCGGGAAATAGATAAATGAGAGATGGACTATATTTCAACATCGACAATCCATACACTTTAGAATATTCTCTGCTATAAGTTAACCACATAAAAGAAGTGGTGGAATTGGTGGGCGTGAGTGGCAGTGGAACCGGCCCAACAAAGCCAGGGAGTTGGGGAAAGTGTTCCTGGGCTGTAAGTACCTCCCCATAGTAAACAGTACGGCACGGTACTTCCATCCAGTCAAGGCTCATCACCTCAGTTGGGATCTCCACCTTGGTGGGACTCCAGGAAATCATCCCTCAGCATTTTTTTATTTCTTCTTCTTGAGGCCAGATTCCTGAATCTCTTCTTACATCTTGATTAATTTTTACGGGTTTTGGTGGTCCCGGTGAGTGATTGTAACCCCCCTGTGCCTGAATTGCTCCGACTTGGCCGTTTGCGACCAGAACTGCAGGCCATTTCCGCATTTGGCGCTATGTTTCCTCAATCTTGACGCTGACTAGAGCTTTTTTTTCCTTCTTGCAGATCTAACTCCGAATCTCATTCCTTCTACTCCTTTCTATCTCCTCTTCCTCCGAAACCACCAATCGGGCAGTTCCCGCCACTTCACTGTACATTACTTTTAATCGCACTCCGTACCCGGAGCTTTGACTTCTTCCACTACTGCCTGGGAGCTTGTCTTTAATCATGGGCATCACAAACGGCAACGGTAGCTCATTGGCCGCCAAACACAACCTCCCCTCACATTTCATCGGTGGCAATGCCCTCGAATCAGCAAGCCCAAGTGCCGTGAAGGACTTTGTGGCCGCTCACGATGGTCACTCCGTCATCACGTCGGTATGCTTTCCAACGGTCCCGCGACCCCCCCAAATGCGGAATAATGGTAAATTGGACTGAATTGACCTTGTAAATAGGTGCTTATTGCCAACAACGGTATCGCCGCTGTCAAAGAGATCCGTTCAGTGCGGAAATGGGCTTACGAGACCTTTGGCAACGAGCGCGCCATCCAGTTCACTGTGATGGCCACGCCGGAAGATCTACACGCCAACGCCGACTATATTCGTATGGCCGATCAATACGTCGAGGTTCCCGGTGGAACGAATAATAATAACTATGCCAACGTCGAGTTGATTGTCGACGTGGCGGAGCGCATGGATGTCCACGCCGTGTGGGCTGGATGGTAAGCAAACTTTGCACAATACAGAGAGAATGCACGAACTGACGCTGTGTTAGGGGTCACGCTTCCGAAAACCCTCGGTTACCCGAATCGCTGGCTGCTTCTCCCAAGAAGATTATCTTCATTGGACCCCCTGCTTCGGCTATGCGCTCATTGGGTGACAAGATTTCCTCCACCATTGTTGCACAGCACGCTGGTGTGCCGTGTATCCCTTGGTCTGGAACCGGTGTCGACGCTGTCAAGCTCGATGAGCACGGGATCGTGACGGTCGAGGACGATGTCTATAGCAAGGGTTGCACTTTCTCCCCCAGGAAGGTCTGGAGAAGGCCAAGGAGATTGGCTTCCCCGTCATGATCAAGGCCTCCGAAGGTGGTGGTGGTAAGGGTATTCGAAAGGTCGAGAACGAGGAGGAGTTCGTTTCTCTCTACAATGCCGCTGCCAACGAGATTCCGGGCTCGCCTATCTTCATCATGAAGCTGGCTGGAAACGCCCGCCATCTGGAGGTTCAGTTGCTGGCTGATCAGTACGGTAACAACATTTCCCTGTTCGGTCGTGATTGTTCCGTTCAGCGTCGTCACCAGAAGATTATTGAGGAGGCTCCTGTGACTATTGCTAAGCAGCCTACCTTCCAGGCCATGGAGCGCGCTGCTGTCAGCCTTGGTCGCTTGGTCGGATACGTTTCTGCTGGTACCGTCGAGTACCTGTACTCGCACTCCGATGACAAGTTCTATTTCCTCGAGTTGAACCCCCGTCTTCAGGTCGAGCATCCCACCACTGAGATGGTCTCCGGAGTCAACCTACCCGCTGCTCAGCTCCAAATTGCCATGGGTATCCCTCTCCACCGCGTCCGTGACATTCGTCTCCTCTACGGTGTTGACCCTAACACCTCCGCCGAAATTGACTTCGACTTCTCCAACGAGGAGAGCTACCAGACCCAGCGTCGTCCCCAGCCCAAGGGCCACACCACTGCCTGTCGTATCACCTCCGAGGACCCCGGCGAGGGTTTCAAGCCTTCCAGCGGTACCATGCACGAGCTGAACTTCCGTTCTTCCTCGAACGTCTGGGGTTACTTCTCCGTCGGTACTGCCGGTGGTATCCACAGTTTCTCCGACAGTCAGTTCGGTCACATTTTCGCCTACGGTGAGAACCGTTCTGCCTCGCGAAAGCACATGGTTGTTGCTCTCAAGGAATTGAGTATTCGTGGTGATTTCCGTACCACCGTCGAGTACCTTATCAAGCTTCTCGAGACTCCCGCCTTCGAGGACAACACCATCACCACCGGATGGTTGGACCAGCTTATCTCCAACAAGCTGACTGCCGAGCGCCCCGACCAGATTGTTGCCATCATCTGTGGTGCTGTCACCAAGGCCCACCTCGCCAGCGAGGCTGGAATTGAGGAGTACCGTAACGGTCTCGGAAAGGGTCAGGTTCCCTCCAAGGATATCCTCAAGACTGTCTTCCCTGTCGATTTCATCTACGAGGGCGAACGCTACAAGTTCACCGCTACCCGCGCTAGCTTGGACAGCTACCACCTCTTCATCAACGGCTCCAAGTGCTCCGTCGGTGTCCGTGCCCTTGCTGATGGTGGTCTCCTGGTTCTCCTCAGTGGACGCAGTCATAACGTCTACTGGAAGGAAGAGCCCGCTGCCACTCGTCTCAGTGTCGACGGCAAGACCTGCCTCCTCGAGCAGGAGAACGACCCCACTCAACTCCGTACTCCCTCCCCCGGTAAGCTTGTCAAGTTCACCGTTGAGAACGGTGAGCACGTCCGCTCTGGCCAAGCTTACGCCGAGGTTGAGGTCATGAAGATGTACATGCCCCTCATTGCTCAGGAGGACGGTGTTGTGCAGCTCATCAAGCAGCCCGGAGCTACCCTTGAGGCTGGCGATATTCTTGGAATCCTCGCTCTTGATGATCCCTCCCGCGTCAAGCACGCTCAGCCCTTCACTGGTCAGCTGCCCGAGCTTGGCTCCCCCGTTGTGGTCGGTACCAAGCCTCCTCAGCAGTTCTTCCTGTTGCACAGCATTCTGGAGAACATTCTCCGCGGTTTCGATAACCAGGTCATCATGGGTACCACCCTGAAGGAGCTGGTTGAGGTTCTGCGTAACCCTGAGCTGCCCTATGGCGAGTGGAACGCCCAGTCTTCTGCCCTGCACTCTCGCATGCCCCAGAAGCTGGATGCTTCCCTCCAGGCTATTGTTGACAAGGCTAAGGCTCGCAAGGCTGAGTTCCCTGCCAAGCAGCTCCAGAAGACCATTGTTCGCTTCATTGAGGAGAACATCAACCCTGCCGATGCTGAGATCCTCAAGACTACTCTGCTGCCCTTGATCCAGGTCATCAACAAGTACCTCGATGGCCTCAAGTCCAACGAGTACAATGTCTTCATTGGTCTGCTTGAGCAGTACTACGAGGTTGAGAAGCTGTTCTCCACCCACAACTTCCGTGATGAGGATGTTATCCTGAAGCTTCGTGAGGAGAACAAGGAGGACATTACCGGCATTGTCCACACTGTCCTCTCCCACAGCCGCATCGGTTCCAAGAACAACTTGATCCTGGCTATCCTCGACATGTACCGCCCCAACCAGCCCAACGTGGAGAACGTTGGCAAGTATTTCAAGCCTGTCCTTAAGAAGCTGACCGAGCTCGAGTCTCGATCCTCCGCCAAGGTCACTCTCAAGGCCCGTGAGGTTCTGATCCAGTGTGCCATGCCCTCTCTCGAGGAGCGTCTCTCCCAGATGGAGCACATTCTCAAGTCTTCCGTTGTCGAGTCTCGCTACGGTGAGACCGGCTGGGAGCACCGTGAGCCTGCCTTCGAGGTCCTCAAGGAGGTCGTTGACTCCAAGTACACCGTCTTCGATGTGCTGCCTCGCTTCTTCGTTCACTCCGACCCCTGGGTGACCCTCGCCTCTCTGGAAGTTTACATCCGCCGTGCTTACCGTGCCTACACCCTCAAGGGCATTGAATACCACTCCGGCACTGAGCAGCCCTTCTTGTCCTGGGACTTCACTCTCGGCAAGCTTGGCCAGCCTGAGTTCGGCTCGCTTTCTTCCACCCAGCCCTCGGCTCCTGGTACCCCCATCGCCGAAAGCAACCCCTTCAAGCGCATCAACTCCATCAGCGACATGTCTTACCTTGTCAACGACCCTGCCAGCGACCCTGTTCGCAAGGGTGTCATCATCCCTGTGCAGTACCTGGAGGACGCTGAGGAGTACATCTCCAAGGCTCTCGAGGCTTTCCCTCTCGGCGGCTCTGCCAAGCGCCCCAGTGATCACGGTCTGATTGCCAACCTTGAGGGCAAGCGCAAGCCCATCCCCAAGCCCGAGAGCGACAGTGAGCTCACCGGTGTCTGCAATATCGCCATTCGCGATATCGAGGAGCAGGATGACAACGAGATTGTTGCCCAGATGAAGAAGATGCTTGTCGACTGCAAGGACGAGCTTCTGGCCCGCCGTATCCGTCGTGTCACCTTCATCTGTGGTAAGGAGGGGGTCTACCCCGGCTACTTCACCTTCCGTGGTCCCCACTACGAGGAGGATCTCAGTATCCGTCACAGCGAACCTGCTCTTGCCTTCCAGCTGGAGCTTGGCCGTCTGAGCAAGTTCAATATCAAGCCTGTCTTCACAGAGAACCGTAACATCCACGTTTACGAGGCTATTGGCAAGGGTCCCGAGAACGACAAGGCCATTGACAAGCGTTACTTCATTCGGGCTGTCGTGCGTCCCGGTCGTCTTCGCGATGATATTCCCACTGCTGAATACCTGATCTCGGAAGCTGACCGCCTGATGAACGACATTCTGGACGCTCTGGAGATCATTGGCAACAACAACTCCGATTTGAACCACATCTTCATCAACTTCTCTCCGGTCTTCAACCTCCAGCCCGTCGATGTCGAGCAGGCCCTTGCCGGTTTCCTCGACCGCTTCGGTCGTCGCCTGTGGCGTCTCCGTGTCACCGGTGCTGAGATCCGTATCCTTTGCACTGACCCGGCTACCGGCATGCCTTACCCCCTGCGTGTTATCATCAGCAACACCTACGGTTTCATCATTAACGTTGAGCTGTACATCGAGCGCAAGTCCGAGAAGGGAGAGTGGATCTTCCAGAGCATTGGCGGCACCACCAAGCTGGGCTCCATGCACATGCGCCCTGTCTCTACTCCTTACCCTACCAAGGAGTGGCTGCAACCCAAGCGTTACAAGGCTCACTTGATGGGAACTCAGTACGTGTACGATTTCCCCGAGCTCTTCCGCCAGGCTTTCCAAAACAGCTGGACCAAGGTTGCCGAGAAGATTCCTTCTCTGTACGAGAAGCGTCCTCCCGTTGGCGAGTGCATTGACTACAGCGAGCTTGTCCTCGATGACACCGACAACCTTGTCGAGGTGTCCCGCGAGCCCGGTACCAACAGCCACGGTATGGTTGGTTGGATCGTCACTGCCCGTACTCCTGAGTACCCCCGCGGCAGACGTTTCATCATTGTCGCCAACGACATTACCTTCCAGATTGGTTCGTTCGGTCCCCAGGAAGACAAGTTCTTCCACAAGTGCACTGAGCTCGCTCGCAAGATGGGTATTCCTCGCATCTACCTGTCTGCCAACTCCGGTGCTCGCATTGGTATGGCCGATGAGCTGATCCCCTACTTCTCTGTTGCCTGGAACAACCCCGAGAAGCCCGAGGCCGGCTTCAAGTACCTCTACCTCACCCCCGAGGTCAAGAAGCGCTTCGATGCCAGCAAGAAGAAGGAAGTCATCACGGAGGAGATCACTGATGAGGGTGAGATCCGCCACAAGATCACCACCGTCATTGGTGCCAAGGATGGTCTTGGTGTTGAGTGTCTGAAGGGATCCGGTCTCATTGCCGGTGCCACCTCCAAGGCTTACGAGGACATCTTTACCATCACCCTGGTCACCTGCCGTTCCGTCGGTATCGGTGCCTACCTTGTTCGTCTCGGTCAGCGCGCCATCCAGGTTGAGGGCCAACCCATTATCCTCACTGGTGCCCCTGCCATCAACAAGCTGCTCGGTCGCGAGGTCTACACTTCTAACCTGCAGCTCGGTGGTACCCAGATCATGTACAAGAACGGTGTTTCTCACATGACTGCCAACGACGACTTCGAGGGTGTCCAGAAGATTGTCGAGTGGATGTCCTTCGTCCCCGACAAAAAGGGTGCTCCCATCCCTATTCGCGCCTTCTCTGACGACTGGGACCGCGATATTGGCTTCTTCCCTCCTCCCAAGCAGCCTTACGATGTTCGTCACCTCATCGGTGGTAAGGATGATGTCGACGGCTTCCTGCCTGGTCTGTTCGACAAGGGCTCCTTTGAGGAAGCCCTCGGTGGCTGGGCCCGCACTGTCGTCGTCGGTCGCGCCCGTCTCGGCGGTATCCCCATGGGTGTCATCGCCGTCGAGACCCGCTCTGTCGAGAACGTCACCCCTGCCGATCCCGCCAACCCCGACTCCATGGAGATGATCTCCACCGAGGCCGGTGGTGTCTGGTACCCCAACTCCGCCTTCAAAACCGCCCAAGCCCTGCGCGACTTCAACAACGGAGAGCAGCTCCCCGTCATGATCCTCGCCAACTGGAGAGGATTCTCTGGTGGCCAGCGCGACATGTACAACGAGGTCCTCAAGTACGGATCCTACATCGTCGACGCCCTCGTCAAGTACGAGCAGCCCATCTTCGTCTACATCCCTCCCCACGGCGAACTTCGCGGTGGATCCTGGGTCGTCGTCGACCCAACCATCAACCCAGACCAGATGGAGATGTACGCCGACGAAGACGCCCGCGGTGGTGTCCTCGAGCCAGAGGGTATTGTTGGAATCAAGTACCGCCGCGACAAGCAGCTGGACACAATGGCCCGCCTGGACGCCCCCTACGGCGAACTCCGCCGCGCCCTGGCAGACACCTCCCTGACCAAGGAGCAACTCTCCGAGATCAAGACCAAGATGGCCGCCCGCGAGGAACAGCTCCTGCCCGTGTACATGCAGATCGCCCTGCAATTCGCCGACCTGCACGACCGCGCCGGTCGCATGCAAGCCAAGAACACCATCCGCAAGCCCTTGCAATGGCAAAACGCCCGCCGCTTCTTCTACTGGCGTCTCCGTCGCCGTCTCAGCGAAGAGCTCATCGTCAAGCGCATGGTCGCCGCCTCTGGCGCCCCTGCTGCCGTCGACTCCGACTCTTCCGCTCGTGCTACCCACCTCCGCACCCTGCACGCCTGGACTGGTCTGCTCGACGATGAACTCGAGCACGATGACCAGAAGGTCGCTGCTTGGTATGAGGAGAACAAGAAGCTCGTACAGAACAAGGTTGAGGCGCTTCGTACCGAGGGCGTTGCTTCGGAGGTTGCTCAGCTGCTGATTGGTAACAAGGAGGGTGGTCTTCGTGGTGTCCAGCAAGTTCTTTCTATGCTTCCTGTTGAGGAGCGTGAGAGTGTTCTCAAGTATCTTGGCTCTGCTTAGATCTTGCTTAGATATTATGACTTGATGTTTTTTTTTCTTTTCTTCTTTCTTTGCTCCAAGTTGTTATTCAATTGCATGGTGTTTTTGTTTCATTTCTTTTGGATTATCGAGACATTTACTTTCGGTCTTATATTGGATTTTGATAAGGTAATCTATCTGTTCTACTTTATTTCTTTCTTACACAACAGTCGTAAATGTATTCGTCAATGTAAACCCCCTCGTATCGGGGCAGTCACCTAATGGTATCATAAAAACACAGCAGACATAACTGAAGCAGAAGTAGAAACTAGCATACCCCAACCATTGGACCCCCCTTCCACGTAACCCGATTCCAATCACCCTTCTGTCCAGTCCATCCACGGCGCAACTCGCGTTCCCGATCGCGGACCTTTTTACTATGTGAACGACTATGGGATTTGCTTTGGCGTTTTGATTGCGGTTGTTCTTCTTTTGACGTCGACGTAGCTGTAGATGTAGTTGATGAGACAAAGAGACTTTTCAACCATCTGAAGACCATTTTGAGGGTGGTTGGTTAATTGGGTTATGTACCCGGAGTTGAAGAAAATGCGCTCTTGGATTCGTGGGGATGTTGATTCAGGTGGAACTCTAATGAGAAGCTGCCTGTTGTTAACATGGGTGAATGGCACGAGGGTAGTATATCCAGGGGGTTCGGATCGAGGACTGTGGGCTGTATGGGGAGTATACGTGCCTTCACATACACACACACACACACACACACACACACACACACACACACACACACACACACAAGACACAAAATTTACAACAGAAACGCAAGCGACGATGTCATCGGAGATGGGTCGCCTTGAAGTGTTTACGTGTGGGTCAAGGCTGTGTCGGGCGTTAGATGTAGCCAAGGGCTAAGTTCAGCCTGGGGGCGGAATGTACAGATAGCATGATGTTTCGCCAAGTATAGATGCTGGCCTATTACACCCTATATGACCTTTGTGGACAGTAAAATTTATAGATGACCTCATAGGGAGGTATACCAGGTCAGCCTCAAGCCACTAAACCCTTCTAGTGAATTGTTGCCTAGCCAAGCCCCCCTGTGAGATCGCCTTTAATTGTTCTCCACCCTTCGAACACTGTACACTACAACCACCTGATACGGGTACACTTATACATAATGGGCAACTCATCCCCCGCTGAAGCTGCACCGGCTTACGAGGACCTCTTCCACGAACGGCCCGGCGGCCGCACTGGCGTAAGTCGATCGCCCAGGTTCCTCCTTGTCGCCAACGCATGGCATGTGGAATCGCACAGAATGCTAAACTGACTGTGTAGTATGCGATGGTCGGTCAAATCGACGACACAGCCGATGTAGACATCGAGCAAGCCCACCAACACACACATGGACATCAAAATGCCGAAGATCCATCTTCGATCCCACTGTCGACGCAGGAGAATCAACATTCCCACTGTGCTGAATGCGACCGTCAACGGGAGCGGAGAGAGCGACGAGAGAGTGCACACAAGTCCTGTGGTATCGTGTCCAGGACTTTCATTCTTATTTTCTTCTTTTTGATGATTTTGGGTGTTGTTGGGATCCAGGCGTGGAAGGAAGTTAAGATTCGGGATGATTGAATTTACAGTCTAGTACAAGAAAACCAACTCCATAAATGTCCGCGTTGAAACGGGAGTGCATGTTAGTAGTGTCGTATGACAGACTTAGGAGACGGGTCGGCGAGAAAGAACAAAGACCCAATGCAATACTACATAGACCCAGCTCGAGGTGGTGACATCAGGCAATCTAGACGTACTAGACCTAACACTTTGTCCAATGGAATGATTCAGAATCATGAGGAAAAAAAGAACGAAACGTTGTCCGGATACGTCTCCTGCTCAATGCGCTAAGTTGGTGCCAGGAGATCTTAATCCCCATGTCCTCCGGGGCCTCGGGACCAAACACAACAAAGCGCTTAGATCAACACCATTTTTCTTGCTCATCTCGAACAGGAAATAGTAGCCCCATGGCGGTTTGTCAGTAGCCATGCAGAATAAAACAATAAAAGCACATATATTCTCTATTTATCTAATTCATCTGCGCATACTCCTCAAGCGCCTCATGCAAATTCCCAAACAAACCATCATACCACCCCTTAATAAGCTCCCACTCCGCTGGCGGCAAAGCACCACGACACATACGCAACCAACCCCCAACAATGAAATCAGCATAGGAAGCCTTGGCCCCCAAAAGGAATGGCCCACTCGCATCCCTCCTGTACAAATCAACAAGCCCCTTCAACGTCTCCTCCAGCGATTGGAGCAACTCAACCCTCGTCTCTCCATGCACAATCATCGCATCCCACGGTAACCCAATCCTCTTCTCAAACGTCGTCTTCGTCTCATCCGCTCTGGCAGGATCAAGCGGTAAATACCCCGCCATCAACTGCGCATGCGCGGTGAACGCACCGTCGACATTTGTATTGAATCGCACATAGGCGGGGATATGGCCCTCTTCACCGACATCTGCGACTGCGATCGGAGCGAAGAGATCTAGTTTACACCCGAAGACGAAGTTCAGATCTTGTGGTGGGAAGAGATCGCCGCCTGAGGTTGGGTATTGCTCGTTTAGGTAGACGGCTATTTCGAAGGAGTCGCCTACTGTCGTTTCTGTAATTGGGTCGGTAATCACTGGGAGCGTAAAGTAGGCTGAGCCGTCGGCGAATCTGCGGGAGGGTGGGATGTTTAGTGGGGCGCGGACGGCGCTGATGTCTGGTAGCGGCACCCAGGTTGTTTTGTAAGGGACTCTTTTGAAGTTGAGGGCGTAGCGGCTTTTCCAGGGGTTTGGAGAGCAGGAGGACTTTTCTGCTGGGGGTGCGAGGGCGATGTCGTAGAATGTCAGGGACATTGTTGTGGTTGTGGGGGTTGTAGTGGTAGTTGAGGTTATGGTGATGAGATTGGGGAATTGAATTGGGGAACTTGGAGTGTAGTGGGAGCTTCTCCCATGTAATTGAATTGTATTTGGGAGCTATTCAAGGGTAATCTTTATATAAAAGGCTGGGGTGAGATAAGTGAAGTGAGTGGTTGACTCATGTCGAGTCATGTCCGGATGTGGGGAACTAGACACAGGGTCCAGTCTGAATTACGCATGCTGACTCGAGTTGTATGCGAGCAATTCGCATCTTAGCTAATGCTCTAGAATCCTTGAAATATCTACTTTCCAATCCCATTGTGATATTATACCTTCCTAAGCCAATTCTTACGGCCCGCTTAAAGAAAAGCTCGGTGCTGTAGGTCTTTGCCAAGACATGCCAAGACTGATATAAATAGCCCAATTTTTAAACTTTCATAGATCAGATAACTTTTTTACAACTAGGATAGGGTTGGATGAGTCTCTCCATTCTTGCCAGTTAATATCCACGCTCGTCATTTATCCATGCTCGTTCATTAGCTTCGTCACTGTAGACTGTATCGCCTTGCTTTCAATTTCGTTGACCCCCAGATAATCTGGGAAAATCACATTATGGGTCCAATCTATTCAAGGAACGATGAATACTTTACTAGGCATGCATATCTGAGCTTTGAGGACTTTCCTGATTGCCTGCCATTTGCCAGGCCATATTTAGTTTGCCGGGACGAGGCATGTACAGTATGGCGATGGAGGGCTGACTCGATGTGGGATGTGGGATTGATCAGCTCTCTATCGCTAATAAGTCAGTGGCTAGCTACTTGTAGGTTAGGTGGCGGGACAAAAGAGGCGCAACACAAATGGAGACGCATTGTGAGGTCCCCAGAAGCCTAATAAGCCTAGTCTCCTCTGAAGCAGGATTGAGAAACTCGATGTATCGCTGTAGTCGGGAATCTACCTCATTATATAGATGTCTAATTGGCCTTTTTGCGAAAGAGGGAAAGAATCTACAATTACTCAGTGGAACTCCTTGATTTGAATTGCCACTAAGCTAGATTGAAACCATTTTAATAGACCAGGCAATTCACAGGCCGTTTACATAGTGAATTCAAGCAAGTTGCCACCGAAATCCCGGGCAAAGAAGCGAGTGGGATACTCCTTTCCTTGAGTCCCTACAGCAATGACTTATGAGCATATCGCATCGACTAGAATCATGAACCACCAACTTACCAGAATTCTGCTCTCCAGGTTTATCAGCGGCCATTGGTGCCGCAGGACCACCCTGGACATGATGATCATAGATGCTTGTCTTAATCTCCTCAAGTTCCTCGCGAGTATCGAGCTTGAAGCATGGATGCCGGGTAGCGGTGGGATCAGTAGCACCGACTGAAACATGTATTTGCTGGCCACTGGAGCCAAGGTTGAACCTAAATACCAGGTGAGCTTTGTTTAGTAGGTTCTATCGTTGGCTCGGCATACCATAAAATAGTCCCGATCTGCAGCTCAGGTACTGGCGCCGAGACTAGCCCAAGCGTAGTGCCATAAAACTCCAGGGCTTGATCCAAGGTCTCCTCGGGGATAGTAATATTGATATGCGCGATTCCAGAAATCATAATGCCGAATAGAAGATGTGCGATGAGTTTGCCAAGTGAAACAACAGATCCCCCGCAGTAAAATTATATATGGCTCAAGCCACGCGGGAATCAGTTTCCGCGTCGGAATTGGATGGTTCGTGTGACGATTCACGAAATGACTCAAATGGCAAGATGTTTATTGCTAAGTTGAAAATCTTCCGAGTTCCTGTATAGAAATGGGGAAAGGCTTACTTTTACATCGTGTTCCCCCCACGGCAAGCTATCCCCGCCACAGGCCCGACTCGGCATTAGCCGATGCGAGATCGGCGTTTCTCCAGGGAAAACCTTGAGCCGAATATTGCCTTTTATTCTTGTTCAATTGCTTGTTTGTTTTTGGCTTCCTGAATGTGTCAATGTAACCATTGGTCCGCTTGACGTCCCCCGGATTCATCGGATTGGAGGTACAAGGGCCATCCCTGGAAGTTTGCGACATCGACTTGCTAAGAAGCATGCATGCCACTTGCTGGGTTCTTGCTTGGAAACACCATGTATTTGCATATGCGCAACTATTAACTTTTCTTGTGGTGTATAGCATAGGTCAAAATGACATTGCAATTATCTGCTTGCATAGTCCTCTTTGATCATCTCTGCTCCCTTCTCAGCGATAGCATAGACTGTCGCTTGAATATGTGCTCCGATCTGCAATGGCATGATACTAGCATCGATTACTCGCAAGCCACTAACACCATATACCCGAAGTCTTTCGTCGACAACTCCAGCTTTGGCGCCTTCATACCCGCCCATAGCACAGGTGCCAACGGCTGTGTGAATATTAGCAACGGCAAATTCATGCAATGGGAGAAGAACATACGATGCCAGTCGGTAATGGTATAATTAGAGACAAAATCTTCGTACACCCTTCCTTCAGAACCAGGTCCCTCAGCAGGCGGAGGAAAGACACGACCCCGAACCATCTGGGCCAAAGGCTCAGTCTGACAGATTCGATCTGCCCATATTTGCGCCTTTGCCATGATCTTCTTATCGAGCTCACCAGCACCGAGATAGTAGCACGGGTCAATGACAGGCTTATCGTCAACTGTGGTTCTCAGCTTGCCGCTTTTCGGAGGCAGATGGATTGACCCCCGGGAGAAAGGATACTGCAGCATTTGAAGCATCGTAGCATACTTCTTACCCGGCTCAGAGACAAAATATGGGCTCCAGTTCCCAACATCGAACAGGAACTCGATTTGACCACGTATTTTACCTGGCTCGAACTGGCTGGCTAGAAGGGTGTCGCATGCATGGCCTGTTTCTTTTGCAAATCTTTGCGCATCATTATACAGCTCGATGCATTCCTCTGATGTGAGAACTTGCGAGAGTGGCATGTAGGCTACGGAACATGGCATCACAGTCCACGGTCCCGTTTGCGAAGCGTAATAGGCGTCATCAGCAGCAGTGCGTTGAACAGGATCCGCAAGAATATCATCGCGAGTAGGGAATGTGGGTGGTATTTCAAAGATGGTAGCGGTCACTAGTGGTATCAGCCGGATGATGAGACTGAACTGGAACGTCCTTACTCATGTGATCCTGTAGATTCTCTCCAACATTGGGATTATGAACCTTCAACTCTATACCCGCAGCCTCCAACACATCCCGTCGACCTATGCCTGACAGCTCTAAAAGTTGTGGAGCTTGCACACTGCCAGCACTGAGGATGACCTCTCGAGCAGCCAGTATCTTAGCTGCTTCTCCACCACAACGGACTCGAACTCCTGTTGCAACCCATTTACCATCACCGTTCCAATCGAGTATGATTTCCAAGACCGTGGCCTCAGTGAGGACATGCAAGTTCTTGCGTCCAGCTATAGGTGCATAATATGCTGAAGCAGAATAGCTTCGTTCCTGATGGTCTGGATCTAGCGTGCAGACCATATTCCATGCACCGCTGTTGATACCTGTCAGGCTATCAGGAACAGACTTCACCCCCAGGACATTGAGAGTATCATGCCAATACTGGTGCGCGATGCCATACTGTTTGACATGGGATGTGTGTAGAGGTCCGCCTGTTCCGTTCACTTTGGGATCATAAGCAGACTTGTAATACGCCTGATGAGCAGCGCTAGGCGGATGAAAGTTCTCGCTGCGACGAAAGAAGGGTCTATAAGCAAGTTAGCTCGCCAGAAAACATAGACACAGATAGAAACCAATCCAAATATGACAGTAGTGCATACAAAAGATCCTCCCACCCCCACCCAGAGTTCCCCAGTTGGACCCAAGCATCATAATCGTCACGATGTCCCCGGTTCCACGCCATAAAGTTAAGCGCACTCGTGCCGCCTAAAACACGACCTCTGGGCCATGGCAGCGAGCGTCCACCGAGACCTGGCTGTGATGTTGTTTCAAATTGCCAGTCATACTCAGATCCAATGGTCTCGCCATATCGACCCGGTATGTTGATTGCGCCATTGTCTTCTCTGCCCAGGGCTGAGGGTCCCGCTTCGATGACTCCGACTTGGACTTCAGGGTCTTCGCTTAGTCGTGCGGCAACTGCTAGACCGGCTGTTCCTCCGCCTATTATTATGTAGTCGAGCTGGAAGGAGGCGAATTCTTTGAGAGTTGGGCTTTTCATTGTGAAGTGTGGTGAGGGGGCGGGGTTGGGGATCTCACGGATCTCTGAGTAGCATTACAGAAGTACTCAAATTTGAGGTTCTTTGTGTATGAAGGGTTATGTTTCAAAAGCTCAATAGCCTCTGCATATTTCCAGCAATTGTGAAAAGGGGCAGTATGATACATCGAAATCGCCAGTTGGGGATATCTTCCGAACTACAGTAAAATGGCTATAGAATCTTCTTCCGACTGCACCACAAAGAGCAACAAGATACCTACTTCTTCATCTACTTAGAGCGCATAGATTCGATGATCACATCTGCTCATCCTTCGATAGTGCCGGCCTTGGTGATCGCACTGAGCGATAACTCCAAATTCAGGAGACGGCAGTCAGTAGATATCGAACTTCAATACAGTATATTTAATTTTAGGCTGATGAATGATGAAGCGCATGCACTAGATAAAGTGATTGGTTCTGGATAGATCTTCCCATGTCTTTCAATCTCAACAAGATCACCGTTTTATCATCCGACAAAAAGAGAGCATGCCAATCATTGGCTCCGGCTCCATATGCCGAGTCCGTGTTCAAGGTGCAGATAACATGTGCATCTAACCTGGAACTTGACGAGATCAATCTACCACCCTTCCCCCTTGTTTCCTCTCTCCCTCGCCATCCAATCACGCGAGAGCTACGGAACTGACCAGAATGCCAATCATTTGAACGCAGCATCAGCCTCATCAAATGCCGTAGTAATCTGGTCGGCGGAAGGCTTTATTTTGAGGAAGATGTCATCCGGGACCTTGGCCTTGGCCTGATCCTCTAACAGTCGCTTCTCTCCGTGTAGATTGCTCAGATATGTTCGAGCTTCTGGTCCGAGTCCCGATTTGTTGATCAAGGGGGCCTGTATACATATTGAATAAGCATTGATGTACCAATGGACTTTGAACACATACCTTGCCCCTTGCGGAATGAATAGCATCCAGCAGTACAGGATACATATGCTCATACGATTTGGCGTAGCTCGATCCTTCTTCAGAAATCATGTTGTCACTATCCGCTAGGTTTTCCCGGGCTGTTCGAGCGGCGGTTTGCGCGATGATGAGGTTCCTGGCAACCCCAAAGCGGCCGTGATACCGCCGTTGTAGTTGTCGAGTGACTTTTGTGCATTTCCAATTTTGGCTGCCAGGTTGTCCATGTCGCTAATGCTCTGGGCCACATTCGCCGCTGCCGGAACACACGACACAGCCCCAAGAGCGCTCATGAGGAAAACATTGATCTTATTCCACCGCATTGTGAATAGCTCGTCGCGCAAAAAAGGTTCTTAGTGTAAGTAGAATGAAGCAGAGCTCAGATGAAAGGAATTTACAACCGTTCAGGAGAAACGAAGGATGTAAATACTCAGTAACATCAAGCCAGCATATAGAAGAATGCCGTGGCGCAGGTAGATCATAGCAAATATCCGAACGGAATGTGGATTGAATTTTTCCAAGTATGTTCCAGGAAATCCCTTCTCTATGTCCATCACTTTTTGCCTTGCTTCCTTGGCTGTGATTACGAAGTGCGTCGTCCCTGGCATTTTATATTTTGTGTCTTGCAATTCCTGGGTCATTGAACTACAGCTATTCGATGGGGATCTACCCACGGCCCACTGGATGGGTTGTCAAAATCGAGATTGAAAAAGTTAAATGTCATGAGTAAAGTCGCAGGATCCTTCTGGGTTGCGTAAAAGGAGTCTTTCTACAGTAGGCATACGTGCTGTAATTCGTCATATGCATCGGCCTGGTGTTAGAAATGGTATATTTACCCAGCCAAAGTCATTGCATTTTGCCAGTAACCAGAAAGGTATTTGGGATATGTTTGAGCTTGATGCTCCGCCCTAAAAAGAGACGAGGGATTCTCGGTCGTTCTGCACGAGTTGTTAAAAAAGACGGCGATTGATTAACTTCTACTCCAATATTACTACCACTCAATTTTAATAGGATAGTACCATAATTGCTTCCAGCTGCAAACCTAAACATGGAACTAAATCATGGTGAAAGCCTGTTCCTTTCCCCATTCAGATTGTCAATGTTACGTCCCTCAAGGTGAGTACCCGAAAGATGGCAAATATGAAGATACAAACCGAATTCATTCTGGTTCCCAGTATCAAATGTTAAACGGTGCTCCAGAATGAGCGAATCATTCGCTACCACATCGATTTAAGCTTAAAATAAGAAAATTCATCCAAGCTTCTTCTGGCACGTGTTTGTAGAAACTACGTCATCGCTAGGGCGGTGGGGACAGACAAAATACTGCGACTCCCCTCCACCGTCACTTATTTCCTTTAACACCCTTGGTGTCTCAAAGCGAAGATGACTGTCGGCGCACCTGCAGTGGATCCGCTCACCATCCTTCCTCCAGAGATTGTCCTCCAAATCCTAGAATTCGCACCCGTCTCGGCCCTCGCGTCCCTCACTGCTACCTCGAAGGCCTGGCATCAGTTTATCGACGTCACCCACCAAGAAGCTATCTACACTTCCGATACCAAGACCTCACAACCTCTTGGAGGCGCCCGGGACTTCTCGTTCCTCTCGGATACGCACAGTTTCGCCAAAGTATTTCAGAACACAGAGTCATGGAAGGATCTATGCAAGCGCCAGACGCTCCTCGCTCGCAATTGGGCCGATACACATCCAGTGAGCCAGGAGTCTGTGCTCCAAGTTGGCAATGATCCTGTTTGGCGGTTCAAAGCTGATTTTAAGCGCCGATTCTTCGTTTCCACCTCTCACGCCGGAGGATTGAACGTCACTGATATGGACACGGGCGATATCTTGTGGAGACTTCCCTCGGTGCTGGATACCGATGGCGATGCGGTTCGCCCATACGCTCACTTGGAGTATCAGGATGGAATGGCTGTATTTGACAGCGAAGGAGATTCCGTGGAGGTCTGGCAAGCGGACCAAGAAGGCGCCAAGCGCGGAGAGTTCCGCCGTATTGCGATCTTAAACCACGATTGCCAGACCAGAGGCTTCCAGTTGTCTCACTGGAATCTTTGTGTTGTGTCTAACAAGGGACAGGGCTTCGTCTACGATATGACGCAGCGGCCTCCAAAGTTGACTACGCACTTGACAATCGAGAAAGACGGTGTCGGCCATCTAGACCAGAGCAAGGACGCGGTGATTTATTCGATGGGAAAGAAGGGGTACTTTGCATACAACAAAGAAAGTGGTGCATTCCTAGGCAACTTGCAACCATCCTTCTGCACCGAAAGATACCACGTCCGCCCACCCCCGGCCACATTCCCTTCTGCAGGCGCAGCTTTAGCTGGAGCCGCGCGACTCGGCCCATCGCATCGATTTTTCCCACCGGGGACCCCAAGCAAGGATGGGTTGGTACCAATCAAGGTTGAGAAAGGCCCTCTGCCCTCGCCGAGTGACCCTGAGCACGTGAGAAACGAAGAGGATGAATGGGGATCGGGTATGATTCACGGTGATCTCTTTGTGGGTGTCTCTCGCGCTGGCCGTATCTTCATTTGTTCCAACTGGCGCAAGGCAGTCCACGACCAAGCCAGCCTCGCGGCCAACAGCTCTATTCTTGAATGTGAGTCAGATGGTTCCAGCTTTGACCTTGGAGGTTGGTTATCTCTCCGCAACCACCGAGTTATGTTTGAGATCCAGGATCGCATCTACATCGTTGCTCTCGATCACAACGACAAGATTCAGGATGTTGATCATCCCACCCGTGCTTCCTACTCTCTGCTTACCAGCTCCGCACCTCAACTTGCCGTTCCAATCAGTTACATGGCCCTAGCCGACGATGCTATCATGAGCACCTACACTGTGAGTAATGAATTCAATACTCCTACTTTCAAAGGAAAGCAACATTTACAAGTACAAATATAGACTCTCGGCTGGCGCGACTCAACTCAACCAGGCGGTATCCCTGCAGCCGCAGGTGCAAACCCAGCTCGTGTTTTCCCAACCAAGGCCATCCGAATCGTCAGCCTCGCCCCTGACCTTGTCAATAAAGTCACTCCAATCTCTGCCGATGGAGCAGACCCTTCACCGTCAACCGAAGGCACGCAAAACCCCAGTCAGAACCCTCCCGGCCAAGGCACATTTGGCTCGCAAGCAGGACTCTTGCAGTTGCTCAGCTTGCTTCGTGATGAGGTCATGGAAGAGGCAGACTTTGAAGAGTTCGCCGACGGCGAACTAGATGACGAATGGGAGAGCGTCGACGAAGAAGAAGAGGATGAAGAAGAAGCCGGTGATGAATCCGAGAATGCGCATGCGCACGAGGGAGCCTAGATTCTGTTGGTTACCTAGGGTGGTACGAAGGATCACTTACTTGCCAGAATTAACATACCCAAGGGTCCTGCATCGTATTAACTTTTACCTTAGGGAGCATGCATAGTATTCTCGGATTTCCTATTCGGGAGGCTGGAAGACTCGGTTTAATTCGACTCATGAATCAGACACGAATCGCAATGCTACGCAAGAGCTTTAAATGCACTGTAGCAACAACACAACCGTTTTATTATGGCATTACTTTGGCTTTCAAGACACAACAAAGGTCATGAACCTGTTCACGGTACTATAAGATTAAAGACCATACGAAGTTCTGCATAGGATTAGATCATTTTGTGCATTATCTGTTCCTAAAATAGCCTCTATCTGGTTATATCATCATTAAAAGGGTTCCTAGTTATATGATTCACAATATTATAGATACCACAATTTTTAATAAGAATCTAAGGGGGACAAGTAACTAGCCGAGCCCTAGGTGATGTTACAGCTATGTTAATTGATTTTGGTAACAGAGTCCATTATGTCCCATTGATATGGTTTGTTAGCTATGCTTAAAGGAAAGTGCGCTTGAGTTTTATTTGCTCTTGTTTATACTCAAGATCGGCAGGCTAGAAGGTGTATAAATTCCTTCTCAGGTCTGGTGTAACTGATTCTCCGCTTCAATAGATCCTCAAATGGAAATGCAGAGGCTCTTGACTACATCAAATGTAAGCATGCTCTATGGCTCAGCATCTGTCTATGCACTTATATATATTTCGAAATGGTTCGGGGAAGCGATGGCTATAGCGAATTTTGGGAGAAGTAAGTCTTAATTAGGAGGCGTCTTGAGAACTCAAAGATCATAAAGTAGTCAACATACACGTGACTTTCAAAAGTTAATCAGGCTTGTCATTCAGCACAATCCGTTTCGCTTTCGATCAACTCTCTCTACTACCAATGAAGTCGGTATTTCGATCGAGCTCCCGCGGTTTGCTGTCCCCGAATCAGCCTTTCCACCCAACTGGGACGATGAATCACATCCAATCCAGTTCATCGACCTCTGCGAACTGCGACGTATTTTCCCGTCGTTTGAAGGAATAGTTGTCACGATTGATCCACAGCCTATTCGCTCTGATATAGTCTAGTTGAGTTGCTTATTCGTCAATGGGTAAAAGGTAGGCAAACAAAGAGTAGGTCAACCCGAAGGACATTCGAAGGCTGGGAAAATGGATAGCTACCTTCAACCAGTTCCGCCAAACATTGGCAATACAATTACTACAACACGACGACTGATTGAATTCAGCGTGAAAGGACGGGGTCTAATACCGTGAGTTAATCGAGGAAAAATGACATCAATGTGTTGACTCCGTATTCTACGATCTGTATCCGCTCGGGCTGAACACCACGCCCAAATACATAATATGAGAGCTAGGATATACCTCTCGCTTATCATTCATAATAGACAGCAAGATAAGCAACAGATGTTCTGTTCATAGATCCCGCTGGATTGTTCATCGTCTTTGATAAAATGGCTGCCTATTGGATACACGAAGTGCTGACATGGCCCCCAACCCGACAAAGCCACATGTGTCAGCCTGTGCAAATCTGACATCGGACCAGCTTCGGCGCCACTTATAACATTGCAGGGATATCAACACCTACTGCGTTGTATCTTCCCTCTTTGTGGCCGCCCACTATGCATCGAAGAACAGGCCGCTCGAAATCAAAGAAGGGCTGTATCACCTGCAAAATGCGTCATGTGCGATGCGGTGAAGAAAAGCCAAACTGCATGCAATGTACCAAGACGGGGCGCAAATGTGATGGTTACAGCAACCAGTCCCAAAAAGAGCTTCGGCAGAAAGTTGCTGACCCATGTCCTGCGTGGCCAACCGTCAGCCCTGATAGCCGACTAGTGCTTGTCCCCGGCTCGCGGGAAGAAAGAAAATATATCCACACATTCTGCACGCAGACCTCTCCAGCCCTCTCAGGGTTCTTCACGTCCGAAATATGGAGCCGCTTTCTCCCGCAGCTCAGTCATCGAGAACCGACTGTTCGGCATGCCGTTGCTGCCGTTAGTATGATGTATGAGCAACTCTATCATCCCAATGCTAGCCATGGCGACCGCGATGGCTTTGCACTTGAGCAATACACCAAAGCTATTGAGAAATTCCGACAGCAGCTGGCGAATCCGCGAGACGCTGACTCTGACTCTATACTTGTCACTTGTCTCCTGTTCGTATGCTTGGAGATGCTCAGGTCCAGTCCTTCGAGCGTTCTAGATCATATTCAAGGTGGAATGCAAATACTTCTGAAACAGCAAAGCGCAAAGGGCCGACAACCAAAAAGAGATCCAATCTACCAAGAGCTATGCCAGTCATTCCATCGACTGAGCATTCAGCTGCCCCTCTTCGGTCGACCTTTGATTCCCTTCCATGTTCAAAGAGAGACAGAGCTAGTCCCAGACCAGATTCCCACCTTTGATAACATCGCTCAGGCCCGAGAATCTATGACAACCCTCATGAATCAAGGTCTAGGATTGATCAGACCCATCGGTATCGACAGGATTACCCCATCTGAAGAAGTCAACCAGCAACAAATGTACGAGCAGCGCGTCCTTGCACAGAGTCTCTACAAGTGGAATACAGCATTCACAACAATGATACAGAAAACGGCTAAGAGTGTTGGAATTTCTGATCCACGCGCACCATTAGCACTCCAAATAAACTACTTTACTTCCATCATATGGATTCTCAGTTGCCTAGCACGAAATGAGACCGTCTATGACCAACATTTCGCATCCTTCGAAGCCAGCGTGGCTGCAGCAGAGAAAATTCTCGCGCTCAGCACACAGCAAAAAAAGCCACCAACCCCTGAAATCTTCTCCCTGGATGCTGAAGTTGTCCCAGCAATATACTGGACCGCAATGAGATGTCGAGAACCGAACATTCGACGCCGCGCAATTGCCATTATATCCAATTACCCCACCAAAGAGGGATTATGGGGTCAGGGAGAGCGTCAATATGAAATTGCGAAGTTGGTACTCGAGATAGAAGAAAGACCGTATCTGCATCTTCCCGTGGAAGAAAGGATCCCCCATGACACACAGCGGGTATATGAAGCACTGATCTTTCCGGAAAAAGGGACATACCTAGACCCATGTCCGGTAACGATTATGACGAAGCCACATGGGCAGCACGGGCCGTGGAACACACGTGTTGAATGTGTGCAGCCGCAAAAGCTGAAATAGACTTCGGGGGTATGGACAGCAGGACTTGAATCATAGATTGTCGGCATTCCTGATAATATTCACCCCCAGAGCCTCTTCCATTAGTGTGGTGTGCTAGCGTATACATTATTGTTGCCTAGCTCGTCAGCCACTGTAAGCCCAATAGTCATAAGCATCCTTCAATATCTAGATTGAGGCATCTAAAATAAGATTACGAGCCGGCCAATCAACAACGCTCTAGTTGCTGACTCATGCTCAGAGAGTGGATCTCGGGGGCACGGACAAAAGGCTATGTTAGCGCGAGGGAGAATTACGGACTAGCCAATTAGAGGCCGCCTTCACAAGGCTGCATCTATAAAATTTGACCAACGCATCTCTCTGTCTAGGCATCGCCCAATGAGATATTACCGTATCATCATGAGCCCTGAAACGTAGCTAGATGCCAAGAGATTGCCTCCAAATCCGGGATTGTTCATGAGGCGGAGCAGACGTTTCCCTTGGCTATTTCTGTTCATTTGGTATCTCTATTGAGATTGACACCGGTGAGGAGCTGTGCCGAAACTTATCTATAAAGATGCTGGGTAGGTCTATCAGAATCGTCTCTTTGTGATCAAATCACACACTTATCTTCAGACCACTCCATCAAGTCCACCTTTCAATTCAAGTTTTCACTTTCACGTTCGATATACGAAGCTTTCCAAGATGACTTATACCGTTCAACAACTCATTGAGATCAGCCAGGGTTGCACTGCATTGCAGAATGATTTGAAGCCATCATATGGATATGTCCCAACAAAGGGAGCAGGTATTGCGTTCTGCATCCTCTTTGGTTTCTCTATGGTCGCACATACATTTCAATTTTGCTGGAAGCGTACATGGTGGTGCAGTGTTTTTGCCATCGGATGTTTAGGTAAGATTCTTCCATTCAGTCAATTCCCATGAAGCATACTGATGCCTCGCTACTTAGTCGAACTCCTTGGCTGGGCTGGCCGGACTTGGTCCTCTGACTGTCCATATAACTCGACCGCATTCATGATTCAGATCTCAACATTGATCATCGGTTAGTAGCGCCCATTGGCGGCTCACCTCGCTAAAGCTAACTGTTCTCTCACAAATAGCTCCAACATTCTTCACAGCAGGAATCTACATCCTCCTCGGCCGCTTTATCCAGATCTTCGGCCGCGAATCCTCCATCCTCTCCCCAAAGCAATACCTCTGGATCTTCTGCACATGTGACATAATCTCACTGGTCGTCCAAGCAGCCGGTGGCGGCCTGGCATCTTCCGAATCGGACAAAATTGGCGGGGATACGGCACCAGGCACAAACACTATGGTAGCCGGTATCGTTTTCCAGCTGGTCTCTATTACCATTTTCGTCGGATTTGCAGGTGATTTTCTTCGTCGCATTACAAAACTTGGGTATTTGAGCTCGGCTTCGGGGTCTTTTATCATGCTGATGGGTGCAATGGTTCTGTCGGTTGTGTGCATCTACATCCGGAGTATCTACCGTACTGTGGAATTGGCACAAGGATGGGATGGAGATCTCATTACGCATGAGTCTTACTTTATTGGGCTTGATGGTGTTATGATGATTATTGCTGTTGGTGTTTTCAACTTTTTCAATCCTGGGTGGTTGCTTCCCTCTGTTGGGGGTGCTGGTCTGCCTGTTTCTCGGTCGAGTGTTGAGTTAAAGCCTGGTCGCTATTGAGGTAGGACGATATGAATTTGGGAATCTCCATGTAGCGTTTTATGGTCAGAGGTGGAATGGGATATTTCATTGTTGCTGGGTGGCTTCCGGGTCTTCTTTAATGGCGGATATCTGGGCCAGGACCGGCGATGGGTGTGTTACTTATTCTAGATTCTGAACCCTTATGAGAGATATCAAGACGTTTGCTTGCCCCTACTGTTATGAATTCAAGGTTTCCAAGTACCCACAAACGTTTAAACTCCTTCCTTGAAGCTTCATTAAGCAAAGACCGTAAACAAATGTACAAAACTTTCGAAATGTTATAGGCAAAGCCAACGACCAATCTACTTCCTCACTTTCTGCGTTGTATAATTTTACCTATATCTTCTTCACAGGGCGATTGCCAACGCCCCATTGGAATGGCTCTTTCACGTTTGGAACCAGCATCTCTATACAGACCATGAGTCACTCCCTGAGGCATTCGAGAGATCAACTTCAAGCCTTTCATCAAATGACGGCACTCTCTCAGTTCGAGCAGATATGTATATATCTTGGTATATTATAAAATGTTTGAAAGTAACCGACGCCCATATAGCTTTAGGGAGATATGAGTCTCTCGTAATAGGCAGGCATCTTGAGAAGCCAAAGGCAGTAAACCGATTTTTGGTCTCACTTCTCATGAAGCTTCCACCTCATCTGAATGTTTAATTGTATTTTCCTCGGGCTTTTGCCTCTTTCTTTTCTCCCTTCGTTAAGAGAGATATTTATCAACAGTCCTTTACGAAGAATTTGGATGTCATTGGCAAGACACTTTAACCCATCGAACGGGGTTTCAAGATACGAGCCTCCCACGAGTCAGCCAGGCACAGCTGCGCGACATAAGTCCTTCTTTCAAAAGTATCTTTCATTTTACCATCCCCTCTTCATCAGCCGAAAGCTCAACACAAAAACAAAATCCACACCTCTCGCCATTGCTCAGTTTTCGCATCTCCCAGCCGAGCTTCGTCTCTATATCTAGCGTCATTCTCTCCCCCAGAGACGCTCCGGCCTTGTTTGGCTATAAAAAGGGATGCTGGAGACTAGTGACTCCGATCGACAACGAATATGCCGAATGGCTTCAAAAAACTGACTTAGATCACTGCCTCAAGATCAATTTCCGTCACAAACTGTTAGACCCTGTTCAAGTGAAGCTTCCACCTCAGGCTTTTGTCAGCCACGAAGCGCATGTAGTGGTTCTCGAAAGATCCAACAAGCTCGGAATTGAAAGTTGCGTTTGCATTGGACAAGAATGCCATACCATCCGAGACATGTCGATCCCACTGGGGTGATACTAGGTGATGGATAGGTTGGATGATATTCGGATGAACAATTAGCAAGTTCCTGCACGGTAGCCACTGCCATGTGATGGAATTCTTTGATCCTCTACACTGCTGAGCGTCCGAAGGTAAGAGCCAGAATGACGAGTTTTAACGTAAGTGCCTTCTCTTTGTGTCGTGAGCACGCAATGAGCCCAAGATGACAGTTCTATGAAAGATTGACCGGGAACTCGATAATAAGAACTAGATAATTGACCAACCATAGGATATACACAGAACAAAAAAAAAGAGCAAAAGACGCTTCACTATGGGTATAACATCAATGCAGTCATGTCATTATCACAGGATACCCCGATAAAAAAAAAAATCACCAGTGTATGCCAACATCATAAAAGCATTAAGGACTCAAGCAAGTTGTCTCTCAATACTGCGCGGTCCACTCATAAGAGACGGAGGAATCGGAGGAACAGGGCTCCGATATACAGGGCCATGGGCTTCACGCGAGCCAGGCGGGGGAGGCGGTGGCGGAGGCGGAGGACGACCATAGCCAGGGTGGCCATGCGGATGAGGAAAGTGAGGTGGATGAGGCGGAACAGGCGGACCAGGACTTCCACCTCCCCCAAGTGTTAGACGGCTAAAGTCCCCTGGCAACTGTGCCTGGTATCTGTATTGACCGGGCGGGGACGTAGGATCGGCGTAGGCCATTGATCTGCCTGGATCGCCGGGGAGGGAGACAAGGGAGGCGTTGAGGGTACGGGCGATGTCGTCGAGGGTTACCTCCATCGGGGAGATGTAGGTCGTGTTTGTCTTTTCGGACCAGGCGAGGACATGGCCGCAGACGCGGCCGGTTGGGCGGTCGAAGACCCATGCGCCGGAGTCGCCGGGGGCTGTTATCATAGTATGGTTAGCTTGATGATCAAGAAACGCTACTCGGTACGAGGCGATGTATGTGTGTCTTAGGTGTGGTGGTGCTGTTTGTTTACCAGCTTAGACAAAAGAGGGTGTGCATAACATAACAAAACAAAGGGTATCTAATTAAGGATCGTATAGACATAAACATGGATCTGCGGAGCACCTCTTACCTCCGAAATTCCCATTGACGCAAAAGCTCGTCGAGAAAGAATGCCGGCCATGCAGCTTGACTAGCGTCATGGCCTTTGATATCTGACCTGTTTGAAGCCCGCTTGTCCGGCCACAGCAATGTACCTGCAAACCACCTAGCTCCTCCATCTGGGCGACCTGATTTAGGAAAATGGGTTGTGGTGGGATGGGCCGGCCTGGACGGGCGATGCTAGATCTGGTGGTATCGAGGATGATATTGCGGGGGTCCATGCGCGCTTCGTCCACTTTGATGAGGGCCCAATCAATTTCATGTTTGAGGCCTTTTCGAGTCCAACGACGTACTCCAGAGGAGGCGTGGACATAGCCAAGAGAGTGTGAGGCCAGATGCTCATCATCTCGATCCTCTGGAGATGGAAAAAAGTCATCGTGCACGTCGTCAATGGCGGGTTGGGTGACAAGCAGCCGAGGTTCTTCACCGGGTTCAATACCAGCAGTGTCGCCAATTGAGGCAGCATCATCGTCGTCATCATCACCACCAAGGGAGTCATCATCCGACGACTCTTCATCCGAAAGCCAAAACTCATCATACCCAGACTCAAGGCCTTGTGGGAATGATGCATCGTCCCCATCCTCTATGTCAGAAAGTTCATACTCGAGGTTCAAGCCAGGGTCGTCCTCGGCATAGTTATACATGAATTCGGGGTTCTGTGCATTAGATGTATCCCGAGGCCAATTACCCGCCGACCTCGATGGGTCTTCTGTATTCGAGTCTCCGGGGCTACTTCCTTGACCTTCATCTTCGCTGGGAGCTTCCAACATGTGATGAACTGTCAGACCATACGGCAAGCCATCGACGATGACGGCGCCACCATAGGAGACAGGCGGTAGGTGCTCTTCGTTTTGAAAAGCGCCAATGGATGCTCCGCAAAGCGGTCGTTGCTGATGACATGGGTTGAGCTCTCGCTGGCGAAAGGGAGTTGCATTCGACACATTCGGACGAGTCTTAGCTGGCCGGCGGCGTTTGTTGCGAGGCACTTTGGATCTTTCGATATCGCCGCGCAGTACGATCAGGTCCCAATCATCCCGACCAAGAGAGAAGTGCTTCTTCAAAGCGAATCGTACCTTCTTCACGCTAGCGCAAGTAACACAAATGGTTGTTCTCGCGCTTTCAGCAGACTCGCCAGTCATGATGAGGTTGACCCCACAAGACTCGGATGACTCTTTCAGAATCTTTTGAAGCAGACGACTCAAGCGGGGCATCATGTGGAAATTCCACTCCTGTAAGTGATCATCTGGGATTTCCAGGTGTGGAAGCCTCTTGACAGTGCGCTTCTTAGCAGGCTTCTCAAAAGCCTTTTCGTCATTTGAAGGAGGAGTCCATTCCTGTTGCGGAATGCTGGGGAGCTTCTTATCCAAGTTGGTCAAGTCGTGTTTTGCTTTGTAGGCATTAACCTTGTCCTGGATAGTGAGGGGTTCAGGAGTTTCGGGAATTGGGACAAGCGCGAGGGGAAGGCAGTCGTCCAACTCCTCTGCCCCAGGTGCTGAGAAGATGTCGATTCGGCAGCAAGACCACAGAATCTTGCAAATCGTATACATAAAGTTCATTGAGAAGGAGAAAGTGCCGTCAGGTTCTGAAAGGTCAAGAACTGGGTAGTGGTAGATCTGAGGCACACGAAGACCAAGATCGGTCATTGGTTGTGTTGACAGATGGAAGTTGGGGGCATCAAGACATAGCTGAACAGCTTGAAGATAAGCGCCACCGCACTTCGGGCCAAGCTTCTTGACGTAAAGATCTTCCACGCGATGCTTGAACCATGTACGATCATACTTCATCTTCCAGAGACGACCAACTGGAGCCCATAATCCAATCTCCAGGAGAATGAGACCAAGGGAATACAGATCATATGCCCATGCGCCATCATCCTCAACAGATCTCTTGTCCTCAGGATGGCGGTACATTGCCGAAGACAAGGGTTCAGGTGTGGGTCCATCGCCAGAGAATCGTGCAGGAGAAGTTAGATAAGGACGACGGAGATCCGGTGCAAGTCCACTCTCGTCATCACTAGCATCATCTCGACCGGGGAAGAAGATAACGTTGCTGCTGTTGATGTTACCATGAACGGCGTTCTGGCTTCTCAAGTGAAGAGCAGACATCAGCAGATCATAAGCCAATCGAAAGCGAGTGTCGAGGTTTGGAACTCGTTTCTCTCGGTAGTCTTCAGCTGAAGGGAGGAGAGCCACCAATGGCTTGGGCTTCAGTTCTTTCAACAAGTCACTAGGGTTCTGAAGGAATGGGAAATAGTCGACTGGCATCTGATAGAGGAATGCATAGCGAGCATTGGGTTGGTCAATGCAATAACCCAGGAATCGCATCAGACCTAGATGGGATATTCTGGCATTCTGCAGCAATTGTTCCAAAGACTGCTGAAGCTTTTCCAATCGAGAACTCTTGGGGCTCAACTTGGCGTCCATCATTATGGGAATGAATTCGACCAGGACAGATACATGCGACTCTTTCATAGAGGCGAGAATCGGCGACGCCGAAGAGTTTAAGCGACCAATTGCGCGAGAATTGGAAGAAGCCGCAATAGGCTCATACGGCGGAGGACTATTATCATGGGCCGCTCCATATAGCTGAAGAGCCGAGCGCTCAATGAGGAGGCGGTTCGACGGGAGGAAGGGATTGGAGTCGTGGTGTGGCGTCGACGGCGAGTATGAGTATGGGTCGAACAATTGCTTCGGGCTCTGGACTTTCTCTTTTGACTCACCAAATGCGCCATGCGATGAATCATAAGGTGATGCAGGACTAGCGCGCAGCTTGCGCCCCATCCTACTTGACGACATACTAGACGCCATCGTGCGGCGCGAGCGCGACAAGTCATATAGGGTATCAATGCAGCCAGTAAGTTCGTTCAAGATTGTCTTTGAGCGAGTTATATCCTCCTCTGTCCATTGTGTCTTGAGTGGCCGGCTGCCAAGAGTGTCCTTCGACGGGAGATCGATCTTTCGTTCTTTAGAGGGGAGGGGTGGCGCATCGATATGTTGTATTTGTTCAGCATCGTTAAGAAGCTCTTGTATCGATGACATGACACTCTCGACGACATCACTGAATCCAGCAGCAGTCAAGGATTCGTCAATATCATTGGGCTGGGCCGCGCTGGCATCGCTCCAATCTAGACCCCATGCTAGCAAGCGATCTCTCTGTTTCTGGAAACTGGTGTGGAGGGCGACGAGTTCAGGGTCGTCGACGGCCTTTGAAGCCGTTGTGACGCTTTCGCATGAGGTTTTGGTATCGGTATATAGTTTTGTGAGGCGTCGCTGGAGGAAGCCACCGCCTCCTCCACCATGTCTTAGAACCGACATGACGATTGCGGAGGGGATTGATAAGGATCACAGATAGAGGTTCGGTTCGAGTATCGCAAGACAGTGCAAAGGACGCATTCAGGAAAACATGGTGAGGGTTGTAGAAGAGTACTCAATTCAGAGGAGAAGTTGAAAAAGGGTAGACAGATTCAATGGGTGCCTTGAGGATGATGGCCGATAACCACCAACTGCGCATGAAGGGAATCCTGTTGCCTAACCAATGAGCGATCACGAGAGGCCCAGAGTGGGTCACGTGGCAGGCAACAACTAATGGCGCTGGTATGGTCACCGTATGGTTACGGGAGCCTCAACATAGCCACCTGCGGGCAATTTGGTGTGGGGAGGTGGGTACTGCAAGGGGTATTATATACGTATATCGTATTAAAGTTCCACCTGAACGAGTCAGTATATAATTGCGTAGACCCTATTCTATACATAGCTTGATTCAATGTTTCACTTCTGTCATACGTCTTGACTTCTTCATCGTTTTGTTTACTTTTCGCCACTTTTTCAATGCCAGCAGAGGGCCTTTACCAGAAGTACTGCTACAGACTGTCAGTTCAAAAACCTACAAGGCTCCACTATACAGACAACAATGCTCATCAGTTCTTTTACAAAGCCACCTTGATATGATCTAATTGATACACCCAACGCACTCAAAAATCGGCAAGAAAAAAAAATTGCGAAAAAAGAGAGGTTAAGTTCGAGCACAATTGAAGCATGAAATGGTACAATCGCTTCGAGGACTCCTAATAGAAATTATTTAGTACTTTATATCACTGTGAACAGGTCTATGACCTGTGTCGTACTGCTAAACATTGTCGGTGCAAATGCCTGAGCTACTAGGTTTCACTGTACTTGAAAGGTGCGTTATTTCATTTGAATTGCATAAATTTACATGCACTAAGGTAAGAATAAGTAAGGGAGTAGTCCGAAACATCAAGCCATCCAGGCTGAACAATAATACACCTCTCCATTCGATCATCCTGTCATGACCCGGCGCGATACACCGACATCTCGCGCACGCTTTTCGCTGAAATTATGCAACCGCTCCCCAATAAGATACACTTCGTCGCGGATGTTAGTGCGCCAGATTGCCACTCTACGCATCACCAGATTGACTGCCCACACAGACAGTAGAATGAAAAGTGTAGTAGGATAGGCATAGCGATAGATATTAGGCTGCACCTTATCGTGGGTGTAGAACACGGTCCAGCGGGCAATAAACCCGAAAGACAGAGGCAGGGTGATTGCTGCAGCTGTGAGGATGATGATCGGCAGAACCAGGGCCCGAGTGGCGAGCTTGACATTTGGTTTTAGCCAGCCATTTTGGAAGATGCCATTGAGGGCGGCAGCTGCCCAAGACTGAGGCTGCCATACAGTCAATTTGATGGCCATCTGGACGTACAGCACTCCCAGTGCCCAATCTTGAACGACGTGAACAACATGGGACTTTCCATCGCCGAAGAGGGTGTGTGCTGGGATGAGAATGTACAATTCAGTCAGAAGGGCAAAGAGCGACGGGAGCAAGACAACGGCAACTGTAGCAAGGTACAAAAGCTGGAGAAAATGCATCACGAGGCCCAAGCTATTCTGGCCTGCCTGACGAGGGGAACGGAGATATGCAGTTGTATGTTCTCGCAAGAGCTGGAATGCAGTGCGGGTGTGATAGGCCAGGTAAGCCAACGCACCGACCACGCAGAGACCGCTGGAAAAAGCATAAACATCGTTCACCGGAACTGGACTGGAAGAGTACGACGTGATAATTTTCCGACCAATGATCAGCGGTATAATGGTGATGCCTACTCCAGTGGTGGCGGCAAACAGCCAGATGAGCACGATGAAGGCAGCGATCCGAGTTCGGAAAGAAGGAGGGATGTAGACCTTGGTGAAATTGGTGCTAGATCGACCATGTAGTCCATCGGCAGGGTCAACCTCCCTATCAACGCGCTCATTATCTTCGGTGACTTCCAGGAAAACGCGGGTGCCTTTCGGGATGCGGACCTGATCGGAAGCAGGGGCACGCACATATCGGCCATCTCGCAGGAAGTAAACGTCACGGTTCTCCTGTTCTGCGGCAGCCTGTTGCTCATCGCCGATGACAGGGTGTTCCCAGTCTCCCTTGCTTCCGGAGAGAAGGGCCCACCAATGCTTCCGAACATGGCAGCCTTCTTCCTCAAGGTGTCGCTCAGGAAAGAAAAAGTTGCTGAGGCGCAAGAAGTGGGCACACTTGTGAAACCACCAATCATACAAATCATGTAATCCGTCTGAGGGCTTGAATGATTGAATCGCCATTGGTAGCACAAAGTTATAGAATAGCAGATCGACTGGGAATTCGAGCATAGGAGCACTTGCTGACCAATGAATCGGAAGCACGTCGTCGAGTGCAAAGTGCAGCCCCCATACAACGCCGCCAAGGCAAACGATGACCAGGGCACCGTAGACTAGGGCACTAAACCCAATCTTACGAAGCTGAGTAGCGATACTGCGCTCAAGAACATCACGGATCGGGTGGAATGTTGGATCATCGGGGTCACGGATGAAATCTGTGGTCAAATAGTTAGTGCCAGATTCAGATATAGCAAGTTGGGAGATTCAAACTTACAAAGGACACCGCTCCTCAAGATCTTTCGACACATAGACACAAACAAGGCGAAATGGAACATATAGCACGTGCCAACAAACCAGTGGACGAAGAGTGATGTGAGTGGAGAGGCAGCCGTGAAAGCAATCCGAGAGCTCACAGTAGCGTTAGAAAAGAGTGGGAGGAGAGCAAGATCAAGAAGACTACCGCAATACAGGGGGAAAACAATCATCTCGATACCAATGATGAGGATGACTTTCATAACTCCACCAGCTTGAATCAGCACCTCAGCAAGCAAACCCTCAGCTCTTTGTCCGCGGTTGGCACCAGCCATCAGCCCGGTGATGCGTAGATAGAGAAGACCGATCAATGAGGCAAGCAAGTAGCCCATGAGGATAGCAATGGCACGATCCTTCGAGTCCCAAACAGCTAAGTCATAGTCGACTGGTACAGCCGCTGAGGCAGCTTTAGCTGCACTTGCATTCATCAACCTTTTCCCTGGCATGGAGAACAAAGGTGATCTGATGAAGCTACTGAACTGCTGTTGTACCTGCTGAAGGAATCCAGTGAAATAAGAGAGATCGATATCGAAGAACAATGCACCCGGGATTCCAAGAGTCATGATTCGGAGAGGGAAGTCATGCAAAATGAACTTCACGGTGGTAAATACCGTGTGGAATACAGCGACGAGGCGTGCTTGGTGTAATTTAAGTGCCTGGTGGGAGAGCACTGAGAACATGGGGATATCGGATTCGTGGAAGACCAAGAATGCTTTAAGCACCTTGTTCAAACGCTGGCTGCTCGCATCAATGAGAGAAAGCGATGCACTGGTGACTGACTTGTCCCGAGGCATCCATTCCCCAATGGGAATGACAGTGCTCAAAGGACTCAGCAAGACTCTGAAAACAAAGCTGAACCAGTACATTATATAGCCTACGACACCGATAAGAGTATCGAGAGCGATATCTGCGATGACTTCGACGGCGGTGATAGGAACACCGACGATGAGCTCGAAGGGGTTGGCCAATAAGACGAGGGCAATTTTTCCCCATAGGTAAGGAAGCCAGATTCCGATGGCGACTGTGAACGCAATGAGAAGAGCACAGAAGACACCATTTTGGAAAAGTCCAAAGATAGGGCCCTGCATGCCAATAAGGTCCATGATTCCTTCGAAATCATCCCCTTCAATTGCTTCCACATCATTGGGGTCCAATCCAGCATCCAAATCCCCAGCCATACCAGCGTCTGCTAGTGCGCCGCCATCCATCCGATTTGGCAAAGGCACAAATGGGTCTTCCAAGGCCGGATCCTGAACAATGTGCTCATCGTCTTCAGGAACTGGCTCTTCTCTGTCGCTGTCTATAGGCGTAATGTCCCCCCAAAACCAATCAATGACCCGTTCGATAAGTCCCTGTGGGGGTTGATTATCCGCTTGACTGTTCGGAGGAGGAGCAGTATCACTTCTGCTTGAGGATGCATGATCTGGGTTTGGGCCGGAGGGATGAGTAGTGGTATCGGGACTAGAACCATCATGATGCGCATTTCGGGTGTTGGTGAAATCAGGGACCTCTTGCACTGCTACCTCATCAATGTCGGGGCGATTATGAGGTCCTGCTTCTTGTGCTGGTTGCTGATTGGAATTGACTGCGGTCATCGCGTTCGCAATCCAGTCCAAATCACCCCCTGGGGCTTCGTCGCGGATAATGCGTAACATTTCTTCCTGGTCTCCATTGGCACGAAGCATAATATCGCCGAAATTCATGGCACGACGACCGGGAGCAAGATCTTCGCCATCATCGTCCGAATTTTCAAGGTCCATTGGTTGTACCAGCCTGTCAAATGCCTCAAAGTCAGGGTGCCCATTATCAGAGTCGCTCCAAGATGGAGCTGGAGAATGAGGTGCGAAGCGATGCGATTCTTCTTCATCCATGCCATGATGGCCGAATTCCTCAGCGTGATCGTCTTCTTGGTGAGCGGGAGCCGGCTCTTGCTGTCTAATCTCGGCTTCTTCATTCGGCCTATTGTTTGCAATCAGTTGGAGAGCAGCCTCGCGCTCTCCTTCAGCAATGTTGGCCATGGGTTGTTGTTGAACAACCCATTCGCGGATCAGGAAGAGTAGAATAAAGGCAACGACCACAAGGAGGGTGATAAGCTGGCCTTCCAATGTGTCGATGATCATGTTATTAATCGTAGGATAGGGTGTCAGATTGTTTAAGAATTTCACGTCCGATAGCCATGATGGATAGCGGGGTTTGCTTGAACTGGGCGTCGAGTTGTTTGAGTTGTTATCCTGTCCGGCAGACGAGGTGAAGGCGGGCATAAACAAATTGGGGATCACTTTTTTTATGAGAGTGAGCATGAGCGGCTCACCGGCAGCGAAATTGAGAATCGACGGTTGCGCAGTGGGGGCAGCAGTTGCAGACGAGATAGTTGCATTGGAGACTGTGGAGCTAACTGCATCGACTACAGCAGCATTTGCCACGCTGCCATTCGACAACAGTTGCCCGAGACCCTGAGCGGCTTGTGCAGCTTGAGTTCGAGCACTTTCGCTCGCGGACCAACGGCCATCAGCAAGCCAGAAGAGAGCCCGCCAGATTGCGCGCATTGACCATGGCAGCCATCCTAACCAGACAAAGGCGACAAGAACAAATCGCAGCCAGGTAACCACGGTCCGGAAACATTGTATCAACGCTTGCTTTGCGAATAGAGGCGCGGGGAGGCTCTGGGGCATGTTAGGGTCGTAGAGTTTGGTAAAGCGGAACGGCGTCTTGCAAAGCTCGCAGTGTTTCTTTTGCGAATGTGATAGCCACTCAACCAGACAGATCTGGTGAACGAACTTTATGCTGCCGCTACATTTACACGGGTAGAACAGCGGCTCCTCGTCCGTTGCTTCGCCATGGCAGATGCGGCAAGTATCCAAATCGTCGAATCCCTTTTCCCTCTCATCGTAAGCCGGGTCATTCATCAAATCCGGGAATCCGGCGCCCGCAGCGCGGAATTGACTGTCTGCGGATTCCATAGTTTGTAGGTTTCGCGTCAAATCGACGGTATTGATTAGATGTTCACCATGTTATGAAAACGGGAGGTGAGGAGAGAACACGGGAGGGGTGATCCGGTTGGGCTGAAATGAACAGGTCAGTACTGCATGTATGTTGGACGTCTTAGCAACCCACCAAGCCTGGAGATCGGAGCTTGATAGTGGCGAAGCAATCAATTCAGCCTGGCCTTGACCCATGGTGCTGACTCAGCTGATGTGCGCTGGCTGTAAGACAAATACGGTAAGTTACGCCACCGGTGATGGTAATGGAGGCATATCTTCGTATCTGCAGTACGAGTGCCACCAATGACCTCACTGATATTCAACAGACACAGTTCCTGATTGTGTCATGTTTAACTGCTGAACTTGATAAACTCAAACCACCTCTTTATCTTTCCCATAGACTCTGCGTTCTAACAGTCAACTATTTTCCTCGGTCTTCAGTCCTTCCAGTCTAGGTGTGTATCTGACCGTGGCCCGTGAAACTCGTGTGCCAAGACCGACGCGAGCATTCCGCCTACAGATACTCATTTGCTTTGATTCATTCAGACTCGAGCTTTAACATCAACCAAAGCCACACATTTGAGCTGTGAGCTTCTCTTCAATGCAGGTGTAGTACGTTGTTGTGCCGACTTGATATCAACGTGTGGAAAGGGCAAGCCCTCCGCATATTACGGCGGTCGACCTCACATCTTTCAAGGAGATCGCGTGGACTCGAAAGAGCCAGCCACAGTTAAGATGGCAGTGCAGGAGAATGGACATCTTGCGGAGACCACAGTCAAACCAAACGGGCGACAGGAGGTTAAGCCGCGCAGAAAGGGTTTCGTGCGGTGGACAGTTGGACTCGTTGTGAGGTGAGTACCAGCCCTGGAGACCACGATTAGGGGGGAACATTCAATTGACATCTGCCATTTCAGACTCTGCATCTGGTATGCGCTTGTAACGCCGTTCCTACAATGTCCTTCCAACATCGCAGAACTCACGGAAACATCGCCGCGCGTCTGCAAACCTTACCTTATCGCTCGTTCGCACGTCGATCCCTATGTCACTCCCTATTATGATACGTACGCGGCGCCTTACGTTGATCAGGCTTGCCCATATGTCAAGGTCTTTATCGAACGAGTCTATACCCCGGCATCGAAAATTGCCAAATCCGGTTATGAGAAATACGGTGCGCCGGCATTGGAACAGGCCCAGATCTACGGTGCTGAGCAATGGCGAGTCCAAGTCACCCCTCGAGTGCAATCTGCTCGGGATAAGGCGAATCAGTTCTATCTAGCTGAGGTGGACCCATATGTCCAGCAGGGTGTGACTGCTGTCTCCCCGTATTATCAAAAGGCCAACTCCGCCGCGATGGCCATCTACTGGAACCACCTGGTGCCGTTTTACACTCGCTCAATGCCTTTCATCGGAAAGACTTATGCCACGAGCCAGGGAATTTTAACGACCCACGTTATGCCCGGTGCGCAGTATACCTGGTCATCCGCAGTCTACTTTGCGAACAGCTCACTGTGGCCTCATGTCACAGGCCTTTACTCTGAGCAGGTAGAGCCTCAATTGGTCAAGATCGGCCAGCGTTTGGCTAGCTACAGGGAAGGCAAGCGCCTTCGTGCTGTTGTGGAGGAAGCTGACAGGTACGTTGAGCCCTACAATCACCTATTAAGCACGCTAACCATCATCTTCAGCACTTCATCCCTGCAGCCCGTCTATTCTAAGACCACTCAACCCGAGGAGCCAGTTCAGACCACGAGTACTGTGACATCCACTCCTACAGCTGAAGCCCCTGTTCAGCCCACTCTCTCTGCAACTGAGCAAGCGCAGCAAGACCGGGTTAAGATCGAGTCAGACCTTGAGAGGTGGCAGGCAAAATTCTCTCTCGCAGCTGATAAGGGCATTGAGGATCTCGAGGAGCGTATCGAAGAAATTGTTTCCGCCCTCATTGCGAGCAGTGCAAACAGTTACGGCCAGAGCCTTTCTACTGCCCTTCAATCGGTATCAGCTGAGCAGCTCTCTTCAATCAAGAATTGCATCAACACCCTGGCGGAGTCAATGCCCGAGGAGAATGCCCCAGATGTTGAGGAGTCGACAGGTGATCAGCTGGTCAGGGAAATCAGGACCTCCGCCATTTCTGTGAGAGATCGTGCCCATGCACTCAGAGAATGGTCCGCCTCTTTTGACGAAGAACTTGTTCGTCGGGTGGATGCCGCTGTTGACTCGACTCTAGCTGTCCTCGACAGCATCCGTGATCTTGGATTGCAAGAGATCGGTATGCGCTGGGCGTGGATGGATGGTGTCACCTACAAGGACTGGGCTAAGTACCATGCTTTGAAAGCCCAACTCGAGGATTGGCGCAACGAGATCCGGGAAGTCGGGACACACCACAAGTCTGTTTCAGAGGCCAGAGCCGTGGCAAGTGATATCTTGGACAGCGGCATGCACGAAGCTGAATTGGCTGCCAAGGAACTTGTCAGGCTTAAGGATGTTGGGCTCTGGAAGATCGCTGCTCGTGAGGTCAGTGACAACTTCGACACTCGAACCGAAGCCCCGCCTCCGAGACCCAAGCCCCAGCAGGAGCCTGAAGAATCTGAAGACATCAATGTTGATTCGGATCACGATAAGACCTTCGAGGAGGCCTCTGAATCTGCTTCGAAGGACCAAACCGCGTCAAGCACCGATAATTCTGAGGTTATCGAGGAAGCTCCAGAGGCCGAATCGTCTCCCGCTGCTGTTGCCGAAGATGAGAATCTTGATGATGCTGAGTCTGTTATGGATGATTTTATTATCGAGGAACAACCTTCTGCAAGACCAGCCTTCGGTGTTGCGGCTGCTGAGGTCGGTTCTTACCAAGAGCCCATCCTCGATGACGAGCATTCGGATGCCTTGCATAGCCTCGCGAACAAAGCTGGCGACACCTACGCCGAGGCAAGCAAGGCTGTGAGCGAGGCTATCTACGGTGCCTCCGAGACCCCTGGCGTTGGCGAGCAGGCGGCATTATTCGCCAGTGACCAGTATTCTCACGCCTGGTCCGCCGCATCTGAGGTTCTTTACGGAACTCCTTTGAGTCCCGCAGAGAAGGTTTCTAGTGCTGCCTCTGAAAAATACACCGAGGCTGTAGCGGCGTAAGTAGTGTAGACTATCTACATTTTAAAATTCCACCCCCAATTGAACGCTCGCTAATCGAGTTTCTGAATACCAGTGCCTCTTCAGTCATCTACGGTACCCCCACGCCAGTCATTCGGTCCGTGGTGGGTGAGGCTAGCTCAGCATATGCTGAATCCACATCTCAAGCCAAGATCCTCTATGAAATCGCAAAGTCTCAGGTTCTCGGTCAAATGGCCCAGTCTAGCGCCCCGGCTCATTCCCAGCTCCTTGCCTCTATTGAAGCAGCTTACTCTGGGTCGGTCAAGTATGCCACTGAAGAGCTAGAGTCGAAGCTTCGGGCCGTTCGAGCCACTCCTGCGCCATCTTCAGTAGGACCCCTTGCCCAGATCTCATCAATCGCCTCGTCGCGCTTGGACCAGGGACTCAGTCTGGCCTCTGAGCAGCTAGCTCAGGTGCGGGCAACAGCGTCGCAAACAACCGATTCTGGCTTCCAGCCCTATGTGCTCGATGCTCAGCGTCGCTATTATGAGGCAGTCGGTCTAGCTCATGATCACTATACTGCCTTTGTCTCTACGGCATCTGATGCAGTTTATGGTTCTCCCACCCCTACACCAGTTTCTAGAAGCTTCAAGGGACTCGTCGAAGAAGCCGGCTCTCAATACGAGCAAGCCTCTTTCTTGGCTTCCGCCAGCCTTGCAGCTGTTGTTGCTTCAGCCAGCTCGATCATCTCTTCCGCTGATGATGGTAAAGCACAGAGTATCATTGACGACGCTTCATCGCGATACAGCGCCGCCCTCTCCGCGGCTTCTGCGTCTCTCTCGTTGGCATCCGTCTCTGCTAGCTCGGCTATCTATGGGACCACCCCAGGACCTCTGGAGTCTCTTTCCAGCCATGCATCTGAAAATTGGGAGCATCTAGTTTCCAAGGCCAGCGAGCAGATTTATGGCGCACCAACACCGTATCTGCAACAAGTGGCGAACAACCAGCGTGTCCACTTTGAAGCGGTGCAACAAATTGTCTCTGAGTTGATCGTCGGCAAGCAACCATCGTTCACTGAGAGCGTGTTGAGCAAGCTCCAAGCTGCATACGAGACGCCTTACCCTACTGCCGCTGTTTCATCTGCCTCTAGCTACATCAGTGAGACATATGAGGCTGCATCATCGGCCGCTGCTGCAGCTATCTCCGATACGCCAAGGATGGAGGATATCATGCAGCATGCTAATGATCAACTGCACGCTGCTGTTGAAGCTGCAAGTGTCGGAATTTACGGAACTCCCAAGGGCTCCTTTGAACAGGCCACAGATGCTGCAGCTGACGCTTACTCAACAGCTTCTGCCCAAGTGAGCAGCGCTGTCTACGGCAAGGAATCCGGTTACATCGATGTCGCCAAAGACGCTATCGAAGATATCCAATCCAAGGCCAGCGCAGCTATCTACGGTGAAGAGCCCAACGTAGTTGAGAGCGCCACCCTCCGTCTTGCCGGCGCCGTTGAAAGCGCCAAGTCCCAGCTAGCTGATCTCGCTGCCAGTGCCAGCAGCGTTGCATCCGAGGCAGTTGAGACCGCTGCGTCACACGTGGAAGATGCGACAAGCAGTCTCAAGAATTCCGCATCTTCATTCAAGGACGAACTGTGAAGGAGTGGCTTTGTCCAAATCACTCTACTCCTTCACGTCATGCATCATGTATTTTCTTTTTTTTTTTAATTTCTTTTATTTCTTTTCCCCTCTCTCGGACTCGAACAGTTTGCTCCGAAATTGGTCCTCATGCCTTAGGCATGTTGTGCGCGGCTTCCGACGCATTATTCCCCATATAGTTTGTTACGACGGCTACATGCTCATGACCTGCAACACGCACAGTTTCTTTTTCTATTTCGGCTCTTTCTCGTTGTCTTATGTTTTCTGTTATCATTTCTTGATTCAAATACGAGGGATCTTGAAGTGACATGCTTAGTATATAATCAATGGATTGGTTTGTTGATATTTTCGTGATGATCGAACTGGTATATCATCCAAGTATATATATTGTCTGTAGCAGCCTTATAAGTCTACCTGGTTGTTTGCTGGACAAAAAAATCATACGTACTTCACTCTAGTCACGTCGTATAATCTAGATGATTCACCAAAGGCACTAGATAATACAACAGTGGCCATGACTCCTCTCCCACTCCCACATTTATATAATCTGAAGGGCTCACCTATGGCACTTGAAAATTGGCAAAAAAGAGGTGGAAAAAAAAGGTGAGAACAGAGGCTAAAGAAGAACGGCTAATTCATAACACAAACAATGCATGAAATGGCACATTCACTTCAAGACTTGTCCAGTAATTACGCAAGGACATTGTCCAATAGTCTATTTCAGTCATTTATATATATCTGTAGGAACTTTCGAATATGTCAACTTTTTGTTAAGATAGTATTGATCCCAATCTGAAACGCACAATATATATCGAGGTATTGTTACATATTTTACCCATTCAGGTCCAACCAAATCACCTGTACTTCATAGTCGAACCCCTCTTTTCCTTCTTCAACTGCGTCTTACTCTTAGGAGCCTCACTCTGAGCTTCTTCGCCGCCACCACCCATTCCGGTGAATCCCTTCTTCACGCCCATGACGGTGGTATAGGCGGCGTAGACGGAATACAAAGGAATCACGACCCACAACCACCAAGCCCGGTCATTGAAGAGACAGGCAGCAAAGATGCAGCCCTGGGTCCAGTAAAGTACATCCCACATGTACTCGGTCAGACCGGTGGCATTGAGATCCTCGCCAGCGGAGCGCAAGGAACCATCCTCGTTGTAACGAGGCCGGCCCACACGGTCAAGATAATACTCAATGGCAAAAGTGGGAACAGCCAAGAAGAAGTATGGCTTCAAGGAACGAGGCCGTTGGAACATGAAGTGCAGCACGAGGAAGAGCAGGTGCAATGCCGCCGATATCAGGTGAGTGCGGTTGAGGATAGCGCCATTGCGGGTCGCCAGGGTTTTGGCGGCTTTCTGTGATAGAGTCAGAATGTTTCTAAGCAGTGAACAAGGCTAACAGGGAGTCTGCAGCAGCAAAGAACCACACGTTTGGTACATACCTGGGCCATGCTTGATGCGATCACCGATTTCTCACGAACTGATACTGATGGACGATTTTCAGGATCTCTGATACCCCTGATCAACAGCTCAACAAGCTAGATGCTTCAGGATGACACAAGATCGGAGAACGAGGCTGAACGGAAAAGGAGGGGACACGCACGACAGCTGCAGTACATCGGACGATTGTTGCCCTCCACGACCCTCACCGCCGTCACCGCCCGGCAGAAACGACAAAGGCCTCTCGAGACCAAAATAACAAGAAAGAAAGCGTTGAAGCTTCATACTCTGCCTCTTGAGGTGACATGTCCCTGCTCTGAGGTTGAATATTCTGGTTCACCCAGCGAGACCTCACTTTGTTGGTTCTTATCTCCCTCGTCCATCCTCCTACCATTTCCGGATCTGGTTTACATTCCTCACTCCACGCCCTCCCGAGCCCAGTGAACGACACCTGCATTCAGAGCAGTCCGCGGACATTGGACTTATCGCTGTCTCATGTCTTTCTGGCGTTGATGGACCGTTTTATCGCGCTCCCAGAATTCACGTCAGAACTGACTCGATCGCGTCGTTGTTTCCTCCCCGCGTCTCGGAGAACATCCCCAAGGAAGGCGCCGGAGGCTGATGGGCCAAGTACCTTCAAGTCTCTCAATCGCATCATTACTCTGAACCTCGACCTATCCTCACCCGAATCGAACCTCGCGCGCTGTCGCAAAACGTGCTGCCCGACCCCTCACCATGGCATTGTCCACGGGACATGTCGCCAGCCAGTTACGGCACCTCATCTACTACCAACTCGATAATAACCTAATTCGCAACGCGCTCTTTCTCGCCAGCCGTCTCCATGCCTTCGAACCGCGATCCTACGAGGCGCAATATCTGCTTGCGCTTTGTCACCTACACAATGGCGAAGTGAAGGCTGCATTTGATTGCAGTCAGTCTTCGGGTTCTCTGGGTCTACATGCTGGCTGCGCTTATGTTTTCGCGCAAGCTTGTTTGGATTTGGAGAAATACTTGGACGGCGTTGCAGCTTTGGATCGCAGCAAGCATCTATGGGTCACCAAGAATCACTGGAGTAAGCGTCCGCGAATTTGTGCCTGGGATCGAACTGAAGGCTAATGAAACCACAGACAAGCATAGCGAAACACAAAGACAGCACCTTCCGGATGCTGCAGCTGTGTTCAGCTTACAGGGAAAGCTTTGGCATGCTCATAAAGATTTGAACAAGGCAGTTGACTGTTATGTTGAGGCACTCAAGCTGAACCCATTCATGTGGGACGCGTTCCTAGGACTCTGCGAAACGGGTATGTATTGATCTCAGAGATTGGATAGAAATATTTCTCACATGAATTCAGGTGTCAACATTCGAGTCCCCAACATCTACCAACTGAGTCCAGAACTATTTGCAATGATATCCTCGTCACCAAATGAAGCACCCGCAGTATCAGACAACATCCCTGCTGCAGAATCTCACCCTATGCAGCCCCCTGGTCACCCTGTATCCGATCCTTTTATGGTCCCCGCATCCCGCGGCGACGCCGAATCCACATTTGGAAGCTCTGCTCTCTTTGAAAAGTTCAATGGCAGCTCTGTCGCTGTGGCGCAGCAAGTATTCCACGATGGTATGGAGACCCCGGGAGCACAGAGCAGTGGCTCTGAAGAGTTCCGCATCGCAAATGGTGTCACCGATCCTGAATCCACCTGGGATGCACCTATGGCCCCGGCTCGCAAGATACGCCCAGCTCAGACCATGAGCTTGGATCAAACCGGCCAAGCTCCACCCCGAATGCGCCCAACAGGAATTAGGCCCAAACATAAAACAAGAACAGACCCAGAGGCATATCCCACTGTCCCAATGGAAAGAGATCCCCTTCCTGCCCCCAGGTTTGGTGATCGCAAGCGCACAGTCTCTGGGCAAGTTGCCCATCCCCCTCCTCCATCACATCCGGTTGAACCAGGTGCTCCTCAGCGTCGAAGCGTTCGCTTGTTCAATCAAATCAAGCCTACCACGAGCAAACTTTCTAACAGTACACTAAACAGCACGCTTGCCGGAAAAGACGGCCGTGAGATGAAGAAATTAAGAGCCCAGTCAAGAGGACGACTCGGAACTGCACCCACAGTCGGCCGCGTTGTGAGTGGTAACCGAAAGCCCATGGAAGCACCCGACAATGACAGCAAGGACTATCGTACTGGATCAATGCCACCACATCCTCCGGTTCCTCCATTGCCCAAGAACGCCGAGAAAACAAAAGAGCTCGAGGCTTTGAACTGGCTTTTGGGGCTTTTCAATAAGCTTGCATGTGGGCATTTCGCATTGAGTCGTTACAAGTGCCAAGAGGCTATCCAGAACTTCAATTTACTCTCTCAAGGTCAGCGCGAGACTTCATGGGTTCTTGCTCAACTTGGACGGGCCCAGTTTGAGCAAGCGGCATATACAGAAGCTGCCAAATATTTCAACAGGGTTCAAATGTTGGCGCCCTCTCGCCAAGAAGACATGGAAATCTACTCAACTGTATTATGGCATCTGAAAAGCGATGTGGAGTTGGCATACTTGGCGCACCAATTACTTGAGTCTGATCGGCTATCACCTCAGGCATGGTGTGCCATTGGCAACTCTTTCTCCCACCAACGGGATCATGATCAAGCACTGAAGTGCTTCAAGCGCGCTACATTGATTGACCCTGGATTCGCTTATGCCTTTACTCTACAAGGACATGAGTATGTCGCCAACGAGGAATATGACAAGGCATTGGAGGCTTACCGCAATGGGATCAATGCCGACAATCGACACTACAACGCCTGGTACGGACTGGGAACAGTGTACGATAAGATGGGCAAACTTGACTTTGCCGAGCAACACTTCCGCAACGCAGCTAGCATCAACCCTACTAATGCGGTATTAATCTGCTGCATCGGTCTGGTTTTGGAGAAAATGAATAACCCCCAGGAAGCGCTGGTCCACTACGGCAGGGCCTCCACGTTGGCTCCACAATCAGTCCTGGCCCGATTCCGCAAGGCGCGCGTGCTAATGAAGCTGCATGAATTCAAGTTTGCTATGGCAGAATTGAAGATTCTCAAGGATATGGCGCCGGATGAGGCAAACGTGCATTATCTGCTAGGAAAGCTGTACAAAGTGCTCCACGACAAGGCCAATGCTATCAAGCATTTCACTGCTGCCTTGAACTTGGATCCAAAGGTACGCTCAAGTTCAGAATACTCCTTGACTCTTGGATCTCTTGCTGACTCTCACTCCCCACAGGCTGCACAATACATCAAGGACGCGATGGAATCCTTGGATGAAGACGAGATGGAGGATGAGGACATAGCGTAGACCTGTGATGTCCCAGGTCTTTCTATTTTGTTCCCACATGGGAACGCTTTCTTATGAACTCGGCGTTTGAGGCCTCTTTGCACAGCATCACTGTGGAGTTTTCTTTTCCAGGTTTAGATATCTGGCATCAAGCATGGTGTTCTGTACATTAGTTGACGATTTTCTCTGGCACGGATGAGATGACGGGTGCTTGCATAATTCATTATGTTTCCATGCTGCATGCACTTGTTCTCATGATTTATCTAGGCAAATGTGACATGCCTCTGAGCTTAACCTATTGTAGCTGCATACTTTCCGGCCTGCGTGACCCCGTCATCTGCAGCGGGCGGTGAGTCGGCCTCGGGGCAAAAAAACGATTCAACGCCGACTTGCTCTTCCCCACAGTCATGGCTCAGTGCATTTGAAGCTGTATCTCTTTTTTGTTTGTTCCTCCTCCTTCTCAGATTAAGTACCTGGGCTGGGGTGCCCATTCTATTTCTGAAAGTATGTCCCCTCCTCCTGATTAAAGTCTCCGATCTGACCATATATCTCTCCCCAGCATCTCCTCAACAAACCGTCGCCATGTCGTTCGGCTCCTATATCGTGTCAGGCGTTAGCTCCTTTGTGGTGGTAACAGCCTCACTCTTCGCCCTCGGTCAGAAAGTACCTCGTGCTGCCTTTGCCGCCCGGTGTCTTGCATCCTACGGCTGCCTACTCGTGGCTGCCGCGTACGGCGTGGTGGTCTCAATCTGCCTGCGGCTAGTTGGATATGGTCGTATCTCACAATGGGCTACTGGGCGCAGCTTCAAGTGGTTGATGCGCTTCACCACCGGTGTCAAGTTCGAGGTCATCGAGGGCGAGGAGTACCTCACTACCCGTCCGGCTGTCTTCCTTGGTAACCACCAGACCGAGCTGGATGTGTTGATGCTAGGCTGTATCTTCCCACCCTACTGCAGTGTGACTGCTAAGAAGTCTCTGCGCAACATTCCTTTCCTGGGATGGTTTATGGCCCTCTCTCGTACTGTCTTCATTGACCGTGCCAACCGCGAGACCGCCCTCAAGGCCTTTGATGGTGCTGCGGATGAAATGCGCAACCACCGCCAGAGTGTTTTCATTTTTGCTGAGGGTACCCGGAGTTACTCTGATGAGCCTACTCTTTTGCCTTTCAAGAAGGGTGCTTTCCATCTGGCTGTTAAGGCCGGCGTGCCAATTGTTCCTATTGTGGCGGAGAACTACTCCCACATTCTGTCGCCTCGTGCGTGGCGCTTCAATGCCGGAACTATCAGGATTAAAGGTTTGTTCCTTGTTCGAGTCTCATAAGAGTGAACATAACTAATCACTCATGAATAGTTTTGCCTCCTATCCTGACCAAGGATTTGACATCGGCCGATGTGGATCAATTGACAACCTCAACCCGAGACTCGATGCTCAACACCCTGACTGAATTGTCCCGTGCCCAGAAGGAAAAGGTTGATACTGCCCACACCAACGGTGTTTCCAGCGCCATTGAGATCTAAACGCGTTCAACTGTTCTGCGTCACAGGTTCTCCGCCTCGCTCGACATTTACTGGCTGTCCCCCTTGGTTAGACCCGACAATGGGCATCGGGAACGAAGTCCATGACAGCAAGGTAACATACCCTATCACCCGCCCCGATTTGATTCCACCAGAGGAGCAACTCGTCCCCCGCTCTTCATGCAGCATATTCCCATTCACTTCTTTGGTACATACTCTCCAGTTCCTACCACAAGAATTCGAATTTGGGAAACCTTGGACGTCTAACTTATCACCTATTACTACTGCTCACGGGTATTGGTATTACATTAGACATTCTCCTTTCGGTTCTGGCCCTCTTCTCCCCTTTGCACCTTGGAATGTATATATCTTTAGCAACAACGCATGACACGACCTGGCTCAATAGACCGAATTACGTTTTGCTTTTGCTTCTTGTACTGTACTAATATCCTTACAAGAGTGGTGTCTGCATACACTTTGAGAGCCAAGAATATAAAGTCATTGATCTCTCTGTGACCGTCTAAATTTTATTTGCCTGTTCTAGCCTTCTCATTATTCTACGTATATTCCTTTCATGAAGTTCCAAGAAGGCATTCAGGCAACGGTAGCCCTCTCAAACACCTCCCGAATCTCCTTAACCTTCTTACCCTCAGCCAACAACAATCCAACCAAGATACGCGACTGCTGGGGGTTGAACAACCCACTAGCAATCTGGGTCTTCTTGTTCCCACCAGTGATATCAGCAGTAGGGACCTCCCCGTTCACAGTCCGGTGACTCAACACAACAGGAATATCATGCTTAGCAACAACATCATTGATAGCATCACCAAAGTCACTGGAAATACCACCAGCACCTTCACCAGCAATAACGATCCCTTGAGCACCATTCTTAACTGCACTGTACAACGAATCGACATGCATATCCTCATAAGCGTAGAGAATATCAACTCGCGGAATAGAATCCACATCGGCAACATCAACAGCATGCTTCGCATTCGGCTGCACAGCAGGGTAATAGAAGTAAGGCGTGTTGGAAACAATGGTTCCAAGACTTCCCTGCTCATACGCCTTGAACGTATCAACAGTGTTGGCATTCGTCTTCGTAGCAAAGAAAGCAGAGACAATGCGGTCATTCAGTACGACAAGTGCACCACGCTCCTTGGCATCTTCATCCACAGCCACGGTCACACCCTGCAGCAGGTTCATAGGTCCATCGGCGGAAATGGCGGTTGAAGGACGCATCGAGCCTACGAAGACAATTGGCTTGCCACAGTTTACTGTTGCGTCGATGAAGAAGGCTGATTCTTCGAGTGTGTCTGTGCCGTGTGTGATTACTGCGCCGGACATGGTCGGGTCGTCGCAGACGGTTGTTTGGAGGGTGTGGGTTAGGTTTAGGAGGAGGGACGAGGAGACATCGCCGCTGTTGACGTTTGTGGCTTGGACGGCGGCGACGTTGGCGATGTTGTTGATTTCTGGGATTCCGCTTAGCAGCTGGGTGATTGATAATGCGCCAGATTCGTAGCCTGCTGTTGCGGTTTTGTCGTCGCTTGTGCCGGCGATTGTGCCGCCTGTTTTCGTATTAGGTTGGATCTTTTGGTGTATGATAAGGGGCTATACGTACCGGTTGCTAGGAGGGTGACATTAGGCAGCGAAGCATTGAAGTGGTTGAACTTCAGGCCATTGGAGTTGGTATAGGATGTGTTGTTGGAAGCTCGAGCTTGGATTAAGGGAGAGGCATAGCTTGTAGCAGCCAAAGCCGAGACAAGGAATGTGTTGAGATGGAAGCCCATGTTGAAAGCTATGCTATAATTGTCTGACCAGGGAATGCTGTGAGTTGGAGAGTGATATGAGCGTGAAGGCCGGCGTAGATGGCACTTTATATAGATCGGAAACTGACGCCTGACTCGCTTTCTGCAGTTCCGAGCCGGGTTCTGGACATCTTCGTATGCTCGAATATTTTTCTTGGCAGCTTTGAACAATATTGTTATGCCTTGATTGAGACCCTAGTATGTCGTAGTTTTCTTTAGAGTCTAAATTTATGGAGTATGATACATGTCTGTATGGGGAAAGTGGATGAAATTTGGAGATGAAATTTGGGGTACAGAGACAGGATCGTCATTCTTCAGGAACGGCCGGATTAGAGTAGGATTATGCTGTGCAGGTATTCTTTGATTGGCTATAGATTTATTCTAGAAGAATATAACATGATGTCCGTATCTTGTTCTCTCTAACTCGGACTTTCATACTTCAATGCCTACAATTATAGAGCATCAACCTCTTTCCTTAACCAAATATCAATATCCAGCTCGGTAATTGTCTACATCACACACGCCCCATAATCACTCAACAAAAAAGCCTCAATAAATGACTAACATTAATCATGGCATTCTTGGCGAGGACCCGAGAGAGGCCGCGGCCTCCGAGCTCTAAGACCAGCCAAGTATATAAAGTGCGGAATTATCGGCCCATATTCGGACAAATAAGCTCGGGAGGTAAACCGAGCTTTTGATTCGTTATTGCTCCTGACGATCATAGAATGACCCCAAATTTGATCGAAACATAAAGTAATTCATCACCGAGTGGACCTCCTCCGAGCGGGCTGTGGAAATCCCGCAAACGCTCCATTTTTGCGCCAGCTGAATGGGGTAAATTGTAGTGCTGATCTGAATTATTTCACAATCTCTAATGCGTATACTTCGTCGCTTGTCTAGAGAGGTGTCAATTTATTTCTAACCTCTTCATTTCGGGAATAAGGTGCTACCAGCCAAGTTGTATACTTGAATGCAAAAGGAACCCTTGAATGGATTCGGTCGATGACTACTGGCTACAAAGAAAGGGAGGAAGAAGGAAAAGGGGATATGCTCGCAGCAAAGGCGATCTGCCTGCATGCGTTGTCTTTTGCATTTGTATCTGCACCCCTTTGCGAGCACATCGCTACCCACGACAGCACATCCCTCACACGCAGCGCGTGCTAATGGCGTGAAGCCCCATCTGTCTCTTGGGTTGATGTTGACTCTCGCATCTCCGAGAAGGGCTTGCACTGCCCTTCTAATTCCAACCCTGGCAGCCTAAGACAGTGGTGTTCTCTCCCAATCATCTGGTATGTCCGAATGCAGGGTGTCGTATTCCATTACAACCCCTAACACCCCGTATCTACCTGACTGTGGTACACGTATTTGAGGCGTGGACCAGGAGATATGTGCCATCGGTTTTTATTTGCAGTCTCTCTTTTAAGGTGAGAACCACCTCCAAATCAGATTTCGATTGATACTAGCCCTAGCTTTGGATCCATTGCCAAGTACTGCTTAAATCAATTCCATAATAGAAGGGCGTATGAATGCTGCGTCTGCTACCACTTGTTGTTGCCATCTTCTTTCTAATATACGCGACGCGTGATAACGAGCAAGAAGGAATGATAAGATGAGACTTCTGCCGTGTGCAACACGGAAATGTATTGATACAAAGTTGCCAATCAGCACGGCCGTGTAATTCCAACAGAAGATGCGTTAAAATGCCCAGGGGAATCATTGCGCTGGAAAATCGCTCAGATGTCGAATATGCAAGACGCTGGGGAATGCATAAAATGTGAATAAGTCATATCTCATAGGTAGTTGAGATCTGGGGAGTCCATTGGATCTATCGTTGGAGTGGGTTTGTTTCTAGAATTGAAGATTTAGTTATTGGTCCTAACCAGATGATTCAAAAGTTTGTGTATTAGCATACGCGAAAATTGATTGTGGGCTCTGGAAGTGAACACAGCGGCCCTCAGCACAGGGTCGAATGTCGAGGTCAATGTCCACTTCTTGCATAGGCAACCAAGGGTCGCTTATTGCTGACTGCACTCGCCAGGGGTCCCGCTCGCCGACTGTTCGAACTGCAGAGGGCGCAATCCGCATATCCTTTGCTCCATTTTGATCAGATAGCTCGAAGTATCCTGGCAAGTGGTGATCGCCGTCATTCTGGACTTGCTTGGAAACGGTACCAATGCTAGACCCGGCCGCGGCAGTGGCCACGATGAAGTCCGACTCGAAGGCAGAAAGTTGGACGCGTACATGATTGACGGGGTTTCCCTTGAGCTTGATTTGGATATCCGTGTATGGTGCACCCCAGTTCTGAACCGATGGAGCAATGAAAGTAGTTTGCTCGACAGGACTGGGTTCGCATAGAGGGTATTCGGTGACACCACGCTTAGAGACAGGCTCTGGGGGAATGACATTTGAGAATTGTAGATCACGCACCCAAGTGGCTAGAAGACCGTCTCCGGTCATTTTCAAATATGCCTCTTTCAGAGCCCAGACCGAATAGAAAAGGCGCAGACCATAGAGAGCCAGGCTTTCTTCCGAGTCACCCCCTGCATCGCTCTTATTAATACCGTGCTTGCGAGCTAGTTCGAGAGTTGCCCGAGGGTTCTTGATGGTCTCCAGTTCACGGGCCGAGAGAACCTCGGTGAAGATATCCACGAAAGATGCCAGAGCTGTAAGGGTCTTTGGGGGCCGATCAGAGCGACGGCGATTGGGTTCATCCACGCATGCAATATCAATTCCAACTCGGGGTGGATAGGAGCTAGTCAGGGTATTGCTCTCCGGTGCACGCGACCCTGCAAGGACAGTCAGAGATGCCTGATGACTGACATTGAATTCCACGCTGGAGTCGTAGTATGGTCGGTTCTCGGGCATGGGAGTGCGGCGAATCATGATCTCCTTCCAAGATGCGCCAGTAGCCTGGTGGACAAAGAAGTACTTCAAGAGTTGAGACGCCAGGGACATGCGCTTATCCGACAAGTGGTGGTACTTTAGGACAGCGTCTCGGTCAGATTGAGTCAGAGTCTCGAGTAAAGGAAGGTTAAGGGCCATGTCGTCCCAGCGCCGAGTGTCAATGTACCATCGCACCAAAGTTGGTTGGGATGCCAGAGAATTGTCGACCTTGTCCGAGTTGAGTGGTGTGGAGATGTCCTCCTGCCGAATCGTGTTGGTTACCATTTTTGTCTATTGCTTTAGTCAAGGAATTTTTAGATAGCAAACAAGCTGATTAACACTCACAACTGCCGGATAGGCCATCTGCAAGAGACGATCATAATCCTGGGGCCGCATGTGTCCCTCGACCGTCGCGGGCACCCCGCGCCACATCCTTATCGATCTTATCGTCGCACGTGTTGATAACACTTCTGTAACAGGCAGGCGGTAATTGTCGAGGGAGTGACGAATGAGCTGTGAAGGCGTAAAGGGGAGGCCTGCGGAAGTGTGGGACGGGGAAATCAAATATGGAAGGAGCGAATGTCTCTTCATGCGGCACAAAAGGGCAAAATTCGGTGTTGAGGAAATAAATTCCTTCCTCCAGGCCAGGTGCACGTACGTCTGATATTTATCAACAATACAAATGCCCATTGAGAAACGGTTGATGGGCAACTAATAAACATATGCAGAGTCTAATATATTCTTATTGGTTCCATATACATGCACGCATCTAAAACAATCACAATGTATTTGTCTGGCAGAATGGTTTATACTGTGGCGGTGGGTCTTCATCACGTGGTGATAAGTTTCCCGCCGGAAAGTCAAAATCACGTGCATCAAGAGTCATCGCAACAAAAGAAGCAATTTGGAATTTGCCAATTCACATAAAATGACGATTACCGTCGGAGTCCTTGCCCTTCAAGGCGCATTCTTCGAGCATGTTCAACTACTGAAGAAAGCCGCCGAACAAGCCCCTCCGTCAGAATGGCAGTTCATCGAAGTACGAACGCCACAAGAGCTGTCAACATGCGATGGACTGGTCCTGCCCGGAGGTGAAAGCACCACTATGTCTTTGGTCGCAGCAAGATCAAATCTTCTGGAGCCATTACGAGACTTTGTGAAGTAGGTATTCCCGACTAATCTACGCCAATTCAATCTAATGCGTTCGGTATACAGGGTGGATCGCAAACCAACGTGGGGCACATGCGCCGGCCTCATTCTGCTCGCCGAGTCGGCCAACAAAACAAAGAGGGGTGGTCAGGAGCTTATTGGTGGTCTCGATGTAAGAGTGAATCGGAATCACTTTGGTCGACAGACAGATAGCTTCCAGGGACCATTGGATCTGCCCTTCTTGGGAGAGGACGCCGCACCGTTCCCAGCTGTCTTCATTCGGGCACCGATTGTCGAAAAGATCCTGCCTCACCATGAGGGCATCCAGGAAGAAGAGACTCGACTCGAGGAGACTGTCGTGGCACCGTCTCGGCGAGCACGCGACTCGGTGGCGGAGGCAGCAACAGACGACCATGTCGAGGTACTCGCCACATTGTTGGGCCCTGCAGCTCGCAATGCCACAGAGAACCGAGACATCAACCCGGATGAGGAGGTTGGTGATATTGTTGCAGTGCGACAGGGCAATGTGTTTGGCACCAGCTTCCACCCGGAGTTGACTGGCGACGCAAGAATCCATGCATGGTGGCTGCGCCAGGTGCAATCGGCCGTACTGAAGCGAAGAAAGTTGGCACAATAGATGAGACACTAGATCAAGAGACCATTGTAAATAGGGTATTAGGTGAATAGACATTTCCTGTTTTTGCTAATTGATTCACCACAAGTGGGATAACGCCATTGCTTGATTGTGCCAGTACAGTTTCATCATGCGCTAACCTACCTGCCGGCACCGTACTCATCTTCCTCGCGCTGGCGCTGCTCGTCATAGGCGCGACCATATCCACCACGGCCCGGGTCATATTCTTCGCGGTATTCGTCGCGCACTTGTCCACCCGACTTGCCTCGTCTATCAAAAGGGTCAGCCATCCTCCATTCATAAATCGTATCTTGAAGACCGCATACCCGAATTGCCGTCCTTCCTCGAATCCAGGGTCGAGATCAGCGCGAATGATTCGCTCATCCAGCTTGGTTCCACCGATATACTTCAAGCAGTCCAACGCATCCTGGTGTGTATAGTATTCGACGAAGCAAAATCCGCAGGGTGTCTTGTTGAATCGGTCCAGGCCCATCACTAGGCGCTTGATTTCACCGCACCTAGAAGTTGGGATTAGACTTGGGTCGTTAAAAAAAAGCGCGCAAACTCACTTGGAAAAGAGCTCATGGATTTGTTCCTCAGTGGTGTAGAAGGAGCTGAATTGGTCAATGGCGGCCGATGCTTGAAGTTTGTAGGGTGCATGCATACAGGTTTCCCACATAGAGAGTAGTCGCATTCTTCAACTTGTCATCGGGCTCCTCGGGCTTCTCATCTTCGCGGTCATTAAATCTGCGACGCTTGTTCTATATGCCATTTAGCGACTCGGGCTGTTCTCGTTGCTTTGTAGAGCGCAACGTCGGAAGGGCGGCAACCAACCTTACTGACATAGTAGGCACTTGGCCTATCCAGGCGGTCCACTGTGTTGATAGCGAGCAAACTCATCACGAGAATGTAATGAAGATTGAGTAGAGAAGGAGGAGGAGGACGGGAGGTCGGAGCAAAGAAGCTCGGAGCTCTCAGAAGATCTTGGCGCGGCAAGAATTCCACTCCGCATCAACAACTCTTTCATCTGCCTCTACCCTCTTTGCCATTTTACCACCTGTAATGCTCTGACCGCCTTAAGCATAACGGACCATATCGTTCTTTCTGATTTTATCTGCGATGCCAAAAGTCAACAGCTATGCGCCAGCCTGGCTGTGCCGGCCCTCGCCTGGCGCGAGCTTCCTGACCAGCAAATCCTCGCAGAGCCCGGCGGAAGATATTAACAAGTCATCGAAACCACCTACCAGCGGACCGAATCGAACGATTGCCAGAAGGGGAAATGAAGTGTTCGCCGTGGTTGATAATGAGATCCGCTGGTCAAACCTTGCGCGCCTCAAAGATCAATGGCAACAACAAAATAAGCAGAAGAAGGGATCTGCCGATGTTGGAAATGCCACAGATACAAAGTTGCCATCCTACAGGGTACGTATTGACTGCGATAGCTTACAGAATTTTGCAATTTTGTTGTGATCAATCGCGACTAACATCTTACGCAGGTTTTGGCTGTCCCTGTGTATGGATTGATAAAACAAATCATTCCCTCACCAAATGGCGCCTTCCTCGCAATTATCACTGAACACACCGTTCACATCTCTGTCCTCCCCGATTCTTCGCACCTGTCGTCTTCCGACTCTACCGCCCTTCGCCTGAAGACATACCAGCTGGGACCGACCACTCATGTCATTCCTGAGGCGCCGGTTGTATCTGCACTATGGCATCCCTTGGGCCTGCACAGCAACCTTAGCGGTTGTATTGTTACAATCACCGCTGACGCCGCGGTGCGCGTGTGGGAGTTGGACCGCAACAACCACTGGTCCTTTGACCAGCCAACCCTGGCAATCGATTTGAAGAAGCTTGTCGATGGAACTTCGTCTGATGAAGACTTTGCGCCTTCAGGATTTGGCAAGAACAAGGGATTTTCGGCTGATCTTATCGACATGGAGGTCGCTTCGGCCTGTTTTGCGGGCAGTGGAGAAGAAAAAGAGGATGCGTGGGCACCAATGACCCTGTGGGTGGCCATGAGACCCGGTGATCTCTACGCACTGTGCCCTCTCCTGCCCTCCAAGTGGCAGGCTCCATCAACGACTATCCCTTCCCTCTCTTCGGCGATTGTTCCGAAGTTAACGGCTCTAGAGCAAGACCCCGACCAATTCGACGAGGAATTGACCGCGTGCCGGCAACAGTACGATTGGCTCAGCGAGCTCGACGATCAAGAGCCTTTGGGTCTGCCTGCTGGAGCCGAAACCCTCCAGGGCGCGGAGATTTTCACTCGCCCCGCCACTCCTAGCGCTATTCCCAGATTGCAAGGGCCTTTCCGATTTGATACCGGTGATGAACTGGATGACCTTGACCTTTGTGACATTCTTGTCATTGCTGCTAGACTGAATGTTGATGATCTCATGATGGGCGAAGAGGAAGAACTGGCCGTTGATGCCAGCGAACAGGATAAACTCTCGGCCACTGTTCTCTCTCTTTCGAGTGGAAATGGCCGAGTTCACATATGTTTGGAGCTCGACGGCGTTGAGGGACAGTGGCTGCCCAAGGCCCAAAAGAACGCCTTCCGAACACCTCTCTCGGAACCATCTGATCTTGTCCTGGTCGAATCCCTGGATACTGTTAGGACCGGCGAAGCAACTACATGGCCCACTTTCACCAAGGATATCCACTCTCGCTATTCTTTCTTTGTCACGACTGCAACCAATGTGGTATCTCTGTCTTTGACCGCATGGGCGCAAAGACTGGAAGCCGAATTACAGGCGGAAGACTCTGCTGGTTCTGCTTTCCGCCTGCAGGTTCTTTGCGACGGAAATGTCTGTCAAAGAGAAAAGATCCTGCAGGTCTCAGAAGCTGATATCACTTCGAAGAATGAACACCTCGCGCAGTCACTTGTCTTTTATGATTTTGATCTTGGCTACCTGCTTCTCACTTCGCTTCCATCAAACCCATATGCAGCAGTGATGGATTCGCCAGAAGACGCCCTCGCCGCGGCACTTGAAAGGCAGCTTTATGAGAGGAAGGCCACAACGGCAACCTCAGTGACTATGCCCCCTCGGCGCGCACCATATCAAGTTCCCGCAATCTTCTACTCCGAATGCCCGCTGAATTCATTCGTTGAAAAGCATGTTCCGCACCGCCAACGCCATACACTCAAGGAGCAAGTACGCCTGTCCCCTGCAACATTGGACCTTGTGGCTACTGCTCACCGTGTTCTGTCCGCGCACACAAATGCTCTCGAAAGAGCTGCCTCGGATCTTTTTCGCCGGTGCGAACGTCTACAGGGCGAGATGCAGGATCAATTGAAGCAAATTTCAGATGTTGCGGAGCGCGTCAAGGGTGTCACCAGTGAGATTGGAGAAGATGGACACCGCACAGAAGGCGTCCGAACTGGAGAAGCCCTGGACAAGAGATTGCAAGCCGCCAAAGATAAGCAAGATGAATTGCAGCGCCGATACGAGGCATTACGCAAGAAGGTTTTGAACTCCGGAGGTCGTCCCCTGAGTGAAAGGGAGAAGACCTGGGTTACCGAGGTCAAGTCTTTGTCTGGATACTTGCAGCCTGGTCAGAATGAGGATCAAGATGAGAATCAAGATTTGATACCTCGCTTGGAGACTGTAAGTTTGCTCCCAGGTTTTTTTTAATCTCACTCGCTCAGATTTATTTTAGGTCAAACGCCTTGCTTTGGATCTTATCGCCCAGACCAAGACTATTGCTGCCAAGTCGCCATCTGCTGAGCCTGCAAGTCCGAACTCTCCAAACGGGGCTCACCCCAAGGTCCCGCAACGCCTGCAACGTGCCAAGGTTGCGGATGCTATGAGAATGGTTGAACGAGAGTATGTTTATCTTTATGCCTATGGATGGATCTATGACTAACTACATTCCAGGTCTGCTGTCATTGATGCGATTACCGCACGCTTGGAACGACTCAACACGAGTCTATGAACTTTCCAGTGATTTGTTTATGGAGATTTTTGAAACCGCCCACCCCCACCCCCCTGCATCTCAATGTTGAAAAATTTCTGTTGGAGTATTTTGTCCGGGCTGGGTTCAACTTCGGAATGATTTTTTTTAGTCTCATGGTGTATTTTTCATACCTTCCCCTTCTCAAGTCATGTCTAGTTTAGGAATATACCATCAATTTCGCCCTACTATATAGATGAAAGCAAGTCACTAGTAAAGAACGTATGAGCCTTCATCATCGCGCCCTATACCTATTCTTTGCAGGAGAGGCTATGTCTATCAAGCCATTCAGCATATGTTGGTGTGCGCATCACGCTCTGCTTCCACGCCGTCATCCTCCTCCGCAGGCTCATCATCTACACGGCCGGCCCAGCAGCTGCACGAATCTATACAAGATGGTAACAATCAGTATAAACGAATGATATCCGCAAGACAAGAAGGAAAAGTTAAAAGTCACACTCCACAGCATACCAATCCGCGCTTGTACGCCCAGCGCGATAATGCTTTCTAGTCGACTCCAACTTAACCGGGTCACGAACCCTAGAGGAATCAAAGTTATTCTCCTCCACTGAAAGACACCGGTGTACCCAATTCGGATCCATGTCCATGTCCAAGGGTGGTGTAGCAGCGTTTTGGTGAAGTCGGTACAGCAGGTTCCTCGCTCTTAACCTGTTGTTTCTGGCCTTGCCTGATCCTTAAGGGAGATTTACCATCTTTAGCATCTGTTGTCTTCTGTTCTTTTCGGTCAGCAGAGAGAATTTCCGGTTCTTTGCCTAGTCGCTTGTCGCCTCTTTTCCAGCAGACTTTGCATGGTGCCATATGGCTGTATAACCTGATCATTCTTTGGCCTAGACATTGACTCATGTCTAGGCATTCCCATGGGCCTCCGTCCTAGATGTAGCCACATAGTATTCGCTTTCGGGCCCAGGAGGTGTACATCTAGATGGATAGATTGGTCAAGTATTTCTGCTGGTTTAGTAGCGAGTTAACATTAGATGTTCTGCTAAGAATAAAGTTGGCTCAAACTTAGAGAATTCAGAGGGAGACAGACTTCTATGCCTTTTGTGGGCCACCCATTTTTAAAGGCATTTGTGACTCTCATTTCTCGGGGTGACTTAGTCTGACGAAAGGGAAGTTGGAATTATGCAAGGCTTTTAAAATGAGATGAGACAGTTCCACAAGTAGCACAATGGCTTTATCCAGACTGTCGTATCATTGTCTCTTTTTTTTGTTTTCTTGAGTAATGTAACGTCTTTGTTTTGGAATCATCTGAACTAGGGTTGTGCAGGCACGTGACCGTGGACGACATCCCAAGAATTGCACATCTCTTTTGAACCAGCGAGATGTATCTTGAACAAACCGATATTTAATCTTTTTTTTTTTCACTTGCCGAATGTGAAAAAATGGCTTATATGAAGTGGCGCTTGGAAGGAAATGAACGATTATGAATGTTTGTTTATTACACTGACTTCCATAAATGTCATCAAGCTGACTTTATGATACATGGCATTTCTATTCCAGGACCTTCACGTGTGTGTATCCGGCCAGTCGAACCCATGGATTTAATGACTCTAATTCCTTAGAGTCATGACTGATGAATCATTTTTATCACGATGAGGGAAGCGATTGTTGGATGTTGCCCTCATAGACATGGGGAGTCAGCACCACGGATGTAGAAAGTTTCGGCAAGCTCTTCGGCATCCTCCACACGATCATGAATCATCAAGAAGAGATCATCAATAACTTCCTCCCAGGTGGGCAGAACCAGGCCCTTCAGGCAGTTCTCCCATTCCCGCATGTGGGCAGTGAACTCGCCATCAAACCACTTGCGCCAGTCGAGGTAATCCTGCTCTTTGCCAACCATCAGGCGGCAGGAGAGGTGACTGACAGCATGACAAGCTGCGCGCCACTGCTGGAAAGCACCAGACATCAAAGTATGGATCTTCTCGGTGTAATCGGTGGTGAAACGAGCATAGGCAAACTCGTCGACGCAGAATCGCAGGGTCTCACAAGGAATCTTAACCGAGACAGAGAGGGTTGGGTCGATCTGGTCCCAGCGCTCCTTCCACTCGAGAAGGCGCTTGACGGAGAGGACGTGCACCTGGTGCAGGGCACCAGACCTGGTGGGGCAGATCTCGAAGAAGCGGTTGTTGCGGATGAGCATCAGTTGCTTCATGAGGGTGACAGTGACCATGACTTTCTTGCGGATGTCGGCGAGGCCATTGCGTACCTCGGCAGGGACGTGGACCCAAGTAGGCAGAACGAAGTCCATTTCGTTGAAACGGTAGTCGAGAATCGACGTGGAATTATTGAGACTATTTATGATGTAGCGCTTCTTTCTCAGAGTCTCGAAGTTAGAAGACATGGATGCGATGGGATGTTTGATGTTGACGAGAAAAACGCAAGCAAGCAGGGAATTGGAAAGCTAGATGGGAAGAGAAGTGACGGGGAGACCTAGGACTCATAAAAAGGTTGCTGGCAAATGCCGGGTTTCAAAAGGCAGTCTTGTCTCGAGCGACAATACCATTGTCGTCCCCTTTAGAAACTTTGACCTCGATCTATACACATAGTCTTAGTTCTTGAATAGTATTGTTCCTCTATTGTTGCCGGATTTGACAAGTAAACAAGTCCTGGTCCCATGGCGTTTGCAAGGTATAGCCCACGATGATTATCAGTGTCATTAATTGTATTGCGCTTCAGCCCATGTACCCATCCCGATGAAAGAATCGTTACAAAAAGTGAAGTGATACAGATATATATTGAGTTTGGTACATCAGTGATCCTTGTAGTGTTTTTTTTTATTAACTTGCTCCCCAAAACCGATGTCATCCACACTAATATCTTTGTTACATTGTTGTTTTTAGATGTTTCTATCCAGAAGAGCGTGTTCGGGAAACAAAGAGGAACAAAGACGTAATTTCATCCTTCGTAGGTTGTCTTTTCATATGATTCCCAAGACGTGCAACCAAGGGTCATCAAGGCATAGATGCGATCCGAGATTTTTCGCTAGCCCGCAACTTGAAATCGAGGAATGAGCAGAGGAACGGATTTATTGGACTCTGTCAAGCCCAAGGTTAGCTCTTATATATCAATAGAGATATGAGTTCATAAGCATAGCATACCGTTCGATGAGGTGCACTCCAGAAGCTGTCTCCACAATTCCGCTGACCTGGCCAGGCTGCAAGGCGAAAGCGGCATCTTCGAACTCCTTCTGCATCTCGCTGCGGCCAAAGAAGCCACTTCAGGTTGTTAGTCAGGTATAGCAGTGAGTATACGCGTAAACACTCACAGGTCTCCCTTCTTGCGAGCACTGCTGCAGTCGGACTCCGAGACTGCAAGGTCACCGAGTGAGGTCTCTCCGGACTGGATTCGCTGCTCGTGGACCTTCAGGATCTCAATTGCCTCCTCTTTCGAGCGAGTGATCTCTGCCTCCTTCCAGCTGCTGGGGCGACGGCTGTCGCGGTGCTTGACGAGCAGGTGGCTGCAGCGAATCTTGCCCTCGCCTTCGCCTGAGGCATCAGGATGGGATGCGGGGGTGTGGTTTTGCGCCATGTAGAGTTTGAGCTTCTCGGTATCTGTTTCAGCAGGTGGTTCCCAGCGGGATTCCTTTGTAGAGGGGTTGAAGTAGTAGGGAAGGTTCTTGGAGTTGGAATGGCGAACTTCCCATCCTGCTGGAAGTCCAGTGTCGGCCTATTTATACAATCAGCTGTGTACTCAGATCAAAACTATCAATCGGCCCCACCATTGTCAAAAATTGATGATTACAGAGGAGAAGTGATTGTATTGAAGCTTGAAGAGAGCTATTGTAGGAAACTGCGGGGGATATGATGCACGAGTGCAAACTACGCAAACTGAGGCGGCGCTAGGCCTTTTTAGGCTAAGTATGATACCGCCTTAGCCACCGCCAACTTACACGTCTGAAGTAGCTGGAATTTCGGCCTTGAGAAGAGGCCAGGTAGAAATTAAAGCAACATTTAAGTAAGAAATACACTCAAACAAATATCTCATATCATATCTAAATGCTCTAAGCAAACTTTTCCCAATACAATCCATTGATCTTATTCTGCCGGAATAGCAGCTTTATCCAATTGGCTGCGGCAGAACTTGAGTCTATACCCCAACCAGGTTAGCGTATCTCGGCCAATCGACGCCAACGACTTGACAGTCTTTTATATCACTCAGTCTTATTACAATTCTTTCGCGTTCTCTTTCAACTCACCTCCCATTGTGATACCCTATTCCAAAGCTTCAAATTTATTACTCTGAAGCCTCCCAAGATGTCTAGCCCTTCGCCCTCCGCTGGTGGCGACACGAAGCAAGCCGACCAGATTCATTTCAAGTTCTGTCGCGAATGGTACGTTTTCCTGAGCTGCAGCTCAAATGGCGCAATCTGAATGAAGACTCACTAACAAATTCAATAGCTCCAACTTGCTGTATCCCAAAGAAGACCGTGTGACCAACCAGCTGATGTTCACCTGCCGAACCTGCCATGTCGGCGAGCCAGCTTCCTCCTACTGCGTCTACCAAAACAAGCTCCACAGCCAAGTCGGCGATACTGCCGGTGTCACCCAGGATGTTGGCTCTGATCCCACGGTTTGTCTCCCTGGTTTCTGTACCCTATGCGGCGACAAGATCACTTGTTCTGTCTGCGGCCCGGGCCCTAAAGAGGCGCAATTTATGGACGACATTGACTGCTTGGATTCCTCGGACACCGACTCCTGGCCTAGTGCCAGTCACTCTGACACTTCCTGTACGTTCAGTGGCTAACATATGATTTTTCCTCGATTACAGCTTCCCCGTGCCAACAAGCTTTGCCCGAGCTGCGGTGAAACGGAGGCCGTTTTCTTCCAGTCCCAACAACGTTCTGCTGAAACTGGAATGGTGAGATCCGATCCTGCTCTGATATCCATGGAGACCATGCGCTGACCGTGTCACTACTTGCTCAGAAACTCTACTACGTCTGTTGTGCATGCGGTAACGTCTACATGTGATGTCCTCTTACGATACGGTCTACGCGATCCCCGATACCCTTGATTAGTTTTTTTGATTTCTGCGAGTTTTCGCGTGAAGATGCATACAGGAGTTTGGCGATCGACAATCTAAAAAGCATATACTGACTTCGAACGGGGCTTTGGTATGATGCGGGTTGCTATTGATACATAGAATTGAAAAGAAACATTCTGCCAAAGAAAAAGAATACAGCGCTCTCCAATGTAGAAACTCACGTGGATCTTACACATGCACCGGTGCCAACGACAAGATCTTGGACCACTGTTTTTTCCGTAGCTCCTGACCGACGACTCCTGTATAAACGTCAGTAACCAGATTGCAGACTAGGGATAAGTTTTGAACTTCTAGAAGCACTAACCGTTCATTCTTGTCCCAATAGGGTCTCCAGACTTGTTGACCAACACGCAAGCATTATCACCGAATCGGACGAGGGAGCCATCAGGGCGCTGCAGCTCCTTCTTCACACGAACAACAACGGCATGTCGGATATCACCACGGCGAACCTTGTTCGCAAGCGCAGCGGCGGTGGTGGCTTCGGAGCCCGCGGATCTCTGCTTCTGGACGACAACGACTATCCGATCACCTGACGCGCCATGTATATTAGCTTTTCTGTGTATTTCTTTTGCAGTCCATGCTGGACCAAGTATCGCGGAGACTGACCGATTGTCGCGGGCCGCTTCTTCTTGAGGACGTTCACGCACTCGACGATCGAGGCGCCGGAGTTGTCAATGCAATTTAATAGTGTCTGGCAGCAAATCCGTCAGTATCGCATTCTCGATTAAAATGTATATTTCCGTACCTTTAGTTGAATCATTGTGGTTGCTCCGTCTGTCGTTGTTGCTCCGTCCACAATTTGTTCTTGCGGTCGGAGGTAGGTTTCCCCGGACAGTTAAGTTTATCCGGGCCTATCTACCTCTATCCAACAAGTTGCTACTTCTAGTCTTGCTATTATTCGATGCTGGAACATTAAGTATACTATTTTACGAATTCATGGAAGAGCTTGATATTTGGAATGTATTATACCAAAGTAGTCCAGGTAGAAAAGACCATATTGGGCAGAATCCTAACTGAATATTAGGAATTATTCTTCAGTCGCTCATGGACCTATGGAATTTACTAGTATTCTTTTGTATAATCAGTTCCTCTTCGTAGAAATGTGTTTCCAAGCCACATCAGTAAGTGGTTTGGCATGGACCTTGCTCTGACGTAGGTATGGAGGTAAAGCGCGAACTAACTTATATATATTCAACGCAAATGTAGTCTATCTATCTACCTAGTATGTAATTTTCCTATTATTTCCCCTTAGACGCCATGCCATGACATTAATGTCTCTGTAATAAATAGTTCCATCTTATCTAAATGAAATAAAAACATGGTTGACCATCAAAGGAGACCGTTGAAGATCGACTCACGAAGATTCGCGTGATGCAGCTTGGAGGTATGACGCATTGTGCATATAGGTACAATGTAACTTGAGCACGTAAATGGCAAACAGCCAGGGCAAGGGATTTGATTGATCACATATAATATTAACATTGTTGGCCTTTTGTCACAACGGAGGGGAAGGGCAAGGGAAAGGCGGCCAGGTCTCACATCCGAGTGTTGGTTCCGCCCCTAAAACCAAGCCTCGTTGCGAGAGGGCCTCTCCCCTTGGTCTCAATGGCGACAACTTCATTCTGATTTCCTTCAGTCACTCATTTTTATCATTATCTTTTTGAATCTGACAACATTTCAAGAGCGCTTTCTCATTCACTGGATCTTCAACAGGTCTCCGCTGGTCTCCGCGGTTCAACCGCCCTTTGCACCCGTTCCGCATTCCATGACACCACTTCCTTGCTACCGCTTTGATCTCTAGCGGTGCTCAGTTGTTTGCTACGCCAATCATGCCTCCGAAGAGAGCGCGTAACAGCTCGCCAGCGGCAGAGCGTCGCGAGCGCCTGACCCTGGCCAAACTGGCCAGCTATGACGATGTCGCAACTGATGCGCTGGTGGATCACGTACGCCCTTTGCCCGCAATGCAACAATGAACTCTGATAACTGACACGAGCTTCTCACAGGCTTACTTCTGGACCACCACACGGAAGAATCGCACCAAATACAGCCCTGCCCGCGGTATCCACGACGACGATATTGGGCGCATTCTTCTACGCGATGTGATTGTCGACAGAGATATCACAAGTGCTGAGCGCAAGCTGCTGGACATTTCAGGGCTCAAGAAATACCTGACAAATCTCCGCAGCCCCCGTGAAAAGGAATGGTTTCGCCGTCACCTCCGCAAATACATCCAGATGTACCTCCCCGACTGCCCGTTCGAGGTCACCACCACCAACCGATACATTATCACGCAACACGAAGCCGCAATTTGTGCCCGCAGGTTCATCAAGAAGGGTGAAGAGATCAAATACTTGAGCGGAACACTCGTGTCTATGACCCATGAAGAAGAGATGGATCTTGGCCTGACCCGCAAAGACTTCAGTATTGTGATGTCGAGTCGGCGCAAAACCCCGTCTTTTTTTTTGGGACCTGCCCGCTTTGCCAACCACGACTGTGATGCAAATGGCAGCCTGGCAACTCGTGGAAACGAGGGCATGTCTGTCCTGGCCATGCGCGACATTTACGAGGGAGAGGAGATCACGGTCTCTTACGGAGAGGATTACTTTGGCATTGATAATTGCGAATGCCTGTGCTCCACCTGCGAACGAGCTGTTCGCAATGGTTGGTCTTCTCAAGCGGATTCGGATCAGAACAGCAAAGAATCAAGCCCGGTGTCGATTGAAGCCACCCCAGTCGAAGACACTGCGGGAACTAGGAAACGCCGCCGCAGCTCTGAAGTGGACTCCGATTCTTCCTCGACCGTGTCATGCTCTACTCCACGAAAGCGAGCCAAATTCCAGCGACAAGTATCTAAATTGCGAAAAGAAATTTCTGCCTCTGAGCTCGCTGGTGAAGCAGCCTCAACCTCCGAGTCAGATTTTGTCACTACCCCAGACACTGAACTTGTTCCAACTCCTGTTTTGACTGGCGCTATACCCCAGGCGTCCAAATTGAGACAGGAGCTCACAGATCTAACGCCAGAGCCCACCCCAACGGACTCACCACTCCCACCACTAGCCACAGAATCTGAACAGCCAAACACTGCTGCTTCAGGCGAAACAAAGCAGGCCCAGAACTCGCAGGCTGCCTTTCCTGAATCTCCTAATTCTAACGTCGATGAATCTCATCGTTCGTCAACGTCAACCACACCGACAACGGTGGATGACATTAGAATGAAGATCAAGACAGAGGAGACCAGATATTCAAACCAGACAGAATCTGCAACATCAAATGGCAAGGATCATGCCGATGCCTCAGCCGAAGGTCAGCTCGCCCTCATGACTCCTCCCAAGGACACGTTCCCCAAGGAAGAACAGCCAAACTTATCGGAATCCCTTGAAACAGATGAGACAACTGCCGAAAAGCCCAAGACTCGGAAGAAATGGAGCAGGCGTCGATTCATTGTTGACTCCGTCGAGACCGATTCCCAAATTGCCCGAGTTCCCGGAGACTACACCAAGACATCGCGGTTGCTTGCTCAGAGATATGATCGCTGGGTCGAGTGTCAGACCTGTGATGATTGGTTCGTCCAATCCAACTCGTACCTGACAAGACGTGAATGCCCTCGCTGCGAGCGCCACTCTAAGCTGTACGGATTCCAATGGCCACACACCGATAAGAGTCCTGATGGTGAAGAGCGAGTCATGGATCACCGCACTGTACATCGCTTCTTGTCCCCTGACGCACAGTCCCGAGTTAGTCGTCGAGGACGGGGTGTCAGCTTTGGCATTACCCCGACACCGGAACTGTCTGATACATACACTCCCGAAGCAGAGACCAGCGATACAAACGAGGCCCGCCGTGATGCTCGGGCAAGTCGGCGTCGCACCAGAGAACTTCGCATGACTATGTAAAGGAAGAGGAAGGCACTGGTTCTTCGAGAAATCGAGCAAAGACGGCGTTTACGCTCATGAGGAACGAACGGCATTTGGGGAGACAATTTCGCTGAATATTATATATAGCGTGACTGCGATTGCATTAGGTGTTCGGATTCCTTTTAAGGGTGCATTTTAGGGTAGGAAGTTGAGGCTTTGCATGGGATTCCGGTGAGGCGTTGACTATGAACATACCTGGGACATGTACTATTCTATAGCTATAATCTATGCCATTCAGTACTGCAAATGCATCGGGATGTTCAACCCCGAACAATAAGGTCACTGCAGAGTACGTCCCCCGCATTTCCTCTCCGCGGGCAGCATGAGCAATAACTGCACCAATGAGCTGCCCCCATATAAGTCTCTGACATCGTCTGATTGGAAACGGCTGGGATTTCTTGACAGAAATGCTGGGACCCTCGGAGGTTTCTCTGCCGAATTTGCTTCTCTGGTCCAATATGATGGATGTTTCACCTTGCCCAGACAGACTATAAATGGCCTACACCCCGGAGAAAAACGACGCCAGAAGGAATGGGATATAAGTACTACTAGAGCTTGCAGACCATGAGAATGAGACTATACTCACTGATTCTCCCTCTTATCGGCCTGGGTACTACCGCCAGTGCTGCATATGACAACCCTCTAGTGAACCTCGACTATGGATCCTTCCAAGGCCAATATGACAGCACATACAATCTCTCGTATTTCCGCAAGATCCCATTTGCCTCACCACCAACTGGTGAGAATCGTTTCCGAGCACCTCAACCGCCACAGAGGATCACCGGAGGCAGCTATGATACAAACCAAGACTTCGACATGTGCCCCCAGCGCACAGTCAACGGAAGCGAAGACTGCCTGTATTTAGGCCTCTTCTCAAGACCATGGGATCTATCAAAAGAAACAAAAAGACCAGTCCTAGTCGTATTCTACGGCGGAGCCTTCATCCAAGGCAGCGCCGCTTTCACCATGCCGCCATCCTCATTCCCAATTTTGAATGTGAGCAATCGCAATGACTACGTGGTAATCTATTCAAACTACCGCGTCAATGCCTTTGGTTTTCTCCCCGGAAATGCAATCAAAGAATCATCAACATCAGATCTAAACCCTGGCCTACTGGACCAACAATACGCCCTGAAATGGGTCCAAAGCCACATCCACAGCTTTGGCGGTGATCCTAAGAATGTAACAATCTGGGGCCAGTCAGCTGGTGCAGGCTCGGTCGTTGCACAAGTCCTCGCAAATGGACGAAATGGCCAACCGAAGCTTTTCTCCAAAGCCCTTGCTAGCTCGCCCTTCTGGCCGAAGACATATGCCTACAATGCACCGCAAGCAGAGGCGATCTACGCACAATTTGTCAATTTGACAGGCTGTAACGGACTGGAACATGTTCATGAAACACTTTCCTGCATCAAATCCGTAGGCGTGCAGACAATTCGTGATGCGAATCTCGTCATTGCCGCAAGCCATACCTGGACAACGAGCTCCTATACATGGGCACCAGTGATAGACGGGACCTTTCTCACGGAAACACTTACGGAAACCGTCAACAGCGACTCCCTGGACACGGAGTTTGTGTGGGGTATGTATAACAGCCACGAAGGCCAGAATTTTATCCCCTCGGGTCTCGACAGCGCCGTCTTAGTGAATGGATTCAATTCCTCAATTGAGAGTTTCCACAGCTGGCTTACTGGATTCGTACCCGGGTTATCGGCAAAACAGATAAAACAGGTCGATTCTGTTTATTATCCCGCTGTTGGGAGTACGGAGACTATTGCGCAGTATAATACTTCGTTTGTTAGGGCTGGGTTGGTGTATCGGGATGTTGTGCTTGCCTGCCCAGCCTATTGGATTGCTTCGGCTGCTAAGAAGAAGGGATATCTTGGGGAGTATACTATTTCGCCGGCGACGCATGGGAGTGATACCATCTATGTGTGTTCCTACTTCCTTCTGTTATTATTTTCGTTGAATGCGTTCTTGGGTTGGAATCATTGGCTAATATGATTGATTTTAGTGGAATCGTATCAATGCCGTTCAACAGACGAACCCCGTCGTGTATGAGGGATATGCTGGCGCTTTCGCGAGTTTCTTCCAGACAGGTGACCCGAATGCGCACAAGGCGACGAATGCTTCGCAACCTGGTGTACCTGAGCTACAGCATAACAAAAAGGAATTTGTGATTGTGTATGATGGAACGGAGAATTTAAAGCTAGACCAACTGAACAAGAGATGTGATTTCTGGCGAAGGCTGGCGAAGGAGGTGCCAATTTAAGACACAACCAGAAAGACGCCCCTTTAGAGTCTACTGATGGAATCAAGTATCAATATGGACAAGAGGAGAATGAATTAGGTCGTTATATATGATTGCATATCGTACAGACTTCCAATGATCCAATGACTATTGCAATGACAATGACAATGGGTATAGTCGTTTTCCAGTTCCCAAAAATCAAAACCTTAAATCAACGCCATGTATGATACAGAATTTATACAATGAAATAGAAATAGACATATATGCATATGTGCATCTAGATCAGGGCCTGGCCACGGTACATGCCCTCGCGGACTTCGCGGACAACGTCCTTGCGGTCCTTCTTGCCTACCAAGACGACACCACGACCACGCTTACCCATACGACCGAGACGACCCAGTCTGTGGATGAAGTCGATGGTTGTGTGGGGAACGTGGTAGAGGATGACAGTCTTGACGGCTAGGGTGTCGATACCACGGGAGGCGATGTCGGTGGTCACGAGAACCTTTGTGTCGGCAAGCTTGCGAATAGGCTCTTTGCGATCGGGAAGCTCGAAGGGAATGCTCTTGGAAGCGCGGGCGTTCTTCTTCTGGAGCATGATCTCCTCTGCGGTAGGGGGCAGCTTCACCTCGGTGAACTCAGCGAGGGTCTGCTCTTGCTTTCTGGAGTCGGTGTCACGGGACAGCGAGACGGCGTCAATGCCCTTAGTGCGTAGGAATTGGGCAACGTCATCTGCTTCCTCACGCTGGTTGACGAATACGATAATTTTCTTGACCTTCGGGTCCATGTATGCGTTGAGGGGTCCCCATGTCTCGGTTTGATCGGATCTCTCGCCGGCCTTTCCGATAGACCAGATGACATCGGCACAGGCGAGGTCTCGGTTGCCGCGGTAAGGCTCTTTCTCGATGTCTACTACACCAAGCTGGACACGACGAGGAACGGCGTGGAGGTTGGGAGTTGTCAGTCGTTTGATATCGGGGTAGCGCTTGCGCAACTGGTTGTCAAGACTGCGGGGAATGGTGGCCGAGCAAAGGATTAGTTTCTTGAGCGATGGTGTGACCTTGGAGATGATGTCGGTGGTTGTTGGAATGAAGGACTTGTCCATCAAAGAATCAGCTTCATCGAGGACGAGGTGAGTGACTCGGCTAAGGATATTAGGATTCGTTTTCGCAACGGAGCCAAGAAGATGTGGGGTTGAAACAAGGATGTCGACGCCGGCTGGGTTGAAGATGGCGTTCATAATTCGACGTGGGGTGAAGGTTGCTGCGATGGCACCGGGGCGGTACTTGACCGTATGAGCCAATTCCTTAAGTTTGGCACCGACCTGGGAAACTAGTTCAGAAGTTGGGACAAGGATGATGGCCCGGGGACGAGCAGCATTCGTCATAGGCGGCTCCTCAGGCTCCAGATCAAAGGTCTTGTTCTTCATTCTCTCCTCCCGCTCCCTTGCCTTTTGCTCTTCCAAGACCTTTTCTTCCTCCGCCTCACGTGCCTCAGCACGCTTGATAGCATCAACGACTGGAAGCATGTATGCAAGGGTTTTGCCTGAGCCAGTCTCGGCTGCCAAGAGGAACTGGTCATACGTGTATTCTTCTTCATCCGCCTTTTTTGCGTGCTTCTTTTTCCTAGGCTCTTCCTTGAGGAGCTCGGGGATCGCGAGTCGTTGAATGGGGGTAGGCTGGATATCTGTGAGACCGGGCAGAGCCTGGACGAAAATCGATTGTCGCACCGCTGGAAGGAGCGGGAAGTGATCGAAACTGTCGAGATTGGCAAGCTTGGCTTTGACGGCAGCACGCTTGCCATAATTGATAGGTGAGAGCATCGTTTGCATCTTCAACGCCTTGTACAGCGGGCTGTCCTTCTTCTCCACCTTGCCCTCTTCCCCTGAGCGTTTGAGGGCCGCCTGGGATCGTGATCGTGGAGTGTCCCGAAGCCGTGCTTCAGTCTGATTCATCGAGGCAAAAGGCCCGGCGCGTGATCTGGATGATCGGGGCTTATCGGATGAAGGCATCGATTGTCTAGAGACATTGGGTGAGAGGGCCATACGAGCAGCCTTGCGACGCACTCGAACGGAGGCCATGCCTCGCGTGGTCTGCCATGATGTCGACGACACGATCGATGGGAAGACGGTGGCTCTAGTATGGCATGCGAAACATATCGAAGATGGTACTGGTACAGGCATTCTGTTAAACACTAGGAATGAACTCGAAAATCCAAAGTCTCAGTCCGTGTCGAAGAGGCCAGAACCGGTTCAGATGTTTTTTTGCGATGATCCATGCCGCTATCCCCTTTTGGGCCTAGCGCAGATCACGGGCCTGACGTAATCCAGCTGACTCATCCGTTTCAGCTTGCTTGGGCCCACGCGGTTGCCCCAGCGACTGCCGCGACAACACTCTTTGCTTGGGGTAACAATCCACTTCAATAGAGTCAGACATATCAGGTTTCGCTTCTCTTCTTCACCTCTTTCTTTGTTTTTCTATTCCCTGGCTCTTTTGCCTCTTTGAGTTGAAGTTTGTATCCCTTCGTTATCCCTTTGTTGCCTTGACCCTTGCGAACGCTCAATTCGAGTCTGTTTTGGCCCTTTGAAGCAGCATTCCTGCTACGATCGACACGACTTTACGCTTTCCCAGCGAATGCACCAGGGCTAACAAGTCCCACGCGAATTGCGGTATCTATTAAGAAAGGTATGGTACCTGACCTGGCGCGATTCAGCCTTGCCCTTCGTCATCAGTCGCAAACCCACTCGCCGATCTGGACGTAATGAACAAGTACTGACACATCTCAGATATCTATCTTGGTACTCTATTACGATAACAGATTGCAAGTCCCTCTCCACTATCAGAATGGGTAACGGATCTGGCCAGCGGCCGCTTTCCGAAGTGAGTCCTATGGCCCAGAGGCGCAACTCGCCAAGCTGGAACCAAGTTACCAAGGTATTTTGCGATGTGAATGTCGCGTGTTTCACCATTCTAACAATGAACATAGATGCCCAATGGCGAGTCGCCTTCCTACGATGTCTCTTCATTGAACAGCAAAGCTTCCCCACGTCTGTTCTGGAAAGGTCGCGAGACTCCATCGCCGTTTTCCAAGGGAACCGAGAACAAAAAGCCATACGACCCAGAGGGATCATATTTCCCAACCAGACGCCCATCGCTCGAGAATCTGAAGCGCGTCTCCAAGGTGAAGAACCATAGCATGTTCCTGGAAGGTGGCACAGAGTACGACCCAGCTGCGGTCGCTGTCCCTCAGAGGCCACTGGCACGCGACCGCTCACCGCAACGTGACAGCCAAATGAATGTCGCCAAGTCCCAGTTTGACGATGAAGATGACAGCTATATCCCACGACCCCAATCCCCAAGCAAGGATCAAGCCTCGCCAAGCAAATCATCTCTCTCCAAGGGCAGTCGATACGGCAAAGGATTTGATCCTCAGCATGATATCTGGTCCGAGTATGGCAGCGCAGGCCATCGACATGCCAAGAGTGTCACATTTGACCACGCTCCTCCTCAGGTTAACGAATATGAAATGACGACACCCGACCCATCTTCAGTTGCGTCTGAATCCCGAGAAAATAGTTATGAGTCGGAGGAAGAGGAGGGTGACATCAGCTTCGAGCACGAATCTTCAATTGAGCGTGATGATAGCTTCGACGCTTCTCTTGAGGACATCGAGAAGACCCCTGTTGTATTGCCCGAGGATTGGCGATTCATGAGCCCTGGCACAGATGACGAGGGTGATGTTTTCTCCGAGCATGTTGAGAGCCGCAACACCGAGGACCGACCAGTCTCCCGCGAGAGAGACTCATCCGCCCACAAGCGTGTCGAATCGTTGGACTCCAATGGCGAGCGACGCCCCCTCCCACCTCTGCCATCGGTCAACCGCTTGTCAGCTGCGCGACCCTCTTCGCCCGGCAAGTTAGGAGCTGCATTTGAACTTGGAAGTGCCGGTCAGCGAAACCTCCCAGCACCTCCAGCTGCTGCCTCGTATAATAAGTCTGATATCGGGGGTGTCGTGTCCCTGGAGGATCGGCTTCGCCTTATGATGTTGCATGAGAAAGAAGAAAACAACGAGACCCACGAAGACCACGCAGAGGATACTGAGGAACCCGAGAAGAAGCTGGTCGCTGCGCCGGAACCCGCATCAAAAACGAATGATGCCGAGGAAGAAGAAGATCCTAAGGAAAATTTCTTCTCACCTCCCCGAATTTCGCGCGACTCAATCCTACGAGACATGCGCAAGGGTGATAGCTACGACGAGGACGACGACGATAGCTTTGACGCGTCTTCTCAAATCGATTCCAGCCCTCGCCATTATGACCATTATGACCCTGATGTTCCCATTCCATCATTGGAAACCGATGATGATGACGCTTCGAGCGTGATCATCAAGCAGGAGGAGAATGACGAAGACATGTTCTCTATCACTGATTACTACCAGAACATGTCTGACAACAGCCTGTCTTCCCGCGACCAGCGAGCCAAGTACGACGAGGACAGCAACTACTCCCTCCGCTCCGCCGCAGAGGCTGCCGAACGTGCTCGCAATGACAATCACAGCCAGGGCTCAGGCCAAAGCACTCCAACTGCTGAAGAGAAGGGCACTGCCCAAAAAACTACGCAAATCAACGAGACGCAGGATGAGCAAGAAGAAGAAGAAGAAGAAGAAGAAGAAGAAGAAGAAGGAGAAGCCCCATCTAAGGACCAGCGTTTGGATATGACTTCAATTCGCCAGTCTCTCGGACGTCCCGTTACCCCTGAGATGCACGAAGACCAAGAATCAGAGCCCTCCACTCCAGACTCCGTCATCCGTCACCCGGTTGAAGACGATGAGGACTTCGAGAAAGAGCAGGAAGACGAACACCAGCCCGAAGAGGAACGTGAGGAGCTTCAGGAGGAAGTAGAAAGCTCCTCCGACGAGTCTGTTCCCGAACCGGTTGCCACCATCAGGGCTCCTGGTGCCGGCCTCAAGACCCGACCTTCTTTGACTCCTGCAGATATGCAGTCTATGGCTGCCACTCGCCGCAAGATCAGTGGCCAACATATTCCTCCAGTGCCTCCACTCACCAAGCAGGTTTCGCGCGAGACGGATCCCTCCGATCAGGAGAACAAGCACGCCGACTCGCCGCCTAAATTGACCCTTCCCACGGATTTCAACCAACGCCAAAGCAGTCTCATGAAACTGGACATCCCGTTCAGTATTCAGGAAGAGAGTCTTGGCTCCGGGTTGAACAAAGAGTTTGATCGTGTTATCGAGTCCCAAAAGGTAGCGTTCCACGCTCTTTCCCCAATTCCCCGTCTTGCCCCTTCCCAGGCAAAATACCTCCAGACTCCCGTTACCCGAGGATATCGTTCCATCCCTGCTGACTCTTGCTTCTCCGTGCAGCGAGGCTACCTTATGAGACAAAACACCAAAGTCATCATTGCCAGCAGCCGCAACGAAGAAGAACCAATGCCCTCTCCGGAACAGACTCCCCAGGACCCACGTGGCACGAGGTCTGCTGGTTCCTCTCCTCGCAAGCCTAGCCAGCAAACTTGGACCACAGTCCCTTGGAATGGATCACCCCGACGTTCCAGCATCAAACCCGCCACTGGCATTCCGAAGAAGAAGCCTGTTCCTGGCGCGGGCCCAGTGCCTCCCCTCCCAGGCCAGGCTAGCAATGTCCAAGAAGCCCCTGCCACCGTTGAAGAGAACGAGCCGGCCACCGCTGAGTCATTCGAAGATGGCGAAGAGCGTGGCCGTCTGTTTGTGAAGGTTGTCGGGCTCAAGTACTTGGATATGCCTCTTCCCCGTGGTAAGACCCTTTTGTTGACATCCATGATGCAGGCAACTTTGACTAACCATTTCATTAGGTGAACGTTCATACTTCGCACTCACCTTAGATAACGGGCTCCACTGCGTCACTACATCTTGGCTGGAAATGGGAAAGACGGCTCCCATCGGACAGGAGTTCGAGCTCATTGTCCAGAACGACCTGGAGTTCCAGTTGACTCTGCAGATGAAAATCGACGAAAACAAGTTCCAAACACCCGAGCCTGCGGCATCCCCATCGCGTCAAAAGGCGTCGGCTCTCAGTCGTGTGTTTGCTTCCCCTCGTCGTCGCAAAGAGCTTGACATGAAGCAGCAAATGCAGTCTCAGCAGCAGAAGGCCAAGGATGTCAATGCCCCTGTTTACGATCGCCTTCGTAACCTGGTTGCTCGTGATGGTAGCTTTGGTCGCGCTTATGTTGCCCTGAGCGACCACGAACAGGAAGCCTTCGGCCGTCCTCATGTCGTTGATGTTGCATGCTTTAACGAATGGGCCGTCGAAGATCAAATGAGCAGTGTCAAGAGTAAGAAGAGTGCTACTAGCGTTAACGCGCAGCGCCGCCCACCATACAAGATTGGTAAATTAGAGGTGCAACTCCTCTTTGTCCCCAAGCCCAAGGGTAGTAAGGATGAGGATATGCCAAAGAGTATGAATGCTTGCATTCGTGAAATGCGAGATGCAGAGAGCGTTGCAGCTCGGTCTTGGGAGGGATTCCTGTCCCAACAAGGTGGCGATTGCCCAGTAAGTCTTGTTCCTAATTTTACTATTGAGCTCCTACTAACCGTAACCAACAATAGTTCTGGCGCCGTCGCTTCTTCAAGCTTCAGGGTTCCAAGTTGACAGCGTACCATGAAACAACCCGCCAGCCTCGAGCTACAATCAACCTTGCCAAGGCCTCTAAACTCATTGACGACCGGTCCTCACTCCTCCAGAAAGAGACTAGCACCAAGAATGGCGGTCGTCGAAAGTCTGCTTTTGCCGAGGAAGAAGATGGCTATATGTTTGTCGAAGAAGGTTTCCGGATTCGTTTTGGGAACGGTGAAGTAATTGACTTCTACGCCGACAGCGCCGCAGACAAGGACGGTTGGCTTCGAGTCATGTCCGAGGCTGTCGGTAAGGGCTCCGCATCCGGAAATGGCGCGATCAAGCCTTGGGCCGACCTCGTGCTCAAGCGCGAGCGCAGCATGATGGCCAAGCAAGAGACTTCCCGACCTACCAGCGGGACTTCACGACCGAGCAGCGGCATTCCTGTGCCACCCGCGTCGCCTTCTCGGAACAGGAACAGCGCGATGATGGGGCCGCCTTCTTCTGCAGGATCTGGGGCGCCGGCGTCCCAGCCTCCTCGTTCTCGACACAAGCACACATACTCCCAACCTGAAATGGGAGGTGCCGAGGCACGCCGACAAAAAACCCGCTCCCTTATGTTCTAGTCCCTTGAGCCCGAGTTGATGATAACACAAGCCAGCCGTTCACTTCTTCTGCTCATGATGTTGGGTTGTCACAACTAACTATTCCTTTTTTATTTACGTGCTGGATGCTTTTGATCGGCCTTTCTTTTTTTTTATTTCATTTTCGTTTTGAGCTGCTCATTTCACGATTCGATTTTCCGTTCCTTTGCTTTCCCCCTGGTGTTGGTGTATGATGCAATCTTTTTTGGTTTCCTTTCTCTGTTAGATTATCCTTCTCAAGAATTGTTTCGAGCCTGTCAGCAATAGGCGTGTTTGCAGCGTGAGCAATATGGCAGCTGTACGATTCGAAGACCCCATCGCACAAATGATTCTTTCATGATACTCGTCGTTGCTTGTTCTTTGCTGTACCTTAATGATACATACGCTTTTCCTTTTCTTTCTTGAGTCCATAATTGCGTCTACAAATTTCATTTCTGGTGTTGAAACGTATTCAATTAGCCGATCCCTCTAGTACAGTCGAGCCGTTGAATGTGGCGTTACTCTAGACGTTTAACATTAGTACTGCTCGCAACCTCGAGTCTTTAGATTTGCCCCCAAATCTCATTGCAACGGATACTAAGAGAGAACTCCGATCTCATAAAGCTTTTAGTCGGCGAGGCGAATGAGTGCATTTGCCTGGCCAGCTCTCAAACCTCTTGGTGGGCGGATGCCTCACGAAATTTAATTGAAAGAGGGAAGTCGGTTGCCTCGATCGAGAACATAGCCTGAATACTGGGGCAAATATAGGAACAGCTACCGAAGTCTCTGTTCGGTAAATATCAGATACTGAAAATGAATGAGTCGGAAAAATAAGACACGTACGAGCATCCCGGTTTGTCATGAAGCAATCGAGATTCTTCCAATGTAGGTAGTTGGTCTGGTGTTTACCCAAATGCTGTGTCATGTAATCACCATCTTGCTCAGCAAGTGTGTTGCTAGAAACGAAATCTTCACAAAGAGCAGACTCGAACAACAGATGCATGTTAATTGAACAAGTTCCTTGGAGGTCATCAACTCAGCCCATGATACTTACCAGACTCCGATCCTACTGCCGATGACAAAAGCGATATTTCTTTATGGAACAGTCCAACATCTGCAAGTTGGTAGTCACGAAGCTCAAAGGGTTCTTCGAACAATCGACATGTTTTCACTTCCTGTACTCGCCTTTACTTACATGACCCAGGTATGTGAAAATAATTCATTGGGAAAATAAAATCTCTCAAGGTATATCTTGCAGTTCCTGGCTCATGACTCTCCTCTACCTGGGATACATGGCGGGCGAGTTTCCAATCCATAATAGACAAGTGACCAAGTATTTGGCCACTCAGAAGAGTCGTTTAGTGTCCATTTCCTAGTTCGGCCAAAGCTCGACTGCGGGAAACCAGCCTAGTAGTTAGGGTGACTTTGTACTCCGAGTACAGAGTATAGAAGATGCCTTGCTGGCTTTAGGCCAATGATATCTATGGATTATATGACCATTGAGCTGCAATAGTAGACTGCCGTTGATTTGCCTCAACTGCAATTTTTTAATAACCACGCACTCGCCCACCCGATATAGAGCCGGCGTCGCGTTAAAAGAGTATACCATGTTTACTTACCGTGACCCTGGACCTGTGCGCGGGCAATTTGTGTGCTAACTTAGCTGACTAGCCTGTCTAGGGGAGTTTCAGGCCCCCTGTGGGTGCTGAACAACTAAAATTGACTTATCCTGGCTCAAACTAGTACTAGTTGCGCATACGATTTCACCCGCCTGTGTTCTATTTAGCCCACTGTTCACCCGTATCTGCGCAACTTCCAACCCACAACCAACTTTCAATGGCTTCGCCGTCCTCCCGATCCGAGATAGCAACACAAAGCCCGTGGTTTCTTCGTCCCCCCCGCTTCCCCCTAAAATCATTTCATTTATTGTGCGCTTCGTGCCAAACAAAGATGTCAAGTTCTTGCGCTTGACATGCCAAAAACTCAGCGACATCACGCCATTCTCCTTGTCACGCGTGTTTCTATCGGCCAATTCGTTAAATATCCAAGTTTTCCGTGCTGTAGCGGACTATCCAAAGTTTCGACAACAGATTACGGAGATCATTTGGGATAACGCATGTTTTGTTTCCGCGCCATTGATCTAGGAAAGTGGGCCTCCAATAATCGAGTAGCATATTTTGTCTAAGTTAAGCTTCGATTTAAAGCAACTTTCTACAGGAATAAATTAAATAATCTTTGATCAGCCATATGAAGGACACAATTATTTTGCAGCTATCATAAAACATCTAGGCTTTCGGCGCCTTCATCTATCGTTGCTTACTAGCACTAGTGGTGTTTATGACTTAGCTAGATTCCGAAGCGGATATTTTTATCAGGCTCTTAACCTAGCCAAGGAACTCACCTATATCGATGTATCGATCACATCTGATAATAATTCTATATTCTCTATAGGAGATCCACTTATCCCTTGGAAAGAGGTTTTCCCTATTGAGGCATAGTCAAAGCTATGTCAGTTGGGGCTTTCTGGTTTCAGCGTGAATACGTCGGAGTTGATTGATATACTTAACTCAGTACCGGATTCCTTGTGTTCCATTGAACTGGGATTTCTGAACTTCCCCTATAATGAACTTCATTTGTCTGGGCTCCTAGCAAGGATGCGGAAAGAACTAAACTAGGCCGAGAGGACTCGACCAATAAAACCTACCGTCACAATCGCCATGCAAGGCGATCGCGCAATGTCGGGGAAGTTCGTTCAGGTTACGGAGGAAGTGGAAGAATTTCTCTATGGCTCTGGTGAGATTCTATTGAACGGAACAAGCACGCGCAGACCCAATTTCGGAATGGCGACGAACTATGACCTTTTTGAACCGGAGTATACTCAGCCTAACGTTACTGTTCAGGACCTCACGGAATTGGGAATTGTTCACGACTGAAATAGACCAAGCCAATCTCGAGCACAAGGTGTGCATTTTTGTCCTTAAATTAGAGTCAAGATTTTCTTGGGTGTATTCCCATGGGTGCATTGAACAATTCCTTTGTACGCATCGAGACATGCCCAATCGAACATTTCTAGATGATTTCACCATTCTGATCACGCTGAAGATATACCAACACAAACATACTCGTTGACTTGTAGAACCGACTGCAGGTGGAAACCATGCCCGTCTGAATTGGAGCCATCTGGACAAGTTGAAATGCAGTAGTGTGTGCCAATAGACAACTCGCTACAGTCACTTTTCACAGACGGATTTATTGCGTAATTCGATTTCCTGCAAAGGTAAAATATTTTGTGCAACCCTACTGTACTAAGTTAAGGGCTAGGAGTATAGACAAACTCATCTGATCATTTCAAAAGCACTGTTCTCATACGGGGTTCTATGTGGCGTCATCTCAACCGTCAAATGGTAACTTACCCCAGAGAAAGCGAGATTATAAATAGGATATGCATGACAGCTAGAATTCAATAATGCAACCGCATCACATGTATTTATTATTGTTGGAATGATATTTATTCGCAATGAAACAACCTATTTATCAGCATTTCTCCATGTCATACGAATATTGCGTGCTGTCCTGATAAATGGAACTCCCCCCGCAAACTGTACTATATAACGATCGAAATACCCTCACTCATTGCGATAATAACATCTCAAATATCTTCCAGATAAATCAGCATTTCAAATTACCGATATGGCTTCCGCAGCTGTCCAAATTCCCGGTTTTCACGGTGCCTCGCGTGCTGAAAAGCCTCAAGTTCATGTTGCCAAGGAACCTCAGCATGTCCAGACTACGCTCAACTTCCTGAAAGAAAATGAAGATGGGTCACCTCCAGCGCCAGCATATACCGACAGACCCGAGACTTATGATAGACCTGTCACTACCCTCCCAGCCACCATCCACGATATCAGTGGCCATGAACTGGACTATACACTGGATGGCCATGGGTTCCAGCTTTACTACCACGAGAGTCAAGAAGAAGACTTTCTAGATGAAGAAAGGATTAAGCGAGAGTATTACCCAGAGACTGAACAACTGTTAAAGGACGCGTACGTAACCGATTTCAATCCATTTTACACCAAGACCCAAGACTGACGGTTATAGGACGGGCGCCTCTCGGATCTTCATCTTCGACCACACCATCCGTCGAGCATCAAATGACAACAGCCGAGGCACAAAGCTCCGCGGTCCAGTTCAACGCGTCCACATCGACCAATCTTACTCCGCAGCCAAAAGCAGAGTCCCCTTCCATCTCCCAGAAGATGCACCGAAGCTCCTCAAGGGCCGATACCAGATTATCAATGTCTGGCGTCCAATCAAGACTATACTGAAAGACCCCCTGGCGGTCGCTGATGCGAACTCGGTTCCAGACAGTGATCTTGTGCCTGTGAAGTTGATATACCCTAACCGTGAGGGTGAGACGTACACCGTGAAGCCGGATCCTGAAATCAAGTGGTACTACCGCTATGCTCAGACTCCGGATTTGGTTACTTTGATCAAGTGCTTTGATTCGAAGACCGATGGCAGAGCTCGCCGTGTGCCCCACACTGCTTTTGTTAACCCCGAGACGGAGAATGAACCAGGTCGGGAGAGTATTGAGGTTCGGGCTTTGGTTTTTCATCCTGATGACCGTGATTGATTTGCACAGTGAGGTTTTTGGTTATGGTCTTGTATTTAAATTGATATCGTGCATGAGGCGCCATTTGTTGTAGTAACAGACTCTCTTGATCTAGTATCAAATTGATCAAGTGTATTTGAAGATTTCGAAACTTTATCTATTAGATATTATCAACGTGATGAAAGGCTTTTATGTAAGTATTATATATGGTCTAAGCTAAAAATACCAATATGCTCAATGCAAGATCCAATGCTTCAACACATTATTGATCGGCCACCGCCTGTTTCCAAGCACTGAGAACCTTATTCCAATACTGCTCAGGATGCAGTCTCATATGGCCAACGTGAGACGAACCCTCGAACATCTCCAATTCAACCGGCCAGCCCAAAGCCTTAACACCAGCAACATTCTCCTCAAGATCCTTCCATCCAATAATTTCATCTTCCATGGAATACAGATACAACCTGTGAGAATCGGTCGATGTGATACTCTTATCAGTCATGACACGGTTCGCCCAAACGCCCGAAGGCTCTGAGCCACGAAGACGTTCCCAGGCCCAATTCGCCCAGAGGAAGATATACCACAGACCCTGTGTGATAATAGCGGGCCAGGGGAAGAATTTCGCTGTGCCGACGGCCATGGCGTGCGACCAACGACCAACTTGAGATGCAAAATCCAGACTCCCGGGAGTGGAGTCACAAATCAAGAGCTTGTGAGGGAATGTCTTGTCGGTGCCGTGTCGTCGTTGATATCCGACGACAGCGGCCGCGGCGAAGATCGCGCCCGTGTTGGACATCGCGTGGATAAGAACGCGCTCTTCTTCACCGCCGCTTCCCGTTGGTGTTGGGAAGATAGTGTCGACGACTGGCATCATGGCTTGGATTCTTGCTTCTTCTTGCTGGTTCGAGGCTTGAAGAGTACCCGATAGAATCACGATAATGCGCGACGATGGGAAGAGCTCATGGAAGCCATCGGAATACTTGGTGACATGCTTTGGCATGCCATCGCCCCAGCCAGAGATGATAATTGTGGTTGGCTCGTCCGCAGGAACAGGCTTGCTCTTTTCGTTGCCATTGCGCAGGTACACCCGCTCAGATATCGGGGTGAAACCTGGGAAAGGGATTGGCCGTGGACCCATTATGCAGGTAGAATGTGGAGATGCTGGGGCTTGTGCAGGGGATCTCAATTTAGGTGCAGTTTGACAAGTAGTTGAATGTTTCCAATGGCTCTTTCCTACTTATAAAAAATCTCCATCGGTGACTGGCCCGTTGTGGGAATTAGTCCGGGGAACCACATACAACATTGGCTGGCAAGCCATATGGTTGGGAACTGATCGATAACATGCGCCAATCTTTTCAAAGCAAGTGGATCGTTGGGAAGAATAAAATGGACGTTGACGAATGAAATTGTCGAGTCTTGACTTATGAAAGTAATGAACCTCGGCATCTCCCCTGGCTTACTCATTTTATGCCTGAGGCACCAATGATTGAACATTCGCAAATAGAAAAGAGTATTTTTTTTCCGAATGAACATTGCTATACATATATTTCTCTCTGCAAACTCCCTACTATATGTAAACTATCTCTATCAAGTGATCCAAGCTGTTAGAACAACTAGTGTGCTTACAGCAGTCGATCTCCCTTTCAGGTCTATAAGCCGCATGTGAGTTTCCAGATATAAATCACAAGAATAGACGGAAAAACAAGCAAGACTTACTTGAAACCACTGCAGCCCTCTGTGAGCTCTTGTAAAGTCCATACAGACCGTTACCGCCCGACCACAAAGTAACCTCTTTATCGACCTTCGCCTGAATGAATGTTTGAAGGTTCTCATTCATCTCCTCGAAGAACCGTTCATATCAGGTCTTATGCAAAGAGGCAAAACTGATGGATCCACCAGGGCCTTTAATCTTTGAGTTTGTTTGAGCAGCGCTGTGTAGCGCTTTGAAGATCTGTTGCTGTACATCATACGCGTGTTTCAAAGCGGCTTGTGCCTATTGAGGCTTGTTAACAAGGGAATTCTTAAAATAGAATTGCATCATCGCAGCGATTTAATCGTTACTTACCTCAGGCGAGTTCATATACTGCGAGGTGTATCAGTCAGATATTCATTCAGTACAGTTGACAAGTTTTGCTTACCGGTACCAGGGATTGGTCGAGGTTATTTAAAAAGGCGAGTCTCGTTGACGGGGCTGCAGCATTCCAACGCTTATCACTGATGATGTTTGTATGAATGGCCCACATCTGTTAAAGGGGTTAGTGCAACGAACTAAGTCATTGAACCGCCATAGGTACCGATGTTTTCAACGAGTTGGTCTGAGCATCGCAAACCATCATATTGTCAAAGTCTGCGTCAGATCCTCTACTGCCGAGAGCATGATAAATTGCGCTGAGCGAGTTAGTTGTATTCTGTTATTTGGATGAGAGAGATGGGATATATACTCAATGGGAGTGTCTCCTACTAAACCTGCCGGTCGGGCAACACCCAGATTTGCCCACGTCCAATGAACATAGCCGTTGTCGCCAAAGACTATGCCATTCGTCAATGGCATACCAAGGTGGATATCTTATCAGAAAGGTATATACTAACCGTCTTCCCAGTTATGTCCACTTGTAACACCAGTCAGGGCTGTCCCATCTGGATATTTATTGTCAATCATTGATTGTGCAAACTGAGCCGGAGTCTGGAGCTCAGTGACATGCTCCGAAACATATTTGCCTGTATATAGAGAATGAGAAAAACTGGACTCTTGCACAATATTATCAAAAGAACTCATGGGATAGCTGACGAGCTTGGAAAAGAGCAGCATTCTTAAGGCAGATCTTAGCCGCAGCTTTGACGCCGCTGTTTGCCCAGAACTTTCTTCCTTTGCCTGCCAAATCTGCAACAGTGTAGTAAGTCGAGGCCAAAAATTTAGTCCGCTTGTTATTCGGAAGCTTGACAACTGATGTGCGTGCGCGGGGCAATAGACTTGAAGGCTCGGCATATGGATTGTGGCGGAATGTACCAGCATACTCCCATGAGAGTCGCACTTCACTGAGTAGAGACTCAACTTCAGGAAGCTCGGGCTCAAGGGCATAGAAGCAGTCATCCGGTAAACTTGCGGAAGTGTACGGTTGTTCAATCCATGCGATCGGTCCCAGCGACGATCGATTCGCAAACTGGCCAGTTCCTGGAGGACGCCGAGTCCACGCTTCATATCATCTGGCGAGGCATCATTCGGAACAACAAAGACACCCTCCTCATACCTGTGGTCTGTGAGAGGGTGCAAAGGAATCCGGACTGAGTTGAGTACATACCACCAAAGCTCCAGGATGTCTGCTGGATTACCATCCTCATCATAGTTGCCATCACCCGCTGAGACGCTGAGCACGTAGTCGCCATCTGTGCTCTCACAGAAGTTCAGATCGCTCCCATCATCGGCCTAAACAGGTTAGCTGGTGGTGATTCAATATGCCGTGGTGTACTTACAACATCCTCTAGTGGTGCATCACAACAGTAGAAAGCCGACCCAGTAGAGCAAAAGCTGGTTTGGGACGGATCTTGGGCAATAATCTGTACAAGGTCAGGCTTTACCATACCAATGACATGTAGAGAGCTACTGACCTGCTTGCCCGCTGGGCACCCAGTAGGGCAGGTGAACGGGTGAAGCCACGGATGTTCTTTTGATGTCCTGAAAGCCCAGTCAGCCATGATCTCCCGAAAGTGAAGAAATGCCTTTACCATCCACATCCAGTGAAGGGAGGGGGACTTGTGCAGCAGAACGACTTATATCCTGAATAGCAGTACGATTCGCCGCCTGCACCGACATTATCATATGTCTCCTCGTAACGATCGGATTCATCGCATCCATAGTGTTGGCCAATACCGCCATTCTTTCCACAAAATGGAGCTGCTCCTTCCCACTCTGTTAACTGGTTAGCAGAAATTCCAATATCTACCCTTAGAACTTTGACAACACTTACTGCACTGGCTGATACCAGCATCGGACTTTGTCGATTTACAGCACAACACCTTATGCCCAGTCCAGCATTCTGACCCAGTAGCACTGGTATCAGAGGAAACCTGAACCTCTCCATCATGGCACTTGCCATTGCAGAACGGCGCCGTTCCACGCCACTCGCATGTTGGCATCTCCTGGTCCTGAGGACAGCAGTAATTACGGGTCTCGCTCCCCAAACATCCAGTGTAGATTCCCGCGTTGCCGCGGTCCTTACCATCGCTGCGCTGGGCAGGGCTAGAATTTGCTGGACAGTCTTTTCCACACTCACCCCAGATGCAGGTAGACAAGACGTCCTCCTGTTTGGTACTCGCCCCGCCTCCAAAAAGGCTTAGGAGTGACAGACCGTTGTTCTTCATGTAGGCTTGTGCTGCTGTTCCGGCTGCGTCGTCGGTCGAGACTGCCCAGACCATTGTTCCACCGAGGCACTTCCCGTTTGCATAGTCTGTTTTTATCTTGAGCGTCTCTGCGTCACCAAAAGAAACCCATTGATTCGTGTCCCAGACAATTTGTTTGACTCCTGCGACGCTGTCAAGTGTGGGGGTTGCATCTGCAGCGATAAGATCCTGGATCTCAGAATACATCAGGGTCTATTTCTGTTAGTATGGTGGACACAGTTCACAGGGAAAAGGTCAACTCGTACTCCTGCACTGGCTGAGCATGCCCCGGGATTACCACCGCCCCTGAACGGACATCCTGGTGAGGTACAACTTGGATCAGTCAGGGTGAAGCTTCGTCCATAGAATCCAAGTCCCATAATTATTTTGTCGGGGTCAATCTAGGGAACAATTAGCTAGATCCAGTTGAACAGCACCGTCGCTAATTTACGCTATTCCTCCAAAATAAATCCATTGTCAAATTGATCTCCGTAAGATTGGTGTGGGCATTGACAACAGGTCCAATAAATTTATCCGTTGAATCCCATGTGCCGTGAAGATCGTAGGTCATGACATTGAACCAGTCCACAACACTTGCCATTGACACGATGTCAAAATTCTGCAGGTTAATGATCGATAAGTACAGTGATCAATGCTTGTCTGGAATACACCTACCAATAACTCGAAGGAAGAGTCAATGTCAGACCATAGTTGTGTCCACTTCCACCCAAGGCCGAGCGAAGGTTCTTCAAGAATGAAACATAGTTTTGATAATCCGCTGGCTTACCGGACCTCTCAGGTGCAACGGGGTATTCCCAGTCGATGTCAATCCCGTCAAAGCCATATGTTTGCATGAATGAAAGCAAAGAGCTAAAGAAAGCAGACTGGGCAGTAGTAGAGCCTGCCAAGTCAGAGAATGTTGTGGCAGTGGGCTGATCTGGGTCGTTCATAGACCAGCCTCCAATGGAAATCCAAGTTTGAAGGCCTGGATTTGCGGCCTTGAGTCCAGTAAAGCGGGGATACAGTTCAACATCGGCCTCGCTCATTGGGTCTATGAATGCAAACGCAAAGTTCAAGTGAATGTATGCGCCGACAGGGAGTTGTTCCGGGGTCACTTGTATTTAGTCAGTGGAGATCATCGCATGTCTGTAGTTAATCATTGAACTTACTTCCATGGCAAGCCCGAGTAATTGACCATCCCTCGTAATATCCTGACTGTTTCAGTACAAGTTTCGAAAGGTCGGCGGAAAACACATACCAATAGATCGCTTGTTGGAACTAATGCTGTTAGAACACTCCTTAGCGGGCTTTCTTATGCCACTCACCTGGTTCCTGAACATGATGGTTCCGTCACTTTCTTGTCACCACAGAAGGCTGCGGTCGTGCCACAAAATCCAAACTTGCTACAGCAAACGTTGAGGGGACACTTCTCGCTGGCGGACCACTGTAAGCCCCAACCAGGGTCACATTCACTATGAAGAGTCAGTCAGCAATATCCCATGATGAATGGTAAATGACAGGTCCCTGCCTTTTTGCATCACATTCCGAGATACAGCTATCACCGCAAAAGTTGGGACCCATTCCACACACCCCAGAGCTGCTACAGCATCCAAGCTTGCATGGCTTCGTAGGAGAGCTTAAGTCAAGTCAGTCACTATCTACTATCAAGATTAAGATTAGGACCATTGAAGTACCTACCAGGTATAGTCCTCTGGAGAGTCAGGGTCTTGCGAACTCAGCCCTAGGACCGAAGCGAACAACAGCGCAAAAGCAACTCCAATCTTCATTTTACAACTATACCCAGATGCAGAATATTTATTCACCTTTCATGGCCGGGAAGAGCGAAGGACCCTTTTCATTGTAGACTGACTCGACTCGGCCGCTCTACTCCGACCCAATTTACACATACTGCACCTCATGCACTAGCTACGGCACTATCACCGCCAGGCGACAACACCTAAACGGACATGCTCCGTGAAAGGAAGCATCTCGGCTATCCAGAAATGGAAATTGGTAATTTCTTCAGAGGCAACGGACGAGATAAACAAGAGTCTTCAGGGGGGAAATGTAACCCACCTTGATCGGTTCCATGTTAGTGCATGATTAGTGCTTACAATTTCCGTCGCGAATCATTTCCACCGCTGCAGTCTGCCGCATTAGCTTCCTCTTACTAGCTGATTTAGGACTCTTCGTCCCTGAGGCTTGTTGTGATGAAGCACTAGCGTATGCAGGAGCATCCTGCGAACAGCCCCGCTCGGTAAGTAGTGGCCTATCAAGGCAAGCGATAATATCATATCGATAGATGGAGGGAAGAGTATTGAAGGTCGCCTCTCATCTCATTAATCTTTTTTTTTTTCTTCCATCATATTGATCAGAACGAGATTCGCGATGGCACTACAATTCATATGCGCAAAAAGATTAACAGTCCTTCTACTGTTCCTAACTCTGATACAATCTGTTCGAGCTGATCTAGTTGTCTTCGAGGCGGGTCTCATCGCAAATAGCAGTAATGCTGCTCTTGCGGGAACTCTCTCGCAGGATTGCATTACTGCCATGGAAGATACAGTCACCTGCGATCCATACCTGCGAACTCAAGTAATGAATGATGATTTCACCTACCTCGATTCATCGGTCCGTGACATCATGTGTACCACAGCGTGTGGCCAATCTCTGACAACCTACCATGCTGCTGTCGAGAGTGCTTGCGCAAGCAGCCCCCAGCCATGGGATAATACGCCAGCGACGTTCTATGGAGACCAGATCTGGGCACAATATAATATCTCATGTTTCAGGAATGCAGCTGGGGGTTACTGTCAAAGTAGGTTTTGGGAAAACAAAAGAGAAACTTGATCTACGACTAATTTTAAGCAGATGTCCTTGCAGATCTCACCATCCCAGACAGCGATATCTCAATGACGGGACTGTCCAGCTCGATAGTATGCTCAGAATGTGTACTTCTACTTGGTCAGATCATCCAGTCGACATCATTTAGCAACTATGGCAGGGGTATTGCCAGCTAGTGGGCTGCAATCCAGTCAACCTGCGGTGTTTCATTCCCAACAGATGTGCATCCTGTGGCTAGCAACCAGACTAACTTACCTGGTTATGCGCCTGCGGGTTATGACACGGCCCAATGTGCTTCAGGGAAGACGTACACCGTAGTCACTGGTGATGATTGTGGGAAGATTGCATCGAGCCAGGGCGTGCCTTGTGGATCTTTGATCGCGATCAATAATATCCTTCCGACTTGCTCGGATCTTTGGAGTAAGTACATGTCACATATTCGTCATTTTCTTAGGACAGCCGAACTAACAATCCTATAGTTGGACAAATACTTTGCTTGCCAGATACTTGCCAACTATACACAATCCAGTCGGGAGATATATGCATGGCTATTGTGAATGCCTACGACATAACACTAATTCAACTGCTATCATGGAACTCATTCATAAATGCCGGATGCTCGAACCTTCTAGCCGGGGATCAAGTCTGTATCCAGCAGCCCAGTCCTGTCTGGACAGGCACGACGATCGCCGGTGCAACAGCTACTAAGACTGGCGTCTATGCAACTACAACTGTTGCTGCACCTGGCTCGGTGGCTCATGACACAACGACGAAATGCGGGAAGTAAGATGAGAGATCCTTTCATTAATCTGACTATATGTTCCTATACTAAACGCAAACCGTTGCAGATACTATCAAGTCAACGATGGCGACTACTGCCAACTTATAGCTCTTAATTTTACAATTACGGCTGCATTATTCCAGCAGATCAACCCGTCCATTGACGACGGATGCACAAATCTCGTACCAGGACTATACTACTGCGTCCTCCCCACATCAGACTGGAACGAGACATCGACTACAACAACCTCCACATACGTGACAGCCCCAGCGCCAACGTCCACCGGCGCCACCGAGAGTTGTTACGAGGTAAGTAGTCTACCATCTCAATTACTGTAATTTCCCAAACTACGTAAGTTTTTAGTGGTACGTTGTAAAATCCGGCGACTACTGCGCACTGATCGAGGCCGTGTACGGCATTACCATGGCGCAACTGCAACTATGGAATCCTGAATTGTTGGACAATTGCTCGAATTTGGTACTTGACGATGCGTATTGTATCAATGGCGATGCTGGGGGATCTAGTTTGGCGCCAGTGCGTGCGAGGGCTTGGCCTACTGCTGCAGGGGCTCACCTTCATATTCATCAGAAGAGGGGTTGGTGAAAGTTGTTTTAGTAGTCAGTGCTATTAATACCTCTAAGCGAGATTATCGGAGATTAGTGGTTCATTGTGATTGCTTATATATTTTGAGCGCGGACTTTCGCCCAGAAAAATATAGCTCGGGCGGGTGGCTGAACTTATCAATAACCTCTGACTTCTTTCATCTCACTAGCTTTACATTCTTTTCCCGTCAACAGCGCTTATCAAGAACATAATGTCTAACAGTAACATTTTGAATTACCTCCCACCCGGCTGGTCGGAGGAAACATACCAGAACAACACAGATGCAGACAATGCCGCCCTATCAGACGAGGTACGCCCGACCCAAGCTAAATCTCAACGCCCAGTTTTTGCCTGCGCCCTCCCCCCAACGCAAACAATACTTAGAGAAGAAAATAGGAACTACAAAAACTAATGGACAGACGCGTCGCCGAAACAAAAATAATCAGCGCGCAAAACCTCGCCCCAATCAACGAAAAGCGCATAGCGCGCGGGGCAGCACCAATCCAACCACCACCTTCAGAACCAGAACCAGAATCAAGCCAAATCCAACCCCAGGACCCAACATTGGAAAATCTCCAGACCCTAGTAGAGACAATCGAATCCGAAAACTGGACAGACGTCGGCTTCCTCATGTTCCGCACAGACTACAGCAACGAAGACCTCTGGAACGAATTCCTAGAAAAATTCAACACAATTCTAGACGCGAGCATTGAAGATGCACCTGCTGAGTCCGGATTATCACGCATTGCCGATTGTGTCTTTATGAAGATTGTTGATGATGATTTGTTCGCGAATGAGTCTCCTGAGCGTGTTGCGTTTGCTTATCGGCTTTGTGCGGAGGATACGGAGGATAATGATCCTGATGATAGGCTTGCGCCTGGTTTGCATACTCGCATGTGTCTTTTTGTTGATGGAGAGTGTATGCGGTCTGTTGTTGGATCTGGATCTGCGGGTAATGATGGGGATAGAGTTGCTTTTGTTAAGGCTGTCGATGTTATGCTTGGGTTGGATGGGGTTGATGGGAACTTGTCTTTTACTGGAGTCTTTAAAGTTGCGGTTCGATCCTTGATTACGAAGTTTTATGCTGCTTTGCTTGCGTGTGCTGAGACTGTGGACTTGGTGCCAGCTGGCGATGGGGTTTGGGATGGGGCGCACGTTGGGGCTTTGAATGCGGAAGAAGACGCGACGAAGATTGATAGGTTGTTGAGGTGATTGCTATGAAGTAGTACATGGCTTATCAGATGTTCATCTCATGAATCGGCAATATTTACACCATGCCATGAAATATTGGGCAGTCCTTATAGAACCTCTCCAAGTGAGCTTCCTGCATTTCTCTTGCTCTGCTTTGGCATCGCTTGTTTCACCTCTTTTTCGTCTATGTTGCATGTTTCGGTTTCCTCGGGTTGATCGTCTATACCACAGAGAAAGAGTGAATACGAAAGGACTCATGACTCCGGTTGAAGAGTATTTAAACGAAACCATAATTAAATGGAAAGTATTTACAGGAACCGCCTGTATAATTTTGATAATCATTAGCCTCGCGTAAAGATGCAGGTATAGTGAGATTAGAATAATGCGCGAATGCAATCATAACCGGAATATTCGATTGAGCCAAGCCGCCGATTGCAGGTCAATCTGGACCAGAATGATGACAGACAACACCAATGTTGCTACAGTAACCTGATCACAAGAGAATCAGCACCCGCGCGACCTATATTATCCGATAAGACTTACGATGAAGAGAAAAATCCCCACAGAATTCATTTCCCACCCGCCAGCATGCACTTTACCTCTGGAAATAGCATTTTGCTGTCTCCAGAATCGAAAAGCACCTATCAAAGCGACCAAGACAGCAACGAAGTGGCAAGCGACCGAGAGTGGAATGCCAACCGCGTGGAAGGAGAGACGATGAACTTCAGTGTTTGGCCGCTGTAGACGGAATAGTTGAGCGATGAGCACGCCCTGCATGGCCATAACAGTGGACGTGCGAATATAGGCCAGAAATGTTCGTTCCAGAGCTAAGGGATAGTCAGTTCTGCGTTCCATTCCTTGCACTGTTATCGGGAATGGGACCGATCGACAGAAGTGGCAAGACCACACCAACAAGTCCATCCCAGAATAAAGCTTGAGTCTTTCCAAAATACACACAACAATTACAATTACAGTGGTAGACTCACCAAAATGATCGCGATTGCTCTTTTGAGGAACCGTCAAGATGACATGCCGACACCAGAAGCGACGGATTCGACTCCACGGTCCCTTACCAGCTTCACGGTCTAGCGTACTAGCTCGAGAAGCGGTACGATATGTAGTCATCCGATACTCCTCCCCGGACGAAGCCGAGGGATCAGAATAGTCCAACTCATCGTCTTCGCGCGTCTGGATTTGATGAAGCTCCAGCGCCTCCCGATCGTCACGACGAGCGGATGTCGGGCGGGAGTCGGTCAAAACTGCATTGGGCGGTTCTCCGGGAATTGGGTGGTTCGAGGAGCTTTCAGGCATGATGATTAGACAAGTAAGGGATGAGCGATGGCGTTGCAGAGCAGAAATATGTATTTATTTGGAAGTCGCAGTCAAGGGACAAGCAAGGGTCAAGGAGATTCTTGTTTTCCCCACGGATCGGCCCAGCCGAACGTCACGGCCCCGCTCTCCATCTGGGGCTCTGTTGACTGTGTAGCCATTTAGTTTGTATCGAAATGTGGGATATATTAGAATTGAATGAAAAGTAGGACGTTGTGCTCTCTTTATAGTTATTTTATTTACTCCACAGCCATCAGTTTAGCCCTGCATTCTAATTTGATTCTGGCCAATCACAGGCCGTAGAATGGCGATTGCACCATATCTGACTATGATGTTGGAATGCGCTACCAATGGAATTACTTTGTTTGAATCTGTGCAGTCGAAAAGTACACCTGGTTTGATATTCAGTGGTCTCCACATATTTATGGGTCTCCCGTTGTACTCTGCGACGGGCTCTGAAGCACACAGAGTCAACTATATGTAGTGCCAAGACCTTCGTCTAACCGACTTGGAAGTCCTTAAAGCCATTTTCTATGATTATTTCATTTGTAATCGAATCACAGCATCTATGTCAAGCATTGATATGTAGACATTTGACTCTATTTGGTCTTGACTCTGCCGTGGGTTAGATACTCGCCCAACGAGCAGCCCCTTTGGAAATCAGCTCTATTGAATTAAATGCGGCTTGTATTACGAAAATTTAGATCAAATCAGCTTGGAACTAACTGCACCTGCCGCATCTACGTTATGAGTGTTGTCCATGTCTACTATGCAACTAAATCGATTGGCTGTCGGATCTCGGCCCAATGCCGATCACGTGGTAGGAGCATGTCGGCAGTTGGTACCTTAATGCCTGAATATCCCTACATCTATCCCAAAGCCAGCACGAACAGCTGATCGGAACAGATATAGGAACCCAACGGACCATTTCTCATTGGACCATTTCTCAGTCCTATGAAGTCACCCATGCTACTGCCTCTCATACTAATACTCGGTACCATTCTGGACCCCGAACAGAGCACCAAAAAAGGAAATCTTATCCGCTATCAACGAATGAGCGTCTCGCGGATCCGTCTGGTCGATCAATGATTGCCCATTTTACCTGAGTTATCACCCATGAACGTGGAGTAACTGACTCCCCCCCCCCAATCCAATTCTGGGAAATGGGAACCCGGAACCGTGAGAGGGCTGTGACAGACCTGCTCGGCCTTATATCACCGTAACCCGTGCGGGGCATGGCCTCATTATCAGCTTGACGATATCATCTTTCCGGCTCTGCGGGGTGTGGGGGGTTGGCAAGGCACAAACGGTGGTCTTATCAACGGCTTTCAAATAGAAAGCTACGCCCGCTCCATTGGTTCACCATATTAATCGTCTATACACCTTGGAATGTCCCTTTCACAACGCGTTGTCATCATCGGTGCCGGCATAGTCGGCACTAACCTTGCCGATGAGCTGGTATCTCGAGGGTGGACGGATATCACCGTCGTCGAGCAGGGACCGCTGAATATGCCTGGCGGGTCGACGTCACATGCTCCTGGCTTGGTCTTCCAAACCAATACCTCCAAAACCATGACACACCTCGCACGCTACACAGTTGAGAAGCTTTTATCGATTGAGAGGGACGGACAAAAGTGCTTCAACCAGGTGGGTGGGCTCGAGGTTGCCACCACGCCGGCAAGATTGGAGGAGCTCAAGCGTAAGCTTGGATATGCCTCGGCGTGGGGAATTGAAGCTCGTCTGGTGAGCGCGGAGGAATGTTTCAAGATGTACCCTCATCTGAACCGGGATATGGTGCTGGGTGGCTTGCACATTCCCAGCGATGGGCTTGCACTTGCAGCTCGCGCCACACAGCTCCTTATTGAGCGTACGAGGCAGGCAGGCGTCAAGTACCTTGAGCATACACCAGTCACCGGTATCGAGCGCGCAGGTTCTATTGTGACTGGAGTGACTACTCCCAGCGGAAGGATTACGGCAGACATCGTGGTCTCCTGTGCTGGCTTCTGGGGTGTGGAGCTAGGAGCCATGGTTGGAGTGCAGATTCCTTTGCTTCCACTAGCACACCAATATGCGAAGACAACCGCTGTTCCAGCTCTTGCTGATCGTGAAATCAACTCCCAGATCAATGGCCTGAATGCTACCCTTCCAATTCTCCGACACCAAGACCAGGACCTCTACTATCGTGAGCATGGTGAACAGTACGGCATTGGATACTACGGACACCGTCCTATGCCCGTTGTTGCTTCATCGCTGGGTCTCACACCAAAGACTGTCGACGAGCACAACATGCCCTCTCGTCTCGAATTTACAAAAGAAGACTTCGACCCAGCCTGGAAAGAAACTCAGTCCCTCCTTCCTATCCTCCAAGAAACCGAGATCGCTGACGGCTTTAACGGTGTATTCTCATTCACACCTGATGGAGGTCCCATTCTCGGGCAACCAGCTCACCTGGACGGTTTCTACGTAGCCGAAGCAGTGTGGGTCACGCATTCAGCCGGTGTCGCCCGAGCTCTGGCCCAGATCCTCACAACAGGCCACTCCGATATTGACGTCTCAGAATGCGAGCTGTCCCGCTTCGAAGAGATACAACTCAGTCCCGAATACGTGAGTGAGACATCGCAGCAGAACTTCGTTGAGATTTATGATATCCTTCACCCGCTCCAACCGCGCGAATCTCCCCGCATGCTCCGTGTCAGTCCATTCCACGCACGCCAGCAAGAGCTCGGAGCTTTCTTCCTAGAGACTGGTGGCTGGGAGAGACCGTGGTGGTATGAAGCGAACAAAGATCTGGTCAAGGCTCTCCCCGCATCATGGAGAGCAGTCGAGAGAGATGCTTGGTCGGCTCAGTTCCATTCGTCCATTTCTGCGGCCGAGGCCTGGAAGACACGGAATGCAGTTGCCATTTTTGATATGACCTCCTTCCATCGATTTGAGGTCTCGGGTCCTGGAGCTGCTCAATTGCTCCAACGGTTGACCACCGGCGATATGACCGCCACCCCAGGCAGCGTTATCTACACTCTTCTCCTCAACAGCAACGGTGGCATCCGCGGTGATATCTTTGTGTCGAGATTGGAAGAGGATGTATTCCAAATAGGCGCGAACAGCGCCACCGAGCTAGCGTACCTCGAAAAGGAGGCTCGTCTCCAAGGCAAACACGCTAGCCAATGGGTCAAAGTCCGCGATATCACAGGCAGCACATGCTGTATCGGTCTCTGGGGCCCACGCGCACGAGAAGTCATCAGCGGAGTCAGTGCGGATGATTTCTCAAACAAAGGCCTGCCCTACTTCGGTGTAAAGAAGACCAATCTCGCTGGGATCCCAGTAAAAATCATTCGCAAGTCCCACGTCGGCGAGCTAGGCTGGGAAATCCAAACTAGCGCTGAATATGGGCAGCGACTCTGGGATACTATCTGGCAAGCAGGTAAACTGCACGGTCTTATTGCCGGCGGTCGTAGTGCGTTCAACTCGCTCAGAATTGAAAAGGGGTATCGTACCTACGGCACGGATATGACGACCGAACACAACCCTTTCGAAGCTGGAGTTGCATACGCCATCGACTTGAAAAAGAGAGGTGACTTCGTTGGAAAGGAGGCTATCCAGCGTCTTTCCACACAAACTCCTACCCGCCGTCTCCGGCCGTTGACTATTGATGATGGCCGCTCTGTGGTCTTGGGCAAGGAACCCGTCTTCTATAACGGGAAGGCAGTTGGATATGTCACGAGCGCTGCATTCGGGTATACGATTGGCCAACCTATTGCTTATGCTTGGCTTCCTGGTACTGTGAATAATGGCGAGAGTGTGGGGATTCAATATTTCGGTAAGACGATTCAGGCGACGGTCTCGGCGGAGGCGCTTTATGATCCCGAGATGAGTCGTCTAACTCAGGAGGCCTCGCCTATTTCGCCGGGATCTCGGGGTGCCTTCAGGTCCAGACTTTGATTGCATTTTTTTATTGGCTTGGCGATCACGAGACATGATTTGGATTTTTATTGGGAGAATTCCTACTCGTGGTAGTTTGGTGGGTTGGCATCTACATGTATATGAAAGAATATAGTTGGACCTGGGAATTTACGAACCTTTGATCATGATCACGTCTGTCTTAGTGGTGAGATATATGACCCTTTTCTACTTTAATTTATGCGAGATTGCCGTAGAGTGCCGATAGCTTAAGTGAAAGTACTATATTATAGATTTGGTTCTAGAAAAAAAAAGATTTCACCAAAATTCATCTGCCTAGCCTAACGGCTTCCTTGGTATATTCTTTGGTATATTCCTTGGTACAGTCGGCCAATGTTCGCCGCTGCCACATCCTTTTAATTCGGCTATTGGCTTGGCACACGTGGAAAATTCTACCCTTTGCGAGCCACGCGCTACTATAAGTTGACGCACATTTTATGAGTATATGCTAGGTTCTCAAAAGTAGTAGAAAATATGGTTATGCAGGGTCTCGAAGGTTCACGAGACACAACTCCAACCATGGATACCCGCACCAATTTTTATCAGATCAAACCATATAGCCAGCCCAAGATTGATATGAAAAGCAACACCCGAATAGGCGCAACAGCCGAGGTGCCATTGAAATTCATACAAAAAGATGAACCTTAAAAGCAAGGCCATCCAATCGATCGCGTCTAGATACTGCAAAAGGAACAACCCCCGTCCAAAAGCCAAAGAAAGTGTGGGAGGGCCGGCTACAATTCGGCAAATCCCGCAGTCACCCCATACAACATGTGGTCTAGAGCGAGATCCGAGTGGAAAGATGCGGTGAAATACGAGATGGGTCCGTCATCCTTGCATTCTGACTGGCTGTAACTCGGAGCTTCCAAGACCCCTAGTGGGGGGCAATTCCCCAAACCGGTAAGACGTTCCTTTCGCAGCCCATCAGATAAGATTGCCTGTTTTTTTTTTTTTTAGTTAAGTCTTGGCTGGTGGTTTTTTTTTTCTCTTGTGTTGTGTTCCAGTATTTCTTTTCTTCTCGTTCTCGTCCGTCTTTGTTTGAGTGCTTGACTGTCAGTGTTTGAGAGCTCACCATGTCGGTTACTGAGATTGCCGATCCTAATTATATGGGGTCTGAGAAGAACCCCCACAACCAGACTGCCCCCGTAAACGACCAGACCAACTTGTTGGGTCAGGGCAGCCCTGGTGTTCGCCGTATCGAGGTTATCAATGCGAACTTCAGACTTATTGATCGCGTGTGTCTGTTTCTGTCAATTTTCCTGATCGCCTATGTCTACGGTTTGGATGGAACTGTTCGCTATACTTACCAGGTAAGTGATCCGAGCGTCACGGATTCGTCGCGGACAACCAAAATATACTAACAGGTTTGTCTTGCAATAGCCCTACGCCACCCAGAGTTATGGTTTACACAGTCTTCTCGCGACCATCAACGTCCTACGAGCCGTCATCGCCGCCGCGGCGCAGGTGAGCACACCTAAACTCAGACAATGTATGACAAAAGTTGACAGCGGATGTTTTAGCCTACCGCAGCCAAAATTGCAGATGTGTTTGGCAGAGCGGAACTTATTCTCGTTGCGATCGTTTTCTACACTGTCGGTACAGTAGTTGAGACTTGCGCTAAGAATGTCGAGACCTTTTGTGCAGGCGCCGTGATCTACCAGGTAAGATGCGCACATCCATTTTATTTTGATATACGCTAACTCGGTCCAGATTGGTTATACTAGTATTATGCTCCTTGTTGAGGTCCTCATTGCTGATGTTACCTCCACCCGGTCCCGTCTCCTCTTCTCCTATATCCCGGGTTTGCCATTCATTGTGAGTTTCGCTTCATCACAACATCACCCATAAATCCAAAGATAGGAATGTTAATATGCCTTAGATCAACACTTGGATCAGCGGTAACTTGACTACCTCCGTGCTGAAGGTTACGACTTGGCAATGGGGCATCGGAATGTTCGCAATTATCTTCCCCGTGTGCGCTATGCCCCTTCTGGCCGTCTTGGTTATTGTCGCACGACGAACAAGAAAGAGTGGAGCTCTGGAATCTTATAAGAGCTCCTTCGAGCTACTTGGCGGAAAGAAACTGGCATCAGAGCTCTTCTGGCACTTGGATGTTATCGGCAACATCCTGCTCATCGGTATGCTGGCTTGCATCCTTGTTCCGTTCACCCTTGCCGGAGGTGTTACTTCGCAATGGAAGACCGCCAAAGTTATTGCACCTCTTGTTGTGGGCGTTTGCTTGATTCCTGCCTGGGTTTACTGGGAGCGGACTTGCAAGTATCCTATGTTGCCTTTCAAGGTTGGTTTACACTGTGAGAGATTTGTCTCGTGTCAATTGCTAACCTACTATCCAGCTTCTTCGAGACCGCGCTGTTTGGGGTTCTATTGGTATTGCCGTTATGCTTAACACCGGTAAGTTCGTTGCGTGGTTTCTCTATGCTGCATATCTAATCTCATTTGTGACAGCCTGGTACTTGCAAGGAGACTTCCTATACACAGTTCTCATCGTCAGCTTCGACGAAACAGTCACCAGCGCAACTCGAATCACCTCTCTTTACAGTTTCGCTTCAGTCCTCACTGGTGTCTTCATCGGATTCGTCGTGCTGAAGCTACGCCAATTGAAGCCATTCATCGTCTCCGGAACTGTTCTCTTCATGGTTGCCTTTGGTATCCTGATTTACTTCCGTGGTGGCGCCGGGGGCTCTAGCCACTCTGGTGTCATTGGCGCGCAAGTGCTGCTGGGTATTGGTAAGTTATATACAAAAACCACACCAATCCACATCAATGAAAGCAGACATGACTGACAGTCCGTTAGCTGGCGGTATGTTCCCCTACCCAGCCCAAGCCAGTATCCAAGTTGCGACCAAACACGAACGTGAGTACCCATTTGTCTCTTATAAGTAACCCCTTAATCCCAGACTCATACTCACACCACAACGCCAGACCTCGCCGTTATCACCGGTATCTACCTAGCATCCTACAATATCGGCAGCGCTTTAGGAAACACCATCTCCGGCGCAATCTGGAACCAAGTCCTCCCCGGTGAACTGATCCGTCACGTCGGCAACGCAACTCTTGCCGCCGAAATCTACGCCGCACCCCTCGACTTTGCAGTCGCTTATCCTGTCGGCACCCCCGATCGTGATAACGCTATTCTCGCTTATAAGCAGACTCAGCGTTTGCTTTGCATTACTGGTATCTGTCTTACTGTGCCTCTGATTGCCTTTGCTTTGTGTATTCGCAACCCTATCCTTACCAAGGAGCAGACTTTGGCGAAGGCTGAGGAGGATAGCAGTGATTCCGAGTAATCTTCCTGCTTTGGATGGGAATCTTTAGCTTGAGTTGATTGTTGCATACATGTATTTTACGCTTGATGTTTGATTATGTGAAGGAAGATGAACGGTTCGATATGTGATGTATGTGGTATGTGAGCAATGTTTCTAATTTTGAGTCTCGGATATTTTCCGGATAGCCCTATGTGGAGAATATGCGATCTGCAATGTCGGTCAGTTGCATCTGATCGTCGTTTGACATTGTGGAGTGAAACATCGGGTAATCTCTGTTTTAAACTGCTTTTCCTTCATCGCCTTCCACGAAGAGTTTGGTTATATTCCGCGACAGACGTGACCGCGAGGCTACCTGTGATGATATCCAAGTCCGCCCCACTACATGGGGTAAATGTCTCACTGACACTGGATAGTTCCCCCATGTTTCACGCCCGAATGTCCTTTTTGATCAGATAAACCTTTCCTGTAACCAGGGGGCTCACAGGCAAGATCTTCATAGAAGGCCTTGTGACGGACAATATCATGGATCATACGACACCTCGGACCCTCGAACACCCGACGTAGTTTGGAACACAATTTGCCTGAAGAAGCCCCCCCCCGCTGATCATCACTCAGTGTCAGAATCCGACCAATCGCAGCCCCCAGATGTCCACATATTGACGGCTCCACCTCGGCGATAAAAACAAGGACAAAGGCCGATCGGACTTCGTTGAGGCCGAATGGACATGGGTACATGATTCCATCAGGAAAAAGCGGATGTACCCACCCCTAATGGCGATTGTCACTGCTCAACGTAGTATTTCTACTCCACTGCGCCATCGGTAGAGCGACATGCGACGAAACAGACTAGAAAATGCCCAAATGTAGAGATGATCTGCAGTCAAGCTCAATCTATTTAAGAGGAATCACGCCATCCGTCTCCAGAATGTAGCCATCTGCTCCTCACCTCATTGCATCGCGTCAACTTAAGCTTAAATCCCATACCAAGTATTCGGAGAATACAGCAACAAAATCAACTATACACCATGGCCGTCACTACCCCACAACAAACTGAGCCCAACCGCCTCCTACTTATCAGCGTACCCCGCACAGCCTCAAACCTCCTCTTAAAAGTCCTCAACATCGCCAACCAACCAAATGTCCTCACAAGCCCCAAGGGTGGCTACTTCTTCTTCGATGCCTTTATGGCCTCCGGGAAAGACGGCCGTCTAAACAAGCCCCTCTCACAATGGACAGAAACCGACAGAACTGAAGTGCAGAACGCTTTCCAATCCAGCATCGACAGCCTGGAAGTCTACTCAGCCCGTGCCCGCGCCGAGAACAAGATTATGTTCGCTAAAGAGCACGCTTTCTGGTTTACCAACCCAGGAGTTTTCAGTAGTATGATCCATGGTTCCAACAAAGAAGAAGATAAGAAGTCGTTTAGAGTCACCCTGCAGGAGAGCTATGGCGCCCCGACGTTCTCTGCCCACAATGATACTATCCTCCCTGATCAATATCTGCGCACGTGGAAGCTGGCTTTCATCATTCGTCACCCGGCACTGGCCTGGCCATCCATGTATCGGGCCATGCAGAAGATTTCCCAGGCGGGGTATATCGACGAGGATGGTATTAAGGGCATGAGCATGTCGAATATGAGTATGTCATGGACACGCCGACTGTTCGACTGGGCGATGGAGCAGCCAGATGTGCCTACTCAACCGTTGGTTATCGATGCCAATGATGTAATCCATAACCCGGCTGCTGTGGTGAAGTTCTGTGAACTTGCCGGCCTTGATAGTGCCGCCATGCAGTTTGAGTGGGGTGGAGTGGTTGAGAAGAAGTCTGAGTCTTGGTCTCAAGATCGTGCGCCTACTTCTGGGGATGCGGCGGAGCTTGAAAGGCAAAGGAAGGCTGCTGCTATTATGTTGGCTACGCTTGAGGGGTCGACTGGTATTGTCAAGGATAAGACACCGTTGGAGGTGGATGTTGATGTTGAGGTTGCTAAGTGGAAGTCCGAATTTGGGGATGAAGCTGCTGCTTTGCTTGAGAAGGCTACTCGGGATGCGATGGATGATTATGAGTATTTGACAGAGCGGAGGGTCAAGGTCTAGGTTAGGATCATGTGCATGTGCAATAATTACAGGTTCGGGATGGATATTGCTTTGTGTTTCTAGGTTGATTTTGATAATTGCGGCCTCTTATGAATCTGTTCTAAAGAATGGTACTCTGTTGAATATTCAGATGTGGCGATATGAGAGGATTTAGTCCTACCAAGAGTCGCTATGTAGACGCCTGCCACGTCCACGTCAGAATAGAAATCATATATACCAACTCGCTTCCGTAGCAAAACGAAATAGAACAGTTTGGAAAGCCTTCATGGCGGGCGAAGGCTTTGAGGGAGATGAACAGATATAGAGGGCACAGAAGGAAGAATTGGACACACAGAAGACTGGCGATTTAAATACATAGCGGACTCTCCTTAATGTGACGACATTGCTGACTGTGACCAAGATGAACGACCGAAAAACCCCCAATCGGTTGGCCAAAAAACTCGACGATCTGTTTACCAGAGTATCTGGCTGAACTCGATTCTGATGCCGGATAGGCGTTCTGGGTGTCCCAAGTGGTAAGAGTTTAGATACGGTAAACTGGAGGGCTTAGCCGTGTAAATTTGGGACCGACACTGCAAATGCCGCCTTGTAGAGTGCGATTCGATTGCATAGCTATAATTTCATACATTGCAGAACTTTCAGTGTGCTAAACAGAAGTATGCACAGAACCACAATTTTCCACGGTCTCACTTCAATAACAGAGTAATCAAAACCCTCGAGGCTGACGGACACGACTTCTCCTCGGGCTGGTTTTGAAGGCCCATAAGACACGATACAGCTTCCCGTGCTACATAAACACCATAGCTTGTGTCCACACAACTCCGCCATGGAGTCTCGACAAAAGGCCCAACCAGACCGAGATTTGTCACCGACTTTGGGGTAACGCAAGGGCGATCTCGAAGGGATCTGGTCAATAATGTCGAGCTCATTCTCGGCATCGCACGTGGTATGGTAATAGACTGCTGCATGACTTCCGCACTCATTCCGTCAGGGAGATCAAGATGATATAAGATCTCGGACATTATTTCTGCACCGGAACATAGCAGCATATTCTTTCTGACATGTTCACCTTCATTCTCGGGAAAGAGTGCAAAGCCCCAGAGGACACGGACATCTTGCGATTGTTGAGCAAACACGGGCTGGACAGGGACACAAAGCCTTATGCCCCAGTGACTCCTCTTCATAAGAATCATTGTACCGGCCTGAGGTGCGCATTGCGATAGAGATTCAAGGTAGTCGACGAATTCAATGTGTTCCGTTGTGATAGTAAAGGATTCCAACATCGATTCCGATTTGCGTGTGCAGAAAGTGTAAGGATTGCCATGGTCGGGATAGTTATTGCCAGCTTCCAGCCACAGTGCCCAGTTTGCGTCGAGTTGGTCTCTTGCTTCGATTGAACTCCAAGCTGGTGGCATATCATTTGTTCCAGTTGAAGAACCTGACACAGTCGAGCCTGGTGTAGCGATTACAATATCGCTAGGTCCTAGAAAATGTTTGAAGTCAAGGCCGTGCTGAGTAATAGCTATTCGACTGATCATATGCCGGTTTTGATGGACGGTAGTTTCGATATTACGAATTTTGACGCCGAATTGAATATCAACGCCCAGACTCTGGAGGAAGAAAAATATCGGAAGATATACTGCCTCGTACTGATAACGGCCCGTGAGATCCAGACAGGTCAAAATGCCTAAGCTGTGGAAGCTAGACAAATACTGCCTGACAGCTCGCCTGAATTCTATGGCACTGTGCCAAGGTTGAAATCCGAATCTTATAGATTCGCATATAAAAAGTTAGAGCCGGTAGATAATTACCTAAGAGAATGCAAATTGCTCACTGTGTTGACCAGATTGTCCAAAACGTACTTGCAAAGAAGCTGTCCCCAAAGAAATTCCTGATCTCCTTCTTTTCCAGGCCTTTCTCACATTTCAGAAGAAGACGCACTAAATGTAGTCTGTCGCTCCACCCTATGTTTAGCGACTTTGTGGGCAGACTCTCGAAACCTTCCTCATTTTGAGCGACAAAACAAGTGCCCCCATTTGAAGTAATGGCGAGCTTCTTCTCCTCTTCTTGAATATAATGGAGATAGGAGTAGCCGTCCGCCACTGCAGATGGAATCATATCGAGAATCTCCCTCAATTCCAGTCCAACAGGAACAGGGAGGCACCCTGCAAACTGGTCGTATCCGGCATGCCCATTACCTTGTTGATGTAATGCTTGCTGCAGGGACAAGTGCTCATCTAGGATGTGCACAGCAGAAGGACGTAAACGGGCAAGCTTTATCAGATAAACTGCTGATGCCAGAGATGCAGTTCCACTTCCGAGAATCCAGGCCTCAGTCTGTTCAGGTAAGCGACGGTTTTGTCGTACTGAGTTAGCCATGGCAAATATGTCTGGGGTAATCGTATTCGAGTGTAGTGGAACTGTGGAACTAGTGAGGTGAATGTGTGTTCAACCTGGAAGAAAGAACAACATCGCGTATTAATTCTCTTAATTCTCAGGAGAAAGTGGCAGGATAGTGGCGATATGAGGCGTTCGAGTCCGTCGGTGATCAAAGCCAAATGATTATTTTGTCCAGCCACCGGGTCCGTTTGAAAAAAGACCATGGCTCAGTTCTACATGACAGGACCGTCTAGAACATAGAAAGCATATGATCAATTTTGGACCTTGTAACCAATAGATCATGACGGGCTATCATATGTTGCGTGACATGTACCAAGACTCTCTGAATAAAGCTTGAGTCCAACGGGCGGTATGCTATATATCGATGACGTCATCAACGGGGTGGTGTAATTCTTTACGCATCATCGAAGCAAGTGATTTAAATGTTCTTTATTCCTACAGCGAACAAGAACGAACTCGCTTTTGGGTATCATGTTGGCGCCTATTCTGATTGGAATCGATTAACTGATACTGTTGGCCACGGCTCTTTATGCAAGCTGATTCTCGCTGGACTGGGTCGCTGGATGCATTTAGCTTGCTGAGGTTTAGGGAACAATAGGTGAAAGTGTACCTCTGAAAAAGATCGTTCGATGATGATAAATTCAGCATACTGGATGAACTACCTGGCTAGATTGGATTGCTCTGGGGTCAAAGAAACCAGGAACATCGCACTGGGTAGTTAGCAAAGATACCAACCCAAGACGGACTATGAAGGATACGACTTAGTGAAGCTGCGGAAAAACATGGTAAAACAACCCTGCCAGTGCATGAGCGCTACTGGTGGTGGTGACATTTGATAAGTCTTATTGGAGTTTACTGGAATGCTTGTTACAACGAATAATACATGAGTCAAAGAATTAGAACGAATTATGGGCTGTTAGATCTATGCTAGATCCTTTTCTTTTTTGTTTTTGTCTATTGGTTCATGAAACAGCCATCCAGAATGATGTTTTGTCCAAGACAACAAGGCTTTTCAAACTCCATTGTCCAAGTCGATTCTTACAGCGTGTTATTGATTAAGTTTACCTTGAAATTCTATAACTTCCAAGCCTCATTGTTCTGAGATTGGGCGCACGCTAGATATAGAGCATTGTGTGGGGCTTCTTGACAAAACAAAGGGTGTCATTAGTCTCATAGGATAGAAAATTGAAACCCATGCTCAAATGACTCTCTCAGCAACAAAAAGGAAGAAGGAGAAAGAAACTTTAGTGAACAACTTCCACGTCTTTCTCGGTATTTTGATGAAGTTACTGCAAATTACCAGAATTTCGTGCTGAGAAGGACGTACGCACATCCTTTCTCCTCAGGAGGCCTTGAAGCCTATCACAAATTCTCAAATAGGTCAGATTGACCATTTACCGGGGGGCAGTACTCAAACTCCAAGCAGTCTCCAACAACCAAAACACAACTCTGGGTGGCTGGACTGAATCGCTGATCATCTGGACATTGAGGGCCTTCACTTGAGACACACTTTTTGAGATCCTTGTCAAACACCATTCCAGGATCATCGCATACGGGATTAGAATCAGCCACACATGTCCCTTTAGCCTGATTGAAAATCATTCCATCACCGCAATCAGGCACGTCCGGAGACCGACAGTCCTCACCATCCCAGTACGTATTGCTTCCTTCGGGACACTTCGGAGGCTCGGGGTGAATACACTGGCCATCACGTAGCTCGAGCTCTCCACAATCACCTGGAATATCAGAGACACACTCTCCATCTTGCTCATGGTATCCAGAGCCACACTCAGTCTTGTCCTTCTTGCGACACTTGCTTTCGGGTCCGAACCACTCGTAACCTTCCTGAGTACACTTAGGGTATTCACGGCTGACGCAGCGACCCTGGCGAGAGTCGGTACCTTCCGGACATTGGGCCTCTCCAACAAAACATTCGCCCTTACGTAAAATGCCATGTTCGCAGGTAGGCTGCTTCTGGGAGATGCAATCGCCTTCTGGAGTCAAGGTCAAGGGATGCGTACACTTTGGCGTCGTGGAAGAAACACATCGGCCGTTGAAATAGTTGAACCCGGTTTGACAGTGAGGTGTCTCTCCTGTTAGACATGTGTTGCCATCGTGTACGCCAGTGGGGCAGTGAGGCATGTCGTCAACAACGCAATGACCTTTTCCATCGAACTTGGCTCGTGGGATCGAGCACAAAGGGCCAATGTCGCTGATGCACCGATCGTCCTCGAAGTGGCTGCCCTGGGGGCAGTTCAATGGCACGATAGAGACGCACTCCCCGTTTATCAATTTGGTGTCTTCCGGACACCGTGGCGCCTGTGTAGATACACACCGGTTGTGATTATCCCTATCGTAACCCTCACCGCATTTAGGCTGAGCTTTGAACACGCACTTTCCGTCCTTCAGATTGGCGCTTGGCTGACAAGCCGCAGGCAGTGGTCTGAGCTTGCATTTATCACCGGATGGTGTCCATCCAGGAAGGCAACCATCGGAGCCTGCCTTTGAGACACAGGACACGCCGTCCCAGCTAGAACCTCCAGGGCAGCATTGTGATGTGCCAGCTGATGGATTGAAAGACAGATCGTAACCATCTGTACACTGGGGACCTTCGGTCGAGATACATCTCTTTCCATCCACCTTAAGCGATGAATCCTCGCAGGTGGGTGGAGAGCGAGATACGCACTTGCCAATATCAGGAACCAAATTTTCATTCTTTCCACAACTGGGGCCGACATCAGACACACAGGCACCATTCTTTGGGTGAGTGCTGGGAATTGGGCATCCGTTGCTGGTTGAGGAGACACAAAGTCCAATCTTTGTGTCGTAAACGGAACCATGGGCACATTCAGGCACGGTTTTACTGACACAGAATCCGTCGATGTATTCGCTGCCCTCCCCGCACTGGGGACCCTGAGAGCTAACGCAAGCCCCATCTTGAAAATTGTCGGTGCCAGTGCACTGGGGCTGAGCTTTTGAAACGCAGAGATTGCCTTCCTGTTTCAGATCGCCGTCGCATATAGCTCCTCGAGGGTCAACGCAGTTCCTCCCCTTGAGCTTCAACTCGCCGGGACAACGAGGAGGAGATTCTGTGATACACAAGCCATCTGGGCTAACCGTTTGGCCTTTTTCGCATCGGGGAGATGTTCTAGAAACACATTTGCCATCTTCAAGAGTGGAGGCGCCAGGGCATGTAGCAGAACCCAGAACGCATGTCTTTCCGTCAAAGGTTGTACCCCGAGGACAGCATTTGGTCTCCCCCGACCTTATATCAAGAGAAGGGGTAATATCGTCCAAACTGAGCTTATTCCATGTTGGGGAGAAGCCTGGCATGGGTTGTTGCATAGAAGCATTTGCAAGGTTGGATGCCAGGAAAAGAGCCAACACTGTCTTTAGTGGCGCCATGTTGGATGCGATGACTGGAAGTAGACACTGGACTAATCAAGCCGGTTTGTTTGCTTCTTAAGTACCCGTGGCACTGTTCCCTCTACCCAGCTCCGAGTATTGGCGCATCTGGACTCGCTCAGCATACAAACACCAGCTCCACTCTTGTCGAGGCTGACGAGCGCTCTACGCTGACACACTACTGAATATGCGCAATTGAATCATGACACTGATTTTAGGAAACCCCCGCATTTCCACCATCCCTTACGCTTACGCCACAATCACATCGAAGATCCAAGTGCAGGTGCCGATCAATTGATCTGTCTCATGAGTTCAATGCGAAGGTGCATTGCCGGGGGACTTCCTAATGTCTCAAAGCTCTTCTGCCACCATACGGAACTGTATCCAAACAGGAGATTCCCAGGGTCTATCCCATTCCCTCGCAGGTGAAAAGTTCTCAAAGACAACCAGATTGAGCTGAAGTCAATTTATTGTCTGCATTTCTGATAATTATTCATCTAAATCTAAGCGAATAGAGTATATTTCATGCGACGTACGTTGGGAGCACTGAACTTGATCGATTATAGTATGACTGAGTACTTAGTACGCCATGGCACACATGGTGCTGAATATGCACGATTGGCTGTCTTTGGCATGATCGCTATGGCTTCGCTGCAGCTGTGTCCTAGCCAATGAGCCTTTCAGTAGACTTCTAGGTCGTCTCTGATGATCTTTCAGCTCATGCATAATAAAATTCTAGTTCCTACGCGACGATCCTTGCTTCCCCGCAGGGTAAGATAAGGGAAGGCCAGACGATCCGAGCCTCCCGCTCATGCAATCAATTGAGATATTCCGGCGTGGGTATTTGTCAAACCAGGTGTGCGGCTGAACCTGCACTTCCGCCACCACAGGGGTTCGAGCATGCAGAGATCTCGATGGCCCAATGCAAAGCAAGTTCATTCACTTCTTACATCACTCGCGATGTACACGTAGAACTCAACGTATACGGAGTAAACAGGCAAGTTTCCCGAGCCTTGTTACCACATCATAAGTGCCATGATGCCGTTACTATAGGAAATGATTTGACTTGAAAACTATACTTATGATTAGGGAGACCAGATCATCACTACTAGGTCTTACATTTGCAAATATGCGATTGATGATCTGCCTTTCCTTGCTACTAGCATTTTTGGGCAACAGGGCCGTCGGCCAGTATGCTGCGTCTTCCCCAAGCCAATGCCTCACCTCGCACATTTCGAAGGATCAAAGCTGGAAGGCATGCTGCGATGGTTCGAGGACTGGTACGATTGACTTGGGGGATACCACATTCGACTTCACCTGCAACTCCTTCCTGAGTCCCCAAGAAGAATTCGCAGGGCTGGGCTTCTACAATGCGTACGAATGTGCCAACGCATGTGCCGAGACCGAGAAATGTGAAGCAGCATTTTGGGATTCGAAGAACAACAAATGTTTTTATGCACCCTTACACAGCCAGAAGATCACTATGGATAAATACTTCACGCTGGAAAATAAAAGACCGAGAGCGAATCGCCCGCCAAACGCGGCAACGGACTGTCAATCTCAAGTCAAGCAAGCGACAGCCGACTGCCAGGCCACGGAGAGGGAACAATGTGACAAGCGCATTGCAGATCAAGAACAGTTGCTGCGTGGAGAATTGGACCACAAGTCGACAGAGATGTGCAACAAGGAAAAAGAGCGATTGAGGAAGCAGTTTAAAGAAGACCAAGCTTCCCAAGAAGAGAGAAATCGCCGGGCCATTCAGCAATTAGAGGATCAGATATCTCAACTCAAGAATCAAAACAAGGATCAGGAGCCTGGGAAGAAACCGGGTCCTGGCGGTACCCCAGGAGACGACGTTGAACCAACGCCGACAGGCTCTTCAGGCTCTCAGGGATCTAGGGTTCCTTTAGAAAAGCAATGGAAATGCCCTGAGCAAGACGGCAAGGAATATACCGTCCTGGGAGTCACTTATCGCGTGTTTTGCGACTCCCAGCCCAGTGGCCAGGCAATGGCTGGCGGCAGGTTCAATACGAAACATCCGGAGTTCTTGATGGCAATGTGTTCTGTGGATAGCAACTGTCAAGGCATCAGAGCCAAGAGCAGCACTGCAGAGCTGGTGCGCGACTACGAGTACCCTCCAAAACAGAAGTCAAAGTACACTGGATGGTGGAGCATTGTTCCAGTCACTCAAAAATCCGAAAAGAGTGCCATTGTTCCTGATATTTTCAGCCAATCCACCGCTACCGCTAGGGCTTCGAATGATGCCAGTTGCCCCTCAATTGATGGAAAAGGTCTTGTTGTTGGAGAAAATGAGTTTCATATCAACTGCAGAGGTACATATTGGTCCCGCGGAGCTTATCCAGCACCCATCGCTGCGTCTTTCCGGCAGTGCCTGGTAATGTGTACCATCCTTGAGTGGTGTCAGGGTGTGAGGTATGTAAATAGCTGTTTGCTCATCTCTCAACATGACACGCTGGAAGGGAGTACACCAAAGAACCAATTGTCCCCTTGGTATTTGGCAATGCTCACCGTGCCACGGATCTCTAATGACCAAAAGAGTACTGTGCTATAAACAATTGCTGTGAACTGTTCTGAATTTGAATGAAATCTTGTTTGGAAACAATGATCTCATTACCAACTGATCACTTATGGGCGCATTTCATCTGATTCTATCGTGATCGTTGTGTCTTGGTGTAAATAGTCCGTATGGAAATTCGCTAGGAGACGGCCTTGTTACTCTGCCTGGGCATTATAATGGAGATTCCCTCAATGCTATCGACGCTCTAACCAACATGGAGTTGCTGAATGGTAAGGAGGTATTATCTGTATGAGAGTGATATGCTTGCGGGGTTTCCCGTACCGTAACACTGTAGTTAGCCATTCTCGTCATCAACCGTCGCAGGCAAAGTATTCTCAAAGCCGCAGAGAAGGACGCAGTAGTTGCAAGAAGGATCTGTACCAGTAGACTTCGAGTACTCAGAATTTTCCAGGATCTGCAGCAGCTGGTCAGACGAACGGGTCTGTGCTCCAAATAGCTGAAGAATCTCCCGAAAAATATACCTATGCTCATTCTGACATATTTTGCACTGCAGCTGAAAGAGCGTGTCACTCAAAATCCAGATTGAATGACTTACAAGCAATAATCGGTGGCTTGAAATGCTTGACGCTAGCAGACTCGAGACGACTGTGATATATCGTGCATATCACTCGGACCGACTCCACCAACCACCGGCTCAAGGGCCTGAAAGCTGCAGTCCGCTGCAAAGCAAATACCTCAGCTGATGCTCGTTCAATCACAGATTTTTCTGCTTAGCCGAACAACTTCGTAACTCCACTGGCTGATCCCTAGGCAACCGCCGATCTTAGTGGTACTTGCTTCCTATTCTCTGCTGAACTCAATCTCAAAGGCTATTGCTTCTCATCCCGGAAGGTTGGCCGGGAATAGAGCTGTGACTTATGCAGACATGCTATGCCATCACATGTACTTTGTGACACAACATTTCGTCGAGCTTGCCAATGCGTTCGACATGCATGAGCAGTCAGGGCTATGTACATTGTCAGACCCGTGGTATGTACGGACTTTCACCATCATGCCCGACGATCGGTGTCCCATGCACGAGGCAATTCCAAATCTATAGTTCGCACGCATTAGGTTTGAAGCTTTTCAGCTGTGCTCTTCAGCCTGAGGGGTCATTGAGATCAGAATCCAACGTCATTGTGCTCTTGTTCGGATGTTTTCCATCATAGGTAGGTGGAAGAGGTCCGAGGGACAAGATCAACCCGACCCGGAGAGTTATAAACGTTACCTCTGAGCCATGTCGATGAATACAGATTTCTCTTGCCCAAAACAAAGCTCCAGAGCTCTTCAGCAAAATATCTTTCTCGCACCAGTTTTTCACATTCATCCAAGATGGTATTCTACGCATACGCGGCGTCGGTAATCATTGCTAGTCCTTTGTCTTGCTGCATCTGATGTTTCATACTAAGTGGTTACCACCAGGATACCGACATGAACGCGCGATTTGTTATCACGGCACCATCGGTTGAGGTAGTTGACGAATGGTTTCTTGACGCCCGTGCTGATGGACTAGAAGCCACAAGACATGGTCCTGAGCTCTATACATACAAGTATTCCCAAGCTCAGTGGATCTACGACTGGAGTATCGGATCGGGAACAGCCGCAACCAAGTCTAGCAGGAACAAAATCTTTTTCACTAGATTTAATGATGCTGCTGGGTTTCAACAGTCTATGATTCCAAACCAGTTTGCGCCCAATCATATCTCTGGCAACACGTAAATACCCTGAGCAACTATACTCTTCAGGTACCTTGCTGATCAAGAACTATTTAGTTTCTACATTCGATCCAAGAGTAAGCCCAGTGTTTTCTGGAATGTCGATGAGAATTTCGTCTATGCCACACAGCTCGCTCGCACCAGATTCAAAATATCCATTCAAGGCGGATCCAAGGGAGATGTTATGATTCCAAAACACGATATTGTTATCACTGCTCTCCTAGGAAATCCCTTGAGAGAGTATACGGTCTATTGGAGTTCAGAGAACGCTCTGAAGACCGAAGCTGCTGATGTCGGCGGTGGCGGCGCACTCGTTCCAGGCCCTGGATACCCATATCCAGGCCAAGGCTATCCAGGGTGGCCGCAGATGAATATCTCCACCTTCAAGTTTGAGTCTTTTAAGAACTGCTTCATTCCTATTGGAAAGGACATTGAGCATAATGACGCCAAGTTGGCCTTTTACAAAGATGCTGGCGAGGAATGGGAACTTGTTTCCTAAATTGTATCTTGACATTGTCGTTGCTGGTAACCTTGAACCTATTTCTTACTTTGACGGTGCTTAAGCTTAGTATTGTTAGCTGTTCGGCCTTGTTTCTCCTGTGCTGTCCCATTGCCAAAGGGTCGGACTGACTCAGTTCTATTCTGTCCTTGCCTTTGCTAAACTGGTTTGATTGTTCAACTCTGCTAGGCTCTCTCGGTTCTTCTTTTATGTTAAGGAAATCTCACTCTTTGAAATACAATGTCATGATCTTTTTCATCAGTGATATATGGATGTGTTGTTGATTTCATAATAGACCATTCTACACAACGATCAATTGTTTCTATTCTATATCTAAGCCCAAGAATGTGTTCTTTGATAGATACTGAATGGGGGACTTTCCTTGGACCCGAGCATAAAGGTTGGCTGCTGCGACAATCTAGGCTGGCGTATCCAGAATGGCCAAGTAGAGTAACCTGCCCTGCTTCACAAGGATATGAATACTATCCATAATCTCCTCAAAAAATGTTTTTAATCTCAACAGTGGACGTACACTATATCGATCCAATACGTTTGCAACTTCTTCAACGAATCACGGACACTCGTGTGAAGACTGCATCTGGAATTTGATAGCAACTACTGATTAATCGAGGTTCTTGCGCTCGGTCATCTATTCCCCGACCTAAGTCTCCGATTCTTCGTCTTGGTAATTGTTTGCCGTATCGATGAAATTTCCGCCGGCTTCGAAGAAAAGCATCGAGAAGTTTTCAAACGCATACGTTCGACCCATGACATTGTATCAAGTTGTACTGGTGAAATACGAATCCCAGCGGTGGAAGAGAGAATGCGATACCGTCCCAATTCGGTACTTGGTTCGGGGACAGGGGCCCGGACATCCGCCATCTTGATCATAGGTGCTTGATGAACAAAACACAAGGAGCAATGGAGTTCTCAGAACATACAGCTGCGCAACACTGCAGAGTGTATATTATTTTGATGTTTCGGAATTACATTCAGCCGATGGGGACCTACCTGTCTGATATATGCACACCAGCGTTAATATATAAATGGATCAAGGATGTGGTTTTGGAAGCGAGAGGTATTTTGGCCGAAAATGATCTCCTTTACCCGTCAGCCACATCGGACACAAACTTCGACCCAATGTTTGTAAAAATAATCAGCTCTAGCAGGCAAATGGCATAGAGCTTGCCACAAGCAATACCAACTTGTTTGCTCTGACTTCGCTAGTACCTTAACTCAGAATTTGAACCAAAGTGTATCGAAATCTTCCAACGAAGCTTATTTATTGCATTTGGTTAAGAATAACCTCAGCGTTTCTCAAAAGCACCTAGCCATCTACCCAACTCAACTCCGAACTGTCCCGGTTGGTCAAGCATACTAAGATGGCCAGCTTTCTCCATGACCGCAACCTCTTTAGCTGCTAGTGCCTTTCCTAGCCTCCAAGCACTTTCTGCCGGTATCCACTTATCATCAGCACCCCAAATAACCTTGACAGGCATATTGCGCCCGACCTCTCCATATCGGCCTTCAACCGCTGCCGTGGATCTTGAATTAGCTTGGCATAACTCTCGAATAAACTGCGCTCTTCCGCCCTCTCGCATCCATGGGGACTTCAGCATTTGCATTATCTCCTTTGGTAATTCATAGAATGCAGCGTTACGAATGTAACTCTCCAATATGCCCTCAAACGCCATTTCAGGCAGCCTCATAAAGTGATGGGGGTCATTGGCGACAACTTCGAAAAGCGATTTGCCGAATGGTCCAATTGCAACCACATCGATGAGACAAAGACTTGCGTATTGACAGTCATGGAGTAGGTGCGCTCGTAAGCTGATCAAGCCAGCGTTATCGTGAGCCACTATATTGGCCCTCTGGTTATGCCACTCTTTTTCCCATGATTTGAAAAGCGCGGCGTAGACCTCAGCTTGCCGGGCAAGATCTGCATCCAGCTCCCCGGCCTTCCTAGCGCTGGTGGTTGTACCGGGCAACTGTTGTTCAGGGAGGGAGTCGCCGAAGCCAGGCCTATCAAAAAGGTAAATGTGGAAATGACGAGATAGAGAGAGGGCGAAAGGTACCCAGAGTCTGGATGACCAGGGCGTGCCGTGAATGAAGATGAGCGGTGGGGAAGCAGGGTTGCCTAGCGAACACCATTTGACAATATAGCTATAAGCTGAATTCTGATACTGAAATGTCTGGTTGAGAGAGGTAGTATCGTTGTTGTAGACTGAAGACATTATTTCTCTAGGTCGTCGATCGGACAAGGCTCTGGAGAAGTCGCTGTTTTGCGACATGCGTGCCGGTTATGCTTGCGAGCAAGGGTGGAATAAATAAACCGCGAAGGTACCTATGCAATCACACCGCTCTTTCAGGATTGTTAGAACAAGGGAAAGCGTTAGGGCTCTCGATAATAGAAACTTGGAACAGACCCGGTGGGCTGCGATATGCGGAACAACTGGCGTCATAATCCACCGTTTCTTTGTTTGTCCCTTCTAGAATTAGGAATCACCTGGGGTACCACTCACCCCACGTAGAAAGGCTGACTATAACCTCGGCAATCGCGAATCTCATATGGATATCCTGGTTTTATCGACGATTTTGAGTTGAACCGAGAATAAACCGATTGTATAGCATCACTGCGTTGTGGTTCTCACCTGGCGCTTCATGCGGGTGGACCCGATCGGCAACGAACTTGGGGCGCTCATCCCACGATATAGATGATTAGCTATTTTAGAATGCCAGTCACGTTACGTGTCAAGAGTACATTAAGAGGCAGTCGTGAACCTAGAGTGTAGGACTGTATCCGAGGTATCATGTCGTTCTTCTGGTTTTGCGTACGCTTACCATTTCTGAATATCGAAACTGGTGATTGTATATGTGGAAATTGTATGACTGAACCAAGGCTTGTAGCTGAAGCCGCGAATGATAATTACTGATTTAACATGTAAGATGAATTATATAAACAAGAATCATAAGAAAGCCCAATGACCCGGCCATCAGGATGAAATGCGAGCATATTCCTTGATAGGAGGCTCTTCACTAGACGCCGAACCTTTGTAAGTGGAGGAATCAATGGCGTTGTAAACATACGCCTCCACCTCCGAGCCGAGCATGTCAGTCAAAACAAGGCCCGGAGCGATGAGCTGGTTGCACACAGTGTCCAGATCAACACGGGACAAATCCGCCGGACCATCATGCGTCAGAGCATCAGCAAAGAGCGCATAAACCAGCGAGTTGAATAACAGGGGATCATGCGTATATAGAGTACCAGCAGGCTTGCCGGGACAGGCAAGCTGAATTTGTGTGTTTGTGACGCCAACCCCCCGTACATCTTTCAAGCGCGCCGATGCCTCCGGGCCGACTTGCGGCGCAACGAGCTCGTCAATGCCCGAGTATACACTGGTTGTCGGGACGTACGCAGAGTCTCCATCTCCAGCGCGGAGAGTGGTAATTAGATTCGAGTCGTAGCTTTGCTGTCTGAGTGCAGGTTTGCATAGGGTGTTCGGTACCAAGCACAATTCCTCTGAAAGGGAGCCGTGGAACTCGCCGCTAATTGACAAAAAGTCGGAGACTGAGTCCCAGGTCGATGGCCAGTACTTGAGCGCCCACTGGACGTCGATGCTACCCTGTGACCAGGCTAGCACGCCGATCTTTGTGTTTCCGGTGATACCGGAGATGTAGTTAATTGCGTATGCAATATATTCCGCAGTCACTTGGATGTCGCCGAGGGTATTGTCGGGAATATTGAGCCAGACAGAATCGGCGAAGTTGCTCTGATTGAACAATTTCTCGTAGTTGAAGTAGTATGTGGTACCGGCAGGGTTGGCAGTGCCAGGGACGAGAAGAACAGGCCGTTTTCCGTTGGCACCGTATTGGAATTCCTCGGGGATGTAGATTGATGAGCGGAGTTTTTCTTCGCTGATATCGTAGGGCGCATCGCTCGAGGCCTTCTTAGGGAATATTGTGCTTTCGGGTTCCCTGAGATTCTCGTTCTCCATCGAATTTAAGGACGAAGCTGTCAACCCCTGTACGAGATCGAGAACATTCTTCGGGGCCAGGCCATTTTTGACGACATCGATAGCTACCCCGATGAGACCAACTTCACTTGCATTGCGTACATTTCCAAGCGAACCCAGAGCTTCTTCGATAGTTGTAACGGGATCGATCTTGCCGTTTTCAACATCATCCAGGGTAGATACTAGCAGAGCTAGATCTTGTGTGATGCCTTGTCCGAGGTAGCCGATGCTCTTGATGGTGTTTGAAAGACTTGATATTAAGTCACGGGGTTGTAATGGAGAGACACTAGCCGGCGTGGCCAACACCGACAATAATTGGGGAAGCAGCAAAGAAGCTGTTCTTAAAGCGTACATGCTGTCAGAGGTACATGTGAAGGACGAAAGGTACAGCTCAAATTTTGAAGATTATCCCTACCCACAATGGAAGTTCCCAGTCCTATAAATGTCCCACAAGCCCCCTGAGCCAGATCCTCGAGTCGAGCTAGGCTAGATCTGAGATCTCGGCTTTTAGGTTTGCAAAACCTTGGCTCTGTGTCTCAATTTCCCGGTACGGCTAAGTTCCGTTCAGATCCGGCAATTGCGCGTATCAAATTCGCTTATTGCATGGTCTTTAGGAAAATCGTAATATGGAAACCGAAGAACAGAATTGTGGTTATTATAATGAGCTCTCCATCGCCTCAACAACATGTCCTTGCTGTTTGTTTTATGACAAAGATCTCACGCCCTTGCGTATGCCTGGGAAACGCTGGCAGCCAGACTAGCGCCTGATGGAGAGAGAACTTACATACGTCGCCGACTATTGTTCATAGTCGAATAAAAAACGCCATCTGGACTATTTTGCCCACTAATACAGGATAGTGTGGGTCAAGAAGCTCTGTTCGGTCGGAAGTTTTCCTATGGCCACCGATTTGGTATTTGTGATGCCGATCGTCATAACACCCCAACCCTTCGCTGAATTAACTAGTCGAATCGGTAAGTTTTTAGTGCACATTTCATTTCCAGGCAAGTTCGTATGTGCCGATTCTCACAGTTAATTAGGGTGCCATATTAGATATCATTCAACACACAGGTGATTTAAAGCAATTGAGCTTCGAGTAATGGGATACATTGACTAATGCCACTTATTGGGCGGGCTCCAACAAAGCCCTATTGTCCATACGAGTCTGTGTGCTCGATACTATTTGTCAATAACACAGGCACGAGTTCCTAAAGCCGATATGGCTGAGCCTCATGGGCATATTCCATGCCCTGGACGTACGAACATACAGTAGCTCAGTCATAATGGCTGATCGGCCATGGAAACAAGGTTTGCTGGCCATCAGCCATAACCTTATTTGCCGCACTTTCCCGCTGCACCATACACATATTTCATGCAAGGGCTAATTTTCCTTTACAGTCTCTTCTTTGTTTGTTGTTGTTTTATGATTCATTGGCTTCCACTTGTTAGATGCGCCTAATGTCTTGCGACCTAGCCGTCTCTTCATATCGAGTAAGTTAGATGGCTAGAGAGGATTGCGAAATATTATGTTTGTCAAATGCAGTATTCAAATGATGCATTTCGTAAGAGGAATCATAGGTCCTTTCACACCTCTATGTGATGGATTATTTTTAACTGACTACAACCCGAGGCTTTTTGAAGATGAGCAAAGAGAGGATAAAAAAAGGGACCAGTGCAAAGCAAGGATAATCAATCAAAGTTACACTCTCTTTCAATTCTTCATGTAGGAAACATTCAATACTTTATCAGTAGCACCGTACACGAATATGACTCCTGTTGGGAGATGAATGACTCTTGTTAGTCAGTTTTGTTGCCTGCAACGATTCTGATCTGAGTGACCCTGAAAAATAGTTCTACCGCCTCCACAGAGGCACTAGGTCTGTGCTTTAACATAAAGCCGGGTATCAACCCAGTATTTCTCGAAGACGATCCTCCAACCTTATAGACATTGCAAAATTGTTGGCTCTCCTCATTCTTTTCATATCACTGTGGCCACTGCTTCAGATGAATTCCCCATTACGTTTTGGCAACAATGATTGCTTATTTACTGCTATATAACAAGGAGAAACGGCGTACACTTACATTTACTTCATGTGGGCTGAATACATTTCAACCAATTATCTCATCTCTTGACTCATTGTATTTTACAGAAATCCAGTAAATCAGCAGCACCCTGTTTTGCATGTCCTGAAAGCTTGTTTCAGACTTCAGCTTCTACTCAGCTAGGTAAAATGACAAGTCAGCTGCCTCGGCTCTCTCCCATTCAAGTTCACCATTTCCGAGATACGAGAAAGGATCCGAAGTAGTATGTCGGATATCAAAGTCCTCCCCCCGAATTTCCTCAATAGCCTCTGCAATGTTATGAGTCAATTTTGCGTCAAGATTTATTTCTTATTTTGCGAGCCACTTGCCTTTGAAATGAATTACGCTTCCTGGATACATGGCAGTTACAGCATGCTCATTGTTATACCACGCATTGCAGCCCTTGCTCCAAACGGTGTTTTTCAAGTTTGCCTGTGCGCGTCGGTTATAGGCACGAACCGCCGAGTCATGTACTGCGACTGATCTGTGCAATTGTCAGTGCTCCATGGATCAGACTATGCTAGGGAATACCCACTTGATATCTTCACGGGCAATCTTCCTGATCCATTTTAGCATGTAATCAGCACTCCATGCTAACATTTGTGGCACGCTTCCATGACCAATGGGGCAGTTCGGGCCAGCAAACATGAAATAGTTTGGAGTTCCACCCGCACAAATGGAAAAATATGCTTCTGGGGTTTTCTTCCATTCCCAGTCTAGCCGTCGACCATCTCGGCCGACTAACTCCCATCCCGGAATGAAGGTAGTGTCAAATCCGGTTGCACAGACAATGAGATCAAAGTCTTGCTCATCGTTCGTAGTCCGAATCCCGCTTTTGGTAATCTCCTGGATATCTTCAAAACACCACTCTGCATTAGGCTGCTGCATTGCCTCGAGATATCCATCGCCGGGGCTAAGTCGACGGCATCCGATCTCGAATTTTGGGACCAGCCTTTCGACTAGGTGTGGATTCCCGCTCAAGCGTTGTCGCATGAGCCCCTCGACCCCAGTCGACAACATGCGATTATGCTCCGAGCCGGAGAGCATCAGTCGGTAAACAGTGTTCACACTTCCAAGTATTAGTAATAGAGATTGTTCAGACTGCCGGAGTCAACATACGAGTTTTCGATCTTTTTTCTGTACTCCAAAAAGCCCTCGGGGTTCTTCCGAAACCTAGCTTTCTCCTCTTCTGTGTACTCAAAGTTGGTCCCCATACCATCCTTGGTAATATCGGGACACAAATTGACAGATACCCAAGTTGGATGTCGAATATAGTTGACAACCCTTGCGGCTTTAGGTTGAAGTGCAGGCACAACTTGGAGTCCAGATGAACCGTTGCCAATAACAGCAATCCTTTTTCCGGACCAGTCGTAGGTCTTGTCCCATGCAGCTGTGTGGACGAGCTTACCAGAAAATCGATCTAGTCCGGTGATATCGGGCATCCTCCATCGGTTGAGAATACCTGAACCATCGATCAGGATATCCGCTTCATCTTGAATGATAGTCTTGTGGTTCTGTCTAAGCTCAAGGGCCCACTTGCCCCGGTCTTCATTCCAGATGCACTTCACAACTCTCGAATTGAACACAATCTGGTCTTTGAGTCCATACTTTTCCACTGTGTCAAGAATGTATCTCTCAATTTCCTCCCCGCCGACATAACATTTAGACCATGACGGATTAGGCTCGAATGGAAATATGTAGCTGTGCGCAGGCACATCGCATCCAACTCCCGGGTACACATTTTCGAGCCATGTGCCGCCAACCTCGCTATTCTTTTCGTAGATTGTTAGATCCACGAAATCCAGGGGTTGTTCGTGCTTGAGTTTATGAGCCAGGATGAGACCAGAGAAACCTGCACCAATGCAGACCACCCGAATCCTACGGGACTTGAAGGCATACTGGTCGGGGTCTACCCGAATAGTGTCGCTTTGAAGGTTTTCGTTCGATGGCATCATGTCCTCTCTGTGGTCTCTCGTGTGAATTTCAAGTTGAAATCGCCTCTCTGCCACGGTAGACATTGGCTCTCTTATCTGTCGCAACATCGGAAGCTCAGGGGAAGCCTAGTCGCCCTAGGGCCTTACTAAGGATTCTAGTGTGCTCATCCGACATGTCGGGTATATGGCTTGGCTTGTTCATTGGATGCGTTGGGGCCGTTAGACTGGCAGGTGCAACGGTAGCGCATTGGCGCGTCTCTGTAGACCGGGGTGCGAGTCATGCTGTGGGCCCCGGTCCCGGGGCTTCCCAGCACTCAAGACGTCTTGGGCCGAATCAACTTTGTTTTGAATGGACCAATTTGTGGATTATCTCTCTTCTTGTTTTTACTTTCTATCAAAGGTATATTTTAGGACAGCAGGGTGAATTTAAGGCTCAGAGTTCGTGGTGAGACAGCGGCCCCCACGCGGGAGAGGATACTGCAGAAGGAATAGTCTCGCTAGACCCTTGACAACATCCTTGTTATATGCAGTTAATAGAGAATTCCGGTCGCAGGATCAGAAAAGCAACAATGACATTGAACAAGGGTTATAAGGCCCCAGAGCCCATTTCGCGTCCTACCCAAGTTGAATTTTAGGCAGGGCTGATTATCTACAACAATGTCCTTGAGTCCATTCGGCGAGCCTCCCCTTGGAACAGATCTATCACAAGAGCACCGCGTGAGAAACAATGCCGCCGTTATTTCCACGTATGTCATAGCAATTTTCTCTGTTGTTCTACGGCTATATACCAGACTTCGTCTCCAGCAGACAAGAATAGCCGAAGACGACTGGATGATCATTCTTTCCCTTGTAAGTCTTCGTAACTCTTCACAAACAGTCTCTTTGCTGTGCTCATCAGCCATCATAGTTACCCCTGACAGCCAACTTCATTTGTACAATCATCGGTAAGTTGAATGCCCCCCAAGTCCGATATAAAGAGATGTGGAAACCGCATCTGACTTGCTTAGGAGGACAATATGGGCTTGGAAAGCATGTCTGGATCGTTCCTATCAATGACGTGGTGAAGGTGATGCAACTCTTATTCGTATATGTCCTCATTTATGTGGCTGTCGTTCCACTTATCAAGCTATCGGTGCTTTTATTCTACCAACGCATTTTTGGAATGACCAAGATGATGTGGTTTTGCGTTTTTCTGACGGTCGGATACGTGATATCTTGCTATATCGCCTTTCTTGTTTGCTGTCGACCGGTGTCGTACTATTGGAGTCAATACATTGATCCCACCGGCGGGAAATGTATCTTCAACCTCTATCCATTTTACATTGGAAATGCTGCTGCAAATGTCACTACAGATGTGATCATTTTGTTGGTTCCTGTCCCACTGGTATGGAAACTACAGATGCGGACCTCCCAAAAGTTCATGCTCTGTGGTATCTTCATGCTGGGCGGATTGTAAGTTTCTCTGATCTTTTTCATCGGACTTATACTGACAGTTCATAGCGTTTGCGTCGCGAGTATCATTCGGATATACTATATGACTTTCCTCGGTTCCTCCGTCGATATCACTTGGATCATGGGCGACGTATTTATCTGGTCTAGCGTTGAGCCATGTATTGGTATTTTGTGTGCCTCGCTCCCAACTCTGCAGCCACTCCTTCGCCTTGTAATTGCTCGGGTATTTGGGACAAGCATGGGCCGTTATGAGACCAGCTTACAGAGCAAGCAGGAAGCCGAAAGAAAACATAAAAAGGCAAATTGGAAGCCCGCAGTACCTCCTGACTGGGATGAAGCCCTACTAACAACAAATGCCGGGCCTGTTGAAATGGGTCCGCTGGGAAGAAAAGGAAGTTACGAAGGGACAATCACGGTGGACAGAGAATTTCAAATGGTGGAGGAATCCCATAAGCAAGGGATCAAACTTTTGACGGGGACACAATGAACATGAAGATTATCAGAAGCTACATCCCTCGGTTTGTATATACATATGCCGGACCAAGAGCGGCTTTTTCCATTAGCCTTCAACAATTTTCCTCCGGTTATTCGGGGACCAAAAAGAAAAAAGAAATAATCCAGGGGGAGACAAAACGACCGAGTGCCAACTCACAAATCAGGGGACACAAAATGTGCTCAGAGGTTTTTTCTATTGGCCAAAACCACACAAACAACAATCTATCACTAGGGGCCAAGTTAAAGTGCGGGCCGGGCTTTTTATCCACGCGGGCCGGAAGCCACCCTTTCAACTGCCCGGGCGCCGGGCGCCCCGAAAATTTACCCGGCTCCTACAATTATGATTCCAGGGAAAGGTCTACGTCAATTTGACCCTTGAGAGGGCCTTTCGGTGCTATCTAAATTCTACCTTGGTTAGTGGTCTTGTTCGTTGTGACAAACATGCCCAAAATGAGGGTAGATCACACATAGAGGTTTGGGGTGGGGGGAAATAGTCTTGGACATCAAAAGTACAGATTTAGTCCCTTTCATTCAAATGGTTTAGGCGCTTATCCTCATTTCCAAACCGTCTATCTTCCTTCAATCATAAAAGATATATTTGATTAAGAGTCCAATGGTACATGCAACTAAAAAGTCGGTCTTTTATGCACGTATCCCGGGATGGTGGCTTTGATGCACCTTATGCCGCGCAGATATTGACCGGCTGTATTGGTACTTTATGCAACCCCAGACTTGTGGCTCAGTCATCGGGGATCTCATATTTAAGACTGCATATCTTCTTTTCATGTGGTAGCACCACCAAGCAGACGCGTATTTGAGCTTTATCAGTAGATCGGACGGAGTGTAGTAAAGCCTGAGATCCGAATTATTTCAGGCCATATCAGGTCTTTTGGTTGTGGTCTGCTCATGCTGTCAAATGATTGCTTGCAATCAGACAGAGGTCCTGGGTGTTGGGTTGATGAAGTGAATCAAAGAGGTGGTAAAGAGGAAGATGTCAAATGAGCTCGATAACAGACAAAATGTATGTTGGTTCGATGCTAGAAGATAAATAGTGGATTGAGTAGAGACCTCCAGGGGATACTGACCTATCATATATTTTGTTTTCAAACATTTTCATCAGAGGCTTGTGTCCACGAGTGAGATGAGTGTAGTACAAGTCTCCTGCCTTTTTAACCTAATATTCAGGCTGAAAAGTCAAGCTAGCAATGGTTTTAAAGCAAGAAAACCTAAGCTTTGCTTGAGGCAACTTATTACAATGAGCTACTAATTAAAATCTACACGCCCGCGAGAGTGAAAAGCAGATAAAATTTTGGGAGAAGGTTGTGTGTTAGGTCTAATGATACAAAGTTTTTACTCGAAGAATTAAAGGAATAACTATGTCCGGCGCGAGCAAACTCTACGCTCACTTGTCATCCGGGGAGCTATCGGTAGTGATAGACTCATCATCATCGTACCCTTCTTCATCTGGGGCCTGGTACTGCTGATCCGTGACATGATCAACAAACTCCTGGTACACGCAGCTCATCCATCCTGCGGCACCATGGTTGATAAATCGCTTAGTCTCGGGGAAACGCCAGCCGATTTCGGAATCCTTGATGGCACTGTTGAAGACAAGCCACTCGGAGGAGGGGTGGACGAAGTAGGGCTGGCAGCGGATGTGATGTATGCCAGAGCCTGACGGAAGCAGTGGACAAAGACGGCAGGGTCCTCATCGTTGGCGAAGCGCATCTGAGACCAGTCGTAGTACAAGGTCCGGACTTTCTCGTAGTCGGGGCGGAGCTTGCCGTAGACCTCGTCCAGCTGAAGGCAAGCCAGGAGGGAGCTGTCCATGCCCAAGATGATTCCGAAGGGGATGGTGGAGACGGAGGCGCAGATGACTTGAAGACCCAGGTTGTTTGCGCGGCGCCAGCTGTCTAGCTTGGTAGCGTAGTTGACTTACTGGATAACGGTGTTGGTGGCGAGGTTGTTATAGTAGGCCATGGCGTGTTCATTGGTCAATTCGGTGACGGGAACATTGTTATTGGCTGCAATGTCGGCAGCAGCTACTTCGAAGGGGGGAACTTGGATCACCGGTTGAGGACAGATAGCGACTCCTTCACTGATAACCCAAGCGTAGCGGTCAATGGCTGACAGTTGGTCACGGAGACCGTCCTTCCATGTGGCCCAGTCGAGCGGGCCAGAAAGTTTGAAGAAGCTGTGAGATGCCATGGTGATGTTGCTTGCAAGAGGTGGTATGATAGTGACTGTGGAAACTGGTGTCGAAGAGGCGGGGAAAGTACGCTCGGCGTAAACAAGTCAAGCAGGGGCAGCGATTGGAGAGAAGACAGGCAAAACCAGTACTGGGTGAAGAGATGAGAAGTAACCGCAATGCTTGATGTATAGATTTCAAGCGCAGGCAACGATCAAAGCAGAGAAAACAAAAGAGGCAACACTGAAAGTATGAATGAGAAGTAGACCAATTCTTGAAGGCAGAGTATGCAGCAGAAGGATTACCAGAGGAGAACCAGAAATTGGAAAAAGAGAAGAAAATGAAAGCGAAGCTGGAAGACAAGAAGATAAAGCAGAGCAGATGACGAATTCACAATAGAATAGTTCGAGCTCAATAGAGTCGCGATGTAGAGCTCGCAAACAAAGTATTGTCTCACCTCAATCCTATTGTTCGAATTTCGACTAATCACACACGCTCTGATTTCTGCTCTCCCAGCCTCCTTCGACAATTTGCACTGTTCTCCTGATGAAACTGGCCAATCAGCTCATCTTCGCCGTTTCTTCAATAGCCCTACAGCCTTATTCGTTGTTCCATTTGGGCCAATCAGACCCCCTGTTCTGACGATTTGGCGCGCACCTCCCATCACATGGTCCATGTTATGCTATTGTTCTTGACTGCCTTGTTGAGCTAGGCAGTACTTGCACTTCCGCTGTCAGTATCAGCCCAGCAACTGCAAGGACTCAGAAATGATCAATTGTGAATGGTACGGAGTATTATATTCGCATCCGTATTATATTCGCACATTTCTCATTCATTGAGGACGATGGCCTGCAACAAGACTACCGTTGTCGGTAGGTTGCAATATCGGGGTACATCATATGAATCTTCAGCCTCGGACAGCAGGACCGTCAATACCCTTGTTTCCGGAGCCAAAATTTTATATCCCAAGTGCTCTCGAAGAATAGCTCGTATAATACATTGGCTTATGTCAGTGGTGTCGTGCGGCTGAAGATGGTCAGACGTGGCGCGGACAACACAAAATCCCGATTTCGACGTTGGTATTTATATACTGGGCCCATCATCGCTGAATGAGTCTTTGATCATTCTCTAGCCATGATTGAAGCCCGTGTTGAAATCGCAGCGTCTCCTTCAAAGGTGCGAGAGATTGTAAATTTGCCAAGGAGAATACGCCTGACATGAGGCCAAAGCACTAAAGTAAGCCATTTGCAAGTTTCTCGATTTCTCTAAATATTCAAAATGGCACACCAGTTTTGTCACTTCCATCGAACCTGTGAATAATGCTCAGTCCTCGCATTCCCGTCAGCCTGGGGATGAGCTTAACTGTGATATCTTCGACACAAAGTTTAATGCAGTCATCAAGGTATGTAGAGCGAGACAATTAGGCATATGTGTCTGAAGAGCTACTTGAATAAAATACAAACTAACCACATTGAACAGGAGAACTCAGAAACATCATTCCAATGGCAAGGTCCTCGGATGTTTGGTATTGCGGGTCTTCACGGCTTTTATATCGAACCAGCCAACAACGGGATATCGACAAGTTTCATGCAAACAGAGACGTTCTCAGGTCCTCTTGGCTTTTTGATGTCTCCTTACTTGTTCGGCCGCATGTTGATTGAGGAATTCAAAGGGTTTAACCAGGATCTCAAAGTTCGCGCTGAGACTTGATGCTCCGATGTTTCCTGGTGAACCTTCAGAAATAAACAAGATTGCAAATCCTTTATTCATTATGACGTATGTTTGTATATCACTTGATTGATGTATAGTACTTGTGAGACTAGAGACATGCATGCATCAACACACCACGGTTTTTGTTTACTGTTTCAACTGTTCGCTACATGAAACCAAGCAAGCTTGGGTACTTTCCGACAAAATAGTGCTGCCACAAGACCAGATACTGGGTGAAGTCTGCTGTATATATTGCCGTCCAGATCAAGATTATTACTCTCCATCTTCATCGACGAAACAAGAGATGCTTCTCAACTTCTACTCCGGCATGGTTCGCAGCGGGTTCTAAGTACTCCGTTACGGTCGTAATCTCACTCTCAAATACGGCCCATGATAACCAAAATGATACACTGGTGAGCGTGTGCCTTGGGTCTAGGAATCGAAATCTGGCTTCTCGTTACCGTCTGAATAACGAGGCACCAATTACAGGTCAATTGTGTACGTCACGAAGGGAAAAATCGAGGTTGATCCCGGAGTAAGCCATTCCTGGGGAACCGAAAAGAGGAGTAGGAAAATTCAGAGAAACGGGTGCCGAATCATGAGAACAGAGCTTGCTGTGAGAAGGAGTTATTTAATTGAAATTGAGAAGAAATGGAGGCATACGCTTCGTTCATGCGATGAGGACGAGAAAGGGTCACTGGGGTGGAACCATGATGAGGGCCAAACCGAAACATCAGGACGGCGAGATGAGTTGTGTTCGCTATTTTTCAGTTATGAAAGCTGAAGATTCAGAATCAGAAAGGGAAGCGCGGGCGAGAGTTCGGAGGATGTCTGAGTCTGGTTCATTGAGTTAGAAGGGGGGGGATGGGTTCTTCGTGGGGATTGTACGGATATTTCGCGGGCCTCTGGTTACTCCGTCCATGGGGTGGGATACCGAGGTAGCTATGATTTTAGCGCAGGTCGAGGACAAGACTTCAATTACGTCGTTTAAATGGAGGACTGGAGAGACATTAGCGGACTAGTTGGACAAGGGTTGTTGACCTTGATGGCTGTGATATATAGGACGTGACAAGAGGAAGAGGAAAATGTGAAAAGTAGAATGGGAAGCTATATATATCCCAAAGTCTAGTTGATTGCTTAGCAAACTCAATTTAACTCATTGTCAAAATAACGAGGGATATCCAGAGCCCCTCTGATTCCCTCTTTGACGTTGACATGGAAGCCAGTGGTATCCTACCCGTGTACAGTAAAGAATGGAGGAAGTATTGTTGATATGGTACAAGCAACTAGGCAAAGAACCAGAGTTACTGTTTGTTTTATTCCTAGAAAACAAGGAAATAAAAGAACAAGCATGAAGCAACCGCATGTGAGTAACCAGATCCTCTCATCCATCGGTAATGTATACTGCATGAGCAATGTGATGCTAATGGCCATGCAGACTCAATATTGGATCCATCATCTATCTGCCTTGTATTATTTTCGGCGCCAGCGCCCATGTTTATTTTTTGAATTTCGTTAGACATCCTCGAATTCCTCATCGTCCTCATCCGATTCCTCGGCTTCCGTTTTAGTCTCAGGTTCAGCATCGGGGTCAGGCTTGATCTCCGGCTCGGTCTTGATCTTCTTTGCAGCAGGGCCATCATCAGCAGGAGTAGAAGGCGTGCCAACAGAGGACTGAGGAGCGCTAGACCCGGAATCGAGCTCTCGCTTGACACCAGCTCCACCGAAGGAGCCGCCAGGAGCACTTGTAGGGCCGCCATTCATTGCAGGAGTACCCGGTCCACTCGGGCCAGAAACCTCGACATCTTCGAATTCGTCATCAGAATCATCATCCGCACTGCTGGCATCTTCTTGGGCTTGTAGTGCCTTCTCACGCTCCATTTCAGCATAGTAAGCAGCAACCTTGTCGTCTAGGGCATCCAGACTGGGTTTCTCGTCGTCGGCGAGCTCGGGCTTCACCAAACTGCCACCATCGGTCTTGACTTGTCCATTTGTGGGTGTTGAGTTTACAGTAGAGTGCGTGTGCCAAACGGGAAGAGCATTTTGCTTCTCCACAGCTGCCTTCCGAGCTGCCTCATCAGCTTGCTCGGCGGCACTCTTCTCCTCACTCGAAGTGAGGGAGATCTCCAGTGCGGCGGCATCGGTTTTCGCGTTGGGACGTGTGATATCCTGCGCCTTGGGAGGAACAACGATCGCGGCGCGGACTGGGTGGGTGCTCTGATTCCGAGGGACTTCCACCTTGTGGTCCCAAGCAGTTTCGAAGTCATTGGGCGGAATTTCAACAGTATCGATCTGCTTCAATAGCTTGAGCATGTTGTCAAGCTGGGCCATCAGTTTGCTGTTCTTCTCGTGACCAGTTCGGTCGATTCCCTCCACGCCCTTGACATCCTCGGTTCGTTCCAGTACTGCACCACAGTTCTGGCATTCGAATCCTTCATCTCCAACCAGACTCAAGACGTCCAGTTCCGTCCACTCAGTTCCACATCGGAGACAGATGTATTCCTTGCGCTCTTCGCTTGGTGTGTATTGCGCTTTGATATTCGAGGTCAACTTGGAGACTTTGTATTTGATCGCATCAACAACCGGGTGCAAGGGGATGTAGTAGTATTCGCGATTCACAGGACGAGTGGATCCATCACGGATTTCAGCGCGGGTGCTCCTATAATCATCGAAAACTTAAAATCAGCTCAGCTTTTTTGTTGCCATGCAAGACGCATGTCAGTGGCCTGTGGGCCATACACTGCGATCAGTCGGTCCTCTCGGAGCTTGGCGCAAAGCTTGCGGAGATCCTTTTGTTGCATTCCCATCAAGAAAGCAAGGTCCTCGGCGTGGAGTCTATGTAGGTCAGTACATCGATCATTCAGTATATCTCCGAAAGATCAGCATACACTGAGTGTAGAAAGAGCGCATCGACGACTAGGATGTGGCGGGTCTCGTAGAATGCGCGCGCCACAGTCCGGATAAGAGTATTCGCAAGATCCATCGTGGTGGTGGCAGTGGTGTTCGACGTGGAGGATCGAGGCCAAAAAGTAGTGCGGGTGAGGACTGAAAAGAGCGCAAGGCTTCAACTCGCAGGGTGGATTTAAATTTTTAGCAAAACAAGCATGCTTTGGTCTCCGAGAAGGGACAAAGTGAAAGGAATGACTGAGAGAAGTGCGCGCCGGGGCTTCTGAGAGCGCCAAGTCTGTTGAGTGAATGAACGAACAATGGGCGCAATTGAGGCTGGAAGCTTCATGTCACATGCAAAATCGTTGGCCGCCTTAGGCATGCAGTCTAGCCCAGTTGGGCTTAGATTATCTTCGAGGGCGCTAGCCCCAAAAAGGACTAGGGCCGATATGGAAAAGATGGACCGCGGAGACGAGAGCAAATTCCCCAAGTCATTTTCATGCGTCCCTCAATTGTTTGGCAGAACCTTTCTGGGATCCTCCCGACTCGAACCTTAAATATCGCCAGCGCAGTCCGACACAACACCCGAAGCTTCGCTCTCAGCTGCCCGCTTTCCCATACTCGTTTAGAACAAACGAGACCTCGCGCCGACTTACTGAAGATCTTTGAGCGGATACAATGGCCGCAAACCCGTCAAGAGGAGGAGGAGGTGCTGGAAGGCGTCAGAAGCGCGATATGGGACGAGCCGAGTGGGCGTATGTTGCATCAATTGGAATCTCCGTTCATTGCATGGTCAGCTAACTAATTCAAGTCGTCAAGGCATAGATAAGAGAGAGCGCCAGACACAACAGATGGAGGCTAAGCGTCGCCGAATTGAGAATGGCGAAGAGATTACCCTGCCCATCTACGCGACTGAGTTCACCAAGGAGGAGATTGATAGCGAGGAGCGACGCCCCAAGAAGAAGGTTGCCGTGCTGATTGGATACTCGGGAACTGGATACTCGGGCATGCAGCTGTATGTATGCACTTTTTTTGTTGATATGCTCTTGCGCTGACAATGCGACTAGGAACGAGAACCAGCGCACCATCGAAGGTGACCTATTCGCTGCCTTCGTTAAGGCCGGCGCAATCTCAAAAGCCAATGCGGCCGATCCTAAGAAGTCTTCCTTCGTCCGCTGTGCGCGCACAGATAAGGGAGTTCACGCTGCCGGAAATGTCGTTTCTCTGAAGATGATTGTCGAGGAAGAGGACATCATGGAGCGGATCAACGAGCACCTCAGCCCCCAGATTCGCGTTTGGGGCTACGAAGTCACAGCTAAAAGCTTCAGCTGCTACCAGATGTGTGATTCCCGTGTTTACGAATACCTGATGCCGAGTCACTGTCTCCTGCCTCCTCATCCCAGCACCTACCTCGGCCAAAAGATCACCGAGCTTGCTGAGAAAGCTGGCGACCTTGACGATGTCAAGGCCCGACAGGAGGACGTCACCGGCTACTGGGAAGAGGTGGATGAGAAGTACATCAAACCCATCCTGGCAAACGTGCCCGAGGATGTCCGCCAAATCGTCGAAAAGTCACTCTACATCGACGACTCCCGTGAAGCACTGCAAGCCACCGAGGAAACCAAGGAACCCCTGGAAGCAACCACAGAGTCTACCGAAAAGCCCACTGAGCAATTCACAGAAGAGCCAAAAGAAAAGAAACCCTTCGTGATGGACGAACGCCAAAGACTCATCATCGACACTGTCAAAGCTGTAAAGGCTGCCTATCTAACAGCCCGCCGAGCCTACCGCGCCCCAGCCTCGCGCATCGCCCGCCTGCAAGATGCACTCACCCAGTACGTTGGCACAAAGAACTTCCACAACTACACGATCCAAAAGGCACACAGCGATCCCTCCGCCAAACGCCACATCAAGAGCTTCGACGTGAACACCTCGCCTATTATCATCGACGGTACGGAATGGCTCAGCCTAAAGGTCCACGGCCAAAGTTTCATGATGCACCAAATCCGCAAGATGGTCGCAATGGCCACTTTGATTGTGCGTGCTGGATGTACCCCCGATCGTATCGCTGAAACATACGGCCCAGACCGTATTGCTATTCCCAAGGCACCGGGTCTAGGTCTCTTGCTTGAGCGACCTATCTTCGGTGCTTACAATGCCAAGGCTAAGGCCCTTGAGCGTGAGCCCATCCATTTCGATAAGTATTCCAAGGAGATGGATGAGTTTAAGCAGCGGGAGATTTATGATCGCATTTTCAGGGAGGAGCAGGAGAGTGCTGGGTATGTTATATCTTTCCCCCTTTTCTATATTTATCGACGTATTAACTTGGTTCCAGATTTGGTTCTTTCTTCAACCATATCGATCACTACCCCGCTGATTATTTCCTCTATGTCACATCTGGTGGTATTGCCGCCTCTAAGCTCGCCACTGCACCCGCTGCATCCGGGTCTAAGGGTAACACCAAGGCCCAGAAGGAGGCACTCGCTGCTGTGGAGGGTCTATCAGAAGACGAGGCTGCTCCTGCTAAAGGAGAGGAAGAGGGATAGAGTTTCACAAAAGCGATATGAAATCAATATTCACGTTCCATTTGACGAAATAAACCATTCACCATCATGGTCTACAACCTTACCTTCTTACTATTTTACCCCCTTCCGAACTAACAACGATAAAGTGCAAGATCCGCGATGCTTAAATTCTACTCCGAATCTAAACACCTACTGTAGAAGTTCCTTGCACAGAGAAAGAACAGGCTCACAAATCGGGCCACCATTCCATTGATTGAAGATAACCCTGCACCGGCTCATAGCGAGCAAAAGGAAAAGGAAAACGCCGGATTTTGTCATATGTGATGGAGCCAAAAGAAAAGGGAAAATGAAACAACAAAAGCAGCATAAAAAGCAAAAGTTCGTAAAATCCGTAACTTATGTGACAAGCCTTGATCACTTTTCGATTCATCACCAGTATCATTCACCATCATCAGCACCAGTACTGACCCCATAGGACGCTCGCTGAATCCGTTGACAACGCAAAAACGCATGAGAGTAAGACATGAAATGAAATGAAATGCACGCATTCTTTAAGAGCATGCGTGATCTAGGGTGATCCTGCGACTCCGGCGTCGGAATCGCTGGCCATTGCTGAGTTTGCTTCCCATTCCTCCGGAGAAGGAACATCGGATTCTGGAGTCTTGGGTTAGACTCGATCTTGGGTTGGTCCTGACGTAGGTAGGAGGTGTGTACATACCGGAAGCCTGGTCCTCGATGAACTCTTCCAGGGTCAAAGTCTCGAGAAGCATTATGAGATCTGCAGAGGGAAGGTGTTAACAAGATTGTACTTTGGAGAAAGAGTTAGATGCTAATAAGCAAAATTGAAACATACTTTTGGCTTCTGTGACAGTTTCCTGATCCTCCTCGCTGTCGGTAAAGTACTTGCCCAGGCAATAGTTCATCACCGCAACGATACGCTCAACCAGTCTGCGATCGACGTGTCGGGGTGGATCTTTCACAAATGCCGTCTTAATTCGTTCGATGCTGGCTCGCACCAAGCCCCTGCCAATGACAGGGCGTCGCTTTTGGAGGGAATTGTTGGTCCCAGGTCCATGGTCGGCTTCGTCGTTCTTCTCGCTTTCCTCGGAACTGGATTCGTCATTGCCATCGTTGAAGACCCAGACAGTAAGGATGTTCTGCATACTAATGCGAACATTCTCATTCCTGTCAATGAGCAAAGTGGGAGCCCACGTTGGAAGCATAGTGAATACGATCTCAGCAAATGCCTCGCCGTTCAGCTTGAGTCGCTCGTTGGAAGTTTGACACAGGGTCATGAAGAAGGCAATGTGTTCCTGACCACCGCTGCTGTCAATGCTCTCAACGCCACTGGCAACCCAGTTGATAATATCAATGACTCGCTGCTTGCTGGGACAGTGTTGACAGAAAACCACGGCTGCCTCGAGGAACGCTGTGCATTGAACAGCAGGCTCAATTCTCAATCCATTCTCAATAGTTTTCTGGATTGAAGGAAGGAAGCCTGCCGCGGGTTCTCCTTCTAATAAGGTAGCAAGGATCAAACGTGCGGTCTGGGTCTTGGCCAGGGAATCATGCTTGAGAATTTGCCTGAGAATGCCAAGTGAGCCGTCTCTCTCAATCGGTTTCATGAGCTCCATTTCAAAAGGCCTCAGGGATATTTTGCCATTTGAAACGGTGCGTGGTTCATTGCGACCGACAGGCTCTAGAGAAAGATCCATGTGTTTCAAAAAGATGTGGAACAGTGACAGCATGTTCATGTAAGTGAATCGACGGCCCTTATCAAACAGACGCGCGTAGTTGGGGAAGTTGGACCGCATTTTTCTCTTGTCATCCTCATCGAACCAGAGGATTTGCAGGCAAACGACAAACAGGTGTTTATCAGCAAGATGATCAACAACCCAAGGTCCGTAACTGCACAACCTCACAAAGAAACCAAAGTAATCTTCCCACACCCGTGAAATGCTCTGGACGCTGGGCCACACCTCTATCAGCATGGGTACAAGACGTATAATAGCTTCTTCGAAAGTGTTGTGCCAAAAGACCAGCTCATTTTCTTCGAGATTCGGGTCCTTTGACAGCGTGTGAAGATGCTTGATAGCAAATGAAATCAACAGTATTTCCTTATGCCGAACCTCTGGCTGGGGCATCTTGGTCATGAGGTTGCGGATTGGCGACTTGCGATCGAATATCCAGTCAAGGCTAGAGCGTGCAGCGTTAGGGCTTCCGTTAATCATGGCAAGGAGAATCGTGAAGAGTTCCTGGTGCCCTTGGAGATCCTTGGTTCTCGAAACCATTTGTTCGAAGGTGTCCAGGCCCACATTAACCGCCAATGTCTCTATCACACTGTTGTCAGGATTGTCACCTGGCTTGCCAGAGAAACGTTGAAGCAAGCCTTCGACGAAAAAGGCATACTGTGGATCCAGAAGACAGTATGTCCGAATAAGAAGTTCGTTATCCATAGCAATATGATTGCTAATCGGAACAGAGACCTGGACATGCACCGGGATGTCGGGCTTTTCGGGCTTGTACACCGACTTGGATTCATCCATAGTCGAAACACGCTGATAAAATAGCATGTATGCATTCCAAACCTTGTTCTTAGGCTCACCATTGTACTGCATCTGCTCGCTCGGACCGCCAAAGCAGTGGTCCGCAATTGAACTTGGGTCGAATCTAGAGACATCCGAGTCGTTGAACTCCACCCACGAGGCTTCTCCATCGGGTGAAGGTCGCTCAAGGGTGTAGGTGTAATAGTGGCCAGACTCGGCCGTACCAGTGTGAACAAGGACACCAGTCAATTCAAACCAATCCGGCTGGACTGGCTGTTCGGGGTCAGACAGATGCTCCACGGTGTAAGGAGTCATGTCGATATGGCGGGCGAACATAAATTCATCGTTGATCTTGCTTCTCAGCATAGTGACCATGTCAAAATCAAACCGCTTGAGGTGGAAAATCAGATTGTCAGGGACATCTTTCAAGCATGCCCGCTTCACAGCATTCACATGATTGTCGCATGAAGTACAAAAGTATTTGTTATCACCTTGCATAACTTCGCCAGCGACGTAAGCGCGCAAACTGTCTTCAAGGCTGGCTTTGCCCTTGATCTCGCACTGAATGGCAGAGAATGGCTCAAGCCTTTCAGAGATGTGAGGGCATTCCATCGATTTAATCTGCTGAACCAGTTGACCTCCGTAAAAGGAACGGAACTTCATTTTGCTTTCCGCATCAAGAACCTGAGACTCCCAGCGATCGAAGAGAAGATTGTAAAACTCATCGACATCCATCTGAATGGTGACATCAATGGGCTCATTGTCGAATGTCCGGATGCTGTCAACGAAATCCTGCGGCTCGATGCTCTTTCTCCAAGTCTCTTGCATCCACGTGAACAACTTTTGTGTCTCGTAGAGTAGCTTCTGAGACTCGGGATCCGCAATGTGAAGCTTCAAAATAAAGTCCCGGAACTCAATATTCATGAATAATTGTGTCATCAAGGAATTGAGATAGCACGTGTTCGAAAGGTTTCTCAGCCCAGCGTAGCCCTCTGGGGAGCGAATCATCACCGATCTATCAAAAGCCCAATCAAAGTGGATAACATCTCGTGGAACAGTTGTGTTCAAATATTCCATAATGCGGAAGTAAGTCTCGTCGCTCTGCTTGCACAACAAACTGACAACATTGTACAGAGTTTGGCGGGTCCCGTTGTTCATGACTGGGGCTCGAGCGTCGAGCTTGTCATCGGACTCTGGCGAGAGATCTGGGAACAAGTACATTGACATGATTTGCTCGGCAATGTTCAAGGTGTCCAAATGGACGTTGGCGGCATTAGCCAGCTTAAGGCACCATTCTAGCAGAGAAGAGAATCCGACAATCAAGTTATCGACTGGTTCGCGTCCAATGAATTCCTCAGTCTGATGCGTGAGCATAAATGAGCTCCACCGCTTGAGATAATCATTGAAGACCAGATCGCATGGTGACTTCTCGGCGATAGTGCGGAACATCCATAGAGCAGCAATGAAGAACTGCTCTGACTGGCTGGCGTACAGAGGAGTTTGGGGAATGACCTGTACTAAAGAGTTCCAGAGAGTAGCAAGAATGTCGATTCGAAGGGGGTCTTCGGTAAACTTTTCGGCATCCTCGGCAGATGTACTTATTGACAACTTGGATGGTTTCAGGGCTCCGCAGATGATCTTGATACGTTCCAAGACCTCAACCCGAATAGGCTTTCGGCTTTCAACGAGGAGCAATGAGAGGATCAATTCATCGAACTTTGCCTTTTCTTTGACAGCATCCCAGATACCTTGATCGCGTACTGAGCCATCAAGCAAAACCGCAAAGCAGTTGCAAATCAACTTTGGAAGACAAGGTACCTTCAGCGACTCAGGAGAGTCTTGTAATCCAATGTCTATCATCTTGCACAGACGCTCGACCAAAGGATTTGGTTTGGCAACCAAAACGGCCTTGGCATCAGCCAGACGGTAAACAGAGAATGCGAAAAGAAGAAACTCGACCGCTCTTGTAGCGAGCAAAGAGCCTGTCTGTTTTCCATCCATAGACTCAAGCAATTCATCTCCCGTCAAGAATGCGACTAGAACTTCGATGCTGTGAGATACAAAGTCACACCGCGGAGACGTCTCCAAAGCCTCTTCACGTAGACAAACGGACAGGGTGGTGAGAGAATAGAGAGCCTTGAACGGCTTTTGCAAGGGAAACATGTCTTTCTCGGAATTGTCAATGCACCGGACAAGATTGACTGCTTGTTCTTGAGGTGGGAAGGCGACCAGGAAATCAAAGATCTGCCGAGCCAGGTCGTCCTTCAACTCTAGCAGCTCGTAGAACTCATCGAAATGCTTCAACACTTCGCTGTCAACAGATGTTAAAGACTGAGACCGACCAACCCAAGGAAGCTCCTGCGCATTAGGTGCTTTTCGCACAATGAGCAATCCGGTAGCAACCTTCAGGTTCTGCACCAGGGCATCGGGGTCCTGAAGTAACTCCACCTTCTGCCCACCGATGATAGTGGTTATCTTGGAAAAGCGGCTCAGCTGCACAAGTCGTTCAACAAGCTCCGCGGCCGTCGAGAGAGAACCGATTTGCATGGTAGCGATCTTGGTAGAAGAGTTGCCACCAAAGCATTGGTATTGAATGTTGACGGGCTCGCCTTTCAATGGGCGCTCGGGGATGCGAGGTGGAGTGTTACGGGGGGAGTTGTACTGCGGCCTGGCGCGCAATCCATGGAGCAATTGACGGAGGAAATGCAGTGAGCGGCTGAACATGAGTTCTTCTCCTCCAAGACCTTGATTAGAGCCATCAAGTTCCATGGAAGTGTCTCCGTTGGGTGTTCCATTGCAAGAGGGTCTCAATGCCGCCGCCGCGGACTTCAGTTGGTCCACGCAGCGACCAACTAAAGCGATATGGGTTGCATCGATAGCCGAGCGGTGAGCCCTACGGATGATCCCGTGGTCCAGATAGACATTGATGGCGAACTTGATTGCATCGCCTTCGATCGTGTTTGGCGGTGCCGTCAAGATGAAGTTCCAGATCCGATCCATCCCAGGAATGGCAATCACCTCATCTTCTCCGGCCGTGGGAGGTATGTTCACCTGGATTTGGTAGTTGAGTGCTTGTTGAGCAAACCACAAAACCTCATGCGAGTAATCGACGGGCAAGAGGCTGGGAAGATACTCATGGATGCAACGCTCCAGAAATGGGTTCTCCTGGACACTGCGATTGGCAACATCACCCATCGTCCTCCAAATCATTTGACGCTCTTCAGGAGTCAGGTTCTTGGACATGAGAATTTCATTCCAAAGCGTGTTGCCAAGGTCGGGTGTGATAGTCTCTGGTGCCATATCGATCAGGCGCCTCAGTATTTCCACCCTAGAGGGAAAACCGTGACCAAAAGACAGATCCTCGCGCTCGCGCTGGTCTTTATTCACGAAATTGTGGAGTTCCTTGATCACCAGTCTGGTCAAATCGAAATCATTTGCAAGCTTCCAAATTTCCGGTGCATCATCGAAGGGCACCAGGGCATTAAGGACTTGAATGCTTCCTGCGCTGGACGAGTTCATATCGGCAATATCCTGGATGCAGCTTTCGTATGTCTCCACTTTATCTGATTCATTCAAGCCTGCCTTCATGAACTGACCCAGCTGTTCGCTACCAAATGATTGCATGTACTCCCTCTGGTCAAGGGGTATGTGCGTCACACTAGAGCCCTCTCGAATGAGTCGAACACAGAGCTTGAGTGGAACGGCGTCTACATGTGCCAATTCCGGCTCTCCCTCGCGGTCGAGGGGTCGCTCCCGCATGCGAGGTACAAGCTGGTTGCAAAGCTCCATTATGCGGCTGTCAAATCGCTCCAAGGGCAACTTGAGCAACTTGGAACACACATATAGCAGTGGAGCAGATCGGGAGGAATGGATGGGGAGTGTTCGCGAAAGCATTTTGATAACCTCGGAGACAGTTCGATCATCTTGACTTTCCGTAATGGTCTTCCAGATCATATCCGTGTCCTGATCGGTGTAGGTATTTGTCATGATCAAGAATCCAAAGATATTGCTTGTGCGGGCGAGCAACTGGGGGTGAGAGTCGATGCCCACCAGATAATCGAGGATCTTATGGTCACGGAGCAGCTTAACCAAATACCTCATGAGCACGATTGCGGACTCTGAAGAGGTGGCGGTTGTATTTTGAGTCCAGATGTTGACTAGATCCGATTGCATAGCCTCCACGCCGTGGACACGAAGCTCCATGCGACCTTCCATGAGATGTTTCTTCATTGCATCAAATTTCCATGCCCAAGTGACTGCCATCACCCGATGTGCTTCGGGAAGGTCCGCGGGGAATTCAACTCCCAAAACGTTGGCAAGTTGGTCCACGAATTGCTCATCGGCGGAGCAAATGAAATTGTAGGCACGAAAGACTGATCTGACTAGATGCTCACTCACATCGCTTGTAGCTAGTGGTGATTTCTTGGTGACATACTTCTCGTGTTGTGTAGCGAGGGCTCGAGTTGTATCGAAGAATTCTTGCAAGCTAGGTGATGTGATTGCGGACTCGGCTGAAGAGTCGGAGACACCAGTCCATGTCTGATCTAGATCAACACCAAGTAAGGTGTTGATGCACATCATGATTTGTGGGAGATGTTGCAGAAGTTTTGGTTGCGTGGGAACCAGGGAAATATTCAAGGTAGCATAATCAAGCAACTGGCGCGATGCATTGAACGGAGGCTGTGCAATTTCGTCTTTCACTGAAAGAAGGAACTTATGCATACCAATCCGACATTGAGCATCCATGGTACGGTAAAGCGGAAGGTTGGAAACGTGTAGCAACCAAGGGAAGCCAGCAAGGTAACGTCTAGAAGTGATCGGGACACCTTCCATGTCTGCGTCGGGTTCAATCCGACTGAGAGTTCGGGTGTCCATGCAAACGAAGTGAAAGACAAGGCGGGCATAGTCGAGCAGAAGTTCTTCGAGAAACACTAGAGGGTCCTCGTCGTCGTCCAGTTGCAGCATTCGTTGCCTGCGCACAAGACGGTCCATGATCCATGGGAAATTTTCCCAGAATTCTGTTTCGTCCATAAAGGCCGCCAGTGTGACTCGGTCGAGCTCCTTAACGCAAGTGTTTAGCCATTGCTTCGTTGCAGCAAGTGCAATACCTTCGCGCGGGTGTCCTGCTAGGAGATTAATCCATGCCAAGTCATATTCAATAAAAATCATGCTCACCATGTTCTATCATCTCACTAATCGCCTTCAAGTTGTCTCGGGGTCTCATGTCTTCGTGTAGTTTGGGGAAAGAGTCGGCTAGAGGTACGATGTCTTGTGCCTCAACCTCCATGTCGCCTTGTTCGTTGATAGCCTCGGCGATAGGCTTCCAGTTGGAGTGGTTCGGTTCTTGGTTCATATCCTCGAGGTCGGCGACTTCGATTTGAGGTGAGCCCTGGGAAGATGATGAGTGAATGGATATGACATTGGCGGATGCGGCGTCGGAGTCAGCTTGGAGCTCGGTAGCATTGTCTGGGAGCTCAGACTGGGCGGAGAGAAGATCAAGGGCGGCGGGAGAGAGAGGAGATTTCATGTTAATGGTGACTTTGCTCGCGGGGCGAGCTGGATCCTCGTCCATTTCCAAGGCAGGCGCGGATGGCGGTCGAGACATTCCGTCGAGCGACAAAGAGTCGCTCACCCGACTTCCACTGTCGAGGCGCGGACGCTTCCGGGTCGCTTGAGGATCAAGATCCTCCATGGAGTCGCGTACTTTGTCTTCGTTCAAGGGAGTGTCAGGTGTGGGGTGGTAGCTATCTGGCGGGGATACTGCCATGACATTTTCTGCCGGGGCAATGGTTAAAAAAAAAGAGGAGATGCGAAGTGAAAGGACGAAAAGAAGAAAAGGGGTAAGAGACGCGCGAGAAAGAGAGAAGCGAGGCAGTGAGCAAATGAAGATGGATAAAGCGGTCGACAGCTTTTTTGGGGGACGCGCCTGAACCAGTGACGTTGCGCTGATGAACACGATCGGCACTTAACAAAGCAGCCTCCACATGAATTCGATTGCTAGAGCGATTGTAAGTGAATGTAGAGCTTTAACTGATCTGCTACATTAATACTCCAGCTATAATTTACTTACTACACTAGCTGGCGCTAATGTCTAATGTGCTGTGGTAGCGCTTGTAGGATATGTATTGCTCTACTTGGCATAAGCTATATCTTATAGGTTTATTACAATTGAATCGCTTTCGGCTTAATTAGATCTATCCCCTCTATATCTTTCAGCGGGCTAGGCGTGCATGGCATATATGCTACGCAGCAATTTCATTGATATAAGTCTTTATAGAGGCAAACAGATGCTTTATCAAATGTAAGATCCCATCTTAATAGAAGTAAAGTGAGCGATTAAACTGTCATTGTCGTTTCAATCCGGCGGATGATCCTAGCTGGATTTCCAGCAGCGACATGGAAAGCAGGGACGTCCTGTTGAAGTCAGTATGATCCATCTATGCGTCTGCCTAGATATCGCTTTCTAGTCACTTCTATATCAACAGGCAAAAGTACATACCTTGGTCACCACACTCCCAGCTCCTATAGTTGCACCCTTTCCAATAGTCACTCCAGCAAGAACAATGACATTACCCCCGAGCCAGCAGTCTTCCCCAATACGAATGGGCCTACCAAGCTCAGGATCCTCAGTTCCATTTCGTAAAGCAGGATCAAGAGGATGAGTACCTGAGAATAAACTGACATTAGGGCCGAACATGGTGCGAGCACCGATGATAATAGGACAGGTATCAATAAAGACGCAGTTGAAGTTAATAAAGACACCCTCCCCAAGCTGAAGGTTGAATCCATAGTCTATCTTGACTGGTGCCTCAATCCAAGGCTCATCCCGGAATAGATCATCATCTGCGACGGGGTCATCCAGTTTCGGTGGTAGAGGGGTCTTGTCTTCGGTGATGCTATAGAGCGAGTTAGTCAATCTATATCAGCCTATACTAAACAAGCATAAGATATTCCAAAAGCGAACACAGAACAAACCACTTACTCTTTCCACATCTCCACCAATCTCCGACGAGACACTTCCTCCGAGTTATTATACCGATTACAAGCCCATTTGCAGCGGGTCCGCGCTGCAATAAGATCTGGAGTAAATGCGCGGTATAGCTCCCCACGGAGCATCTTTTCTCTTTCAGTAGCCATGGTTATAAAGTATTCAAGATCAAAAAGAAGAAGTGCACAGTTGTATATGCGGAGTTGACATTTATAGAGCCAAATGTATGCTCAGACCATGTGGGGGTGGATGTGTCATGCTCGGGGAACAATATCAGACGCGAAGATTGTTCTCAAACAATGAAACCTCCAGCATAAATTGTCTCGCACCCCCGACATGCCAGCTAGATCTTTCAACAACTAAGACACACGTTCGAAGTCCAGAGTCCATCTCACACCCCTACAATCCCAACCCAATCCCGAACCCAGCTCAACCACCAACAATGCCAACAGCAAAACCAACCGGCTCCGAGCCAACAACCACAAAGCAAACCAACACACGCCACAGCGAATCAGGCTGGCACCCAAACCATACACGCACAATAAGCGCAACATCCTCCAGCTCTACAACATCGCACACCTCATCCACCACCTCCGACTCGGACAGCTCAACCCCCGAAATCGACATCGCAAACTATCCAAGCGGAAAAATGTCCCTCAGCGGAATCTCCCTGCGCGCAATGCTCTTAGGTACAACCCTAGGCCTAACAACCAGCCTAACCCTGCTATTAGCAACAACAAGCACAAACCCCCTCTGGCGCGTGCCCTTCTTCATCGCCGCCCTGAGTCTCTTTCATTTCCTCGAGTTCTGGGTAACAGCACGATACAACACGCGCTACGCGACAGTCTCTGCCTTCCTGCTATCATCGAATGGGTGGGCCTATAATGTCGCGCATGGCTCTGCTGTTGTGGAATGTTTAGTGTCGCATACCATCTGGCCGGGACAATCGAGAATTGCGCGGATGCTTTCTGTGCCTGAGCCATTTTTTGGTGGGGATGTTTCGTTGTTACTGGTTGGGGGCTTTGTGTTGTTGGTGATTGGGCAGGTTGTTAGGACGATTGCTATGGCGCAGGCTGGGGGAAATTTCAATCATCATGTTCAGAGTCGACGGCAGGAGGGTCATGTACTTGTTAAAGAGGGGCTTTATCGGGTTCTCAGGCATCCGAGTTACTTTGGGTTCTTTTGGTGGGGGCTTGGGACGCAATTAGTTCTTGGGAATGTTGTTTGTTTTGTTGGGTACGCACTTGTGCTTTGGAGGTTCTTTTCCAGTCGGATTAAGCGTGAGTACCCTCGTTCCTTTTCTGGTTGGATGAGTGTTTTGCTGACTGGTTCTTTTCTCCACAGGTGAGGAGGCTTACTTGATTTCCTTCTTTGGTGATGCGTATGTCCAGTACAGGAAGGATACCCCTGTGGGAATCCCTGGTATTTGATTGTGTGAAGCTACAGCATATACTTTTGGAGTAAATATGACGACCTTTGAATATTTACAGAGCTGGGCTCAATTGACTAGAATTTTGGTATGTGGTATAAGACGTAATCTACCCCGTAATCTACCCGTAGGTATGCTGGCTCCATCTCCGGCCCGTACGTTGTCATCGTTATAGCTTACTCTCGGGTGCAACACCACCGACTGCACCACTCATGTAAGGTCCGCTCTCATCCGAGTCACCGGGAGCAGTCTCAGCTCCGAAGAGGACAAGCTCACGGCCCCCCTCGGTACTCCACCAAGCGACACAGCAGTGAGCACGGTCAACGTCCATCTCGCCCCCGGCCAAAGCTTCCCAGAACCGATCAATGCAAGTGTGACGCATATTGCGGTCAGCAATTGCATTGATCAGTTGGGCCGCCAGGGGCAGCCACTCCTTGAGGTCGTCGACTCGAAGGTATGAAAGGGAATCAAGGAGAGCAAGAGTTAGGATAGCTTGCTCGGAGAGAGGTGGACTCTGACTCAGGTCTGGATTCGGGCCTTGGGCCGGGATGGGTGTAGAGGAAGCGTTAAGAGCGCGGTCATGAACGACTTCAAGCAAGATGGAAGGCAGGAGAGGTTGACTATTCGCTAAAGGTGAGGGAGGTGCCGTAATTTGAATGACGGTCTTGAAAGCAAGGCGGAATTGACGCGCAGAAAGGTTGTTGGGGAAGACCTGTATGTCATTAGAAGCTGGTCCCATAAAAAAAAAAAAAAAACAAAACAAACAAAAGGGTGACACTTACAGCAAATAGATTATCAATATAAAACGGGAGATGCTTCGCTGCTAGCTCCGAGTTATGGGGAATGGCGAAGACGACCAGCACCAGGCTGTGAGCAGCTTCGAAAATCTCCAGGAGAAGGTTGTTGGCACCGGCTGCTAGATATGGGAATGCTGCCGATAGGAGTAGCTCCTCATTTACCGCGGGCGATAAAACAAGAGGGAAATGCTCCGCAGCATTCAGAAAGAAAAGGTCCAAACATCGTTCGACTGGATGAGCGGGGATTTGTCCAATCTCGCTGGGCTTTATACTTCGCAAGAAGTTCTCAGCGAGATCGGGGTATTGTGAAAGGATATCGATGGCTGCCAGGAGGACAAATGTCTGCTGTGAAGAGGCATTCTGACCGATCCGAGAAGAGATAAAGTACATGTTGCGAAGGACATGAAGAGCTTGCATCGAAAGATATGGCGCACCTAAATAAAAAGTGAGCACGGAGCCGGAAACAACAGCTTCATGGTAACTTACTACTGTTAGCCGCAAGAGCAGGGTCATTTATAGTCCTCCCAAGGACAGCCCTGAGGGCGATAACCACCGAGTATAAGCAATTCCGCAGCATTTGCCAAAGCGCAGGGAGTGTTTTCTCGCGCGATTCCGCATCCAGGAACTCGATTTCCTCTGCAACGTCAATCTCGGACAACTTATTTTGCCGCCATTGTACCATCAGGGTCCGAACAAAGTCGGCCAGTTGATCAATTGTACGGGCAACGATCCTTGGATCGCGCGCATTGTCAATAGCATGAGCAATGAGACGAGAAAGCGGACCCAATGTCGACACAAGCGGACGCGCAGCTATTCCCGACACAATAGCAAACGTCGGAGAGTTTGCCGACCATCGAAATTGTTTCCCAGGAGCCTCGACGACATCTTGATCAATAGACCCCAAGAAGTATCCACCCTCAAGACCTTCTGGAGATAAGTACGCCGATTGAATCATTACCGGAAGTAATCGATCATACTCAATCTTGCTTCTCTCCAGATCCGACAAGAGCTCGAATGTATAATTCAACACCATGGTGATACACTGCGCATCGATGCCCGCTTCGGGACTCAGTTCCTTTAGCGCCAGTTGCGCAGCAGTCGCCAGCGCAGACTCAAGCTTGATTCGAATATGCCGTGGCAGACCCTGCCGACCCTGGCCTTCGAATCCCATCAGGATACCACCGAGCAAGAGTGTATGGCGCCATCGTGGGGACTTATCATCGGCGCCCTCCGCAATAGCCTTGACCCAAGCATCGCACTCGATTTTCCGATTGCGTCCATATGGTATCCGCGGTTCATCGGTCGTGTCATTTTGCAAGACAGCAATGGCCGCAGTATTGAAGACGCTCAGGATCTTGCGGCAAGCATGAAGGTCGACGGGCTGACTCCAAAGCGAAGGAGCGGTAAGAAGTTGTGAGGCGAGAAGAGCCAAGTTCAACGGATTCCCTAGCATAGACAGGAAGCTAGTGACTGTAGGAAGGAGACTGGTGATACGGTTAGCGAGACATTCACATTCACGCCCGATTCCGCGGTCGGAGTAGAGAGATAACACTCACCCAGCAGCATCCTGGAAGCTAGAAGTCGCCTGCAGCGACCGCAGCAGCGTAGCTAGAGATCTTTCCGTCGCCATTGAAACTCAAGCACCAATAGTAAAAGAAATACAACGCGCCCAGACTGGACAGAGGCTCACATCGCTCAGGGAGGTGAGATGATCAACCGCGGAGAACCCCAGACGCAGCCGAGGTCCGGGTTTGGCAAACAGTGCAAACAAGCATCGTCACTGGACCTTCCTTTTCACGCGAATCACTTTCCAAGTTGAAGCTCATATACCGCACAACTGCGCAGCTGTGTTTACATTTTTAGATGATGTTTCGATGATTGATGCCAGCCGCTGAACCTGCGCGGCCGCTCCCCCATGGCTAGTAATCGCGTTCCGATCAACTACGAAGTACCGTCGTTTCCTTCGTTGTATGATCCTCTTCCGTCGCATCATCAGCAGGCCTACTATCTATACTACACGACGGATATTTGGCGCTTTACGTTGTTCTGGACGCTTATCTTCTATGCCGCAACTCATCTCACTGTTGCTGGATGCGCGGTACTGACAAACTGCCGAAATTGGAGTGTGATTTGGATTGTGCCCTTAGTGTACAGCTTCATTGCGGGGTTACAGGGGCTTTTTGCCGGGAGTATCGTTGGACTCGTGTAAGTCTTCGCTGGGGTTTTGGCCTTGAAAGGAGTGGGTTGCTGACTTGTAATGATAGTCTGGGCGCGGTGTATGAAGCAGGCAATTTCAGGATGTCGACTTGGTTGCCGATGGTTTGGGGTGGTGTCAATGTCATGGTGCTGGTTGTGACCAGTTTCCCGATGCAAGGTGGTCTTTGAAGGATGCTCTATGTGATGTTGATTCGACATATCTACGACGAACGCGGTCTACAACCTACACATACAGCGAAACGAACAGACCTACGTACGCGCGAAATACTCAACACAACTATCCCATTGGACTTCGAAATACCCGAACACCTATAATACAACTGGGAAATGATATCTCAAATGCGCCGTTACCCGCATCAAAGTGGTCATGCTATGAGTCCTTACGCCAAAGCAAACCGATCGTGCATTGCAAACCATAATCGTCTTTCACTGCCTCCGATTTGCATCGGGCATGCCGCCGCCCTGCAAACCAGGCAGACCGCCGAATCCAGGGAAACCAGGGTTCTGTGCCATGGCCTGGAGGTTGAGATTGGGTGGCATAGGGAAACCTTGAAGCTGCTTCTGTAACTGTACCAAATCCATCTGTGGCAGTCCTTGAGGCATACCCTGAGGCATATTCTGAGGCATACCCGGTGGCATACCTGGCGGGGGAGGGAAAGGCATTTGCTGGTTGGGAGTGTTGGACTGCGAAGGCGGCTGTTGAGTGGACATGATTGCGGCCAACCGGCCAGGATCCATCCCACCCATAGCGCCGGGTGGAGGGGGTTGGGCTCCGCCAATACCGGGGAGCAGACCTGGACCATCAGGCTGGCCGCCGGGCGCACTTTGAATACCCGGTAGAGCAGGACCGCCAGGTCCTCGCTGGTCAACGAGGCTATCAGCTTCGTCCTGCATCTCTTGCTCCTCTTCTTCGCGCATCTGTTTCCGACCGAAGCCGCGGTTCCATGTACCCTGAGCTTCAGCGGCCTCTTCGCCGATGTGGAATCGGTCTTTCATGTAACTAGTCTCACCGGGTCGAGTGCGAGACCAGAATCGAGTAAAGTTATCTTTAGATCCCGAGGCCAGAATGTGACCAAGAGGGTGCCAGTCTAATGACCAAATCGTAGCACCGTGTGCGTACTGAATCTTATGTGCTGGGTAGATCACTTGGGCGGGTGTGTTCGCCGGGTCTGGACTGTCGTAAGGTGCCACAGTGGGGATAACACCACTGGGCAGGTTAGGCTCATCGAGCAGATAGTGGTAGAGCGATCCATCTTCAGCACCAGTCGAGATGAGATTACTATGAATGGGGTGCCATGTCAAGGAAGAAACCGGCTTCTCGTGGCCCCGTAGAATGCAAATATCACGCATCATCCGCAAATCGAAAACCCGCGACGTCTGGTCACGAGATGAGGTAGCAAGGAGATTGCTGTTGACCCGCGAGAAGCGTGTGGAGGTAACAGTGTTCTTGTGGCTGTGGAGTGTCGTCAAACAGCGAGCGGTGCGCGGATCCCAGAATTTGACCTGGTGGTCCTTAGAACCGGAAACAAGGAGACCCTTCGTCGGGTGCCAGTCACAAGACTTGACATCCCAGTTATGACCAGTGAGCGTCGTGTCAGCTGTACGGGTCGTAAAGTCAAAGATCTTGAGGGTTGTGTCGTCGGACGCTGAAAGGAACTTCGTATCGCTAGGCGCCCACGCCAGATCGCGTACAGCATCGTGGTGCGCATCATCGATCGTTTCAACGTTGTTGAAGTTCGGTCGCCAGTACTTGATATCGCCTCGTTGACCACCAGAAATCAGCCAATCTTGGCTATGAGCCCATGCGAGCGACGTCACGCCAGCTTGTATTTGATCGTAGTGAGCCTATACCCAGAGACGCATTGTTAGCAATATCCTACTTTCAAGACACTCTGTAAACGCACATCCATGACTGTCTCAAAGTTAAAGGCCGTTCCATTCCATAGCATAAACTCTCCGGTATGGCCACCGGTCAACAGTCGCCTTCCCTCCGGAGTCCATCGCACCACAACAATGGGCTTCTTTGATTTTCCGATAGATTGGTGTAGGTGTCGCACAGGGATCGTATCGACGGCAGAGTAGGGTCGCGCCATCGGGGGAAGAACCTAGCAAGTCAGTCTCTTTGTCCGGAGTGAGATGCACGCAGCACATACATCAACCGCGAAGCTGGCGCTCGGTCGCTCAGTCTCTAATCGGTGGCTGCCCTTGTAGCGCGGCTGCCGAGTGCGCATCCATTGGACCATCGACGAGCCATAATCCGTGACGAGTCCTGGAAGAGCGCGTTAGCAGGACCTATCCGAAAGAAGGCATTGCACGTACGTGGCCGTCGCGGTCCGACTGGACCTTCGAAGTTCTTGTTAAACCTCCCAAACTGGCCGTCACCTCCGTGCTCCTCATAATAAGCCATGATGAAGCTGGACGTGTCGAGGTTGAACTGAGGAAGCCGAGCTCTCAGAGAAAAAAGCGGAGGGAGCTCGGGATCCCTTCTGGCAGTATACGCTGATTGGCTCTGCGCTATGATACCTGCACCCCCGCCATGTTCTATCGACGTTGGGATCTGGACTTTTGTCTTTCCAACTCTTTCTTCTTCTTTTCTTTCTTCTGTCATGGACAATTGTCATTGTGGCCTTGGGGTTAGTTTGTTCTGAGATTCCATATCATCCGATTCGGTTTGCTCGGAGCTTAGCTTGGACCTTTGACTCTCAACTCAGTCAACCGCCAAGGTTGCAAGGGTGTCAAAAATGGCGTCTCAGACTGAAGCTATCACGACCGCCCGTGAGGAGTCGGTCAATTCTACTAATGGCGTTGTTCCTGGAACCGAGGCGCCCCCAGCAAAGCTCAAACGCAGTAAATATCGCCATGTAGCTGCGTATCACTCAAAGCTACAACATTCCAGTCTCAGTCGTGATGCGGAGGCGACGCCTAGCTTTTTGGGCTTTAGGAACTTGATGGTGTTGGTCCTCGGTACGATTAGTCTCGAAAAATCGTGCATATGCATTGTGCTGATCTCAAACAGTGGCGATGAATCTGCGACTGATTATTGAGAACTTCATGAAAGTGAGTAAATGAATGGCTCAGCATTTCGATTCTATCTAATACCTCGTTAGTATGGAGTTCTGATCTGTATCAAATGCCATGACTATCGCAAACAGGATCTTGTCCTCGGATCTATACTCTACGCATCGGTGCCATGCCACCTTCTCGTGGCATACATTATCGAGCTATCAGCTGCGAGGGCAGCGAAAGAAACAGTGGGCCGCCAGAAGAAGACAGAGAAAGAAAAAGAACACGATCAAAAGGTGTTCCAGTCAACCTGGCCTTACACAGCGTTCCTGCACACGCTTAATGCCACCCTGTGCCTCGCAGTGACCAGCTTCGTGGTGTACTTCTACATTCACCACCCAGGAATCGGCACACTCTGCCAACTCCATGCAATCATCGTCTGGCTAAAGAACTGCTCGTACGCTTTCACAAACCGAGACCTCCGTCTCGCGCTGCTCAATCCCGCCGCTGACCCCGGTTTACCTGATATCTACTCCTCATGCCCGTATCCGAGGAACATCACCATCAAAAATTTGGCATACTTCTGGCTCGCCCCAACACTGGTCTATCAGCCCGTCTACCCGCGCACTCCGTCGATCAGATGGTCCTTCGTCGCAAAGCGCCTGGCCGAATTCGTCGGTCTGGCCATGTTCATCTGGCTTTTGTCCGCGCAATATGCTGCGCCTGTACTGCGCAACTCAATTGATAAGATCGCTGTCATGGACATTGCCTCGATCTTGGAGCGAGTGATGAAATTATCTACCATCTCCCTAATTATCTGGCTTGCCGGATTCTTCGCATTGTTCCAAGCTCTGCTGAACGCTCTGGCGGAGGTCATGCAATTTGGTGATCGTGAGTTCTACACCGACTGGTGGAACAGCTCCAGTCTGGGTGTGTACTGGCGATCGTGGAATCGGCCTGTCTACCTATTCATGAAGAGACATGTTTTCTCACCGTTGGTTGGTCGCGGCTGGAGTCCTTTAGCGGCTAGTGGGATGGTTTTTACATTGTCTGCTGTTCTGCATGAAATGCTTGTCGGCATTCCCACGCATAATTTCATTGGTATGTGCTTCTCTTTGCGTCTTTGTTGACACCGACTGGCACGCAACATTATACTAACCATTTCAGGTGTTGCTTTCTTTGGCATGATGTTCCAGCTGCCATTAATCGCTCTTACTACACCTTTGGAGAAGGTCAAGGGGCCTCAGGGCAAGGTTATTGGCAACTGTATCTTCTGGGTTAGTTTCTGTCTTGTTGGTCAACCTCTTGGGGCACTGTTGTACTTCTTCGCCTGGCAGGCCAAGTATGGGAGTGTGAGTCGCATGCGCCCTGATATGCCAACGGTACCTTGAGGTTTTGGTAGACCATATTGATCATTTGCTGCGTCAGATTTATACTGTATTTCATTATGGAATTGATGTGAGTACGACGGAAGTCTGATCATATATATTTAGTCCACTGCTTCTTTAAGGCCTCGTAATATTATGATCTGTACCTTTCGCGTTGCGTGATCCAAGCCATGGTTATGTTGAAAATGTTGAAAATAAGTATAATGCGGCGAAACCCAAAGATAAGCATGAATATATGTTCTGACCTACTGCACATCAATGACATGCATATCTCTATACTATAAACCAAAACATCTAAGACGTACCCCTTGATTCATAAAACTCACAAATCCCTAAACAAAAACGTGGCACGGACGAAGACGGGCCAATTGATGCCCCGACGGAGGTTGGTCTCCGTTAACCCCGATCTCCGCATATAAAGTCAGGTATGAGCACATCAGAACACCATCAACTCACATCAAATCTCTCCAATCATGGTCGCAATCATTGTTCCTGGTAACTACGGGTATGCTACATCTGCAATTGTTCCAGGTCTTCAACTTACATACTAACGCGCACAGTGCCGTCATCGCCGTCGCCCTCGGCGCCATTCCCGTCCTGGGCTTCGTCCATGGAATCGTCACAGGCAAGCAGCGCAAGGCTGCTCACGTACCTTACCCGCACAGCTATGCCACTGTTGAGCAGTGCAAAGAGAATGTACGTACCATTGACTCCGGCCCGACCTCTGCCTCCCTTTGTTCCATTTCATTCCTATCCGTGCATTCCCCATATCTACCCCAGACCCAATGCTCCCACATGAACTGTACTCACAATCCAAAGCCCCTAGCCGACAAATTCAATTGCGCCCAGCGCGCCCACGCAAACTTCCTCGAGAACGCCCCCCAGACAATGCTCTTCACACTGGTCGCAGGCCTCAAGTACCCCGAGCTGGCCGCCGGCCTGGGTGCCCTGTGGGTTTTCTTCCGTGCTCTCTTCCTCCACGGCTATGTCTTCAGTGGCAAGGCGCAGGGTAAGGGTCGTATGCGTGGTAGTTTCTTCTGGCTGGTGCAGGGTGCGCTGTGGGGATTGAGTGTTTTTGGTGTTGGACGGGAATTGCTTGACTTTTAGGTTCCTTAATGCTAAATCGGCTTTATTTGTATGATTGTTTAAGGGAATATGACATGAATATGAATATGATTACCAATACTTATCGTACTCCGGACAATGGATACAGTCTCCGTGGGGTGGCGGGTCCACTGGCAGAAAAAGTTCCCTTGACTGCTTCGTTACCTTCTCTTCTCTTTGGATTTAGTTCAATTGTACTTTGAACGGGATTTGCCGATCTACTTAGAGAGCAAGCTCATTCTTACACCCAATCGCTCATTCTATACCCACTTCCTCACCTTCACCTCACCCCGCCAACCCCGCCATGTCGTCCAAGTCGCAATTGACCTATGGCGCCCGCGCCAGCTCGCACCCCAACCCCCTGGCTCGCAAGCTCTTCCAAGTCGCTGAAGAGAAGAAGAGCAACGTGACTGTCTCAGCCGACGTCACCACGACAAAGGAGCTCCTCGACCTGGCCGACCGTACGTAACTGCATTCCAAGCAACCCACGAACCAACACACCCACAAAGTCCATACTAACAAAACCAGGCCTGGGCCCGTACATCGCAGTGATCAAGACACACATCGACATCCTCTCAGACTTCAGCCAAGAAACAATCGACGGCCTCAACGCGCTAGCAGCCAAGCACAACTTCCTAATCTTCGAGGACCGCAAATTCATCGACATCGGCAACACAGTCCAAAAGCAATACCACAACGGAACCCTCCGCATCTCAGAATGGGCCCACATAATCAACTGCTCGATCCTGCCCGGCGAAGGCATTGTCGAAGCCCTCGCGCAAACAGCCCAAGCAACTGACTTCCCCTACGGCAGTGAACGCGGCCTCCTCATCCTCGCCGAGATGACCTCCAAGGGCTCCCTCGCTACAGGCGCCTACACCTCGGCCTCCGTCGACATCGCACGCAAATACCCCAGTTTCGTCCTTGGCTTTGTGTCGACCCGCTCGCTTGGCGAGGTCGAGGCTGAGGTTCAGCCTGTGGACGATGAGGACTTTGTTGTCTTTACTACTGGTGTCAATCTCTCTTCTAAGGGTGATAAGCTTGGTCAGCAGTATCAGACGCCTCAGTCAGCTGTTGGTCGTGGTGCTGACTTTATTATCTCTGGTCGCGGTATCTATGCTGCTGCTGATCCTGTTGAGGCGGCTCGTCAGTACCAGCTGCAGGGTTGGGAGGCGTATCTGGCCCGTGTTGGGGGGCAGTAAGTGCATGCACATGCTCATTCCATACATCATATATAATATCATATATGTAGGTGATTTCTTATGCATAATGAAAATTCTATTTTGATGGCGTGCTGTGGAAAGTTTCTTCTTCTTTGCGACATCCAGTACGCTCTGTTCTTTCGCCACTTGACAAGCACACTTATGTCATTGATGTGCGTTGTCCACGAGTCTCATGTAAGGGATTGCCACATGTGAGGAAGTAAGGAGATGAGCTTTCGATCGGCGAATTCCCGCGCATGGGAGGTACAGGTGAAGGGGATGGGGATATGTTTTAGAACATTTAACTCGGAGCTCGAACCTTGCCAAGATGCGATGAATCATGCCATGATAAGATCGGGTTGGATTTGGATTTGGGGCCAAGCATAGATAAGAAGAGTGTAACATGCCAAGTAGCTAAGCATAAGTCCAAGTAGTATCCCGAGCTCGGCAAGATAAGAGTAAGGCTCGGAAGCTACGGGGCAGCCACCCGTGGTTGGAGGATCCCGGGTATAACATGGATACCCGCAAACATCGAAATATCTTCCATTGACGTATGAACTATGTATTAACTCTGGGGTATTAACTTCTACCCTACCATATGCTGTGCATGCACATCTCTCACCGACAGGAATATCGAGCTTGGAAGTACAGCGTGGCACAGGGTAGTTCCCGGGGGACTGCCGATCCTCACACCCCCTCTCACCAAGATCCAATGAGAATATCCAAGAGTAACCCCAGATTCTTATCGACTCCACTGGAGGTGATAGTCGATGATAGGGAGCTCGAGAGATAAGCCCATGTGTCTCGGGCTTCTCACCGTTTATTGTACCTTATATAGATAGCTCCCCGCTCTTTCTGTCTTTTACACTTAGCACCGAGAGAGGTTCTGTACATCTTAACTATACTGGACTGAACAGGGTCTGTTCCATACTTGATCTGGAGTATATCCTGACCCTCACCCTCGACCTATTCATATCTTCATCTCCACACCTACCTTGATATTTATACAACCACCAAAATGACGGAAGAAAAATCAATTGGCATCTCCTCGGGCATAGACCCAACCTTGGACATAGAAAGAAGCAAAGCCATGGACCCAACAATGGAGAAACACTCCCACGACGCAGACGAAGCGATGAAAGCCTTCGACGAGATGCACGGCGAGGCTATCGAACTGGATGAAGCAACGAACAAGCGCCTGCTGAAGATTATAGATTGGCACATGATGCCTATTATGTGTTGTATTTATGGCATGAATTATTTGGATAGTATGTCTCCCCGCTTCTCCGCCTCCACCTTCTCGCTTGGCTTGATCTGCGTTCGACTCCGCATTGTGACGGGCCAATTATGTTTGGATTGATGCTAATATTATGTGTTTAGAGACAACGCTTTCTTATGCTAGTGTTATGGGCATTAAGGAGGATCTTGATCTTCATGGGGATCAGTATCAGTGGTTGGGCAGTCTATTTTATTTTGGTTTGTTTCTCTCATATCTGCTTTCTTGGTTACTTGCTGACGAGATTGAAAGGATATCTTGCATGGGAATACCCAACCAACCGTCTTCTCCAGCGTCTCCCTCTCGGCAAATATTCCGCGGCTTGTATCCTGATCTGGGGATTGATTCTTTGCTGTTTCGCCGCTGTCAAGAATTACTCTGGTGCTATTGCTATTCGGTTTATGCTGGGTGTTTTTGAGGCGGCTGTTACGCCTGGCTTTGCTCTTTTGACTTCTCAGGTATGATCTACCTCCCTCCTGTCTAGAATCATATTCCATATCCCATCCCCACACCACCCATACTAACAAACCCCCAGTGGTACACCAAGCAAGAACAAGGAAGTCGAGTTAACATCTGGTTCTCCTTCAACGGCGTGGGCCAAATCCTCGGCGGAGTAGTTGCCTACGGCATCGCCGTCGGAGCCGAAAAGCACGGCTCAGCAATCGACCCGTGGAAAATCGTCTTCCTGGTAACGGGTCTTCTGACCATCGTGCTGGGCTTCGTCTTCTTATGGATCATCCCGGATAACCAGCTCAACGCGCGCTGGCTCAAGAAGGAGGATCGTGTGTTGGCTGTTGCCCGTGTTAGGGTGAACCAGCAGGGTATTGGCAATAAGCATTTCAAGATGTATCAGGTGAAGGAGGCACTGCTTGATCCTATGACTTGGGCTTTCTTCTTCTATGCTCTTATTGCTGATATTCCGAATGGTGGTATTACTAATTTCTTCAGTCAGTTGGTGTGTAACCCTCTCCGTGTGATTCAGATTTTCTGCCTATATCTATGGATTGGATGAGACTAATACCTACCCTCTAGATCAAAAGCTTCGGCTACGACGAGAAACAAAGTCTGATCCTGGGTGTTCCCGGTGGCGCTGTGGAAGTCGTCGCTCTGCTGCTCAACGGCTGGGTCGGTCATATCACCGGTCAACGTATTCTCGCCAGTTTGGGTGGACTTGTCGCTTCCATCGTGGGCATGTTGCTTATCGTCGCCCTGCCCCTGTCCAATGATGTCGGTCGCTTGATCGGCTATTATCTTACCCAGGCTAGCCCGACACCATTTGTTGCTCTGCTCTCTCTCATTTCTTCCAATGTGGCTGGATACACGAAGAAGACGACTGTGGCTGCTCTATATCTGATTGGATATTGTGCAGGAAATATCATTGGTGAGTGGATCTCGGATAACAATCCCACACCGTCAAGGTCGAGTGGATTGTGGATATAGTTAGTATAGTAGCTGACCTGGTTATAGGCCCGCAAACATTCCGTCCCAAGGATAGACCCCGCTATGTCCCCGCTGAAATCACCATTATTGTTTGCTGGGGCGTGTGTCTGTTCCTGCTGGTCGGGGTGTGGATGTGGTATCGTCGTGAGAACAAGCGCAAGACGCTGTTCACTGCCCGACCGGAGTATGTGAGACTGGAGAATCAAGAGTGAGTCTCTCTTTCACTTTGACTTGGCGATATCGGCGGTTAACTTCTGCAGGTGGCTTGATTTGACAGATCGGGAGAACCCCGAGTTCCTGTACTCACTGTAGTCCGTTCCTTGCAGGTTTGTTCGGTGTTGAATTTCGCTATGTATTATTTGCTGGCCAAATGAAATCTATTGGATTCCACATGCGACCAAATGACGCGGTGTAGAGGTTGAGTTTTCCCAACTAAAAGGGTTAGGGTCTTTTAGGGTCTGCAAACAAGATTTAGTGCGCTCAGATGCCACTGTAAGACATGATCGTCCCAACTGACTTTATATTTGAACGTGACAAATTAGCTGGTGAGGGGTTCGCTAGAGGGATTTAGTGCTTACATTTGTATGCAGCCTTCGATCGTATTCTAGATTGCCCTCATATATAGTGTAAGACACTTAATAGACTCACTGCAGTCCAATAACACACCCCTGCATCCACAACACCGCTGCAGGGGAAGGGCCGATCATGGCCAGCCAAACTTAGACGCCGAACCCCCACAGAGAAGCGGTGTGGGCAACAAATACACTGCCTTCTGCTCTTTCGATTCCTTCTGTTCTTTCATTTCGGATTCATTATCCTGATTCGTATTCCTATTCTTTGAGACTCCTTTCTTTCTTTTTCTCCACGATGGACCTAAAATAACCCTAATCTTATCACACCCCTGCAGCCCTGCAGGTGAGACGGGAGAACGTACCTGTGACCGTGCTCGGTCTATAGACATTCCTTATGGCTTCCGTCACATGCCTCGTCCCCATGAAGCCTCGTCTAGACACGAAGTCCTGCCCGCCCATCGTTACCGAGCTTACACCATGTGTCGACTCCCCATCGCCATCGCCATCTGAGATGTCTCCACAAGTGAAACGGATCGACCCGCCAGGTACATGTACAGATACGACAGCTACAAGCAGAGGTCCAGGCCCAGGCCCAGTGGCCAAGTCGCCCACTTCGCCAACACAGATCAAGCGTAGCGGAAGGGAAACGGCATCAAGACCAACATCTGCGACGAACTCCAGCACTAGTCAAGGACATGGCCAGAGCCACTCGCGCTCTGCATCGCGCAGTACGGTGCGATCAAGCCCGAACAGTCGACGGAGTTCACTACACTCGGCTCGTCGAACTGTCCCACATACAGCAATCGTACCTGTCCCCACGAACAGGACTTCCCCACAGGAACGGCGAGAGTCCCTGATAGCTCTACATCGAGAATCATGTCGACTATTTCAAGATGAGGCTTCAACCTCAACCTCCAAAGACCAAACAGAAGTACATATAAATACACCTTCACCTACACATGCACGATCACAATCGCATACAAGACCACGCCAACCATCCCTCCAACGAGCCTCATCAACAACCTACACACGCCGCTCCTCACGCACATCAACCGAAAAGGGAAGCGGAAACTCAGAACCATCCTCCCCGATCGCCCCATCAGCATCATTCTCCAGCTTCCGCTTCGAGTCTGAAACGGAACCTATGCCCCCGTTCCTCACTCCCAGAGATCGATCCCATACCATGCCTAGCCATAGTACTACCACTGCCATCCCTTCAAAACACCATCACAGCCCATCCGCTTCATCAATCCACGTCCCGGCGACGGTTATGGAGTGGACATCGCCGTCGACGCGCCGGCGCGAGTATGAGAAGATCGATCGGGCGAGTAGTGGCATGCGCGGTCTCTGGAGGCGTGTTGCGCCTCGGTGTTTCCAGACGAGGGAGTCTAGGACTCTTTTCTTTGAAGAGGGGAAGACGGATCGGGAGGGGAGTGTAAGACGGTTTCGGATGGATATTCCTGAAGATGCAGCTGAAGCTGAAATCGCTGGAGATGGGAAAGAATCTGTTTCTCCGACTGGAAAGTCGCAGGTTCAGCTTTTGGATTTCTTGAGTCGGCATACTAGTCCGACTCCCAATGCGGGCTCGAATTCGGGCTATACTTCGTCCGATGGTCGACGACGCTGGGCTTGTCTTCGGTCCAAGACTTCTCCATTGCCCAACGCCTAGCTGTCTATTTTATCCCTTCCGCCTGTTTGAGATTGAGCTTGGCCTTTCTTATTACCGTCATCATTCGTTGGATTACTGATACACCTACACACATGCACATACACATGCCTAACACGCAAGCCCGCACAGGTGCCGCTTGCCTCCTGCCAATACCCCTATTACCTTCGCCCCAACCTATTCCCATTCCCTATGATACCACGATTCCCGATCCCAGAGTGATGATTCAACATTGCATTGCATACACAGCATCAAAATCAGCAGCATCAGCATCAGAATGACTACCCCTGCATTGAGTGGCCTAAGGTCATCTCGTTTCGTTCTCGTTTTGGTAATAATGGTGACTTTGGTCTTTTTTTCTATTCTAACAATATCTATATTTTCTACTTTCCTTGTTGCATTTGCATTTGTTCCGCTCGCTGAGACCAGATACCCTATTCTTTCTTTGCTGTATATAGCTTGACATGGTATATATGTTCAGTTCGTGCATAGTTGTGAATAACCATCTGATCTTCATGTCTACAAAATTCGAGCATATCCAATAAATCTATACCTATTGAGACCGAGACCAATGAACCGATATAATTTCATTAGACATCAATACGCCAAACCCATAATAGGCCATATGCACAAGCGCCGGGTATATCAAAGACAAAAACCCAAAATGCTTTTTTTTTTTTCGTTCCAGACCGATGGAATGAAATATTCACAGAAGATCATAGTCATCCAGCTTCTCACGGTACCGGAGAATGTTGCGCTTGATCTTACTGGAATCGACCCAGGTCACGAAGTCTTCCATGTTACGGGTGACCAGGAAAGCAGGGTCATTGACGACTTCGGTTCCAACGCGGACGTGACCTTGTTCGATGAATGTGGCGGCCTGAAAATCAATCAGCATCTGCTCTCCTTCTCTCGTGCTCTGTGTCGAATTTCAAATTTCGAGTTTCGAATTTCAACAACTACAAGGGGGTACTCACAGCCTTAATAGTCTCAACCATACCAGAGCGCACCATGAAAACAGCCAACCGTCTCCGGCAAAGTGCAGAAACAGTGACTTCACGCTCAACCTTGGAGAGTCCGGCACCCTGCTCACGCGATTGCTTGAGGATTCCCATGCGCCACAATTTCTCCAGGAGCTCGGACTCGAGCTTCTTGCGCAGGGGGTCTGTTTCCGGGTCGAGCTGGGAGAGCTTGTGGGCGAGTTGGCGGAGCGATCCGCAGAGCGCGTTGTACTTTTTGTAGTCCATTGGGTCTTGGAGGAGGTATCGTTGGCGGACTTGGTGTTCGCGGTGGCCGCCATCGGACTTGTAGTTGTGGAAGTCAACCTTTTTAAGGAGCCTGTTGGTTATTGTGTTAGCTGATTTGGTTATTTCGGATTGTGAAGCTTTTGATGTGGTGGATGGGTTGGGTTGAGCTTTCTGATGGGTCTGGTGGATTCTTCGTTGACAGAGACGTACTTTTTCTCGTGGTGCTTGAGTTCGCGGACCATTTTGGCGGTTGGATCAGGTTACTGATATCGACCGGATTGAATAGTGAGACTGACGTTGAGCTGGCAAAGACTGTCCGTGGAGATGGTTGCGATAACAAAAAAAATTGGTTATCAAGGCGGTGAGATTTGCACTGACAGAATCCACTGACAGGTACTCACCGCCCGCCCCGTTCTCCGGTACTCCACGGCACTCATCTCTTGACTATTGACCCGGGGTTTGTGTACAAGATGGAAAATCAGGAAGATATTTCGGGCAAGCACAATGGTCGCCCGAGGGTCAATTTAGAGCCCTATAAAGCCGAGGTCATCGCCCTACACGAGAAAAAGATGAAGGGTGACGACATCTGCAAGCATCTAAAGCGACAACATGATATCCAAATATCCCCGCGAACCCTCACCAAGCGTTTACAGCTTTGGGGAGTCAAGAAGAAGATGGAAAACTTCTCGTCAAATGAAGTGCTTCATGCGCGTATTAAGAACCTTTTCTTCGATGTTGGTCTTGGTGATTCGGAGATCCTCACTGTTTTGAATGGTGAGGGCTACGATATCTCACTTCGTACGCTACGAAGACTCCGTCACCAGCTTGGGATCCGTCTTCGTCTTGACTCGCCAACTGGGCAGCAGGAGCAAGTCCAGGAAATCCTGGAAGCCTTGGTTGAGGAGATGGACAAGGGAACCATTGAAGGATACGGCAAGGAACTACTGCATAACCACTTCCGCAGCAAGGGATATGTCTTTGCCAGAGATCGTCTGTATAATGTCTACCGTATGCTACGCCCTGACAATGTCGAACGCCGCACGAGTGATGTCCCACGCCGTGCTCCTCCACCGAAGATTCTAGCCGGTCCTAATTTGACCTGGCATGTGAATAATTATTCAAAACTGGCAAACTTCGGGTTCCGGATTCATGCCGAGATTGATTCATTTTCTCGCTATGTTCTCTGGCTCAATGTTGGTGTTGGCGCTCACACGGCCATGAGCGTCCTCAAGCATCATCTTGATGCTGTCTCTTCCAAAGGCCGTCAACCGCGCACTCTCCGATCTGATTTAGAGTCTGAAGTTCCCCTCCTGGCAGACGCCCACTTTAACCTCCGCCGCGCCAGTGAGCCGGAAGTTGAGCGGGACCAATGCTGTGCTCCTGGGCGAGCTACGGACACCCACCGCATTGAATCATGGTGGGCTCAGCTTGCCAAGTCGGTGGTAACCCTTTTCTATGTAAGTAGATTTCTCATACGTGAAGATTCGTATACTAACCATCCCAGAACTATTTCCGCCAACTCCACGCCGAAGGCCTATTCACAAGCTCAATATTAGCGGACCAGGTATCCCTCCTGGCAATTTACATGCCAATCCTCCGCAGCCATATAAACTCCTACGTTCAAACCTGGAATATACACAACATCCGCAAACAAAAAGACCACCCAGAACGCGCCCCAGGAAAACCATACATGAACTACCACCACCCACCAAAAGGAGTAGAAAACTTCGGCCTACCAGTCGACCAGCCTACCTTGCAGCTACTGCAAGAAAGCCACAGAGAATTCGACCCGGAGGAATACTTACCATCGGATACGCTCCGGTGGTGTATGGCGCAACTGCAAGAGCTGGATTTCGATCCGTATAGCCCGCCTGCGCGGTTACCTGGGGACGTTCAGCCATTCCGGTCTGTTTATCTCGCTCTCCGGGAGAGGGCGTGGCGACATGAACGCTCCGGGGTGGAGCCGAAGTTGGCGCTTTGTGAAGCTCCTGGGCCGGGCTTACAGGGATATGCTCCTTCGCGGTAGATGTTTCCGATGAATTTATGAATAATGGCTGTAGCACGGGTTTGGAATACGGTGTCCTGTTTTAACTTCAAGCATAGGTAGCTCTTTAGCCTTTAATGGAGTCTATATGTAAACATTGAAGCTCAAACTTGGATTTTATGCCAAAAATTAGCGAAGTAAACACATATGAAACACAAGGGATGCAATAATCCCCCAAAGGCAGTCTTCAAGAACAAGCAAAAGATGCAGCAGCAACATAAAAATAAAACGGTGAACGAAGAACATCCCAGAAGAACACAAACCAGATCTGGAATAGAAAACGGTAAGAGAAAAACAACAACCACATCAAGCAGGGGTTCCAACAAGCCGTGTCCTCCCAGCAATCTTCTCGCTCAATATCCTAATATTCTCCGCGCCCATGATATCAAGAAGAGAAACCTCAGCCCGAAGCTCCTTTGTAATCCATGAGCGGAACTCCATTGCCACAAGAGAGTCAATACCACCGAAACCAAAGCGCTGAGCATCTATTTCAGAGGCAGGAGTGGCAAGTAGAGAAGCAAGACGATCAACAATTCCGTCAGAGATCACGGCAACGACGCTAGCAGTGCTGGAGGCTGCTCTCAAAAGTGCGCCAATGCTGACAGTCTGCTGTTCAGGAACTTCGACGCTCTTTGTCTGAGTCGTATTTCGGAAATGGGTGAACATTGAGTAATTGAGATATGTAGGCGCAGCCACACCGTGCTGATGACACATCTCTGCCGTTGGAAGACCGAGGATCAACTGAGATCGGCCAAGTGAGTTTTTGGTCGATGCGCTATCGTTTCGGGGATCTATGAGAAATTCCACAGCTGCATGTACTTCTTCCTCACTGAGCACCTCGAACAATGGTGCTGTGTTCGTAGAAATCGTATCTCTATTCTCGGCTACCCAGCCGACATTGGACACACTGCCAAGGTTGAGACTAGATGCCTTCAAGCCTTGTGAGACTCGGTGAGCGGCTAGTGCATCTTGGAAAGTGTTTCCGGCGGCGTAGTTTGATTGCCCTCGGTTACCGAAAATGCCTGCGACTGAGGATAACATGACAAAGAAATCCATGCCTTTTGGTAGGGTCTCATGCAGATTCCATGAGCCTTGGACTTTGGGTTTGATAGCGACTTGCCAGTCTTCGTATGAGAGTCCCTCAAAAGCGCCGTCCTTAGATATGTTATTATTTGTATTGTACTAGACTTGTATCGACTTACCCTCAAGACCATGGAGGCTTGAATACATCCTTTGATTGGGGGAAGATTGGGAAAGGTTCCTTCAGAAAACGATGTGAGACATTGAGAATCTGAAATATCGCAAGCAAGAGAATGGACTTTGCAGCCCATGGTGGTCAGATCGGTGATCATTTCCACTTTCTCTGGAGTTGATGCCGATGAACGGGAGAGAAAGATCAGATTTCTTGCACCGCGTGATACCATCCATCTTGCGAGGCTGCGACCTAGACCGCCATATCCACCGGCAAGAACGTAGGAGGCATTTGGATCAAAGTGATATGGTGTTGTTGGTTGAAGGACGACAGGAATCATGGTCGATGGATTGAGGGTGAAAACGATGCTTCTGGGTTTGCCACTGATCTGGGCTTGAATGCCTTCCTTCATTTGGGAAAAGTCCATTACAGTTACAGAATGGATCTCCTTCTTCCAATCTTCGGAGTAAATTTCGAGACATTTTCTGAGTTCCTCGGACGGAAGAGGAGCTAGATCCCATTCCATCCGAGCCATCAAAGGTATGTTCACCCTTTGTATGCTCGCACATCGAGGAATCGATGCTAGATCAATTGTGGCACTGCCATCTTCCATTGAACCTGAAAAGTCGAAAATCTTTCCGAATCGAGAAATACATTTCAATGTTTCTTGAAATGCCTCGCCAGGCGGAGTATTAAGACTAATCATCACTCCTTTGCCATTGGTGCATCGCATGATACCCTTGGAAAATATGGAAGCTCGTCCGGAGAAAATCCGGTGCTTTGGAATGCCATATTCGGAAGCAATGAGCATGCGGTCTTCGACAGTTGCAACACAGACATATACTTCGGCGCCATAATACATGGCAGCCTGAATGGCCGCTCGGCCGACAGGTGTCATCCCGTCATGGATCAAGACGGTGGACAAGCGGTCTGTCTCAATGAAGGATTGCATAAGTGCATATTCTGCTGTCAGAAGCGCAACAGGCAGACTAGCGGCAGTTTCGAATGATATGTTGCTGGGGACTTTAGCCACCAGGCGCTGATCAAGTCGAATATTTGTTCGGAAGCAGTCATATTTGTCGCCGGAGACACAAACAACTCGATCACCTGGGCTTAGCCTTTCCACAGAACGGCCGATCTTCGTGACAAACCCGGCAGCTTCATTCGAGAGACTGTTTGAAAGACCCGGTGAACTGAGACCAACCGCCTGTGTGTAGATTTCGACTTCGTCATCACCCAGTGGTGTTTCATGGAGCTGATCAGTAACCCAGACATATTCACCAGTTTCTGACTCCTGCAGTCGGATTGGCTGATCGATGTGACCGAATCGCTGAAGCTGAGACCCTGGCCTAGATGATTGGCTGGCGAGGAATTGATCCGCCATATCACACTCCACTAAGCGACCGATATGGACCATACCATCGCGTAGAAGATACTCAGCATGGCGGTCATTCTCAGGTTTATCCCCAAATTGACGTTTCAAAATATCGCATATTTTCTGATCCAGTGTTGTACTTGGGCAAATGTTGTCGTTGGCCACGGTCAAAGTGATAATGTTTGAACCGTCCGCGTCTCGCTCCCAGCGCAAGGATCGGAGAAGACCCAGGCTCATGCTTGCATGCTGGCGATACTGACTTTCAGTCGTCACCCACAAAATGTTTTGGCATTTCGTCAAAATTTCCTTCAAGGTATCGTATTCTAATTCACTTATATTGTCAAGATAGTCGTAATCCAGGTCGAGGAGTGAGATGCAAAGGCAATCTACGTTCACATTATGTCTGATCTCCGATGGCCCCATAATGAGAACATTGTTGTATCCCATCATCTGTAGCAGAGACTGAAGATGTTCATGGATGCTTTTTGGATGTGAGCCACTAGTCATGATGAGGGCGTCACCGAGTGACTTCCCTTGGGAGGCAGTGACAGCGGAAGAAATCAGAATACTCTGCCAAGTCAAATCTGGATCGTCGGAACTAGGATATTCAATGTCAACGCCAGAGAATCCTGATGCTCGTAAGAGTGTATCCCATTCAGCTGCAGGCATGTAAGGACAAAACTTTCTGATAGGTTCGTCACCAAGCCACCACCCAGGAAGCTGTCCAAAAACAAGCGGATACCAGAGGAAGTCTTGTCTAACTCCTTCCTGCATGATGAGCTTTCCTCCTGGTCGAAGCAGCGACCGCAGATTTTGCAAAGTAGTTTGCAAGTTTGCTGTAGCATGGATGACATTTCCAGCGAAAATCAAGTCGTATGTTCCCAGCTGTAGCCCTTGATCAATGGGATATCTCTCAATGTTGAGAATTTGGAACTTCATAATATCTGCCCATGGCTGAAAGCGTTGTTTGGCTCTCTCGAAGAAGCCGGATGAAATGTCAGTGAATGTGTAGCTTGCCACGCTGCCCTTCCTCTTTTCTGGATCTGGAGACAAGGAGGCAAGAACTTCTGCAGTGAAGCTACCGGTCCCACCACCAATCTCCAGAATGTTCAAATTAGAATGTTGGTGATGAAGTAGAGACAAGTGACTTTGAAGATGTCGAGGTAGATTGTAGAGATGGAGGCCCTCCTTGTAGACCTGTTCCATCACATCATCTTGGCCGAACATGAGATGAAGTGGATTAACCTCTTGCCTGATAACCTTGGCAATATTGCGGCCCATACGGGCTGTAATAGCTCCTTCAGCACCGTGCGATTCAATCTCTTTATCAATGGCCTCCTTCATAGCAAGGTCCTGTGCAACTTGCTGGAATTCGCTGTAGGGAAGATGAATGACTCTGTTGGACCTGAGCAGCTGTTCGTAGTGCTTCATCCAATCAACAAATTTTTGCATATGCACATCAAGCTTCATCAAGTCAAAATGGGTAAGCTCGGCAAGTGCATCTGTGACATAGAGCATCGTGGCAAGCTGAAGCTGCTTCACCCAATACAGAGCTTTGGTGTCACCTGTGGGTGCAATAGTTGTCAAACCACAGGCGGTAGCTGACTCCAGGAAGTAGACATCAGGCTTCCACTCGATTGTAGTGCATAGCTTGCGCTCAAGATTTTGAGAAATGCCGTTTTCGAGTGGAGTGAGCTCAATACCATCCATATGGAGACGCTCTGTACTTGAATCCGCATCCAGAATCCAAATTTTGCCCTCATATTTGTGGGACTTGGTCGCAGACACAGATGCATGCCCTGTAAACCTATGTGCTGGAGCTGAGTTGAGATCCGCTGACACCCAGACATCACGAATGAAAGTTGGCAATCTGATTTGGTCCAGGGTGGGCTTTCCCGTGTAGTCCATGACAGCTGCAATCATAAGGTGAATCATGCTATCCATTGTGGCAGGATGGATTAAATGAGGATGCATGAACTGTTTTGGCATGTGCTGTACAATATCTGGAACAGTCACTGATCCGACGACGGCTCCAAGGGCTGATTTGGAACCAAGCCCACCGCCACGAACCTCTGAAAGATTCTGGAACAGTGGACCAAAGGTGAGGCCAGACTTGTGCAGGTTGCTGTAAATAGATTTGAAGTTGAGAGGGTTACTGCATACTTGGTTGGCATGTGCGAGATCGGCTTTCCAAACATTTGCCTCCTCTGCTGCCTCACGGCCAGCATCCACCAGATCGGTTGATGACTCGTACTCGACCATGATCCGACCAGTGCAATGCTCTGTCCACTTATCGCTCGAAGCATTGTAGGAAGTTATGTGGAAGCGTCGCCATGTCCTTGATGTCGATGGAGCATCGTCGACGTTAGCCATTGACAAAGAAACCTCAATGCCTTCTTTTGTATCAGGTACAATCAAGGCTCTCTTGATAGAAACATGTCGGACACGGAATCCGGTGATTTTCGCTGAAAGCGTTCCGTCACCAGCCAGTTGACGGGACGCCTCGATGGCCATGACGAGATAGCCCACACCAGGGTAAACGTAGTTGCCGGTGACAACATGGTCCCTCAGCCATGGGTTTTCGTCTAACCTGACAAAATGCCTCCATCTTGGTGCAGTTGGATTCCAATCTGCGATTGGTGCACCGAACAGATCATGACGTGGGAACTTTCTTGTTCGTAGGTTCTTGCTCAATCGACTCTCATAGAGGACCTTCTCCGTATGCCTGAAGCTGTATGGTGGCAGGTCCACCAAGAGCTGGGATCGTCTTTTTGCTTGAGATTTTGATGCTTGGTTCACGGCATGGAAGTCTAAATCATAGCCATTGGCAGATAAGCAGCCCACTGTGGTAAGGATGGTGTTCAGGTTATGATCTGTTCGTTTGAGCACTGGGAAATATTTGTATTCCAGTTTAGGGCTGTTGAAGGCGAGAGTTTCTATGATTGCACTTTGCAGAGTTGAGTGAGGTCCTACTTCCACTAGGAAGTGCAAGGCATCAAAGTCGCTTGGGCCAACGCATAAAGCAGATTGAGAGCTCATTTCAGTCAAGCCGGCGGTGAAAAGAACTGGAGATACCATGTTATCCACCCAGTATTGACCAGGCAGTTGGTGTTCCTTGACTTCCTTTCCAGTCACGGTAGAGAACATCTGCACTGGGTGTGGCGCGCCCAATCGCTTTCCATGAGGAAGTGTGCCCATTAAGCGGAGGTAGTCCTCAGCGATGGCTTGCATGTGAGATGAGTGGTAGGCGTTCTTCACATTCAGTTTTCGTGCAAAGACTGCATCGTCGTTAAGAAGGTTTTTAAGGTAGTCAACTAAATGCTCATCTCCAGAAACAGTGTTGTTCTTGGGACTATTTCGGCAGGCAATGATGAGTTCTCCATTGAGGTCCTCCAGTACTGATTCCAGATAAGGCTCTAGCTGTTGCACAGGGAGACCTACTGCCATCATTGCTCCGTTTGCCGAGAGTTGCTTGGATGACACATATCCACGGAAATATGCAACTTTCCAGGCAGCTTCACGGGATAGTTTTTCAGCACAATAGCCAGCTGCTATTTCACCGGATGAGTGGCCGATGACATGTGTTGGGAAGATGCCCCAGCTGGCTAGAAGATCCACAAGAGCTACTTGCAGGGCGGTGCATAGCGGATGGGCAACTTCGGGCAAGTTGACTCGAAGTGATGATCGTTCAGTCAAAAGTTCGTCTGAATATGTTAGCTTAGAACGCAGCACGGTAAAAGGTATCCTCACCTAGTAATGACCAGGGACTACCAAGCCGACGAATGTAGTCAGATGCCTCTTTCAGAGACTCTCTGAAAACAGGGTATACCATCAGCTCTCGGCCCATGGCTTGATACTGAGCACCTTGGCCGGTGAACACAAACTGAATAGCCGGCGTTTGGGTAACTCTGATGGGCTTGACATAGTTGCATTCCGACAGGCTCCATGCAAGCTCCTTGGCAGAAGAAGCCATGACATAGCTCTTCCAAGGAAATTGGGATCGTTTCTTGGACAACGTGAAGGAAAGATCATCGAGAAGTTGTGTGTGGAGACCCGACTGCTTCATCTTGCGCTTGAGGTAGTTGGCTAGAGCTGATGCATTTCGCTTGACACCACCTTCATCGAATGCGGAGAGCGGGAGAATCTTCTGTTGTTCACCCATAGTTGTGTAGCCAATAGATTTGTAAGTGGGTGATGAACAGAAGTCTTCGGTTGAAGGTGTGTCAACAAAGACGTATCCATTCCCTGGGTTATCACTTTCCTCTGTGCTTTCGTAGAAACTTTGTTCTATATCATTGCCAGCGTTTGGAAAGGCCAAAACTTGGCGCTTGATGTTTTGTTTTGTTGGAGCAACTGGGGTAGTGCAGTGAGCTCCTGCCAGATGGCGTTCATTGAGGTAATTGTAGGCGTCGTCGAGGATGCAGTGGGCATTGGTACCACCAATTCCAAACGAATTCACTGACACTCTTCGCAAGCCCTGTGATGGCCACGGAATATTCTCAGTGGGAAAAGCGATGCCCCAGTCTGCTGCAGAGATCTCAGGGTTGACTTGTTTCATATCATAATTTGGCGTGATGATGCCGGATTCAAGTGTGAGAATAGCTTTGATAATGCCTGCTACTCCGGAACCTCCTTCTAGATGCCCGATGGAAGTTTTGATAGCCCCAATATAGAGTGGAGTGTCTCGCCTGCATTTGAATGCGCGGGCAAGAGCGCCGGCCTCGATGGGGTCTCCGGTCCTCGTTCCCGTGCCATGGGCTTCCACAAGTCGTGTGTCTTCAAAGTCGAGACCGGCTCTCCAGTATACCTCACGTATAAGTCTTTCTTGGGCGTCGGCACTAGGCACTGTAATTCCCGATGTGCGGCCATCCTGATTGGCTCCTGTCTCACGAATTACTGCACGAATAGAGTCCCCATCCCTGAGTGCGGCATACAGAGGCTTCACCACAACCGTACCAACCCCTTCGCCTCGTACGTATCCTTCGGCACGTGAGTCAAAGCTGAACGAGCGTCCTTGAGGCCCCAGAAGACCATGGTGGCTCATGCCGATGGTTTCTACCGGGTTCTTAAGGATACTTACGCCGCTAACGATGGCCTATTAATTCAGATAAGTCAGGAGAATGATAGTCATGAGCCATAATAGCAATAGGTACATACCATGTTGGTCTCTCGGGATCTCAAGCTCTGCACAGCAAGATGCAAGGCCACTAAGCTGCTTGAGCAAGCTGTGTCGATGGTCATACTGGGACCTTTGAAGTCGAAAAACCAGCTGACACGGTTTGACAGGATGGCATTTGTGACACCGGTAGGCTTGTATTTGAGAGACGTTTCTGGATCAGAGTTGAGAATTCCAAGGTAGTCATGATTGAACCCGCTGACGAAAACAGAAGTATTGGAACCAACAGCACTGGATAGTGGGATACCTGCATTTTCCAAAGCATGATATACGTTTTCCATGATTAACCGCTGCTGAGGATCGAGAGTCAAGAGTTCAGTCTTGGTGATATTGAAGAACGATCCATCGAAGTAGGCGGGGTCTTCAGAGAGATAGTGACCTCCTTGGACGTGAAACTAGATACAGAAGGTCAGTAACTGCTAGTACAAAAGGCTTGTAATGTTGATAATTTACTGTTCCTCCATGTTCGGGGTCAGGATGGTAAAAAGCGTCCGCGTTGAATCTTTCCTTAGGTATAGGTGACCATGTTGAACGGGATTCTAGAAGCAGTTTCCATAGATCTTGGGTGTTTGAGGCTTGTTGAGGGAAACGGTTTGCAAGACCGATGATAGCAATGGGTTCAAGGGCATCAGGAGCTCTGGCTTCATCGCCGGCGCCACTATCTACCGAGAAGGGACACATATTTCCATATACTGGAAGGTAGAGACGCTGGAGGTGTGTGGCATATAATACTTGAATGGAGGAAGGAGTAGGAAAAAGGAACTCAGTGTAGGCTTTAGATGGCGTTTGGTGTTGAAACTGGATAGACTCTAAGCTCTCTGAACCTCACATCAATGCGGACCGGCCATATTTGTAGTCGCAGAATTGTCCAAGCGTCAACAATCGCGATGCCCAAAGAAACGGGACTTGCGTATGCGCTCAGATCCATCGAGCTCCGAGGCAGCCTGGCCCCTGGAGCATAATTTTCTGGAGAGTAATTCATGCGCAGCGACATCCTCACGTGCAAATGTACCAATTCTCTCACATTTCAACAATTAAATACTTAAAAAAAAAAAGTATTATGATGTATTCATGTAATAATGTGGATCCGTTACACCAAATCTCCCAATCAAATCACAAATTCCAGTTGGAAAATCTCCAGTTGTCGGGTGTTCCCCATACATGCCCTGCATAGTGTTGTATAGATCCATACGCAGTCAATCACATATTCTGCTGTCAATGCGGACCAAAAATACCGATCTACAGAGTCGGATGCAAGGTCAACAATTCCGAGATGTTGGTCCTACGGAGAGACGTATGATAGCCGTTTTTATGTCTAGAACCCAATCGCAGGTCAATGTTTGTCGATCGCTGTCAAACCCAGTGTTTTCAGCCCTTAAAGGTATTTCATCTAGCTTTTATTGGTGGATTATATAAAGGCCCGCCGAATGGAACTAAACTCACTTGTGTGTTTGCGAAGAACGTTCCGTGGAAGCAGCTCGAGGCCACAGTGCTATCATCTTGCAGAAGATCAGCCGATTTAGATTAATTGGCATAGTAATTTTTTCTATTTTCCATGGCCTCTATTTATCTACTTCATGTAAAACAAATATGGTATGACTTTTAAATAGTTGAACAAAGAGACAATTGCGAATGATCAGTCCAATTGCAACAGGTCTTGCTTAGGGATCCTAGAAACCTAACAACCCTGCTGGAACACAACAACACCCCTGCTAATACACTGTATGACCAACCCTTGTACAAGTACTATCTCAATTCAAAGCCTATCATTCAACTCATCCAAACAAACCTCGTCAAATAGCAAAACTCCACAGCGCAACGCTCGATCAACGCTATGTTTGCACTATGAAACCCCTCTCCCAGTATTCGGAGCATTACTGATTAAGGAAAGAAAATACGCCCAGTACCGTGTCTACAAGCCATGATTCAGGGGCTCCACTGAGTTCTGGACTGCCGTCAAAGAACCCCTGGCTCTTTCATGCAGAGCCGCCCCACTTAGTTACTTGGTTCCCTTTGAGATGGTATGCATGATATTGAATATAGGCACTGAAAGCGCAGTGCCTATACTAGTACAGCATACCTCAATACGAACGGCCAATGATCGACGATTTAACTCAATACTGTGATTCCCAGGGGACTGGCTATTCGTGCTTCTTAATATGGGAAGGTATATCCGGGTCAATAGACCTCGTTTTCTAAGCCTAGAATTGAGGGTCACATTCTCCCCTGGCCCAGTCTTGCCATCAAAGCTGGTCACATGGATTTCGATAACTTGTATCTTGGGACTCCATTTTTGAGATCCTAATCGTATATGCACGACGATTTCAGCGAACGGGTGGAGTATCCAGGCCATGCCTAGACTATAAGCTTTAGGCTGCTAACATGAACGAACTCCTTTGTGTATCAGATGACTTTTTTAGCCGCCATGCGTTGTAGCTTGGTTCCTCGGCAATGTTTGTCAATCATGAGTAGTTCACGCGACGGGTATAACTATCTATGCTGATCATTCTTTCATGTACCGTATAGCCTCGGTCGAGCTATCTTACTTTGCTAAGACGGCTTATGTAGATAACAGAGTGGGCTTCTGGAGATATGATCGTTTGAGCCTTGAATGACGGGTGGATCCGGCTTCTGAATGCACTACTATAGTCGGTTTGTTTATGATACAGGCCTTGCTAGATGAGAGGAGAAGTAGAGCATTTTGGATGTTGTTTCCGTTCAAAGAAGACTGGATATATATTGTGCTGGTGGATTTTGAAAGACATGGTCTCCGCTGTATATCGAAATCTTGAAACGTTGAGTTGCCAAGAACGTGTAGATAACTTAGCTAGAAGCGGTGATACAGCCTATCCAAGGCCAATGCAAGCATATGGTGGAATCATAGGTTGTCCGAGAACTCTAACATCTACATCCCCTCCATCTCCAAGGTCCGTATCCGCGAAGCGGAGAAGCTTCCAGACCTGCTTGCCCAGGCAGACCCAGCTCAAACGACCACCAATCTGTCTTACGCATCACATTGCGCCCCGTTCATTGACATCAAGACCCCACCAAGATACGAGCAAGATCTCGATCCAAAATGACGGTCAAGGACAACACGTCGGCGAGTGTACTCGATCATCGAGCAGTGAGCCCGCGCTAGTCCAAACCCCCTGTCAGAACCCATGCAGACCCAGTCGAACTCGCGCCAAATGGCAGTTATTGAGATCTAGCTTATGCGTTGTACAAGTAGTCTCGCTTCCCTTTCTTTGTTTACCCACCCACCGCCACCGCGGCTTGGAATCGCGTTCATGCATTGCGACCAAACAGTGTTGGTTTGTTACGGAATTTGATTCTCTGTGCATTGGCGCAGTTGCGACTTTGGAAATTCATTTTGGGGCTGTTTGGGTTTCAGGGTTTTGCGCGGCTCGGCGATATGTATCCAGGTGATGTTATAGCCACCGCAGTTAGGGCTGGGGTCAGGCGCGTTTGTGGAATTGGAGACAAGGGGATGTTTCTTAGCACTGTACTGTTTATGTAGGCTGTCGATTCCGAGTTGCGCCAAATAAAGGCCCGATAAGTTATACGCCAATAGCGCTCAAATACAATTTCATGAGTGAATCCTGGCCCGTCCAACCGGCCGACTTCCGATCTTTTTTGCCATCTGTATCAATTAATGTGGCAACACAGCAGCAGGGAAGTTGGATAATTCTTTCTATCGCTAAGTTTGTTTCCAGGAGTCGAGGATGGCTATGAATGTCTTGTACATATCTGACCAAGGTCTAAGCTATATGCTCATACACTACCAGGTCTAATAATCCAGCCCAGATCACAAATGCACGCTAGCACCAACAGTATACAAAAGCAAGAGGGAATCAAGAATCTATAAATCACAACTCATCCTTGCCCTCAGGAGAGTAAACAGGTCGCCCACTATCCTTAGCCAAATCAACACCAACCTTCTTGCGCCACTTCTCCCAAAGCGAATGGAAGTCCTTCTCCATCCCACTCTCCATCTGATCCGGTAGAACAACAGTATACTCGACATAAAGATTGCCAGGCTCATCATTGCCCTCATGGTGGTCATGCAAATGACCATCAGAGTAATAAGGCATACCCTCCCCCTGAACAGTCTCAACAGCCAAAGGCTGAACAACCTGACCACGACCCCGTCCAAGTCTCACAACATGCCCATCGAGGTGCGTAACATCCCGAGTCCACTCACCCATCCAGGCCTCTCTCAAACTAAGCGTCTCCTTCCAGAACAAATCCCTCCCCTTCCTCCGGAAGAAAGTACCATCAGTGCGCTCCTCATCCGTCTGCCCCATCTCAGCCTCCTTCTCATCAAGAATAACAATCAAATCTCCAGCAATCCAATCGGGACTTTCATCACCCTCATTCTCAAATACAAGTCTCGTCCCCTTATCCATCCCAGGCTCAATACTAGCACTGGTCTCAATCTCCTTCCGCACAACCCGATTACCCGCACAAACAGGACAAGGATTCTTAATCTTCTTTCCCTTCCCTCCACACGCATCACAAGCCATCTGAACCTGCTGGAACATACCAGGCGCAAGCATGTGTTTCTGGATTACCATCCCGCGCCCAGAACACCGGTCACAGGTATGAACTTCCTGGTCCTTCGATCCTGTACCCTCGCACGAATCGCAGATCTGCTGCTTCTCGACGAGGAAGTTGATTTCCCGACCTGTGTAGAAATCACGCAGTGGTAGCGCCGCGCGTACTTCCATGTCTGGTCCGCGTCGGTGGCCGGGTGCGTGGCCGGAGTGTCCGCCGCCGCCGAAGAAGCGTGAGAATAGATCGAACGGGTCGTGGCTTCCGCCGGCTGTTTCGCCTTTGCGGTGTTGTTCTACGCCTTCGTGGCCATATTGGTCGTAGACTTTGCGGAGGGTGCTTGTTGACAGGACGTCGTATGCGTCGGCGATTTCGACGAACTTCTCGCGGGCTGAGTCGTCGCCGCTAGATTGGGATATGTGTTAGTTTTTATTGCGTGATGTGGAGAATATAATGGGAGTTGGGAGTGGATGTTTACTCACGGGTTCTTATCGGGGTGGTATTTCTTGCTCAGGGTTCGGTATGCCTTCTTGATATCCTTTTCTGAGGCTGACTTTGCTAGTCCTAGGACCTTGTAGTAATCTTCTGCGGCAATGACGACGACGGAGAATAGCACGACGGCGAGCGCAACTAGGAATCGTAATAGTTGCATTTTGGTGGATTGGGCTGCGCGCGCAGCTTGTGTACTCAATTGTGAAGAGGTCGTTTTTTTGATGTATGGATCGTAGAAGTATGTTTCCCTCCGGCTCTGCTAAAGCTTCGATCCACCTGTCGGAGCTGCAGTACGCAGTTTTGTTTTGGGTGGTGGATTGGTCGGGAGGTTTCGTTTATGGGAGCGGCATGGAGCGCGTTGGCTACACTAGATTGTGTGTAAACCGATCCGTTGAGCAGAAGGAATGAGAGGTTGAAGGTGGGTGTTAGCTCCGCATGCTGATAGCTGGATCTACTTTGATATGTGGCCTGAGAGGAACAATGTTCAGCCGAGTCACGTGTATAGATAGTATAGATAAGAATTGCCAGATGAGCTGATTTATATAGAGGGAGAGGATTTCAGTTAATTGTATTGATTTGCGGTTGGAGATTAAATTGAACATGGTATTGAGTCCATCAGTGGTACAGCTTTGAGTGTTTCTTACATGTGCGTCGAATAATTTCCATTCATAGACATATTCAAATCGTGAATCGTAAGAGATCCTTCACAGTTTGCCAGCATTACAGATCTCATATCAAATTAAACCAAACAAAAAACCTCTCACTCTCAAACCTTAGTGCCTGCCAGCGACATCAAAGATATCATTACGCCACGTATGGCCTAGTCCCAACGTCTCATCTCCATCATCTATAGCCTCCTGTGCACCAGTCGCCTCATCATGCCAGGTCTTAACAATGCTGCCAGGAGCATAGACACCCTCGAAAGGCCCACTCTTTAATGGCGAAAGACCAACCCTAGTCTCGACATCTGAGTCGGCAGGTACAAGACGTGCAAGCACAGCTCTAATGAAAGAAGCCAGATCCTGGGGATTAGCAATACGTGCAGCACGCAGACGTTCCCTAGCGAAGACCAGCTCCCGATTCAACGCAAACGCCGCGGCAACAATTTCTTCTGCAATCTTTTTCTCCAGGACACGACGGACGAGATGCTTCAGGATTGGCTTTGTCAGCCAGAGCAAGAACCTCCATTTACTGCGCTTGACTTTGTAATCGAGTTTGTGGATGACCACGCGCACGCCGCGCAGTGAGAAGATCTGCTCTAGGCGGCCGCGCCCGACTTCGATATCGAGGGAGATGTCGATACCGCGGCGGTCAAGATAGAAGCTAGCGATGCCTTCGTCTTTAAGGCGGAAGAGGCCTGTGTGTGCGCGGAACCAGTAGCCGAAGTCTTCGGCGCTGATGTTTAGCCCTTGGATTGTTACTGTGAAGGCTGTTTTCATGAGAGTTTCTGTGCGCTTGGAGTGTGTTTTTACGATGTCGATGTCGTTGCGCGTAAGGAGGTGCATGCGGTAGGGGAGGAAGGATGAGAAGTTTACTGTGTGGCCTGGTTCGAGAATTAGATTTTCGAGGAGTAGATCCATTTCCGGGGCGGATATTTCCAATCGCGGGATTGGAACGTATTGGATCAACCGGAGGAAGACTGGGAGGAACACATTCACTATGTCGGCTGGGAGGTCGGTTTGTTTGTCGTTGTAGGCTGCCCAGACATGCTGGTATACCTTCTTGGTGGCATTGATTAACTTGGACACCATGGGGTCTTCAGGCAGACTGCGTAATGTGCGTTTCGCTTGTGCAAGGAACTCATCCATATCCTTTCGTAGACTTGTCTCGAAGCCGACTTTATTGGACTGTTGCTTAAGCTCATCGAGCTTCTGTGGCGCGGAATCGAAAAAGGCAGGGTCGGTAAACATATCTTGCAATGAGGTCCCGACCTCTCCTAGTAAACCATCGAATTCGGGATCTTTATTTGCATGTCGGAGGACATCATGGAATTTCTGTTGAAGCCGATCCCATTCCTTAGCGTCACCAAACGACCGTAAGAGAACCCAGAATTCGTCGACCGCTCGCTTGAGATCGTTATTGACATCTAGGTCTTCTTGGGCGACAGAGCTAGTTTCCTCTGCAACATCGGCGTAGATTTTAGCATAGCGCTTAAGCAATTCAGCCAGTGTCGAGACCGAGTCAGAGTAGTCAGTTCTCTCGCGAAGCCTGGTAACAGCTTGCTTCAATCGAAACAACAAAGTATCCCTCTCACGACCGGATAGATGCTCTTTGGCACTTTCCACAGCATCACGCCCTGTATCCGCAGCGCCTTCACCAACAACATCTGCGACATGTGTAATCTCCTCCCTCACCTGATCAGCCGACAGCTCATGACCAGCATCAGCTCCAGCACCGTTGAGCGCCTTTGCCTCTTCTTCAGAAGACTTCACTTGCTCTGCAACAAGTTTCGAAGATTCAGCCAGAGACTCGGCCGTATCGGAGAAGATCTGCCTCCCAACCGTAACGACATCATCGACAAATAGCCGGAAATCAGCGTTAGTCAGGAGCAAGCTCCCAACCGTGCGGAAACTATCATAAGCTATAAAACAGCATTAGCGAACGACCATGCACAGCGAAACTAATGCCAAGCCCCCAGATTCTGGAGAGACGTATGTGCTCAGGTAAAGCGACCCACCAGCTTTAGTATCAGCCCGCGCCTTCACGTGGGCAGCCTGCTGCGAAACCCTCCCACTATCCACCGAGACCCGCGAACGTGCCAGACGCCACAGGAATTCCTGAAGCTGATCGTGGCTGTTCTTCGCCCCGAGGAACTCGATGAAGGTCTGGATCCACAGTCGACAGTCCCGCACTAGCTGGCGACCGACGCTGCCGATCTCCTTGTTGGCAAGGTTGAGGATGTCAGATGCTAGGAGAGTGCGCACGTTGCTGATTGTTTGCTCGGTTGTTGGCATGTACCCTTCGGAGAGGGCGCGGAGCATCTGATAGCTGTGTAGCTTCTGGTGGAGACGGCGCTGACGCGAGGTGTCGTCCTCATAGCGTGGAAGCAGGGGTTCTGTTTCGGTGGGCATTTTGGATTCGGCCCGACGGGCAGGATTGTGGCAGACTCAGGATGGAATGCTTTGTGGTGTGATTTGGATGTGATGATACATGTGGTGATGGTAGTTGGGAGCTTGGGCTAGGGAGAACCTGTTTTGGGCACATGACGACACCTGATGTTACGCCAATGTTTTTTTTTTTTTAGTACGGGGTATACAGCTATTTGACATGACCTATTCAATTGGGTTCAATTAGAAATAATTAATTGAATACTTGGATAGGAATAGTGAATTGCCTGGATAGAGAGTTGTATACTACATGTATAGCTCGCATCGGTCGCCTAGCTCGGGTGATCGTCTGGGGAGAGCTATGGAGTTGACCATTGGGTCTCCATTGTCTAGACCAGGGTTTGCACTAAAATGTTCATTTTTAATATTCAAAAAAATCAAATTATCTCCTTTTATTCAGAAAAGCAATCTGTGACACGGCATTCTGAGGCAATTTCTAACATATGATCTCAATCCAGGGGAGAATACGTATAGCTTCACCTCCTTGCATCTCCCACGCGACACTCACAGGCCAAGCCCTGACAAGCCTTTCCCAACGTTGGGAAGTGCTGGGAAAGCCCTGACGAATCTTCTCAAATTATGCACTGTACGCAGTAAAGTAGAGTCTGAGAATTATTAATAGAAGCCTTACACAACGGACAAGGGATCCAATCAGTGTGAGGCAGATCCCTAGATTCCGAAGTCGAGCTGATGTGGCCAGTGGATGCTGTTCCAGCCCTAGAAAGGGAACTCCGAACGGGAAAAATCAAATGTGGCCGTGCTGGATATATACCCCTGGGGCCTGTCGGCGGCTGAGGCCATTCACGGAGCAGACATCACCAACACGGCGGATTCGAAACACACCAAAAACACTCACCGGGGGGAAGTGACCGGATGGTTTTCCTATCGAGGCGATGTAAGCGACAATTTCAGCGGCAGTCTCCGTCGCCGGCCGCCGAGTATGTTTTCCCGTGATCTTCTAGAAGGCAAAGAGGAAAAAAGAGAATTACAGACTAACAACTCCACTTCGGCACTATCTGCGGCTCTGGGAGCTCGTAGCTGTGGAGTCGAAGGCACCAGATCCATGGCGGTCCCTCCCCGGCTATAACGTCCAATCAGAGAGTAGAGAGAGTATTCACAGTTCTACACGTAAATGTCAGCACTCATTGGGAGTTATACTCCGAATGCATCTATGCATCACACACGTCAAAACTCAACATTTCGCAGACTGATCTGTACAGCGTAGCTCCTAGCTATTTACATAAATCCCGCACCTATTCGCACCTATAGGCCAGTCCCCGTGATGTCCCATGTCTCAACTGCCCAATATTCAACTGATCTCCGCATTGTCGGACTCGGCGTCTCCACCCTCCCCTTGCTCTCTCCAAAAATTAAAAAAAATAAAAGCTTTGGATCCAGATTCCTAGCTTTTTCACGCACAACGGTTCGCTGTCACCACCGAAGATGATACCCACATGGGTCCCTTCCGTGACCCCCCCCCCGAGTCTTCCCGATCTTGAATCATGACTCTTTTGTTACTATACGTCGCCTGGTGTCCCGGTTAATTATCTGGTTCTTTTCCACTCGGAATGCTCGCACCCCAAGGGAAATTTAATATGTTGCGAGTACATAAAAACAGCTCGACGTCTGCACCCAGATCTCTTTTTTCTTCATACATTTCCACTTCGAACTTGAGTAAGCAACCTCAGTCGATCACAATGGCTCGATACCCTCAAGTCTCTACTCAACAAGCCCGGCCGGTGCATGCCACCCCGGCGCCCTTTGTGAACCACGCCTCGCCAGCGTAAGTCAATTGCGACAAGATGCGACGAGCCATCACTGACCTCGTATAGTGACGCCAACTACGATACCGCCAACCCGTCATACATCCGCAAGTACCTGCGCACATACGGCCTCACTCCTCCTCGCGCCGAGGGCTACGAGACCCAAAAGACACGATGCCTGGCCCAACTTGGTCTTAAGAACACCCCTATCGACAAATTCCTCTACCTCAGCACTCTGCGCAAGAACAATGTGCACCTTTTCTACCGTCTCGTGACGGACCACCTCAGGGTACGTTGAACACACGTGATTGGACCGGGGGCAGAACTAATGTCCCTGCAGGAATTGACGCCTCTGATCTACACCCCCGTAGTTGGCGAGGCCTGCCAGCGCTGGTCCGAGATCTACCAGCAGCCCGAAGGTAATTTACTTCCCCCCGCACGAATTAGACACGAATTAGAACCGGAGCTAACAACTACTGCAGGAATGTACCTGAGCTGGGAGGATCGCGGAAATCTCGCTTCCGTCATTGCCAACTGGCCCCAGCCCAATGTTGAGATCACATGTATCACCGATGGCTCCCGTATTCTCGGACTGGGTGATCTGGGCATCAACGGCATGGGTATTCCCATCGGCAAGCTTGCCCTGTACACTGCCTGTGCGGGTATTCGTCCCGAGGCCACCCTGCCTCTGACTCTCGATCTGGGCACTGGTAACAAGGCCCTCCGGGAAGACCCGCTGTACATGGGTAGCCGTCGTGACAAGATCTCCCCCGAGGAGGAGCGGGAGTTCTTGGACGAGTTGATGGCTGCTCTCACTGAGCGCTGGCCCGGGTAAGTGACTCACCTTCACATGCATCTCGGGTGATCTTCAGTTCTAACAAAGCTTCTAGTATCGTTATCCAATTCGAGGATTTCAAGAACCCCTTCCCCGCTCTGGAGCGTTACCGTGATCTGTACACCTGCTTCAATGATGACATCCAGGGTACTGGTGCTGTCATCCTCGGCGGTGTAATCAACGCTGTCAAGCGCTCCGGTCTGCCCTGCAAGGACCACCGAGCTGTCTTCTTCGGTGCTGGCAGCGCCGGTGTCGGCGTTGCTCGTCAGATCGTCGAGTTCTTCATGCGCGAAGGCATGACCGAGGATGAGGCCCGCAACTGTTTCTACCTCGTTGACACCAAGGGTCTCGTTACTGCCGACCGCGGTGACAAGCTCGCTGACCACAAGGTCTACTTCGCCCGCCAGGACAACAACGGCGAGCAGTTCAAGACCCTCGATGAGGTCGTCGACCACGTCAAGCCCTCCATCCTCATGGGTCTCTCCACCATGGGCGGTGTCTTCACCCCCGAGATCCTCCGCAAGATGGCTGACTGGAACACCGCTCCCCTCATCTTCCCCCTCTCCAACCCCTCCTCCAAGTCTGAGTGTGACTTTGAGACCGCCGTCAAGAACACTGATGGTCGCTGCCTCTTCGCCTCCGGATCCCCCTTCCCCAACTGCACCTTCACCAACTCCGCCGGCGAGACCCGCACCTACTACCCCGGCCAGGGCAACAACATGTATGTCTTCCCCGGTATCGGCCTCGGCAGCATCCTGTCCAAGGCCGTCCGCGTCACCGACAGCATGATCTACGCCTCCGGAGAAGCCCTCTCTCAAGCCCTCACCCCCGAGGAGCTCGAGCGTGGCCTCCTTTACCCTGACATCACTCGCATCCGCGAGGTCAGCATCGTCGTCACTCGCAAGGTGATGCGCGCCGCCCAGGAGGACAAGGTTGACCGTGAGACTGCGCTCCGCACCATGAATGACGTCGAGATGGACAACTGGATCAAGGCCCGCATGTACGACCCTCACACTGAGGTCCGCGCTCTCGAGCGTGAGGTCGGTCACTTGCTCTCCAGCCTCGGCACAATCTCGCCGCCCATCACGGCCAACGGCTCCCCCACCGAGGAGAAGAATGCCAAGCTGTAAGATTTGATCGTTTTCTTTTCTTTTCAAAATTCCTCCTCATCATCCGTGGCGCTTGCATTGTTTCACTTCTTGTCCTTGAAAACATCTGTTCTAATCACCGTCAGCGCTTAGGATCTCTGCGTGATGATCTCACATCTTGTGACTCTTTTTTCTGTTCTTTCTGGTTTCGAGCGCGCTCTTCTTGTCCCTTTTTTCATCCTTCTCCCTTTCTTTTCGGGATTGGACACGACATTTGTTGCCCCTTCTTTTTCTTCTGATTGAATACCCATCACTTATTTGCTTTTCGGTCCCTGCGTGGACTTTGCATTGTGGGAATAGTTAGGAAATAACTTTGCCATATGACTGAACACATACTCTTTACTTCTGCAAACAGTAATCCGTAACCAGTAAATAGTAAAAACCATATTCACTCTCCTACATAATAATACATAGTAATCGAAAATCCTTCATCCGACCTTTCCCCCGTCCCCACTCTTCACATGGCAACCGGATGAACCCAACTCCCCGATATCCCCCTGAGCTCCACAACCACATGGCGCACATCTACGTTAGGCCTCGCATGTCTCCACATAGTACAACCTACATCTAATGCCTCTCATTCGTGTTTCACTCGGGGACATCAATCTCTCCGCACGAGGGGAATTCTGATTACTAAGGGCTCCCGGCCGAGGTACCATGCAATTTTCAGATTGAAGACTTCACTTTTTGTTCGAGGGGCTTCTATCGTAGGTTTAAAGTGTGATTTTGCTTTTATTTATTAATTGTGAGTACTCCATTGCTGGGAATTCTTTTTGGACTTCCATTGATTCGATCGATAGGTTTCTTATTGGGCTTGTGAATATCCCCTTACGGTACTAATATCTTGCTTATTTTATGCGGGTATACTTTCTCGAAATATACAGTGCATACTATATACCGCATACTTTACATTGCACATCGAATCTAGTATACGAAGCAAGAAGAACTGCAAAATGCCGTCCCCTCTCGCAGACCCTGTCAAGCTGCCATGTGGACTTGTCTTCCCGAACAGACTGAGCAAGGTATGCACATATACCAATCCGTGAAATGATCTAGTACTAAAAACCAACCAGGCAGCCATGGCTGAGCTAATGGCCAAAAAAAACCATCCAACAGACCCCCTTCTCGACGCCTACACCCGATGGTCAGAGGGTGGATGGGGTAGTATCCTAACAGGTAAGAAACGAACCTAACCCGGACCATCACAAAGTGTGTACCAAACTAACAATGTCAAGGAAACGTCCAAGTCGACGTAAACCATATGGGCAGCCCCTTCGACCCAGCCCTGCATAACGAATACAAAGGCCCAGAAAGCAACAGCAGCCTAGTATCCGAATGGAAGAAATACGCAGATGCAACCCAGAAACACGGCACACCGGCTATAGTACAAATCTGCCATCCAGGACGCCAATCCTTCCGCGTGGCCGGGTACCGCGGTATGTTTGCGCAGACTCTTGCGCCGTCTGCTGTGCCTGTCAAGGTTGGTGACGGGCTACTTGAGAGATTTGTTGGTTGTTTGGCTTGGTCACAGCCTAAGGAGATGACCCATGCCGATATTGAGAGGGTTATTAGCCAGTTTGTTGACACTGCACGGCTTATGGCTGATGCTGGGTTCTCCGGGGTTGAGTTGCATGGTGCGCATGGGTATTTGATTGGTATGTTCCTTTTTTTCATTTGATCCTGGGTTCGGAAGTTTGTATGACTCACACTTTTTAGATCAATTCCTTAACCCCAAGGTACAACACAACGAATAGTCCTCTTGTATATATCAAAAGAGAACATTCAAACTAACAACCCCAGACAAATCTCAGAACAGATACCTACGGCGGAACCCCCGAAAAACGCGCCAAATTCGTCCTAGACATTCTAGCCGAAACCCGCAAAGTCGTGCCCTCAACATTCTGCATCGGCATAAAACTCAATTCAGCCGATCACAGCTCCACAACCTTCGAGGAAACAATGACCCAAATCGCCCTCCTGACAGAAGCCGGGATCGACTTTATGGAAATTAGTGGCGGATCCTATGAAGATCCCAAGATGATGGGATACGCTAAGACAGATGCATCAGCAACAACCGAAAAGCCTAAATCCAAACGCACGGCTGCGCGCGAGGCTTTCTTCCTTGAATTCTCTAAGGAGGTCCGGAATCGCCATCCCGGTTTGGTGCTTATGTTGACTGGTGGGTTCCGGACTCGGGCTGGTGCTGAGTCTGCTATTCTTGATGGGGCTTGTGATCTAGTTGGCATTGGGCGGCCTGCTGCTATTGACCCTAAGTTCCCGTTGCTTTTGTTAGATGAGAGTGTTGCTGAGGGGGATGCTAAGATGCCGTTAAATAAGGCGCCTGTCCCTTGGTATACGCGCTTTTTGCCATTGCATCTTGTTGGGGCTGGGGCTGAGAGTGTGAGTTTTGTTTTATTTTTCTCTCCCTTTTCGAATACTTGATTGCTGGGCCTGTTTACTGACTTTGTCTTTGCAGACTTACTATGCTGGTCAGATTCAACGTCTGGCCAAGGGGATTGCTACTATGGTGCCGTCTTTGTAGATTGATGCATATTAGTTTTGAATCGGGTGGTTTTTTTTTTTTTTTTGTTTTAATAGACTTCCTTGATTGTGCAATTCGATAATGTTCTTGTATGACTGCTGAAGAAACTCAAGGTGAAACTCGAAGTCTAACACTTAAGTTGAGAAGGCCTTGATATCTTCGATGGCGTAGTTCTGGCGCGAGATTGATCCACCTCCATGAAGCTTTACGAGAAATCAGTCTATAGATTTTGTCCATTGAATTAGAGCGTTGAGCATCGCCCCCTTTACCATAAACGTGGCAGATCTCGGCGCTCTGAATTCCGAGGGGGTTTCCTTGATTCTTCTCAGTCATATATCTCTGGGCCAAGCGCTGAATGACGTACCAAGAGATCAAACAGCTTATAGGTTAAATTTTGGGGTCTCTAGCAACGAAAAGAAAACCAAAATCCCGTCAATTTTCCACATTGCATGATCCTACCGCAGCGCCTGTGGACCATGAAGGCCTCTCTGATAGTATGCAAGAACCGAACACACTTTCCGAAGCCCCGGAAATATCAACAGACTATTTATCGCAGTTGCCTGAGCCACAGGATATTTTGCCTACAGTCGATGACAGCCAAGAATAAGGTTTGAGTGACCATTATCGTAATGTTGTGAGCCATGTCATGATGCCAATCATTGATGATGCTTGTAACCCATATTTGCAGCTGCATTTACCGAGGGCCCTCCATGAAAGACCCAAAAAAAAAGCATTTAGCTCTGGTATTCCCTAATATCGCAAGGGCAAAACAGCTAGGTATAAAGGTTTGGCGAAAAGCGGATCGTTTTATGGAAGACAAGAAATCACCTCAGCTTTGAATTTGCGTGGTAGAATGACGACAAGTGGCTAAAGAGTCCAGGTTTTCCATCATATTATTCTAGCGCAATACCCACTGTTAATGTGTTCATTATTGTCGATTGAATTCAGTCATAGTCATAAAAATATAAATACAAGTAGGCACGTGTGCACCATATCTAGTATGTAAGCTTTTGATCTTCCTCTTCAACTGGGAAAAGGCGCAACCGGTTCATGCTTTCCTGCTCTTTCATTTCTCCCAGCTGCCGTTTTAGCACATCATTTCCTTCAAGTAAAGACTGAATCCACAATGCGGCTTCCTCAAGAATATATTTTCTTGTATAAGAGTGTTTCTCTAATCCTGGAACAATCTGACAGAGATCTCGGTATCTCTCTCCAATAATTTCTCTTCGTTTCTTCTCAGATCGACAATGGCATAGTTTCTGGCCGGGCTTTTGAACACACTTCCTCTTTCTTTGCCCTGATTTATTTTCCATTTTTTTACAGCTCGCTCGGCGAGTGCATGTGGTGTTTTCTGGTGATGGTGTTTGTCCTTGACTTGGCGAGGAGGACAAAGAAGGTGTTTCGGAGAGTCTTTCATTTGTCGGAACGATCGAGGGCTGGAACATGGGAAGCGTGAACCCATTTAGCCCTAACGGATCGGAGGGGCCTTTCGGAGAGGCCCGAAGAGATAAAGGGATTGTGGATTCCGAATGATCAAAGTCGATGTCGACACTGGTACAGATGCTAGCCATGTTTCGCATCAGGTTCTGCACGAGGCGTTCCTCTGTCCAAGTACCGACGGGAGAAGAGAAGCCATGATAACAGAAACTGGGGTCGGATCCCCACTGAAGGCCATCTTCAGCTGGCAATCGGGTTTGGGACGGGTGTCGGGGTTTGTCGACCTGCCATGGGCAGGATTCAGAAAGGGTATGATGTTCCATGTGAACCAGGGGGTTTTCGTATTGCATTTTGGTTTCCAGCAAAAGCTTAACCACGACGGTAATGAAAATTAGATCTTGGAACGTAAACGAAATGCAATGCGCTGCGCAATATCGACTATGTGGAACGTAGTGGGCTTGTTGTTTTGATCTTGACTGGTATACTTCAGGCGGAAGCGTCGAAGGTTTTCAACGATAACAGTATGGAATGTGTGACAGTAGCTTACTGCAGGTCAACAAGATGGTAAGTAAGGGAAGTATTCTGGCCAGTCAATCGCATCTGGGAGACCTCTTGGTTATGACGAGGGCGCACAGCAACCCCGGGATGCACCCGGGCTGCAAGGTCACCTCCGGGTGTGTTCCGGGGATCCACCACATGACGTTCCCTGAGCCTTACAAGTGAGACCGGGATTTCAGCCAGTCAGCGCACTTACCATAATTCAGATTAATGAACATGACCCTTGGCCTTATTTCCCCATACTTCCCCCCCCCCCCCCCCCCCCCATCAGCCTTCTTCTAAATAGGGAATAGTTGCGACCACAAAGTGTTGAATGCGACACGTGACTGCCATTCGGCTACATTCCGGGTTTGTTCCGGGATTGTTCCTCCCCTGACCAACGCCCACATTCGGTCACCACCCGGAATGCTCATCGTGCATATCGCTGTGGGTCATCATATATCACTGCCTCTTCGGATTGATTGGACCAAGCGTTGAACAGATGCCTCCCAAAAGTGGTATCGCAAAACGGGAGACACCTCGACGTCGCAAGATCGCTCTTGCCTGCGAGTCATGTCGCGATAAAAAGGTCCGATGTGACGGTGCGAAGCCGATATGTGGACAATGTGTGCGACGCTCATTCACTGTCGAACAATGCGTATATAAGCTGGATAATGCTCGGTCTGCGAGTAATGATGAGTATTTGAAGGTTCTCCATGATCGCATTCGAGATCTTGAAGATGCATGCACAAAAGGTGGTGTTGATGTACCCCCGGAACTGCCTCAGAATGGCGGTGATAAAGCATCCGAAAGGCCCGAGAGTCAGCTGGGGCAAGATATGGACTTGGATCCACTGGATGTACAGTCCAGAACTTCTGTTGCCGCTGAAGGGCTTCTCGGACTGGGCTCCACGCCCGCGTTGCCCACCCAGAGCCCCCTGTCGTCAACACCTACATTTCAGCCTCCGCGATATACCGCGCAGAGAAGTCAATCGGTAGTAGCACAAAACTATAAGGGCCCACATGCCTCGTATATTTCTCCTGGATCTGTTCGACCGCGAGAATCAAGCATCTACCATTCCCCGGCTGTGAACTCACACGGCAATGTCACAGCCATGGGTGCAATCTCAGTTGCAGAAGACGGTGAAGACACGGACTCGCCCGGAGAGCAGCAGTATTACGGAAACTCCTCGGTTGCCTCTTTCATGCGTCTTGCTGGAGAATCAATGCCATTGCAGTCATATATGTCAGCCCTGCGACACAGCAAAACGGAATCGGTAAGATCTCAAGGACCTGATACCGGGGTCTGGAGAGACTTAGGTCATCCATCAGCAGAGCTTCGATTTGACGACTTTTCACTGCCACCCCGAGATCTCGCCGACCACCTCCTTGAATGCTACTGGGAGAGAGTTCACTGCCTATTCCCATTTTTCCATCGGCCTAGCTTTGAGCGAGCATACGAAAATCTATGGGGCTCGAATAAGGCACCAAAGCCCGAACTACCACAACACAACATTGGCCTCGGAGGTGCTTTTGATTACGGTCCAAATTCAATGGTCTTTCATTGCGCCCTCAATGTTATCTTTGCTCTTGGTTGTCATTTCTCTGATATCCCTGCAGCAGAACGAGAGGCGGCGGTCTACTCCTTTTTCCTTCGTGCAAAGCGGTTTGTGGGTCTTGATCTTCTTGACATAGGCACAATCGGGGTTGTTCAGACACTGGTGCTAGTGTCCCTTTTACTCCAAAGCACACCGTATCCGAACCGATGCTGGAATGCAATCGGACTGGCATGTCGAGCAGCGCAAGGACTCGGCTTGCATGAGACAACTGCTCAAACTTCAAATAAACCGTTAGAGACCGAGATCCGACGGCGAACATGGCACACCTGTGTCATCATGGATATGTTAGTGCACCAATGGCCTATATCTCCTTCAACGCCTATTGCTAATACCTAAAATAGGATTGTGAGCATGACCCATGGTAGACCAAGCATGACCTCCCACCTCGCACCGGTGCCATTGCCTATTATGGAGCCCGACATGCAAGCGGACGATCCATGTGAGCTCAGCGGACAAGCCTGTGATCACAAGATGGGGTATATGACATTTTATGTTTCAAGTATTGAGCTATACAAAATTCTCGAATCCATTCTGTCGGAAGTTTACAACGCTTGGCAGAGCCGATCAAATAACACCCGCACTGCCTCACCGCGAGGTGCCAAGCATTGTAGCTTGGATGTGTTGATGGAACTCGATGATAAACTCTCTGCCTTTGAAGCAAATGTTCCTCACCCATTGAACTGGACAGACGAGCAGTCCCAACATCGCACGAGTAACCCACCCATATTCAAGCGCCAGCAAAATGTCTTGCGTACCAGGTACGGTATACATTCAAGATGTTGATGCTATATCGCTGAGAAAATCTTAGATTCATCCACCTGCGTCTTCTCTTGTACCGCCCTATGTTTACCCAACTCTGCTCTGAGGAGCGAGCAGGATCATCTCGCCGCTCTGATACTCAATCTGGTGACAGAGGTAGTGGCTTAGCTCCGGAGAAAAACATAATATATTCATCTGTCTTTTCTAAATGTGCCGCTTGCTGTGTGGTAGCCGCTATGGACTTGGTTTCCCTGGTCCACGAGACATATCGAACCACGGTGACTGACACGTGGTGGTATAATGGATTTTGTTGGTGATCATCCCCCAGAAAATATCAATCATCTCTAACTGGCCTTTTTTCAGACACCTCCACTGCAGGTTTTATTTTGATCATGTCAATTTGCTGTCATTCCATCCGCGAGCAAGTCGACACACAAAAGGTCGACGAAAGTTGGCGCAAGTGTGAAGAGATCTTGGCATTCATGGCTATCTTCAGTCAGTCTGCTCGGAATTCTCTGCAGTTCCTACAAGTAACGCACCAGCACATCGTACAAAGCTATTCCGGTATGTCATTCTACTTTCAAAGTTTGTCAGAGAACTGACAAATCAATATCAGCTGGTCGACCTGGTGAGAACACACCTCTAGCTTTAACTCAACAGCAGCAAAAAGGACATCAGCAAATAAATAGACCTGAATTGCCAGCTCAGCCTACGGATCCGATTCCCATGGAACATGATACCCGTCAAGAGTCCAATAACACAGACTTCAATCTTTTCACAACCTGGGACGAGATGGGATTGGGCCAAGAGGAGTTTGGTTTCCTTGGAAGATTTGATTTGCCGGATCTTGCCAGCTGGTTTACTGATATTCCATCTTGAGTGTGAGAAACAAACCAGTTGGCGTTTGACTTGTTATATTACAGAGGTCTAAGATCTCTACAACATTGATATGATTTCTTCCTTCCAGTCAGCGGATTAAGCTTACTGCTTGGTATTCTGCTTCTTGGTTCGACCTTTGCTTCTCCATGCAAACTGTTTAGCCATCTTAACATCAACCTCGAGATCATCCGCAAAAGAATACACCAAGCCCGGATTCTTCTAGAACCGACCACACATAATCACACTAAGTCCATCATCAACGAGCTTCTATTCAAACTTGGCAGTCCGAATGCCGCCAACAGCCGAGATAATCATCTTATCACCAAAAAACAGCCTTCTGTAAAGTGAGAACACCCGAAATGTAGACAATGGACCTAATAGCATTGTCTAATAGCATTGTCGAGTTCATGACGCTCTGTCGATTGCCCAGATAGGCCGTTGCTGCGGCTGTTCATCGAATAGGAGGTGCGTTTCATTCAAGCAGTAATTCAAAGCAATGCGTGCTACGAGGCGAATGGAGCTAATATCCAACTCCCTGGGTTCTTTCCAGTCCAAGGTTGAACAGTTAGATTATGGACCAATCTGACTACCGCGAATATGAATGCCAATAAAGTTTTGAGGTTCTAGAAAAACGCGTCGGGGTTATAAGAAAGAGGGATATCAAACAAATATAAATCATCACTGTCGAGCATTCTTCAACAAAAGCTCGGTCCCTTCCAGCCAGCCAGAAGAATTAGCCATATCCAACACCGAGGTGCCAGTCTCATCTTTCTGAGAAAGATCAACCAGACCACCCTTGTCAATCAAAAGCTGCAACAATCGGAGATCGCGGTCCTCAAGGGACTGCATGATGGCGTTCCAGTCGCGGTAGCATTTGTTGGGGTCAGCTCCCCTCTCGAGGAGTAGCTCAACCATGGCAAAGTCACCATCGTCACATCGCCGGATCGCCTTAACCAGTGGCAAATGCTCACCAGGAGCATTGGGGTCGGCACCCGCCTCGTCCAGGAGATAACGAACAATGACCCAGTGGCGCTCGCGCAAGGCTGTTGTCAGCGGTGAGAACACGCCGCCGTTCTTCCATTCTACACTGGCGCCAGCGGCAATGAGTAGCTTGACGTTTTCTAGTTGATTGGCTTGGACTGCTTTCTCCATGACACCCTTGTGTGCGGAGAGATCGGTTATGCTGGGCAAAATGAGTCGTAGCATGCTCGGCGATTGAGTTGCCATATATATGGGCCAGTCCTTGCCGCGCAGATTAGGATCGGCACCATTCGCCAACAACCATTCCAGCATTTCTGGACGATTCTTCTGGATGGCCGTTGTCACAGCTGTGTGACCCTGCTCGTTCCGGTCGTTGGGGTTGGCACCTCCCTGGCCCACGAGCCAATGAAGAGCCTCCGTATTGTTTTCCTGCACGGCGCACTCAACAATGCCTGGTGGTTTACGGAGGTCCGCGCCGGCTGTCACCAAGTCTGGGAGGAAATGGAGACGCTTGTGGGTGATACACTTCCAGGCCGGGTACTCCGACGCCATCACGTTGGGGTCCGCTCCGTGATGGATGAGCAAGGTAAGGATATCTGGGCGGTCATCACGGATGGCTGAGCAAAGTGGTGTGTATATTCCATCCTTCTTGGAATTTGGGTCCATGCCAGCCTGCAGCAGAACGCGCACGGCATCAATATTGTTGACACTTGTCGCCTGCTCCATTAGACCAGGAGTCTTTTTAACGTCGGCACCGCGAGCGAGCAAGATGCGCAGGCAGCCTGGGCGGTGGACGGCAGACCAGAGGACGTGCTCAGGTCCTGGCAGGTTTGGATTGGCGTCTTTATTCAATAAGGCTGTCACGATAGACGGCTGATCGCTTTGCACCGCTTCGCATAGTGCTGTCTTGCCGTGATCGTCTTTGCGATTGGGGTCACAACCGGAATTGAGCAAGGTTTCGATGGCTTGCTGTGGTGCTCGCTTGCGAATTGCTTCAATGAGTAATGTCGTGCCATCGCGCAACTCATCTTTGAGATTGACGCCGTGCGCGAGCAGAGTCTGTGCGAGCTTCGCACTGGCGGCATCATGATCCGAATAGCTGTCATTGCGTAGGCTGATCTCCTCAGCAGAAGCTGTTGACTCTGTTTTGGCCGGTCGGCGCGGCAGCGCCCGGTGCTCTAAATAGGGAACCTTCTCGGAATCACGTCCCGGCTGGTGGTTCAGGAACCCGTTCAGAGACAGAACGGAGGACATGTCATCCGTCATGATCTCAGGTTCTTGGCGAATGCTTTGGTTGAATCGAGAGGCGGTAAAGGATTCTTTCGGAGGAACAGATGGTGTCGATCGCATTGAATCGGGCGATTGACTTTGGATCGATGCGGATCTCTCAGGTTCGAAGGACTTGGTCTTGTTTATGCCCATCACAGAGCGGCCTTTGGACACGCGATCGAGCGCCGCCGCTAAGCCAGCGTACCCAATGCCCACTGACTCCTCCGGATGTGCGTCTCCGAGAGACCAGTGAAAGGCCATTCCGCTAATCTGAAGCGTCTCGGTGGTCTTCTTCAGCGAATCATGAATGCGATTAAGGTCATGGCTTGGCCGATGCCATCCTCGCTGAATTTTTCCCAGCGTTCCACGGTGTTCGTACTGAACAAGCTTCAAAATGATCTTGTCAAGTTGTTGGAAATCGCGGTATGTGGAGACGAATTTCTTTTCCACCTCTTCAATTATAACATCGGGCAAAGCGCGATTGGCGGCGGCTAGTTCGGTCACTCCGGCTTCAATGGCCCATAGCATGCGGCAGGTGTCGAGAAAGGTATGGGAAAGTTCGCGAAAACCGTCGGGGAGATCTTTAGTGGTGCTGAGGTAGTTGAGCATGTGCACGGAGATCTGGTTGCCTAGTTGCGTGGCTAGAGCCGAGACACTGCAGATGGTTTCCTCTGGTTTGGCCGGCATGATTGCAGTGGAAGCGTCGCCTGGACAGAGAAGGCAAGGAGATACATGAAAGAGTCAGGAAAAGACCAAGGAGTCGCGGATTGCCCAGATAAACATGGGGGGCAATCTGGCCAACCCGGGCCAAACTTGGGGCCAAATCCTGCATCTATAAAGTGGGGCGGATTCTCCAAACTAGGTTTAAACGCTCGGTCGAAATTGTCGACAATCTCGATCTGGGCTTGGGTTTGTCCTCATTAGTGCTTGTTGGACCCATGGTTCGACTGGATCATTGTATCTGGATCTGATCTCAGAAGTTCGGTCTGGGTATCCATAGCCTGAAATAACCAAACATTTGGTCTGTTACAGCCTTTCCCAACATTTGAAATATTTCAAACATTCGAGAAACAGGAAACAATGTTGTTCAATATCTCCGTAGAGACACCGAAAAAGAAACTTCCGCTTGGCCTCCAGTGCGAGAAAGGAATGTGGGTCCGGAGAAGAGACCACTGTATTCAATTGCTGCAGTTGAATCACATATCACACACATGTACAAGCCGGAGGAACGACACCTTCAACCCACCTTATATATTGACAGCTGCTCTAGACACGTGGAATAGAGGTCACTTTTGGCGTCGATTTAATATATTCTCACATTTCACTCGCATGAAGCCTGATCAACATCCCGCTCACGTAGCCTCTTTCGGTTTGGCGCTTTGCTGCGCCCCGCTTAGCTTTCCATTGAGTTTCTGAAATTTTTGGAGCCTTAACAAGTGGCTAGCATGTTTCACATCTTTTTCCTCTACATTTTGCGACCGCTGGATGGTTTCAAGTTCGAGTCTGAATCTTTGGTATAGGTTTGTCGCAGAACATGAGACGCGCGTTTCGTAGAGTTGTACTTTGCAGTTGTTTGTTTCACAAGCGTATTGCATTATCAAGGTTGGTAGTCTCAGCCAGCCATCAATGTGGAGTAAATGTAGCTAGAGCATGATTCTGAGACATAATGGTTTTTGAGTTTCTGCAAAAGAAAACCAAAGCCCCACCCGTCGCCAGCTGACTATTGAGAATACATGATGCGAGAAATATCAGCATTGCGATGCACTTTATCTCGCGGCTCTTGCCTGAATGAAGATATTGTCTTTCTCGCATATGAAGAAAGATTTTCCAGAACTTGGGTTTTGTATGGAGTTTACAATGGGAGCCAATATCATTTACTATGAATACACCGTTCATATCTAATTGCCAGGAACTTAGGGCATAATACACCAGCTTTTACGGGCAGCAAAAATGGTAGCAATATAATGGCACCTAGCTACTGGAACCTCGCCCAAAATGGCCCCAAACCCGGCGGTCACGGGTACCTTATTTGCACCTGACCCTGGCCCGAGTCTCTTTCTTTGCTTTCTGCCTATCTTCAACACTGCGATATCTGACATTTCACTCCCTGCGATCCACTTCGGAAATACCATGCAAACGTCAGAGATATGGCTTCCACTACAAATGGGAGCAGCTCCTGTCGAGATCACGTGATACAGGATAGACCTGAGAGTAGTTGGTTTGCTAGCTTGGAGAGCAGGACTTCTTCCTCTCTCCGTCCTTCTTCATCAATAATAACCTCATATTATTGCTGCTTCCTTTCACTTGTCAAGAGCTCCCAACTTCCAATTGCCAAGCCTCAGCTGAATGTGCAGTACTCTGCGCCTGGTTGCTTACAGCATCCCCATACTGTCGATCAACTTTGCGAGGACCAAAAGCACTTAATTTTCTGCCAGGGTGTCACTATCGCGAAGATATCATCGGAAATCGTCAAGTTTGGTGCTTTGGTCAATATTATCGAGGCCAAGAATATGATTTTTATGGCGCAGAATGCAGAGTTCCTGCGCACCAAGTCTTTACATACTATACGTATGGATCTATTGATTGGACTACGATACTTACATCTTCATGGGTTTTATTGCCGGTGAAACACTTTACATGGGCTGGGACGCTTTCAGTAGCTCCACCATATCTCCTCCCAAGGCAGCTTGCAAGCTATATTCAAGAGATACGCGAGTGAGGAGACGATGAATATTTCCCCTCTCTAGATCATGGTCCTGTTACTGACCGCATTTTATCGACTTCTCTTGACAAAGGGTATAACACCTAGCCCATTGTAATAGAAAACTTAGAGCCATTACAACAAAACGATCCCATTCACTTCCCAATGAGAGATTACAGCTTCAGTCGAAAAGTCATATCAATAGCCTTCTTCCGAGTCTTGAGAGGAAAGGTTGATATTCAAGAGGTATGAAGTCATATAGCTAAATTTGATATACAGCCAAACGTATCATTCAATCACATCACGTTGCATATCAGGTAAGAAGGCCAATGATTGAAGGATCATGAGAGTTTGTAACATCTTTATATAAACCCCACCATTTAGGTTACCAGTATCCACAACCAGAGGGCTTGTAGCACAAGGCTTTTCGTCGGAAGGGGCTGAGAATTCTAAACGGCAGTGAAGTAGATACAATCTTGTTCTTATCATGAAAATTCTTCTAGTCCGAAATTTCCGAAATTTCCAGGGCTTGCACTAGATGAAAAATTATAAACATTGATATCCTGACAGTAACGCTGCGAAGGAAACATCAAATAACATGATCGTTACACTGATTATTGAGAACAACAGAAGTTCTTAAGAAAGCGAGTCGATACCTGCTCGCTTCACATGGTTGATGATAGTACTGCAAGATTCGTGGAAACGAGCTTCAGTGATGTTCAGCTGAGGATCACTGACGGCATACAACTCTTTTTCCTTAAGATCAATAAATGCCTCAAGCGCCAAAACAGTGGATAATTCCCGGAGCATGATACAGAGAGCGAGGTAAGGCGTAAACATGGCACCTCGAGCATTGGCGACAGAGAAGTTGTCTTCCAGTGCAGAAATAAAGTCACTGGTGTTATCGAAATCGGCTCGTCGGGTATTGAGAAATCGCATCATGGCAGGTTTCAAAGCCCTATGATGCTTACCGCTGAAATGCCTTTTGGTATTTGCCATGAAGGCATCTGCCAAATACACATCGTTGCCGTAGGCGCGAATCTCAAGGTAGAATTCGTTGCTTACGCTCAATTCGAGCCATTTAGCGACTTGGCAGGAAATCTCATGCCATTGCTGTCTGGCGGGATCACTGCGCGCCGGACGGGGAAGGCTTGCATCGATCAAGAGATGGAGGTTGTGGTCTGTTAAGATGTTCACGACTTCGTCGTACCAATCATCGAAATCCTCGGCATCTTCGAGGCGTGGCGAGATCTTGGGCAACACGACCGGATCAACATCGGGTAGATCCGTGGCCTGGTCAACTGTGACTTGATACCAGTTCCGGTCGCGCGAGGCGCCTGGGCTTCCGATGCTCCCGTTTGTCCCGTTGGCGTTGGGAGAAGTGAACATGGCCTGAGGCTCGCGCCCAGAGCGCTGAATGGATTCAGATGGAATTGTGGCGAGTGACCAAGGTGGCTTTTAATTTGAGAAGTTGATGATCGTGGGTGACGAGTCCTTCAACAGTGGGGGTAATTGACAAGACTTTGGACGAACATTCGATTTTTGAAGTGATCTCAAATGGTGTCTTTAACGTGATGGCAAGGTGGCTGAAACGTGACAAATGAGGATGAGAGGAGATCGGAGTTATTTCACCCACAGAAAATCAACCATTGTCCCACCAATTTTCAGTCCGGGGAGAAATTCAGGTGACAGGTAAGATTGTTTATCTTTCACTACGTGTAACATTTCAACATGGGCCGCAAATCCGAACTAACACAAAACTTGCTTTTATGGTCGCAAAGCTGACTATTTCATGTCGCTCTCCCATAACACCTTTGTCTTCCGGATCATTTCATCTATCACTCCTTGGATTGATTGTGTCGCGAAAGCCCATGATCTCCTGACCCCAAGTTTAAGCGCAACGCGTAGACTAGGTTAAGTGGGCCCTGGACGCGTAATATTATACAGGGAGTTTACCGCACATCACCGTTTATAACCAACTATTTATAGCAACGCTTCTGTTGTTCTGATAGATATAGACCTTCGTCGGTAGTCGAGCTTGAGACAGAGACGAAGAAGAATAGTAAGAAAGCTTACTAGCCCTTGTCTGTCGCAAGCCGAAATCAACAATATTGCCCTCGAGGAGGTCTCATTTACATTTTGATATTCACTTTTGTAAGATTCATAATCTCTCATAGATTCTTCACCCTTTAGTATGAACTTGTAGTGTAGTAAGAGTTTGTACAAGTATATATAAAGCTCACTGCAGCGTATACATCAACCATTGCCAATACCGGATGCCCCGATTTGGAATTAGATTGCCAATTGTAGGTTTCAACTTCTCCTATTCAAATATCAAAACACTTTGAGGCTGGTTCCTAGCTTTAGCGCCGAAAGCGGGTAGACCCGTAGCCCAGTAAGCCCCATGGGATGGTACCGAATGTAGTAGCTTAATCTACATTTAATCTTGTAGATCTTTCAGATGGATCAAGCTATTGGCTACAGTAATTGCACATCAATCATGATCCGGGGCGATTATTGCGACTTGTTAATCCGAGTCCTCGATCATAGACATCTTTTATGATAAATGGTAAGGAAAGAAGATGAGTTTTCAAGGTCAATTTGGGAAGCGCAGATTTTATATGCACTTAGTTTAGTAGATATAATCCATCTTCAATCCTCAGGAAAAGTGACAATCAAGCCAAGAAGGCTACACATGATAGACTCAAGCCTCTCCTTTTGGACTAAAGTAACACCGAGAACGGCAAGGAGGCTATGACAGGTCTTGGCGTGGCTTTTAGTTCCTTTTCAGGAAGTAGTATAGCTCACATGTACGTATATGAGTCTATACACAGTAGTTGATTTAGCCTGCATATAGATTCGGCAAGGGGTTGGAGTAGATGAACACACACTCACTCCTTCGCCAGAAAGACTCTCTTGACTCATTATGTTCACAACTTGTTGAAGTTTGAATGAATACGTGCTTCCGGTCTTCTGATGAGGGAATACCCATTCGGATGAAACCCAGCTTCTCGTTCTCGGTAGTCAAGCTTAAAATGGTGTCAACGTCTTTTCTGTCGACGGCCTTGCTAATTCACTTCACCAGATGTTTCATTTTAGCATGATCAAAGCGGGAATCTATTTACTATGAGCCAGGAGACCCCCAGTACAAAAGTTGAGGTTATAACCAAAACGATAACCACCCATCCACTGGTAGACCTAAATTTACTATTTTCCTCTTCAGCAAGCTCAAGACTACTAGGCGGAAGAGAACCTGCAAATCTCTCGAGCTGGTCATGTTAGCAATCGTAAATCACTCGAGATCAGTTATGATCACCAACCTCTTCACATGCAGCACGAATCCTCAAGAAATTCGGATCCTTAGAGTTACCTTTCTTTTGAATCCGACGGGCATAGCGGCAAAAGACCTTTTTCACACTGTCAAGATCCTGGCTTGACTCAATCATTAACTGTAACGCATCCCCCTTCGTGATCTTGATATTTCGTTCGAATATTGCCGTGTTACGAAAACTTAATTCCAGCGTAGCCAAAGCCATAGCTTGAGGAATTGCGCAAAATTTGAATACGCTTTGCTCGCGCAAGCCCGCAAGATACGACAGACAATTGCAAGCATGTTCCAGAGCATTCATAATCATATCGGAGCTGCAGTCAAGGGCCTTCTCGGTACATTTGGGGTCGAACAGGTCTTCGAAGTTATCGACATGCTTAGACCAAATCTCTCTAGGCCAGAATCGACGACCGTCATCGAGGTCTTCACGGATATCCCGGATAATGTTGTTCTTTTGTGTAAAAGTTGGCGATAGGGTAATGGCCATCCCACAAAAACAGGCTCTCTTTCAAAAGTGATTGTGTGGCCCTTACAAACTGTTCGAAATTTGGAACATCCGAGGATTGTGCTCGAGAGTCGAGATAGTGGGTTATTTTCTAGAAAGACTATGTGTTCTTGCTTAGAGGAAAGGCCGGAACCTTCGGGATCTTAACCCGGGCGCAAGTGATGTATTGGCCTTCTGATACAGAAAACGGCCGGCAATAATTTACCTCTTCCTAAGGGGTATAAGTAGTTATAGGAGATTTTTACTAGGTAATCAAACTATAGCGTGATATAACTTATATATCTATATAATAGGACATATATAAGTATATAGCATAGACCCGTGGCCTAAATACCTAATCACTTGATTTACGTAACGATACCCCTATAAGATTATCTTCGGAAGGGGAGGAGGGGAGGTCTCCGAACGCAGACTTTGTCTCACTCGCTCCACGACTTTCTTTTGTCTACTTATATCTATAATAACTCGCTAGATCTTATTTAAGGGAGACGACGCTACTTATATTCTGTTTCTTGAATCGCGAATCTTTTAGCTCGAAGACACACTTCGCCTTTCGTCTCGATAATATACCCACAATAAAATACTATCGAGAAGCTAAGTAGAGTTTAACAGAGACTATATATAGACCGAGGTCTTTAATATACCTTATCTCAATATATATCGAACCTATACTATATCGGAAGACTAAAGCCACGATAGTAGCATATAACTTACCTTAGGAAACTCTAATAAATAGTAGTATCTACAAAAAGGCGGCGGTAATTCTATAGCGTTCAAAGTTATTGAATACAATCCTAACACCCGCCTTGATATAGATAGAACCAGTAAATACGTATAGGACTAGCATAAACAACAAGTACTTAAGACACTATCAAGGTTTTCTAACTTCCTTGAAACTTTACCCCAATCAGATATCTAGAAAGGTTGGGTTTCAGCTCTTGATAACGTCTAACGTAGAAAGATCCTGAATACACTAGTACAAAACTATGGCTCCGGTGCATCGAGCTTTTCCTCACTGGATGTACCCAAGAAATCAGCAAACGTTTTATCTAATTCCATAGATACTATCATCTGCAGTCTCTAAGGGCGACGTATATGGCATAAGAAAATTCGAGTGATTGGGCACAGCTAGGGATTCTTTGATAAGAGTGCCAAGTGCTTCAAAAAATCGTTGTTACGAAAACGGGCTGAGCAAGTGGATAATGCAGTTCATGTATGTGACTCAAACAAAGGTAAATGCCTGCGGGCGGCGGGGTGAAGGCGGGCAGCGAAGGTTGGGCAGTCATACGGTTATATAATGTTGAGATTCATTGCGCATCCAGGCTAGATGCCTGACATATAAGGCATGAATCTGGTGATCAGCATTAGGCCTACCAAGTAGAGTATGGATCAGGAGAAGAGTTCTCATTTATATAGGGTCTTCCTCTTATGAAGAGAAAGATCAGACTTAAACAATCTCGTTGGCCTTGATATTGATGCGTCCCAATTCAGTAGACATCCAACTTCAACATATAATTCACATTGCTGTTACGTGATTTGAAACGAACATCGTCAAATGGACTTTGTCCGGTTTAAATTATCTGATACCTCGTAGGTCGAGGTCAACCCAAAATTACAAATAGCTACTAAATCGCTATACAACAGACACATTACTCAATCTATCTATAGTCGCCCTATTTAATTTATCCATACTAATACCCCTATAGACAAGGAGTTCAGTTGTCAACCAATAATTTTTTTGTATCTCGTCAAAATTACTGAACCCACGTTGCTATCTTCACGATTGTCGGACTTAACAGTAGACTGCCATGTTCCACTGATGGTCCCAGGGTACTTGCGTCTTTTTGTCTAGACAGGGTTGACCGAGGGACTACCCAACCGCTATTGTCTATAGACAAATACTTAGTCTAAGCTATCCAGATGCGGTTTAGTCGTCACGCTATTCCGTGAAGGGTATGCCTATCGCCTTACCGCCTCCCGACTGATGCTGTTGGATCTATAAATCCCCGGTGCGTCGCTCCATCGTCCGCACCTTCTTCCCACCTTTCCCTCCCACCCACCAACACTTTCCAAGTCGCTCCTAATTAGACAGACGGATTTAGTCGATCGGCCTAACTCGGAGACATACTAGGCCAGTTGCAGAATTGAACGGAGTGTTTTCCGCTCGTTCTGCTCAAAATAATGTCAAATGACCCCAAAAGTGTATAGTCTTTCCGGAAGTTATAATACACTAACAGAAAAATCTGAATGGAATTAAAAAAAGATTGCGTTCCCTCTATGCGATGGGGTAGCGGTAAGTCCACTCAATAGCATCTCTGCAAGCTAATAGAACTGACTATTGGTCATGACTAACTCGAAGATAAAGGCAATATCATTGCGGTACCCTCTTGGCTTCATATCTGCGTAGATAGAAGGCCGCTCGCTATAATGCGAAGCGAGAATGAACGATGAAGTCTCTAGCGAGGGAGTGTAGGACACCCTCCCCCTTCCGTGCTCTATCTTGGAATATAGCTTGCTCCAATTGTATTATAAACTAGCCATCCTATATAGGGGGAAGGGCTTTATACAACCATTTCCAAGACATAATTACGCGGTACGCTAGTCCGAACTATCCCTAAACTTGATTACAAATTACGAGAAAGTCAGACTTCCGAGCGTAGTAGAGCTTCAATCCTCACAATTAACGCAGGCTCGGGAAATAAACAAGTATCACCAAGAACACATATCCCGTGACAAACCATGGTGTAGATCGGCGAGGACAGGAGCTCTCAATATAGGTAATATACATCCATTCTTAGCATTCTGTTTCACTCACATCATTTTAAGGAACGTTCCACTTCACAGCTTAGGCGAGCAAGTGTGTTCTCGAAGAGCAATTATGACCCAAGGGCCCAGCCTCTAACATAGGGCATTTCACGTGATCCTATACCGTCCGCGATCCCCGCCCGCCCTTTGAGCCATGGTCCACTAAGCGGGTAAGCCAATCTTAGTTCGTGGTCTAGTCAGCTCGTGATAGTCGCAACGAAGCCCAGCAAAAGCCCAGGAGGCGCTTGCGGTGGTCGTCAGAAGAGGTGGATTTTTTGCTGGAGTTAAGAAGAGACAAGCAACGACCATGGTCGGAGGTGACAAGCTTATTTTTGGACCGATATCCGGGAAGAAGTCCTGCTGCGATCCAAGTATACTAGAGTAGACTTCCGCAGAACCCAGCTCAACCCGGGCCCAACCCGGGCCCAACCCGGGCTGGGTTGGGTTCTGGGCCGGGTTCTCCAACCCAGTACTGGGCCCGGGTCGGGATTTCTGGCCTAGTGCTGGGCCCAGGCCCCTAGCTGGGTTCATAAACAATGCAAACATGTCAAGACTCGTGACTACATAACTTGTGCAGTTTTTGGCTGTATTTTTGGGTATTTGACTTGTAAGCAAGGCCTCTTTCTATAATCACTGTTTAATTTAATTGTACGTTTAATAGATTCCTAAGGCTACAGGGCTACAATTCTAACGGCTGTCAGAAAATAGGGTCATTAAGCTATATTGCTAGTTTTTTTGACGGCCGTTAGAATATAGGGTTATTTCGAGGCTTTTTTGAAGATCTGTGAATTAGAGAGCTTCGATCGATTAACTAACTAATAGTACTCGAACATATTATTATCGCAATTCTTTCGCTTCTGTCCTAACGCACGTACTTAGGTGTTATTCACTGGCAATAGCACCTAGGGTTTACGTATAGTCGGCCCTTCAAATATAGTCAATAAAGCTTTATCTAGCTCTGTCTCCTTATCAATTGAAGTCTCCTATTCCTCGGTATTACTGATTGGCTCGATCTCAATGTCGTCGAGGTTATTATCCTTCTCTTCTTTTACTGCTTCTAGCTCATTATAAGAGAAGAACTTCTCAAGAAGTCTCGCCTCTTGTTCTTCTATGTCAAACCTTGAGGTGCAAAGAAACATCATTAAATCCTCGATTGTATAAGACTTTATTCTTCCTCGACGGTAATAGCAGATATCCCGAGTAGTATTAAACAGCCGTTCAACGCCTACCCCGGTTGTAGGGAAAGAGAGGATATCACGCGCAAGAGCAGCAATTGCTAGGAATCGCTGTCAGGACCCTCGACTACTTATGTTGGTACCTGAGGCACGAGTGGTGCCTCAGGAATCGTGGCAGTATAGTACTGCTCACCGCCCGGAAGCTGGGCCAGCCTGTATTTAGTTCATCCCCGCTGACCCTGGGAAGTGAGAATTCCGTGAGGAGCTCGCATGATCATTCGATAATGTACGGTACAGTAGCTATATACATGGCAGGTGCGGGTGCTGAGTAAGCACCCCACGTGATAATACCCCATGAAAAACCTCAGAAGGGTCAGCGTTCAGTCTCTTCTACAATAGAACCATATTGTACTACACGTCAGCTGAGGCTTCTACTTCGCTTACCTAACTAAACCGGAGACTCTGCGTGGTCTCACAATTCTGAACGCTCCCGAAAACACGGTTTGCCCGGTAGTTGATTGTTTATAATTTCAGTCATAATCAAATTAATACCTCTTGTAGACTGAAAGATCATTCAAATTGAAGCGATTTGATCATACCGCCCATTAAGGTTAAATTGTACCAAATTAACCATGGTTGAAATTGAGAGACAGGTGAGCAGTCAGATGCTGACCAATGAACATGAATATTTCTTCCGGGTTTGATCTTTCGTGCTCTAGCATGATTGACGGGTTCCTGTTTGACAGCCGACTTTATTTGAACCTTGGCTTTACAGCAGTATGCTCTGTCTAGTTTCAATCTAGAATTTTCCTGAGAGATCAGACAGATCATAAAATCGTCCTAATGTAGCTTTGGGATGTACGTAACCATTGCTTCATCTTCGGTCATGTAGATGTGTTGAGCTCATGTGACCTGAAGGTTATATGACCCACTAATGATGAGCATAGCATAAATAGCAAGAATGAGCAAGTAATAAATGACAGAGATTCCAATGCCCTTATTGGCTGAGCAAGTTACGGAAGACAGCAAGTTCCAACAAAAGTCTGACCAACAACCCTGCCAAGCCCCCGGGATCACACCAGTGCCGTTGAAATGTCACGTGCTTCTATGGACACAGACCATTGGGGCTGAAAGAACGGGTAAATGGCAGAAAACTACGGTCTACAATAAAACATATCTTTAGACTACCTTGGAAATCAATTGTACACGATTTCCATCATCTTTAGGGTTGATCATGACAAGTGACCTTCGTCAGAATTCGTATAGAACTCGGGGTCGATCTGTCATACTTGAAATTGGAAGAATCACATCTCGGTCATGTCACATTCCTTCTGCTTCAACCTTTCAATATCTTTACTTATTGCTGAAGATTTTTATTCGATATCTCATTCCCCTCACCCAACCACCCAACACAGAGGTACTTACTAACTACTATATCTCCTTATTGTCATACTAAACTCCATCCACCCTAGGATTGTGAAACGCTTCAACAAGCATGGAACTTGCAATCTATCCGCATGATCATCAATATCTGAAATACGGGAAGAGAGTTTTCGGCCGATCTGACATCACCGATTTAATTCATGCCGAGCTCGCTCTACGTGAGTTATCGCAGCTTGAGGAAACATTACTCCACACGGTTATCGCCTTACAAAAGGCCACAGCCATTGAGTCTGATAGAACTCAGCTTGAAAATACAAAGCAATTGCTTGAAAAGACCCAACGGTATTTTCCCACAAGCGAGCGTGCCCTATACCGAGCAGAGACTATGCTTGTACCGTCACTCAAGAAAGCATACGATAGGCTAAGACGTGATGCTAAATGGTTTATGCGTGAAGAAATGGTTCAGGATTGTTCGGGTCAGGGTGGATGTTGTAGCCGGGGATGTGGATGCTGCGCACAGAGGCATCTATCTGAAAGAAAGAAAGGCAGAGGCCATTGCACTGTGGAGTGTTGGTGTTGTATCAGCTTTCGAGGCTTCGAGCTCACAGTGGAAGAAAAGGTGGAGGTCAAGAACGACTTCTACAAAAGGATCAATCGGCATAGATCGCCACATTTCGAAAAGTTGGGGATTTGGCTTTTTCGCCCACCGACGTTTCCGAGACTTTCAGATATAAAATCCCGGTGTCAGCAAACTTTTGAACGGGGTTCGACTTATAAAGACTCATGATAATGTACGCTCCAACTTTGCTTAAGAATGACTTGCTGGCTAGCTTCTCATAGGAGAGTAACAGTATAAATATAACCTGCTCTTCATTGCTAAGGCATTATTTGCGAAATATTGACCGCACATAAGCCACATACCGGTAAGTTAGTATTATATGAGTGAACACTAGCGGATCCTTACTGTTATGTGTTTTTTGCATTATGCTTCTTATTTGACAAAAAGCTATTATGTCTTATATGGGAAGGCAGCTAGGCTAAATGTCGGACTTCAATTCCAACTCCAGTCGTCAAAGAAAGAAGGAGCCGCATATCAAGCACATGCTAACGAAATCAAAGCCAACATGTACACGAACAAGATCGCTGTGAAAAATGGGAAACTATCCCTCTTGACTACTCAAACCTTTGCCAGATTTTTCTGGAAAGGCGTCCTCGACGCTGGACCCCATGTATAAACCGTTGGGGGGTCAAACCAGGATATCCCGGTGTTGAGCTCCGCAAGTTCCATCCCCAAAGTTGGTTGTCTGATTCTTAAACAGAATTCCATGGGTCTTGACCATCTCAGATCGCAATTGCACCCTATGTTGGTCTTCGCCTCTTGGCTCGACGTCATTCGGGGCGGGGTGGAATCGAACTGACTTTAATACATGGTATTTTGGAAAGACTTCGAGACGAGAACGGGGTTAGTTGCAAAAATGTATCAATGCCCACTTCATCTCGAGTCATGACAAACGGTATCCAATGTTCCAGGTGATTTTCGTACCTAGAGCTGGTTATTAGCATCACCCTATACCAAACTATCATCTGAAAGCTTTCTTCTGGCTTGAGGACTCTGTTCTTGTTCGACATGATCTCCGCTAGAGTCAAGGGCTCTCCATTTCAAAAACTCCTATAATCATGGAGATATTATCAGGCTAAGTGAATTCACCTTCGGGGCTGATGCGAACCCATGAAGTCATGAGGCCCCAATCCATGTGTAGGGTAGTAACAAGTGGCCCAAATCTGATTTCATCGCGGTTCAACCTTGCGAGATCCTCGGCGCGCACAGAGGAAGCAAGTGGCTCAGTGTTCTTAACATGATCAACTGTTAAACAAGATGATCTTCCACAGCCCAGATATCGACTAATCAGTATAGGTTGGCCCCATTTTGTCACTTTCCCGGTTGTGCCATCGTCGCCAAAAGTCGAATACAGATATTGACAACTGGTTGTAAGCCAATAAAAAGATTCCTTGTAAGACCTAAGATAACAATGCACAGAGTAAAAGCATAAACAACAGAAAGGATTCGCTGACCGGCTTATAAATTAGAGGGAATCCCGCCTATGGCACCCCTTCTCTCGGCCGGTCTTTAGGTTCGCCCAATTGATTGTGAAGTCCATTAGAATCCATCATGTTTATTACGATAGATTTACCTCGAAAACAGTATCGAGCCCAGTACCAGGTCCCTAATACAGTGCTTGCGCGACTCTGATGATTCTCACCTATTTCTCACCTGGACGACACCCACGGAACTATCTAACGCACATAAGCCATCCCATATATAGATCTAAGAAGCTAAATATGATCCCTCCAAGCATAACAAAGTGGGAGATTCAATAAATAGCTTATACACATAATTTCTCAGATAGAAAGAACAAGTATCTCGTTGAGTTTCTTTTACTGGACTCACAGAGCATCAAAAAGCCTTGTGTCAGGATTACTCCAAAAGGTCCCAGACAAATTCTCCAGCGTCTCAAAGTCGGGCATCCATAGGGGATCACTTTCATCCTGATCAATCCACGGCGCCAACTGCAACGCCATCCTAACCGCATGTTCAGAATCATCATCAGCGCCGACCTGCGGCGTGGCCCCCGTATCAGGCACCGAACCAGTCGGATTGACAGGCGGGAACTTTTCACTGCCAGACATGCCAGGGAGAGTAGTATTCCAATTGATGCCATACTGCGCAGTCATCAACTCAGCCATCCCAGCATTGCGAGCTGTTTCATTGCCCTGTAATTTCTCCATGGCGGCGTTGACAAGTAGTTCGAAAGCATCGCGATATTTCTTCACCCATGCTGCACGTTCGCCCATTACGAATAGTACCGTTGAGCAGGCGCGGATGTCGTTGCTCATGCGGACGGACCAGACTTGGTCTGTGTGTGTCCATAAAGCGTAGAGGAGTGTTATCCCTGCCATGAAGACTGTTTGCACGGCAAGGAAGGAGTGACCATATTCTAAGGTTTGGTGGAGACGTTTGTGAGATTGGCAGATGTTTCCTGCGGCGCGGAGGCAGATGTGGTAGTACGGATCGGTGATTGGGAGGAGAGGGAGGAAGGGTTGGATTAGGAGCCTTACGGCTCGGTTGTAATGGAGCATTGGATAGTCAAGATCTGGACCTCTGAATCGAAGTAGGGCTGATTCTTTCCATTCTTCAAGTTCGAGATACAAAGGGTCCATTTTTGGTCGGAGAGAAGATAAAGGTCTGTCAGCACGATAGATTTTGTGCTGGATGCGTGAATCAATGCGGCGGAGCTTGAATAGGTAGATTGCAAATGTGAGGGAGGTGGTTTTATTTGGGTCTTGGGGAGTTGCCAGTGTTGTCGGATCTTCAACGTCATCATCGACGTCCAGTGGTAAGTCAAGATCAATGTGGCGATCAGAGATGCTGAATGGCCGACCGAGAGACATTGAAACCACTCTTTCGAGGTAATACACTGTCCAGAACAACCTTCGGCGCATCTGTGTTGTGAATGGGTCCATGTTGATCTCATTTGCCTTTCGGTGAAGGCCGAGGTCGATGGCAGTACGCATTGCAAGTCCAATCATATACCACATGCCGTGACTGGATGCGGTCCTGAGGTGGTACACTACAAGTAGAACCATAGCCTCGATGTTCTCAATAGATCTCGCTTCGCACATTGAGTGAACATGTTGCAGGGCAGTGCTATAATAGCGCTGAGGAGTGTAAGCATCAGATCGCGTATTGTTACAAAGAGTACTCACATCAGGTGCTGTGTATGCATATTTTTCACTCAACTGAAGCATTGTTGCCCCAATGGCATATATCATATTGAGTTTGAAAATAGCGAATCGATCAGCCTTGGTAAGGTCTTCACGCTTCGTCTTAGCCAATCGCCATCGATCTTCGTGGATTTTCCAGACTTGTTTCTGGTTGACAAATGGGTATCTTGAATGGAGTCGGGTGAAGTAAGTGTCCAAAATTCGTGCTCCCATTTCATCTGTAGGTGGCTCGATATTTGCTGGCAAGAGCTGATCTCGAATTCGAGGAGCGGATGGCTGCTCGGAGGGTCCATGAACTCGAGCCGTCGTGTTTTGAGAAGTATTACTGCTAGTATTTGAGTTCGATTGATTTGGTTGCATTCTTGAGATAAATTGGTTCCAAACACTCGTTTGCACCATCTCTCCTAAATTGTTGGCGAGAGAAAACCCCGAGCTGGCTCCTATGTAGGCCGGGGCTTCAGAGGAGCTCAGGGCAAGCAGACCTACAATTTCCCCAACGGGGTTATTGTCAAGCCCGGAAGTAGCTGTCTGTGGTGTTGGATGGCTCCCTTGCGGGGAGAACAGGGAGGGTGCAGCAGTCGTGCCCGCAGCATTTGGATCTGGGATAGCTGGCTCGGACTGATTAAGCTTGCGCTCCAAGAATGCCACTCTTTCTTCTAGAACGCGGGTATAGCTAAATTACTTATTAGCGGAATTCAGCCACTCGATCCATCGGAGACTTACTCATTCTGACGGTCACTGTCCTCTCGCACGCTGGACTTGTCGCACGCGACCCCCGCCTTCAGGCAGTTGGAGCAGGTCGGATATTCATTGTCGCACTAGTGCAACGTAAGAGATTATAACGCTATCAGAAACACTGCCTGGAACTCACTCTCTGCTTCCGTGTCTTGCATCGAGTGCACGCGGTCCTACCACGCTTCCGTGGGTTATGATCTCGCGACACAGGACTGGTCTGCCGCGAAGACTCTGGGCTATTCCCAAGTGCATACATTTTTCATATTTTGAACTAATATGTTTTAATGTTGAAGGCCCCTGGCAGTGGACGCCTATTATCTCGCGAGGTGAGGTTGCATTAGAGAAGATGCGGTTAGATCGGAACGCCAAGACAATCTGAGGCTCAGCGGCACAATACGACTATGTTATTCTTTACATTGCTTTCACTTTACTTTTGTTTCCCATTTGTTCTTTTCTACTTTTGTTCAACCTTCATCTTTTTAAAACACTGGAAGTATTTACCCTGTGCCACTCTTCTAACCAAGAGTCCAAAAGATCTTACTGTGCTCAAGCAGCCTCCATCGCAAGTCAAACCAGATATTGAACAGGGTGTATTATTGCCCCTCAAAGTCGGGAGCCTTCCCTAATTTGCGTCCAACCTGATCTTTTGTGGCTATTGCAGGGGGAAAGTGAGATTGTATCAAACGTGGTAACATCCCTAGGCTTCAACGTTAATACTTGTCGAGAAATCATAACGACACCAATTCATATTCTGTACTCAACGAATAGAACATGTGGAAATTGCCGCTTGGATTTCTGGGCGAAGTTTTATTATGGAACATTGTCCAAGGACCTCACGAACAGAAAGTGAAACAATATCTGAATGAAGCTACCCAAGGTCAGCCGCAACCATTCTCTCAGTATCCAAGGCTTGAGAAATTCAGACTAACTAGTCAACAATAAAAACAGATTCAGTTTTGAAAGATCTCCAAGAATGCTTGAGGTCAAGGTCAAGTTATATATGGTACCTGACTGCTTCGTTTGACACCTATGCCTCCGGCCTCGATCAAAAGTGTAAGTCGCGACCACTGAACCCTGATGATATTCATGAGCGCCCATTATACTGATGGCGAATCTAGTTTGGAATGAAGAAAGCCTTCGAAGATATATAGATAGCTCACACCCCGGCCTTATTACCTCGGACACTTCGCTCCAACTCTTGTGGGGATGCTTTCATTTTTATGCCTTCTATCCTTTTCCACGGGATAGGAGCAACGACAAGGTTTATTACGACGCGTTCAAACGTGGTGTAGCACTACTAGCCGTTCGAGGTGCCGATATCATAGGCATGGTGGACCGGGCTTAGGCTGGCACTGGCGATGTGATGCCTATATTCCCCAAGCCAACCTCCAACGAATCTTAAGGAGCATTGGGTTTTCAGAGAGCATCAACGAAAAAGATGGTCAAATTGGGGTAGAGGGTGACCCAATCTTTGATCAAACGATGGATGTCCTAAAGACGACTGCGCCTTTTCAGATGCACTGCGGTCCCTGGCAAGATCAGCTCGATCCTACTGTGCGAAGGCTTCTTTTGGGGTCTCCAAGTAGCCGCTCGCGAACTTTATGGGAGGAACTTTCAGAGTTACTAAGCTTGTTACTGCGGATGAAGCTGCTTCAAACTAAAAGAATACTTGGTCTCCATTTTGGCGAGTTTGGAGACCCAGCTTCTGCAAAGGAAACGGCGGAGGTAATTGTTGATGGACTCAGAGATGGTTCCACAGAGGATCATATATCATTGAAATACTATGAGAGACTACTCGAAGCCTTGGCATGTATTAGACTTTCTGGAATTCTGGCATAGCTAACCTTTTATAGCCGGATTTGCACGTTCAATTTCACCATTTCTGGGCAGTATTGTTTCAACCGCCCATGGAGAGTACTTTTAATGGCCCGAAGAACGAAGAGTCATAAGTAATAACAATGTCAAGTCTTCCCTTTATTCAATTAATATTTTAATGCATATCTAATGTAAAGTGTTTTGGTATCATACGCCAGGCATGCAAAAAAAGCAAACGCAGCAACAGTGTGATGCAAACAATAATAGACAAAATAATAATCGCTATTTCTTGTGTCCTCTGGTGCTTCAGTGCTTCAGCCTTTCTTCAACTCCTTCAAGATTTTGCTCCGCCCGAGAAGGAAGCATCGATGATTAGCCAAGTGTTGACATAGAAGGACGCTTTTCGCTCTGATCAGGTGTTTGATGATGGGTATCCTCCTCGGAGGTCTGCCCAGGGATCGCAAACTCAGCATCCCTCTCCGCTTCAGCCTTCCTCTTTTCCTCCTCGATCTCTTCTGGTTCTTTGGGGCGTTCCAAGCCTCTGTCACGGATGAATATACATGCCAGGAAACAGATACCAATAAGCGGGACCTGTAGGATGAAAACCGAATGAGAGGCCTTGCTGTAAGCGAGCAGAATTTGAGCCCATTCAGCGGCACTGAGATTTGATCTCGAAGGAAGCGAGTATGAGGATTCCGCCAGATATGAGAATTTTGCCGGTAAATTAGATCGAAGAGTCGCTTGAAGAAGAGCAGCGGATACAGCGAGACCACAAGCACCTCCCATGCAACGGAAAAAATTGCGATTCGCGATTACGACTGCTCTTTGGGATTTTGTGCAATGAGCTTGTAGAGCGACGAGAGTGGGTTGGAAGGTGAAGCCAATACCACTACCCATAATTGCCACGATTACTGCAATAACAGCCGGATGAGTGTGGGCACCGAATAAGAGCATGAGACCCGAGCCCCTATCAAAGTCTAAGGTTAGTATATAGACACCCGTGTGTTAAAATTGAACTACTTACAAAGTCCACAAGCCAAATCCAATCCAGATTATTTCACCATAGCGCTTCATGCGTGAAATGTATTGCCCAGAGGTGATAGAGAAAACAGATTGGGCTGCAACCATAGGACTAGTCAGGGCAGCAGAGACAATCGGTGACCAGCCACGGGCGTTCTGGTAGTATAGCGGGAGGTAGTAAAGGTTAGCTTGATAGACTGCGCCAAACAGGAAGCTTTGCAAAAAAATTGCAGAGACGACCTTGTTTTTGAAGAAAATAACTATCCAGAAGTTAGCGAGAATTTCTCCTATATCCGAGCTTGGAAGGCAAACAAACTTGGCAGCATAGGCAGTGTGGCCACTTTCCATTCAATAAGCAAGAAAGCGACAAAGGCACAGCCTCCAATCACCAGCATACTGATGACCATCGGTGAATCCCATGGAAAATATGATCCGCCTCCTGAAATGGGAATCAACAGGAAGATGATTCCGATTGAAGACGCCAGGATACCGAACCAATCGATACGGGCGATATTCTTGCGGAAGCTATCCTTATGCGCATTGTTAGGGATAAGGAAGTATCCCACAACAGCAGAACAAGCAGCCAACGGCGAGATCAGCCAGAAGAAGCCACGCCATGTTGAACGCATGATGAATGCTGCAGCTAAAAATGGTCCGATGATATTTCCGACACCGAGAGACGCACCCAGGATTCCCTGGTATTTGCCTCTCTTCTCTAATGTAACAATATCGGACACGATAATCATTGTCAAAGAGGTGACACCACCGCCGGCTACACCAGCCAAGCCTCGGAAGACGTAAAACATAGCTGGATTAACAGATAGGCCACAGAGGAGATCTGCAATACAGAGCAGCACCAGTGCGGAGATATACACAATCTTTCGACCGAAAATATCGGACAATCTTCCATAGAGAACAGTGAACATGGTATTCGCAATCAGCGAAGATGTTCCAGCCCATGAGATAGTATTCTCGGCATCAAGTTCGCGTGAAATTGTTGGTAATGTCACACTGATACCGTTCTGGTCCACCATGCAAATCAGTAATGAGATTGCCAGCCCCGTGAAAACAACCATAAGTTGTCCAAAGGGAAGAATGTTGGTCTGATCGTGTAAAGCCTTTTCAGCCTCTCGTTGTCGATTCATGGCTGGAGGTATGACAGCGCCAAGCTGGCCCACTGTGGATTTCTTAAAATGTTCGAGAAGCTTGGCTAATATCCATGAATTTCAAATGTGGCGCAGAAAGGTCCCTTGCAAAAGAATGTGAATCAAGAGGGCAATGGTTGGTATGTGTTGTGATGCATATATGCGGAATATTGTTTGACGAACCCCACGGCGGCAGAGTCTCATATAAGAGTCATTGGATTGATAATAAAAGTTTTTCCATAAAAGCAGGAATTAGTCCCTTTCGATTCATCGGCAACTGATTACTGGCTGTCGATTGGAGGTTGAGCGCCGCTGTGCGGGCGTTGCGTCGGATGCAGGTCCGACACGGTAAAAAGTCTTGTAGTCAGCTTCCATTCTGGCCCAATACTACACCGAAGAGCATGGATCCAGTGAAATGTCGGCTCAATTCCGCGTCATCTTTTCTTTGCGGTTGGTGAATCGTTTTTTCCCGGTGGATCCGCCACTCGGACTCCCGAACGGACCTCCGATGGCTGACTCAGTCACGGCCTGAGATACCGGATTGGGCGATTCTTGTGTTGATTGTCGGAGGATCCGATATCTAGAGCACTACGGAAACGTCAGTAATTGAGAATGTTGGTTAAATGCGCATTGAACAGAACTATCACTCAGACGGTGCCAAATTTTGCTCAAGCTCAATAGCACTCTAAATATCCTCCATTTCACCATTCACAGTAGTCCGATCTGGTCGAAGCCAAATCAAATCCTTGTAAGCTTGTTCTTTCTTATTCTGCTGGAGTAGCCAGCGCGGTGACTCGGGGATCACGAGTAAACTAGCGCTTAGAAATACAGGAATAATAAAGACCCAGCGGAATGAGGAATCTGTTCTTGCCATCTATCTTGGGAGTAATTATCGACGATTGTCCCGAGATGGAAGCCGAACGAGGTCCAGAATTGCAAGGTTCTTAGCCCAAGACCACGGTATCGAGCTGGTGAGATTTCCAATACTTCATCAGATAAATTTTGTAAAAGACTGTTTAGCATGGCTTACCATACTTGCGTGTATAGTTGAGACAATGTCATCAACAACTCATTCCCTAGACCGATCACTAGACGTCCTGCGTGGCCGGCTTTGTAATCAGTGGTCATCACAACAATAATGGCGACGCAGGCCAAAATGACAGCAATATGAAGACACACCTTGCGTTCCAGATAAGAGGTGAATAGCCCTAGAAGGAGCCAGTCGGCATGTTCATGTCCGACTACTTGGTCATAGATAATCTACCTGCCGAACATGATCTTACTAATGCACCCTGGGTTATAAGAGAAGATATCAATTGTTGACGCTCATGTGGAAAAATTCACCCGAGAGATGTATTTGGAGCGGGCTCGCTAACATTCTAGAGTGCAGACAGCAATTAGCATTCTCGAATTTATCCACAAAGAGATATCACAGAAAAAAAGGGAAAGGGACTGACCTGCAAGGACCCAACCATTGCTTGAAACCCAGCCCCGGATCAAGGTAAAATGAACTCTATATTGAAACAGAAACATCGATACAACGAACATGCCACCAACGACTTCCAATGAAGTCGAAATCCATTCTCTTGAGCTTCGCCCATGATGCGTCGCGTTAGTATCTCAGACCAAACAATTTGGACAGCGTCTTTCCTAGAAAAGTCCTAGATAATAGAGCAATATACAATGCGAAGGAATCAATGCGAACATTCAACAAAAACTGTGAAAAATCCCAAGCAAGTTGGCAGCACCTCTATTTGCATGATTTCAACAAGACCAATCCTCCCAGCCCATACCCTTCCCCTACATTAGTGTACACAATCTCCTCTGAAAATCATACATAATTCCAATGTACTCGTGCTTCCCGTGTTGACAATACCGCAATCCTATCAGGCTCATTCCCAAGCCCATTTGTCCGGAGATTCCATCATTCGGGGATTTTCAAATTGAACTGGTCTATCAGATTGACGTAATACGAGCGATAAAAGATGCAGTGAGATCGTCGGGATTGAGTAGCCTTTTGTTCGCTTGCGCGGGATCTTGCAGGGGTTTCGGCAGAGGTTATTGGTTTTTTGTATGTCGGCAATATCAGGGTGCAGGATTCAGGTGTTTTTCGTCTGTTTGGAGGTAATTGTTGGTTCACCGGCCCCGATCGTCGAGGGTATCGGTATGCATACTTGTAGCATGGGGTAGATGAAGTTATGATGATGGGCATTCTAGGTAGATGCTAGCTAGTGCTGCTCTAATGACTTAGTTGGTAGAAATATTCAAAGCAAATATAGGTTAAATTGAACTTGTGTGAAAGATTTTTCTCATTCAGTCTGGAGACAAAGAATGAGGTATCATATTGGAATAGCGATTTGCACTGTAGTAAAGACGCAGTACGGGTTAGGCGGGGGTGCATCGGCGGTTATACCAATCTTGCACTCCCACGAGGAACAAGACGCCGGTGCTTGAAGGGGTGTGTATGCACGCATGGAAGGATTCAGTGGCGGAAGATATTGAAATTCGACAAGCAATTATCCAATCCTAAAAAGCGAAATAGGTACCAAAAACATGGTAATTCAACGTGGCTCGTCGCGTTCGTTACGGTAGTAGCCCTGATATGATCCAGTCCTGGTTCATCTCTGATATTGCCTCTTCTCTGCAGAACGAAACTAGCATGTATAGTGACGTAGCGTTTTAAGCTGGCTAAAGATCCTGCAAGGGATTCGTCGAGAACCTCCTTCGGCCATGAAAGCGTCACTGCATCCTCAGAATCGGGTATCAACCATTGTATTGCAACCTGAATACCTCTTCATATTTGTAAAGACAGTTAATCAGACATTCCGATATTGATTATCGTGCATTATCTTGCATAGCGAAGAATAAGTCAGCTGGCCCTGTCAACCTGGGCTGCAATATAGCAAGATAGAATTCTCATCATCCGCATCTCCCGATCTTGTTCACGTCATTTCACCTTACACGTTTCGCCTTTGGCATCCTACTCTGTATATGATGGTTAGGTGTGCGCCGGTCCAATGGGAACTCCTAGGCCACCAGCAGCCCAGGCATTCTGCATAGTCGGTGTAGTAGCGGCGTTGACATTATACCCTGCATCTTCACCGACTGTGTTGTTATTATTACCTACTCCGTTCTGGGGAGCTGGCACAGGATGTCGCGTGACGTGACTGGGTGTTGGTACAGCGTGGTGAGGCATATAGTTGGCACCAGTAACGTTGCCCTGATTTGGGAAGAAGCTTTGATTGAGGGACCCGCACGTCGTGCAGGTAAACTCAATTTTGAAGTTCGTAAGAATCATCTGGGGGATTCCCGTGTGGTCATTACGCTGGGTGTAGGGCTGGTCTTTCGGTTGTCCCGCTACTGCTACTGGCATGGAGGCAGTGGTTTGGTATTCGGCTCCTGGCTGTGAGAGATCCAGCGGGTGTGTATTTTGGCGGAGTAACGACGGGTTGGGCATATGAGGATGTTGCACCTGGGGTGGAGCTGGCAGAGCTTGTTGGCCAGACGGTGGAGCAGGTAAGCTATTGCTTGGGCCTTCATTCGGTTGAATGTGTTCATCATCCATCAGTGAAGGGAGATTATCTGGGAGCCACCGATTCTCAGACATCTCCCTGAGGGCTTGTGCCACTTCGCCTTGAGATTCCGACGGAGATTGCTCCGGCGACTGCTGTTCTCCAGCACTCATGTCAAGATCAAGCGACTGCTCACCCTGGCTATCTGTATGGCGTGGCTGAAGCTTGGTGAGTGTTCGCTGTGCCTGGCGCATCGAGATGTCATATCCATGGTAGCGTTTCACAGCGTCCACGACATCTTGAGCCTTGATCTTCGATTTCATGTCGAACAACTTAGGGATCTCACTCAGTAAGAACCGCACGTGAGAAGCTTCAGAGCGAGCAGGTGTAGCCGAAGGAGACTCTGCACCGCGAGGACAGCTATGGCTATCCTGGAGACTGGTGATGTAGGTCGCGTTCTTGTTGGAACGACAAACAACCCGGAAGAAGCAATTGGCCGATGATCGACAACCGATGACCACGCTCTTCTTGTTGCTTCTAGATACACGAAGCTCCCAGTGTTGTCTGACAGATATGCTCCGTATCACTGTTTTGAACTCCTCCAGCGAGGAGAAGCGCTGGCCCACATGGAGCCCCGAGTGGATATCAGTCATAGTGAGGCAGTAGCAAGTATAGAAGACGCAGATAAGGCAACTGGTACCGCAGTCGCAGACTGAGCGACAAGACCCATTAGGTCACGCGCTGGGTGTAGCTTCGGTCGAGCTCAACACCGTGGAAGGTGAAATGCGGAGAACGGCGTGATCCCAAGCAAGCACCCGATCAATCTGCGAATTCGCGCTTTGAGCATCAGCCAGCCGTTGAGGGCCCGTAGACAAGACCAAATGAACCAAACTATAAAACAATAAAACAATTGCTGAGGTACTGAAAGTCGATTGTTGGCAACCGCAAACCCTTAGATCAATAAAGGCGGAGTCAAAAAGTGCCAGACCGCTCGCCTTCATTTTTCATCCTCCTCCGCGATCGACACTTGAAGCCGCGCAGAACAACTGCGGTTTTGATACTTTCTGAAATTTCCATCGTGAGCTTCGTGGGATCACATATCACAATTCAATCACCAAAATGGCTTCCTACGGCCTTCTGGGCCAGCCAGAAGAAGGTCAGTCTCCTCCAACTTGTCCTCCCAGCTCAAAGCTAACATTCCCGATCGCAGATGCCCTCCACAAGTCGCGCCTCTTGAACGTTGAAGAAAAGCCATTCAAGCGCATCTCAAAGCGCCTTCTAAACCCCGAATCCCTCATCGTAACGCAAGCCTTGCTCCCTCTCACTCCTCCTCCCGAAGACGCCGACGCCGACGCCGACACGAATATCGAAATAGAGAAACAGAAAAAGCTCAATGAATGGCGCCATTTTCGCGAGGATGTATCGCTTGACTTCGCCGCCTTTGAAGGCAGCATTGCGCGCGTCCAGTTCCTCTTAACCAGCAACGAGCAAGAACGCGAGCGCTATGCCACAGAACGAGTCCAGATCCTATCGACAATGCAATCTGTCCGGGACAGCACTGCCGATCTCCGAAGCCAGCTCGAAGAGGCACAGCGACTCCTCTCTCTGCGGAAGACCTACGATGAGCTAGCGGATAAGATTACAAGTAACCGCCTGCTCAAGCCGCGCGAAGACCAGCAGTCGAACCTTCAGAAGTTGCGGACGGAGATCGCAGATCTGGAGAACGAGAGCAAGGTCTACGCCAAGACATGGGCTGAGCGGCGCGAGCAGTTCGGCCGCATTGTCGAAGAGGGCATGCAGCTCCGTCGTCTGATCCGCGATGAGAAGGAAGAGGTTGAGCGGCGGGAAGGGATGCAGGAGGGTGAGGATAATGACGAGGGCGATCTTATATCTAAGGGCAAGGCCAGCAATGCGAACACACCTGGTCCGGACAGCGATGTCTTGACTCCGTCGCAGAATAGCCAGGATGAAAGTGGTCTGTTATCTGCGCTGCAGGCTGATAAGAATTCTGGTACTACGGGTGCCGCGTCGCCTCTGCGACAGGTCATCAGTGCGCAGGGCGATGGTGCAGATGATATCAACATGATGGATGAAGGTGAGGTTTCTGCTGACTCTGAGGGGCAATTTTCCGAACTCGAGGAGGGGGAGGAACTCCCTGATGATATGTACAATGAGAAGATGGATACCACTTAGTGCATTTTGCTCTGCATACACATTACTAGCAAGGAGTTTGGGCCGGGGCGTTGGACATGGTCTTAATTTACATTCATTGATATTTTAAAGCTTTCATCTGGGTATTTGTTTTGATAGTTCGTGTAGGCATATCTCTTAGGAGATCTCTCGCTCAGCGACCTTAGCTTGCGCAATGGCTTCTTTGGCGGCGGTGATGTGCTCGACGTTACTGTCCATGCCCTTCTTGCCTTCCTCGGTCTATAGAACGATTAAAAGGTGCCAGAGGGTAGCAGTCAGTCTACTTACGATCAGAGCTTGCAGGTTAGACACAGTCTGGACAATCTGCTGCTTCAAGCTAGGCAAAACCTTCCTAGTTTCCTCGATTGCGGCATGCTGGATGGATGTTAGCAGAAATATTCAATTGACATGGGCAATAACAGTCAAACCAATAAAAGATCTGGGAAAAGTACATACCTCTTGCTTAAGAGTATATTCACGGTTCTCATCATCGCCACCAGTCTCGGCCTCGAGCTTCTTGACACGCTCAGTCTGTTGCTGGAGCTCCTTGTGGTAGGAGGCCTCCTCCTTGACCAGGCGGATCACGGAGGAGGTGACAATCTCTAGCTGTGAGCGAGGGGCCATTTTGAATATTTGAACCGAATTGGAGATACAGCAGATGTCTGATATGCCCCTCAATGATGCTATGGGGGGTAATGTTTGTGTTGTTTGGTCGGGTGCACGTGAGAGCTAAAGTGCTAGCACGATTGGATAATAACTAATCAAAATGATTATTTTTAAGGTCTGTGAATGGCCAGCTTGGAAGCTCACTTTTTATTTGACCAATCAATGTCGATTATGTCACTCAAGTAGCCGAACGATCGATCTAAGGGGTTTTATCCTACTATCAATCAACTGACGCAGTTGTATTGAAACTAGATAGTAGGATACATATTGTATAACAGATCAGATGGATATAAAATCAATACTGTAGAGACAAGAGAACATGGACAGGAGAGACGACCAATAAGCACCCACCTAGGGATCATCCGCTATAAAGACTGCGGGCCGTCCTCACTTTCGCATCTTCACATCTTCACATATTCACTTCATATACTTCCATTTGTTGCAATTTTGTCTCATTTGCATTCATTCTGATACGCTGTTTCCTATGCCGCCCTTGCTGCATCGCTCATTTCGGTCGAGTCCTCTTCCGTCATAAGCAATGCCAGCCCGATCTCTCCTCCGCCTAGCTACGGCCATGGCAATTCGTCATGTTAAAGGTATGTTCTTACAAATAAATTCCAAAGAAAATCTCATGCACATCTTGGGCGCACTTGGTCCGACCTCAGATGTGGCGATGGATGCCACTGTTTGTGCTTAGTTGTCGTTGCCCAAGTCATTTCCGTCGCATTTTAGGCGGACTTTCATAATGAAGCAATAATTTGCTAACCCTCTTCACTTATGGTCCATTTAGTTCTCGATAATTTGGGCAGTCTTCCTTATGCCCTCGCACGTCCTATCCTCCTCAAAGTCGACAACCCCCAAAAACTAGTAGGTCATATTCCCCTGCTCTGTCGCGCAACGTTTGCCAACACTTTCTTTGTCTCTTAGCATGCCCTCGAACTTGCCTCCCCCCAGTTTGCAGACCACGACAAGGAACTATGGATCGAATTTATAAAGCGCGATATCCCCAGCTGGGACCAATACGAACTACCTGAAGAATCCAATGATTGGTATCAGGTGTACTGCGATCTCGGCGAACAAGTCGAGCGATCTCTCGAGGCCGATGCTGAGAAAATGAAGATGGCTCTCGATGGCATCACCAACCAGCGCGCCCGTCTCACCCCCAAGATCCTCCCCCAAGGCAAAAGCGCGCACATGGCCGGAGCACGACCCAGCACAAAACAACGCTATGCATCCTGGGACCGCAAGATGGGTGGCATCAAGCCCGTCCACGATCCCACAAGCTGGATTTTCAATGCTCCAAGTCTTCCAAGAGAAGGAGGAGTCTCCAAGAAGAAGAGCATCTTTGCACCACAGAAGCGCAATAGCGCGCTGTCTGTCCCCAGCAAACAACTCAACAGCCGAGCTTCACAAGTCACCCGTGCCCCCCAATCCCTAGTTGAAGACCACCGTCGCCCCGAGCCCACACCGGCAGCCAAGATGAAAAGCAACCCTGCCATGATTGGATCCCGCCAACCTTCCGCTGCACCCATTAAGCAACCCTTGCTGCCAGTCCGAGGGGTCAGAGAGGACCGACTACGGGCCTTGACTTCAGGCAAATCAGTCCCGCCGTCCGCTGGCAAAAAGGCACCGGCGGCGAAGTCTGATCTCAAGCGCCCTGCCTCTCCTCCGTCTGTCAGCAAGGCACCCACCTCTTCTCACGACTCTTCCTCCTCCCGCCCGTTATCATCCGGGTCTCCTGCTCCTCGTCCGACCGTCATGCGCCGGCGCCAAGAGCCGAGTATATTTATGCCGGCGAAACGAAAGCGCGTGTCTTGATATAAGGATCATAAGACCTCCTTTCTTGTCTCATTTATTTTTGTATGCTCTCTTTTTTCTTTTGATGCTTTTTATATTGGTGCGCAGGCGTGCCTTCATATATATTTTTTTGCATTTGTTTGGCGCTAGGTGATATACATTTTTATATGGGAGTGTGGGAGTTCGGGCTATTGGTTCTTATATCTCGAAGTCGGATGGTTCTCACTCGAATATTATATCGACGATTAGTTTGTCTAATTTTATTCTCGCTTCTTTTACTTTCTTTCTTTTGTAGTCTGTCATTGACTCAAGGGTCCTTGTCTTTTGGCTGTAAAGCTATTAAAATAAAGGGCTCAGCGTGTCCTCTGTCTAGACCTGGCTTTTTAGGCCTTTCTTCTTCTTTTATCACTACTCTATCTCTCTTTATCTTCTTGCCGCTATCAACCCCTGGTTCATGTATTCTTTTCATTCGCCTCTCTTGCGGTCTATAGAAGAGGTGTGTCCCTTTCTCATATATCTTCTTCTTACCACTGTCAAACCCAGTCTGCGACCACCAAGAGGAATGGAAGCATTGCTAAGTGGTCTGCCACAACCTTGACAACAACGGAATCCTCGGTGAGATAAGGTGGGCCTCAGCATCAAGGAAAGGAAGAATCGCCGGCTGTATGAACAAGATCCGGCACATGGAGTGTACTGCGAGCTGGAGCGCGGGACTATCTCCCACTCGAGTCTCTGAATGTACGGGCAGGAACTGAGTACTTCAAAAAGTTCTACACAGATGATTGTGGAAGCCTCATCGCGACTTATGTTCAAAAGCTCCGGGCAAAAGATGTGGGCGATCGTAGAGATCTGTCTGGGGAAAGATGCGTTCGAGCTTTCAAAGAGCGCCATCCTGAAGGCTCTTCATCTATGGGGAAAGTTCGAAGAGGTTACAGGTGGTGGGTGATAAGGGATCAAACCTCTGTCAAGAGGTTCGTCATCCAAGCATATCATCCTGCGTCTTTCCCCAGGTGGCTGAGAAAAATGGATCCAACGCAGAGGAATCCATCAGAATACCTAGCTAGCTGAGAAGATATCATCTTTCACATCCCATTCCTTGCTTGCAGTAAAGGTGGACATCTTGTCGTTTCCAAAGATGTTCCACTACACTCTTGGATAGTTAGCCCACCTTGTCATATATTCTATCTCAGAGTTGCAGGCCAGTTCCCATCGGGTATCTGCTCTACACTGGCGTCAACATGAATCGCAAGTGGAATGGAAAGCTTGAACTTAGTTTGGATGGCAGGAATTTCCAACCCAAGATGTCATCACATAGCAAATAATGCTAGTCAACAAGCAAACCTATCTTGGGCGCCTAGTATGCATCCTATCACAGTTCAGGGCAAGCTTCAACACCCCATCTGTCCATAATGTCAATGACAATCCCCATCCAGGGCTTCAACTGTAATGCACAAGTATTCCTCAACGTAATCTCATTGCTGTAACAAAGTATGGTATCTAAAAACGCAGGACGATTCAAAGGGATCCTCCACGGAGGGCAAGCACGAGATGGAGCGTGGCACCGCCCTCGAGGTTGTATTCTGCTGCTGTCTTGTCGTCGGCCCTATAGATAGATAACGATTAGATACTTTTCTTCCAACAGAGAAATCAGAACGAAGTTTGGAGAACATGCTTCACTCTCCAGATACATGTCTTACATTTGCTTTCCGCCAAAGATAAGTCGTTGCTGGACAGGGGGGATACCCTCGCGCTCCTCAACACGCTCCTTTATCCGGGAGACCTAGATAAACCGTTCATGTCAGTATGAATGCAATAGCAGGCGAATGTGTAGGTATTTATTTATAGTTCGACCGAGTCGCGAATAAGGACAGCGGCCGTGCGGGGGAAGCCGAAAGGCGTTCAGGTAAAGAGGTAGCGTACCTTGTAGTCAGGCTCAATGTCGAGATCGATCTCCTTGCCGGTGAGTGTGCGGACCCTATGGACGTGAAATGTTAGCGTGGTTCTTTGTGCTGGTCTTTGCGATGATCTTTGTGTTGGGGTCATGCGATGACGCATTGGGCATAGGGTCTTGTCGGAGCTAGGCAACGTACTTGATCAACATTGTGGAAGACTGTGCGGTTTTGCGATTTGAAGAGGAAATGTAGAGCGGTGAAGTTGGTTTCAGTTGGAGATATGGGCGAGCTGGTGAGTTCGGAGTGAAGATGTGAGTCGGCGGGGGTTGGTGGGGCTTGTGGCCTTGTGGCCTGATTGTGTCGGAGCTTCACAATGTTGTTCGCGTGCAAATTGATTTTTAAGGTGTAATTATCCTATCTGGCATATGCAGTTAGGTCAATATATCATGGCTATAAGTAAAGCTCTGGTCCTAGTAGTAATAGTTCCGAAGCCTATGTTTGCACAACAGCTTGCCCGGATTCCAGCAATATATATACTGACACGCGCTACTAACTTTCACTAAAAATCTGGACTACACAAACAGAAAACAAAACGGCATGGCGAAAATGAGAGACAGTGACTCCTAATGTCTTCCTTTTATTTTATCCTGACTAAAAACAATGACTATACTGATTTGCTACTCTGTATACTTCGACCGCTCGGTTCTCGCCTGCGGTGTGACTTTTCTACCCCGACTACCCCGCTGAAACAGTTCAACACTCAAATCAAATTGAAAAGATGAACACTCAATCGGTGCCAGTTGCACCTCCAAATCCGTTCCAGGGCTTAATCGATCATCGCAATAACGATCCAGTAAGAATGAGTCTCTCCCAACAAGAAGCACTGACCAACCAAACAGCATCAATTGCAAATTGCCTATACCATCCATAGATCAAACAGGAATCGCGTGTTTCGAAACCAGCTCTTGCAAGGCGATTTCCGTGACTGGAAAGACGACGTTATCCTTAGCCAGGTACTTGAGGCAGAGAAAGGATCAACAGGCTTCCTCGATCCAAGGCACAATATTGCCTTCTGGGCACGACCCCCACAGCATATTAGAGACTTGGTCTACAATATCCAACAGGAGATTGCTCCTTTAGCAGGACCTGGTAATGGTAATCTACAACCCCACATAGACAGCATGCTGACTACCTTCAGGTCTCTGGCTCGTCCCACAAGACTATCTACACATGACCACACTCGAAATCAGATCTGAACTGACAGGACCCGAAGTCAATGAGATCTGCTCTTCTCTTGAGCAGAGCGGGTCTCTCCAAGAGCTGATAAACTACACCCTTACCCACCGGGCCCGGCTAGTCAAGCCAATAGTCAACATTGATTCTTCTGCTATTGCCTTGAGCTTTCTTCCTGCAGCTGGAGAGGAAGACACTAGTCCATATAGTGGGAAAGATGATCTATTCACGTACCACCACCTGCGACGTGATCTCTACGATATCGTGACTCGTTCTGGCTGTCCAATCGCAGCTCGCTATACGCTTCCATCTGCGCACATCACTATTGCTCGTTTTGTTCAGCCTGATGGATCTGAGGCGGATCTTAGGGCAACTGGAAAATATGCCGCAAACCTTGTTTCCAAGGTTGACGACATCAATGAGAAGCTTGACTCGAGTGAAAGAACGGTCAAAGGAGAATGGGTGATTGGACACGAGAAGGGGTTGGAGTTGATGAAAGGTCGGACGTGGTTTGGAAAAGGGGACAGTGTGGCACTTGGAAAGGGCTTCTCATAGAAAGACATACATATAGACATAGAAACAGCTACAATAATCAGAGCACTTCAATCACATTGAAAATGATGTCAAATCTGCCTCAGGCAACAAGGGCCTGATGACTCATCCACACTTGGCGATTTACCCAAAGCGGTTAGCGCCATCCCGATAGGGCCTAAGCGAGCACAATCCCACAACCCAACAATCGATCTTGCTCTCCTCCGACAAGCGACAATCCAACGACCACCACCCAGCTATCCGGCCAAGTCAGTCAAAATGGTAAGGATACCCTTTGGGTAATGTCATATTCTGTTCCGAAGTCCTTCGAAGTTCCCACCGGAGATATTGTGCGTGATCCAACTGTGCGGTCCAAATGTGCGGCCAAGCTCGAAATCGTCAAAACCACCGACCGTCGCGAAGTGCTACACCACCCACAATCCAGACGTCTGCTTTTTACCGGAATTCTGCAGAATGATCGAGGAAGTCGACATTGAAATGAACAGGGGCGAAACCCCGAAACCACATTTCGTGATGGGACTGGGGGATCCCAAAGCCGATGGAAATGGTGCACAACCTGATTCTTCGAATTTTTGCCTGCCCACTACCTCCGCTCTACGATAAATACACGACTTGATCAGAACGACCAATATCTCCGCGACCGCAATTTCGAACCGGACTTCGAAGGAACCTGACATTTTCATTCGCACAATCATAAAACAAACGCTCATGACATCTCCGTACAGGTCAACATCCCCAAAACCCGCCGGACGTACTGCAAGTCCAAGGACTGCCACAAGCACACCCAGCACAAGGTCACCCAGTACAAGGCTGGCAAGGTACGTGCCCTCATCACAGCAACCGACACCCACGAGTCAATATGCTGATTCGAATATTTGAAAATAGGCCTCCCTCTTCGCTCAGGGTAAGCGCCGTTACGACCGGAAGCAGAGTGGTTACGGTGGTCAGACCAAGCCCGTCTTCCACAAGAAGGCCAAGACCACCAAGAAGGTTGTCCTCCGTCTTGAGTGCACTTCCTGCAAGACCAAGAAGCAGCTCGCCCTCAAGCGTTGCAAGCACTTCGAGCTGGGGTATGTTGATTCACACGATCTGGACTGGTTGTTCAATGCTGACATGACTCTTTTCTACAGTGGTGACAAGAAGACCAAGGGTGCTGCCCTCGTTTTCTAAGTGCGATTTCCTTGTTCGGCTTCTGGGTTTCCTGCATTGCACAACGTGTTCCGCTGTTGCGGAGCATCTATGACATTGGCAATGGAAAAATGAAATAGGAATTCAACTATTCAAAAACACCATCTATGACTACCGGATACGAGTCTATTGAATGATTATCTGTTTCTCTGTAGAGCTAGCTGCCTCTGGCTGCACGTAGTCTTAACTTGTTCGTATCGCATGCCTCATGTTAGGTCTTGACGTACCCGCTAGAGTTCTCTATCCTAGCGCCCTGCCATGTGTGTTGTCTAGCCCTCAAGTTTCACAGCTCCTGATGGGGGCGGGCTCACTGCCGGTGGAATTGAATGTGTTGCTCCCTTTACATCACTCATTCAACTGGAATCTTCCCTTTGAGATCCTCAACATCCAGGGTCCATATAGACGGCCCGTCACGCGCGCCTTCTTGGTTTCTACATCACCTCATCAATGAGTCCTACCTACACAGCATACAGATACGAGTTCTGCTCCGACTGTAACCCAAAATCAAGTCCAATGCCCACTCAACAGGCGGACAATCTGCAGTAACACTCCACCAACGACATGCCAACAATCTGTCCAACAGATCAAAATCTGTAATACTCATCGGTGTCCCTCCGATCTTTACAATCTTGGTTCTAGAGCGCCACCAAGCAGCACTTCGCTTGCAAAACTCAGAATCTCATCATGGCTTAAGCCAAGATACACCGACAAAAAGAAACAATCAATGACCAGTACAGATTCCAGTCGGACAGAGCAACACCGAAGGGCGAGATAAGTGTGGCTGGAATCCTCACGAGTCAGAGTGGCAAACTTCACAATTCAACACACCAACGATTGGACGGGAATGAAACAGAATCCCCTATCAAACGCCCATTCCGTAGATCCAGCCCCCGCATTCCGGGGGATACGAACAAATCCCCCCTCTGAAAAGACAATGTTACAAGGCTAAAAGGCTTTTAACCATCAATCAAATGACTCGAGACAGTGGAGTGGAGACTGGTATACTGAATTTACTGTCTTCCCAACTAGTCTTCCCCGCTTCCCCAGATCAGATCATTTCCTCTCGGGTCTTCTCCGACCTTGTCTTTACACCGTGTTGCGCTCGCAGACGCGCCCTTTCCTCGGCTCATCGGACGTACCCCGGTGTACGCTCTGATCAGACCATTTCTGGGGTAGATCCTGGGATTCTATAAGCTTTGGTCTTGCTGCTGTTTTTTGAGATTACTGCTACTTTCATCTTCACTTTGATTGCATTGGAAGGTAAAGGATTTCATCCTTTATTTTGACCGAGATGGCTATGTGGTATGCGCTTGGCATTGCGTTCTTCGCGGCCATCGGTACTTTCCTGTTTGTATGTTCTCTTTCTTTTTCTTGTTCTTTCATTGGGAGTTGATGTTGACGTGTGAGATAGGGCTTTGATACTGGCATTGCCACGACAAGTAAGTCCTAACCACTATTTACCCAAGACTCAAACTAATACATCCAAAGCGATCGCCCACCAAAGCTGGATTGATTACATGCAAGAGCCCTCAAAAGGTTTAACAGGAGCTGTATGTTCAACCACTCCACAGATATCATTTCCCCAATCCTAAGATGTATCTAGGTTGTCGCAGTCTACATTGCCGGCGAAGCTTGCGGAGCCCTAACACAAACCTTCATCGGCGACAAACTCGGCCGAATCCGCTTCATGCAACTAATGTGCATAATCGTCACAATAGGCACAGTGATCCAAACAGCCTCAGTGAATATCGGCATGTTCCTCGCCGGTCGCGTGCTAGCCGGCTACGCCGTCGGCGGTCTAGTAGCCACAGTCCCAATCTACCTAAGCGAGATCTCCGACCCGCGCTACCGCGGCTTGATCGGTGGGATTTCGGGCTGTGGCATTTCCTTTGGAACGATGATGTCTAACTGGGTTGGCTATGCTTGTAGTTATGCGCCTTATGGGCCTGTGCAGTGGCGGCTTCCGCTTGGGATTCAGATTCCTTGGGGGATTATTATGTTTATTGGGCTTGCTACTTTTATGCCTAATTCGCCGAGACAGTTGATTCGTGTTGGGAAGATTGACCTTGCTAGGTCTGAGTTTGCGAGGATTCGACGGGGTTTGGTGTTGGTTGAGATGGAGGAGGAGTTCGGATTGATGAAGGCCCAGATTGAGTATGAGATGGAGAGGGAGATTACTTCTTATCGGGAGATCTTTAAATTGTTTAGGCATCGGGTTCTTGTGTGGGTGTTCCTTTTGTTGGGGTTCGGTTCTTGGATTTGGGGGCTAACTTGGTGTATAGGTCTATTGCTGTGCAGACTATGACCAGTCTGACTGGTGTCAATGTCATTCAGTATTATCAGAGTGAGTGCCCAGAGTCTGGGGATTGGATGTCTATTTAATGGGTACTAATATCCACCTCTTGTCAGCTATCCTATACAAAGGTCTCGGCATTGGATCCCATACCATCCTCGCTCTAGCCGCAATCTACGGCACCGTCGCCTTCATCTCCAACTCGCTTACAACTAAATATATGACTGACCAGTGGGGTCGCCGAAAGTACGTATGCCCTTTTGATCAAATCTGGAGTGGATACTAATAGCCTGAAGGATGCTTATCGCCGGATTGGCCGGTATTGTCTTGATCGAAATCTACGCTGCTGTGATGCAGAGAGAATTCCAGCACACGGATAACCGTGTTGGAAAAGGATTCGCCATCCTTGGAATCTACCTTTTCGTGGTTTGCTACTGTAAGTACACTCACTGAATTTGGTTTTACGTGCGATTGTTGCTCACAAGATTATTAGACGGCATGCTTAACAGTACCACTTGGCTCTATGGTGCCGAAGTCCTCCCCATTGCTCTACGAAGCAAGGTCATGGGCATTGCAGCAGCATCACATTTTATTGTGAATGTTGGAGGTATGTCATCTATCCGTAGAAACCCGTGCATGGGAAGAATGACTGCTAACACATCACCCGAATCAGTCACCGAGGCAGGACCCAGTGCGTTTGCCAACATCGGCGAGAATTACTACTATGTCTTCGTGGCTTGTTCTTCTTTCTTCCTAGTGATCGCCTATTTCTTCTTCCCGTATGTCATTGGTGCAATTCCATTTGCCAAGAACAGCGCTAATCCAATATCCACAGGGAAACCAAGCAAAAGACCCTCGAAGAAGTGGCAGCAGCATTCGGCGACCGTGTCGTCGATCAAGATGACAGCCCCAAACGTGCAGCTAGCGTAGTCGGCGACGCACAGCATGTGGAATCTACACAGGTAGTCTAGACAGTCTCGTTTTAGACTTTACCCTATTCACATAGGTCCCAGTGGGGACGAACATTTTACAGTTTACCTCCCAACATCAGTTTTAGTTTCAGAGACCAAATATCCACTAGAGTCGTAAACTGGGGTAGCATTGGAAAACACTTCCGAAGAATCTACGGTATAGTATGTCAGTGTGCATATTCAAATCCATGGATCCAAATCCCTTGCATGCATAACAGAACTCAATAATAGGACACATTCCCCTTGAAAAGGCATCCCCCACATATGCACTATACAACGGATATGCTTCCAGGGGGAAGTCCGGTGGCTTTCTAGACGCCTTCCATGCACATTCTGTGATGTCTCAAGTCCAACAGCCCGTGCTCGCACCCCCCTTGGAGCGTGCGTGGCTTGCCTGCATATCTGGAGATTAAGTACTATGTCCTGATCGGGTGTCCACATAGTCCGTGCGACGCTTCATTGAATGCAATGCCAATGCTGAGTCCGGAGTACCGGGGTGCATATATATAAAAAAGGACTAGTTATGCTTTCCTCAACGGACATTATGGTTCTCGTGTTTGTGGATCCTTATCTACAGTACAGCGGGTACTAATGACCGACGCCAAATTAACAAAGGCTCCAGAGTTAAACCGGAACAATAGTCTTCATCATTTCCAGTCATTGTAGCCCCGTGCTTCGTATTACTGATGCTTATGTAAAACTCACCCGGGCCGGATGGCTGGAAGTGGTGAGGGAACCTGATGTAGTAGATTCAAGGTGGATCCTTTGGGTCGATCTGAGATTGCTCATCGCCGACCTCAGGCTTCTACTTCTTCCAGAAGAGGAAAAAGCCCCTTCACTGCTACACCCGATCCCTTCAAAATCCGATTTATGGTTTTCGGAAGCCCCCATCGCCACGCGTGAGGATGATCTTTCAATGATCAACATGCATGACAAAGTTTATTGCGAAACAGGGGCATCCATGGAAAAGCAAAAACCCTATAGAAAAAAGCAAAAACCCTATAGAAAAAAGCAAACCTGTAAATTAATGTCTTTTCTCTGGGAAGCAGCAGTTCGGAAACATGGAACAGAAAACTTTGCTCTCTGTGTGGATGTGTGTTGAGACGGGGAGGAGGTTATTTGCCACTTTGTACTTCTGACAGATCAGCTCGAGGTTGATCTTGACTTGGATCTCGGGCTTCTTTCGAGGATTGCTTCACCGACATCATCATTCTTGCTTTATTGCCTTTCAACAGAATCAAATAGATCACTAGAATTACTGCAATAGTCACTGGGCGTCTGTATTTCCGTGTGTGGGTTACTCCGATCCCAACAGCCCGGCACATGGGTCCGAGCCCGCTAATTAGACGATAGTTCGCACAATGGGGTTGACGATCGTACCATGTGGAAATTGAGAGCCTCAGTGGAATTTTTGGCGATCTGAGCTACATTGAAGAATATAATGATATCACTATCTAGATACAGTAAGTAGTATGGCTGCCCAGCGTATATTGTATTTTTTTTTTTTTTTTTTTTTAAATAAGCTCTGGACGGAACCGGATAACCATGGGTGCGATGTATACAAAATAAACACTTCAGTCAAGGCTGTCATTTCCACTAACGTCTCCGGGGAACTGGTACCTGTAAACTCAATCAGAATTTTCACACATGTCGGCTTGTTCAACACTAGGTTATTGCCGCCAGGGCGTCCAGGGGGGTGGTTGGCAGGTGTGGCCCTGGCGGAGAAAACAGCCCAAGCCAATAAACGGTCAAGATGCGGCTCCACAGGGGCTTAACCTGAGATTCCAAATGACAACTCACGCAAGGAGCGACCGATCGGCATCGCCTTGGTGGCTTGGGCCGTGTGGCGACGATAAGCCGGTAAGACGGCACTTCCATCTGAGAATCATCTTCCTTGCACGACCTTTCCGATCTGGGCTTGGAATAATAGCCCAAAAAATCCGTAGCCTGCACATGGACATCCTTGATCCCGTGAATAAAAGATTCCGATCAAAGAGCCGAAGTCCGGTATGACAGGGCCTGAGCGATGTTCCATCCATGGATGCAGGGCATTAAAGCCAATACTAACAAGATTCTCACACTAAACAACTCACAGAGTTTCCACTCTATACCTCATTCTGCATAGTCCCATCGGAAGTGCGTCTCCACGCTGAAACAGATCCGCAAGGACCCATCCGAAGAACATTTCGTTCCCTTCTAGAAGTGCCATGCATCGGAAATCCCCTAAGCTATGCTGTCATATGTCATGGTCTACTATATCCTAATTTATTTAAAACATTTATTATTTATGTCTTGGCTTCTTTAGTTCGCTTGAAAACAGGGGCAAATCCATTATGCGGCTTTCAGCTGTCGGCTAAACATTGGAAGAAAAGGGTTGCCTCCTGATTATATTACTTTATAATTATAAATCCAAGCTATATAGAATAGCTGTACTCTCCAACTAGATTCTCTTAAAACGTCATCTTGCCCTGGCCCACAACGTTAGATTATTGTTTTATCCCTCCGCAATATCAAGTCGATGGGCCCAACTGAACTCAACAACCCACAACGTGTACCGCGGAGTACCAATTCCCTGAACGAGTTTCTCTCAAAGAAAATCTGGTCCATGTGTCCTTAACATTTCCGGACTCCACATTCTCTTCCGGAAATAAACCGCATTGTGCGGCGTGACTCCCAATCCAATCCATTCTATACTGCACTCAACCACATGGCCTCATCATCCCGCTCAACGGGCAAGCGCCTCCCAATAAGCTGCCAAGCCTGTCGAACGCGAAAGATTCGATGCTCGCGCGACGGCAGGCCCTGTCAAACATGTGTACGCCGCGGCCTCGGCGCCGAAGACTGCATCTACCTCGGCCAGCCCCGTCTCTCAGCTGAACAGTCCTCACCAGGCGACAGCGCAATGCAAAGTGAGCTGCTGGCACGAATCAGGAACTTGGAAGCCTTGCTCCAGAAACAGATGGCCTCGCAAGCTGGAACGCCCACCGGTGGCGCGGTTTCGCCACTGGGTGGGACGAGTGCTGCTGGCAGTTTCTCCGAGTCTGATATTGGTCCTGGTTTTGAGACATGGGACTCGCTAGGTCCTATGTTAGGTAATGTGGGATCTTTGCAAACTTCGCCTTCCGGCCATGTCCGTTATGTGCCTCTTGCTTCGCAGTGGGAGTCGATTGTTGCTAAGAGCCCCGCTGCGGAGTGTTTGAGGAATTCGGATCCAGAGATCGCAGAGGATGATGATGATCTACAGATCCCGTTGGTTAGGAATGGGACTGTGACCAGGGCTGAGTTGTTGGGTGTTCTTCCTCCTGGAAGGTACTGTAATACGCTGAAAGATGTGTATTTTCAGGTTTTTTCTTCGGTATGTGATTTGACGAGGCTGATCAGCATTGGCTAACGGATTGATAGGTCTTTCATATTCTTCATGACCTGACATTTGAGGCGGAATATCAGCAGTTCTGCCATGATCCTGGCAGTGTTTCGACGTCATGGCTGGCATTGCTATTTGCGATTCTTGCTATAGCGGTGAGCGCGCTTGACGACGATCATCCCCTATTGGCAGATCTAGGGCGAGAGAGAACAGTCAGTCGGAATATCAAGGCACTCTCAGCACGATATCGGTCTGCTGCGCTGCGATGTCTAGCTGCAGATGGAGTCATGTCTCGGCATTCTATCAACTCTTTACAAGCCCTAGTACTCATAAGCTATGCAAGACTTCACCGAGGTCTCCCGGTGTGGACATTACTCGGATTCACACAGCATGTTGCTATTTCAATGGGCTGCCACTTCGATCCAGAGCGATTCGCCCTCGGTCCCATCGAACGCGAGGAACGACGACGGGTCTGGGCCGGGTTGATGATGCTGTACACCACCCAAAACACATCCTTTGGCAGTCTTGACCAGCAAACATTAACGCAAGATGTGAAAATGCCTGCCGACATTGACGATGTCGACCTTTTAACTGGATCTAATGCTAGATCCGCACCTTCGCCCTCAATCTCTCGCCCAACACAAATGACCTACCTTCTCCTCAATTACCGTCTCTACAAAATCACCTCCAAAATCACCGAGTCAATCTTCACCTATCCCCACGCCTCCCGATTCACAGTATCAAATCTCGAAGCGGAACTAATATCCGTCCAAGAAATGTGCGACATCCGCTACCAGGTCGACTCCGAACCTCTGCCTATTCACCATCAGGCAAACCTCCACATTCTTTATAGCCAAATCCACCAACTCATCCTCCTTCTCTTCCGCCCGAGTTTATGCCGCTATATCCAGGGCGAGATCACACCCGAAACCTGCGCCTCAAGAGCGAAATGCATCGCGTCTGCAAAAGCCTCGCTTTCGATCTTCCAAGCTCTTCTCGAATCCCCTCAATTTAAACCATACAAATGGTACACCAGTGGCCTGGGAAGCTTCCACGCTTTCCATGCTGCAGTGACATTAGCAACAATGCTCCTCGTCTCAGAGAGCCCGGCCGAATATGAAGAAATGAAACAGATTCTTGACCGAGCACTCGATTCATTCGCTTCACTCTCAGTCCGCAGCGTCTTCTGCAGCAAAGCTGTACCGGTCCTTCGACAAATTCTGTATGTTTCACCCATGCCTCCCATCCTAATTACCAAAAAGAGAAAAAAAAGCAAATGACTAACAAACGAACCAGCGACGTCGCAAGCACAAACTATAACAAACAAAAACCCCACTTCCAATCCCACTCCCAAATCCACCTTCAGGCTCAAGCCCAAGCCCAAGCCCAGGCCCAGACTCAAACTCCAATCCAAATGCACAACCCCCTCCTCACAACGCCGATATCCACACGTTCAAATCTTTCCCCGGCGGTAACGATGCAAGATACATTCGTCCTCTCCCACCAACACCCACACTCGAATTCTGGATCACCTGTACCGACAGTGGTATCGTCGTCTAGTGAACCAATAATGAATTCCAACTTTGGAGCGCAGCTTCACCCACAGAACTGGATGGGTCCTACTTCTGTGCCGTGGGATGCATTGGGGACTGTTGTTGGAGGGTATGGATACGATAGATCTTAGGCGCCATGCTTCTATCGTAATGTTGGTCACGAGTCATGTGTGCTATGAACTGATGAGATCACGAATGTTTCTGATTAATCTTCTACTATCAAAGACTGTTATATAATATTTATTTATTTTGCACCTCGAAAGATACATCCCAACGCTAAGTGAGAGTTGGGAACCGAACAGGGCCCTCGGACGCATTTTCCAGAATATTAGTCATCGGGCTTTGCGTCTCACTTTTGCTGTTGGCCCGCTGAAGCCATTGAGCAACCGATCATAAACATAAAAAGGCTCTTTTGTTAGGTGCTGAGCTGCAATGTTCTTTTCTGATGCTTGGTGATCTGCACTAGTCAACTCTAAGCTGTTCTTCTTATGTGCACCGGCTTAACACCGTTGTCATATAATATTCGGCTACAAACCTCATATCTTGTGTTTGACATGGCTTATACCAGCCATCAGAATTTAACCATCAAGTCAAATCCGAAGCAGAAGGCAACAGAGCCTTTATAGAAGATTTTGTCCTACCAATTGATCCAATTTGGTTAATCGGTATGACCCCGGAATTGCCTATCAACCCCGTTTAGTGTACGCCCGAAGTGTGTCCAACGTTCGATTGAAGTTGACCACCCAGGTAAGACAGACTTTGACACCCCCAATCATGTGTTTATCAATTTCTCCTTCGATCTCTCTCCCAATTGATGCTCGGGACAACTCCAGTTATAAGGAACAAGCAATCAGCGATAATTGGAACGGACAAAAGTCCGCTAGGCGGAGATGCCAAGAAATGCGGACTATTGCCCGCCATCCATCTTAGAACCTCTGATATGCTGGCTTTCCAGATAAATAGGCTTGCTCTCGGGTCAGATAGGAACTGCAAATCTACAAAGACACAGCGATATGGCTCAACAAGATCAGGATTTTTCATTGCTCGACGCAAGCATCTCCGAACTCCAATCCGCTATCTCTTCAGGCAGGCTTTCCAGCGTGGATCTTGTATCTAGATATCTCCGAAGAATCAGCGTCTTCGATGCAAATGGCATCAAACTCAGCGCAATACCAATCATCAACCCATCCGCCCTCGACGATGCAGCGGCCTCTGATGCCCGACGCGCAGCGGGTCTATCACCGCGGTCACTGGAAGGTATCCCATACCTCGCCAAAGACAGTATCAAAGTCAAAGGCATGAGCGTCGCAAGCGGATCGCCAGCCTTTGAAAACCTGATTGCCAACGAAGATGCGGCGTGTATCACTATTCTCCGTGACGCCGGTGCGATCCTCCTCGGCCGCACTAATATGCCTGCAATGGCATACGGTGGTATGCAGCGTGGTTGCTACGGCCGCGCGGAAAGCCCGTATAACAGTGATTATCTAGCTGCGGCGTATGCATCAGGCTCATCGAATGGATCTGCAGTGGCTACTGCAGCTAACTTTTGCGCCTTTTCACTCGGCAGCGAGACCGTTTCGTCGGGTCGATCGCCTGCATCTAACAATTCCGTCGTCGCCTATACACCCTCGAAAGGTCTACTGCCTCTTCGTGGTGTCTGGCCTCTCTACGCTACGTGTGATGTCCTGGTACCCCATACCAGAAGTATGGCAGACATGTTTCACGTCCTCGATGTCCTAGCCGTTTCCGACCCTACCCCGAAAGGAGATTTCTATCAAGAACAAAAGCTCATCAGCCTCCCTTCAATTGATACTCTGCGGCCGCAATCATTTTCATTACTCCGAGACTGTGCTTCCTTGCGCGGGAAGTGTATTGGCGTGCCCTCGATGTACATCGGAGGCGATCAATCTTCCCTCAACCCCGCCAGCAAAGTCAATACCCGCCCCTCGATTATCAAACTCTGGCAACATGCAAGAAAAGTACTTGAAGCGTGCGGTGCGCAAATAATCGAAACGGATTTTCCCCTTGTAACCACGTACGAGTCAAATGCCGACAAAGGCCAGCTCGTCACAGTTGCAGGCCTACCAGAAGGCTGGTCGGGCATGGAGCGAAGCGAGCTAGTCGCGCACATATGGGATGATTTCCTCGTTGCAAATGGGCAGGAAGGCCTGAACTCCCTGGCGCAGGTCGATCCTGCTACCATTTTTCCGCTCGCGCCGGGGTCCTTGAAGGGGACGCCTGATGCAGCGAATGCGCTGCGATGGGATGAGATGGTGAAGTATCCGCTTAGGAGGCCGGAGTCTATTTTCGATATCCTGGGCCTGAAGGAAGGGATCCAGGCGCTGGATGATGCGCGCAAAGAGACGCTTGAGAGGTGGATGGATAGGCTTGGGCTTGATGCTGTGGTTTTCCCGGCCAATGGGGATGTGGGAGCCGCCGATTCTGATTGTGACGAGGTTTCTTCGCGTTTTGCTTGGAGTAATGGCGTCAAATATTCCAATGGGAATAGGCCTATTCGGCATCTGGGTGTGCCTACCATTTCGGTTCCTATGGGGGTTATGGAGGATACGGGGATGCCTGTGAACCTCACCTTTGCTGGGAAAGCGTACGATGATAAGAGTTTGCTTCAATATGGGTTTGCGTTTGAGGAGGCGATGAAAGGTCGTGTGAAGCCTTTGTCTGTGCCTGCTCTTGACTCTGATTGTGTCAGGATTGGTCAGGACACTCGCTCATGGACCTCTCGGGCCCCTGCCGAGTTGGTTGTGCAGGCTCACTCGAAGAGGATTGAGGGCTCCACGATTGTTGTTCGGATTGAGGGGTCAGTGGTGCCAGATGACATCGAGCTGGATTCAATGTCATGCTTTGTCAATGGCCAGCCCTTTAATGCTGTCCCCGATTGTGGTAAGTGGTTCCTTGACGCGTCTTATCCTGCAAGTGAGCGTGATCAAAGCTGGGAGAGATGGTCCAGCCCTGCTTTGACTCAGACTATTGTGGTCATTACAGCTTATACAAAGTCTGGTTGGGCAGCTGGAAAATTATTATTGCTGTAGATATAAGTCAAACGTACGAAACCAGATTGTTTCTTCCCTATTTCTCACTATGTGGGTGCGCCTTACTTTCATAACATAAACTATGAATTGAATCAACTATAGATCCGGGCCAATGCAGTACAGTTCGCCTTGAGATTGACTCTTAGAATCATCCACAAAATCTGGATGTCCCCCAAACTTCCGCATCATAACGGCCAACCCAACCCCCTCCGTCCCATTAACAGGCGGCCGACACTCAACAACATCAACCCCCATCATCCTCTCATAGAATGGCACGGAACGCTTCCAATCACCAGTAAAAAGAAGGGACCTCCTGAGATACGGCATACTCTCAATAACCTCTTGTACACAGCTGATCAGCCATTTACCCAGTCCACTACCCTGATAAGATGGGAGGATGAAGACGTCTGTTAGGTAGATGAATGTCGTGGAGTCTGTGATGCATCTTGCGATTCCGATGAATTCGAGATTTGGAGGACTTGTATTATGGTAAAGACCGAAACAGAGGGAGTTTTGGAGTGTTGCCCTCATGGCTTCTTCGGGCATTGGTTTTGCCCAGTAGACTTCGTCGCTTGCGAACCAGACGCTTAGGGTTTGGGCTGGGATCAAAGCTGGGTCCATTGAGATATGATATTGCTCTTTTGTCCATGTTTTATAGTTGGGGGACTGAGTTGTCATTTTGATCACTATATAGCAAGTTAGATGACTGTTTGGATATGATATGATTGGTAGTTAGTAGCGGTGCTTGCATTGTTCAGTTGCCGTGGGCAATCTAGTTTTGATCTAAGAGAGGGTTCGAAGCTTTCGGTATTTGTTAATGATATCGGAATGCGTGTGGCTTATATGCTCTGGGTCCCGTGCAGCGTTTACCAATGACTCAGAAGCGGCCCGCGTCAACTTTGGTGGATCTATGCACTATACTGTTATCTCCCCTTGTATTCAATATTTGAAGATAACTTTTGAGTCATTACAGGAAGCTTGGGGATTGTACATGTTCTTGCATTTCAACTTTTTCGGCCGAGCCGAGGCATGCGCGGAGATCACCGAAAGAATACTTAAACCACAACGCAAAACATATTATTAAACAACATTTTTCCATACTCATATACACATAGCCAGTCAAAAAACCCTCTACTCATAAAAAACTAAGCATCTAACCTCAATGCTCTGCCGAGCAGGAGCATCAGCAGGGGTCTGCGGATCAACAAACGCAGTATGGCAAGTAGCATGAGCGATATCCGTCTGTCCACCAGTCATAGTATGACTTCGAGAATCAAAGCACTTGATCAACATAACCTCCTCAGGAGTCATATCCTTAGCGTAGAAGAATCGATGGTTCTCATTCGGAGCAATACTATACGTCTCCCCCTTGACTTCGTATCCATCTGTTGAAAATGCCGAATCAGGATTAGGCGCCACCTCCCCGGATCCTTGGTCCTTGGGATATAAGAGGTCGACTTTGACATAATCAGAAGGCTTCGTACTCCGCCAATCGATGACAGCGAGTGGGAAATCGGATGCCGGGTTTTCGATCGGTCGCCACACATTGATAATCTGATACCGACCATTCAATAGATCTTCCGCTTCGTCTTCTGGAACATGGCGACGCACACGCGCTTCTGCAGCGCCGGGAGTTTGATCGACGTGGACCTGCTGGACTGGGGCACGTGCTGAGCCGGGTGTTCGGCGTCTGACGGTATGGTCGAAGATGACGACCTTTTTCACGCCCGGGAGCTTCTTTCGGAGGAGATCTTCTACTTCGTTATAGTAGCCCTTCTTCACTTCTGCGTCGTCTGTAAAGGCCGTTTCTTTGGCTAGTTCGTTGTACACGGCGAACCCGGCGTTGTCTGTGGAGAATTCAGACTCATGCCCTCGGATACTCTCCACAGAGCGCTGGTGGTTGGAGAGCTTGAAGGATTGCCCCGGCCCGTCGACTTTGCTCCAGGGCTTTTTGAATGCCTCTGTGGCAGTTGGGTCGAATGATGACGGGTCGATATAGTTGAAGGCTCCTGTCGTCATTCTGGGCAAGTACTGTGCGGAGAAAAGGCGGCTGGTTCGCGAAAATAGAGCAAGAGCTTTGTTCATAAGGATGCTAAAGTGACCTCAATTTAGAATATATTGTAAAAGAATAGTGCAGTTATATAGTGACGTTGTATCAAAGCCCGAGAATTGCAAATCACGTCATTAATCAGCAAGAATGATCAAACCCCGCCACTCTCGGAGACATTCGAGTTACTCCGACCGACAAACGTTTGGATTTGAAAGCATATAGAGCATTTCTGGCCATTTTGGCATCTATAATGGCGACTTCGTATGATTTTTCGGGGAAAAACATCGTGATTACCGGCGCCGCAAGTGGGATTGGGTATGTCTTTTGTCATTGCTTTCTTGGTCCCTATCCGCCATACTGTACCTCGTCGCCACTGCATAATGTATGTGTAGGCTAACATCCTATAAGGCTGGCAACTGCCAAAGCATTATCCGCCAGCAATGCACGACTGGCGCTGTGCGATCTTAACGTGAAGGGATTGGAATCCTTCAATCTCGCCGAAGGCAAACACCTTGTCTTCAAACTAGACGTGACATTATCCACCGATGTAACAAACACTGTCGAGTCAATTGCTCGAGAATTTGGGACAGTGAGCCATCTGTTTAATTGTGCAGGTGTGAACCCGACAGCATACCCATTGACCGAAACAACGGACGAATACTGGCATCAAATCGTAGACACGAATGTCAAGGGGACTTACCTGATGACTCGAGCCATGATTCCTCATCTGAAAACTGGGTCATCAATTGTCAATGTTTCGTCTATTGCTGGATCCCGTGCCATGGCTGGATGGGCAATATACAATGCCTCCAAGTTTGGCATCGTTGGATTTTCAAAGTCCATGGCGCTGGAGTTGGGCCCGAAGCAAATTCGGGTTAACGTAGTGGCACCTGGGCATATTCATACACCGACGAATATTGCAGTGAAGCAGGGTGATGATGCTGTTAAAGCTGTTGGGGAGCAGGCGAGTGCGATGGGGAGGATTGGGACTATGAATGAGGTGGTTAGTGTGGTGTTGTTCTTGATGAGTGATGCCGCAAGCTATGTCAATGGGAGTGTGGTGGATGTTGATGGTGGAGCGAAGTGATCATAGTCAAGGATGAAGCATGCCCTAAGCGATGTATATAGTGAAAGTCGACATATCCCCTTGTAGAGTTGAATGGTACACACAGGGATGCCTTTGGTATACCTGCAATTAGAGCCCAGGCTCAGTAGATGGAGCTTGCCAAAGTCCCACAACAACACAGGCCTAGGACTGGTCACTTCATTCAGTTGCTCAATTGTACAACATTTATATTGCAGCGAATGCTACATGCACAAACATTGCCATGGCAGATCAGCCAATCACCGCCCGCCCAGAAACCACGATTCCGCGCACCGGCGACTCGGCTCTCCAAACTCACCAATGTATAGATCAGATACCACCTTTCGCAATGATCGGCACTTCGCCTGCGGCTTTCTGGGACTCGCGCTTCATCCCGACAGGCCCGGCCGTAAGACCGACGCGTTGTCACTTCGCGTTCCAGAGAGAATTCCACACGGCACGAAGTGGGCCAAATATAGAAACAGCTTAGCCTCATGCAAGCCAGCATTGCTCGTGCAACAACCTTCCAATCTGATTTGAAGGGTGTCCACGGCTCATTCTTCACACCCCTTGTGGCTGTCGAGGCGAATGCTTGGCGCGGTCGCTAACACCCCGTGGAACACGATGTTGTATCTTCGACAGGATTGATGTACCTGTCTATCCCCTCACACATTGCCCAATCATCCCCGCGGTATGGGGTAGTCGGTACAATGCAGGTCTCGACAGAAGTGGCAGTCGCCAATCGGATGCCCTTCAGATCAACATTATTCATCCTGAACAGATGTCTGGCCTCGGAGATTCAGTTAATTGATACCCCGCAGCTGGAGGCCATTCTCGCACGCAAGCTGCGATGTGACTGAACCGAGCTGATGAGTTCTAGAGCAACACGTGGGAGGGGGTGTTGAGAGATGAATTGTCTGAGGAATGTCGGGGATTCTGGAGAAATTGCGACAGGGCAGGAACGTATAAAAGCAATAACAATTCCGGCATTGAAATGTAGTTTGAGGAATCAAACATCATCCACAAGCCTCGGACATCGCCTCTCAAAGTCAAGATGAATTTCGCTGCCCTTCTCGGTTTGCTGTCCCTCGCGGCAGCAGTCTCCGCTGCTCCCCCAAAGGCTCACAAGTCCCGTGCCCATTCCTCGGCTTCTATCAGCAACTTGAAGAGCAAGATTAAGAATGTTGTCATCCTCGAGATGGAGAACCGCTCTGTGGACAACGTCCTCGGTGGTCAGACTATGAAGGGACTGGAGAATCCCATCAACAACGGTCCTTTCTGCAACCCATACAACCTGACCGAGCCCTCTTTTGGCCAGGTCTGCAGTTCTGCTAAGGACTTCGACTCTATTTTGGACGATCCTGATCACTCGGTCACTGGCAACAACATCGAGTTCTACGGCACTTTCGCTCCGAACAATGCCGATATCGCTCAGGGCAAGCTCACCCCTACTCAACAGGGCTTCGTGCACGAACAGCTGCGCCGCTATGGTGACGATGTTAACAAGACCGAACTTGCCAAGCAAGTCCTCAACTATTACACTGAGGACGAGGTGCCCGTCTTGACCTCTCTGGTCCAGAACTACCTCACCTTCAACCACTGGCACTCTGACCACCCCGGTGTAAGTGCTCCGCACTCATGTATATTCATATATCACAAACTAACAAAACCAGCCCACCAACCCTAACCGTGCTTATGTTCTGTCCGGAACATCAGCCGGCCACGGCACCAACGACGATGCCTTCAACTCCGATGTCCACGGACTGACCCAGCGCTCAATCTTCCAGCAACTCTCAGAGACAAATCACACATGGAAGAACTACTACACAAGCACCGCCATGGTCGACGCATTCTTCTTCGATTGGACCTTCACCAGCAACAACACCGACAAAGCCCAGCCGCTATCAAACTTCTACGCCGACGCCGCAGCAGGCACTCTCCCCGAATTCTCATTCGTTGACCCCTCCTGCTGCGGACAAGGTACAAGCTCCATGCACCCAACAGGCCTAATCTCCGATGGAGAAACCCTCATCAAGAACGTCTACGACGCCCTCCGCGCCAGTCCCCAATGGGACGAGACCCTCTTCATCCTGACCTTCGATGAGACCGGTGGTTTCCACGACCACGTCCCGCCCCCTCTGGCCCCACGTCCCGATAACCTGACATACACCGAGACGGCACCCAACGGCGAATCGTATACTTTCACGTTCAACCGTCTTGGTGGTCGTATTCCCACTCTGCTTATCTCGCCGTGGATTGCCAAGGGCCAGGTTGAGCAGAAGGGCACTAACTCTGATGGAGCTGTTGTTTCTTACTCTGCTTCCTCAATTCTGCGTACCCTTGGTTATCTCTGGGAGTTTGAGCCTTTCACTCCTCGTGTTGGTGGTGCTGCTTCCTTTGAGCATCTCGTTGGGGACAAGATGCGTAACGATACTCCTGCTAAGTTGCCGGAGCCCAAGGCCTTTAAGGCTAAGGTTTGAAGTAAAAATATCGTCAGATGGGTCAGTTGATGTTGATATCTGCAATCTTGCTTTGTTAATAGATGACTTAGTTTTCAATGAAAATATAGATCAAGCTCGTGTATTCTTTTGTAAGAGATACCCCAGTCCATAGTATGCAAGCTCTAGAAACAATGATTGTGCTATATGATCTTCTAAAGCTCGCCCTATACATCTATAGAGGTTGACCAGATGTCTAATTCGATGACGTCACATCACAAATTCGGGGTTGAAAGTGAGCCCGAGCCGCCACTGCATGACAAACAGTCGGTTCATGGCCATCAAAGGGCCGAAGTTTTATCAATCACTCTGAAATAGTTTTGCAAATGAATATTTAAAAAGCCACTTAGCATCAGTAATCACACCTTTGTCACAGTATTATCTTTTCTACGCTTGAACCTCATTGGTCGGCTTCCACTATACATCTGCAACAATGACCATTGTTCTCATCACCGGTGCCACAGGCAAGCAAGGAGGCTCTGTGATAAACAGCCTCATTGAAAAGGATGCTTCTTTCAAGATCCTCGCTGTGACTAGGGATGTCAATTCCGCCCCGGCCAAGAAAGTCGCGCAGAAGTCCTCCAATATCACACTCATCCAGGGAAACCTTGATGACCCCGGTGCCATTTTCGAAAATGTCAAGCGCGAAACTTCAGAGCCTGTCTGGGGTGTATTTAGCGTTCAAGTGAGTGACCGTTTCCAAGGTTTACATCCATCCCATGACTCAACTAACAAATGCAAAAAATAGACCGCCAACCCCCGCAACGACGACGAAAGACGCCAAGGAATAGCCCTAGTGGACGAATCCCTCAAACAAGACGTGAAATTCTTCGTCTACAGCTCCGTCGACCGCGGCGGCCCAAAATCAGACACCAACCCAACGCCAGTCCCACACTTCATCCACAAACACGAGATCGAGAAACACCTCGAAGAGAAAACAAGAGGCACATCCATGGACTGGACAATCCTCCGCCCAGTGGCATTTTATGAAAACTTCACAAACGACTACTTCGGCAAGGTCTTCACGACAGCATGGCAGATGACATTGAAGGGTAAACCACTGCAATTAATCGCAACGAGCGATATTGGATTCTTCGGTGCGGCTGCATTCATGAATCCTGAAGCATGGAAGAATCATGCGCTTTCGCTTGCTGGTGATGAGTTGACCTTTGAGGCAATGTCTGAGATCTTTGAGAGGGAGACTGGGAAAAAGGTTCCCACTACTTTCCGCTTGCCAGTTTGGTTGATGATGGCTGCTGTTAAGGAGTTTGGGGTTATGTTTAGGTGGTTTTATGATGAGGGGTATGGGGCTGATATTGAGACTTTGAAGGGAACGAATCCTGGTTTGAAGGATTTCGGGACTTGGTTGAAGAGCGAGAGTCAATTTGAGACGAGGTGATTTGATCTGGGATTGGAGTTTTAGGGTGTCTGGCTTTTGTCAAAGTCCAAAGTTAACATTACTAGTCTGTATAGCATGTTAATATTAACGATGCAGTATCAAAGTATTTGGGACTATATCTGTGGTTGTAGATTCTGCATTCCCCAGAGCATCCAAAGTGGCGCTTGGGAGAAACTTAGGCTTTGAGCTCCTTTGATGGTGATTTAACGATCAATTAACCATGCCTCCTGTTATCAAAACTCTGAAAACTGAACATTTCAAGGTGCAAAACAAAGGTGGTTACGTAACACTTTGGAGGGATCATCAACTCCTTGCCCTTCGTCCTTCATCCAACAGCTCTGCATCCGTCAGCTCTGGAATATGTCAGATAATTCCGAAAAACAAATACCACAGAATACTCCATCTTGTGCCGAATTAAACAAGCGCAGCTGTGGTTGTTGTAACGCAAGAAAAGTGCGATGTGACAGAACATACCCATGCGGTGCATGCATGAAGGCGGAAGTGGAATGCATCTTTCCAAGGCCAACAACAGCACGACGAAGATTGAATAGGCCGCCAATTAATGAGTTACTTGCACGCTTGAAGGCTCCCGAAGAAGAGATCTTACAGCTGCGCTCAACGCACCCGTCACCTCGCGACTCGGACGTCAATTATACATCGAAAGTGGTAAAGACGTCTTAAGAATCTTGTATTCTGATACCTGTTGGAGGCAGTATTTTTCAGCCTTGATTTCTGAAAACAAAGAATTGAATCAGATATACGCTTTCCGTAATAAACTCTCAGCCTATCACCAACTGAGAGAGAGCTAGAGGTCGTTGCGCGAAGACTAGTACTTTGATCCGCGGGATGGAGTATTGTAAGAGGTTGCATTAAGTCGATCATTGTCTTGTCAGACTATGCATATGGGTCTAAACACCTGTATTGACTGGTTTCTATGGTATGCATGTCATATATTGTCGATTCATCTGACTTGGGAACTATACCGAGTAGAGTTGAGAACCGGTAGCAAATAACATCCGAGAAAGATGCCATACTGAAAAGCAGAGGCAAAAAAGGCCCAAAGGTAGAAGTCAAATTGAGACATCTAAGAAAAGTTTGAAAGAGTCCTTGAAAGCAAAACGGTTGACTCACCCGATAGTGAACAACCCCCACCCCAAACAACCCACGAACCTAAAATGACCTAGCCTTCTTGCTAGTGGCGATAGATTTTGAAGCAAAGTATTGCCTCTGCAGTGCTCTGTGGACAGTTTTCAGATCTGCCTTTTTGTTGAGAATACGGAAGAAGTATGCCGTGGCTACCTTTTGTGCATTCGCCCGTTTGCCCCGAGATGTTGGTGGCGAAGTCCAATGCCGAGAACGCCCAAACGCCCCGCGACCAGGATTGACGTCATGCGGGCAGAGACAAAGATCGGGGCGCGGGATGTAGCCCTCACATCCCCGTCGGTGATGTGGTTGTAAGAGGGGGGCGATAGCGAGGTGGTCCAGGGTGAAAAATTATCATTGTTCCCGATGATGTCAAGACTTTGGCGCCTGGAACATGTCTAGTCTCACAGTCAATAATTTGGCTACCTAGCCCTACACTGGAGACCGAGATTAATCGATGCATGGATCGCGGTTAATCTATTTGGGCCCATCCTTACTGAAACTAGAATGAAACTGGGCCTCCTGACAATGTAGCAGATAGCGCCGATCTCATCTAGACTCAGAGTGTAGGAATGACAGGCGTGGAGAAGACGTTATAGGATGTGAGTTATAGTAAATGAAGTATGTAAGTATAGCGGGTACAGATCAGGTTCAAGCATAGTCATCGGTTCCATGGGTGAGATCGGGAGGTACCAAACATCCCCCCGTAAACAAACAACCTCGTCTCTCTCTTCTCGTAACCCCATCTCATCTCTCACCTCTCACCTTACACCTCTGTTTCTCTGCCTCGTCTCTAAGCCTCGACTTCTCGTGTTTCGCCACACCCGGGCAAACTGTTCCAGAGCCTCACGTGGCAGCTGCCTTATCTTGCCGCCTGTCCTCGGCTTCCATTTCCATCTCTTCCACTTCCCCATTTATCTTTCTCTGATTTGCCCCAGTCTTGCACGTTGATCCTCCTGAGGCTGAGTCGGATCCGCTTCTGCCCTACGACTTGACGCCCAACTGAAGTTTCAGGTGTCTCTCATTTGGTGCGACAGTTACCAATCAGGCTTCCAGAAAGATCGTCACTAGTCGATCACAGCCTCTCTGCACAACCCCCACTTCCCTGTCCTGCCGCCCCCCTCATTCCCTGCATTGTACATCTCACTTTTTTCCGGGCTTTGGCTTTCTCACATCTCACTCGAATCTTTCTTTCTCTTCCCACTCACATTACTCTCTGCCATTGTATCTTATGTCGTACACCTACAGCCGTGACCGAGATTGGGACGAGTCCCGCCCTGTCTCTATCAAGCGCTACGTCATTCCAGCCGAGGACGACCGTCGAGACTTCATGTCGCGACATGATGACTATGCCGGCGAGCGCGAACTTGTCATTCGGCGCAAGGCCGATCGCAGCGAACCTATGACCATTTCCCGCTACGAGCGAGAAGTGGACTACGAACCTCCCGCTCGTCGCTATGATTATGAGCGAGATTATTATGATCGTGAGTCCCTATACCCCAGCGATGCTCTTTTGCACTCCCACCATCGCCTTCGGGCCCCCATGGATCCCGAGGAACGAGTGGAGCCCCAAACCTCTACTATCATTCGAGAAAGTGTGCTCATTCATCAAGCCCGCGATTCCGAATACAATGTTGTGCGCCGCTCCGAAGCCGACGAAGATCCGTACTACTACTCCAGACATCGCCGAGTCCGCGAATACGATGACCGACGTTCTCGCCGCGAACTGAGCCCCGGAGACTCCGTTTCTCAGGCAAGCCACCGCCGTGGTGACCGCGACGACTACAGCAGCGATGACAGCATGGTCTACATTCGCAAAGAGACCCGTGACTATGATGACCACCCTCACCACCGTCGTCACCTCGCAGAAGGTGCATTGGTTGGTGCTGGAGCAGCAGAGTTAATCCGTAGCCACCGCAAGCGGGACGGCGAAGAAGTCAGCGATGGCGCTGGCCGTCTTGGTAAGACTCTTGGTGCTGGTGCTCTCGGAGCAGTGGCTGTCAACGCTGCATCTCATGCACGCGACTACTACCGCCGTAGTAAGAGCCGTCACCGGGCACACTCCTTTGACGACGAGCGTTCGTCACACCGTCACAGCCGCCACAGCCGTGGCCGTCATCACAGCAGAAGCCGCAGCCGCTCTCACTCGCACTCACGAGCTAAGACCCTCCTTGAGCTGGGCGTTGGTGCCGCTGCTGTGGCTGCCGGCGTGGCTGCATTGCGCAGCAAGTCAAACAACGACCGCAAGAGCCGGTCTCGCACTCGCTCCCGTTCTCGTGCCGCCAGCAGAGGTCGTTCCATCAAGGATGACAAAGACTCCGAGCGTAGCATGTCCGAGCGCCGAAAGCATATGGCTGGTGCCGGTTTGGCTGGTGCAGCCGTTGCAGGGCTTGTCGAGAAAGTCCGAAGTCACTCACGCTCTCGCAAGGGTGAGCGTTCCCGTTCTCGCAGCAAGTTCAGGCAAGCCCTTCCAATCGCAGCTGCGGGTCTAGCCACCGCTGCAGCCACCGGTATTTATGAAAAGAAGAAAGGTGAGAAGGATGAGAAAGAAGGTGTGAGCTCGCACCGTGGCCGTCATCGCTCTAGATCCCGGAGCCGGGCCCCTTCAGAGTCTTTTCCCGATCCTTCCCGGGACTCGGCCGGTTTGATTGAATATGGAAACCACCCGGTTGCAGGCAGTATTCCCGCTGAGCACTACTATGGTGCACCTGCCAGCACTGGCGGACCCTTCTACTCTGACGGACACGAGGCCTATGCTCCACGCCGTCATAGCCGTAGCCGCAGTCGCAGCCGTGGTGGCCGCTACAGTAGTTCCGATGGCTCTGACAGGGAGCGCCGCCATCATAAGAAGCACCGCAGCCGCTCCCGCGATATCGCATCGGCCGCACTCGGTGCCACTGGACTCGGTTATGCAGCTCACAAGTACTCACAGCGCAAGGACCGCTCGAAGTCTAAGGAGCGTGAGCATTCTCGTAAGTCTTTCATCCTCTATGATACCACGAGAAATATTCACCCTGACTAGTGGCGTATTAGGGTACGATCACGATTCCAACCGCGATCCTTACGAGGAATCCTACGACCCTGAGCCCTACCCGCCTTCACCCCACAACGGAGCCCAGGGACCCCCCATGGGTGTCGATCCCCACTACTACCCAAACAGCAACTACTTTCCCCCGCCGCCGGGAGACTCAACTCACAACTTGAACACCACCCCTGCACCCTACAACCCAGCCGACTACCCTCCCCCACCTGGTGCTGCACCCCAGCCCCAGCCTTACGGCTATGGCGCTGTCCCACCAGGCCCAGGCATGGGACCAGAAAGTTACGCTCCCCGACCGCGTAGGGCAGATGAGAATGTGAGCCCTCCCTCCTCTAATGAGAACACCGTGCAAGATGGTGGGTTCTATGAACTCAAGGGTCCAAGTCCAAGTCCAGGACTGGACTGATCCCACCAAATCAATAGAGACCATGCTAATATGTTCTTCTAGGTCTAAAGAGCCATCATTCATCTCCCTCTTCTTCTCCAGCTCGGTCCAGGTCCAATAGTCAGCCGCCGCAAGGTTCAAACTCGAAGTCTGTTGCGTTTGACTTGACACCTGACAAGGGCTACGAGACAGATGACAGTGAGGATACCATTGGTCCTGATTCCCAAAGTCGTAGCAGATCCCGTCCTCACCATCATCGACGTCGTTCTTCATCTGTTCCTCATTCCCCTGTTTCTCATCATGGTTCTAGTTCTCACTCTTCTCGCCATCATGATCACCGCTTCTCTACCCATGGCAAAGATAGGCACTCTGAAGCAGACTCAGACTCAACTGAGGATTTACCTGACCGCTTTGATTCACACGGTCGTCTCATTCAAGAACGGGATCCTGCCCTGGAGAAGTTCGAGGATCTGGTAAATCGCTTCAGCAGGATTCTTTTCTGATTCTGCGTTTGATTGAACTTCCTAGTCCCCCGAGTCAAAGCTGTTGCTATCCTCCTTCCCTTCAATTGCTCTCCCTGTCCTTCCTCTTTCACCACCTTCAGGCGGATCTTGTTCTTTAATTCGCTTTTATGCCTCTATGCTCCCATGTACTCTTGATTTCCGGTTTCCTTGGTACATTATCTACTTGCAGTCTTTATTTCCTTTTGATGTGCTCATTTGTCTTTTGTTTATGGATGGTGCTTGTGCCTATGATTATGATTTATGACTTCTACGTGCTCAGATGCTCAGATAGTTCAATGCTTTTTGATAATATTCTTCCAATTTTATATCATTACTCTAAAACACTTATTTTGTGATTACTTTGACACCTATAGGCTTGCTGTGTTGATATATAAATTTCTACTATAGTAGACACCGCTATCTCATGTGAAGGTCATGATTATCATTCATTCGTCAAGTCTAATAAGTAGGTGCTTAGCAACAATAACATAAAATAGACACAGAAGTATTTTGTACAACATGAACAGCCAATCCACACTCTCGTATTTCAATAATCGAGGACCGAGCTAAGAAAATAGTCACCTGAATCCAACAAGATCATCACATACAAAAGAGGAAGAGGCACACATGCGAGTCTAAGGCCCAGATCAGCAAGGAGCAGAGGGAACCAAAATACAGTATAGAGACAAAGTACGCTCGTAAAGAAGAGTACGAGTCCACAAGAAGACAACACTCAAACACATTCCAATAATAAAGAAAAGTAGGCGAGCGCCAAACAAGGAATGGAATGGAACAATCCCCGATGCGGGAGTAATCATAATCTTCAAAAGACAAGGTAGAAATAATAAGGTAACACAAACAGGGTAGGCTGGAAAGGGTTGAACCAAACCTATCTCTAATACAAGTAGCAAGTAACAACAAGCAAAATGATATCGATGCTGTGGCTGAAAGCAATAAATCCAAGTCGGTGTTAAGACAGAGGGCTTGCAAAAGGGTATACAGCGGGAAAGGAAAGAAAATTCTCAAGCCATGGAATGGACGCGTCCAATCTGTTGTGCCCTAGTTTTCCTCTTCCCCTGGGAGGCTTCTCAAGGAGGAAGTAGGACAGGTAGGGTTGGGACTCTTTTGCTTTTCGTCTCGTTACATGACGGACAAGTAATAAATAAATAAGATAAGGAAAGGGATAGGGCTGTCGTAAGTCAATGATATCAATCTATCGCTAATTGGGTGATTGTTATGCCGTAAAAGGTCGTCTTGCACCGGACCCGGGTGCGGAGGAGGGAGTTTCAGAAAGTGGAAGGCGGATAGGGGTGGCTTTTTTCGCGAGGGTAATGCGGGCTGTGTCGTTGCTGGGTGGTTGTTCAGGGTCCGTATCCTCCTTATCTGGGACGTACTTGACGCTGGAGCTGATAGATGCTGACAGGTAGTGGGAGCTCAGTGGGAGTTGATATTTGACGACGCCACGGACGATCAGTTCGAACGGATGCTGTAGGACACGTTCCCAGCGCTCTGTGCCCCCTTCCTCGGTTTTATTACCGGGCCGAGTTAAGCGAATCTGTCCCTTCGAGCCGGATGTGAGATGGTTCCATGGGGAGGACTCGAAAGATAGGGGAGAGTCGAAGTGGAACACGCGGCCAAGGAGCATGGTCTGGGAGTCGCCTTCTGGATCCGTTGGTGGATCCGTTCCCTTGTCAACACCGCCGTTGGTGTGTGGTGATGAATGGCCTGACATGGCTTCCTTCATGCACTCCACACTTCCAAGGCAACGCACGGTCTGTGACAGCTGCCAGCGACGCCGACTTTGTTCAACACGTGGGAAGTGATCCAAGTCATCATGCTCGCGCCAGAGCTTGTCAGTACCGACAAATCGGCTCTTCGCGAAAATGTTGATATCGGTATCCTCGATGGTAACAGGGAACAGATTTGGATTGACTGATTCCACATTCAGATCCAGCATGATCTCTTGTTCTGATGCAAGGACGTTTTGGATAGCAACGACTTGGACATCCAAAAGAGGCTGGGTTGCCGCCACAATGAACGATGTGGCACCACCTGCCACAATAACCAATAAGAGAAGTATAATGGCGCATGATCCATAACGGGAGAAATACCCGCGCTGGCGCTGCGCCATATATTCCATCTGCCGCAGGCTTGCGCTGTTCGGTCTGCGGCCATGGCGACTACGGACTTGACGTGGCGTCCCAACCAAGGGGGTGCGCTCATCATCCGCGCCTTCTGCATCAAAGTCATAGCCGAAAATCTCGTTGCCCTTCTTCGTACCATTAATGGTTTTATAGTTAGGAGAGGAGCGAGTATTGCTGTGTCGCGAGTGCCGATATCCACTCCCAATGAAATGCCTTGGTGATTTAGGTGGAGCTTGTGAATGGGGGAAAGGTGTGCTCTCGTTATCAAAGAGGCCTGGAGGGACGCCGTTGCGTGCATGGCGTCCGATATTGTGATGCCGTGGGGTAATGGTTCCGCTTCCACTGACTCTGGAACCATTGCGACTTAACTCAACATCCGGGCCATCACCATCAATACTACTGTTGTAGGGATTGTTTGTGAATTTCATGCTCCGCTTGCTGGTCACGCTATGAGAGCCGTCCCGCAATCCTCGCGCACGACCAGCCAGCTGGTCCACTTGACTTGCCATGGATGTTGCACTCGGCGTCCGGGAGTGATAACGAGAGGGCCGAGAAGGATAGGGGTCCGGTGGATTAGACTCGTAAACGAAAGTTTCGTCAGAGTCCGAGACATCAGCCTCGTCCACTGCATTAGCCACTTTTGCTTCAAATATATCCGCTTTGCTAGTTGCAGGCCCCGTTTGGAGGTTATTTGGGCGACGATTTTTTTTCTTCTCTTTGCGTGGACGAATCGTTTCGGTAGAAGGCTTCATGCGAAGAGTACCTTGGTCAATACGAGAGGCATTACCTCGCTCTCCCGCGCCCACGCCCAGGGAGACTTGTGGAATAGAGCTAACGGTCTCCGTTTCGACGGTCATGTTGCGGACCGAGCCATCAGCAGGCTTTCCGCGAGCACCGGCGCTGAGAGATGTTGTTGATTGCTTGGGCATGAGAGTTCCAGGGGGTTTTGCTGCTCCAGATGCTTGGGAGCGAGGCTCTTCCTTTGCCGTAGAGCTCCGGGTCTCTCCGCTGTCACTGCCACTACCTGTGTTTTGTTGCGAGGAACGCGGAGTTGGGTTCTCATCGATCCGATGCAACCGGGCTTCCTCCGCGGTGACCGGTTTGAGGGCGCTTTCATTGGACGGGGTTGAAGGATTGCTAGCCATCTCCTCGACTGTTTCCAAGGAGGACCCCTGTCCACTGGCGCCCCTAGTAGCAGCCCGGGGCGTGCTTCTATCAACCTTCGTGGCAGGTTCCTCCGTCGGCGACGATCTTTTATGTGAAGTATTCGCAACAGTCGGATCCAAATCTGTGCGACGGTTCCCGGCCCATGATGGCATGTTTGATTTTTCTGGACTGGCAACATTGGCCAGCGTCTCAAGAGGCGCGGAAAGGACAAGAGGTTTCACTGGGGAGGAGGATGAACGCTGCGTATTGGAAGTTGTATTGTATCCCGGTGGAACAGATGTCGGACCGTTTGAAGGTCGAGTCGGGCTTGATCGGTCTTGACTAGGCTTTCGGGATTGAGAGGATACTCGGGTCGGGGAATGATTCACGGGACGTGAGGAAAATCGGACCGGGGAGGATTCGCGGGAGGAGACAGCGGAGTTCGTAGCAGATGCAGGTGCGGAAAAGTTGGAAATATTTGGAGAAAGCCTGGGCACCTGGGACATGGGCTGGGACTGGGATTTAACGGAGGAGCGCTCGGTTGCAGCACCGTCGCTGGACGACCGATGCACAGCATCCGATGCCGCCTCTGCATCCTTGGCACCTCTGGACGATCCAGAGGCACCATTAAGATGAGGCGGCCTCTCGGATTCCGCAGCCATGGTCTTTGTCGAGTCAGAATGGTCTGATACGATGTAGACAAGTCAGGAGACCCGAGAGGAAGCCGGGTAGTTGGGCAGAAACAGGTCCCAAAGGGAATCAGAAAAAGCAAGGCACGGCGCCAGGCAGGGAACGTTCAACGGTGAAGAGATGAGTTGTTGTAGGCAAGAGCGAATGAGATATCACGAGGTATCGAGGGAGATGTTGCGCAGAATACGGGTTGTTACACATGCGAGGGTGTAGCAGAACGAATAGCCGAACACCACATGCTGGTGGAAATGGAGTTGCTGTACAGAAGAACCGGGAAAACGAAGGGCTGCAGCTTGCAGGGGGGAAAACTGGAGATAGATGAAGTGTGTTTAGAATACTAAGTGGGCCGTCAAAGTATCGCAAAAAGACACACACATGTCGTTTGGCTCTGTTTCGGGAAAAGAACAAGAGCGTCTAGAACGACTGAATCGAAGACGGCTTATGGTTGGCGGGTGTGCGCAGATGGGGATCCGCCGATCCGGCTCAACGTTTTGGCTTGACTGGTTTTCGTGAAAAAGGGTGTTTGGCAGCCGAATGCGCCAGATATGTCGGTGACCAAAACCTCGGTGAAAGTGAAGTGGCTGAGAGGGTCAGGTCCGCGCTCGGCAAAGGCCAATGACAATAGCCCACGTCAAGAAGGGGGTCCTCGCACAGCAGCACAGAGCACGCGGCTGGTCTAGAACCCAAAGTGGCCTTGGGATGTGATAAAAATTAAGATGAGAAGAGAGTCGTTAAAAGAGAGAGAAGAAACAAGATGTCCGGGGTTGACGATGAGGTAACGGCCAAAGATGTGTATGTAATAATAACGTGGGCATAAATTACGGTAAGTGGAATACTGGTCACAATGACCTCATCGCCTCGAAAGTACCAAATGTACCAGGTACAAGCAGGACAGGTGATACATCGTGTTTCGAGCTTCTTTATTCCTTGAATTCCTTCGGTCTCTGAGCTTATTTTCAAGTTGTGTGTCTGACCAAAGCAGATACCACTGCAAGGGAGGGAATAATGGATATGGAACCAATAATAATTATAGCTTATGCATTATATTAATAATGTACAGTTCTACCCTGACTGCAAGTATGTACAGCCCGATAATAGCAAGAAAGCCCAAGATATATACACCGTTTATCGTTAATATCGTGTGGGCTCTGAACCAAAGCCAAAGACCGCAAGTGGGATCGAAAACATAACAAAAGAGAAAAATTCCTGGGTATCGATTCGTCCACAAGTAGAAATCATGACACGCGAATCCAAAGAAGCTTTTGCCATTTACACAATTTTGTAGACACGTTTGGCAATCCAAACAGAAACAAAAGCGAATACGAATAGTCCGCCAGTAACTAGGCTGCGTCAGTAAGAGAACTAGTAGGACGTAAACCATGGGAAGACTTACTGCACCAAAACCAGTTCAGGTTGTCAATTTCCTGACCAGGAACCTTGACGTTCATACCCCACATACCGCAAATGATATTCATCGGTAGGACGATCGTACCAAGAACAGTCAGCTTACCCAAGACATCGGCAGTATGTTCCTGGCGCTCGTTCATCAAAATGTTAATCTGTGCCAGGTAATTGGAATGTGCGCGAGAGAGAATCCTGGAAAAAGTGAGCCAGCTGTAACATCGTGCAGAATCAGGGAACTGAATGCTTACTTCTCGTAATACGTCAAGTTGCCTGTCATCGTCATAATGTGATCTTGAATATCACCCAGGTAGAGACCAATCTCGGACTTGGGTGCAACCTCCCACTGCTCGTTGCAACGTTTGGCAAAGCCCTTGACAACATCTGCCTTGTTGCTCAGCAGCCGGTATAGTCCCATGACCTTTTTGCGGCATTCTCCTACTCGCCGGAGCATTTCTCCTGGTGCGAATGAAGGAAGCACATTGTCATTGGGCGACCCTTCCTTGCTAGATGAGTGCATCTGCATGATCATCTCGTCGATCTCATCTACCTCGTCTTCGACTGCTTGGATCAGTGGGCCGAAAACATCGGTAATGTCGTCAATCAGGGCATACGAGATCCAGTCAGAGCTCAAGATCAGGTAATCCATCAGTTGACGAACGCGTCGCCGCACATTGGCGGGGTGAGGCGTTTGTGAGAAATGGAAGGAGATTACACCTTCGCGAAAAACCACGACATACATGTTGACTGGCTCAAGATAGTCCTCGCTATTGGTGTCTTGCTCGAAAGTCCGATAGTTGACGAAGTAATAGCTTCGGAATAGTTCCACTTTCTCTCGGGCTTCTTGCATCATGATATCCTCCGCCGTCAGTGCGTGGATTCCAAATGCCTTGGCAATTGTACGCATCTCTGCATCTGTTGGAGATAGAACATCTAACCAAAAGGTAGGCCGGGGCCCATAGCGTTTAGGTTTGGGTTTCGGGGCAAGATTCGACTGGGCGGGGGATATTTCTCGGTGAGAGTTGGGATGTCCTTCACTGATGACAGACAAGCGTGACGGTCCTCTCACCGGAGGAGCGTTGCCGGCGAGAAGATCGCTGGTCTTCTTTTCACTGGGTAACTGAGCACTAGGGCCTGTCATATTGGGATTGACATTTGTTTGATGGCCGTGGCCTTCCGATACAGGCACCGCTACCCGTGGACCAGTATTGACGGGATGAACTGCGTGAGCTGCGTGAGTCGCAGCTGCTGGCTCCATATAAGACTCTTCGTCCGAGTCTTCATCATCGGACGAATCCTCTAATTCCGGGGGGTTCGGAATAAAAAGTTCGCGGAAGCTGCCTCCTGGTTGTACCAGCTCGGATATAGTTTGGGCGTGAATAGTGCTTGGGAACTCCTCGTTGAAATATGTGAATCGGTAAGGTGCCTCGTCCTCTTCGCGTCGCCAAACTTTGTACTGAGGGCGCAGTCTGCCCTCAATAAGCATCGGTTCATTGATCTTCTTAACTCGAAGATCCCCGTTGCGTTCCTCTTTCTCCTCGCGACTCCATTCTTCTAGCGCGCCGAGATCGGGCCACCGCCGATGTCTGCGGCGTCGACGTTCACCAGCCTCATCCCGTGGTCTGGATCCCTCATCTCCAATTTCCGAAATTGTTTCAGTAGGGAAGCAGACATCCTCTTCTGCTGGCAATGCCACGGTCCGGCGGCGCCGTAGTTCCTGGTGCGGAGAAAGTAATGGCGAACCGGGAGAAGAGGGCGCCGAATGGGGATGTGCCCCATTACCATCCATATCAATCAATGTTTCGTTCAGAACGTTTAGAGAGTCCCTGCGCATTTCCAAGGACCGGGCCAAGGAAAAGTCCCAATCGGCTCCAGTTACCACAGCATCATCATAATTCATCTCCGGTCCTAGCTTCGGAGATCCGGGGATTGATGGCGGATTATTCACATCGTAGTCTCGTTCGATGGTGGGGGAATCAAGTGGGCTGCGATTGTCTCGCGGAGAACATCCTGAGGATACGGTCTGAACGGATGGTTGGCGAGCACGAGATGAAAACATACTGGGGCGGGAGTCTGCGCCATAGCGAGCTGTATTGGAGGTGTACCCTGAGGTACTCCGTACCAATGGAGTTCGGTCGTTTGCTTCTTCGTCGCTATCGCCATTACGATGTTGTTGGCTTCGACTCGCTTTCGGGGTGCTGCGGGATTGTCCGTCGTTCGATCGGAATACATTTGATAGGATTGAGGTCGGTCTTAGTGAGGAAGCGAGTCGGCTGTCACGACGAGGTCGCATCATAGGCTGGTCCCTGTTTGAACCTTCGGTTAGCATCAACCCCAGGAGCTATGTATCGCTCATATCCATCGAGCATACCGATGGTCCAACAATGCATCACTCTCCAAGCTTGTATTGCTTGCGTTCCTCCCAAAGTTGAAGAACGAAGTGTCCCGCGTGGTTGGCCGATCGGCCTCCATTGAATCTCGGATGCCTCCAGCACCTGAATGCTCTTCAGCGCTGTCATGAGCTTCCTCTCGCGAAGGCGTAAGGAAAGACTGATGCCGATTGCGACGTTTGCGATTGCGATTCTTCTTGCGTTTGGAGGACTTGGAGGATTTTCCAGTACCACTATCGGCGGGGTGTTCTGAGCGGGTCTCTCCAGCTGGCGTAGTCTCGGAGACGGGGACCGGACCAGTCCCTGGGGCCCGACCGCCCATTGGACCGTAACTAGCCTTGTTATCAGAGTGTGGGTAATCGCTGCTGAGTTGGGGACGTTTTTTGGAGCTAGAATGCGAGGCAAGAGGCGGTCGAGAAGCCGCGCTGCCAGGTGTCGGGGTCATTGGTGGATCCATGGCAGCGAACACGTCAAGTGGATGGCGGCTGCGTTCAAAACCTCCGAGTGACCCAAGGCGTATTCTGTGAAAGGGGATCTGATTCAAGAGCCTATCAGCCAATTAAGACAGGCCGAGCAGGGTTCTCGAATTCCGAAAAGTCTCGCAGCATGCAGGATTTGTCCCATGCGATCTAATTAGCGCTGTTGATCACGGGAGAAGCGACACTGGCATGTTCGACAGGCATTCAGCGCCCAGGCACCGCAATCGAAATTGCACGAGAGCTGCAGCTTAGCGTGGGGATGACGCGGGTGGCAAAGCAAAGTGGGACATCAGGCTGAGCGGGAGTCTAAAACAAGGAATGCGAATCCAGCGATCTTAGCGCGATGGTCCCAATATTAGAGATGATATAGAGATATGAGTCTACAATGAAGAAGAGAAGTTCCAAGGCCATCCCCGGAAATGGGAGGCGGACAGGACCTCGGGAGCTGGCCAGACCGTATGTTCCTTAGTCATCAGGCACTGAGACCTATCGAAGATATAAAAATGGAGTACAGAAAAAAAAACTCGATCTGTGATTTCGCAATGCGTTGTTCATCGGCCTGATATAACTTGCTGCATATATTTATACCCAATACGACATGTTTATCGGGAGGGTATTGCTTTGAACATAGATTTTCTGACATAAATCTGCCACTATCACGATGTAACTAAACTAGACTAGACACTATCAATCTTCCCTGACACTCCGTCACGCAAAAGTACACAAAAGCAATGGATGAAACAGCAAGACTTCCATACATAAAACCAACCTTTAACTGGAGGTTTGCATAACCAGAATATATGAGATATGGCGTGCTGGGGTTTCCAACCAAGGTCGCTGAACAACTCTCAAGGTCTGTCTATAGCATGAACAGTAAGATTTCTTAAACAGCTATTTTTCCCACGTGTAAATTGGAAACTTGTATCTAGCCTGCCTGTTTAAATTATGCGTGCAGTGATTGAACCTTCTTTCAAACACCCCTCAGGGACTGGCTTCCGGTCAAAATTAGCTATGACCGAAGACTGATCCATGGCATATATAACCTCGGAAATTTCCTGTTGAAATTGGATGTCTACTGAATTGAGACGCATCAATATCAAGGCCAACGAGATTGTTTAAGTCTGATCTTTCTCTTCATAAGAGGAAGACCCTATATAAATGAGAACTCTTCTCCTGATCCATACTCTACTTGGTAGGTCTAATGCTGATCACCAGATTCATGCCTTATATGTCAGGCATCTAGCCTGGATTCGCCATGATTCTCAACATTTCCTCTACCTAAGCTCAAAATTTAGTCGATGATAAATATTAACGTCGGGGTTGAGTTAAATCATTACTTAGGACTAAGGCCTTACTTCCACTCTTCACATCTCCGAACATATTTAAAATGGATCAACGGCGCTCTCTAAGCCGATTTTATATCCTAAGCAACTTTCCCCCGAGACGCACATGGCCGAAGATGCACCCTATAATCGTATTCAATGTGTTTACGATCATTTCGACTGTGGATGCGATTTGCTTTGCGCTGAGTTGCAAATTCACGCTTGCCTTTTACATCGAAATCCTTAGGGTACGGGGAAGGACGATGCCTACAACACCCCAGCAGATTTACTTAGGCGTGAAAATCTTCCCCTGATATAGAATCGAGCTACTTCGTCAACTCCAAAATTCCCGTTGGAAATTCTGCGCTCAATGCTGGATGCTTCATCCACGCTCTATTTGGAATATTCAATCTTTCTGGAGACTGGACCATAAGGTGTGCTCCTATGGCTGCCACACACTTGGTAGTCGGAAGTGCTATTTGCCGTACGCTGGCGAATTTGATATGTGTCCTTGTAGTCACCTCAACATACACCACAAGCTAAAACTGATCTCTCTATTCTATGATCAGCCCTGTGATTCTAAATGTGGTGTGCAACACCTAACAAATCGCAGCTGCAAATGCATGGAGATGTTACTACACACGTGTACCTTCAACCGAAATCCCATCGCACAGGTTCACATCAACGTCTCGTTCTCATTCGGCTGCCAGGACCAGAGCTTGCGCGTGCGTACCCGTTTTCTTTTCGATTTCACAAAGTCGACCCCTTCGCAGCTACAAAACTTCTGGAACATACGGCGTGATATATGTGTGCGTGAAGACACTGAAAAGTGGGTAAACCAATTTTTCCTTGAAGCAAGGGATTCTTTCGGCGGACAAATGGATTGGAAGCCTTGTCAGTGGTTTAGTTGGGATGTGAACGATGAAGGACCACTGGAGATTACTTTGAATCGCAATCTAGGTAAGCGTGAATGGCCGAGCAAAAGTTGGATTCGCAACTGTCGCAAACTTCCTAAGTAGTCTTTGATGCTTTTCTTTTGTCATTCAACATGAAAGCAGAGAATACAAGGCGAGGTCAGCATTGGAAGGCCAATTGCTTATTAGCTCACGCGCGACTAATTCTCACCTCGGATTCTATGACTTCAGTCAAAATACACAAAATGGACGATCAATCGTTTTGTTATAGTTATGTTGTGTAGCCAACAATATCGCCTCGCGCATTCTAGTATAGCTTGATCATCTCGACCGTTAGTGTCTCTTTTTTCTATGTCAACGAACAAGCTTGAAGGTATGGCGCATTCTCAATACATTTCCAGGCTTCAAACCCTACCATGCCAACGTGCCCCAGCTCATCGAAGCAGCGGAGCGAAGTGTACAATTGAGCGGCAGTCTTGCGGTCGACTTCCCTAGAATTGGTATCCGTGAATTATTCTCCTCCTCCACGAGTATGTTTCGGGGGAATCTCATAACATGATTACCGAGGAAATGTTCAAGGCTCAGCAGGTAGACGCTTGCATTATATACATCTTGGCTTCACCCAAAGGTTACTAGTCACCGACCCTGCAGAGAAGGGTGAGCTCGTCGTCGGTGCTATCTAATAAGAATAAGTAAGGATAGTATATACAAGTCGAAGAATCTCTATGCCTCCCTCCACTGCTCGCTCAACTGCGTCCTCACTTTCAATCCCCACTCGTCAACCACCTGCCCGAAGTCCATTATCACGTTCAGCACCCTACCACCACCACCACCATCACCACCACCAGCCTCTTCATCACTACCATGACCGCCATCTTGCCGCCTCGTACACCTCCATCCCTTCAATCTCCTCCTCGCCCGACGCCCAACGTCCCCCAACGAAACCGTCCCGACCACGACTCCAAAGGCAATGCCAAAGTAATTAAGGGCTTCGGGAACCATCGATCTGTATAGGGTAAGCCAACAAAACAAAGGGGGGAGGATCTCACCTTGCTGTCTGCTTTTGATGTTGGCAATGTTAATTAACGATAGAAGGAGAGGCCAGGGTCACATACAGTCTGTTGGGTCGCGCAGCTTCCATACTTGTCTTAATTGCTCAGGAGACGGATGTCAACATAAGTTTGTAAGGAAAGTGTAATCTGCTCCGTCCCTGTCGCAGGATCTCTGCTTGAGTCAGTTCAGTCCCGTTCTCCCGTCGTAGAACAAAAAGCTAGGTTAGGAGGAGGTTACCTTCTACCTGTTGATATCCGAGGCGAGAGCTAGTCGCGGATATGATATGCGTTTTTCTCTCTTTCATATTCTCGCCTAGGTCGACGTGTAGCTAATCTGTTTCTTACCACAGTGGGTCAGCTTTTTCAGCGAGAAAGTCTCCAAGCAATATTACATCAAGACGAAGCAGCAATGGCATGACCAAAATGTGGCCTTTGGTCTGGAGCAGACTTTCATCGAATTCAATTTATCCCCTCAGTATCAATGATTGTCTTTCGTCGGGGCAGTCCAATGGGGCCCTGCTCAAAGCCGGGGTACAGGCTGATCGGCTACCGACCTTCCATGTCGGCAGTTTCATACTCTTCCTCCAGGAGGGATTCCCGTCGCGCAGTTTTAGACGCCGTCCTCTTTCACAGAGAAACAAGAGTAAGCCTTGGCACATCCGCTGTGGAATGCAACAAGCAGTGTCGAATAGCAGGCGATGGCTATGAAGGGTAAAAGGTGCCTCTCACGCTTAGGTGTAATACATACTTACAGGATTTGATAATAAATGACCACCCTCACAGTCCACCACCTCTGCCGCTCCCAGTCAGCGAGAGTAGTCTGGCTCTGTGAAGCACTCGGCATCCCCTACAACCTACATCCATACGACAGTATCAGTCCCAGAGCAATATCGCAACCTCCATTGGCAGGCACAGCACGTATAATCACGGATAGTCCCGTCGTCCTCGCCGAGACAGGCGCAATCTTCGAATACATCCTGACAAAATATGGCAATGGCAAGCTTTCCTGGCCCCCAACATACCCCCAATATGCCGACTACCTCTTCTGACTCCATAGCGCCAACGGTTCCCTGCAACCAGGACTTATCAATTTGATGTTCAGTCGCATGAACACCGAGGCAAATCCTGCCGAGGACATCGGTGCTCAAGTCTCGCAGAAGCGCGTGGATGTGAACTTCAAGGAAATGGATACGCGCCTGGCTGAGTCCCCCTACCTGGCTGGGGAGGAGTTCACAGCTGCTGATTGCATGACTGTTTTCTCTTTGACTACTTTGCGGACTTTTGCTCCGTTTGGATTGGAGTTTTATCCTCATATCGTCAAGTATCTTGAGCGTATTTCACAGCGAGCCGGATATCAGAGTTTGATGGCTAAGGCTGAGCCAGGTATGGAACCTGCTATTTTGGCTACTGCTCCCCAGGGCATTCTTGCTTGTTAATTATGGCCTCGCATAAGGACTTTGAATCTATACTTTCTTGTCTCGCCAATTTTGTCACCATAAAGTGTTTAGAAAGAAGTGTAACACACAGATATATGACATATGACACATGAGGTCAATAGAACGGGTTCAGCATCTATAAGCTTTATTTCTAGTGTTATACAGTAAATCTATTTAAATAGCACCAGCCTCCTTCAACACCGCCTTCAACTGAGCAGTATTCAACTTTTGCAATTCAGAGTTACCGCCAATATGCTTGCGGTTGATGAAGATGTTAGGAACAGTACGCTGCTTGGTGAGCTCCTGCAACGCCGCCTGAATCTCGCCACCGTCCTCTTGACAGAACGTCAGTATTGCCTCCAGGAAGGTAACAGACAGGGAGAAACCATGATACCACTCATTACTTACTCATCTTATCCAGTTCCAAGCATTCGAAGGTGGCATCTAAGCTCCGAAGTGTGCTCTTAGTCGAAGTGCAGTACGGGCAATAGGACTTGGAGAAGACGACTGCGATATTTTAGCTTTGCAGTACCTCGGACTTGTCAAATACGTACCAACTCCACTGTCGTCAATGATCTTTTGGACCTTGGCAACTGACATTATGGCTTGTGAATTTGATATGAGTTGGAGATGCATCAATTTTGCCGCTTTTGATAGAGCGGTCATGTGACCGTGTCCTTGTATCTCTCTGACGTCATAATGAACTACAAAGAAGAGGTACAAATAGAGAGGCCGAAGGGCGAAGGAAATGCATAAAATTGTCTACTTTATTGAAAGTATATGTGTGGAAACTATCTACTACTACTCGGTGCATTGTATACGCACTTATGACCTATGACTCCGGTAGTACGTATAATGTAAACACTTTATCACGTTCGTTGAATTATCTGCTGTTTCTATAGTGTCCACCAATTGTATATTCAATCCGACAATATTGCTTGAAGCTTCCATGGTGCCATTGAACATTTACTCTAGCAACGACTACGCTTAATACAATCCCCCCCTTTCATATGTTTTCATCGAGGCAATCTTTCAGCAAGGGCTAATGAAATAGTATACTGGCCGTATACCACAACCAATCCAAATGTTCAATCATGAAACTTGACATTGAAATGGAGTATATCGAGTTAGATCAGTCACGGATGTGCTGGTTGGGTTAAATAATAGGATTAGCACTAAGTATAAGAAAGGCTTTAAGAGCGTACAAATGTGCATGACCGTATAGAGCCATGGGAAAGACGAAAAGGAAGGGATATGGGCGAGATACAAACCTTGTAGTTCGTACTATAAGAAGTAGATCATAGAAACAAGTATCGAGCTTCAAAAACGCTAGAGAATGATAGTGCATCCGAACCCTGCAGAGCTTGAGGGGCCTGTATTATCAAATGTACACTTTTGGTCTTATTTGAGTGAACGATCTTACCTTGAAGGAGGTCCGTCAACAATAGCTTTTTTTTTTTAGTCCACACGAGCAACCACCAGCTCCCACATCTTGAACAGGCGAGTGCAGTCGCTGCCTTGCTAATTACATCCATCCAGAAGAAGCTGTTACTGCGTGGCTGAGAGTTAATCAATTGAAATAGTCGTAAAGTAGAAATGTATTAAATTGTCTTGCCAGAAGTACAGGGTCATCACTCATAAGACATCAAGGCCATGATAAACACAGTTGACTGACACATTGTCTTAGGAACACATAAATGCAAGAAAGAAAAAAACAGAAAGAGAATAGAACAAATATGGAAACAAAATAGAATCAATAACTCCGAATGCAAACATCATCGGTCTGTAGACCGTGGCTTCAAGCCAAACTCCGTTAATCCGGCAAAAGAACAACAACAATGAGAGCCAAAAAAAACAGATATTATGGGACCGCGTGTCGGATGGGAGGAATCATGATCAGAGTGTGACGCCTCAGATCATATTACTCATGTCCATCATAGATGAAGGTGCCATGCTGTGGACCGACTTCGTGGCATCTATGGACATACGATCACCACTCATCATCCTTGAGACTCTCTTGTCTTTGCCAGGACGGGCAATGAGGACCTGAGCAGGGCAGACGACAACTTCGTCATCACCCTCGCCCACATCATTGCCCTTTTTGACGACGAGAGGGAAGAGCACAATGCGGACGACAGACTGCTGGGCTTCCAGCTCGCCATTGTCGTTAGTGAGACCACTGCGCTCATTCATCAATGCCGCATTGAAATACACCTGCCGGGCAAGGTCGCCATTGGTATCGTACTCAGGCTGCAAGGGCGGGAGCATAATGAACTCAGCCAGCTGAGTGCGCATCTCCAGGGACAGATTGACAGCTACTCGCATGATCTTGCGAAGGCTGTCCAGGAGCTGTGACTCAACGTGGGAGGGGGGAGGGAGGACCTTGGACAAGGTTTTGAAGATCTCCAGGGTGACAGCCTCTGTGTCGCTCTCGCGCTGAGCGGCAAAGGCTGGTCTCCGGGAGAGGAGGGTGAGGGTGGTGGCTCTCCAGCGGTGGACAGCGCGGCTGGGGCCAACTTCACCCAGTTGTTTCTCAAGGGACTTGAGCTTCTGACGTTGCTCACGATCCATACCAAACAGGTAGCGAGTGAAGACATACTCCCAGACCATGGTCATGATCACCGACATAAAGACATCGCGGCGACGAACACGGTCGGAAAGGTAGGCATCAGGATCGGAGCCGTCGAGGAGGGCATTGTCGAATCGGTCTGCGATCTTCTCGTCGCGCAACTCACTGAGTGAGCGGCAGCGACGCTTGTCGTTGTGTTTAGAGAATCGCAGCACCCAAGATTGGACATGGCCACAGAGCTTTTGGCAGGCAGCGTCAAAGTATTCTTCGTCTCGGAATACGAGAGCATTGTCATGAACTGACGCTGAAATTTGTTGTTGTAGCTCCTTGACCTTGTCGCGGGTCTCTTCAAGTTCGGTGCGAAGACGACGCAACTCAATGTCTTTTTGTGCAAGAGCTGATTCGATCTCTTGTCGGACTCGATCATCCACCTGGGATGAAAGCTGAGTGTGTTGCGACCGTAGGTCGTCGAGTTCGCGCGTGGAGGATTCGCGGACAGTGTTCACTTCGGCAGCGTGGGCGGCGGCGAGCGCAGCATTGGACGCTGTCAACCCTTCGTTCTCCTGGGTCAGACGGGTTGTCTCCTTCTGCAGCCACTCCACCGAGCTCTTCAATTGTTCCACTTCGGCTTCTTTGTCGCGCAAGTCGCCATCGCGGGTATTGAGAGCCCGGTCGCTCTTCCGACGAGCGACGCTAGAGTGTTTTAAGTTGTATTCGGCTTCATCACGGGCAGCGATGAGTAGGCGATTTTCAGAAATGAGTTGGTCGAGACGTGTTTCGATATCTTGCAAGTGTTGCATGCTGCGGCGACGACGGACACTAGGCGGTCGGCTGGGCGACCGTGGGGAGCTGGGCGTTTCACCCCATCCCTCCTGGGAAAATTAGTAAATAAACAAAATAAACCAACAATTAAGTACTCACATAGACATCCGACATATTTCGCACCGGACGTTTGCCCTTGTCGGTGACGGGGTCGTAAGAGGAAGAAGAGGGAAGCTGATCAAGGTCCGAAGGCTGGGAACCTGCAAGACTAGCCGCCCGCAGATCGCCGCTAGCGCTGCGATTTGTCCGACGCAGCTTACCGCTGCTGGTACTGGGCTTTAAGACCTGCTCGGGCGTTTTTGTAATTTCGCGTTTCAGATCTTCACGGGAGCCCTTTCGACTCTCGTTTTCAGGCGTAGGCCATTGCTCTCGATCAAAGGCAGTATCTGTAAACTTGCGAACAGGAGTTTGAGGTCTTGGGAGAACATGTTCGGGTTTGATCTCCAGACGGGGCGTCCCGCGGCGACCCTTGGTTGATCCATGGCCATCCCGTGGTTCTTGTTCCGCGATCGTATCAAGCGGAGTACGGGGGCGGGTATAGCTCTCGTCGGGACCGAATAGCGATCGGGGCGGGGATGGGGCGAGAGCTGGCACAGAGGGCTCATCCAAGCTCCACGTTCGAGGTGTCTTTTCGTGTCGGCCGTGGATTGACGGTGAGCGGCGCAGTCCAGACAGGTCTTCTCCAGCTGCCACCTGCGATACGAGGCTCTTTGTAGGAGAAGGGGGCTCCTTGGTGGGCTCTGGGTGCGAGAATGGTGCATCCAAGGTCTTCTCGCTTTGTGCCGGGAAGTCTAGCTCCTTTGATTGCTCGTTCTCAGCAGAAGGAACCTCGTCTGGGGTCCAGTGCGAAATTGCAGACTCGATTTGGTGCTGGAGACTACTGGGCAGCTCGCCACTGGTATCTTTGGCAAACTCTGTGGCTTCAGGTGCTGGCCTGGGTGCCTCCAAGACAGGGAGAGCAATGTCGCGACTGGCTCCCGCTTCCGTCTCTTCCTCAGCACTATCTTTTAGCGATGGTGTTTTTGGTCGTTTGAATCCACCACGCTCCAATCTGGGAAACAGGTTGGCGATCTTGGATCCCCCAGGCGTGGTTGTCCGAGCGGGTGGCTCGATCTCTCCAGTAGTCTCTGCAGTTTCTTGTAGACTTTCCGCGGTAGTTTGCTCGATACTCTTGTCGTAGGAGATCTCAGGCAAAGCTTCCGGTTCATCTGCTTGCTGCGATTGCTTCTTGTTTTTCTTGGTCTTCTTGTCTTTTTTGCTCAGCGGCGCAGCCCAAGAGTCGTCTTCGGCAGCATCTGTAGGCTCTTGTAGATCTTTTGGGATTGTAGAATCCTCAAATTCCCCAATAGTTTCGGTTGATGGAATCACAGGATCAGACTCAGGCTCCGGAGCTGTGTCCTGAAATTGTTGCCCATGTTCACCCTTTGCATGTTCCCAGTCAATAGCTGGCCAGTTTTCGTCTTCCTGATTTGCCTTATCAACAGGGGCATCCGCAATCTCGGTGTCTTGAGGCTTGGGGGCGTCTTCTTCAAACGGTGCGATGACGGCTTGTTCGGTCTCGTTCTGGACCTCAGCCTGTGGCTCGAGATCCAGCCCTTGGCTGGCTTTTTTAGCCTTCTTCGACTTCTTCTTTGAAGCCTTGCGCGAAAGAGAAGTTTCATCCTTGGTGACATGCTCTGGCTCAGTCTGCGTAGGCTCAGGTACAGTCTCAGACTCAGTCGCGGTTGCAGGTACAGGCGCGGGTTGTTCTTCAGCTGCAGATGGAGCATCAATGGGCAACTCCCTCTCTACAACTGGAGTAGGGTCTGCGGCAGTCTCAAGTTCGCGTGGAGCCTCGAGCTCAAAAGCAGATTTTGTTGGCTGGCTGTCAATTTCTTTGGGGTCTTCAGCAACGTCAGCCTGAAGCTCCTCGGAGACATCTTCGGTGACGCCCTTCTTCTTGGCCTTGCGCTTGTCCTTCTTTGACTCCTTCTTGGACAGAGCCGGTGTCACTTCAGACTCCACGGGCTGGTCTCCAGGATCAGCTGCTTTATCGATTTCTTGCATGGAAGGCTCTGCAGCTTCAGCGTGCTTCTCGACATTCTTTTGAATTGAGTCCTCCGTTGCAGTGGACTCTTCAAAGGCCGTTTGCTCCTGGGCCACAGCTTCTGCAGGCTCGAAATCATTGGATTGATCCTGTGAGACAAGGTCGTAGTTTTTCTCGCTTCCCAGGGGTTCCTTGTCTGCCAACGGGATGCTCTCGGGATGGGGCTGGAGCGGAGACTCCTGAGAGGTCTCCTGAACGAAAACTTCGGGCTCTGGGGCAGGGTCCTCCTTTATACTTTCTTGGGGGGGACCTCTGTCGTTTCGGGCTCTGGGGCGGCAACAGATTCCTCGGCAGGAGAAGTGGGCTCAAGTATTTCTTGCTGTTCTTGCTTCTTGGCCTTTTTCCTCTCTTTCTTTGACATTTTGCGAGAAATAGGCTCAGGCGCAATGGACTCCTCGACGAGCTCTTTTGCAGGCTGCTCGGGTGCCACCTCCGGCTCGAGAGATTCCGTGGGCTGAGTATCCTCGACAGCCTGCTGTTCAGCGGCTTTATTCTCCTTTGGCTTGGGAGCTGCCAGCTCTTTTGTCTCGTCGAGGCTCCTCTCTGTCTCGAACTGAGGTTCATCCTTGGCCTCTGTAGGTCGAGGTTCATCAACAGTTGGCTGTTCAGCGGGCTCCTGTGAAGCATGCGGCACAGAAGTCGATGGCTCTTCAGCCGCAGGCAGTTCCTTGGCGCTATTCTCTTCCTCGACCAGAGCGGCGGCAGCAGCAGCAGCAGCCGCCGCCTTCTTCTTCTCCTTCTTGCTGAGTTTCTTGGAGCTAGTCGGCGCCTCAACGGCGGGCTCAGCCGGAGCTTGCTCGGTGAGCTGCTCGGCATCAAAGTTCTCCGTTGCAGTCTCAGTGGCAGGCTCTTCCACAATCTCCTCCATCTTCACATCGTCTGACGGAAGTTCGATTGAGCGCTCTCCGCTTTCGGGCTCTTGTGTTAGAAGTGGCTTCTCAGCCTCCTGGGCAGGCTTTTCAACATCTTTAACGGCCTCCTCGGTGACATCAGCAGGCTGGGCAGTAGCTTTCTCTGCGCGAGCAACGGGCTCATCCCCTGGCTTCTCATCGAGAGCTGCAGCATCAATTGGAATCTCAGCTTCCGGAACAGCAGCTTCGGTAGCCTCGGGAGCTGGCTCCTCTTCGGGCTGCTGTTCAGATCCAGCTTGCTGAGCAAGGAGTAATTGGCGTTGCTTCTTCTTGTCCTTCTTGCTCAGCTTGGTGGCAGATGCTGACTCTGGTTCTTCACTAGCAGGGGCAACGGGTTCAGCCTCTGGAACAGTGGGCTCAAGGGTGGCTTCGGCAGCTTCGATGGTTTGGACTGCGGAAGGCTCTTCGATCTCCTTTGGTTGATCAAAAGCTTGGTCCTCCAAGGCTGGCACTGTTTCAATCTCCGCAGCGGGCTCAGGCTCGGTGATTGTCTTCTCTGGCTCCGGTACTGATTCAACCTCGGGCAAACTCACAGCTTCATGCTGTTCCTTTTCCTCTGCGACAGCGCTTTCAGGCTCCGGTGCTGGACCTTTCTCCTCAACAACATTCTCCGCCTGCTTTGTCTTGTTTTTCTTGTTTTGCTTTTTCTGCTTCTTCGACAAAGCTGTCTCCAAAGTCTTCTCCTCCACAGGGGCTTCCTCCGTCTGTGCCTCCAGGCCAACTTTCTCTGTCACATCCACAGACGTCTCTTCAATGGTCTTCTCTCCAGAGAGATCGCCTGCTTCCGGCACAGACGTCATCTCCTCTGCACTAGGTGCAGGCTCAATCAACTCCTCCTGTGGCTTCTCGCCATCTTCCTTCTGACCTCCAACTTCAAGGTCTCCCTCCTTCGTCAACAGTTCAGGCTCCTGAATAGCAGGGGTATCGTCACCCTGTTCCGGAGCAAGTACCTCCTCCAACTCGCCGGAATTAACTGAACGCTCAAGCACGGGCTGGGGAGGATAACCTAAAAAAGGACTCTCTATCTGAGGCTGCTCTACCTGCGAAGACATGAATTCATCAGTCGAGGCCAAATCTTGCGCCGCGGCAGTTTCTATGTCGTGGGACTGATTTTCTTTACCGTCATGTTCCGCAGGCGAGGTTGCCGTTACGGCTGAGAGCCCTGGGGTTTCCATTGATGCGAGGACTTTTTCAACGCTGTCGGCAGGTTCAGCGGGGGTGCCAGGGGCGGAAGAGGCGTCGTTGTCGGCATCAGCATTCTTAGACTGGCGTTTCTTGGCCTTCTTTGCCTTGCGCTTCTGGGCGGGAGTCATGGCGGCTTCTTCTGCTGGCTCGGCTGCGGTTTCGGTGGCGGGAGGTTCGTCGGTCTTCTCTTCCTTTGGCACATCTTCGGTCGCAGGCTCAATTGGCGCGAGCTTCTCGATCTTGGGGTTATCAGCCTCAACAAGCTTCTCCTCCGGCGCAGGCGTGGGGTCAGCGGTGGTGTCGGCAGGAGTATCGGGTACCGCCTCAGTTTCAACGGGGGCGTCTTCGGTCAAGTCAATAGACTTGCCCTTCTTCTTGTTCTTCTTTGCCTTACGACGCTCTTTTGCGGTCATACCAGCCTCGGCCTGTGCCTCGTCATCTTGTCTGCTGGGTGACTGAGGCTCTGATATAGGCTTGGATTCTTCCTCGGCTTGAACGGGAGTAGAGGGCTCCTGCTCAGTAATTTCTTTGACCTCTTCGGATGGAGTGACCTCCTCTGTCTTCTCCGGCTCGTCCAAGGCACCGGTCTCGGGTACTGAGGTATCCTTGTCAGTGGCAGCTTCGGCCACTTCTTCGGCGACGGGAAGTTCCTTGGTGGCATCTTCAGAAGTAACAGCAGCTTCGGCGGAAGCATCCTGCGGCTCATTCTTTTCTTCCGGCGCAGTAGAGTCCTGCTCGAACTTGGAGTCGTCGGCTTGAGAAGCAGGTTCCTCATTTTCCCAAGCGACAGACATGCGGCTCTTCTTCTTGTCTTTTTTGGCCTTGCGCTTTTGAGCAGGGGTCATGGCCTCCTCCGCAGCTTCGGGTGTGGCGGTCTCAGCGGGAACATCCTGCTGGTTGCTTTCCTCTGGCGTGGGCTCCTCTGATTTTGTCACTTCCTCTGTATTCACAGGAGCTTCGACTGCCTCAGCCACAGCAGGCTGTTCATCGTCTTGGACTATCGCACGCTCAGCTGACACATCTTCGACAGGTGCAGCCTGCGTCTCCTCCTCAGTAGTTGCGGGCTGCTCAGACGGCGCGGGTTGTTCTTCGGCTGTGAGTGATTGACGCTTCTTCTTGTCCTTTTTGGCCTTGCGCTTCTGCGCGGGAGTCATGGCAGTTTCACCGGCTGCTTCAACGGCTGATGCATCAGCAGGAGTATCTTGAGAAGCAGGCTCCTCTGGCGACGACTCCTCAGCCTTCGGGGCTTCTTCTGTCACAACGGGAACCACATCGTCCTTCTCGGGGGCAGGCTGCTCGAGCTCCTCAGAAGGTGCAGGCTCTGCAGACTCTACAGGAGTCGGCTCGATAACCTCTTCAACGGGCACGGCCTTTGGTTCTTCCTCAATAGGCGTGTCCTTTACCTCTTCCTCGACGGGTGCGGGCTGCTGCTCTTCAACTGCAAGTGACTGGCGCTTCTTCTTGTCTTTCTTGGCCTTCTGCTTTTGGGCGGGTGTCATCGCAGCCTCTTCAGCAGCCTGGATTGCGGCCTCATCGGCAGGAGCTTCATTTTGGGTGTTCTCAGGTAATGGTTCTTCAGATTTTGCTTCTTCTGCCACAATAGAATCTTCAATCTCCCTGTCGGTGGCAGGTTGCTCAACATCCTGGGCTGGCGCAGGTTCTTTAGACTCTGTTGGAGGTGTAGGCTCGATCACCTCTTCGGTAGGATCAGACTTGGGCTCTTCCTCGGTGGCTGTAGCCGGTGGCTCTTCAGCAGCAAGGGACTGGCGCTTCTTCTTGTCTTTCTTGGCCTTGCGCTTTTGGGCTGGAGTCATGGCGGCCTCCTCAGCGGCCTCAGTCTCGGCTGCATCGGCAGGAGCATCCTGTTGAATGGATTCTCGGGATGCCTCTTCGAAGCTAGCTTCCTCTGTAGGAACAGGGTTTTCAACCTCTTTGTCGGCGAAGGGTGGCTCAGTGATGGGCTCTATAGGCTCTTCGGCAGAAATAGGCGTGGGCTCCTCAACAGGGGCGGCGCCAGCCTCTTCCTCGGCAGGGGTAGGCTTCGACTGCTCTTCTCCAGGTGTAAGCTGTTCCTCCTCGGGATTAGCGGTAAGTCCCTTGTTCTTCTTTTTGTCCTTCTTCGCCTTGCGCTTCTGAGCTGGGGTCATGGCGGCCTCCTCTGCTGCTGCTGCTGCTGCTGCCTCGGTTGATTCAAGGACTGGAGTCTCCTCGACGATTGGCACCTTGTCATCTGTAGGCTGTTCCAAAGTAACATTGTCTTTCTGCTCCTCCTGGACATCTTCTATAGGGGCGGCTTGTTCAGCTATGGTCTCTGGGACGGTATTTTGGGCCACATCTTGAGCATCGGTAGCCTGTTCGGAGGGTTCAGGAGCAATAACAGTCTCATCGGAGACCGCCTCTGTGGGAGCTTCCTTGTCGAAAGCAGGAATATCCTGGGCTTGCTCCTCTTGGGGTGTGGTTTCGGCTTCAGCCGCGGGGACGGCCTCAGCCTCATTTGGCTCAGAGAGGGGGACTTCTTCGGTGGCCTTTGCCTCTTCAACTGGAGGGACAGCTTCCTCGGCAGGGGTAGACTCAGGCTGCTTCTGCTGCTTCTTGTTCTTCTTGGCCTTCTTTTTCTCGGCTGTAGTCATTGGCACCTCAGCCTCTGCTGGAGCTTCTGACTCATGAGTTTCAGTCTCAACAGCGGTGGGGGTTGCTTCTTCAGCAGGTGCTGAGGTCTCATTCTCAAGCTTTGGCTTCTCAGATTGAGCCACATCAGCGGAGACGGGAGCTTCCTCAGGTGGAGAAATAACATCGGCATTGGCCTCAGCAGGCTCAGTGTCGGTTACCGCGGGCACATTCTGAGCGGAGGGATTAAGGTCTTTGCTTGACTCGGTGGCCTCGGTCTCCACAGGCAAGGGAGCAGGCTCGGCAGGGCTGGCAGTCTCAAAAGCAGCGGCGAGGGCAGCTTCTTTCTCCTGCTTTTTCTTAGCTTCCTTCTTAGCCTTCTTTCTCTGGGCTGCAGTCATGGGGACCTCAGGTTTAGCAGGGGGTTCCTCTGCTTGGGCTTGTTCCTCCTGTACTACAGACTTGTCCATGTGAGTCTCAGCGCTTGTCTCCTCGGCAGTGGGCTCCGGAACAGCAGTGAGGACTGCGTCTTCCTGAGGCTGCTCTGGCTCAACAACCTTTCCGAGCTCGGTAGATTGCTCAGGCTCGACGGGCTGCTCAATTTCAATGGTTACCTCCTTGTCGGTTTCTTGGGGTGCCAAATCGACTGGTGCCTCTTCCAAAGTTTCCTTGGCAGTATCCTCAATAGGAAGCTCGGCAGCAGACTCGGCAGCAGGCTCGGCAGCAAGCTCAGTGGTAGACTCGACAGCAGGCTCAGCGACAGGTTCAGCCTCAGGTGCCAGCGAAGAGGGCTCAGTGGGCGCAGATTCATCCGACAATTCTTTATCAGGAACAGAAGATTGACTCTGCTTGTTCTTCTTTTTCTTGTCCTTCTTGGCCTTCTTCTTCTGTGCAGCAGTCAAGGCCACCTCAGACTCGGCCTCGGCCTCGGCTTCAGCTTCAGCTTCGGGTTGAGGTTGAGCAACAATTTCAGCGGCAGCCTCAAGCTGGACTTCAGGCTGAGCATCAATGGCAACTGGCTCGACGATTTCCCGTGAAGTCTCATTCGTGGGGCCCTCTACTTCAACTGGAGAAGGGGTGGCATTGACAGTAGCCTCAGTTGGACGAGCGTCTTGCTCTTGCTGTAGTGCGGTAGCAGGTTCGTCGGTAGGGGTCTCAGAAGGGAGCTCGAGGCCCTTGGCAGGCTGTTCAAGATCGGAAGGCAAGGCTTCATCGCTAGTTTCAGGGATCTGGGTATCTGCAGGCTCGGTCGGAGCAGATTCCTCTGCAGGTTTGAGCTCTTGAATTTCCCCCTCGGGAGCAGGTGTTAGCTCTTCGTTGGTGGGGACCGGGATCTCTTCATCTGTGGCAGACTTGCGGTTCTTCTTCTTATTCTTCTTTTTCTGAGCCTTGGTCTCCTGAGGGTCTGCGGGGGCCTCTGCGGGCTCATCTGCTGGGATTTCAGCGGCAGGCTCCGGTGCAAGCTCTGCTGTGGACTCCTGTGCAACCTCAGGCTCCTTCTCTTCGGTAGGCTGAGACGCTTGCTCTTCAACTGCTTCCTGGAAGTTGTCCTCGCCTTCTGTGTCTTCTTTGGTTGGCTCGATGACAGCAGGGGCGGTAACATCCTCAGAGGCCACGGGGGTTGCTTCTTCAAATGGCTTCTCAATGTCCCCCAGACTACGAGATAATTCCTCGCCTTCGGGCTGTGAATCCCTAGGGGCTACAGTCTCATTGGCATCGGCGGAAATTGGCTCTTCGACAGGCACAGCCTCCTCTTCCTTGGGCGTCTCAGTAGAAGCAATATTATCAGCAGGCTCCTCAGCAGAAGCATCCTTGGACTTATTCTTCTTCTTCTTGTCCTTCTTAGCCTTTTTCTTCTGAGCAGCCGTCAAAGCAACTTCAGGCTCGGTCTCAGCCTCAGTCTCGGGAGCAATGACAGGCTCAGAAGTCTCGACAGGTGCTGCGGAAGAATCAACAGCCGGATCTTGCGATGCTTCAACGAGCTCAGCTTCGGCAGGCTGCTGAATGGCAGCATCTTGATCTGCAAAAGGGGCTGGAACTCCAGACTCAGGTGGGATTTCAGGCTCCGCAACAATCTCGCGCGAGCCTTCAACGGGCTCACCTTCAGCTTGGTGTTGAGCAGCTTCAGGAATATCTTTCTGGCTAGAAGCAACAGCCTCTGGCTCGACCGGAGTAGTATCAACCTCGACGGGAGCATCACGAACAGCAGGCTTCTGAACAGCAGGCTCTTGTTCCACCTCCTTGAAAGGATCTTCTTTAACAATAGGAACAGTTTCCTCAGGAGCAGTTTCAACACTTTGATCCTGACTCTTATTCTTCTTCTTGTTCTTCTTAGCCTTACGCTTCTGAGCTGGGGTCATGGCGGCCTCAGTCTCAATAGGCTGTTCCGTCGCTTCGGGGGCTGCTTCTTGTCCAAACTCTCTTGACGCCTCAACCGGCTTTTCAGCCTCAAATTGAACAGGAACATTTTCTTCAATGGCAGTACCCGGCTCGCCAATTTCTTCGTCGACGGGTGCCTTGTCATGCGAAGCAACTTCCGTCGCAACAGCTGCATCGACGATATCGCCAAAGCTGTGGATCTTAGACTCGGCAGGTGCATTCTCCATTCCATCTTCCGGCAAAGCGCGAGATTCGGACACCTCTGCGTGTTCGGCGGGTTGTTGGCTCTCTTTGTCCTTCACAGCAGCAATAGCAGCAGCATCAACTATCCCAGCAAAGCCAGCGCCCTTGGAAAAGCCATCACCACTGTGAGACCCTCTCTCCGGCACATCTTCAGCGGGAGTCTCATACTCAGACTGAGGAGTCTCGGGCGCGGCAGGAGGAAGAGCCTCCAGCGCAGGTCCACCAGGCAACTGCTCAAACCCATCCGGATTCCGCAACAACTCGGAAGGAGAATGGAACTCATACTTAAGCTTCTCGCGCTTAGCAGAGGGACTGGTGGTGTCAAAGTGTTCGGCGGTAGGGGTAGCCTGCTGTGAATCAAGGAGATCGATCTCACGATCTCGATCGTGGTGTTCGTTCGCCTGATCGGTTTCAATTGTCAGGCCCGTTGGTCGGCGGTTCTCCATGATAGAGTGGCTTAGGTCAACCTGCTCCCAGCTCCGGACGCCATCATCATCATTGAGGGCTTTTAGGTCTTCAATGGATGGGACGCGAGAAGAGGTCTTGCTCGATGGGAGTGATGGCAGTCCTTCTTGAGGCTCAGACTCGCCCTTTACAGAGCTGTGGCGCTCGACTAGCCATAGTGGTCTGATCTCGCGGGAATTGCGGAACTCGACTGAGCCCGGACGGCGGTGGCGCTGTTGGCTTGGGGATCCGGGGGATTCGAGGTTCGGTGCATCGACAGGGACAGCGCGGGAAAGGCCTGGTGAAGTTGGGGGTCGGCGGAAGTGGAGTGGCACGGCTGTGGGAGATTCAGTGACTGATTTGGCCACTGAGCCGCGGCGGGCATTGGGCGATCGGCTTGTTTCAGGCGAAGCTGGTCTGCTCTGAGACTTGGGCGTGAGGTCCAGGGCTTTCTCCGTGCTCGGGGGTGACGTTGAGCGGCTTCGGGGTCTTTGCTGGAGCATCTCGCCTAGGCCTAGGCCCGCGGCTGCGCCGAGGGCGGTTCCTGCAGCCGATGGGAGCCCCGAAGCACCACGTTCATGATCGTGATCATCGCGCTCAGCCGCGGCTGGCGTTTCGGGGCGCTCGTTTAAAAAAGACTGATTGTCGTAGTCGTCATTAAGGTCCTGCACATGGAGTAATACCAGTAAGAGCTTAGTATAATTCTTGTTTGTTCGGGTTTTGTGGTTTTTGTGCAAAGCCGGTGTGGTCGAGGCCATCGCCAGCGTAAAAGGGAAACTATATGGCACATAAAAGTGTACAATAAAATCGAAAACATGAGTAACAACAAAAGGAAATGTCAGATGCTATACCTTCTCAGAATCCCGTTTCCGTCCTGAATCCACAATTTCCTCGTACCGATGCCGACGTCGCTCCTCCTTGCGCTGTCTACTGGACCTGTAATCCTCCAGATTCGTGCCCTCCTCGGCATCCTTCTCCTTATCAGACGCATCTTCTAGTTCATCTCCATTGCTGGAGCTGCGATGCTTAGAGGAACGCTTCTTGCGGCGACGGCGTTCATCATCGACAACAACTTCAGACAGGGCTTCGCGGGAGGAACGCTTGTCCACTGAGGAAGAACGGGTACGCTCGGCGGGAGCTGAGACCTGTGAGCCAAAGATGCTTCTGAGGAAGCCACCCGGCTTCTTCTCTTTTTCTTCTTCCTTGCCCTTACGTCTCTCGCGGGACTCACTAATCCTGGCAGGAGAAGACGTCACAGAGGCAGTATCATCGAAGTCGCGAGATGAGCGGTGACGGTGCTTGCGACGCTCAGACTTGTCATCCGCAAGATCTGTGATAGCGGAGCGAGCATCGTCATCAATGGAGAAGGTGTCGCTGCCATGTCTGGAGCGGCGCTTTCGGCGTCTCTTCTTCTCTTCGCCTTCCTCTCCGTCTTCAAGGGGAGGAGTTTCAGTATCACGGCGAGACTCAAAGTCATCACCACTTCTGCGAGACTTTCTGTGTCTAGAAGACTCGGAAGCAACGGAGCGGGATTCAGACACGTCGCGAGAGCGGGAGACGTAATCATCACCACTTCGGCGCGATCTTCTATGTCTAGACTCCGAAGTCACAGAACGAGACTCGGAGGGCTCACGAGAGCGGGAGATATCAAAGTCATCGCCGCTGCGTCGAGACCGTCTTGGCTTGCTGGTCTCATCCTTGGTAGCTGGGACTGAGAACACAGAGCGAGTGTCATCCCGAGACTCAGAAACATCACGCGAGACAGCAATATCAAATTCATCACCACTGCGTCTAGATCGCCTAGACTTGCTGGTCTCATCCTTAGTAGCGGGAGTAGAGAAGACAGATCGATCATCACGAGACTCGGAAACGTCTCGGAATGGGACAATTTCAAAGTTTTCGCTGCTTCGTCTTAATGGCTTGGATCGGGGAGACTCATGCTCCTTGGGTGCGGGAGCATTAGTAGGGGGAGAAAGCTCGCGGGACTCAGGCACCTCTCGTGATTTGTATATGTCGAAATCATCACCGCTGCGACGAGAGTTTTTGGATTTAGATGTCTCGTCCTTGGTGGCTGGAACAGAGAAGGTAGAGCGGGTGTCATCGCGAGATTCGGTAACATCTTGCAAAGGGGCGATATCGAATTCATCACCACTTCGCCTGGATCTTCTAGACTTTGATGTCTCGTCTTTGGTTGCAGGAGCAGAGACAATAGAGCGGTTTTCATCCTGGTACTCGATGGTCTCGGGTTCGGGCTCACGCACAGTCTCTGGTACAGGCTCTGACACAGGCTCAGGTTGACGCTCTGGCTGTGGTTCTGGCCCACGTTCCTTCGTCTCAATCTCAACGTTATCAGCACTCTTCCTAGACTTCTTCTGTTTCTTGGACTTGGACTTCTTGGATTGAGTGGGCGACTCAGGATCTTGAGTAACAGGGCCAGGAGCAGAGACAGCAGATCTTGCGTCGTGGTAATCAACGGGATCTCTCAAATCACCAGCATCAAAGCCACCGGGCATGGAAAAGGTATCGATATCAACATTACGCTCGCGTTCAGGAGAAGTAGGTTGATCGTGCTTGTCACGCTTGCCGTTCAACTGCTCGAGAACTTCCTGGGCAATCGAAGACTTGTCATGGCGTCCCGAGATATCTCTATCCTTTGTATCCTTTGAGAAAGGCTCGGGCTCGTCGAAAAAGAGCTCATCCTTGTCGGTGATATGGTTGGAAGCTGGCGCATCCTTGATTGTCTTTGGTCCGACATCTTCAATTTCGCCTTCGACGAAACCGTGGGGCTTGCGGGCCGATGCAGCCCAGGGCGATTTGAAACGTCCTTCGTCCTCGGATCCAGGAGGAGAAGTGCGAGTGTGGTAGGATGGGTCATCGGTAATCATAGCGGGATCAAAGCCAGCAGCGGCAGTTGCGGCAGCAATGGTGGCGGCGAATTCAATGTCGTTTCCGTAGTCAGGCTTGCTGGCAATATTCCGGGTAGAGCTGACATCAGACACAGGCAGCGGCACATCCTTGGGAGACACCTCTTCGTAGGGAGAGATGTCATGCTCCAGAGGATCCTGTTCGGAGGAAGATGGGATCTCGTATTCATGGGTTTTGTCGTCACCCCAGGAGACGCGGGAGCCAGTGTTTGATCGTTCGCGAGGCTTGGTATCATAGGATGATGTATCTGCAGGCGCTGCAATGGGGGAGTTGGCATCGCGAACAGATCCCCCGTTTGTGCTCTGGGGAGGAGTCGGCTCAATGAAGTTGAGACGGGGAACTGGCCATGGGAGACGGTCGACATGCTCGTAAGGCTCGAACGAATAGTCCGGCTCTTCACGTTTAGGTTCGTCGCGGGCATGGCGCTCACTAGCGGGCTCAATCTCCACGATCGTGGGCATACCGCCGGATCCGCTGCGCTTGTGGTCATTAGGGCTGTGTCGTAATTCTTCGGGGGCGTAGAACTGTGCGTAATCGTCGTAAACTTGTGGTTGGCGAGGAGAGCGCGGCTTCTTCTCTTCGTGGTGCTCCGCCGCTGGCGCTTCTTCAATGGCCAAGGGAGGCTCGAACCTTGACACAAGCGATAACTCGGCATCAATGTCACCCTCACGGCGACGCTCTGCACGGCGTTTCTCCCGGAGTTCATTGCGTCGCAGGCTGGCTTCGGAGGCCTCATCGTCATCTGTCTTGCGAGAAAGAACGGTGCTAGCAGCAGCAGCGCCAAAGGCTCCGGCAGCGGCTACTCCAACCCAAGATGAGGAGTCCTTCTCTCTTTCACTCGTCTCTCGGCGCTTCTCACTAGCGCGCTTCTCAGCTTCGCGCTCTTTGCGACGACGTTCAAGACGCTCCATCTCTAGGCGATCTTCTTCCTCTCGCTCCCGACGGCGACGATCAAGACGTTCGGCCTCTTGGCGATCTTCGTCTTCTCGATCAAGCAATTGAAGAGGCTTCGGGGCGAACAGATCATCTCGGGAGGTCTGGTCACGGCGATCAAGGCGGCGTTCCCTTTCTGCTTGCTCCTCCGTCAAGTTGAATTGAACGGAAGCCTGGTCCTTTGCGGTGGACCGGCGCTTCAGGTTAGAAGCAGTTTCCTGTGTTGGGAAAACAGGGAAAGACTCGCTGCGCCGATGGGGTCTGCGGACATCGGATTGTGGAACTTCGGGAGCAAATACAAGATCCCGAGAGTCGTGGAACTGAGTGTCATGTGGTCCGAATTCATTGGCTGCAAACGCAGGAGGAACTGCCGGTGCACTGTAGGCAGGGATTGATCCTGGCGAGCCTCCCTGGGTAGTGTACACGGCTTGAGAGACAGGAGTGACGGGCTGCGGCTGTTGGAGAGGAATAGGCCCAGGGCGGATAAGAGCCGGGTGGCCACCAGACACAGAAGGAGACATTTTGGCAACATCGAATCGGGATGGGTCAGAAGTTGGCATTGGGTAGACTTGCTGGAGGCTGCCGGAGCTGCTTGGTGGCTCGCTGTCGCGGTGACGAGCAGACGCAATGGCAGCTGCTCCGAGAGCACCGGCACCAACAGCAAGAGCAGTGTTAGCACCACTGGACTTCTTGTCCTTCTTCTTTTTGTTTTTCTTGCTGCCCCATCGCCAGCCCCAACGGCCGCTGGAGTCGGATGAGGAATCAACGCTGCTTGCTCCAAATGCCAAGGCGGAGCTGACACTTGAAGCAGACTGGTCAGATTCATCAATCCACTCATCGTCGTTGGCAGATGAAGCGTAGTTGGGGTGACGGGACTTGGTGTACATCTGGCCAGCACTGCGGCCAGGGCCATTGGGCGATGAGCCAGCCAGGCGGTTTGCAGTAGCACCAAGACCTACCAAAGCGGCATCAACATCTTTACCCTTCTTGTCCTTCTTCTTGAGCTTTGAAGACTTCTTTGAGAACCCATCTCCGAAAGCAAGATCGTTGTCAAGCGAAGAAGATGACGAGCCACCTTTGAATGAGAAGAAACCACTGCGCTTCTTGCTCTGGCGCTTCTTCCGGTTCTCGGATGAAGAGGTGAAGAAGGATCCGATGCCACCAGCGACAGACTTTTTTGAGGGACGAGAGAGATTGACAAAGGACGACGAAGAGGATGAATCCTTGCGGTGTCGATTTCTTCCAGAAGACGGGCTGCGGGAGCGGTTACGCGACTTGGTAACAGCCAACGCAGCTCCACCTACTGCAGCACCCAGGGCGGCCTCCTTCAAGAATGAATGGCGTTCAGAACGAGATGAAGAGCGGGATCGGGAGCGTGTTCGTCGGGAGTGCCCTGAAGGGCGTTGACCGTCCGAGTTGTAATCTCTCTGAGGGCTACGACCAGAACGGCGCACCACACCACGAGAAGTGTAGCTCCTGCGGTCATCTTCGTCATGAGAGGAAGCTACTCGGCCGGAGCGGATGCTGTACGAATCATCAAATTCCTTGTTCGTGAAGATTGACTTGGTCGCATAGCCAGCCAGCATGCCGGGCAACCATGACGATGATTTCTTGGACTTCTTGCGCCGACGGCTCTCATCTTCAGATGATTGGTAACGGCTGACCTTGCTTACTCTGGATGAGCTGGCACTACTGTACCGATCAGCTGAGTGCCGGCGGCGTCTGCCGTAGTGATGCTTGCGAGGGGCATCCAGGGAGGTTGTTCCAGGCTGGAAGCAGTATTTGCAAACGCCAATGGTTTCTGTGTAGTCCTCGAACCTTCCAACGGCCTCGGGGTCGCGCCAGAAATCAACGAACCGTCCAAGAGGGCCACGCTCGCGCTCTTGGAGAGCGAGAGCACCAGGGCCATGGGGATAAAATCCGGGATTATGAGTGGCATTAGAAGCGTAGCCCACTGCGCCTGCAGCATACAGGGCGTTGTGGTGGTTGGGATTGTGAGGGTGGTTGTGGGGGTGGCTGGGATACCCGGGGGCATACGGCGGGATACCAGCTTGGGACGAGCCCTCGTAATTCTGGAAGTCGTATTGTGACGCGTGTTCCGGGCTCGAGGAGTGATGATGATGACCCATCATGTATCCAGCCGCACCACCAGCAGCTGCAAGGCCGACACCTTCGCTGAAGCTGTGCGAATGAGGGGGCTTGTGTGTAGGCTTTTGACTGCTGTTTGCCATCGGCTGGGTCGTTGGCTGGTTGTAAGAGCTAGAATTATGCACCTCAGACGAAGAGTTCTCGTTGTGAGAGTGAGACATCATGCCAGAAATTCCATAGGTAGCAGCTCCAACAGCGGCAGCAGGAAGCACGCTCGATGAAGAAGGTTTGCTAGGCTTCGAAGGTTTGGGGGGTCTAGATGAAGACGCTGTCGGAGGCTTGGCGGGTTGCGCAGGAACATGGAAATCATCATCGAAATAAGCTGCCGCCGCACCAGTCTGACCCATGCTACTGGGCTCTGGGGGAGGGTTGGCGGTGGGAGATGCAGCCATCAGGTGTGCTTGAGTGTTGGGCAGCACAGATGGAGGCGCTGGGCGGACACCGGGCTGCATCTCTACAGACTGACCTTGGTCGCCGTAGTAGTCAGCCGCAGCACCGGCAGGGTTCATCGGCAGGTATGGCTGCGCAACACCTTCCGGGAATTGACCGGGGAATTGTTGCTGGACATGAGGATCATAAGGCACCTCATGCTCCGGTGAATGGCCAGCAGGCGGCATGCCAGTGTCATATTGCATAGGGAACTGCGAGAAGCCCGGTGCCGCGATGTCGGTGGCAAACTGTACAGCGGGGGCGCTAGGCGGCGGCGGCATGCTCGTAGACACAGGAGGCATATAAGGGTCCCCAGACTGAGTGCGACGACGCTCACGGCGGTCGCGCTCCCGCTCCCGATCCAAGTCATCATCCAGAGTATCTTCCGTCGTCCGTCGGCTTCTTCTCCTCTCCCGATCTGGACTCACGGATCGGTCGCGGTCGCGGCGGCGAGAACTCTTGCTATCCCGGTCACTGTCTCTGCGTTTGGGGGTGCGCTCAATGATGTAGCGGTCGGAATCATCAATGGGTTCTGGTTCTGCGGTCACATAGCTGGAGGCGATCGAGTCGCCAGCGATGCTAGACGGCCCACGCTTACTGCGGGAGCCCGATGGTGAGTACGAGGACAAATCACCCAAGCCGCGGTCACGGTCGTCACCCCGTGAGGATTTGCGACTTGAGGTCGATTTGGCATCGGAGTTGTCGGTCTTGCGCCGGCTCTTGGAGCGCACGTCGGTGGACGACGATGACCGACTGCCCATCAGAGCCTTGAACATGGTGGGCAATTAATTAGAGCCCTCAGGAATCCACCATGTGGGAGGAAATGGGGAATGTCGGAGTATGGGGAAGGGAAGTTGTCCCCAGCCTCTGGTTGTTATGGCTTTGTTTGTAAACAAGCTGAACCGTGGATCGGCGGGACTTAACCGCTTATCCTCCCGATCGGGGTTCGTTTGGTCAGCACTTCGTACTCCAGTGCTTCAATATGTACTCTCTCTCTCTCTCTCAATTCCAGGGTAGGTCGAGTATGTCGGGTATGTCTAGCATCAATGCATAAAAGCATGAAAGCATGAAAGTGAAAAAAAATGTGAATCACTTCGTTTGCCTCGATGAGCTGTCGGTGCAACGAGTGGAGCGAATCAAAGTCGCGGTGAAGCACCGTGCACGTGCCACGGGGCTGGGAATTTCGTCACTCAATCGGGCATTCTTCTGCAATGTTCGAGTATATATTCAAGTAGACATATATAGTGTTAGAGATATATATCAGCATGACTTCAATAGCTTATAGCTACGATTAACTGTGATCCTGGGGTTGATATCATCGACTGAACCACGGTTGAGATCTGATCTGTGGAGCGCTGGGTCCAGCCAGCCATGTTTGCGATTGGCGCCTGAGGCCTCCGTCTATATTTCACCACTCATGTAGCTTTGTCTGAAGTTGGAATGGTCAGGATATTGGGAGCGGAGTGACAGTCGCAAAAACACCAATAAGGTACTCAATGTTGCTCTCATTTGATATATAATTGCATGTACTTCCTTTCCTAACGAGAGGACTATGATCCATACAATAATTAGAGATCTTGCTTCAACCATTTGCACAACCCTCTCATTGTCTGGCACCTCTCTCAATTCAGCACCGCCAGTTCCACTGAAACGTCAATCGCTCAATCATACTCGATTCATTTCTTGTCGTTGTTGAGTTCTTCCTTCGCTGATCGAGGAATGTTCTTTTTGTTTCCGCTTGTTGGGTTGGAAGAGGTCTTTGAAGCCTCGGAAGACTTCGACTTCGCTGATCTCGTATCCGGAGGTGACGGTCCTGGATGCTCCATCTCTCGAGTCCGACGATTCACGCCTTGCGCGGTCGGATTCTTGCCTTCGGGGTCGCCCTTGCCATCGCTATCGCCATAGCCGCCGGTCGAGTACGGTAGCCTTTGGAGGATTGGTCGTGGTCGAGCGGTAGCAAGTCTTTGAAGATATTTTGGGTGACACTGTAGGGTACTAGGGCAGGTTACCCTGGCCGCGATAGACTTCGGGTAGATCGCTAGATGGTTCAGCATTGCATGGACTGATCATACGTTGAATAGAGAAGTAATATTGTGGCAGGTGAAGAGAAAGACGGACTATTCCTAAGATCTCTTCTTATGCCCAAGTGACGTTATAAACTTATGTGATCGATCAAGCCTGATCATCATGACCTCACATATAAACATCTTTGGAAATGCAACACTGGATCCACGGTAGAACATCATTATATAGCAAGGATATTTAATATTGCATAAAACTGGTTTTATCAGACACAAAACCATCTCACTGGAAACAGTCCCCTCCAAATCAAAACAAAAGCCTCAATATATTCAATTTTCCAATGAAATCCCGTCCCGGAACTCTTCAACATGAGCACTATCCCCATCGACCTTCTCCTCCCCTCCAGGCCCAGCCTGCGAAAGCCTCCTTTGCCGATTCTGCTCCATCATCTGCTTGGCAAACGGTGACCTCTCCCGAATAGCCGGACCATTCCGATAAAAGAAGTAGATGGGCGCCGTAACAAGAATAGAAACAGAAGCAAGAATCGTAGATGCATACGCGTACGGATACGTATCACCGATATTCGTGAACATCGGTGTAGAATACATGGCTGCGATTCCGGCTAGGAAGTCGCGCGCGAAGTCGTTGCCTCCTGTTGCTGATGCTGCGTATTCGCCGTATGCGGCTATTGTGTAGTCGATTGATGATTGGTAGATTGAGTACTGTGGGATAATGATATTAGATAAGTTTGATGCTTTGGGCTTTTGAAGGACTCACGTTGGCTATTCCTATTACTACGGTAAATATCATAGGGGCTATCCAGTGGACGTTTGGTGGGCCTAGGGTTGTCCAAGCGAAGCCGAATAGGCCAATTGGGAGACAGGGTATGACTGTACATGTGTTAGAACAGACACGCATGTTGCCTTTGTGGTTGGAGTGTTCGACTTACCATAGAGCAACCACCACAACCGCGCTTCAGGAGGAACAGAATCAGATCCATGCTTGCGCCGTCTTTGTCTGAACATGTGAATGGAAGGTAAGAAAGAGAGGTAAGCGATCCCATATCCAATGATCAGCCTGGAGAAAGCAACTTGTTAGCATGCACCCCCAAAGAATATATAGGGATGCCACTGACGGTATAAAAGCAAGGCTGATTTGAATAGTCCCAAACCCCCACTGTTTATAAACAGGCTGGAACCCCTGGAGAAAAGTAAAGATCAAAGAATCACTAAACCCACTCAGCAACGACAACCACAAAACAATAGGCTCAGTGAGAAGCATAACGAAAGGCCGCTTCCATACTCTCCAGATATCCTTTGGAGAGAGCGAATACCCATAGATCTCATGTGGACCCCAGATATTAACATTTCCAGGCCCAGCCTTGCGCCTCTTCTTCGCTACCCTATCGAGCAGGATGGTAGCCCGCGTCTCCGGTACCAGGAAGAAATGCATGATCTGAACACATCCACCGGCAAGGAGTTGAACCCAGAAGATCCAGGGCAACGGATGACGATCTTCGACAAAGCCACCAACAACAGCGCCGACGACGGAACCACCGACGGATGACAGAACAAGGAAAGCAACGGCATATTCCTGGTCATCTGGTTCCCACATATCGGCAATTACACCCAGCGTCACCGAACCGCCAGCTGTACTCAATCCACCCAGCAATCGAACAACGATATAAGTCGCGAAATTGGGAGCAAGGGCACATGGCAATTGCCATATATTGACGAGGAACAGGCTGAGTTGTTGAGTCGGCCATCGTCCCAGTTCTTCGCTCCATGGAGCCCACAATTCGCATCCGAAGGCGTAGGCGCAGAGGAAGGTCAGTTGAGGAATTCGAGCGACTTGTTCGCTTACGTTGTGTTCCTTTGAGATTGCGGCGACGCCGTTTGCGTAGAGGCTTGCGTTTAGGTTGATTGATATTTGGATGCAGAACATTACGCAGAGAATTTGCCATTTTCTCCATGTTGGATAACAATAGCCGAGCTCGTTGTAGGCGGCTGATTGTGTTAGTTCTATCTTTTCTTGGGAGATTCCGTCGTGATCTAGATCCACTGTTTCTAGACCTTCGGTTCCATTGCTTGGATTGGTGGGTTGATTAGTTTCCATGATAGTAATTGTAGTAATTGTAGTAATTGTAGTAATTGTAGTAGTAGATGTAGGAATTTGTAGCCTTTGTATGGGATGAAAGAATTGAACTGAGCATGTAGAATAAATAGGTCCGGCTATAAAATACTTCCATGACGTGTGTGGAGAACTTCTCCCATGGGCATTGCACGGCTTGATTCAAGATCAGGAATGCTTCTGTGACCAGCCGTTCATTCGCCTTCGTATTTCTCAATATTATACCATGGGAATGAGAAATAAACTGGCACGGTATTGGTTTCTTATACGAGGAAGCAGTTCTTGGTGAATGGGGTCGCTTCGTGCCGCTTCCACACACCGATTAGTCAACCTCCTGATTTCAAAGCCACATTAAGTGACGCAGTCAAAGAGTGAAAGGATATAACGATAACCCGATTATTTGAAGATGGAAATCAAATTGGTATTGTATTGACATGAGGTCGTGGAAATATACAAAATCGTTCACTCATCACGCGAACCATTTACTCGGACTTTTTGCCATGCAGCGGGTGCGCAAGCTTCTCCTTCATCTTCTCCATGGTACTCTGCTTGTGCTCGGTTGACTTGGACTTGTCACCCTTCGTGTGATCCTTAGTTACGGTCGAACCATCCCCTTCTATATAGTGTTAGCATGGTCCAAGGCGAACGATACTTGGCGAAAGCTTACCAGCAACGGAACCACCGGCAGGCTTGCCAGTCTTCTTCTCTTGCTCAAATTCCTCAGCCGTATGCTTGGCAGCACCGGTAGGACCCTTCAACGCTTCTCGGCTGACGTGGTGGTCCTCCATAATGGCAGCGGTGCCGCGACGGCCCTGGTCCATGGTCTTTTCGGCATTCTCTGAGCTGCCAGCATTCCCGGCGTTCTCGACATTTCCTGAGCTCACGGCATGGTCCTTGTTCTCGGTGGTCTGGGGCTGGGAGACACTTTGGGAAACGCTCTCCTTAGGCTGGGAGACACTCTGGGAAACGCTCTCCTGCTTGGCAATCTCGGGGGCGGCGTTGTCCGGGGCGGGGACCTGAGGTTGTCCTTCGATAGAGGTAGACATTATGATAGAGTTTGGAAAGTGGAATACAATGATTTGTGCTTGGTTCAATGCCCAGGGTTGCCCAGCATCGTCTTGGCTATATATACTTCAATCCCCACGCTATGACGTTGATGACATCATGAGGGGATGTGACCTGTTTGGGAAACCAACAGCCAGCCACACTGGATTGACTGGATGGGCTGGACTGGAGTTGACCTCATAGTATCACGGAGATTGGTTCTTTGCTCCAGTTGACGTAGTTCAACATTTCTATTAATATCGGAACCTGAGAAGCCGTCTTTATCCGCTATAGATACGGAGGTCTACGTTTGACCCTCAACCTCTGTGAGCACTATTCAATTAAGCTCAAATATCCATTATGCCTTGGAAGCCACAAAAATCCTTAAATAACCATAACCCCCCCAAAATCAAAACAATATAACCCGATATGAAACCCTCTACTCAGCCCGCATCAACCTCTCCAACCGACACCTCAACAGATGCTGAAACCAAAGCGGCAACCCCCGAAGCCTCCTAGAAATCCACCCAGCAGACCCGGGAATCAAAACATGCCCACTCTCCCCCTTAAGTACCTGCCCAACAACCCCCTCAGCAACACTCTCGGGACAAAGCAGCGGATTAAACCAAGTATCCTCAGGTGTAAGATCCTTAATCAACCCGGTCCTAGTAAATCCCTGCGTAACAAGCACAGTACGCACCCTCGGGGCCGCATACCGCGTAAGAAGCTCCGCCGCTAACCCCTCATGGAATGCAATGGCTGCCGCCTTGGAGGCACTGTAATCGACCATGTTTGGCGTCACGGTATACCCCGCCTGCGAGGCGATCGTCACGACCATGCCGTGATTATGGGATATCATGTCCGGCAGGAATTCCTGCGCGAGATGGTAGTGGGAGAAGGTGTTTACAGCGAACATGCGGTGTGTCTGGGCCGGGGATGTGGAGAGGATTGTCTTCGCTGTGCAGATTCCCGCGTTGTTTATTAGGATTGTTGGGCGGCCGAGGGTGTTGCGGATTGAGGTTGCTGTGGTGGCTATTGTTTCTGGGTTTGTTATGTCGCATTCGTAGAAGCGGACGCTGTTGGGTAGGGAGGTGCTTGTTATGTCTGGCGGGGAGATGTCTAGGATGGCCACTTTGATTTCTTTTGTGCCTAGTTGCTGGGCGATCTGTCGGCCTATCCCTGTGCTCCCGCCTGTTAGGATAATTACTTCTTTGTTCCAGTTGTAGGGGTCTTTTTGGTTGTTGTTTTGGATTCGGTGGTCCAGGTAGGCTTCTAGGTTTGTGAGAAGGGATATGGTTGTTAGGGCTTGGAGGGCTTTTTGGAGGTTTGGGTGGGTTTTGCTGAGGTCACGGCCTTTGATCGTGTATTTGGAAAGGACGAAGAGGGGGAGTATTTTCCAGGGGTCTAGGAGGGTTTTGGAGATGATGTTTCCCAGCACGTCTGCTGTGAAGCCTGGTTGGGTTTTAGTTGGATAGCGGTATCAGAGGAGTCGAGATACTGTACCTTCTCTCGAAAGCCAGGGCTTTGCTTGTGCCATATTGATAGATTGGATGAATTGATGCGAGTTCAAGTGGGAATATCAAAGAGATGAGATAGAGCAATGTTTCATGTATAAGCTGACTGTTATACACTCCTGATCTATATGCGGGGAAGCCGAGGTCCGCATGCTTCGACGGCTTGTGGCATAGACATGCACTGTAATACCTGTACATTTATGCATGCTTGAACGTCCTCTATCTAACTTTTGAGTTCATATCTCGAACAAGGTCAGGCCCACTCGATATCCACAGTATTCAGCCCCGCCGTTACCGCTATACTACATTACACAGTGTTCACGATATTGGATCAAGATGTTCAATTTGTATGAGTCCCTGCTGCCCACTTATCACTATAAACAACCTAACCTAGACCGAACAAATACAACCTCAAATGTGCCTAGTCATCGAGGAATGAGAAATCAACAACAACCAGCCACCAAAGCCAGCCATATCAAAGCGAAGTAGGAACAACCATATCCAACTCAAAAGAAAATCAAAATTTGATCCAACATATCAAACCAAAAGAAGTGGATAGCGAATGAAAATTCACGAAATAGACACAAAAAACCATAAGATGCAATGTATGCGTAGCCACGCTGGACTAAACTCCCCAAGCATACTGTATACCTCCGTGGCAATAATCTTACCGGAGCCAGTACAAAATGCCAATGATCAAAACCAAAGAGACAAAGCAGAACCGTATCAAGGTATAATCCATAATCCAAGCCCAAATCAAATCAAGTCTCAGTAAGTCCAAAAGTAAGTCCAAGTGGACTCCAATCATCACCAGGATGGATAGGCAGTCCATGGTCCACAGTAAATCAACACCTAGATCCCCTAAGTATAAGATCAAAAGAAATAGAATATAGCAAACGAAAAAAAAGCCTTGCGTGATCTGGATCCGAATGCGGTCCAAATACACAAGTGTTGAATTTGATAATGTGGGGAATCATTGAAGAGAGTAAGAGTATAGTGCACAATGTATAGATAACACAGACAGACAAACGAGCTTAAGAAGACGAGGAGAGAAAAAGCAATGGCTTAAGTGAGAGGGACATGCATGATGCGTTCGTAAGGAGAATAGAGGATGGAGGTGGTCGGACACGGGGTCGCAAGGCGGAACCCGAAAGTTCAAAGAAGGACTCGCACGCTAGATGGAGATAAGACATGCAAATGCGTATGGTAATGCGTGTAGGATCAACGGTAATTTACGTTAATACCAGGCGGGAGATTCCTCAGATCAGGCTCTTTGTCGAAGATCTTAAGATATATCTCCGTGAGGATGCGGGCATCGGCCCGGAGGGTGGGAGAGATGTTTTCGTTTTGGGCGAGGAAGCATATCGTCCGTCTGAGAAGACGGTCGAGGATTTCTGTGTCGACCAGTTCTCGCAGGCTGGACATGTAGGTGGCGGAGAGGACGAGCATGTTGCCGAATTGACTGCAAGAGAATTAGTGTACTGTGTGGTTCTCCCGGAGGGTAGATACTTACGCATGAGCTGTGCCGAAGATATTGGTTACCACCAACCGATGCCCGCCAACACCATCAAAAGCTTCCGTACTTAGAATTGCCGAGTCGATGCAGACTTTGCAGGCGCGGCGAAGCTTGGCTGGAAGATCCCGGAGTGCAACCTTGGGGGGAACCCAGGTGTGACCAAGAGAAGAACTTGAACCCATATCACTCGACATTCGGGACATGTTAGGAGCCCGATTGGAGTGCAGCATAGACGGAGACATCTGTTGTGTTGAAGTAGGCGAGTCCACCTTGGTAGTCTGGCCGATGGGACCAATGCGAGCACCAGTATGACCATAGTGCAGGGCGTGGTAGAGGAGAGGTCGGTGAATGATGTAGCGCGCACCGTAATACTTTGCACGCATGCGAGCAGCGTTGATCTCATTTGATGGCGGGTCAGAGTCTTTCCACAACATACTAACTGGTAGGCTTGTCCGCCAGAGGTCAAGGTTCATGCTGAGAGCTTCTTGAACGGTTGATGACCACCGTCTCTGGCCTTGCTTCTCGACCTTGTAAAGGTCGGTGTGGACTCGATTAAGGACTTTGCGGAGATGAATCTGAGCCGAGTAGTGCAACATCACCGCGGTCGCAGGGTCATCATGATCGTCAGGTAGAGGAAGGGTGAATCTTCCTTTGGGAAGCGTCATGCGGCTCTCAGACCGCGAGATGCCGCTGGCTGGAATGTCGAGCTCTGCGAGAAGATCACTTTCTAGCTGTAGACAGGTCCAGTATGCAAAATTGTAAAGATCTAGAACAGCCCCTTCTCCAAGTCTTTCATAACGCTTTGTCCGTACTAGCACCTGGCAAGCCCTTGACGCTTGAGAGATCCAGCTGTGACTTTGGAACGGATGGGCCAGTTGTCCGGCATATAAACCAGCAAGCAACGCCGCCTGGACGTGCTCGAGTTCATTGGCACCTTGCAGGTGACCTAGGATTTCAGTACAGAATCCATAAAGCGTCAAACCAGGAATGACCTGGTAGTTCTTCGTATGTCCAGCATCATCACGCGTATGTGAGACAGATCGCCGGGAAAGATTCCTACGAGGCTCGGCAGTTGATGTTGTTGATGATGGGCCAAAGGACTGGCTTGTAGCCTGCATAGGGACCGTGTATAAAGGGGTCGTCATTTGCAAGGCAGAATCCGAATTGGCAGGCGAGAGCACACCATTGACACCAAACTGCCCGCTTCCGACGGGAATTGGTGGCAGGGGCGTAGGAATGTGCTGATTGCGGTAATCAATTCTCTGGTCCATGATAGGGCCAGGGATAGGAGCAGGACATTCGCAAATTGCACCAAGAGCCAGACAAAGCATGACAATAGCATTGTCGATGTTTCGCCCAACACGGGGTGGCCGACTTGGTGTAGAACCCGGGCTCAAGAACTCGCCTCGCATGCCCAAATTCTCATTGGAGCGCTTCCGCTTCGCTGGCCGTGGGCCGTCACTGCCCATCTGCGTATTTCTCGTCATTGGCGACGGCGTCATACGGCAGTAGACTCGGATGAAGTTCTCAACCTTCTGATCGAGTTCACCCTGGTCAATAAAGGGATGAAGCTTGTACATGTGGTTCATGTAGCTCTGATAGTATCGCTGAGCGGTTTGCATCTCCAGGTTCAGGCTGCCGAACTTGTCGATGTCAACGTCCGAGTCTACCCCTGCGCCGTCTCCGTCTGGTTGAGCACCATTCATGCCGCCATCACGCACGCTTGTGTTCCCCGGTAACTGACTGTCGTCGGCTGTGTAGGATATCTCGCCTTGACCGTAGACACTGATAAGACCGCGCTCTTCCTCCAAGCGCATGACATAGTCCTCGTCATATACCTCGGGGTAAAGCAATTTCTTGATCGAGGGCCACATCAATAGCTTATGAGCAGCAGTGGTGTGTTCCACAGGAATCGAAAGCTCGCCCTCCTGCTCATTCTTTGCATCCTCGAAGACCTCCACAGGTCCAAGCTTTTGGCCGTAATGTGAAGTGCCCACATCCTGACTACCAGGATCTAGGACTGCGACACCATTTTTGGGGAGCATGGAAGGCGTAGGTTGTTGCTCTTGCTTGAGAACCGGCTCTGGAACAGGCGCCGGCGGCACTGGTGGTAGGTGCGAGCGATCTTTGCCAGCCCACGTGGATGTTGGGTTGGACTTCTGAAGCCATTCTCTAAGCAAACCGTCGTGCCCTTGGGAAGCAGCGGATAGCAAATCAATCTTCGTAACCAAAGTGTCCTCCAGGTGCACGATCCGATCTATCAAAAGTTGCGTGCTTTTCTCTTGCTTGTGAGGAGGCACTTCCTTGTAGACACAAGTCAGGCTATTCTCTTTGCAATGACTGCAAAACGGTCGTCCTTCGTCACACTTGGCTTTCCTTGCGCGGCATTGGTCACAGGCCTACAGCTCTAAGTCAGCTCTCAATCCACCACATTGAATCGTATCTCGCCTACCTGCTGGGCACGAGCCGCTTTTCGTTGACGCGCTCCATACGCCTGATTCTGGTTATAGTACGGATCATAGCCACCCACCGGGGTCGCTGGGGCCATTGCCGGGCCGGGGGTCATGAATTGTGAAGCTGGAGGTAACGGGCCCGCCGAAGGTGTATGCTCCGCGCTACTGATCTGATCGGCTGGCGGATAGGACATGCGAGGACGATATTCCGGTGAAGCCTCGTGCGGGGCGCCGTTGATTGGCTGGCGGAAACCATGAGGGGGGGTTGGATCTTGCGGGGAATGTACGGGCGCGTGCGGTGGGAGACCATTGGGACGGTGGTAAGGCCCGTCTGGCGATAACCCGGGTAGCTCGCGACCTGGCATCACTGAATAGCTTGGAATAGGCGCCTGGGTCGACGAGGGACGGCGGGAATCGGCTGGGTGGTCGAAGGACGGAGTGTATGGAGGGCGCCATGAGGGTTCGTAGCTAGGATGCGTTCCCGGAGGCGCATGGGGCCCTTCTGGAGGAGGCATGCGATTCATTGTCGTGGGACAGAGATCCCAGCGCGGTTTTCTCGCAAGTCGGTCTAGTTAGGCGCTGTACCGGGTGCTGGGAGTAGTCCGGGACTCAAATCAACATGGCGGGAGAGGAGGGAAAAGCAGAAACAAGGTAGAATCGGGACGACCTGATAGTGCCGGGAGGCGCGAGGTTGAGACAATGAAATGAAATCGGGCACCGTTAGAGGTGCGAATCCAATCACGCGCTTAAAGCTCCGAAATCCTTTAGGTCGCAAAAATGCGGCAAGGTTGACGTCTTGTTAAGTGGGCAAGGTGGAGCTAGACAGAAAATAGTCAGATTACAGCGAAGATCCGAACAGGGGGGCTCCGTTAGACCGAGTTGAGGATATGGGGATATAAGGAAGAGGAAGAAGGGAAGAAGGACGGTAAGATACCAGATCAAGGCCAAAGCGAGTCCATCAGATAGATCAAAAGGGCAGAAGTACAAGGTTGGGCAGGAGGGGGTACGGTATGGTAACTTACATTACGAGTGGGGAGAGAAAAGAGGAATAAAATCTAGAAATATCCAGAGATTAACAGGATACGGCTTATAATTAGGGATCGACATGTTGTTTGCCCCTCCCTTGAACTCTGCAAATGGCTGGTTTTCTAATATCTCCTCCAGTTGACAGGTCTGCTTTTGGTTTTTTTTTTCTTTTTCGGCGGCTGGGGGGAGTCTATACTATAGAAATCTGATGTCCAGGGTCCCCATCGTGGGTGCTTATACTAGGAAATCGGAGTATAGTAAATGATCGAAGCTAGGATCCAACTCGCACCGCGTGGAACGGGGATCGCAGTTCCCGAAGGTCAAACCACTTCACCGGGAAACGCGCCATGCAAGTTGGGATGTTCATCCGGACCCGGGGAGATATACTGATTTGGACTGGATCTGAGGATGTAGCCGAGCTTGAGTCAAAGCTCTTGTCCAAGAGTGCCTAAGATACTGTACTCCTGTGGTTTCGAGATTCCATCTCACATTATGACCCGTGTCAAACAGGGATCGTCTCCCAGTGCCCAGGACTCGGGTATTCTTAACAAATGTACTCCGTACTCCAATCAACTTGACATCCAATCCCATCCATGGAAATGGCCTCGCGTGAAGTCCGCCAAAGTTAAATAGAACCTAGGTAATTCGAGAGGGTCGACGTATAATCTACGGTCCAAGCGAAGACATCTTGACCGCCAATGAGAGACGGACTATGTCCGACACCGATCAAGGGGAGTAACCAAAGTTTATTAGGCTTCGATTTTCAAATCCGATCCCCCAGATCGAAGTTCGAGAAAGTAGGAAACCTTTTCCCAGGGATAACTCTATCATGTTTACTATTTTCTTTACTGGTATTGTAACGGAAATACTCGGGAAGTCCCGCCCTTCACCCATGGATAAAGACGGGAAATCATCCACGGTGAATGACTTAAAACATCTGCCTATCCTGGATAATTCCCGATGATATCACCGTCGGGTTACCCCTGGCTTGATGAGGCAGTTCAAAGACGGTGCCACCTGCCCACTCTGGAGTCTTATGGGCGAGTCAAACGCAGAGCCAAGTGGCACAGGAACACAGAGTATGCTCCATTGCTGATTTTTGCTTCTTTTGACCGTTGGCCTGTCTGTGCGGTCACCCGTGATAGCTGAAAGTCGTTCAGCAATGGCTGAATGGTGGAGTAGGTATGCCCGAGAAGGGTATACTTAGTGGAGAATGGCTGGTTACCGTACAATAGTTTTCAATCCGAAGGAAGCCAAGACCCACGCTTTTCTTGCTTTTGATTACTTTAAGACAGATGTCAAATACTACAGTGGCTCTGCTGCCTCTGAGCACCTGGCATTGGTATTAAAGTACTAGTAGTGGAAGTGACGTGCATAAACAACGGGGCCTCGGAATTAGGAGCAATCCAAGCTTGACATGGTCACACCGGGATAAAAAGTGACGCTCAACACGGATTGGTCAGTTGGGAATTCCAAGACTTGCCAATTCTGGGGTTGGCCGTCGTCATTAAGGGGGTTGACGCTGGGTGCCATGTAATCCTGCGTGTCTCGCTGTCCCAGTTTTAATTCGCCATGTCGATCCGCCGTTCCCACTATCCCGTTCCTTGGGTTCGGTAGGGCGCATTGGTTTAGATCTTGAATTCTTAATCGACTGTATCGTTATTTCATGCAGTACTCCATGTAAAGAGGGACTTGGAATGGAACACACAGGGGAAAGACAGCGACCACTTGTCACTACCGCCTCGTCACTTCTCATCCCCTGATAAGACCAGGGTCACCAGCGTAGCCTTCAAACATCTTACAGATGGCGACTGCACGCCATGCATAGTACAGAATGTATCCAGAATAGAGTTTGGAGAGCCCTTGGACATCCAATGTCGAATGCAAGGGGTTGGAAAGAGACATGACCAAATCCACTGTCAATGCAGCCTCTACGCCTGCTATGGGGATACAGATGTCATAGTCCAAATCCGAACAGCACCTCCAGGTATCTCAGAGCCTCTGCTTCTGACATCTCACTGCGCCAGTTGCCTATATCTGTTGTCTAGTAGAGGTGGCTCGATGTGTACAACAGACTGCAGAAACAGATTCATATTCGCGCATACATGTACGGTGTACCTGGTCTACGCAGTAGACACCAGATATGCAGCAGGCCTGCTTGTGTCCAATCAGCGTGGGCCATGGGCCTTCACGAGACTATTGGAATGGCTCCATATGGGGAAGATGCAGGTGATCGACCCTCCCTTGAGGGACATCTCCACGCTCTGATGGCAGGGGATGCGGGAGGTTGCATTGTTGTGGAATACTGAGTAGGTCTGGTCCTGGCTTGGACTGAGACTTGTTTGGTTCTGCGGTAGGGGTGTCGAAGACTGGAGGTATGAGGGAAAAGCGAATGCAGCGCGTATGTATCCATGACCCGATACAGAGGAATAGATAATGCATTGTAGACTGTACAGCATGACAAATACATGACTGGTCAATATACTCTCCCACCCAAGCATAAGCGAGGTGTTGCTAACACGCGCCAAATAGTATCAACGTCGGCAATCTCAGATTGCAACCGCAACCCCAGTCTATCACGGAAACATGTGTACGTACCGTACTAGAATGTACAGTAATGGTATGTCAAATACGATATACGACAACAGCCATCACTTTTATTTAATCGCGAGCTACATCGGCGATGGAAGCGCATGATTCGCGCCCCCGCCGCCGATCGGATATGCCACGTCCACCGATAATATGACGCTCCCATTGGCAATTGATCGCCTCCATCTCTACATATTGACAGCTTGTAGATGAGGCCAGCCAGACTCCAGACTCGCTGAGAGTATATTGACGGTGTGGCAAGTTGGCATGCACCTCTCCTCTGCCAACTCTTTCCCGCATACGGCGCAGAATCGGTGATCCTTCAAACCTAGCAGTCCAGCCCAGAGTTGTCAACTTACTGTACAATTATCGACGGAAGGCTGCAGACTGCATCGGGCGCACAAGCGATTCCGAATCGATCGCGAATCGCGCGTTGAATTGGGTTGAGTTGCGCTTTCTATCCCCGCACACGGTTTGGTTTCAGATGTGATCTGTACAACGCCCATTTGGCTTTGCTTTCCTGAAACTGATACGTCGAGATTGGATCACTTGCCTCTTTTGTTCCCACGTGGGGTAAAGACCATGTGGGATGCGATCGGGGTTGTTCTACTCTGTGATGGGCTCAAGGGCGGTCATACTCGATCAGAGACTAGTAAGAGGGAGATGATCTCGTTCTCCATCACCTGAACCTGACTGCTTGACTCTCACTTTGCTGGCGCCGAGCTTTCGAGCTGAAATCCCCGCCCCGCCAGATCGCGCAAACTCGACCTCCGCAAGGTTTTCGACAGACTCGATTCGGTCACATGCATCACAACCTCCTCACGCTGCACCATCCCTTGAATAGTGACTTCACAGAAAAACACGGTCTCCAGAACTGAGCTCACATGAACTACTGGTCCGTTCACCAAGAGATGCAAGGGAAATCATCCTTCCAGATCCAAATTCAAATCTACATCCAGTCCAACGTCTCCTCGGTCGAAACAACATCAGGACCAATATCCCCCCCACACTAATCAGGCTTCTTGCAGAGGCCCCGGTCTTGCATCTTGCAGTCCGCAAGCATAGTGACATACAGCCCCCATACATATACCGCAAGAGTCAAATTCCCACTCGGAGCTAGAGTACGGACAATACCAGTCCTCAATCCAGCTAATCTAGCCATATCAAAGAGATTTACATCTCCTTTATCAACCCTGGACCTGGTTCTTCCCGGATCGAATAGTACCGTACAGACTAGCCGACGAGCCGTCGCGCCGCCCAGCCGCCCAGCCGCCGAGCCTCGTCTGCTGTTTGCTGTACAGTAAGGAATCTGTAGTGCTGGTGTACCTTACCGTGGAGGCCGAGGCATTTCAAACGCGACTGCATGCAAGCGCTGTGGTTGAATCCGCCGTTTTGGAGTCACAATCCACTTTATGCACGCCATTCACGTATGGTACTGTTAATAGGGCTGATTGGTTGTTATTTTTTTTCCCTTGTCTATTGCGGGAGGTCATGGGAGAATGAGGGTGCTTGCTCTAGGTTGTTTGAATGTAAATGTGACTGTACTTGGGTCTACTGTACTGTCTTCAATCCACTAATTATGAATCGTGAATCGTGAAGACATGTACATGATGATGATTCCAAGATGCGCCAACCAACAACCAGTCGGGTAGTCGAGTGTAAGCCTAAACTTGGTGGCACTTTCAATCTTCAATCCCATCTCACCTTTATGATTCCTACTATAACTATCCCTCACTTCCCACTCTATCTCATTATCTAACACAGTCAAACCAAAACACCCCCTTCAGTTATCAAGGGGCACAAAAGTACACAATAACGTAAATCCCTACCCCTAACACCAACCACCTCCACACCAGAGCCTAATCAACAACAGAAACCAGGTCCCCGAGGACCCCGACACCGAGACCGA